GGTTTTACGTAGCTCTTTAGTAAAATACTAGCTTTTGTTATCTTTTTATACTTTACCTACTTAGTATATATAATTAAACTTTATAGTAAAAAAGTTTGTATAGCTTTAAAGTAATAGTTTTCTAATAAGTAAGTTAAACTTTAGCTCTACTTTTATATATTATTCGTTTTCTACTAGGTACTATTATAATTATAGAATTCTAATTTTATTACTATCTAGAATACTTACTAATTACTTATTTTATCTACATTCTATATTTCTAGTATACCTATTTTAATTATTTTTTAGTAATATATTAAATAGTAGGTTACTAAGTAAGTAATCTCTCTACTAGTAAGCTGTCTATAGTCTAATCTATAAATAATTTAATTTTTTTAAGGAAGATAGTTATATTTATACTAAAAATGCTTAATAGCTTATTACTAAATAATATAATTTCAAGAATATAGACTTGTACTATACCTTAATATACTACTACGTAAGTTACTTCTACTATAAACTATACTTTTTAATTATAGATTTACTTAAAGAGTACTATTATTATATCTTTAAATATTTAGTTTATACTTTTAAGTAACTTCTAACCTACTATAAATACTTCTAGTATAGGCTTTTTTTTACTTTCTTTAGTTAACAGGTTATAACAGTTATTTACACTATTAGCTAGGTAAACTATAACTATAAAGCTACTAGTAAAATAAGTAACACTACTACTTTCTTTATATCTACTTCTTCTTTTTTTACGTTTAATAGTAGGTTAAGTTTAGTTTATACCTAATATAATTAAAAGGTTAAGTTAGCTATTATTACTAAGGTAGGTTAGTATTAATACTTAAGCTTAATTAGTCTACTACTCTTTTTCTAGACTATATTTATATATATATATATATATATATATATATATATATTCTTTTTTATACTTTTTACTATTTCTTTCTTACTACTTTTATAATTTAAAGTTAGATAGCTTATTATTATTTTTATAGTAATATATTAATATCTTATTCTATAGTATATATAAGCTACTTTTTAGCTAGTTTACCTAAATAATATATTAAGCTTTAGAACCTAGTATTTAGCTTTACTATTATTATTTATTAGGTCTATTCTAATCTCCTAGTTTCTATTCTTATTTAATACTATTATTATTTTACTTAATAATCTAGTAATAACTTAGTAAAATATCTATTTAATTTTAATTAATAATCTATTACTATCTTAGCTAAAACCTATTTTACTATTCTTATTAATAATATATTCTTTATCTTAGCTAATAGTCTAGTGTTATTATCTATTATTATTTTAGTTAATAATCTGTATTTTGTTTACTTAATCTTATATTGGTTAAAGCTCTACTACTATAGTTCTTAGAGTAAGTATCATAGTTCAAGTCCTTATATTAGTTACTATTTAATATAGCTATTTACTTATATTTATATTAAGATAGAAGTATATTACTTTTCTCTATAGGTATCTACTCTTTAGTCTATTCTAGCCCTAATAACGCGTTAGAGTCCCCTATTATATACTATCTTTTGCTAAGCCAAATTTCCTAATACTACTTTTTATATACCTCCAATAACCTATTAAGCTTAACACTATATTATATATTACTCTATTATACTACTTCTATATTATACCTTTCTATAATATTAATAACCTATTTACTTAATAAATCTTATAAGTTTAAAAGTTTTCTAAGTTTATTTATTATATTTGCTAGAGCTACTAGAACCTAAGGTATTATATAGCTATAGATAAGAGTATAACTTTCTACTATAGGTACACTAAAAAAAAGTCTTATATTTAAAAATAAGTTTAATTAAATAATTTATTAAATATAGTACTTTAGAAATTCTAATTATTAACTAAACTAGCTTTTTTAAAGTGAAAGTCTAAATCCTTATAAAAGCTCTTATAGACTTAAGTTATATTATAGAAAACTTAATTTCTATTATACTTTAGCTTTTATACTTTACTTTACTCTTAATAATTTTACTAGTAAAACTAATATATTACTACTTTTGTAAATAAATATATACGTTTTATAAATAACTTACTTATATTAGTACTATTACTAAAACAGTTATAGTATCTTTAATTTACAGCTATTAGTACTAATAGATAAAGAAAACCTTTTATAGAGTTAGGCTAAGTAATATTCTATTTAAAGTATTTTAGGTGTTATATAAGCTCTTTATAAAATATAAAGCTATAACCTTACTAATAAAATTATTATATCTACCTAAGAAGTATTACTAGCTTTTAGAAATCTAACTACTAGTAATAATATTATTACTATTACCTCTACCTACGTAGCCTATATAAAGGATTTAAGGTAGTTAAAGGCTAAAGCCTAAGTTTTTAATTACTTTTAGAAACCTAGCTAAAAGCCTTTAGATAGATTTTGCTAATATAAAGGATTAGTATAATAAACGTATATAAAGTTCTATTTATTATAGAACTTTAGAAAGTAAAAAAGTAAATGTAATAGTTTAGCGTAATAAATATAAAAATTTAATTAAAAATAGTATTCAATAACTTAGTAGCTACTATTACTAAGTTAAAGAAGAGTCTAAGTAAAATATAGTTAAAGGTAGTTAAAATATATATAGCTTTAAAAATTACACTCTATAGAAAGATAAAATTATTAGTTATAATTATTTAACATAATAAGTTCATAAATAACTATAAAATTCGCTAAATTTAGTATTATTTTAGGTTTATAGCGTATTTGTACTTGTAGTACAGATAGATAGACGTAACACAGTAAGAATCTAATATAGTAACTTTATATAGAAGCTAATACCTAGCCCCTTTTTATATAGTAAATATTAGTAGAAGACTATAGTAAAAATTTAGTGTTATAAACTACTCTAGTAGATCTATTTAAAAACTTAGAGAGTTCTATAAACTTTTTTTTTTAAATATTCTTTCTTAAAGCTTATAAAAGTTATTTAAGTATATTATTAGTATATTACTTTCTAGCTTAAATACTAACTAAAGTACTCTTCTTAATTTTATACTTATTCTTAAAGTTATATTAAAGGACTATAAATTAATTTATTAATAACACTAAATTAATACTGTTTTTAACTTTATTAGTTATAAATCTTTTTAGATCTATACCTAATAGTAGTAGTAGTCTTATATAACTTATATAAGAATTAGCTTATAAGTAGCCTAAAAAACTAATTAAGAGTTATTCTAAGCTAAGAAATTAACTTAATTTAAATTAAAGTAACTATAAAAAACTTTTACTAGATCTTTATAGTATAATAACACAATTTGCTTACTATACTAGATATTATAAATAAATTAAAAAACGCTTACAGCTTAGCTTATTAGTAATAATAGTTACTACTGGCCTAGGCTTACGTTATAATTAGGTTGGATATATATTAATTTAACTTTAGATTAATCTTACTACTCTATATTAAAATATCTTTAAGTTTAATTCTATATACGCGTTTTGTAGTAATAATATAATTTTTATTTTCTTAGGATGTAACGCTATAGCCTAATTCTATTAGCTAAGATCTATAGGTTCTATATAGTATACTTTAGAATAGCTTAAGTTTTTATAGCTTATAATATATTATCTATTAATTCTTTTAATCTGCTCTAGTAATAAACTTAGAGCTATAAGTAGGTAAAAAAGGTACTATTTACAATTATAGCCTTAAACCTTAAGTTAAATAGAATAATAATTACTATGTAGCTCTAACTTTATATATTTATTTACAGGTTAAGAAGTTAGGTATTTAGGAGTAGTATACTAACAGGCTCTTTAATACTCTTATTATATACTTTTACACGTATCTATTATATAAAATAGACTAGGTATTAGCTTCTCTACTTATTAAATATATAGAACCTTTCTATAATATGTCTTTTAATTAATAATAGCTATATAACTACACTATAAACTAAAATAATTACTAAAAGTAAAGTGCTATTCTAATCTTTTTCTCCTATATTACTTCTTATTTAGATATCTAATTTTCTCTTTTTTTAAATACTAACCCTTACTAATTAATTTTAACTAAAATATATTAAAAATTATTAGTATAAAGAGAAATAAATAAATACTTATATAGATCTATACTATAAAGGCTAGTTTTAGCTTTTGTAGCTCTGTCTATATTCTGTTATTTTTTGACTTGTATATTTCTACTCCCTACTTTGCTCTGTTTTAAAAGCTACGTACTCTTAAAGCCTTGTACTCTATAGTCTACTTATTTCATTAAAATTTTTACCTAATAATACAACGTTACAGAACCTAATATTTTTCTGCGGATGGATCTATTTGTATCCCGGTCTTCGCTAGCTAGTAGTAACAGTGTACGAGAATCCTTAACATCTGCACAGACCAGAAGAAATCAACGACATCATCGCGCTAACAATAATATTGCCACTTGCACCCCTTCGCGATGGCAATCAAGTGCGGACCCTTTGACTCCGAGCTGGTTCTAATTGCTAAGCACTGCTATATCTACTTAAATTACCCCTTTTACGCCAGCTCTCACAGTCAGGCGCTGTCTATAGTGTTAAAGTCTGTTGTCAATTGTCGCTTTCTCCCCGCGTTTGTGGTCAACAATCAAGTTATACGACTACACAACCCCTGAACAGGAAATCGTCGGTCCACCAGCAACACAAACCTTCCAAAGGAAGTTACTCAGATAATTGAGGCCACGAACTAGACTCTGGCCAAACAAAATTCGACACCGCTTACGAGATCTCACACAGACGTGAGAGAACTACACGCACACGGCAGCCATTCCAAGTGCCTTGATCCCTCAACTTCTGGGCTCCCAATTCACCGTACTTTTTTCAAATATCAACCTGCTTCTATCATTCTTTACCTACAATTGGAAGCAGTCACGTCCCTGATCAAGGCGCGTTGTATGACTCGGACGGCTCCCTGCGACCTTCAGCTTAGTGTCGTGCGACAAAGAACAGCTACGAAACATCTCAAGAGACAACGGAATTCCACATCGATGGCTATGAAGCGTGGTGCTCTCGATACGTTCTTCAAACCTGCAACAGCTAAGAAGCCAAAGTACGAAATTAGTGAGCACAAGACAGGCCACGCGAACTATCCGTTTTCTATCCCGCATCTGCCTAGTGAATTCGCAGAGCAGTTAGGTTTCGCACCTGCCGAGGAGGGAAAACTCCTGAACGATCAGCTAGACTTGGACCTTGTCTATTATGAACCGTACATTCCATCATCTATCGCAGCAGGCTTGTTTGAGTTTCTGCGTCAGGAGCTTCCGTTCTACCGTGTGCAGTACGCGATCAACCGTGGAGGCGTGCAGACGATGATCAACACGCCGCGCTTCACCACAGTCTTTGGTATCGATGCGACGGCACGATTCGGTGATGACGGAGAGCTTTTTGATATTAAGACTGGCAAAAACGTTGGACCAGGACGCTACAAGTGCAAACCACGGCCACTTCCACAATGTCTGGACATGCTACGCAATTTTACGGAAGGCACCACGAATGAAACCTTCAACTTTTGTCTTGTCAATTACTACGCCGATGGTCAAGACAGCATCTCTTATCACTCTGACGATGAGCGATTTCTCGGTATTGATCCTGCCATCGCATCCTTTACACTAGGGGCCCGGCGCGACTTCTTGATGAAGCATAAGCCTATCGTGCCCGGCAAGGGCGAAGTCATAAATGAACCCAAGCAGATCAAGCTACCGCTTGGTCCAGGAGACATGGTTCTGATGCGAGGAAAGACACAAGCCAACTGGCTTCACAGTATTCCGAAGCGGGCGGGTGTTGACGCGAGCAAGGGAAGAATTAACATCACCTTTCGCAAAGCTATGGTGAAAGGCGGCACGGACAACTACTATCAGTATAACGTGGGTACCGGCGGTGTACATAGGTGGAATGCCGGGCAGAAGAAGATGCTGCCTTGGGTTTCAGAAGGAGTAGCAACGGCGGTCACAAAAGACGAGATTCCAGTGGTTGCTGCTGACGTAGCAGCAGCCAGCGGTCAAAATTGACATGTATACTTGGTCAGACGCTTTAAGGCGGGTGATGGTGATGTCCATCAACCTTTTCCCAAGCATACGTTGGTAGAGTATGCACCATAAGCGGGTCTACCGCTTCTTTGGGCTTGATACAGTAGTATTGGTAGTATAATCGCAAATAAACGACAATTGATAACGGACCAATTCCATCTCTGATTGGAGTACGATTGTTGGCAAGCATTGTTTAGGAGCTAATTTCAAGTGAACCAGTTTTTGTATCAAATACAAGCACGTTCTCGCCATGACGTATTCTCGAGATCTCGATGTCGGAAGCGATGCCATTCAGGGATAGAACAGCCGTATTCATACCGTCGCATTTCTCCCATGATGACCTTAGACAAGCGCAGCCTGTAGGAAGCTATGCCCACGATTTGAGTCCACTGCGCAATCACTGTTCCGACTATGTTTGCTGTCAGAAGCCCTGGCGCTGCCGATGTCTCCAACGGCACCAATGGTATGAAGCGTGCGTGCTCAATCCACTCCACATGCTACGCAGATCCACACTCTGCATACTGACCAGTTTTGTTAGGCCGGCGAAACTCTACAATCTTCAATCCCAGATCGCATGTCACAGATGAGCTTTGGAGGCAGGCACCTGTACTTTGTGGCAGTACGCGATTTGAACCGCTGCACGACACAAGAAACATACTTGTCACTGGAGGAGCTGGATTCATGTATGTCAACTACGCGGCACTCTTGCACAAACTTGCAGGTGATTCGTAACGTCACATCTTTGGGTGATTTTGCGTACTGACATGCGACAGAGCATGTTGGTTTGTTCGCCATCTTGTTCTCACGTATCCTGATCATTATAACATCGTGTCCTTTGACAAACTCGACTATTGTGCGACCCTCAACAACACAAGGATACTTGACGAGCTACCGAACTTTACATTTGAACAAGGAGACATCACCTCGCCAGCCGACGTGAAGAGCGTCCTTCGCAAACACCGCATTGACACCATTTTCCATTTTGCGGCGCAATCGCATGTCGACCTCAGCTTTGGCAATTCGTATCAATTTACAAACACCAACGTCTACGGAACCCACGTGCTCTTGGAGAGGGCACGAGAGCACGGGGTAAACAGGTTTGTACATATCTCAACAGACGAAGTTTATGGCGATGTGCCCACGGGCGCGGCAGATCTTAGTGAGACGAGTCTGCTTGCACCTACGAATCCGTATTCGGCGAGCAAGGCCGCGGCAGAGATGATGGTCAGCGCATACCGAAGTAGTTTCAAGCTTCCGCTCATCACAGTGAGAGCAAATAACGTCTACGGGCCTCATCAATTTCCTGAAAGTACGTACTTCCGTTCACAGTGGTAGACGGGGCTCATGTTGCACAGAGATCATTCCCAAATTCATCATGCTGCTACGACGACACAGGAAGCTTCTTGTTCACGGCGACGGATCTCCTACGCGACGCTATCTATATGCAGGGGATATTGTAGACGCATTAGACACCATCTTGCATAAAGGAGTCATCGGCCAAATCTACAATATTGCTTCCCACGATGAAGTATCTAACATCGACATCTGCCATCGGTTGCTGGGTCTTTTCGCGATACCACACCAAACAGGCGCCGAGCTGAAGAGATGGGTACACCATACGGAAGATCGGCCATTCAATGATCAGCGATACGCGACAGACGGGTCAAAACTCGCGGCTCTTGGTTGGCAACCCAGAATGAGCTTCGACGAGGGGCTCAAGATTACCGTGGACTGGTATCGCAGGTTTGGCGAGGTATGGTGGGGTGATATTGGCCGGGTGCTCACCTCGTTTCCTGTTGTCGATGGGAATGAGATTTGGACAAAGGAAGAACACGACGACTTGCCGTCGTCGGATGGAGAGTACGGCGCATCAATGGAGACAGAGGAGCTGTGTTAGGGGACTTGCATTGGTCAGAGCAATAATCGAAGCATGCCGCGTGAAGTGTTGTCGGGCTGGTCAAAATGATAGTGATTGTTGCGTAGACGTTCAATCAGCTTGCCGTAGGCTCATGCAGGGTCCAAGCAGCTGAGGGAGAGCACAGCCCTCGACCTGACGAGGATGAGACGCCAGCAATTGGGCTCAGCTTTAGGCATCCTGAAACACAACACCTTTGCCCCTCGACGCTCAAATCAATCTCGCGCTGCCTTGCGACACTCCAATTCACTCTGACTCTGGCCCCGAAATACCCAAAGACTCGCATCTCGCATCTCGCTCACAGCTTCACAAGCGTGCACTGCTCAGCTGCCAAGCATACACTTCCCCACACGCAGCCGCACCCGCGACTTGTACACACCACCCCCAACCACCGGTACACGACGTAACCATGGGTTTTCTGAGCAAGAAGAAGGACGACGGCGACGACAGCAGCCGCTCCAAGCTGTTCGGAGGCCGGACTAAGGAAAAGGCCGGCCAGGCGGCCCAGAACCCATACGCCGCGCCTCCCGCGAACGATCCCTACGCCGCACCTCCGGCCTACTCGGGTGGCCAAGCCTCGATCCGACCAGAGAAAACACCTGCCGTGACAGGCGCTGGACAGCCGTTCGGACAGCGGGGCGGCTATGGCGCTCAGGGCGGGAGCTATGGTGCTCCATCAGGCTATGGGAACGACCGCTACGGAGGCGATGCACCCACCGGGCCCCCTTCTCGCGGCCCTGGAGGTTATGGCGGGCTTGGAAGGACCTCATCCAACGACACCATGAGCACCGACGTGGGTCGCAACGAGCTCTTTGGCAATGCGCCTCAGCGCGTCCAGCAACAATCGCAGCAACAACTTCCCCAAGCCGGGGGCTACGGCCAGAGTGGGGCCAGCGGTGGATATGGCGCCACCTCTGGGGGATATGGTGCTGCTCCTGGCGGGTATGGAGCCTACGGCGACCGTGAACTGACCGCCGAAGAGCAGGAGGAAGAGGACATCAGCGCCACCAAGACGGAGATCAAGTTCATGAAGCAGCAGGATGTTTCTTCCACGAGGAACGCGCTGCGCCTTGCCCAGCAAGCTGAGGAGACAGGCCGTGATACGCTGGCGCGATTGGGGGCTCAGGGAGAACGCATCCACAAGTACGATCAACCTCGCAGTGGCCGTCGTGTGTCGGTGATGCTAATGCCTGAGTAGTACTGAACGCAACTTGGACCTTGCCTCTACGCAGAACAGAATAGCAGAGGACAAGGCGCGCGAGCTGAAGAGTGAGTGATGTATCTGTCAATTGCCCGAGGATAGGGTCGCTGACTGTGCGACAGCTCTGAACAAGTCCATGTTCGCCATGCATGTGTCCAATCCCTTCACAGCATCATCGCGTCGTGAGGCACGCGACCAGAAGATGTAAGTCTATTTCAACTGCATATCAAAAGCCATATAGGAGCTGACACTCGATAGTATGGAAACCCACCGCACTGAGCGCGAGCAACGAGACGCTACGCGCAAAGCAGCATGGGAATCGTCTGCGCGCAACGACGGCGTGAACCGCAACATGCAGGGCGCGGGCAGAGGAGCCACCAAGGGAAGCCTTGCTGAGCGAGCCAAGTATCAATTTGAAGCTGATTCGGAAGACGATGAGATGGAGAATGAGATTGACGGCAACTTGGGTACGTGGAATGCATGTTTACGCTTTGATGGTGGGATACTAACGCCATGGTAGACGCTCTGCACGGCGCCGCTAAGCGGCTCAATCAACTGGGACGGGCGATGGGCGAGGAAGTCGACACGCAGAACACGCACATTGATCGGATCATTGGCAAGACGGACAAGGTGGATGACCAGATTGCCATGAACCGCGCAAGGCTCGATCGTATCAAGTGAGTGGGTGTAGGAAGGGATGTAGTGTTGGACTGTGTGGGGTATGTAGTGTTTTGGCGTATGGGTATTGTGCAAGAATGGAACGTATTTGGCCGTGTCATGCATGTTGAAGTGTATTCATATGCGCTCACACAGTGCAGATGTTGACAAGTCGATGAGTCATTTTGGCACGTTGAATAAAGCACATGCACAGTTTGTTGTTGTTGTTGTTGGTGGTCATGTCGACCCAGATGCGGGGAAAGCTCCCGACGGTTCATGCAAGGTACTCGAAGCTATCCACGACAGCTCCAGCTCAGCTACCGCCTAGCGACAGCTTCGACACGCACCACACCACGCACATCCACAGCAAGCAGCCAACATGGGCGGCGAGACCAACCGCATCGTGCCCGTGTCTGCGGCGTACCCGCAGCTGGCGACGGGGCCTGTCGGCAAGCAGATCCACGACATCTACCAGAGCCGGCTGAGGCAGTTCCTCGACGGCGGCCAGTACAAGGAGCAGGGCCTGCTGGGGTAACTACCACCGCCGCGCATTCCATGGCCGAGGCCGCCCTGCTCACCCCTCTCGCAGCAAACTCGACGAGGCCCGCGCATCGGGCGCCGACCACGTCCAGCTCGCCGTCTACTCGCCGCCCGGCCTCGAGCGCCCGCTGTTCAAGGACGCGACCTCGCACGGCTTCCTGCCCGTCCTCGTCGGCGCGTCGTTCGGCCCGAGCTGGTCGACGCACTGGTTCCGCGTCCGGCTCACCGTGCCCAAGCACCTGCGCGACAAGGAGCACCTCGAGTTCGTGTGGGACGCCGACAACGAGGGCGCCATCTACACCGAGGACGGAGACACGGTCCACGGCCTGACGGGCGGCGGCGAGCGCACCCAGTGGATCCTGCCCGCTGCCTTCCGCGATGGCAAGCAGCACACCTTCTACATCGAGATGGCCTGCAACGGCATGTTCGGCAACGCGCCCGGCGACGACTCGATTCAGCCGCCCAACCCGGACCGCTACTTCCGCCTGCACACGGCCGACATCGTCGCCGTCAACCTGCCCGCGCGCGCCCTGTACTTTGACTTTCTCGAGCTGGGCGACGCCGCCCGCGAGTTCCCCCAGGAGTCGTGGGAGGCCCACCAGGCCCAGCAGCTCGCCAACCGCATCATCGACGTCTTCGTGGCCGGCGGCGGCAGCAACGAGAGCATCGCCCAAGGCCGCGCCATTGCCCGCGAGTTCGTCGGCGACGTCGACTCCCACAAGGTGTACGCGGGCGACCAAGACGCCCTTGTGACGGGCATCGGCTACTGCCACATCGACACGTGCTGGCTGTGGCCCTTTGCAGAGACCAAGCGCAAGGTCAACCGCTCCTGGTCGAGCCAGTGCGACCTCATCGACCGCTACCCCGAGCTGCGCTTCTGCTGCTCCCAGGCCCAGCAGTACAAGTGGCTGGAGCAGGACTACCCCTCCACCTTTGACCGCGTCAAGAAGAAGGTCAAGGAGGGCTCCTTCCAGCCCATTGGCGGCAGCTGGGTCGAGCACGACACCAACCTCCCCGGCGGCGAGTCTCTCATCAGGCAGTTCCTGTACGGCCAGCGCTACTTCGAGAGCAAGTTTGGCCAGCGATGCCGCACCTTCTGGCTGCCAGACACCTTCGGGTACTCGACCCAGCTGCCACAGATCTGCCGCCTGGCGGGCATGACGAGGTTCCTAACCCAGAAGCTGAGCTGGAACAACATCAACAACTTCCCTCACACTACCTTCAACTGGGTCGCCCTCGACAACAGCCAGGTCATCTGCCACATGCCACCTTCAGAGACGTACACTGCCGAAGCAAACTTTGGAGACGTGAAGAGGAGTATCTCTCAGCACAAGTCGCTTGATCAGGATCGAACGTCGCTGTTAGTCTTTGGCAAAGGCGACGGTGGAGGTGGTCCCACCTGGCAGCATCTGGAGAAACTTAGACGCTGCCGCGGTATCAGCGACAAGACCGGACTGCTGCCCCGTATCAAGCTCGGTGACTCGGCCGATGACTTCTTCGACAAACTGGAAAAGAGGGTGGAGAATGGCACGGAGCTTGTCACCTGGTACGGCGAGCTCTACTTTGAGCTTCATCGCGGAACATACACCACGCAGGCAAACAACAAGCGCAACAACAGAAAGTCGGAGATTATGCTCAGAGACATTGAATACCTGGCAACCTTGGCCACAATCAAAAACGGTTTTGGTAAAAGCACCTCGTACAAGTACCCCAAGAAGGACATTGACAATATGTGGGAAAACGTCCTGTTGTGTCAGTTCCATGATTGCTTGCCGGGAAGCTCTATCGAGATGTGCTATGACGATTCTGACAAGGTACCAGATTTTCCACGCTTTCTGACTCCCGTATACTAAACGTCTTAGATATATACCGACGTCTTCGTTACTGGCGAGAGGCTGCTTGCAGATGCCTTGTCCGAGCTTGGATTCGACGACGAATCAGTCCTGGGACCAGATAGCAAGCTCGTTGCATTGAACACGTTGCCTTGGACACGCACTGAAATTGTCAAGCTTCCTGGGACTGCCAGCTCGTCTCCCTATGGACTGGCTCATGGAAATGGACTTAGTCCAATGTCAATACGCGCTTTATCCTCGCCACATTCCGCAAGCGTCGCTTCGATCAAGGAAACAGGTGATAATATCTTCGAACTCCGCAACTCGCAATTTATTGTACAGATCTCCAACGGTGCCATCACCTCGCTACACGACATCTCCGCTGATCGCGAACTAATCCCCAAAGACCAAAAAGCTGCCCAACTCGTCATCTTCGACGACAAGCCGCTCTACTGGCAGGCTTGGGATGTCGAGGTGTATCATCTCAATTCTCGAAAGGAGCTCACCCCTGCGAAGGTCTACATCTCTTCCGACAGTATACACCGTGTATCACTTTCGATTGAGACGAAAATCTCTGACAAGTCTTGGATCAAGACCACCATCTCTCTCCCCGCCGCCGTAGGCAACGTCCCCACAGCAATTGAGATTGACGCTGAGATAGAGTGGCACGAAACAATGAAATTCCTCAAGGTCGAATTTCCAGTCGACATTGTCAACACCGAAGCGAGCTACGAAACGCAATTTGGCATTGTCCGTCGTCCGACGCACTACAACACCAACTGGGACATGGCAAAATTTGAAGTGTGTTGTCACAAGTGGGCCGATCTCTCGGAGGCTACGTACGGCGTGTCTATTTTGAATGACAGCAAGTACGGCTTTGCGGTGGCAGGAAACGTGATGCGACTCTCACTTCTCCGTGCACCCAAGGCACCTGATGGACACGCCGACATGGGTAACCACAAGACGCGATATGCCATGTTCCCGCACGCTGGGCCTCTGAACGAGGCTACTGTCCGCAAGGCTTTTGAGTTCAACAATCCGCTGAAGATTGTCGGCCACAGAGCCGAGACTACGCCTTCACTTCTGGAGACGTTTCACATTCACGGCGCACCTAATCTCATCATTGATACGATCAAACGAGGCGAAGACGACGAAGACGTGTCACGTGGTGAGCTTCCTGTTAAGGATGGTCATAGTGTCATTTTGAGGGTGTATGATGCCCTCGGTGGTAAGAGCAAGGGAGTGCTGACATGGGGCGGTGTACGAGTCAAGAAGGTGGCCAAGGTCAATGCGTTGGAGGACGAGCTTGAGGATCTCAGTGGGAAAATGTTACAGATGGAGAGTGGACAGGAGGGGGTTGGAATTGAGGTCAGGGCTTTCGAGGTGGCGACGTATAAGCTTGTACTTTGAGGATGAGAAGGGTCGTTTCGTTGTGGATCATACGACAGATAGCATTATTATAACGGATCTCCCATGGTGCTCCTGTCACTCCAGCAACTGAATCGCCGTATTACTGTACAGGATGGGCAGTGGAGGAGTCGAGGCATGATGCGATCTGGGGGTGGGTATGACTGGGGCCACGGCAGCTCCTCGGTGTCTGATTGGGCGGGGATGCCGTTTAGCGTGGCCAGTAGCTCCGATGCTAGCTCTGATGGAGATCTGCGCTCTACGGCGATGGTCGAGCAGGTCATTGATGTCACTTGGACGTGCGTCCGCGCAATGGTACCATTTCAACAAAAGAAGTCGCGATTTCGTCATGACTTTGGGGGCTGGGAGACGGTACGATGTGAATCGGAGCTTGCGCAGGTACGTCAGTGGAAAGGAAACCCGGGGTACATAGGACGTTATCGACCTCGTGAAGTGTAGGGCCGTAAATGCTACTTTGCACTGTTCGATTTCGTTTGCTACAAAACCACTTAGTCAAACCAGTCTCACAATATCTTGTCCGCTCACCTTTCACATCGCCCCTGTCCAGACGTTGCTTCTCCAAACACACAGCTCTCAGCATGCCCTCCCAGAAAACTCTCCCCCAGAGGAACGCGAACCCGCACGGCGATGTCAACAGCACCACAGAGAAGAACGGGAAAGCAGATGCACCCTCCAGCAAAAGCGACAGGAAGACGGCGATGAGCTGTACAGAATATTGGGAGGATGCGGAACACCTTGCACACAACCAAGCCGAGTACAAAAAGTTCAAGACACAAGAACAGAAAATCATCGACGCGTCAGATAATGAGCAACACTCGGATAGCGCGACGTCTACCACTGGCAAGAAACGAGGGCGCGGCGCCAATGCACCCGCAACCAACAAAAAGCACAAGATTGCCGGGAGACACGACTCACCAACTGGGGCAGCTGGAGACAAGACGCGGGTTCCCTCACAAGGCCAGAAGGTTCAGTGGCAGTCGGTGGCAGGATACATAACCGGCGAAGTGGTGGAGGTGCTGTACGAGGACAAGAAGGTGGATGGCAAGTCTGTGAAAGCTACCAAGGAGGATCCTCGCGTGGTGCTGAAAAGCGATGCGTCGGGTAAAACCATCGTTCACAAACCAGAGGTTGTGTATTGGGGCTAGTGTGTCAAGGGCCGATGAGGTTGTTTCCTGTTGTTCAGCCGAGAGGTTTCTGAGCCATGTTGGGACTTGGTGTGTGTCTAGGCTAGGGTTCGTGGTTGGCATGCTCACACGGCGTGTGCCATTGCGTTACGAAGTACGCAGGTCAAAACAACACATAGTGCTCAGATCAATTAATTCAACGCAACTCAGTACGAGTTGCCAGATTGTGACTATTCAACAACTTGCTCTCTGCTTCTCAACAAGGCCAGTGTGATGAAGGGGATGAATGTGAAGGGAGCGGGGTCTGCTCAATGACGATGCTTGAGGGAAGCGTCTCCGCCGGCAACGACTGGATCTGACGGTGGTTGCGTAAGCCATTACCCCAGATTATTGCTGCAACGGGGAATGGCTCGGTGCGGGAATAGGAGCATTTGGTACTGCCCCACACGGTGAAGTTGGGTGGGTGGATGCGGACAAAAGCATCTTGCATGCAGCCTTGGCGAGCCTAGGCTTGGACGAGGGTCAGCAGGTGCAGCCAGGTTTGGGGGGTTGTTGATTCAACGTGGTGAGGCGGGCAATATGGATAACCATTGTGGAGTGCTGGGAGGATGGCAATGTAGCAGTTCATTCAGGCTGAATTGGTCACGGTATAGCTTCTGCAAGAATGCTCACGCTGTTCACGGATCATTGCCTCGGGTGAGCGAGTACGACGCAGTGTCAGGATGCAGTTTGAGGTTGATTTGCAAGGCAAAGTTAGTTTGTGACGGTCAGAAAGAAGCAGACAGGGAGGTGGTGCATGGATCGGCAGTTGCGGCGTGCAGTGGGACGAGAGGGGTGGTTGCTGTTGTGGCTAGGTAATCCAGCTCGCCGGGCAAAAGCATCGTCCGTGGAGTGTGCATCAGGCCGTGTTTAGCAGGCAGCGAGGTGTGGGCTAAACAAAGAACAGGCGCAGAGGTGCAGCGGTGCAGCAGTGCAGAGCAGCAGCGGGCACGGGCCAGGAGCAGGGCAGACGGAAGCAGCAAGAGCCATGCATGCTGCAAGTCGGCTGCAGTGGGCAGTTTGCAGTTTACGCTGGTCACGCTGGTCACGTTGGCGCCGTTTCTGCTCGCGTCGCCGACTGGCCGTGCCCCTCTTGCTGCTCGTCCTCGCTCTCTGCCCAAAAGTTGCAGAGCCACACCACCACCACCAAGCAGCGCCTCGCCCCGGCGTTCGACACTCGCTGCGTCCTCAATCGCTTTTGCCCGCCCGGCAATGCCGTGTTAGCACTGCTCTGCCGTGCTCTGCTCGCGTCTCGCCGTCAGCACACCCAGCAGCTCGACGTCTCCCAGCACCCTCGCCCGCGCCCGCACCCGCACCTGCTCCTGCACCCGCACCTGCTCCTGCACCCGCTCCCCATCACCATGATCTTGGGACCCGTCAGCCCATAGCCCCATCCTCTGCCGGCCTTTGGGACGGCCTCGCCCGCCGACCCGACCCCATCCCATATCGATACCGCCATGAACGAGATACGGCCCTTGACGCTGGCCCCGCCGGCAGTGCGCGCGCTGAGGGAGCAGGCTGCAGACGCGGCGCCCAACCGCGGGGGCATGGAGCGCACCATCAGCCAGGACATGCGAGAAGAGCAGCAGGACCTCAAGCAGGCCGCCGAGCACAGCCTCAACATCATCCTCGACCTCGACCTGCACGGCAAGATCCGCTACGTCAGCCCCTCGTGGAAGGACGTCGTCGGCTCGCTGCCCAGCCACGTCGTGGGCAAGCCCGTCGTGGACATCCTCTACGCGGGCGCCGACGGGCTCGCCGAGACGATCGAGTCGGTGCGCAAGTACGACTCGCGCAGCCACATTGCCCGCTTCTCGGTGCGTCTGGGCCCGCACTCGCTGCTGCGCAAGAAGCGCTCCCGGGCCGCCGCCGACTACGGCCAGGACATGCCCCTCTCGCCGACGGAGCCGGGGGACGACGACGAGCAGGTGCTCAGCCTGGAGGCCCAGGGCATCATGGTCTACGACCGCGCCACGGGCGCCGAGAGCCACGTACACACTCCCCCACCCTGGCCCCACGTGAATCATGCTAACGACGCCAGACTATGTGGATGGTGCGGCCGTCGGTCCTCCGCGAAGTCACCATCGACCTGCCCGAGGTGCTCGTCGAGTCGCTGGGCGTGGGCGCAGAAGTGCTGGCTCACTATCTCACCGGCCTGGCCGAGCAGGGCGCCAACGACCCGGGCATGCACCCGCCCCCGCTGCCCGTCCTCTGCCGCATCTGCGAGCGGCAGATCACCCCTTGGTGGTTCGAGAAGCACTCGGAGCTCTGTCTGCAGGAACACCGCGCCGAGATGGACGTGCAGATGGCCCAGGAGACGCTTGCCGAGCACCGCAACGCCATCGTCAAGGTGCTCGATACCCTCGAAGCGCAGAGCCAACGCTCGAGGGCCGTCTCGACGGACCTCGCCCAGTCTCTCCCCATGATTGAGTACAAAGGCATGATCATCCACCCGTCATCGACACCGTCGTCGGGAACCCCCTCCGGACGCAACTCGCCCGCTTCTCCGCCGGCGAGGTCCCGAGAACGCCCTGCCGGCTTTGGCCATCACCGTGCGCGGTCCTTTGCCGTCCGTCGACCACTGGCTCGCATCGTTGAGCTGGTCCTTGATCTGTGCGACACGGCGCTCGAGGTCAACACGCCTGCCATCAAGGAAAATGCTCGCGCCCAGTCGGCTTCTGAAATCCGCACGCAGTCTCCCCAGTCTGAGAACCGCATCTCGCAGGTCTTGCAATGGCAGTCTCCGACATCGGGCTCGCAGGACCATGGTGAGGGGCTGAGGGTGCTCTGCGAGGACACAAATGCACTAGCCAAGGCCAAGATAGATGCTGTCTTCCGACACCGACAAATTCTCGAGTACTCGGAACGTATTCGCGTTGAGTTCGATATTCTTGTGCAAGAGTGTATAGAAGCCGCTATCGTCAAGGCGGCTCGGATCGCTGCGGGCGAGGACAGCTCATCTGAAGACGAACAGCACGATGTGGAAACACCGTCAGACGTGAACAGTATACCCACGGGCGAGGAAGGCATCTTTCCGGGCTCTTTCGATGCTCCATCAGCCATAGCCCATGCCCTTCGTAATGCGCCAGACGTGCCCTTGCCCCCTCGACTTGCTCGCAGAGGATCATCCGTCGCTACTTCGAATCGGTCGAACAGCCCACAAGGAGGGTCTCAGACACCACGCTCATATGCAGGCGCCATTAGCATAGTCCATCAAAACAAGCGACATTCGATGCATTTCGAAAGCGATGCTGGTGCAGATAGCGATACCAGTCTACGTTCTTCTGTGCTGTCTGGACCTAGGCGTGCCGACTCGCCAGCGTCTGAGATGAGTCTGAGCAGGGTGGCGAGCTCACGAGAACGAAAGCGCAAGAGTCTTGTCCTACCAAGCGTCATGTCCAGCCGACAACAGTCTCCCGCTCGTTCCATGGTACCACCATCTTCGCCCTTGAGGACGACTAAACCACGTCTTCCCAGTGGCATAGAGGGTCTGCAATCCCCCATCACATCACCCATTCATGCGGCGAGCGAATTCTCCTCTCCCGCAATGACACACAGCCTCATCAATCACCATAGAAGGCAGTCATCTGCCGCAGGTTCCGACGGTCCAAGACCCGTTTCACCTCGACTTATGCCTACTACGCAGCCGCAACCGCGCGCAGTGCCACCATCAATCAAAGACTTCGAAATCATCAAGCCCATTAGTAAAGGCGCCTTCGGTAGCGTTTATCTCGTCAAAAAGAAATCGACCGGCGAGTACTATGCCATCAAAGTCTTGAAGAAGGCGGACATGGTAGCAAAGAATCAGGTCACCAACGTCAAAGCCGAACGGGCTATCATGATGTGGCAAGGTGAGAGTGACTTTGTGGCCAAGCTGTACTGGACTTTCTCGAGCAAGGATTATCTCTACTTGGTCATGGAGTATCTGAATGGTGGCGATTGTGCTTCTCTGATCAAAGTGCTTGGTGCCCTCCCTGAGGATTGGGCTATGAAGTACTTGGCTGAAGTTGTTCTCGGTGTCGAGCATTTGCACAGTCGTAGTATCGTTCATCGCGATCTAAAACCGGACAACTTACTCATCGATCCTAAGGGTCACTTGAAACTCACCGATTTTGGTCTTTCTCGAATGGGTATGATCGGTCGTCAGAAGAATGCTCTCAAGTCCGACGAACCCGCTCCAGATCTGCTCAAGTCTGGTCCTTTCCATCGCGCTACTTCAGTTGGCTCTTCTCGATCTGCATCGTTCGATTTGAACCCGTCCCCTTCCAATACACCTTCCATGACCCCTGCCCTTGCCGGAGACCTTGGTCAACCGTCATACTTCAGTCTGAACAAAGAGTCCTCTCAGGGTCGCGATCCCTCTCGAAGAACGTCTGGCAATCGCAGCGATAGCACAGATAGCGAAGCACTACAGGCCATGTTCCGCCGTTTTTCCATCGTGGACGATCAGTTTGGTCAACCTCCTCGAACTCGCTCGCCCATAGAAGAGGAGACGTACAGCGAGGATGGCTCGCCATATCTCTTTCCTATTGCGCCTTCAATGAGCCAGTCCAGCCTGGCACAAAACATGTCCTTGCCATTCTCTTCCGCGATGCCCCCACCGCCCATGGCTCTGTTTGACCCAGAAGACAGCAACCGAAGATTTGTGGGCACCCCTGACTATCTAGCCCCAGAGACCATTGCTGGCAGTGGTCAGGATGAAGTGAGCGACTGGTGGTCACTTGGATGCATATTGTTCGAATGTTTGTACGGCTATCCACCTTTCCATGCCGACACACCAGACGAAGTGTTTGAAAACATTCTCTCGCGAACGATTGACTGGCCCGAAGAAGACGAAGAAACCTGTCAGATCTCCGATGAGGCCAAAGACCTCATAAACCGGCTGTTGTGTTCGGATCCCACCAAACGACTTGGGGCGAACGCCGGGCATAAATTTGCTAGTGGCGGCGAGGAGATCAGGAATCACCCATGGTTTGAGGATATCAATTGGGATACCTTGCGCGACGACGAGGCCTCATTCATCCCCGCTCCCGAAAATCCAGAGGACACGGAGTACTTCGATACTAGAGGGGCGGCCATGGCCAATTTCACTCCCGAGTTTGAGGACCAGGGCACTTCATCTGCAGGCACGCCTAGTGCTGACTATCCTGATCGACCACATGATGCTCTATCTAGGGTACGCTCTCAGATCAGCGTGACGACAATGAAACGAGGCCTCATCCCACTACACATTCCCGCTCATGTTCGTGAAGGAAGGACGCGAAGGCTCAGCGAGCCTGTAGCTGCAGACGATTTTGGCAGCTTTAGCTACAAGAACCTACCAGTTCTCGAAAAAGCCAACAAAGACGTCATCCAAAAGCTTCGCGCCGAAGCAATGCTGCCACAGAATAAGCCTGGATCCGTGCTTCATTCTCCCAGTATCGCATCATCTTCGCCATCCCTGGAGACAAGTCCATTGATTCACGGTCCACTGAAGCGCACGCTTTCGACGAACAAGGCTACTGGCAGACCGTCGTCTCCGTCGATAAGTGGCAACAATTCTTCGCCCAGTCGTGGATCGCAGCCATCATCGCCTCTGCTTGTGCAGTTCAGCACAGGACAAAATCACGAACGAAGGAAGACCTCAAGCACCTCGTCTTCTTTGTCCCATTCGACAAGCAACCCGTCTTCTCTACAGCCAGGTAGCTTTTTCGATGCTACACGCCTCTCAGGTCTGCGACCTTCGTCAGAGGCTATATCGCCGAGTAGACTGGGCATCTCACCATCTACAGTACCTACCCATCCTGCCGAAAAGCTTGCCCCTCGTCAACGTCAAGCGTCCATTTCGCAGAGTGGTGTTGGTTCGCCACGTGCTAGGTCTCAAACAGTAGGCTCCCAAGACGGCGAGGTAGTACGCGATCTGTTACCCGGCCATCATAAACGACGGAGTCAAGTCCTCGATATCTCGCCGTCTTCATCAGACACAGAAGACTCCAGGGCTAAAGCTTTACTACGTGTCCAACGTCGCAGGCAAAGCTCCCGTAGACTTTCGCAGATAACTTTCGGCGAAGGGCCCTTCTTCCGCCCTCTTGACGTCCTGATTTGTGAGGACCATCCGGTATCCCGGCTCGTGATGGAAAAGTTGCTCGAAAAGCTACGATGTCGTACCCTGTCAGTCACCAATGGATCTGAAGCAATCCGTTATGCTATGGGTGAGGTCAAATTCGATGTCATTATGATGGAGTTTAGGCTGCCTCAAGTCAACGGCGCAGATGTCGCTCGTATGATTCGAGACACTAAAAATGCCAACACAAACACCCCAATCGTTGCTGTGACAGGGTATCTCAAGGAACTCCAAGCACCACACTATTTCGATGCACTCATCGAAAAACCTCCCACTGTTGCCAAGCTTTCAGAGACGCTGGGAAGATTATGTCAGTGGAAAGCGCCACCACCCAACTGGGTACCTAGTCAGATACATCCATCAATTCTACCGTCAGGGCTTCGTAAAGAATCAACGCGCCAGGAAGACAGTCCAACTTCGAATGCTTCCACGTTTCCTCTAGCTCCTTCTGGAAGTTACCGAGGATCAAGTCGACAGGATTCAATCAGCTCAAGCTTCTTTGGTGACAGCGAAAGTCGGGCAGGTGAGGACGCCCATGTTGCTCGTCACAGTACGGAGGAGTGGCGCGAGCGGGATATATCTCGTGCCATGGGCGGCCTGGGAATATCGGATGAAGCAGATGGTTTGGATCTCAAAGACGATGCGCACAAGCATGTTAGTCCCCCGCCCCTTCAACACACGGACTCTGCGCCGGCCGCTCTGGAGTTTGCAACGATTCGACGCCAGCGATCGGCAGAACAAGTGGGTGCCAAACGACGTCTTTTGGAGACCCGCAAGCACGAATCCGCTGAGTCTGGCGACGATGAGGATGACGAGCTGGGCCATTTCAGTGTCCGTACCAACAAAAGCCCCAAATCTCGGCCAAAGTCTTCTTCCAAACTTGGGATCGAAATGATGCGCACCAATAGCAGGGGTAGCGTCATTTCAATAGAGGATATTTGCGCCCAGGATTCAAGCCTTGTATCGTCCCCACCTCCAGCCATCACCGAGGATCGCATGGCCGAAGAACGCGAAGGCGATCTCTCAACCCACGACGTTCCACATATGTCTCTTATTCCGCCGGAAATTTTCCCTGCCATTCCTGGAGACCAAGTCGCAGAGATTGAAATGGACACGCCGAAAGCATCCCATCAGAAGCAGGCCACAACGCCAGATCCTGATCCTACGCCGAGGGCCAATAGCGTAAGGGACGCATAACGACAGGTCCGCTCGCTTCCCCTACACTCGATCATCTGTGGGTCCGACTTTGTCTTGAAATTTTGTTTGTCTTCGAGCATGGTGTTCGCTGGCGTTTTCGATGGTAGTGCACCGGGAAACAAGCCTTCGTTCTGAAACTGTACAGCGTTTTCTTTTTATGTTTGACCAAGGCGCTCTATCTTTCAGCAGGCTACGATAGCTTTTGTCCGGTGCTAAGACTGCATGTAGTAATGATCCATTTACCCTTTCTATATGATGATATAAATATACTTACAATTTGTGTTTTCATTCTCTTGCTTTGGCTTGATATCTTGTCGTATCCTCATCACCACGATGATACGTGCCATTCGGTTTATACATTTTTTTTAGGTCAGAGAGCCAGGTGACTGTTCGTTATGTTCGTACCTTGTGGCAGTGGACTGTTAATCTTAAACCAATGATTGGGCTAGACTTTCGAATTTCGAATTATATTTCATTGAAAAGTTTATATCGGACGTAACCTCTTCGACGCCCCATACTCTTGCAAAAGCTTACACACATGTCGTTGGATCCCTGGCGATTAAGTTCTCATCTCGTGGTACCTAAGCCAAAGACGATCTCCTAACCATCTCTTCAAAGTGTATTGTGAAATTAGCCCGTATTTCCTTACCATTACATGGATCTCTCACTCACGATCTCAGTCGGATCACCAAAATAATAATGTAATGTAGTTGATAAGATCAGTGCTTGATGAAAAATCAAATTCCGACCCTCATACACAAGTCTAGTATTGGTCAGATTGCCGAGGACTAGTGAGCATGTGCTGCCTGATAGGGAGGTGGGACACGACGACACTTGCGTATAAACACAAGGACAGATTGGTGGACGCATGTTAGTTTGATAATGTAAAAGTTGGGAGGCGTGATTGATGATCACTAGATCGCAAATACAACGTTTCTTTCAAGGACGACTCAATTCATAGTGGTAACAACATAAATGCATGTTGAGTTGATCTGTAGATCAAAGAGACGAGATACGTTCAAGCGTAGAGCAATGGTTTGATTATGTTTCATTATTATGAGAATATCGTAAGCTGGTCATGGACCAGTTCATTAACTCGTAGATCCTCCATATTCGATGATTTACTGCTTCCTGTGCATGCCGCCAGTGTCGCCAGTGTCATGGATCGCGTTGGGCACAGCACGCTCAATGCTCTCGGGGAGCTTCTCTTGGATCTTCTGAGGGACAATGGAAGCGGCACCTCCACCCTTGGCGTGGCTGACGTTGGTCTGGGGGCCGTGCTTGGAGCTGCCAGTGTCATGAATCTTTGTAGATGTTAGCATTGTGTTTTGACATGTGCCGAATATGGTGTCGTACCGAGTTTGGCAGGTTCTCCTCGAGGCCTTGAGGGGCCTTCTGTTGAATGGAGTGAGGGACCTTTGAGTCGCCCGCAGCGTGGGAAACGCCTTGTCCGTGCTCGTTCTGCATGTTGATGGTTGTGGTGGGTGAGGTTTGTTGGGAGTTGTTGAGGGATGAGATGGGATGAGGTGTGATTGTGTTGATGATATGATTCTAGTTCACGAGTCCTTGGGAGGTTTATATGCATCTTGAAGACACCAAATTGTCCTTTAGATCAACCGTCATCGATATGTTGCTTATGGCTACTCCCAAGCACAGCCCCCTACGACATATACTGACGTTGGTATCTCAACGTCATCTCTATCCATAGACGAGTCTAACAGACGGACGATATGTCTATCGGGGTCCGATTGAGCCGGGGCCCGAATCTCATGTACCTATCAAGCTGATCATCATGTGGTGAGCATTGGACCACGCCTGCAATTGTATTGCATCATGACTTTGCCGTTGCATATCATTGTCAGACTTGGCTCTTCTTGACGCCTACATGAAATCAGGGTCCATCAAATGTGAACCGCGTAGAAGCTAATTGGTGTTCGGGGTAACCAGCTTCTGGCTCAGCAATCGTTACATGGGCTTGCGACCTCATGTCGTTTGGAGTTGTGGATGACAGGATGACGTATCACGCTAGACTGTTTTGGGGTGGATTGCGCGCCGGAGATACGCATGTAAAGGAAGGCGCGATGATAGAAGGACAAACGCTGGATGTAGAGATGGGAGGTTGCAGATCGATGCGATTATAAAGTGCCTAGACAGTCCTCATGACCCGTACGCCAGTGCTCTCAGCAAGGTCATACATAGCTCCTACTACGCGATCAACATCTTTGCTCTTCAACGGCAGTCGGTGTGCTCCCTCCCATTCTACCAGCGTTGCAGTACCCTCCCTGCAATACTCGTGCAGCAACTTGCGATGCAAATATAGCCCTGCATCTGCCATACCATGAACATGAAGTGTTGGTTTCTTCAAAATTGCCTCATCGGATATATCTTTACAGAACTGAAATCCCGACGATATGTCTCCCGCGCTCACCAATGACTGACTTGTCAAAATTTCTGGATGCAGATTTTTTGGCGGTGCTCTTCCCGCGAGCAAAACACCAAACTTCCAGTTCAGCCCTGGAATCCCTATCGGACCGAGCATATTCTTTTGTCCACTCTCTTGTGCTTTCTCTTCCCGTGCCTGCTGTTCCAACAACAGACTTGCACTTAGATTTGCGCCTTGGCTGAACCCCATCAATCCGACCCACTCGCCAGTTGCGCCTGCCCGGTTGTCATCCTCCATGGCACTTCTTAACGCATACCCTATTTCTTCAATGCAACTCTCGTCGTCGATCTCAGCATGTTCGGGAAGCCACCTCATCCATCGGCGGAAGGGTGAGTAGGTACCGTATACTTGTACGATATCGGGATGCGGGTCGCAAAAGAACGGTCCATCCACCCATACAAGGCGAAAAGAGTGTTGCAAGTGACGTATCAAGGACCGTGATTGCACTGCAAAAATCGTTGCGTTGACTCCTCCTCCGTGAAGGCAGAGAATGCGTGGCAGTGGTCTTGAGTCGGGCACCACGGACGGTATCTTAGAGTCTGGTGCAGAAAAGATTGAAGCCATAATGGCACCGTAGCGCAGAGAGCCAACCTCTAGATAAGGTCACTGATTGATCGGCGCGGAAGTTTCAGAGTGCAGACGGCTTCAGAACGAAGGTCTGAGCAGCGTGGTAAAAATCGATGGGTCACAAGAAAAGGGTGGTGATAGCAGCCAGCAAAAATTACCCAGGCAGGGTGTACCTAAATGAAGAACAAGTCGCATCTGCAACCCTAAGTTACCCGTGGGTGCGTCTCGGACTCCGAAGTTTGCTTTGTCATCTTGCTGACATGGGTGGCGGTCACAAGACCTTCTTGATGCTTGGCTTTCTGTAACTTTTACTCTGATTTAACATATCCAAGAGCTCTTGAAGTCTTGTTTCCTGTTGAGGCTCAGATCGTGGCAGCGGAGTGGCCATGAATTGAAGGCAAGGGAAGGAAAGCGGGGTATCGGAGCAAGAAGGTCAATCGAGACCCGCCTTCCTGCCACTCAAAAGCGCGCAATACTGCATACGGAATTTCTAGACCAAGATTACATGTGCTGATATCTTTGACTAGGGACTATCTATATGACAAGTTGAGACGGGTGTTGAGAGCAGAAGTGTGGTGGAGATAAAATTACTTGATGATGTCGCTGAAAAGTTGGGTTTTTTTTATTGAACATGCAAAAATGACTCATCGACTCGTCAAGATCTGCACTGTGTGAGAGCATATAAATACTTTCAACATTTTTGAAGCAGTCGAACATGATGCCTTTGGTATCTTGCAAACCAAACAATATTACAGCACAAGACGCTGGTTGATGAACAACAACATCCAAAAGAAAATGGCTGTTTGCTCGTTGAGGGGCTGTGTCGACCGTCAAAACCAGGCCTTGATCAATATATATTGTAGTTAGTCACGTCTAATAGCAACACCACACAGCTGTTCTGCAAGGCGCCGGTATAACATTCTGTCAAAGGACCAGATACCGCCATCACGCGTTGATGGTTGTTCGAACCGCTCCAAAGCTTTGGAAGCAGAACCATGGCTGATAGGACTATAATTCTTTTGAAACTAATAATGGTTGAATGTCCAATATAAAGAGTTTTATCAAGGTTATCTCAATGTCTTCATCGGGCAAACTAATCTGCACCTATCCAGACTCCAAATAGTGTACACAGACATAACAAGCTGTAGTGACGTTGAAAGAGGTTAGGCATCCCGCTTGGTAACTTGTGTCTCACCACCAAAGACGTCGTTTCTCGCGTCCTCCACGATTCTGCACTCATACTGCTGGAATCTCCGCGCAGAAATGCCAGCCTCGAAGATCTCATCAAGTTCCTCAAGTGAGCGCGCCTTGGTCTCCGGCACAAAGAAGTAAAACCAGATGACGCATAGGAAGTTGGAAGCTGCCCAGATGTATGTGTACTTGGCGCCCTTCACAGTTGGTTAGCTTGGAGGCACCGCTATTGGACAGGATTGTACATACCCAATTGAGTTGATTCGGATTGATGAAGTATGGAGAGCAAAAACCAACCAGCCAGGCCAGAAAGTACCCCAGTGCGTTTGCGGTGCCCACAGTCCATGCACGAAGTCTCGAACTTACAAGCTCTGTTGCCATCGGCATACTCGCGACTCCGACAGCAGCGTCATAAACAAAGAAAAAAAGGGCAGTGAATGCGACTAGCACATTTCCTGTTACCTTAGATGCCGGCATGCTCGCCGCAATCCCACAAGCTAGCTCGCAGAAGCCACAGATCAGGGCACCCAATATCACGATTGTCCTTCGCCCAACCCATCGGTTCATCGCATATAGGCCCGCGTGAACGCCGAGCCAGCCGATGCAGGCATTCATGATCGTGTATTCGAAGGCTTTTGTTATACCGGCAATCTGGAGGAAGTATGTTTGGTACGCGATGAAGAACCAGACACCGGAAGCGGACTGCGCGGCAATCATACCGTAGCAGAGAAGTGTTCGGCGGAGATCGTGGCCCCTGTACATATCCATAAAGGGTGTGCTCTGTGCCACTCTCTTTTCCTCCTCTATTCCACGGACCATCTCTGCCCACTCGAGCTCGAGTTCTTCACCGTGGTCAATACGTAGTGCTTCTAGAGAACTACGAGCCGCGTCTCGCTTTCCTTGATGAAGTAGCCACCGTGGGCTCTCTGGCACAAAGAATAGTGCAATAGACAGCACGGTGGGTACGATGAACATACATCCGAGTGGAATCCTGTAGCTGAGTTTGCTTAGATGGTGTTTCGTATAGTTGTCGATCAGGGAGCCTATGATGCTGCCTAGATTAACATAGTACGCAAAAAGACCAACCATAACCCTGTGAGTCTACTCGTCAGCTTCTATTCCGACTGATGGGTCTGGGGGTCTTACTCTCGCAAGTGGGCCGGCGCTGCTTCACTGCAATATACAGTCGAAGAGACTACAAAGAAGCCGTTCGCAAGACCAAGGAGGAATCTTCCGGCGTAGAGAGTCGACCGTGTGGTACCCGCTATTTGTATAGCAACACCTGCTGCACAAACAACGCATGCAAGCCAGAGAGCTGGTTTGCGACCGAAGTATCCTCCCCACAGACCCACTCCAATGGCGGATACGGCAGCTCCAAGATTCATCAACGAGGTCATGAGTTGTTGTACTGTCGACTGTTTGGATAATTAGTTTCACTTGTATGCAGATGGTCAGAGATCGGATAGGCTCACGTCAATTCCATAGCCGAATGGGCTCGTAGAGTCTTCGTAACCAAACACCATCAAAAAGCCAGGCATTGCCTGCAACCCCCCAACAGCAGCTGTATCAATTCCATACTGCATACTTGCGATGGCCACAGCGGAACAGATGAGGAGGCATTTTCGATTTGTCCACAAAGATGACTTTTGTATTGTTAACATGATGTCTTGGAGACAGTAATGAATATGATGTCAAAGGTGTTCAAGTTAGAACTTGAAAAGGAGCAAATAAGGCTCGACGTAAATAAAAAATAAACCCCTCACGTCACATGTATTTATCTTTTGATAAGGAAATTTAGTTCAGAAACCCTCTCATGAGGCGGGGTTTTCTTCAAGGTTGACGACTCGTGAATTGCAGGTGGAACGATCGGAACAAAGCGGTCAACAATCTAGTATCACAGACCGAGCTACAATAGGTACCCATGAGAGATAATAGTCCCTTGCATACAGTATGCAGGTAGGGTTCATATATGTTCGGCCCTATTTTGAGGGCGCTTATGCACAGACTCCTCATATGCATTGTCGTGCATTGTGGTAAGGTAGATTCGCCCATTGGCAAAGCCGTCTTGGCCAAAGCAACAGTGATACCGACCCTGCTGTATAGACCGGGGGCGGGTGGCGGTCTATTTTTCCGGCGAGCCCGGAGATCATGAGTACTTCACAAAATTGAGGCCGATCTTACGACGTATCATGTTGATGTTCGTGCCTAGTATGTTAGAGATGAAGGCTCGCCGTTGCAGAGCCCGGTAGGAATCGGTATTCCTCGAATCTCTTGAGTTACCGTGCAATCTATCATTGATAGATTGCTAAATGTCTTCTAACTGCATATTATCTATCTACTCCCGGACTCATGACTTCATTGAAAGGAGATAGTATCGACTTAATAGTGCTGAGAAACAATGTCGACCTCAGAAAAAAGCATCTTGTTACCCAGTTCTTCTACGTGTAGAACGTACTAAACTGATACTTTGTCTGCCCGTCATATTTTGCCAGTTCATCCAGTGCCTGCTCTCCTTCTTGTATTATAACCTTTTTGATTTGTTCATCTCGGGGTTCGAATACCACTCTGAAAGGGTTTGGGCGCCAATTAGAGCCATTGCTACCCCATATCAGTCATTGAACCTTCGTTATCAATCTGGAATTTCGACGATGCAGTACGTACGAGTAGTCAAAAATATCGACAGGTATATACTGTCCAGTCTTTTCGTCGAGGGCCGGATTGACTCTGAATGCCCATACCAGGCGGCAAATACTCACGTAGGTACCCTGCTCAGCGAGGTATTGGCCTGCACACGATCTTCGGCCCCAGCCAAAAGTCATATAACCTTTCTCGCCTGGAAACGGACGCGCATCCTCAGTGTCTAGATATCGCTGTGGATTAAAGCGATCAGGCTCAGGAAACTCCCGAGCGTTATGGTGAATGGCCCAGACATTGCCTTGTACCCAGCAGCCTTTGGGTATCAAATAACCGTTCCAGTAATCATCCTGCGTTGGAGCATGAGGCATTCCTCCAATGATAGCAACGGAGCGCCAACGTAGAACTTCTTTCACGAATGCGCGCATGTACGGAAGATCGTCTTTGAAGTCTGGGCTGCGAGCTCTACCGACGACACGATCGAGTTCCTCCCAAGCTGGAAGCAACACCTCTGGAAAAGCTCGCATGGCAAGAATTGCAGTGATGAGTGTACTCGCTGTTGTATCGGCGCCTGCGCCTAGGAGATTCCCCGTTAAACCAGACACTTCGAGCGGGTGGAGCTTGTATTTATCCATTTCACGAAACAAAAATTTGGAATAGTTCTCTTCGTCATACTCGTTTGCCTCCTCGGCTAAGGCATAGAAGAAGTCACCGCGAGAATGCTTGGGGTTGCGGCCTTGTCCTAGCCCATGCTTCCATGGGGCCATCCAGTTCGGAAACTTGGCCAGCCCTGGCTCATAAATCAGCACTGTATATAAGACATGTGGAAAGACGTACAGGGCAAGGTTTCCATAAGACGAGGGAAGTCCTTGGCGAGAACAGCTAGTTCAGCTGCATTGTGCATGATAGCTATAACTTCTGTTATCATGGGGTCTTGAAGGTCGGCAACCCTTCTTCCGAAGCCAATAATAGAGACTACGCTTGTGGCGTATCGTTCGAAATGGGCAACGTAGTCATTGGGAGCCTTCAGTAAATCATACGTTGCCACCTTGCTTTCGTCGTCCTGGAAACCTCGATATTGTTGCACCTGCTGAATGTCAAAGACTAGCAGCTTACACGTTATGGGAAACATTACTTTCTGTATACCAACACCGTGGTGGGTCAGCTTGCGGAGGTCACGAAACCGCTCTCGTTGTTTTCGTGTAATTGTATACATGTTGAGCATGTTCCATTGTCCAGAACCTAATTCAGCAAATATAAGATTGTGTGGTCGCGAGCAATAGGTACCGGCTCGCTTGACTAGTATCTCATCAGCAGCCCATGCATCGTTGATCCATACAGTAGGTTTTCTTTCGGTGTCAGACTTTATACGTAGGTTGAGAGCGCTACTAGATGGAGTAGCCTTACCGACCGATCCAAAAAGTGATGACTGGTGAGGCATAGTCTTTGGACAACTGCTCCATCAGGTACCAGGGCTTGACTTCGGGCAGACTGAACGTGTTTCCTACAATTGGCCATGGAAATGGACCCGGTGGCTGTCGTTCCATCAGCTCTGGTCTCCGAAAGGTGATGAAAGGCGTAAATCGATTGAGGGCTTATTACCATCTTCCACCTTGTCTGAAGCATCCACACATAGTCGGCTACAACAGCCAGCAGAACCACACAGAGTGCATGTCTGAAATAGCACAAAAGACTGCCTGACCAGGTAGGTACAAATTCTTCGGCGACAGCCATGTTGCTAAAGAAAGTCTACGTCTCCAAATTTGCTGCAGCAAGACAGGAAGTGAACTGGCTCCATGTGATGGTCAGTGTCTTACGAAAGTGGGCGCTGTTATCACAAGATGATTGCTAATTCTCTTGGATTTCGAAGCGTCGCCGCCCCCGCCTGGCTCGCTGGGCCCACGACTAGGGCCCCCAAACATGACAGGTTAGTTTGCGAGTCATGACATCCATCGACTCCTCGCATTCGCATGTACATTTAAGTTGTAGCGTGGTGCGGGGAGAGTGAAGGGGAGTTTCAAGCGAGAAGTCGAGAAGCCAAGCGGAGCTAAAATCCTTTGCTCGGTCGTGTTTCCGTTTGGGTTCGTGCCGTCGTCAACATCGTGTTTTCTTCCTCGAATGGTCTTGCACACATGAACCGCGCCGCCGACCCGCATGCTAACTAAGGGGCGGCTCGACCCTGGTCATCCCGGGGCCGTGATCCCGCTCAGCAGATCCTGGTCGCATCACTTCAATAACCCCGATTGGCCATCGCAAATACGGGCCTATTTACTTCTGAAGTCTGTCACGACTTCCGTACCGGTAGATGAACTTTCGGGAAGTTTACTTCAAAAGCGCATACGCAGCGAGACTGGATATGCACAGTAGTTGACGGCACTACTCCGGCGTATTCAACAGGGCCGCCTAGGATTCATAGGCTTGGGAAAGGATTTTGTGGCAAATCATATATGTTCACCTTGTTTGTATGAAACAGTACCGACGACGCTTGAAGTTACGACATACGCGTTGTTTCTTACCTGTTTGTTGGGTCACTGCCGCAAAAACACTGCATCCCGATTTTCCGCCTACAAGCAGAAGTCTTTTCGAGAATGTGATTGCATCGATCTTGAAAAGTAATTACGTTACGGTACTCTTAATGAGGGTTCACGAGCATGGGCATTGACAATGCAAGGGCAGCCATCTTGTGTAGCCCAATCGGAGTCTTGAAACCCCTCTTCCTCGAGACATTTGCAACACGTCCATACGCTGATGCATATCTAGCGTACCGATTTACTTCCCGTCTGCCCTGAGCCTTTTCACATGGCTGGAATGGCATGTTGACTTCCACACGACCTGAATTTTCTCCAGTGATGTAGTTCATGGGTTGACGTAAGGTAGACATGAACGTTCGCTATGTCCACTTGTTTCGCAGATGTATTCGCGTTGCTCTGCTAATAGCCAGGAGGCTATAAGGCAGTTTTCCATGGTGACTACATGGTCTGCACCTCGGATATCCGTGCGGCTTTGCGGCGAAACAAGTTATATTCCGCCGACGCAATTCAGCTTGAATGATTTCCAGCTGGACGGACCGCAAGCTCTTTAAATGTATCTGGTCAGCATTGTGCCGGTACAAGTCGAACACTGGACAGACATTTAAGACCACACTCAAGTCTAGCACTCACGTTTTTCCACTGGCATCCTGCGGCTCCCGTGATGGCAGAAAGCAATGGTCCTACCCTTGCCATCTCCCTTTGGACTTTGACGGTGATTCCACTGTTGTTCATGATCCTCCGAATATACAGCAAAACCCAACATTCTAAAGCATTCGGTCTTGACGATGGATTACTGGCTCTATCTTGGGTAAGTGAGACGTAGTCTTCCAATCCTGTAAAAGTTGTAACTATAACAAAAAAACGCAGATTTTCATTTTTGCCTATACTACGACACTACAAATATCGATGCATTACGGTCTCGGCGACCGACTTGAAAACATCGAGCCAGAAATCCTGCCCACCACCATCCAATACATGTATATCGGCGAGTTCTTCGGATTTTTCGCTATGCCACTCGGGAAAACGTCATTCTGCGTAACTTTGTTGCGCTTGACCACAGTGAGATGGCAAAGATGGATTCTGTGGTTCATCATGATATCCTTCAATACGACGATGTCCTTGCTAGCGGTTCTAACATGGGTTCAGTGCAGACCGGTTCAAAAGCTTTGGGATTCGTCAGTCGAGGGCGAGTGTTGGCCTTATAAGCTGTACATGGTAACTGGGTTGACTATTGGAGGTATTGATCGCCTTTCTCCCACATCTCAGCAGACGTTTCATAAACTCGAGCGTTTGCTAACTGACCTGATCGTTACAGCATATTCGGCTCTGGCTGACTTCGCGCTTGCCATCTGCCCATGGCTCATCATTCGCAAAGTGCGAATGCGACAAAGGGAAAAGTGGGGCCTCATAATCGCGATGAGCATGGGCTGTTTGTGAGTTTGTCTTCATCGTGTGCGATGTAGAATGCTAACAGAAGCGCAGAGCTGGAGTTTGTTGTGTAGTCAAGACTGCTGTAAGTAGCCGCATCGACCTTCCAGAGAAGTCTTCGCTGATTGTGCCGCCTTCTTAGTACATTCCAGGTGCTGCGACTTGGGTAGATTTTACCTACAGTACTGCAGACATGCTCATTTGGGCTCTCGCCGAATCCTCTATCACAATCATCGCCGCTTCTTTACCCTTCTTGCGTTTGATCCTGAAGGACATGTCATCATACAGCGGGAGCCAAAGTCTGAAACTTTCTATACGATTACCAAGCCAAGGCGATAACGCCACGGGCATCAGATCGCAACAGAAGCCTCACAAAAGCCATGCAGTACATCCTGAAGACGTGAGAGACGACGAAGCTAGTGATAGAAGCATACTTGCGGAGACAAGGGGAGAGTTTGGAAAAATAATGCGGTCTCGAGAAGTACGAATCGAGTACAATGACGAAGAGGATCATCACAGGTGTGCTGGTCGTACAGCCACGGATATGTGGACCGCTTGAATCGATGTCTTCGAACACGTGGTCTTCCTGCTACGCTTACACCCTTCTCTCATGATGGTTGATCGTATATGAATGGGCAGATCATGATCTTTGTAGACTCAATTCAGATACGCTCGTACCTGCGTTCTGCCACTACGAGACAAGCTCTTGAACGGTACGATACTGATAAATCAGTGCCTAATCGCAAGGACTCTGTGTGGAGTTGAGGGTGAAAGGACTGAGAAACAGGCCCACTGACCAAAGACAGGGTGAAGAGAAACCGACGTATGTTCTCTCTGATTCGATTTTCTATTACGATAATGAGTTGGTATTCTTAGTCGTGTTCACTTCTTGAGTCGACACATTGCTCTCCTCGAGGAGGCCTAAGGTTTACACAGCTCGTAACGGCGACAATAATAACCCTAACATAGGAAATCACACCCCTTCATCTATCCTAAGCACACTGGCGCTCTCCATGTATATCAGCAAACCTACAACACTTCCTATCATTGGTCTTGAAAACCTTCGTAGTCTCTCAAAATCTAGAGCTAAACGTGCTACTTGCGTGGAACTTCGGCAGTGTTGTACAAATAAGGGCCGTCCGCGAAACGTGAGGAGAAACCATCGACGTCATTTCAAGTACTCGCGTGAAGAGATGGGCTATGGCCTCCAGTAATTTGCGGCACTAGCGATCTGTTCATAACGGGTTTATGGAGGCGAGAGTCTGTCCTAAACTTCGGATCAAGTTCAGGAATGGGACAAGTGATCACAGCAGTTTGAGAAGTAAGCATATGCATGAAGGCATTGCTCGCCTCTTCATCAGCGTGAATGAAGAGGGCGTGATTGCATGGCGCTCGACGCGCTCCATCACAACACCTAGAGGGTAAAGAGATGACCGCTCGGTTCAAAGGTATGATCGAAGTGGATATGTTTTGGACTCTGATCGCGAGTGTGGTGAGAGGACGATGCACAAAGTCGCGAAGTGGCCTGAGCAGCGCGACCCCGCGAAAGGCAGGCGCGACTTGCAGAAACTCGAGGGGCCGTTGACGAATCGCTTCGAAATGTGTATAGGTCCTCATGGAATTGGAACACACTTGTGACTCAGAGCACGCGTGCAGATAACGTGGTCAGGGAGATGACGTGTGTGGTGGATGTGTGGTTCACTAAAAGTGCTCTTGGCGATACTCCAACGGGATTGTCGGAGTTAAAGCCCGCCATCAGCTTCAATATCTGCCTTGAGCAACCATCACAGTCCCATCTGCATTCTATTTACACGTGTCGCTGATTTGAATTGGTGTCGCGAAACCTGGCGCATCGTATCGCAACCACCATACAACGACTTGAAGATCAGGCAGTCAGCTAGGATAGTTGTGCGAGGAAGGAGTGGTGCAAGCGAGACCCCAAGGTACACCCCTCAGCACGACGAATTCCGGCACCGCAACTGACAGAAAGGTATCTTCAGCGATTCCCGCACACTGGCTACTACACACACAACTACCACCATCCTACCTGGAACGAAGGCCTGCGCACGACGTCGTCTTTCCTACCACACGACAAACCACGACAACGACAGTCTCTCTACGACCCCGACGACATACAGAGTACCCGTCGCGACTCGATACTAGTAGCAAGAAGATACAGCTAAATACGCGCTGAGCTAAAGATTGGACGACAAGCGCAGGCTCAAAGCCGTGCGTGGATCGCAAGAGGACTGCGACACGACAATACTGGATCTTTAACTCCAGAGCGACTGGTGACGACCTTCAGCAGCTGGAGAGAGGGCCCGCCTGTTGAGAGCCAAGACCTCCAGACCTCACTGTCAAAGCATTCGCACTTGTATGCTCTACCTGTATTCTCAATTTCTCCGCGCGATTGTTGAGCCCATCATCTTTGACAGACTGGGCCGTTAAGTCCGCTACGTCCGTATTTGAAGAGGAAGTAACAATCAGGTGCACTAACATGCCACCCACACCGCCATCGACGACCTCCTCCAGCGCGGGACACTCGCCACCAGATCCTCAGTTCAGAGTTGTGCGCAAGAGAAATCGTGTTCCTTTGTCCTGTGGCCCGTGTAGACACAGAAAGTAAGACACAACCCCGGCAGACATGTGATACTTCGTGGGTGCTGATATTTGCAGGCTAAAATGCAATCGTGGCCATCCATGCGACAACTGCACGAAGCGGGGAGATGCCTCGTCATGTTCATATGCCAGCCCGGGCAATCGCAAAAAGAGCTCGTCCAGCACAGCCTCGGCGACGAACCCGGATGACATGCAAAATCGCATCGACCGCCTTGAAGGACTCGTTCTCTCTCTCATGACTAACGGTGCCCAGAGTGCTGGTCCAGCGGCTGCTCATGCGGCCATCAACAGCGCTTCTTCCGACCAGCACTTTGATCTAAGCAATATGAGCAGTAGAATGAGCAATGGTGCTCCTGAATCAATCCCCGAAGAGGACGCGGATGAAGAGAGCGAGATGGAGCATGTCACAAAGTCAATCGGCGTGATGAAAGTGAACAACAATCAAACGTACTTTGCATCGGAAGCGCATTGGTTCGCCATCTTGGGAGAGGTCAGTATACCTAGTAATCTTTGACACAAGCAACCCTGACAAATGGCAGATTTCAGAGGTCAAAAACTACTTTGCCGAGCACAAGAAGCAGTTTGATGATCAGCTGAAGCGATACAAGACGACTCTAGGCGAGGAACACCCGCCCGGTACCGCATTCTTCGGGGGCGGAATCAAGCGTCTTTCCAAGGCCGAAATCCTGTCTCAGTTTCCACCGAAACCTACCGCAGACATTCTCGTTTCGCGATTCTTCAATACGTACGATCCAGGCATTCACATTATACACGGTCCGACATTTCAGAAAGAATATGACAGACATTGGATGAACCCTGAGGAAACGCCTGTCATCTGGATTGGCTTGGTTTTCGCCATGATGTGCATAGCGTTGCAGTCATACACAAGAGCTGGAGATGAACCGCCAGAATACAACAACAGGTCATGGGCTATGTCAAATGAGTTCCGAGAACTGACGGCGCAGTGCCTGGTATTGGCAGATATCACGCAGCTTACCGCGGGCATGCTAGAGACGCTAGTTCTTCATGTTCATGCGGAATACGCTCGAAGCAGAGATGCAGAATTAGGCATTCTGATCAGTATAGGCATCATCGTACGATTGGCGATGCGAATGGGACTGCACCGAGATCCCGGACCTTACAAGAGTTTATCTATGTTCCAAGGTGAGATGCGACGGCGAGTATGGGCTGTCATTCGGTCGATGGATCTTCTCTTCTCGGCGCAGGCCGGCTTACCTCCAATTGTGCGCCCGCGCGACACGAACACCGAAATCCCCCGTAATGTCTATGACGATGAGCTTTTCGAGGACATGAAGACTCTACCTCCGTCGAGACCAGAGAACGAAGCAACGCCGACCCTATTTCTCATCAACCGGACACGACTCATATACAAGTTGGGAGAAGCTATAGATTTGATCGATACTCTGACCTGCTCCTCTTACGAAGAAGTCATGAAGATTGATGCGGAGGCACGAGAGCTTCACAACAGTATCTCACCACACCTAAAAATGCGTTCAATGGATGAGTCTGCGCGAGATCCGTCGACACTGATAATGCAGCGTTTCACATTGGACCTTCTGTTCCTCAAGATTATCTGTGTGCTTCACCGAAAGTTCATCGCCTTTTCACGAACTCAATCGAGGTTCAGCTACTCAAAAACGGCGGTAATTGATGCTTCGATGACCATGCTACAACATCAGGCTACGTTACATCGCGAATGCCAACCTGGTGGTAGGTTACGCAACGTGAAGTGGTTTATATCCTCACTCACCACGCACGACTTCCTGATTGCCGCCATGATTATAGCATCACACCTTTTCCATACAATGAAAATGGATCGACAAAGCCGGTCTCCGCCGGCAGACGTATACACGTGGAGTTCGGACCAATTGGACGAGATGCTTGCCGCAGAAGAGACGGCTGTCAACATCTGGGGAAGTCTCAAGGATCACTCAATGGAGGCATACAAGGCGCATATGACGCTAAGTGTCATGGTGAACGAGCTGAAGACTGACCGAATGACGAGGCAGACTCAACCGGCTTTCCCGTCAGCGCCTTCGTTGTTTCCTGTACCAGCACCAATGGATGATTCAAACGTGGCTCCGGAACACTCAGCGGCAATGACATTGGGTATGCTTAGCACAGGTGGTATGGCGTCCAGTTCGGCCAACATGTTCGAACAGCGATATCCCGCGTCGATGGCGAACCTGCTGAATGATCCCGGACCACAGCATCCGACGGGCTTCGCACCACAATACAACGGAGGGGCGACAAACGGAGCAGGGGCACTAGAGAACACTCAAAGTCCGTTCTCCAACCTCTTTGGAGCGACTCTCTTCCAAAACCTAGATCTCCCTCCAACTGACAACGTCAACTGGGTACCACAATTCTCATCCACTGCATGACATACGCTAACACGTTCAGGATGCATGGGATAGTTACATTCAAGGGCCTAACATGGACGTGACAAATAGCTTCATCCCCATGGACCTCACTGGGATACCAGTACAACCCGATTCGAATGCAGTACACGAAAACTCAACGTCACCTAATCAGCAACATGGCCAAAGAACGAACGCGTTTGGGCAAAATGTTTTCATGGGTGTGAGTAATCCTCAAAGTGTTACATACAATCAACACTTCGCAGACTGAAAGCGATAGGCGGATCCCAAAACAAGTTCTGGGGAGAGGTACCATTTCGGATTCCTCAAATATTAGCCAACACGTCGAGCATCCATTCAGTAGTATAGGGAACTGTTATATCAACAGCGAGGCTTACGTTAGGATTGGCGAAGTTGTGTTTCTTCTGTAGCACCGATTTGCTAGTCCTTACATGTTGTAAGTAGAGCGTGAGGGATTCGCGCGAAAGTTGTTTGGGCTCTTTCAGCTGATCGGTCTTCAAAGGGGAAGTTTAGCCGGGTTGAAGAGGCGCAGCATTGCCCCGCGCTGACGATCAATTCATCCCTCAGCTCCGTCAGCCTGACTATCGCTTTCTTTCCTTCTTCACGACTCCTGGTTTTGTCTGTTCCTTCCCTGTAGCTCCTCGCTTTTTATATTGCCTATTGCCTATTGTCATCTAGTGCAGCGCGTCAGACCAAGCTTTGATCGTCCGTCGCGCTTGAGCTCCTACCCATCTTGAGCTTGACAATCGCCGGCAAACGCTACGTCACCGTATCACGACGACGCATTACAACTAGCGCCCATAAATCATTTCAAGCTACATTGTATATCACGGCAATCATGGCTGGCTCAACGCCCATATCATTCCCAGCTAACAGCAATCCTATCTCACCCATCGAACGCACAAACACATTCCCACACAAAACGAGTGCCGCGGTTGTCACTCAGACGCCGCTCATAGACATGAACACACCGGCTATTAATGCTGCGCCGGTAGAGCTTGACAGTGTGTCAGTGGGTGAAGAGAGAAGAGAGACAGGAGGCACGACCAGGGGCATAGTGATTGGGGGGAGTACAGGTGTGGCCAGTCTGTCAGATGAGGAAGGTGTAAATGGCGAGGTTTTGGGTAGAGGGTTTGATGGAAGTGAGGTACGTTTGTCTTCAATCATACAACACTCCCAAACCGAGGAGGGTTGGGAATGGTGCGAGCGAGAGGCTGATACATTGACAGCAACGAGTTGCTATGTTAGCGAGCCGGTCAAAGGACCCGAGTGTCATCGTCGATGTTCCACAAGAGCCAACGGCGGAAGAGGTGTCGGCTGCCAAGAGCGCGGAAGGGATGGTTACACCAGGTCAAGGCTTAGCTCAAGGGTGATTATAAGTTTTGGAGAACGGTGAAGAGCTTTCCATATGAGTAGATTTGTATCGAAGCATTTTTTCGAACTGGACGCTTTTGAACAATGTGCATCATCCAGCAGTTTGTAGAATATACTGGCTGATGTGTCGCAGATGTTGCTCATACTAAACTGATAGGCCACTCGAGCAGTGTAGGCAATTGGAATGAACGCCTCATTTAGCAGCACGCCATTACCTTCTATACATCTGACTTGCACAATTAGTAAGGATGCAAGAAGATCGACGCCTCGAGGACTACACTTACCCATGCTCCCCAGGTCGTTGCATCTAGCAACTTGTTTAATCTTAAAATATGCATTACTTCATAACTCTTGGTCATGAATTTCGTTCTCATCACAGCACATATTCATACATAAAACTCGTACCCCTCCCTCATTTCCGCTCCGCAGGCAGCTCATACACCTGGTTCCACCTCCCATCTACTTCCTGCGGCGCGAGATCCGGCGTCTGATGATGCGCATGCGTGACCTCTGGCGGCGTGCTGCTTTCGTATTTCGGAGGCGCTATATACGAAGCCTCGAGTTCCGGTTCGGCTTTTGATCGACTGGGATGCCGCCGTTTGATCCAGTACAGTGCTATGATTACGATGCCGAGGACTGCGAGACCGCCTACGACTCCGCCGACTATTGCGGCGATGTTTGTTGAGCTGCTTTTTGCAGATGTGGGGGTGTTGGTTGATGTGGAAATTGATGATGTACTTGGTGACGGAATGGGGTCTGAAGCGGAAGTGCTGGTGGCTAGTGTGGAAGTGTTTCTGTTTGTAGTGGGAGTACTGCTTGATGTGGATGTGGATGTGGATGTGGATGATGGTGTGATTGGAGATGTAGAGACGGCTAGTCGAAAGTTAGCGTAGTCCATATATGGAGAACATGTCAGAACGTGGGCTGTGGGGAGAGCGTAAAAGCATTTGCGACGTACCTGGCGCACTGGTAGTTATTACTGCCGCAGCTGAAGAAGAAGTTGTTGTCGCCGCGACCGAAGGCAGAGCAAGAGAAGGTAGCGAGATTGGCGAAGCAGTGACACCTGCAAAAATCGACGTGAGTTCTCCCCCAATACTAGAGAATATAGAACCAATTTGTCGTGCGGCGACCCGTTGTCCTGGAAAATGCATATCGTCAATGTAGTGTGAATGTCGCTTTCGGTCTATGATGATGGTAAGAATTGCAGGACGCCGACGCGCGCGACGAGGCTTGCAAGCCTGTTAATACGTCGCGAGGCATGCTCCGCGGGTTAGCTGTAATGTGAGTGTCAGACGTCTAGCTGGTGTTGCCTATTGGTGCCCTGTTATGGAAACTATGGATTGGTGCAAGGATGTTCTTCCAACTTTCCAACTTCGTCGCATGAAGGTAAGCGAGGTTCCTGCATACTCTGACAGCTTGTGTGGCGATTTTGGATAAAATGGGTGGAGTGCAGAATGCGGGGACAGGCAAGAATGAGTTGGCAATGGGACGGCTCATTCTACTTCGAATACGATGTAAATCCTCGTTGTCAATAATCAGACAATGCAGCGTTGTGCTACAAACTGCGGTACATGGAAGAACTACTTGACAAGATCGCTCTGTAGTCCTACGTAATAGGCTTGCCACTGACTAGGATTGAACCGAGGCGCAGTGACTGAGCCACTGTGGCTTCGACATATTATCGCGAGTTAGTAACCTTCATCATCCTGTTTTCGAACGCAAAACTGGTCGCGACAACGACAATGACAACCTGCGAGATCTGCTGTATGCGCTCATTGATGAAGGTGACGTCTTTGTATGCAAATGTACGATGACTCATTCCAAGATGGCATCTTCCAGATCTTGTGCCGACTACATTGGCAGATTTGTGCTCACTTGATCTCCTTCTGTCTTCTCCCATCGAAGAGGAATTTGTCATTGAGTAGACCATATTCAGTATTAGCACACGCACCTTGTTCACCAGCATGACGGGTGAATACCAGTCTTGAAGACCTTAAAGGCATATATTCATGAATAAGAAAAACTCTATGTTCATACGCTACCCACACTACTACTCCTCGTCCCCAAGGACTTCGACGACGGCGCCCCCAAATCATACATCTGCACAAGCTGCGCCTTATCCGCATCATCATGCTGGATGTCAAACGTCTGCGTTTTCATTATCGCGCTCGAATCCTGTGCCATCGTGCTCTGCGTTTGGAGTTGACCGGCCACGCTAGCTCTTGCCCGCGTGTCGAATTCAGAGTACGTTCGCTGGCTGACGGAGTGCGTGGAGGCGAGGATGTTGGGAAACATGCGCACGAAGATTATGCGGAGGCTGGGGAGGCAGACGCAAATGATGCCGGCATTGACTTCGATTATGGAGGCGAGTACCACGTTGGTGGCTGTCCAGGTGGGGTTCAAGGATGAGCCGAAGTCGACGAGGAAACGGAGGCGGAAGATGGAAACGATTGTGACGCTGGGGTGATGGGTTAGCATCGAGCTCGTTTAGCTCAAAGCAAAGTGCATGGGAGTACTTACAAGGTGCCAACAAAGAACATAAAGGCTGCGCTGAGCTTGCGTTGCCATGATAGTTGCAGGCAGAAGACTTCAAACAGTGGAAGGGCTAGCATCCAGACATCCAATCCAATGCTGACGCCAGCGTTGATCCAGCCCATCAAGTTGATATCGAGGCATTTCCCACTGTGTTCCCCGTCCCACAACGTCCAAAAAAAGCTGATCGGCGTGCACGTAAATGTCGCAGCGAGGGCGAAGGATATTCCGAACAAGATGTCGAAAACCATAGTAGCCCGGATGAGGTTTTTGGTAGCTGTCCTAGGAAAGATGCGCAGTAGGAACAAAAGTAGCGATAACTTGATCAGCGCAATCTGTAGATAGTATGCTATTATGAGGGCGTATAGGCCGCGACTGAAGATATAAATGTCCTCAGGCGGCACATTCCAAACGTCTTTACCAAGCCCGTGTGGTATTATGCTTCTGTCGATGACGATGACTTGGGGTAGCCCGGCCGCTATCGAGAGGAGTAATGTCAGGTCGTCCGCGCCGAGTTCGCCTGTGGTGAATAACCCTTTGTGTGCGAATCGCGCAGTGACACATAGACACGATATGATGCAGAGCACGATGTTGACGACACGAGGACTCTCAGAATTATTTCGCACGGGAGCGTAGCACGCGGCTTCAGTGAGGTTTCTTGTAGCTGGTTGGAACAAAACTTCATCAGTGACTGGTCCAAGAGTTGGTTGAGCCGGAGTACTTACCCAATGCCTCTTTGACGGTGCAGTGCTGCATTACACACACAGCCCAAATGCCTTGTAGCTGGGTATTAGTGCATACACACCACTGATTCGTAGGGTCGCAGGCTACTGCTTTTGCCGCATCCTCGAGACATGTTTGCTATCAAACTCATCAGTACATGGATAGTCATCTGGTCTGGCGGTTGTGAACGTACCGCGCACTGAGGGATGTGAGTAGCCCCCGAACTCCCGCCACTTTGTGCCAGTCCCAACGTAGCCCACGCCAGGAGGGTGAGCAATAGTTGAAATGCCTTCATCGCGCCTGTCCAGAGTATATGCTCAGTCCCAGCGACGAACACTATCTCAAGACGAGGCTGAAAAGTATGCACGACGTTCCGACTCAAGGAGTTTAACAGCTGCTAGTTCAGGTATCGATTGACGTTCTCTGCGCGACCTTATGTGGAACTCTCCGGCCCCACTGCAGAGCGCGTTACGCGAACCATTGTAAGATTGTTGGGTGTGGAGATCCTAGTGTAGGATTTTAGCTTAGAGTTACTTACTCAGGTATCGTTCTCTTCCAAGAGCTTTTTGTCACACTTGCCTGGAACCTTGGCAGGCCTCGATGCAAGCGAGCTATGAGTCTAGGGGGCGGAACGACCCGAGTAGGTTACGAGCCTTTTTGTCGTTGTCGGGGGGCGCCGGAAACAGGTCCGCAACCAGTCGTGAGTTGTACATTCTACTTGATAGCAGTGAATAGTTTGCGAACATATACTACAGTGTTTCACGTAGTGTTGGTTGACTTTGTGACTATATGGGCAAACTGATGATATTTCCTTTCCATGTGGTCGTAGACGCTACATCGTCTTGCCTGCGGGTATCAGATGTTGACATCTGACGCGAAAGCATCTCAAATGCAGATCGTGAACGAATGATCTTCAACCTAGCGCGCACGGAGCGATACCCATGCCCCCTCGCTTTCTCTTTCACGTTGACAGGCGCACACACTCGGTTCATGCAAGCCACCATCGTATTTCGCATGCACGCCGAAAATGCTCCGTTTTGTGAGCAGATAAATCTATGAATATATCTACAAACATTTTCAGCTTGTGATCCCCGGCACATGGCTCCCCCCGGCATCACCACTTGCCGTCCCGTGAGCAAAGAGTTCTGCGTAGGCGTCATCATGCTCACATATTAAGGTTCGGTATACGATCACCAAGCCGCAGCTCGACAGCGGACCTCCCTCCGCAGCCCCGGGTGAGCACGCTACCCACTAACTTGCACAACCCCCTTTCGCTGCGTAACAAGCCTTACTATCTGTGCTCTAAGCTGCATACCAGGCCAGCCACTTATGCACCTGAGCCAAACCTCGGGGTATATGTGATGTTGATAATCTGGAACATTGGGCACTACGTATTGGGATTGCCTGACTGTCGCATTAGCTGTCACACATGGCTGCTACTGTCATTCGCCGGACCGATAAAAAGCAACTGGATGCCTACATTAGATGCACGCCTCCCCTGTGGTAGACGCGTTCCTTGCATGCGTTTGGCTAGTCTCTTCCGCTCCATCTCAGTGATAGACGGAGGTAAGCGCGCAATATATTGACGGCGGATGCTAGGTCTGGCCCGCCTAACACCAAATCCGCTTCCGTGTATCAACTGAAGCCACCCTCTGCGCCAAACGAGCTTCACCGGGTATTCTGCGGGAGTGGGCGCCAGGAACGGACAGGTCACTAGCTCGAATGCTGCTTGATAGCATAGTATTGCATTGCGCGTACTTATCTCTACTACCAACGCATCCCTATCGGAGAGATCCATTCTATCTCCTCCAAAAAAACGATACAAACAAGACACGACTTTTCCCTACAAAAATCAAATTAGTATACATGTTCGTGCTCGTCTCGCTACTGCCACATAACCTCCTACCATCATCCATGAACAGAAAAGTAACAAACGAGCCAAGATCAAACGCCCTCAATCTGCGATCACTAAGTCTCGATTAGACAACTACCACGCTTCGACGTCGAAGCCCTCCTCGGAAAACTCTGTCGCGACAACCGTTCTCCGCGAGAACTGGCGACCAGCAAGTGCCTTGATTGCTTTCTGCGCCGAATCCGTGTCTTGGTATTTGATGTAGATCTTCCCGACGCCGAGATTGACACGTGCGCCAGCGGGACGAGGGATCTTCGTTTCGACGATGGGGCCGTATTTGCCGCACTCTTCTTCGATGTCTTCTTTGATTTCTATGTCACGTGTTAATGATTTGTTGGGCTGGGAGTGAATTTTGGGGCACTTACCATCGTACTCCTCGTCGTTGATCAGCTCGTCCGATGTGACCATGTTCATGAGGCAGATGACACGGCTGTGTTCATGGCCCTCAACAGCGCTGGCACCGGCGAGCATGGAGATGGCGCCGACGCCGCCGTCCAGACCAGTGACCTGCTGCACACCAACCGTGGCGCGAGAGACTTTGAGGTTGCCGTCGCCAAGGGGGATGTCGTTAAGGCCTTCGATGACGGCATCGACGATTTCGTCGTCTGCGTACTCGCAGAAGGCAATACCCTGGATATGTTAGAAGGAGTAATTCAGTGGAACAAGATTGACTTACGCGGTGCTGATCCGTGCTCGTGTCCTTGACCAAGATGAAGGCCTTTAACTTGCCCATGGTCTCGACGAGCTCTCGCACCTGCTCTTCCTCGATGTATGTGGGGATGTTGACGATGCTGAGCTTGTTGGGGCTGTCCTTGACGACGGACGAGACTTCGTCTCCAGGGTAGGCGTTCTCGTCCGCAGACGGGGTGATGTAGTCCTTGGGTCGGCGGATAGAGAGGCCTCCCTGATCAGGGCCGGCGGCGTCGTTGTCGCGCATGGCAATGCCGTTCATGGCGAGGGCAACCGTGGCATCCTCGGGGGTCTTGAACTCGAGCAGAGCGTACTCCTGATTGGAGGCGACCTGGGCAGAGAGGCAGGGATCCGAGCCAACGACGACATTGGTGCCGTTCAGCTGGAGATTAAAGAAATCGACCACCTCCTCAGACGTGGCGCCCGAGGGCAGGTTGTGGATGTACAGACGCTTGGCCTGCTTGGACTGCGAGGGCGCCAGGGCGGCAGCAGAGGCGGTGCCAGCCGAGGGGCTCATGAAGGCGGCCAGACGCGAGGGGTCCATGGGGGCGGCGCGGGGAGCGCCAGGCAGCGGGAACATGCCCGACAGCTTGGCCTGCTCGGCCGTGATGTTCTCGTAGCCGGCGGGGCGGATGTCCCACTGCGTCATGCGGCGCTGGCGCTTCTGGATGTTGACAAAGGGCGCCAGGTCGGGCGTGGGCTCGCGCTGCTTGTTGGGCAGCGGCGACTCCTCCTTCTGGCGTCTGTCGCGTCCTCCACCGCCGCCGCCGCCAAATCCTCCGTCTCGTCGGCCCCGGCCACCGCGGTCGCCGTCGAATCGTTCGGGCCGGTCACCGCGGTCGCGTCTGTCTCCGCCGCCTCCGCCCCTGTGGCCGCGGTCGTCGTCGCGCTCGCGGTCTCCACGTGGGCGGTCGCGCCTCGAGTAAGAGTCACCCCAGGCGGCGCGGTCGCCTCCACGGTCGTTGCCCCGGTCGTCGCGCCTCTCGCGGCGGGCATACGTATCCTCACGCTCGCGCTCGCGATAGTCACGGCTGGACGAGTACGTGTCGACCTCGTAGTCGCGGCGCGAGGCTCCGTGGCGGGGCGAGCGCGAGCGGCGGCGGCGTCTGTCTCCGCCTCGTTCCCCTCCGCGCTCTGCTCCGCGTTCTCCACGCTCTCCGCCCCGTTCTCCACGCTCTCCACGGTGGTCGTCTCTCGAGGACTGCTTGGTCAGCGTGGTGCCATGGCCCGGCGCAGAGGGTGCACTCACGTAGTTGCGCGATCCGCTGGAACGCCCGCCGTCTGCTCATGTTAGTGCTTGTCCATGTCGGGAAACTGCCGAACAGTCAGTCCGTGTTCTGAGAAGCGTGCTTACCTCGCGAGTATCCGTTGCCGCCGTCCATCGTCGCCGCGTGCTTCGAGGCTGGGCTGGCTGTCTAGTGCGCGTGGATGAGAGTGCAGCAGCTGGGATTAGCCGACAAAGGTCAATTGTGTGATGAATGGGCCAACAGCAGCTGTCTCGTGACTGGAGCGCGATGCTGCGAGGTTGGCGTCGCGGAAAACGAAACGTGAGAGAGAAAGTCCTTAGCGCGTGCGCTAGCATGGCCCCTTGTCGCCAGGAGCACTCCAACATTCACTCCAACTTTCACCCATCAAGTAAATGCACACTCAATTGACTCTTCCTGACTCCACTCATGACGCTCCGAGCTGCAGAGTGGCACAAGCTGCCCACGAGCCTCGCTGAATTATGTATAAACACGACGCTACGCTGCGGACAGTCTTTCAGGTACACGCGTCGATGATGATATTAGCCACCACGCCTTCTAATGCCCGTCAGATGGCGCAAGTCTGCTGAAGATGAATGGTCCTGCGCTCTCCACGGTCGCATACTCTCCCTGCGTCAAGATGCCACCCATCTCCACTTCCGCGCCACCTATCCTGCCAATGCACCCTCAGTCGCTGCTTCTGATGACAACACCTTGGCCCTCGTGAACCACTACTTCAACCTCGCCCCCAACCTCAGCGCCCTCTACTCGCAATGGGCCGCCTCGGACGCAAATTTCAAGAAACGCGCCCCCAACTTCACCGGCGTCCGCATCCTGCGCCAGGACCCCTGGGAGGCCCTCATAGGCTTCATCTGCAGCAGCAACAACAACATCAGTCGCATATCTGGCATGGTGCACAACCTGTGTCTGCACTACGGCCCGTTAATCGGCCACATCGACAACGTCCCATACCACGACTTCCCCACGCCCGAATCCCTATCCACGCCAACTGTAGAGGCACATCTCCAGAAACTAGGCTTTGGATACAGAGCAAAGTACATTGCGAAAACAGCACGCATAGTCGCGGAAGAAAAGGGCGTCTCCTGGCTCGAATCTCTCTGTAACCCTGAGAACCCCCCTTTTGGCAAGGATCCACAGCCAGGCGGCGAACTCGTCGAGGGCGGGAGGGAAGGCTATCGCAAGGCCCACACTGAACTCCTGGCCCTCCATGGCGTTGGACCTAAGGTATCCGACTGCGTATGTCTTTTTGGCCTGGGCTGGTCCGAGTCCGTCCCCGTCGACACCCATGTTTGGCAGATTGCGCAGCGCGACTACAAGTTCGGGCGGGGAAAACACAGCAGTCTGACCGCGGCGACGTACATTGCTATTGGAAATCATTTCCGGAAGTTGTGGGGGAAGGAGGCTGGGTGGGCGCATTCTGTGCTGTTCACTGCGGATCTGAAGGCCTTCTCGGAGCGAGTCGTGGCCAAGACAGAGGTCAAGGAGGAGGAGGTTGTGGTCAAGAAAGAGGAAGATGATGTTGTAGCCGAGGTCAAGGAGAAAAAAGTGACCGCGAAACGAAAGAGGGTGAAGAAAGAGCCTGATGAGGAGGAGCAGCAAGTTGTTGATGTCAAGGAGGAGGTCGTTACGAGGAGGAGCAAACGACAGCGAGTCTGAATGCACTGCGCGGAAGATGTGCATTGAGTCTCGAAGAACTGGTAACAAGACGCTGTAGCCTTGCGATGCCTAAATCAGCGAGTCTCGTGTCTCATTGTACGTCGATCACCCACCCAAGCCAGAACCAAATGCCAGCCGCCACCATCTCGGACTGCTTGCTGTCCGTACCATGTCCAAATCTACTGCGAAGCGAGGTGCCGCATCTGTTTCCATTCATTGAATTCAAATTTGATAGTTGGAGATGAGAGGATCCCCTCACGCTATGGTCTACGACGATCTTGATTGGCATGTGCATATCTAGGAGAGAGAAGAGTGTTGAGAGAAGACAAGAATCGAGACGTTGGAGGAGTGATGAGGCGAGGTCATTGCATAGATGAAAAACGAGTATCAAGATGAAGATAATAATGTGTCTTCTGGTAGAGTTTGGATCGGTGTCTTTGACAAAATAGAAGGGAAAGATGAAGAGTGATTGAAGGAGAGAAAAAACGAACGAAGAAATAGACACCGCAGATAAACACTCTCCAGAAGAAGGAGACATACACACCAACCGAGATACGGAACACCATTGAGACCAAGGCCTCGTCTGCGTATCATATCCCATTACACGATATCGCATCTCATAGGACTTTACGCAAACACAGGTAACGCCATCTTGGATCGAGCAAAGCAGATGCAATCGAGCCATCTATAACCCCGACATTCTACTACAAGCATACAAAGTTCCAATCACACACCCTGACGTTTTCATTGCTCCATCTTTCACCATCCGCCTCTCCTCCTTCTTTTCCACCATTGTGGAATCTCGAGTCAAGACTGCGTCGTTTCTACCCGCATAACGCTCCTTCGTCGGAAGTCAGGCGTTTGTGCAATGGCTATGCGTGTCGCGTACCACTTGCTTCAGTGGGGGTGGGTACTAGTTTTTGTTGGTATGGGGTGGGCATGGTGGAAGGGGCTGCTTACGTTTGTGTGTGGCTAGACACCAGCAGCCGTGGATCAGAGCGATGATGATCGTGGTGATCAGTTGGAGTAGCGCGAGGGTGTTTGCTGTGGTGAAAGACATGGTGGGTTGCCGCGAATGTATGGGGCTTTGGTGGTTTATGTTGTGTTATGTTATGTGGGAAGATGAGAAGTATAGGGTGGATGTACTGTGAGGAGTGTAGGGTCGATGTGTAGTGAGAAGCTTTGGTACAGATATGCTGCAGAATAGCATTCGTGTAGAGTAAGGCAGAGTCTGATAGACTATGATGTTCACCGTGTTGTGATTCTATCTACCGTTGATGCATACACCATCTTATACTCGTCACCGCCTCCTGCCCTGAGGCCAAAGCTGCTGTGAATGACAATCCTTGAAGCTCCCGACCTCCCAATTCAGCTTTCGGCTCTCCTAAGTATGACGTTCGTGGGAGGTCCTGAACGCTCCCGACCTCCCAAAAGTGTCAAGGTCTGGGGTCATTGCGCACGTACACACAAACTGAGTCTCCCGAAGCCCGCATTTGGACTAGCTCCAAATCCAAACTAGTACTTATTGGGGTGTCGGGAGACATGTGGCTTGGTGGGAAACGCGCACAGCCTCTGTGTTCATCTTGTATCCTGGGAGATGCATGCGTGCTGTGGTATCAGGCGTGTTCAAATAGCCTGCGTCTCTCTTTCGTTCGACTCTCAAATTCATCAAATCTACTTTTTCAGAGTTGTTGTACTGAACCTAATCCCACGATCATCTGGCTCTTATCTAAAGGCATCCACGCCGCCTAATCGGAACACCAGGATTGTAGCCGCCCCACTTGTCTTCACCTTTCCAATGCCCATTACACGCCCCGACGATGGCCATGAGTACAACGAATTTCCAGAACACCTCGATGGCAACTCATTGTTACCATTCAACCCATCACAACCGATAAATGCGTCCAACCTCCGCCTCAACGGCTCCTCGGCAGGCAGCACTTGGCATCCTGCTGTGCAGCGGCAGCCTCAGCCTGGTCCATGGTCAAACCCTGTCGCCGCGACGAATCAAGTGACGGACCCAGGTCTTGAACTTTGGGGACTATCAGGCACAGCAACTGCAAGTCAGCAGCTAGAAGCACTTGAGCTGGAACTACGACGTAACGAGCTTCTGAAGAAAAAACTTGAACTTCAGATCCAGATACGACATGAGCAATCTCATGGGTTGCTCAATCCTGAGGAACACATGCCACCACATCAAAGAGATGTTGTGAATATGGGAACCATGGACGCCTCTTTGTCGTTATCAACAATCTCCCATGCCCAATTTCCAGCCGTCACTGCAGGTTTCTTGTCTGCTCCTGATGTTGATCAGTGGAACCAATCTCCATCGTCCATGATAGCCGTTGCAGGTTTAGACGATGCACAACTTTTGCCCCGCCATGTCATCTCTGACTTCCAGTACAACGATCGTCATGCTGGATCATTCTCCAATCCTAGTGACCATCAAATTACAAGCACCAACACCGGCGATGCAACGATTCCCTGTCCTGATTCTTACTCCAACGTCATGGAATACGTCAGGTCTGATCTCGAGTACCCTGAGCCTCCTTATCTTTTCTCCACTGTACCTAGTGATCAGTTCTGCATGTACGGTACGGCCCCTGGCATGACTGCCAATTTTGCAGAACCATATGTAACGACGCCACTACCAACAGAATCGCCCTATGAGCTTGGAATGCTATACCCGGTACCACTTGTTCAACCACACCACCTCGCAGTACAGGACCAATCCAGCGATCAACCACCAACGCAAGAGCAAGAAGTGGCGGAGCCTGCTCCCACATCGCTCGTACCCCGGAAACCCCGAAAACGACCTCGATCGCCAGATTCTAACAAGGAACGACGGCTATCAAAGCTCGCAAAGCGAACAAAGGTGCCTTCGAATTATCTCGGTCTCATGTGTCATTCTGGTTTGATGATTTCCAGCACTAGACAAAAACGTACAGAAGCACAAAAGAAGAACAGACAGGACCTTAAGAAACGCGGAGGGTCGTGTATTTTGTGTTTTGTCCTGAAGATGGTGGTATGTTTAGTCTATCCATATCGAAATCCTATAAAATTGTTGCTAACGCAATCGCCAGTGCCAAGGCGGAAATCCATGCGAACGTTGCAAAGAGTTTTGGGCGAAGAGAGCCGACAGCTCGACTAGCTTCAAATGGAGCTGTGTTGTCAGAACAAGAATGGCCGACATTGAAATTTTCAAGTTCCCCTCGGATACCGGAGACGAGCATCATGTGGGGAGTCCCGAACGTTTGGCGACATCGCAACTCCTCAGCCTATCACAGAACGACACAGGAAAGGATATCCTGGGGATTATCACAAACTTAATCAGTCTCCTGAATATGCTTGAGCCAACCAAGGTATTAAGAGCTTTGTCGCATAGTACCGAGCTTGACAGGAACCCTCTTCCGGCCAGGTGGTTATTTTTTAGCTATATCCAAAGTCTTTTGCGATGGAAAAAAGCCATACTTTGCCTCAATCCTGGATTAAAAGAGATTGTTCAATTTGCTGAGACGCAATATGTGCACCTGTCTCGAGTAGTTCTCGCCGATTGTGACGACGTCGATTCGCTTCCCCTAAAAGAAAAATCTATCGCTATTCTGGTACACACAGCGCTTGTTCTCGACAACATTCGCCACTTGAAATCGATGGAGGGTATAAATCCATCTGCGGTATCACATCTCGAATCTCTCCAAAAAAGCCGACTCGAGATTTTGTGCGCTCGACTTTTCGCGCTCGACTCTCCATTCATGCAACTTGTGAAACAAAATTGGAAATACCAGCTTCTGGTTGGCATGGTGAAATATGAACACCAGACTTGCCTGACGTCACAAGGTCAAGATACACTTTTTCCGGAAAACGTGTACTCATATGTAGGAACGTTGATTAATCGCCAGGTGGTGTACAACTCCCTCTCTAAGATGTTTCGAGAGATTCGCGTACGCAACTATCCTTGTGGTTGGACCTCTGTCTTTTTTCCGCGCAGCTATTGGACATTATTCCCTCGCATGAAAAGGTCTATTTCTCGGAAGACCAAAACGCCCTTCTCGCGCTCGTCGTTTGTTAGAGGACTGGTTGACCATATCATGATGCCAACAATCGAGGAAATGGTTGATGTTCAAGAAATTCTAGGTTGGAAGAAGATCTCGCTCCTGTTCCATGACGCAGTGGTCTACTGGCTCAAAGACCTTCTTACACACTGCAACGAGGCTTCAAAGGTCATGTTCGAGGATAAGCCACAAAGTCTTGAGTGCTATAGACTAATGAAGATCCTTGTTCTTGCTGGGAGACTTGTTCGACGATATCACTCATGGGTAGGTGTCGAAGAGTTTGGATCAGAAACAGATCCACATCTCCTCGCTGAGAAGATGCAAGACTGGCTTAGAACCGAGAAGCCCATCTTGGAGTGTGAGGAAGAAAGGTTGTCGAGCGAGCTCAGTCGGCTGAAGCATGCGATAGACGCACATTTCGACTCTGAGGGCATATCTGAAGATGAGGAGAGTGTTGAGGATGAGTCTTCCGATGAAGAGTGCGTTGTGGGCGAGTCTTCCGATGAGGATGAATGGTGACACCCATGAGCAATGTACGCTCTCTTACCGAACCTCGTTATTTGCTGGAATATTGCACACTATGGCAGAAACAACAAACTTAGCTTCGTCCAGATCTCTAACGTCAACGTCCAAACCTCAGGCGGGCGAACGAACAGTTTGGAAGAGGGAGATATACTTCAGGATCGCGAAATCTCCTAACTGATACAACCTAAAAAGCCCCAAGAAGAGGAACAGTCTATATAAGTGATGGGCTGTCTAAAAGCATACCCTTGCTATCGCGTCCGCGGGGCAAGGCGCTTATTCAACGTATGAAGTTCTGACCATTCACGATAGAGCAAGGCGTTAGGTTTACTTCATTGTGCTAGAGTTAGAATGATATGTAGGGAGTAGACGGATAAGATGGTGTGATACAAAATCTCAACTCAAGACTTGCACATGACTGTACATAAAGATTGTTTCCAAGGTATACGCGACGTGTCGACGACAAACAACAGCAAGGGGTTGCATGCAAAGTGTGACGTTACCAAAACTTGATCACGCTAAAATTGAGGCCTACCACAAGGACGCTAACCGAATCGGTATGGCCAATCAGAAGTGCCGCAAGAGACTATGTAATGGACCATCACTAACATATATATAAAGACTTGTTCATGGTCTCGTGGACTCTTCTCTTTTCTCTTCACCGTGGGGCCTGGGGCCGCCAAAGTGTCCACTCTTTTACTCCGTTCGTCTGTCTATTCGTCCTCTTCTTTCCTACTCCGTGTCGTGCCTGGTGCTCGCCCGCTGAACACGCGTCTCGGATTGTTACAGCTTCCGCTTAGCAACCCGTTCCCGTGAACCAAGCGAGGTTTGGTCTTACTGAACACGAACATTATCTTTTTATCGATCCGCGCTTGCTTACTCGGGAATCCGATACACGCGTTCCGCCAGCGACACAGTCTCATGCAGCGACACGTTTTAAAGAAGAGCAACAATCATAAGAAACAGACGAACTTCCTCCTGTACCGGCCTGTGCCTTATTGCCCCCAAAACCAGAACAATCCTTTAAACCACAACTTCCCACTGTCGAAACACCAAGCTCACAGCATCTTCAACAAACCACCCAGTCCGATAATCAAAGGGTCTTACATGGCTGTCTAGAATGTGGACAGCGATTTTCTCGCCCGAGAGACCTCAAGTACGTGTTGCTGGTGGAGAAGTGTGTCACACAACTAAGTTCCTCTAGCCTCCATCTCAAGAAACACACCAAGCCTCATGATTGTCCAATTTGCCACAAGAAAATCTCTAGAAGCAAGGACTTTACCAAAGATTACAAGCGTCACGAGAAAAGTAATGCACATAGGCGCATGCTCAGTGGAGGAGATAGTCAGCGAGATCTAGTATGTCCCGTGGTCGGGTGCGACAAGAGCATGTCACGCAAGGACAATTTGAACCGGCACATCAAGACAAAACACCCCGGGCAGCCAACACTTTGATTTACGTAGTTGAATGTGTATATGATCAGTTTGATGGATTGCTTCACCGTGTCATTATATTTGAGTGACTTCCGGTGATATGCTCTTGTGTACCAGCAATCAACACTGGCTTGACCTGTGTCCAAGTGATGAGTTTATTGATATTTTGAGAACAACGTGCCTTACTGTCCTAAACAGCCGAAGAACCTCATACACGATCGTCACCATTTTCACCAAGTGCGAGTTGCTGAACCATTGAGTCAATGAACTAGCGGGTGGGGTTGAGCTTTGATCTTTTAGAGGTTGAAAATGGGCAGTCAGAGCTCTGTCACCAAGTGCTTGATTAAGCCAGAATCAATGCCTTCATCAGATGATATGCCGCAAAATAATGTCACGCGGTTATGCAGGTCAATCTCATTGTAGGCCTCAAAATTCCTGGCCATGATAGGCCTCAAACCTTGGCTAAGGATATGCCACATATATAATCCCAAGTTCTCACCCACCAGGTAACAATTCACCATCATCTCAATTCAAAACTTTGGACTTCAATCCCCTACTCACAATGTCATCCATCTACTGTTGTTCAGATATACGTGGCTATAGAAATGCTACCTTGTCCCACGAGTCGAAGTTCAGCGCCTTTACGGCATGGAGCAATTTCCCCAAGGAAAGCAGCGTCACTACCTTTGATGTTGTGCTTTCCGACAACCAAGCCACTTTTGCCATACAGGTGGTAAAGCAAGTCAACTTTGGACCTCTCGAGAGCAAGCGATACTTTGTCCGGGACGGAGAAATATTCGTCGAGGTGAAGGAGAAATGGCTCATTGATGCGAACTTCCAGAAGCTCAACACGTACGTACCTTCTCCTGAACACTCGCACGTAAAGCGCATGTATTGAGCGAGCTCTAGGTACAAGAATTTCAAGTGCGCTGCTCACAACAAGTTCTTTGAGCTCAACGTCTATCAGAAGGATCCGGTGAACAAGCATCATTGGCGTGCCGATATCGCCAGGCCTGCTGCAGAGATCGATCTTTGAAAGATCATGGCTTCCTGTTGTTGAACGTTATTGAGGAAGGTATAGCCTACATTTTGTGCGTTGATCCAGACGGCTGCAAAGTTGGACTTGTTACCTCAATATATAGAATCCCATTGTTTTGCTCGCAAGTGTCTCAGTCCACAGATATTGAATACTGTCCGCTGACCACATCTCGTGGATACTATTCCTTTTCTGTGATCGATTGTAACAGTTCTTTGCGTATGTGCGAAGAGTGGTTCTCAAACCTGATCTGGAGGTTCGAATGAACATAATCCCAGCTTCAAGCCTCTGATTTCCGAGCCCCAAGTAAGCTTAATAGTGAAAAGTAGACTGGTGATCACATATCAGATGACCACACAAGTTGCAGGTATGATGTAAGAAGACAAATATATTCTGGAAGTTTATGCTGCATGATGAGGTAGATCCCTGGATATTCAGATGTTGAGTTAAATCGTGGTTGAGGTCACTGACCACTGTCGTCGTCCAAGATATGGCACCAACTACAAGTCTGTCTGATGTATGTTCTCAACCGGTATTTGTGGCAGCATGATTGTTGGCCATGAGTGAACGTCAAACGTCTGCATAGGAGCTGGAATGAGTGAACTTTCAATCAGGATCTGGCGACTTGTTAAAGCACATACTATGACGCTTCTGGCGCTCAGCTTACACGGCTAAGCTAAAACCTATCGCCCGGTAAGCTGCATCCTGCCAATAGAATGTCCGGACTCTGCACCTATATATAAACTAACACCACTTAAATTCCGGCCTCAGCTCATACTTTGTATGCACGACGTAAGCAGACGCAAAACAGAGTTTCGTCTTAGTCTCGTCGATGGAGCGACCGGTCGACACTACCGGGACTCGGGACGATTTTCGTGCCATCCGTTATACTAGGCTCCAATGTTCATGCCAAATGATGAGAATAATCCATCCGAGATCCGGTGGGTTCCCCCGACCAGACTGATAAGTTAAAGGTGATTGGTGTATTGTATCAGTGTTGTATGAATCGGTGCCCTTGAATGAGAGTATTTACGCCAGACGCTTCCACGATGAAAAGCGGCCAGCACATTCAGAATATCGCTTTCCTGAAGCACTGATATCAAAATCTACCCACCATTCTTGATCTCATTCCAGAGCAACAAGGCTACTTCCAAGATGGGGATCGCAAATTTCGTTTACACGCAATATCGCTGCCTGCCCAAGCCCACAGGCTCTTATATCGGCAGGACCGTCATCGTCACCGGCTCGAATATCGGTCTTGGAAAGGAGGCCGCACGCCACTTCGCGCAACTTGGGGCGTCAATCGTGATCCTCGCTGTGCGTTCTCTCGAGAAGGGCGAGGCGGCGAGAGAAGAAATCACCGCTAGCACTGGCGTTAGCAAAGATGTCATGAAAGTGTGGAAACTCGACATGGCTTCCTACCAAAGTGTGCTGGATTTTGCTGCGCGAGCAGAAAACGAGCTGGAAAGAATCGACATAGCCCTGCTCAATGCTGGAGTGTTCAGAAGCTCCTGGGAGACGTTTGAGCAAGATGAATCAACCATCACTGTAAACGTAATCTCAACGTTTCTGCTCGCTCTCGCTCTTCTCCCAAAGCTGAAGGAAACAGCCGAGAAATTCTTTGTCCGTCCAAATATCACCATGACTACCTCAGCAGTCCATGAATTTGCCTCGTTTCCTGAGCGCAAAGCTCCAGATGGCCAAATCTTCCAGCAACTTAACAATAAAGCCGAGAAGCCAGATATGGCCGAACGCTATTATGTGTCTAAGCTCCTCGAAGTTCTCGCTATCCGTGCAATCGCGCAGCGCAGATCGGCTGATCAAATCCCGGTAACTATCAACTGCGTCTGCCCTGGGTACTGTCATAGCGAACTCGCGCGTGATCTGGGCATGGGGCAGACGATTGCCAAGGCTGTCATAGCAAGGTCGGCGGAGGTAGGCAGCAGGAATTTGGTCTGGGCGGCGAGCGCAGGCCCAGAGTGTCACGGACAGTATGTCAGGGATTGTGGTGTTGGAACTCCGTCGAAGTACGTACGAAGTACAGAAGGACAGAAGGATCAGCAGCGGGTGTGGGATGAGTTGGTCGTGAAGTTGGAACAGATCAAGCCGGGTGTGACGAAAAACTTGTAGCTGTCTTGAACACTCTGTTATGCCTCGGTTCAAGAAGGTTCCCACAATTTGCTTTTAGGTTGCTCTTCATTATTTGATATCTCGTACATTCTTTCCGTTTTATTCATGTTGTTCATCATGTCCATCTAGACTTCTACATCCCTCCCGCTCAGCATCGCACCCCTCTTCCTCATCCTCTCTTGAATCATCCTCTTACTATACATGGTCTTATTGCTTCCTTGGCTCGTCAATTCGTCAACCTTCGCGAACACCAAGTCCGTATTCGCGGTATCCGGCGCTGTGTAATCAATCGTGAAAGGGCTCACACTCACACCTCCACCAGCCACAACCCAGGTCTCACCTGGTAGGTTGCAGTCGCCATTGTAGCATGCATTCACGCCTGCAGCTACCGGGTCCAGGTTACCCCAATCAAACAGTCCTGTTGTCTCGTTGTATATGGCCACATCTGTGTTCGCGTCGCCTGTGAGACGTGTCTTGTAAACCGGCGGCATGGTACCGTTCACGAGCGTTGGGATGTTGACGTTGATGCCGTAGCCAAGGGGCAGAACAGCCTGGCCTGTTGGCGTGTTTGTGATAAACTCGTTCACAACTGCGTATGAGACTTGGGCAGCTAGTGCCGCTGGGTGCGAAGGTCCGGTTACATTGAAGTAGGGCACCGCTCTGTTCGACGCACTCAGCGCGATTCCCGGAATGGATCGCGAAATCGCAGCGTATGTTGCGCCCACGGTACCGCTCAGCGAGTATACGAAGGCTCCAAGGTTGGTGCCGTAGTTCGGTCCTCCGATAAAGAGGTCTGCAGTTTGGTGCCATTCAGGGTAGTAGCGTGGCAGCACCCAGTCCAGCGCAACAAAGGTACACGCAGCAGGTGTACCGTCATAGTACCAAATATTGTCGTCGGTAGGGTCTCGGCCGACGGCTTTGGCTCCCGCGGGAACAATGTCGTATTGCGAAGGAATAGTGAGGTTTGCGGACTCAGCCCAGATTACGGTGCCGCCCTTTCCGGATTGCTGTTGGGCTGGAGCAACGATGAGGACTGGGACGAGTTAGAGCTTTGCTTGGAAAAGATACGAGCGATAAACTGAGAGAGGGTAGTACCTTCATGTCCATCGTTGACTAGCAACTTGTACAGCTCCCGAAGGTTTCCACTTCCAAAGCCGTCGTCGTTGCCCAATAGAATCTTGAGTGCTTCACTTGTTGTTGAGAGGCTCAGCGCTGCTGCGAGCGTCGTAACGAATTGGATGCGCATCGTGAACTAGATGAATATACGTCACAGAAGATTGACTGGCTCGACACCTACTGCTTCCATGGATACCTGGGTACCTACATATACTTCTACGATGGTTCGCCATGGCCGGCCTTTCGCTTGTTCGGATAAGTACTACGCCGATCATGCAGGAACGGACCAGTGTTCATGAACCCAAAAAGGCGGGTTAGACCTGAATGATTTGGTACTGATAAACAATCTCACAACGAAGATACACAGTGAGACGGGAACTAAACAAGAAAGGAAGGTGAGCACGTGGGCCGGATAAGCCTCACGTCGGACCTCGGCGATCTATGGTGGCGTCAATACTTCGTGCATATCCCATCTCACGCCACGCGCGCCTAGAAGCGATAAACGCGTCCACATGCTTTTGTTGGGTAATGTTCTATTGTCATCGTGCGCGGATACTTTTGTCACGTTGTGGATCAGCTCGAGATATCGACCTGTTGCGCGGTTGAGACACAACAACCATCTCCGGTATCTGCGAGAGTACAGTACCTTCTCATCATCCTGCTATACAGCAAGTGCGCACAGTAGCGGATCTCATGACTTTGACATGGTTCTCAATAGCATGTGACTACGAGGCATAAACCAACACCCTTGGTGTCGAATGGAGACAAGTTCCACGAATCTACTTTTCGATATCGAGCTCGCACCCTAGTCGCCAACGGACAGCACCTTCACCGGTCGTATAGTACACCTAATTTCCCGAAGAATGCCTCGCGGAACTTCCATCAATGATGTGACGCGAAGAATGAACGCGCGCGATGTTCGCACGCAGCGACGAAACCCCATGATTATACTCCGCCACCGCCAGGTCTCGGCACATACAGTATGATCAGACACATAAGCCTCGATATTTAGAACACAGATCTACCTAGAAACGTGCTGTCCATACTCTACGCATCAACAGCTACGAACACGAAGAAATAACTCTCCGCACTATATTCCAAAGGTACATGCTACATGCCGCATGCCACACGTTATGTTTAATCTCACCCCAGCAGAATCAAGTGACAGCGTTTCTATCGCCTCTTCTCAGCCACCAGTTCCACCATCAATGGATCAACCCCCAAAGAAGTCGCTGTTTTCCAAGTTCTCGAAACTCAATCCACGTGGAAAGAAGGAAACGCAGGACGAGAAAGACGCCCGACTACAAAAGGAAGAAGAGGCGGCCGTACAGGAACGCCAGAAGATGAAAGAGACCGTGATGAAGTACCGGGGACTAAACGAGGCACAGGCCGAAGAGTACATGGAACAACAGAAAAAGAAGAAGGGAGGTCTGACTACAGAGCAAGGCTTAAAGGCTATCGTCGTACCGAGCTTGAGTCAGTATGCTTTAACTTGAGAGAGTATTGTTGTGGATCTACCAAGCTCCAGTAGAACTGGAAGATGTGAACAGTCTTATCTGTGCTTTACCGCAGGGTATTTGGATTGGCCTGTTCGATATAGTCAAATTGTCATGAGCTTGGCTTTTCGGGTTGCGATTAAAATCCAATATCTTACACCAGATAATTTGTTGAAAATGGCAGCCTATTAATCAGATCTACATTATAACCTTTGTCTGTGTTCTGTTTGAGCCATTCTGAGTATTAATTTCGATCTTTTTAGTATCGGTGGTCCAATCTAAGAACAAACTTGACTGTAACTCTTCGCGTTGTTTGTCAAGTATCGTGATGTAAAGAACGAGAACTAGGTTCGAATCTGCTTTGATGCTCTGTACCTATATTTATCGAGTAGAAAGGCAGGTTTGGGGATTCTCCGATTGGGAAGAAATGCAAAGAAGCAATTGTGCTGCAGATGAGAATGATTAACATTGTCAAATCCAGTTGTGTACGTGCTCCAACTAGCGGCAGGGCTTAGCATCGCGTTCAAGTGCTCCACGCCCCCTAATACTCGGTACTTAGTTTGTGATGCCACCGCCACGTCTACACACCGTCACGCGTCTCTGCAGTATGTGGTCTTACCCGCCTACCTGCGCCCAATTGACCTCACAATGTTCCAGCCACAACTCGTCAGGCGGGAAGAGCAAGCGTCATCGCGCCTCTTGTTCACCCCACCACCCCGCCTACCGGTAGACGCCCACTCCACGCTTCACCAGCACGCCTCAACATGTCCACCACCGCCTGGGGCTCCACGAAGAATCCCGCCGCCTTCGACTTTCGCTCCGATGTGCACACAACGCCCACGGCCTCGATGCTGCAGGCCATCCAAGACTGCTCGCTCCTTGATGACGTCTTCATGGAAGACCCCACAACGCTGTCCCTCGAGCGCTTCATCGCCGAGATAACAAGCAAGGAGGATGCTTTGTTCGTACTGTCGGGCACAATGGGCAACCAGGTAGCGTTGCGAGCCCATCTCACCGCCCCGCCACATGGCGTTCTGTGCGACCGCCGCGGCCACATCATAAACTACGAAGCAGGCGGCATTGCGACCCTAAGCCAGGCTATGGCGCAGCCAATTGATGCGAAGAACGGGAGCTACCTCACGCTCGAGGAGGTGCAGAAGCATGCCGTGCTCTCCGACAACGTCCACGCCTGCCCCACGCGCGTTATTTCCCTCGAGAACACGCTCAATGGCGCCATCATGCCTCTCGCAGAAGTCAAGCGGATATCGGCGTGGGCACGTGAACACAGCATAATCATGCACCTAGACGGCGCGCGCCTGTGGGAGGCTGTAGCCGCTGGAGCAGGAACCCTGAAGGAGTTCTGCGCCGAGTTCGATAGCGTAAGCCTCTGTTTCAGCAAAGGCCTTGGTGCGCCCATTGGTAGCATCATCGTAGGCTCCGAAGCCTTCATCAAGCGTAGCCGCTGGATTCGTAAGTCTATTGGTGGTGGATTGAGGCAGGCAGGCGTGGTTGCAGCGCCCGCTCGCGTCGCTGTGGAAGAGACGTTTCTTGGCGGCAAACTCACACAATCACATGAGAACGCGAAGAAGATTCAGAAGATCTGGGCAGATCTAGGGGGCGAGATAGAATACCCGGTTGATACAAATATGGTGTGGCTAGATCTCGAAGCGCACGGCATCGACACAAACCAGTTCATTGAATTAGCAGAAAAGTATGGCGTGAGAGTGCGAGGAGGTAGATTCGTCGTGCACTATCAGATTGGAGAGGAGGCCATCGAGCGGCTGCGGAAGCTATTCATCGAAGTCTTGAGGGGGGAAAAGTCCAGTGGAAGAAACGCGGCGGCCGACCACGATCCTGAAGCGTTGAAGATGAAGGGCAAGGGCGTCGAGTAACTAAACACTACTATCTACCATTACATACGCCTGCACAGCGTGCATCATTCCTAAGCCACACCTTGTAATCATCGACTCACGCGATCCGAGCCGCGAAATCCCTGGAACACTAGGTTTGCCAAGCCCACTATTACGTTACAACATCTCGCGTTTTCACTTCCGCGCAGCACAAACACCACCACAAACATCGTCATCCAAGGCGAAGCCAAGAGAGAGACCGAGATCTGGAAGATGCGGCTCTCTTGGAATGTGCCATGTGGCCGAGCGATTGAGCCTCCTCGCCACTCACCAAGCACACTTGAGACATACAACTAGACATTTTCTTTCTCGTGCCAATGCGCGTCATCGTTTCAATATCGTATAGTAACAAGCGTCACCTTTGTACTTAACGCACTCACGTCCGGTGTTCTGATTCTCAACTCTATATTACCTCAACACATACAATGGCATCCTACAAAACCCACACCATTCACTCCGACCACCCCGATAAGGTGCGCATGCTCGTACTCGAAACCGATGAAGTGCACCCAGACACGCATGAAGAGACAGGTTCCTTTGGCGTAGTTCTAAGTGAGCTGCTCACCAAAGCCGGCGAGGAACATGACCCAAGTCTCGGTATTGAGACGGTAATGCAATACGTTGTTGAGCCTGAAGGCGGCAAAGTCCCGAGCGTTGAGGATGTCGGTGACGATATACACGCTATTTTGATCACGGGAAGCTGCTGGGATGCGCATGGGGACGATGAGTGGATACACAAGCTCATGAAGTTCATCAAAAGTGAGGATACTATCATGGGAATCTATAGGAGGCTCGTCTAACAACGGATAGACATCTGGACCAAACGACCTGATATTCGCTTCACAGGTATATGCTTCGGCCACCAAATCATATGTCGGACGCTCGGCTCCAAAATCGAACCCGAACCAAGCGGCCAGTGGGAACTCGCGCACACAGCCATCTCGCTTTCCTCTGTCGGGCAGTCCTTATTCGACGTGCCCTCTACTCAAGATAAGATCCATCTCCACCAGATGCACCTCGACTCTGTCGTTGACGCGCCGTCTCCGGAAACCTCGGATCTGCTACCTAAAGGCACAAAAATACACGTCTGGGGCAAGAGCGAGCATACTGGTGTTCAGGGCGTGTATATTCACAAGAGGTTGTTCACAACACAAGGGCATATGGAGTTTGAAGAGAAGCATGTCAAGCGACAGTTGGAGATGCGGGTTGAATCAGGGAGTGTGTCGAAAGAGAGCGCGGACGAGGCAGCGGAAAGGGCGGACTGGATGCATGATGGGTTGTTGGTTGCTCAAGCTGTGTTGAGGTTTTTTCATGGGGACGATGATGATGTGGAGTAAGGCGGTTGACGTGGCGCGTCGAGACCGCTGCCAAGACATCTCGAATACGCTGAGCGATGCGTTGTCCACCCTTCATTTCCTGCGTGTCGTTTCAACCAAGAATGACTCTTATCGTGGACACGATAACAAGAAGCAAATATAATGAACAGCACAACTTGTCGCATGTCGCACCGTTTTCCAAATATTCAACACGTCGCTTGAAATCGCCATTCCACACCGAATCATGTTTCAACATCACAAAAATATACAACATGCAGTCATCGAACTACCCCCAGCGGCATGCGACTCTCGCAAAACATCCAAGTCACTCAACATTCTACCCTCAAGCTCATCCATTCACTCCACAAAAAGCGCCTCCTCGATGCCGAAACAGCGCATAAAACCCTTATTCCACCACCGCGTCATACCGCCACAGGCTCCACGCACCGAACTCGCCATCCATATGCAACCGCACCTCCACTCCTCGCTGAACGAAGCCCTCTACGGCTCCCCCCACGGCTTCGGCGAACGCAGAGTAAAACTGGAAATGACGTCCGACCAAAGCGGGATCGTAATATGCATGCGCGTCGTGTGTTCGTACGAGGCCAATGTGTTGATTTTGACGGCGGTGGGGATTTACGGGTCGGATTGGGTGGGGCTTTGCAGACTTGTTGCGGAGGAGGGGGTGGTGTGGGTGAAGTTCGAACTTGTGGGGGGAGTGGGGGAGTGGAGAGGCGGCATCACGCGAGCGGCTGGGGAAGGGCTGGGAGACATAAGAGGAAGGATGGGAGGGGAAAATACAGGGGATGATGTGGCGGTGAGGTTCTCATGGACAGATGACGATGGGGATGGGTTTAGGAAGTCGGTTAAACGGGGGGTAGAGTGGGTTAAGGAGAGGTTTAGGTAGTGCTTCTGCGTGATCATGGGGGGGTTTTAGGATGGGGTGGGATTTGTGGTTTAATACGTGTTACTTTTAGCGTTCTTGTTCTCTTGTATATATCTTATCATACGATTTCTCGCTTGGCGCACTGGAAGCTCGTTGAAGCATGTGCTTCCCATGTCGTGACTAAAACATGTCTGAATTGCTCTTACTCCTATACATACGCAGTTTGTGGCGTGGGTTGAACAAGATTACATGAGCGACAACATTCTCCAGAGCAGATTCATTTGATTTAAAGCTGAGATAGTTCGCGTTGCCTACAGCTAGAAGGTAGGTATGGTGGACGCAAGATGGTACATATTAGCTATGTTTATTGTCTAAACTAAGTTTTACTGGAATATCTGAAACTACTGACATAACACAAATGCCCCGCAACACAGCTCAGGAGCCTATCTTGATCATTATTGATCCGAACTATTGTCGTTGTTTCCAATAGCTCTTTGAAAAGTAAGCCCTACAAGCTACCTACACGCGCACTAGGTTCAGATCTAGGTAGAAACTATTCAGCAATCAGAATTTGTTCTTGCAAGATGACATCAAGGGCATAGAATAACGATCGAAAGAACAATAGCAATAGTACAAAGAGAACAATTAAGCATGTACGAACAGATTGGTATGTGTGTATTATGGTGGTATTAATCATGGAAATCTACTCAAATTGCATTTTCTAACTGTATTCTCGTAACACAGAGATAAGCAGTTGTTCAAACCGTCTAGTGCTTTGATAAATATAGTCTTCGCTGACGTTGAAGCCGTAGTTGAACCAAGAAATTTTTTCTTCCCTGGTCGAATGGCACGGTGAAGAACCTAGTCAAAGCAAGAGAAGCATTAGTCGACGATCCGATAAGCTTTCATAATAAGGGTTTGCAGTAAGTCCGGGGCTACTCGGCTTGAAGTCGGGATGAGTAAGCTTAGCTAACAACGTGGACGTTGCAAGAGCTTGCGGAGATTTCCAGAAACCTAGTCTGCCACGCGTTTTAAGATCTATGATGCGTTGTTCGTGGTCCGTTGAATAATGGAGACGTGTACGGCGGGAAGATGTTTTCACCGCTGTTGCGCCGACGGGTAGGGATGTGGAGGTGACGTTCGATCTACCGCTCGAAGGACCCGGTGTCCGGGTATCTGGATCGGCATTGAATCTTGGTATGAAAAGATGTACAGGGGGCTTGCGGCCGGTAGATTGAACCTTATGCTTATTTGATGGGGCAGTTACTATAGGCGTGCCTGTCTGCCTGCACCTTTGCAGTTGTAAGACGAGATTTCTTTTGCTGTATTGACACAGAGAAAGAACATATCCGAATATCTTATCTATCAACTTGAGTCAGAAATCTCCTACTCATCCTTGTGAAAACGTGCAGTCATGGGGGTGGATCCCATGTCAACGGCGAGATATCGGCCAAGCAGCAAAACTTCACAACAATGCAACTTGGAACATTACAAATCCAAGGCATTGAAGATGCTTAAAAACCAGCTGGTTCAAGCCAAGGAGATGCGTTTAGATAATTCAAATCACACACTTATATCACAAACTCTTTACCTTCTTCATCTTTCACTGGTCACTGTTCATATCAAGTTTTGACCATTTTCTTCGATTTCTAAACATCCATCATGTCCTCAGCAAACAACTCCGATTTCACCGGCTGGGTAGCCCACGACCCTTCCGCAGCTGATGGCAACATGCAATGGGGTTCGTTCCAACCCAAGACTTTCGAGGAAACCGACATCGAGCTGGACATATCCCATTGCGGAGTCTGCGGAAGTGATATCCATACACTGCGCTCTGGCTGGGGGCCCTCAGACTATCCCCTCGTTGTCGGTCACGAGATCATTGGCAAGGTCACTCGCGTAGGCAAGGACGTCCACGACCTGAAGATAGGTGACCGTGTCGGAGTCGGTGCGCAGAGTGAATGCTGCGAGGCATGCAAGCCTTGCAAAATGGAGCAGGAATCGAACTGCGAGAAGATGACTATGACCTTTAACGGAAGGCACTCCAACGGCGAAAAGTCATATGGTGGTTACGCGAAGACATGGCGCGGACCTGCGTCTTTTGCAATTCCTATCCCTGACGGTCTGCCTTCAGAATTCGCTGCTCCGCTTATGTGTGGAGGTGTAACTGTTTACAACCCACTCGTTTCTTACGGTGCTGGCCCAGGGAAGCGAGTGGGTGTCGTGGGCGTTGGCGGTCTCGGACATTTTGCTCTGCTCTTCGCCAAGTCTATGAATTGCGACAAGATCGTCGCCATCTCGCGCTCATCCAGCAAGAAGCAGGATGCGTTAGAACTAGGTGCCGATGAGTTCATTGCCACAGGCGAGGATTCCGAGTGGATGGCCAAGAACGCAAACTCGCTCGACCTCATCATCTCTACAGTCTCCGGCTCCTTTTCTCTCGACTCTTACCTCCAGCTTCTAGACGTCAATGGCACATTTGTGCAGCTTGGTGCTCCAGACGATCCGTTGCCCAGCTTCTCTCCCATGGGTCTGATCTTCAAGAACTTGAAGATTGCTGGTAGCTTGATTGGAACAAGGCAGCATATTCGGGACATGTTGGAGTTGGCGAAGAAGACGAACCTACAGGCGTGGGTTCAGGTCAGGCCGATGAGCGAGGCAAACCAGGTCGTTATCGACTTTGAGAAAGGATTGCCGAGGTACCGATATGTGCTCAAGAACTGAGGAGCATACGAATTTGTTGTCACAAGCGTTTCACCCCGGGCAGGAAAATATGGCTCAAAACAATGATATGTCAGCAGGGCAACTACAATACCGCTTGGATCTGTTAATAGTTACTTTCTGCTAGACTATAGTTGACAGATATTAAATAAGATATACGAATCCCTACGCATTTTTCAATTGCTTCACAATATTATTGTGTATTGGTGGTACAGCGTATTGTTGATAAGCAAAACATGGTGACACATCACTATTTCGAGCCATATTTCCCTGCCTGCGGGTGGTTTTGTGCCGCACAATCTTGAGTAAACGTGCACTGTTTATACCCTGTTACAATAGATAGCATCAATAACAAACTATATGCCTGACACCACATGTCGTTGGAACCACACTGCTATTCGCTCTCCCTATAACCCGTCTCTCGTCTTGTAGATTCTCCAGAACTATCTACGTGTGAACCTGCAGATAACGTTACTTTGTAGGACAAACGTGGCGTTGCGAGTCTTCCACGGCTGATCGTGAGCCATCTCGATACTGAATCGGTGAAGTAACTCAGGCACTAATTTGTACATCTCGGAATTTGACAACTGTTGCTCAATCAGCGAAGATCATATGAGCCCATTCGACACACTCAAACGTACGTTCTTTCCAATACAGGTCCTAGTACCAGCTCCAAAGACGAGCATAGCCTTGTCCATTGCCCGGTATCTATCTCCACTTTCCAACCACCTATCTGGTCTGAAAGCATACGCATCTTCGCCAAACAACTCTTTATCGTATTGCACGACGCTAGCATTCATGCCGACCTGTGGTTCATCAGTCTAAGAACGGACTCGACGTCAGGGTTTGATCATTCAAACCTTAGTCCCAGCTGGAACATGATATCCTGACAGTTCGAGGCCCTTCGCTGGCGCATATCTTGGCATCGGGGCACCAAATGGAGGGAACAAACGTGTAGCTTCCCGGATCACGCCATTCAAATATGGTAGTTTCATTGCCTGATGGTATTGTACTGGGTGTGTAAGCATGCCGTTTTCGAATGCAGTATCAACATCCCTAATTAGCTTGGCCATTGTTTCTGGGTGTTTCATCAAATAGTAGAATATGGCTCGAAGTGCACCTGCAGTGCTTTCAGCGCCAGCAGTACTGGTATTTGTTAGCCTTAACAATGCTCCAGGCTGGTAACATACTCACACTGCTGCCCACATCTCCGTGTGTACTCCCTGTATGGTCAGGCCGCTTTTTTTATCCTGTTCTATCGCAAGTAACTGCGATAGAATGTCGTTTCTTTTTGCGGTGTTATCTTGCGATCTTTCCTGTGCCATGTTTGTTTCTCTGACTGCAGTCTCCCAGATCCCGGCAGCCGCCATAACTGCCTTGAAGATCTTTGGAATAACAATTCCACAATTCAGTAGAAGCGGACGAATCCAAAATGGAGCCATGGCTACAAATGAGTTCAACGGTAAGGCCGTGTGCACTGCGTTGATGTAACCTCCGTAATCGGTGCTCTCTTCCAGGAAACCAAACTGTTTCCCAAAGAAGACAGCGCCGACATTGTCGAACGCAAACCTGGGTTCGTAAGAAACGTCGATCCCAACCCCGGATGCGAAGCACATAAGAAACAAAGTCGACTGGCCGAACATCGGAATCTTGGGTTTAGGATAATACTCACATTTCTAGCCAGAGACCAAAATCAAACGATTCATTCCGGTCTGCGAAGTCGCCCAACCTTTCCATGAAAAGATTTGCTGTTTTATCCAAAGCTCCCTCATTCTTTAGCATGCTAGTCAAAGTGTACACAGGACCAACGATCTTTCTGTAAGCCGTATGATGCTTCTCACTGTCATCAGTAAACATATCTAGACTAAATCCAGGAATCATAGGACGGAAGGTCAGGTAGAAGTTCGTTTTCTCAAGTGGTTGCTGGACACGATATATTATCGGAATTGCTTTAGGATCGCTGGAGTGAACTTCATCCGGAGCGATACGAACGAGGGGGCCATATTCTGTTTTGAGGTATGTTTAGCTAAAGCCATGGTGCTCTTTAATCTTAGAATAGCAAAACCGAAACTCACTGCCAGCTAGTTATTGTTCTGGGTGACATAATCGGAGGCTTCATATTACCTGTGATGCATTGATCGTTGATGAAATTCAAGATCACCCTTATACATACGATACATGAGCCATGTGCGCGAAACTGAAGGCCAGAATGGTCCAGGAATCTTTGCGAGGGGGTGCAAATAGTGCGTGTAGATGACCCAACCAACCCAATACACGACGATGCTCAACATGATCCTGACAAAACAATCCCTTGGACCAGCTACGACAATCGTGTTGGTAAGAAATGCCATGGTGCAAGGAGTGATGGGTTTGTAAGATGAGTTCCCAGAGGATGAGGGAAGGATCTCCAACTAAGTATGGAACAACGTTGGTTTCCTCGGATACACAAGATTTAAACATCCCCTCTCGCAAGCGGCATTACTCTTGGTATATGTCAAATGGGTAAGGTGCGTCAAGGTGGTATCAATGAGTACCACTCTTCTGGTAAAGCCGATGCACTCGCCTCCAAGCCTCCTTCGCCCTTGTCGTGGTCCCGCTGCTCATGACCTGTGGTATGGCTTGAATCCTGACAATTCCAGAGAGACATTGAGTTTGTTTAACCTAAATTGCGAGAAGCCCATTCCGAAAGGTCAGATGCTACCAAGACGGAGATGATGCAGTCAGCTCACTTGCATAAGGATCGTCCTAACACAAGAATTACTCCAATATAAGTATCATCCTGGCAATAACCATTGAAGTTTGCAGGGTATAAGTATACATGCAGCTGCAAGGACATGCTTAGTCCAATCGGGGATAATTGTTGTACTGGGTGTGAATTCCTACAAACCTAGGTACACCGTGGATTTCAGCAGTAATCATGGGTAATTGGAACCCTATAGAGCTGCTAAAGTTCATCTTAATACATAATTACTCGAGGATGAAAACCAAATAGCTGCTATCTGGATCGATCCTTGTGCAGGGCAGCTGCCTGTAGCTGAAAACTAGTATGAATGGATATCGCAGTGGATCAGAGATTGTGATGTATGCAAGCCCATTGCAGGGGCGTAATTACGCCCCGATAAGTGAGCCATGGCCTGGAACAACTTTTTCCTTTCGGTTGCGACTATAAAAGAATGTGAGCGTGCTGAATCTGTCACTTCTGGTGTGTGGATCGCAAGAAATCATGTTTCATGTTTCTCATCTGCGCATATTCTCATTTGGGTCGTCAGGGATGTGGTGTTGCATCGGAACAATTCTATCAATCGATAATGTGGTGGGGTTTGGCTTGATCAGGACTATGCATGCTGATCCTCTCATGCAAAACGACCCCGGAACTTGCAAAGATGTACGCTAAGAACAGGATATCCACTTACACTGCCTGGGACATGAAACGTACGCCACCAGACTACTGCATCAACCATGGCCTCTTTCACCATTTCCCGGCAGACGTCTTGAATGTCAGGCTTGCTCTCACACGCATTACGGGATCACGAATATTTGGATCGACGTTGGAGGAAAACTACTCTTGCCCATAATTTTTGGTGAACAATTTGTGCAAGGCCTGCCAGCTTAAATTGTCAGCTATGGTATCTGGCTTAGTACCATGGGATAGATTCGTGTCCAGTCTGCGGCAGAGTACACTGCAAGTAATAATCCGACATGCAACGAATTCGATTGTGTATACAAAAGGTATCCAGCGTACAGAATTGAAGCACCCTATATTTGGTATTGCATTTTGACCTGCGCATAACTCGTCGGTAATTCTGAAGGTCGTGGTCGAGGTGTCGCCGCCAAAATCTAGACATGCCCCGCTGCACTAGTCCTGTTCCAGTCGTAGCGCCAGCTTTCTGCCACCGCCCCTACTTTCGACTCTATCACCCACACAATTGTACATAGTCGAGGCATGTTATGCTACGAACTTTCCAGCGAGCGATAACACGAGCCATGGCGTCTAGTGAACCGGCACGCGTTCCTATCCCCAAAAATGGCGTTGATTACCGCGGCACTGTGGTCCTTGCGCCTATGGTGCGGTCTGGAGAATTGCCTTCGCGGCTTCTCGCGCTGAAATACGGCGCAGACCTGGTATGGGGTGAGTGCGCACACACGTGCAGATATACGAGAAACTGCTAAAAATTATACAGGCCCAGAGACCATCGATCGCGCCATAATAGGTACAACAAGACGGTTAAATCCGCGCACCTCGACGCTCGAATTCTCACGTCTGCCCACATCCAAGATCCAGGACCCTACGCTTGATCCAGAAAAGCGCGAGAGCATCATATATCGCATACATCCTGAGCTAGAAAAGGGCAAGCTGATATATCAGATGGGTACTGCAAACCCTGAGCTGGCGGTGCAGGCGGCGAAAATAGTCGCAGGAGATGTCGCGGGCATAGACGTAAACTCGGGCTGCCCAAAGCCTTTCTCGACAGCAGGAGGCATGGGAGCAGCACTGCTGAAAACACCGGATCTGCTCTGCGATATTTTGACGAGCTTGGTGGAAGAAGTGGGCAAGCCGTACGAGATTGGGATCAGCGTCAAGATTCGAATACTCGACAAACCAGAAGAGACGGAGGTTTTGGTCAAACGCCTTGTTCGAACAGGCATCACAGGCCTCACAGTGCACTGCCGAACTACACCCATGCGGCCCAGGGAGAGGGCCATTCGAGATCAGCTGAAGATGGTGGCGCAGATCTGCAAAGAAGCAGGTGTTGCCTGCGTCATGAACGGAGACGTCACATCGCGCACAGAGGCCATACAGTTAATGCAAGAGTTCGGCGCTGATGGCGCTATGATCGCCACGGAAGCTGAGAAGAACCCCAGCTGCTTCCGCCCAGACGCAGCAGGCGGACCCCATGAGTGGCGATCGCACTGGAAGACTGTAGTCACAGAGTATATGCGTCTTGCACTGCAGGTCGAGAACAGATGGGGCAACACAAAGTATCTGCTCAGCCAAATGATTCCAGGGAGAGAAGCAATGTATGTAGCCATGAACAAGTCGAAGTGCTATGCGGACGTAATCAGGGCACTGGGATTGGAGGAAGTAGACGGTATGCTGGAGCAAGCGAAGACTGTGGACGAGCACCTCCATCTGCCACCGCCGGAGTCCAAGGCTGACAAAAAGAAGAGGGTCAAAGATGAGAGGAAGGAGCGGAAAGTGAAACGGAAGGAAGAGGTCGAGGAGCAACCTGAGGCTAAAAGGATCAAGGTTCAGGAAGCAGCGGTGGAAGACCTGATCTTACCTTCAGCGGAGATGGTTGCTCCAGCTACAGTGAGTGTGTAAACGATCTTCAGTGGTCGTTTCACAGGCTTTTTTGGGGTTTCAAGCATTTACAGGAGCACGGAGGTTTTTCCATCTTACGTTAGCTTTGGACACAAAATGTAGCTTGTGCGTAAGCTTGCATACTCTCATCGTGTTTCTGCTGCATCACTCAAATCGGCATTACCTAGGGTTGTGGTAATGCAGTGGATGGCCCAAATCTTCGCGTGCTTGACGCGTGACGTCATCCGTCCCCTTTCCCGACTGGAGTAACGCGACTACGCTCTACACACCAACTCTTCACAACCCCGCCCCACATCGCCTGGTACAAACAACTTACATATACGTAATGTTGTATATCCACATATCCCAAACTACTTGGCATGCATTCTTCGCCAACTTAAAACACATGGGGAATATCAAAGCCACCCTATCACCGAGCGAAAGTAGTGAGCACTGGTTTGAGCACTCGCGAATTTTCACAGTTTCAATCAAATCTGCAGCGTATTTGGAGTTTGACGTAGAAGTATCAGACAAAACAATAATCAGCCTAGTTTTGTGATGCAGTATGGGTGCTATAACCTAGCTCCTGTACTCACAATGGAAACCAGTTAGAGTATGTGGTGATAGTAACAGTAAAACTGAGCTATCTCATTGTCTCTATAATTAGGGTCCCGAAATGCTAATGCGGGCAGCAGTTGATCAAAGTTTGGTTCCCCAACTCTGGGTCATAGAAAACTCTTCAATCGACGAGTAATACTCCGCACGTAACCAACTTAGTTTTTGAGGGGTAGCGACGGTTCACGTGAACGACCTCCATAAATGTCCTTCGTGCCGCGAGTATCATAGTTCTTTTATCCCATCGTCGCCCGTAACAGTTCTCCCAGCATCTAACAGTAAAGATACATTCAAAATGACGACAACCTCCCTACTACTCGCCAAGCTTCCCGCTGAGATTATCGAAATGATACTGTTGGAAACGGTTCAGAACGAGATCATTCCCCCAATACGCATAGTAAACGGTGAATCGGTTGTACGCTGGAAGAAAGAGCTCGAAGTCGGACACTCTCTGGCTATATCACTACTGGAAATCCGACTTGTATGTCGCACCTTTCGCGACCTCTCGTGGCAAGTGTTCGGTGAGGTCCTTGGAGAAACCTTATTTGACATCCGGTCGAAAGAGAGCTTTGCGAACCTCATGGCAGCATCTGAATGCAAAGAGCTTGCTTCGTGGACGACAAAGCTCACCATCACTTGCTGCAATGTTGAGGAGGATTGGATGCGCGACATGAATCCATTCTTCTATGCGAACGCCGGTGAAAGTATCCAGGATGAGATACAGCGGATCAAACAAGCGGAACAGTCATGGTTTCCACAAGTGTGGTCGTATGCACTAGACCTAGAGCGTGCGATATCTAACTCCGAGTACTCGGACTCTCTGACCTACGAAGGGATACATGTCTCCATTCTGGCAAGATCTCTCGCTGGTTGTTTACGAAACTTCCGCAAGATCCGAGCAATATGCTATCAATTCGACGATGCACTGCCTCCGCAACGATATAGGAACATCCTTCGGCACAGCCTCGAAGTCAAACTCAACTTCACAATGTATGTGGATACCTTGGCCGGCACTGGTGCCCAGGTTGGGTTGAAACTATTTGTGGAAGCTTTGGCGAGCGCGGGCACAACACCTCGACAACTGGAATTAGCTGTGGAGTTTCCCGGACATGACGCCTTCATTACCTACGCCTCGACGCAAGCCCTGTCGAAGGTGTTCCAGCACGTTGAGGAATTATACCTCAAGAACGCGTATCTTTCTTTCCACCGAAACAACAGAGATCCTTCCAGCGAGCCAACAGTGACGATAACAAAGTCTTTGTTTCCAGCTCTGCGCTCCCTGACAGTCGATCGTTTCGATACTCTACTAAAGGAAGATGCCTTCGTTGCTCCGCTTGCATCCTCCCTGGACCCTCCCACGGTGACGTGTCTCAGGATTTCCCGCTCCCATATCGACAGGTTACCTATGATATCTGGCATTGCTAATTGCAGGAAAAGTCTCCAGAGGCTGACTCTCGACAGCGATGAGCCAGCACGATTCGATAGACTATCTATGGCCATTGACTTTCTCAGGCTTGAGGTTCTAGAAATCCGACAAGGATCTGATAAGACCTGGAAAACTTTCACTTCGACCATTCATCGCTCTAGAACACTGCTCCACAAGGTACTCGAGGACTTTTCACGACTCCCTTGGGAAGAAGTTACACGTCATGTGGTTTTGGGACCACCTGCTTTTGTAGAGGCGCTGGAGATGCACCAGACTGGGGTGAGATCGGCAAACGTTGATTAGAAAGAAGAATATCTGGGGTACTGCGCAGTCATTACGATACTTATGCAAAGAGTATATAGTGGCTATCTTTGACGTGTGGATATCCACTAGCACGTTGTATTTGTCCTTCTGCCTCCAACAGTACTTATCATATTTGTCTTCGTTATTATTCCAGCGTACTCATCAATGCATGATCAGCCTGACATAACATAGTGTTGGGATCAATTTTCAGCGAATTATAGGTATCATAGCCCTCAATAATACTTATGTATCACTGCCTATCTTACCAACTTGTACTTGGTTTGTATTTGTTTCGCACTCAGTTGGTAACCGCAAGCTCGTTGGGTCTTAGCAGTGTCGAATAATCGGAACGTGCTGTGTCTGGTCACTGACGATACATTTGGCTACGATCATCTTGAAGATCCGTGTAAGGTAAATATTGGAAGGTGACAGGGTGGCAGTAACTTGTTGCTCCAGAGAGCTGACACGCTGTCTTTGGTATTGATGTTGGTATCAGCATTTGATTAGTTTCATAGTATCCTCATATGATGTGACCTTCTTAATAGGTCTAATGAGGTGCTGTGACCTGAGCTTTGTCCAGGGCCAAAATGCTTTACACTCCAAGCTACCATATAGTTTACTCGTTTTTACAAGGTATCCAAGTGTCTCTGGTGCATAAAAACTGGAAGAAAAGGGTAATAGTGGGTTGTCATGAAAATGTTCAGCCTGGCTTTTCCAGCCAGGTCTTACGCATGGAAAGGCATGACAAGCTCTATCGACAACGGCATCTATTCCACCCATCTTCACAAAGACAATCGAATACTTCAACTCTGCGACGACTCTCTACCTCACGGCCATACCTCCTCAGTAGTCTGACAAGTGAATTCAAACTCGTGATGTCTCAGCAACGCAAAAGAAACATGCCACATGTCTCCATTAGACATGCAAAAACTCGACTCAACGAGCATCGTCCTTGTGGAGCTCTGATGATCTTCGCATCTGGAAGTGTGTCTCCAGCAAGTCCACACAGCAGTGTTAAGACACAGTATCAAAACCGCCTCGCTCGGAACAGACACTATACTATCCCATGGACATTTTCCCAAACCACCACCCTACACAGACCAGCTCAAGCGAGTTAGAAGGTCTGCCGTAGCTTTCGAGCCAATTCAATTGCTCTTTACCCGTAGTACGTTTTGGATAATATCCAGGGGATATCACAGTATGTCACTGCACCAGTGACGAAAAGCGATACGACCGTGAAACCTACCTACCTCACGCAAAGCAGAGAGATTCCCCTTTACGAAAGCTCTCTTGTCACATAGAGGTTAGAGGGGTGCATCATTGGGGGAGTAGTCGTCATAGTGCGGTATATCAAATTCTTCAAAGGCAGTGACACGCACGCTATGATATACATTTAACTTTACACATCTGGACAACAACGTAGGAAAGGCAAGGAAGTGTTACGCAGATGCAGCTATGTAGAAACTCATCCTGGTATCATTCATATGACGTGAATTCAGAGTTCACTGGTACAGCAACTATCCAGTACGCTCTCACCGCCTATCTTGGACACGACGTCTCTCGTCCCCTATCATGCCGCTCCTCATCTTCCGGCTCAATCATAGCCCCTAAGACTTCGTCATGTCTTCTACTGACACGGGTTGATTCTTCCATATGCTCGACTAAAATCTCCCTTGCAGGTGCATACAGCTTCGGAGTAAGCCCGATACATTCTTTCGGCTTTCTCGGTCGGCAATTTATTGACTCAAAATGGTGGAAGGCTTCCCAATTTGGTTTCAAGAAGACGGGCGACGTAGTCTCAACAGCGTTACCAATACTTTGCGCTTCTTCAGTGCGGTGCATTCAAGCGCCGTAGATCGACGTCCGTATATCACACTCCATGACGCTACCTTACAACCAAAGCCAAGATCGATCCGATGACGTAAAGCCAAACGGAAGAATCCCGCCCATCTCAACGCAAGCGACGCAACTACAAACCTAGTGCCGTGATATCTTCGCATTCCGCCCAGCCAGCCACCGTGACATTGGAACGGCCAAACTCTCTGCCGACCCAGCACCTCTAACGCAGCTCCTGAAACATAGCCTCTCCACCAGGCAGTGGGGCCCAATGACGCAAACCAAAAAGGGACTGACCCAGCCGTTGATTCCCTTCCCCCCCCCCCCCTTCCCGCACATTAACGATGGAAGGGCTCGACGTTGCAGATCTGCAGAATCACGTCGTGGGAACATCTTTCGATTCCTGTGTAAGATTTTCACAAGGCCCGATTTGAACGCGGTCAAGTCGTACCATTGCAATTAAAACATTTATGGGTTTTGAGAGGGCCACAACGTGGTGATCATCCTACATGTCCTTGTAGACTAATTTACTTCTGTCGGCCTTTTTTTTGACAGCGAGGCTTGCTTGCGCGCGATCGTGCGGCTAAACTTACTAGACCCGCTTCAGCGATCTGAGGTTGTTGCGGTTGCGGTTGCGGCTGCGTTTCCCGCTTCGGTGATTGCGATTTTGGCCGAGGTCTATCTTGGTGGTGATTAATCATCTGCCCTCTGCGTGCTAGCTGGCTTGCGCTCTTTCTCATCGCAGACATCGTTCCCCTTTCCCGACAGCGTTAGGTCGGTTGTTCGGCTCGCTTGCGAAGAGATGGGATGGGATGCCACCACAAGTTTCCCAACCCCACAAACGGGTGACTCGCATGAAGCGCTTCCAGACGTTTTCTGCCAGTCAACTTGATAGTGCCTAGTTTGGCCCCACATCTAGCCAATGTTCCTTTGCTGGCCCATCTTTTTTCAAAAGAAGACACCTAACAAAACTTGCAAGGAAGAAAACCACTTCCTTCGTAAAACAAAAGCCAACCTCGTTGCCCGAAACATGTGCGAAGTGTCTATGCACCCATTTCTCCAGAAAATCGGGCCGCCGATTGTGCCGCAAGGATTCCGCCGCCCAAATTGCTGGACATCCGTGCTTTCAATGATTCGCGTGTCAGAGCTTCCCACCGCCGGCGTGGTCGAGTACCTAGCGAATCAAAGCTGTAGCTTGGGCCTCGGGATGTTTCCAGCCTTATGGTCTCTAACACGACATTGAGTCGGCGAGCTTACTGTCGCGCTATGATGTGATTTCAGGGTAGGCGCGTGCACACGTTGCGATCCTTGCAGTCGGACACGAAATGTCCACCGTTGCTCGATGACGTTTGCCTGGTTTCGCCGGATCGTAGCATGGATTGAGGAAACGCGGAAGCGAGCTTCTGTAATCAATGCACGAGGTCTACGATACAAGCCGCGCCGGGCCGTTGGTGTTCTGGACTTTGCATCTTGATTCATCGGCCGATGCGCGTATTGCCCTTCGTTGCACGAGAGGGAATATGTGAATATACTCGCGCTAAGAACACTTGATGTTAGAGCCAATAATGAGTGGGTGTATGGGTTTATGACCAGTGTGGACCAACATCTATGATTCCAAGGTTTTTAATTAATTTTCCGCGCGCCACGGAGTGAACGGCTAGGAAATTTGTTGTGAACAGAGGAATGATGGTTGTTTGTGATTGGCAGATCATCAGCTAACTTGTGGAGCGCTGACATGTGCAACATATGTGATAGGATTAAGGGTGGTAAGTGAGGGGAGACACGCCTTAGCGTTTCATCCCCACGAACATGCAGCAAGAAGATAACGCTCAAAGAAGTTGCAGAGAAAGACCGTTGAGTATCAGGACGATCATCAGAACGTTCAATCGTAGTCGGAGCCGGCCGCTACTTTGCAGATCAGGACATCGGCAAGTGTACGAAAACGGCAGGTGGATTTGGGACGTAACTGGGGACAGGGTGACCAGGGTGATGTATCCAATAGAATTACATTTTTGGAACCATTTCAGATGGTTCTATGCTTCTCCAGCATCCATGACTATGATTGCGACCATGTTTAGCCTGTGGTATTTACAGGGACAAAATTAATAGTACAGCTGCAGTCGTGCATCCGCGATGAACACCAGAAGGAAGGTTAATCCTGCAATCGGGTCGCCTGCGACGTGTGGCAAACATTACGGTTGAAGCGCTTTCTTTGTCGCGTTTGCACATGTCTCGATATGTCTGGTGTTCCCGATCTACCAGTTGGTGTGATGCAAAGGTAGCTGCTCGCAGCATGGGCCAACGCTCAACACAAGGTCTCCCAACTTGCCCAAACATGGTGGTTCCCTTCCTAGCTTCTGATTCGAGGGTCAAATTAAAATGGCCGTGATAATGCAAGTTCCAAGTGTTGAGAAGTGTCGCGGGCGTTCCTCGGAGAGTCCAGGGTGTTGGGCATATTCATCGTGGAAGACCCCGCGGTCTCATGGACGTTCCATGTATGCAGTGCGTCGGCGAGCGCAGGATTTGAATCTCGGCGGCTGCTGACCAACACGACCCTGGTATTGCTTTAGGATCCCGTCCTCTTGATACGGCGGATTTCGCGAATTCTTCTTCAAATTATCGGGCACGTTTGTACATTGATTGATCATCCATCGCAGGGTTGCCATGTTCCCATCGTCTCTTCAGTCCGTCCGAGAAAGAGCTGGCAACAACTTCTTGCCACATCGTTGGAGTAACATAGGAAGGGTTGGCACTCGGGTAGCTCGACGAGGGAGGTAGTTGGCCTGGGGTCCCTTGAATACCGCTAGATTGTGGTGACGCGTTTGGAAGCTGATAGTTTGACTGGGCAGTATCATGTGGTCGGTGATCGTAGTTGGTGCCTGGAGGAGGGGGTCTTAGCGGCGGGGACGACTGGGAAGACGCGCTGGGGGGAGGCGTACCAAAGGCAACATTCCATTGACTGCAAAATGTTAGATCAGATCAAAGCCTTGGACTGCAATAAACACAATAACTCACTCGAAGATACGTTGGGGATTCCATTGCACACTTTCTGGCAGTTGCATGGCCGCTGTTGACTGGGGTGGACGTTGACCAGATGCCATCATGACCAGAGACTGAGCTACGGGAGAGTCAGCCTTCGATCCGTGGTCGGAAGTCGATATTGGTGGAGAGATGGGATGTGCATAGTAGTTAATCTGACCTGGCTGTTCCAACGGCGATGTTTGGCTCGGATGGCGAGGTCGATAATGTCCTTGGTTACTCAATGGACTAGATTGCGGAGCTACCTGCGGGCTTCCATAAGGAAACGATGGCTTCATTTCAAATGGCTTAGAAACATCTGCGGAAAATGCTTGACGAAGGCTATTGACTTGTTGTTGCATCTCAGGAATTGGCCAAGCTGGTGAACATGTTTCCAGAATGCGCATGTGTCTCACAAAGAAGTCTCTGGCGTCGCTATTGATTTCTGGGTCTGGGCAAGTGATCGCGACCTACTCTTTGTTAGGGGTTTAAACGTGGAGCGTATTGTGTTTACTCACAAGATGCAGCATAGTGCAGGTAAGCACCGCGTAAACGTGGAAGCTGATGCCTCTCACCATACACAATATGCCTGGCATGCCATATGTTCTTAAAATAGCCTCTTGAAGCTTACACATATTCTTAGCAGCCGAATAACACGTCATCATGTGTTGCTTCCAAATGCCATCATATGAGTCGGACACCGCATGGAGCTGTGGCCTGAAATGCATGACAATGGAGAGGAAATGATAGCTGTGTAAGTTGGCGAGGTAGTGAGATGGAATCCAGGGCGCCGAACCATCTTGCGGGTATACGATTCGCATATCGTCAGGAACCTCTCGGAGCCAAACAGAAAAGTCCGCGTTGTGACCGACAAAAGCCGGATCCAGGGCCCAGTCGTTCGTCTTCTTCCTCAACTTTCCGTACATCAAGGCCGACAGGTAGACGTTCTTTGCGACCCGGACGTACTGAACAAATTGACGGGCGATCTGGACTTCGGCGGGATCTTGGCCCGCGTTTGGACGCGGCATTTCGAAATCCACGGTGTCGAGATCAACTCCGAAATCATACCGGCCTGTGATTGGTCTGAGTATTGTTTATCCATGAGCACTAGAAGAGACTCACCTTGAGGGCCTCCAATCATGGCCTCAAAGACCAGACACATCTGCCACACCCTTGTCTTGGCAATACAGTCATGCACCGTTGACCCGCAGGACTTGTTCATCTGGTGGGTATCATAATGGTCGTGTAGTTCGAGGTCTTTAGCCATCGCAACTAGACCGACAACTGCCATCCACGAGCGCCAAAAGTAACCTCGCTTTGGCGAAGCCTCTCGGGCTTTCAACAATATGACCATCGCTTGCATGGTACTCAAACGAGATACGTCTCTGAAGCTTTCCTCGTGCCCTGACCTTATTAGCAAAAAGTATTATGAGAGAAAAAAACATAAGAACACTTACTAGAGGCAAGCGCAAGCCACTTGTTGCCGTCCTCAAGGTGGCCCAGCATCAGAGTAGTGCAAGCAAAAATGGCTTCAAGCATAAGGGGAGAGATTGAGTCGCGCGCGCTCTGCCACTGTTGGTAAAAATAGGCTTTGTTCACGACCGGGCAGTAGGGATGGATGTTGGTGAAGAAGTAGTCAAAGTATTGCAATGCTTGCTCTTCGGGAGGCATCATTTCAGGTGGAATGCGAACAGTAGGATCAAGGCTAACCGAGGCTGGCAGTTGGACCTCGTACTCCTCTTGTGCTGGCGTTTCGGCAAGTGACTTTTTCATGTTTGTAATGTATGGTGCTATGCGTGTCAGTGGAATTGATGTGAGCCCATTTCTGCGTTATGCTCACCGATTGCTGTGTGGTCAATCTTGAGTTCGCCCAAGGCATCGGCGAGATTCGGAACGGAGTCGCTCCTCCAGTGGGGCTCAGACTCTGGTGGAGTCATAGTCATGACAGAAGAGGGCGCCGGGCCCTGCGTGTACGTATGCGGAGCTTGGTAGCTCATGGACTGTTGCACAGCTTGGGGCTGCGACATGGGCGGATAGTGAACGGGCTCTTGCGGCTGCTGGTCGACGTAGGGCGAGGATTGATACATGTTGGAAACAGGAGTGGGGGGTAGAGGAGGTGGCATCTGGTGAGGCAGACCATGTTGCATCACGCTTTGTCGTTCATAGTCGTGCTGGGAAGGCGCGCCTGGGGGCGCATATTCGAGCGGCTTCGGCTCCAGTTCGAACGTCTGAGAACCAGTAAAGTCCTTGTCATAGCTGACGGTGGGCGGCACACAATTGAGCTTCAGGCGAATGCAAGCAGCGCAGGGCCATGCGTTTGTCGTGGCCGCGTCGCATTTGATTTTGCGCCTGCGACAGCCTTCACATGCTCTCATTACTGTTGCACATTAGCAGCTGATATGCGTCGCAGCAAGAGCGGCATATCAAACCTTTAAGACGCTTATGTCTATTGTCTGGATGCAAGTCAGTCATGCCTCACATGCAGCTCACACATGGGCCTCACGTACGCTCGTCTACGAAAACATAGGAACGCTGGTTCTCGCGGGGCGGCGCAAAGCTCGAGAAGCTCTGCATCTGAGCCGTCTGCGGCAGCAGTGGCCGTCCGGTCGTCTCTATGGGCATCTTGAGTGTCGATGGGACGAAAGAGGTCGGGATGATAGCGCGGGGTCGTCGGATGTCCACTAGGACGGTGAGGTTGTGTGCGGTGGAGAGCCGGCCAATTAGATGCAAAACTCGATCCGCTAGATGGGGCGGGAGGAACGTGGAAAAAGTCCACTTCAGCTGGAAGGCGCGATGAGACCGTCAAGGGTGCTAATGTACACTTTTACGGCGGGAGCGAAATCTCCACGACGCTGGACAATGTCTGGCTACAGGTAGACTAAAGCGCATAGAGATGAAGAGTGGAGCCGACGTCTGACATGCCGGGGGTTTCAACTGGGAAAGGTCCTGGAAAGCCTGGATCGCGATACGACGGTTCGCTGTTTTGTATGAAGGGGTATGCAGGCCGGCAGACAGGCGAGGGGTAGGCGAAGGACTTGTTGTAGGTGAGGGGATGCGACTTGCAGCTGCTAGGAGCCGCAACCAAATGCACAAATACCTGTTCGTAAGGCGCCCAAGCGCATAAACCCGTCTTGGAGGTGCAGCGGGCGATGGGAACTGCCGTTGTGTGGGGGCCTGTACTGGACCACAGGGATTTGGTGTCTCTGCGCGCTCGGGGGAACCTGAGTCGCACTTTCAGAGTAGCGGCAGGATGCTTTGGCGCGCCATCGTCATTTGCTAGGGCCCGCTTGAATATGAGCAGTGGGGAGAGGTGTCGTACAAAGTCGCCTTCTCACTCAGCTCGTCCAGGGCAATCCTGAGAGTCGTGTGCCCGGCAGTGCCCGGCAGTGCACGTACTCTTGCGTCTGTAGAAGAAAACAAGCATGGCGGCGAGCGCGTGGTTGGAGTGCAGAAAGCCACAGTGGCCGTTCATTCAAATTTCAGCCGCTGAAAGGATTTGCACTGCCTTGTCTGAAAACATAGGTTTGCCTGTAGCCGCAACCCCATAGGCTGTCCTACTGTGTAAGACACCACTCGCTGCTTTCCTGCCAGACGTGTTCTGGAATGCTTCATGCATGCTTCGAAAGCTTCCATGAACTTACAGCATCGCCAGCACATGTATCGGTGCCTGTGTTGGTGCTAGACTGGATTACAAATCCCTGACATGTTACATTTTGCAAAGCTAATTGGGCACGGCAAATGAGAGAGGGCGACGTGTGCATGCCCGGATTGCTCAGCATGGCCTCGGACTCAATAGGCCTTTGGCAGAGTGTTTGGACGGGTTGGACTCGCTCTGTGCTGGGTATGTCATGGTCATGCCATGGTCGAACGCTGGAGAAGCGGTATGTTTTTTCGCAACTTGGCTGAGCTGGTTGGGCTCTGACGGTGCAACACTATCGTGGTAGCATGCATGCGATGGATGAATGTCCATGGTCGGAATCGACTCGTTCCGTTGGGGCGGAAGAAGCGTGCCACGACAGCTTTGCGCAGACACGACTGCAGTGCATGCAGCGTGTGCATCATCAAGCTTGAGCTTAAATGCTGGTTGCATATTGATGGGCGGTGGAAGCATAGGAATTTGTTCCGCCAGACGCCGCATGCGGTATTGCTAGTAGACTAATTACCCTCCTCACGCGGCCGTGGTCGTCACCCACAAGCATGTCAAGCATGTGACGGCCGGAAATCTGGCCTCGGTGCGAGTGCGAAATCTAGCGGATGCTCCCGCAGCAGGAGCATGATGTATGTCCCTCGCATCGGTATCATCAGGCCGCTTACCACAGAGTTCCCGACTTCTCGGCTGGGCCCCCTGACTACGCGGGCCAAGTGCCTCGAGGAAAGCCCTAACGATCAGCAAAGATGCCGTCGACGTCGAGCTCTGCGCCTGTCGAGGGAGACACGGGCGGGCTTGGAAGCACGTGCAGCGTCCATCGTGTCAATCCGCGAGGGCGCATTGACTGGTGGCATCTGGTAGCCTTTGGCCGCATTGGGAGCATTGATAGCAATCTCGCGAGACGAGAGAGCCAGGGTTGTGGTTCTCGAGCTGAAGAGAGCAGGTGCAGGAGTTCCTGGTGACGTGAACCCCTGCCGTGCGCATCAAGCAGAAGTAGAAGCAGAAGCAGAAGCACTCGGATCTGCCAGGGACCTTTCTATTTGTTGCGCGGTGGGTGATCCTTGTTGAAGATTCTCAGGGTTGCCAGCCAATCAGCGCCGCTATGACGAAACTCGCCATGGTGGGGTAGTGACTTCCCGGAACGACTGGCAAGAGGCAAACTCCCCACGACCCCTCTTCCTCTCGACGCCAAATCAACAACGTCCATCGCCTGCCCACCATGGATCTCGACAAGGACAACGCCAACCCCACCATCCTGAACCCCTCCGATCTGCCGTCGCGTCGTGCTGAGTCGGCCGCGAGGAAGCGTGAGGATGGCGCGAGTGGCCTCTTCGATCGTCTGATACCGCGCCACGAATATCTCAACGATCCTTTTGAAGACTCTGCGTCGGCGAGTGATTCCGACGACGACAGCGTGGAAGCCATTGACGAGCAGGAGATTTATGGTCAGATCGCCACGCCTGCCTTCCCTGGCCAGTTCCTCGGCTAACCTGTTGTCCATCAGATCTCATCTCCAACATCTCCGACCCTGAGCATCCTCTCTCGCTCGGTTCGCTGGCTGTCGTAAACCTTCCCGACATTTACATCCTGCCGCCAGTCTCCCCGCTCTCCAACATCAGCACCGTTCTCGTCGAGGTCACACCCACCATCACGCATTGCTCGCTGGCTACCGTCATTGGCCTGGGCGTGCGCGTTCGACTCGAGCAAGCACTGCCACCTCGCTTTAGAGTCGATGTGCGCATCAAGAAGGGTACCCACAGCACAGACGAGGCGGTAAACAAGCAGCTTGGAGATAAGGAGAGGGTTGCTGCCGCACTCGAGAATGGCACATTGATGGGTGTACTGAGAAAGATGCTCTCCACCTGCGAGTGAGTCTGAATCATAGAGGCCTCCCGACGACATGCAGACAACACGCGATGAATGGGTAGTTTCACATCCAACTACACGATTGGGTCACCGTCCTGGTTAGGATCAAGTTGAACCATCAATCCGAGTGGGACAAGCTTTGCTCCCACGTTACAATCCGCGCCATAGAACGCTAGCAACATAAAAGGATATCTGCCATGGAAGAGTTGATTAGGAGTTCTGGTAAACACCGGTACGTCTAACAGCGAGGTCCGGCCGCAAACGTCAGGTTAAGGTTCAAGTTCGGGACAAGAGCACAGCTTGGACGGGGATCTCCACAAGATGCGCCGAATTATATGCTTCTTTTTGGTGGCCGGGCAGGCTTCTAGCGCAGCACAAGACAGCTGAAGTCGAGTCTAGCTAAGGAAATGGATGTCAACTGAGTCGGACCGTTCACCTAGCTAGCGTCAGATCTTGGGTCAGGGGTTGCACTTGTAGCTGCTGCGATCTCCTCGTGACTCATAAATACAAAGTTTGCAGAGTTAATGCAACCAAGCCTGCAGTAATAAGGCCGTTGGCCTTTCCCGCCAATCATGTATACTCCCAAGAAACAATTCAGCCTATTTACTGTTTGATGCTTGTCTCACCGTATTGCCCGTATGTTCGCTTTCGCTCCGACTTGCGCTTTTTAGCGGTTGAGTCAGCTGGTAGTGGCGCTTGTCAAGTCCGACTATCAAAGACTCGTAGTTGAAACATATATCGACGTCGCAGACGACACTGCATTACTTACCGTCACAACAACCATGCCCATACCCTTGAATATGCCACCCAGCTAAACGCGGCTGCGGTTACTTCCGCCACCAAAGCGTGCACATCACATGTGAAACTTGCGCGTGCATGGATCCGTGGTCAGTCAGGGGGAGTAGGTACTCAATCCCAACAAGAGGTCAGGTTAGGTAAGGTAAGCGTGGCGGAGATTAATAGAGTCTTGGGAGTGGAGAGTGGGCTTTTCTCCCTGGATTTCTGCCGGTGGCTGCTGTGGTGGGGTCTTGGACTATCCTTGTTTGTGGGTTTGAGTGGGAGGAGTGATGGATTGGTGGGTGGGGGTAGGGGGTTGTGGGTTCTTTGATGTTGGTTGGTTTCTGGAGGGTGTGTTGGGGAGTTGAATTTATGGGGTTGTGGGTGGCTGGTTTAGTCTTTGTTGAGTAGACGACGTTGTGATTGTTGTTGGTTTCCATGCAGAGATAGAGTTGTAGCTGGGATTGATCACTGTACACTCGGGATTGCAGCTTGGTGACGAAGAGAATATGTGTTGGAATGGATGACATATCTGCGACTATACAAACATCCGTAGTCGTCTGATAATATCGCGTAGATTGCGTACTCGACATCGAACAACTAGTTCATGAAACGTAGTCGATCTGGATCTTATTGAGTTTGCAAGCCAAGTACGTACTTTATGTAGTTCCTCGCTGTTAGCAGAAGGGCACTCAAGACGTTGATGACAATATGAATTGCACTTCTTTACCATCGCACGTCTGACGCCTCTCCTGGTAAAAATACGGCGATTCCTTCACTACATCCATCTTCTGTGCAGGTCCATAAATTAGCATTTCACCTTGACAAGTTAGGTTCATCACTGACATGACCCTGAAGCGAAATGCCCATCTGCCCTCCATGAACGTGGGATCTTGTGACTGGGGCAACACTCCATCTGCTGAGACATTGAAAGACTACATAAGACGACCATTGGTTAGGAGTTTCGCGAAGAAGCCGCATCGACGAGGTTAACTTTGAGACGTAAGTTTACATATAGAAAATAAGCTCAGAGCCGATAGAGACCTCCAAATGTTGAGGAAGCTCCTAGTCTCCTAATCATTGCATCTCGTACTTAACGTGCCACATCAACCAATGATCATCTTGTTGCTGTCGTAGGGCTCCTACCCACATGAGGTGCTCTATCCCTACCCATGTATCAACATAGAGTGCGCCACAGTCCAATGAAAGCGTGACAAACGAGCGAGGTTTAAACGTATCGTCGATTTCGCAACCATATCGTTCATGGGGCGGTGAGACTGACTTACTGACTTCAACAGCCGTTGGGGAGGTAAGTCGTTGACTGATTTCCAGGGACTTGACCTGACCCAGGGAATGTATACGTTTTTCGGCGGAGAGCGATTCGAAGCCGTTTGCTTTCGGACACTCACAATGTGCATCCGTAGGTGAGTTGAGAGGTGCGGGTCTGTCCGACTTTGCAATAAGTCCTTCTTGTTAAGCTGATATGACTGGCATTCGACGTTCACGTTAAACCAGAACAGCGACCAGACGCTTCACCTATCGCACTCAAGTCGACTCTGCGTATAAGAGAAGATGGCTCTGATTGACATGTAGCTTTTTCTTGACCGGTACCACAACATGTCAATAGCACTCACCCTAAAAGGAGTAATGTCGCTATGAACCTATTTCAATCGTTCCATACATAATTTGAATTGATTTACTCCACCAGATTCATTTACTTCACAACGTCTCAATCCTACCATTGATCACTTTCACTCATACATATACTAGGCGAGTTTTGAAAAAATCTCAATTGCTTGATTGTGCATTGTCAAAACGATCGATCAATCGATCGACCAATATACATAGAATACAAGGCAGAACCACCACTTTTTCCAACTCCCATACTCTCCGCACTCTCTAGTATGTACGCTTGAATGGCGGTACAGCCTTGCACTCGTTCTCGTCCAGTGTTGTGCCAACGACCTTCCTGTAGCCCAACTCGGTCTTGCCGTGCGGCTGCTTCTGCCATGACAGTGTGTGTTTCATCCATTTCTCGTCGTCACGGTCAGGGAAATCCTCACGAGCGTGTGCACCTCTTGATTCCTGGCGGTTGGCAGCCGATTCAGCGGTTTGAACAGCGCAAGTAAGCAAGTTCCTCAATTCGAGGGTCTCGACGAGGTCAGAGTTCCAAATCATGCTGCGGTCCTTGATACCAACATCTGCAAAAGTGTTGTCAACCTCGTGCATCTTCTTGACACCCTCGTCGAGCGATTCCTGAGTTCGGAAGACGGCGACGTCAGTCTGCATGACCTTCTGCATGGCCAGGCGGATCTCGGCAGTCGATTTGGAGCCATCGGCGGTGCGGACCTTGTCGATAACGGCGATGGAGTCGGCACCAGCATCGGCAGCGATGGGGTCAGCCTTCTGGCCTGGGCTGAAGTTGTCGCGAATGGTGTGAGATACAGCACGGCCGAAGACGATGAGATCCAGAAGGGAGTTGGCACCGAGACGGTTAGCACCGTGGACAGATACCGATGCGGCCTCACCGCAGGCGAACAGACCGGGGACGACTTGGTCTTGACCTTGCGCATCCTGTGTGATGACCTCACCAGTGTACTTGGTCGGGATACCACCCATGTTGTAGTGGACAGTGGGCAAGACGGGGATGGGCTGCTTGGTAACATCGACACCGGCGAAAATGGCGGCAGTCTCGGAGATACCAGGCAGACGCTCGTGAAGGACCTCAGGAGGAAGATGGCTGAGTTGAAGGTAGATGTGGTCCTTGTCGGGACCAACACCACGACCTTCACGGATTTCAAGGGTCATTGATCGGGAAACAACATCGCGGGAGGCAAGATCCTTGGCGGTTGGCGCATATCGCTCCATAAATCGTTCACCTTCGGAGTTGAGGAGATAACCACCCTCACCACGGGAACCCTCGGTGATCAAGCATCCAGCACCGTAGATACCCGTGGGATGGAATTGGACGAACTCGAGATCCTGGTTGGGCAGACCTGCACGAGCGACCATCGCCATACCGTCACCAGTGCAAGTGTGGGCGGATGTGCAGCTGAAGTAAGCACGTCCGTAACCTCCAGTGGCCAAGACGGTGTTCTTCGCAATGAACCTGTGGATCGTTCCGTCCTCTTGGTTGTACGCAACAACACCCTTGCAGACGCCATCTTCCATAATCAGATCAGTGGCAAAGTACTCGATAAAGTACTTGGTGTTGTGTCGCAGAGATTGTCCATAGAGCGTGTGCAGAAGAGCGTGACCGGTTCTGTCAGCAGCAGCGCAGCATCGGTAAGCCTGTCCACCCTTGCCGTACTTCTGAGATTGACCACCGAAAGCGCGCTGGTAACTATGGCGGGTCAGTATGCTACAGATGCTACCGTGGAAGGAAGATCATACATTTTGCCTTCATCAGTTCTTGAGAAGGGGCAGCCGTAGTTCTCAAGCTCAATAACGGACTGCGGGGCTTCTCTTGTCATGTAGTGAATAGCATCCTGGTCACCCAGCCAATCTGAACCCTTGACGGTGTCGTACATGTGCCATCTCCAGTCGTCCTCATGCATGCTAAACGCTTTCGTCAGCCTCGGTCTCTTTCATGCGTCGCGAGTCTTCAACGTACTTTCCAAGCGCGGCATTGATACCACCCTGTGCGGCTACGGTATGCGATCGAGTGGGGAAAAGCTTTGATATGCAGGCTGTGTTGAAGCCTGCTTCAGCGAGACCGAAAGCTGCTCGCAGACCAGCTCCTCCAGCACCAACAACGATGGCATCGTACTCGTGGTCGATGACGGGGTATTTTTGAGAAATGAATCCAGAGGCTTCCTTCGCCCTCAGAGCCTCGGTACCGAAAATACGGGCGGCAGGTCGTGTGGACGAGAAGGCTCGCGAAGGTGTGCGGAAGCTCTTCGAGAGCTAATGCGACCACTGTTAGCCATTGATCTGTACAATCGTCCCAGAAGCGATGCAAATTCCCATGAAAACCACGCGAAAGCATCGAGACAACTCGACATTGCGCGGGTTCTCTGCCAACGTCGTGGGAATATGGCACACGCCTCGATGCGGAGAGTGCCGGGTGCCGGACATGCGGAGGCGGCCAGACGACGCGGGGAGCTTCAGAGCACACTCACCTGGCTTGCGAACTGCGTGCGACGCATCCTGAGACAGCTCATAATGGCGATAGCCTGGAGTGGAGAGTGGTGGAGGAGGTGCTTGGTGTTTTGAACGCCCGATGTCGATGATGGGTTCAATGACAAACGGGAACCTCTGGGCGTTGATTGGGCCAATCCAAGGCCTCGGCTTTATGGAGAAAGCAGCCTGTATCGTCTGACCCGGCTTTTCTTCTTGAACACGATGGACGTTTGCCCCAAGTCATCAATCATCAAGGTGCCACTGGTGCTTCCCTGACTAACACGCCTGGTCGAGCCCATCCACTCTTTCGCCGCTGGTGTTGCAGATGCGTGACAACCATCGTTGTCGTCATGACAAGTGCAGCTCATCATCTGGAGACCCCACATCTATTTTTGCCAGATATTAACCTACCGACTACGGCACCATCTCAAGCACGATGCATTTGTTACTCCTTTACACTGACCAGGCTTGTCTCAGAAGTAGCTTCAGAAAACAACTGCTCAGCACACGAAAAGCGGGGCTCCAAAAGAGGGCCGCAAGTCAATCTCGTGCAGTGACTAGCGATGGAGATGGCCTCAGAATAGTGCAGTGTTTCGATTTATGTACTATCGCATCTTATTTGGACTGTGAGCGTCCCAACACTGATTCAGTCGATCTACAATCTAATTTTGCATGAGGTTACTAGCAGTGCATGTGAAAAGGCAAAATCACGACATCGGATAGTCAAACATCAGAAATATGGGGCAGTGCACATAAGCATGAATTGGGAATCATTGAATTTTTCTTCAGATGCTCGTCATGGTCGGCATCAATATGATAGACCTATCCCGTTCGCCATAAAGTTCATGAGGAAAGAGAAACTCCACCACCACCGCCAATTTTCTAAGCAGAGGTCTGGAGGTCCTTCTTGAGCGTACCCTCGTACTGCTTCTTCTCCGCCGCTGTCTGGTATGCACCGTGACCGAACTTGGACGAGGTATCGATCCACTTGAGCTCGACCTTCTCCAGCGACCTCCTGCTGGTGTGAATGAACATGGACTTGCGGAGAGTCACGACACGCTTCTTAACACCGGGGCAGGCACCCTTGATAAGAACGAAGTCGTTCTTGACCTCACCGTAACGGACGAAGCCACCCATACTAGAAGTTGTCAGCGGGGTCAATGCATTGAAGAATGTGGAACTTACGGGGTGATCTGCTTCTTGGAGACATCGAAGTCAGTCGAGGCGTTACCCTCATCGTCACCCTTACCGATACGGTAGATCTTGTGGTTGACGGAGGTACGGTGGTGGTAACCCATCTGACCAGCACGGGCAACAGTCCACTGGACGTGGGCAGGATGCCAAGCACCGATACAGGCGACCTTGCGGAGACCCTTGTGAGTCTTACGAGGAAGCTTCTTGGTTCCCCATCGGGCGGTGACACCGCTGTATCCGTGACCCTTGGTGACGGCAATGACATCGATCATCTCGTTGTCCTCGAAGATGGAGCTGATCTCGATTGGCTTCTCGAACAGTCCGTGGCCGTATGAGACCTTGTCGGCGATGCTGCCACCGTTGACCTGGATCTCCATAAGGTGGGCCTTCTTCTGCTTGAGCGGGGTCTTGTGGATCTGAGTGTGGGCGAGGACGCGGACGACGGTGCAGTACTTCTTGATGCGCTCGAGCTCGCGGGTGATGGACGAGCCGCTGCTCTCGGAGTGCTTCTTGGCGTACTTGGTGAAGGCCTTCTTCTTGCTCTTGTACCAGTTACGGTAGAAGCGGCGCTTGACCTCGTCGCTCAAGTGCTCAGCCCAGACGGTGGTGAGCGAGCGCAGACCGCGGGGAGTCTCGATGTAGCCGACAATACCGACAGCGATCATCTGGAGTGCTGTTAGTTGTGGGCCCCAATTCCTCGCGGATCGATATCGCCTACCGGAGGAGTCTCAATGACAGTGACGGCCTCGACAATCTCCTTCTTGTGCAACTTCGCACCCGGACGGTCGAGATCGCGGACGATGGTCGACATACCGGCCTTGTAACCCATGGCGGCCGTCAGGTGGACGGGCTTCTTGGGGTCATCCTTGGGGAAGCTGGCGGTTGCGTGAGCATGCTGAACTTCGAACTTTTCGCGGTGCGGGCGTCGCAATTACCTCTTCACCTTACCCCTGTGCCTGGCGGCGCGCTTTCGGGGCAAGAATGCCAGTGACCCGTGACGGGGAGCCTCGAACTTCCTGTGAGACATGGCTGTTCGATGTGCTGTGGGTTAGTGTCGAGGTTGCGTGTTCGTCAAAGCGAAGAATATTGGAAATAGTGTGCGATGCCAAGTGCGGCGGAAGTCTGTGCTTCTACACTAACCACTTATGTCTTGAACCCCAAAATCGAAGGTACTCCGTTATCCAAGACTCGTCTGTATTGACTGGCAAAGTTGACATCAAAGTTCTACCCGTCCTAACAATAGTATCACTAGCAGATCTTCGCCCTTGGTACCTAGCCAGAATATCTATACCAACTGCAATTTATTGCCTACGTTAGATGGTCCAGGCTAATCCTTCTCTATCACGCGATCAAAGGTGCGAATTTGTCTAGCCAACGTAGAATATTATAGTAGTCTTGTATGTTGCCTGTGAAAGGATATTCGAGTTCTAACGCGACAGAAACCAAGAGCTAGAAAGACCGAGTTGAAACAACATGGGTATATATAATCAAGCAGATCTTGCCATAACCATTGTTCGATAGGAGTCCAGTAAGGCCGTTTCTAATGATAACAACATTCTATGTCATTATGTCTCTTTCCAAGAGACCTACAGCCTTCTGCGATGGCCGCTGTTCTCTGCAACTTGAGGTCTTTGTGATACTATGGCGTGTCTAAATCGGAGAGATGTAGGCGTGTAATAATACTATTAAACTTCGTGCCATCTATCCTAAGCCTGGAAACTGTGTTTGTTGAGACTAGGCTGATTTCTCATACCTAGATGACATATGATATCCTTGCTTTGTCCTTACCTGAGTGAACATGATTCTGGAAACCGGCTCTCAATTAGTCGGCATACCCGGAACTAAGCTGCAGCGAAAACTTACAACAGCTTGACAACTACAAGCACAATTTCCCCAAGATTTAAGCGTTGTACTTGTTACTAGTATACATGCAGCCGACTTTGACTGTAGCATCTAAAATTGTAGTTCAGTTGCTTTGTATTGCTGAGAAGACCCTAGCTCAATTCCAGGTGTTTCAAGTAACCGAGAGACTGGGTTGTCTGTAGAATCAGTTGTTACTTGGGCAACCTTAGCAGGCACACATTCTACGCTCATGATTCCTGATGCAGACTACTTGTAAATCAAGCGTGTTCAGACATGTTATTGTTTCAACAACCATCGATAACCTAGCACTAACATAGCCCTTTGCTTTGAGCATCTCGTTTTCGAAAATGACAAGACAATGCCTTGAGCTCGGTGTCGAGAACAAGCTGAACCACAACCTTGCCAGTTGTACGGCGCGGTGAATTCCGTATGAAAACCCTGCCAGTTGACCATCTGTCGGAGAAAGCGAGACTGTGTTGCGCTCTAGCTATTTGGTCCATTATGGCCATGGGAGGTCGGGGTCCAAAGTTGCTGCGGCGGTGCAACCGTGAGACCTCTTACGGTACCGTCCACAATTTAGCGTAGGTGCCAAGCTAAGTTCACCCCACTGAAGCCCGCGATACCAACTGCCCACTTGTCTCTCGTACCTGCGCTGCTGTTTCTCCTTGCACCCTCGCCTGCTCGTCACCCTGCGCCCGAAGTCTCTCCGATCCACGCCTGTCCCGCTGCTGGCACCGCATTCGTCCACCTCATAACCGCCGCTCGCCAACTACATCATCCAGCACAACCCTGCCCGCCCGCCAGCCTCGACGTCGACGCTACAACCCACCTCGCCCGGCCATAGCTTGCTAGTTGCGATAGTAGCTGTCTACATCACCCTGCAATCAGGACTCTGACAAGTTCCAATCGCTTCTATCGAGTCCCGCTGCGTGCCCCGCAGTCCTGGTCCTGGAATCATGGTTGAAGCAGAGGGCAGTGGCAGCCCCACGACGTGGAAGTTCACGCAGTATGTTTGCTTGCATCCCTCCTTCTTTCCCAAAACAACTTTGAGACTCCGTGTCAACAACTTTACCCCGCACACAAGCATGTCGCCTCCATGGCAGAACTGACCATAATAGGTGCTTCGGCGACAAAGGAGATGTCGAGGATATAACAGAAGGTATGGTCCCTGCCGGCACCATCTGCTTCAACATACGGTCCATGGCAGCTGGGTTTACAGTTGCTGACAGCAGGCACAGCGGACATCATCTCGACCGTCGAGTTCGACCAGACGGGCAACTATCTCGCGACGGGTGACAAGGGTGGTCGCGTGGTGCTGTTCGAGAGGAACGAGACGGTACGCTGGTCTCTTGCAATTTCTACAGCTGTGCGTGGGACTGACAACAAGCTAGAAAAAAACATGCGAGTACAAGTTCCACACCGAGTTCCAATCGCACGAGCCTGAGTTCGACTACCTCAAATCCCTCGAAATCGAAGAGAAGATCAACAAGATCAAGTGGTGCCGTCGACAGAACGCCTCGCACTACCTCCTCTCCACAAATGACAAAACAATCAAGCTGTGGAAGGTATTTGAGAAGTCGCTGAAGGTCGTGGCAGAGAACAATCTATCACACGAATTGACACCCGGAGGTGGGGTTGCTGGTGGAGGCGGGCCTGTCAGGAACCCAAACGCGCAATTCCGTACCGCCACTGACCTGAAGCTCCCCCGACTGACTCATCACGACACTGTCGTCGCCGCCGTACCTCGAAAGACATATGCAAACGCGCACGCCTACCACATCAACAGCATATCCGTGAACAGTGACGGCGAGACGTTCATTAGTAGCGATGATCTGCGCATCAACTTATGGAACCTCAACATACAGGACCAGAGCTTCAACATTGTGGACATCAAACCGGCCAACATGGAAGAGCTCACAGAAGTCATCACTGCTGCCGAGTTTCACCCTATAAGCTGTAACTGGTTCATGTATGCCAGCTCGAAAGGCACTATCAAACTGGCAGATATGCGAGAGAGTGCGTTATGCGACCAGCACGCGAAGCGTAAGTTGCTGAACGCATTACAACATAGATACACTCAAACTGACATTTCGAACAGAGTTCGAGCAAGAAGAAGACCCGTCTTCGCGTTCTTTCTTCTCTGAGATCATTTCCTCAATCTCTGACGTACGATTCTCCCATGATGGACGATATATCCTCTCACGCGACTATCTCACCGTCAAGATCTGGGACGTGAACATGGAGCGAACGCCAGTCAAGACGATTCCAATCCACGAACACCTACGACCCAGGTTGTGCGACACTTACGAAAATGATAGTATCTTCGACAAGTTTGAGGTTGTCTTCTCGGGCGATGCCAAGAACGTCATGACTGGCAGCTACAACAATAACTTCATGATCTATCCCTCAGACGCAGAGAAAGACACCGAAGTGGTACTTCAGGCTGACAAGTCGGCGTTCAAAGCCAAGAAGGTCGGTATTCCTCAACCGATGAACTCATCAGCCAGCCCAACAGGTAGTTCTGGTAAGAAGGGCGGTTCAAGAGCCGGCAGCCCTGCCGCTGGCGCAGGAGGACAAGGGCAGCGAATGAGGAAGGAGACGGACGCGGACCAGATCGACTTTAACAAGAAGATTCTGCACATGAGTTGGCATCCATTTGAGGACAGCATCGCCATTGCCGCGACAAACAACGTAAGCAGCCATGTCGTTCCAAGTACACTTTTCACGTCGCTAATATGCTGCAGCTTTTCGTCTTTTCTGCGTTGTAAGAAATTAGACTCGCGGGCATGGAGCTATTCTCCAAGGTATTCGCGAATAGAAATACCTATTTGCGCATTCTTTGGCGATATATTCCTCCTCTTTGCTTCACTCGGGTTTGGCAACTGCTTGTTCTGCGACGCTGGGTCGATAGATATGGACCACTCATGATGAACAAGTGCGATGATGTCAGGACGCACACGCCGAACAGATGAACGATTGCAATGTAGATTGGACCCACTACCATAACGAATTTGAAGTGGTGCAAAGAATAATAAAAAAATTGACGTCAGGAAACCATCGTTTTCAGGCGTCTATGTGATTTCAATCTGGTTCAACGCATTTACATTGACAAGAACAGTGCATGCAATAGTCTATGGAGAGTTGTTCACATTTAAATGCGTTCATCTAAATGCTTAACTAAATGCTTTTATGTGCAAAAGCCCGAGATTTTGTCCGCAACCTTGTCGAGCTTAACGGCTAGAGGCTACTAGCGTCCGTGAGGCTCTACGTCCTAGATTTCCACGTCAACCGTTTCACCGTCATCAACTGACGACCTTGCCATTCCTGGTATACGATGATAAGTCCTTAGAGTTCGCGTTGATTCAAGGTTTTCTGTTTTCTCTCTGTAAGTCGATGCTTGTTTATCAGATACAACAGTCAACGTCATCGTGACCGCTGTTTGTACGCATGTTTTTGCATACGTTGTCATCTCTTCATTCGACAACTCTTTCCGAAATGCGTAGTCTATCTATTCTTGATTCCTAATCAAATACAGGCTTTATCCTGTGCTTCGTGCCATTCTTATCCAATTGGCCGATTGAAGGCACCTCCACTACACCGACCCCCAAGAGGACCCAAATACCGTCATGGCCGCCCTGGCGTCGGTCTTCGGTAGCTTTTCACTCATTTTTGGGGGGTGCTGTGCGAACGTAAGAGACACATATCCGATATCATGCTTGAGCTAACACACAGTAGGTTTACTGCCTAGAAGCTATTGTAAAGTAAGCTACTAAAACCATCATGCCAAATCTCGAAAACCACAACTAACATCCAGCAAGACAAGAGCCAGACAGTGGACTCCTCATTACGCTCTTCCAGTTTGTTTTCACCTGTATCACGACATTGCATTACCAGTTTGACCCTAATGGTCGTTACTTCATCAAGTCTTCGCCTGTACCATTTCGAAAATGGTGTATAAGCGCGACATTGTTCTTTGCAATCAACATGTTGAACAATTGGGCATTTGCTTTCAATATCTCTGTGCCAGTCCACATCATCCTTAGGAGCTTTGGTAGTGTGACTACGATGGCAGCGGGCTGGTTTCGTGGTAAGAGGTACACGCCTCTGCAAGTATTCTCGGTAGCAATCTTGACACTGGGAGTCATGGTGTCGGCGTTTGCGGATGCTAGGTCCAAAGTAAGAACCTACGCCTTGTTACAAGCTTGCGCGGTGCTAACATGTCCAGGGCAAAACAATGGACACCTCAAACATCGACATTACCAGTGCATCCTTTGAGATGGGCCTTGGAATTCTCCTTATCGCCCAACTCCTTTCCGCATACATGGGTGCGTACGTGGAAGATATATACCGCGATCACGGTAAAGACTGGAAGGCGAACTTGTTCTACTCGCACCTGCTCTCTATCCCTCTCTTCGCCGGCTTCGCACCAGTCCTCTCCCAGCAATTTGCGCGCCTTCAGGCTTCGCAATCGTTCCAAATTCCACCCAGCATCGCGGCAACCCTCCCACCGACGCTCAACAAGGCTCTTGCTTCAACATCGCAGCATGTCATCTACCTCACTGCCAATGCTGTCACGCAGCTACTTTGCATCACCGGTGTGAATATTCTTAGCGCCAACACATCGGCAGTCACAGTCACGATAGTGCTGAACATCAGGAAACTGGTAAGCTTCTTGCTGAGTATCTGGCTCTTTGGAAATCAGATGAGTGGGCTTATGATGGTGGGTGCGGCGATGGTGTTCGGTGCAGGCGCGTTGTACGGATGGGAGACTACGTATAGGATCCCACAGAAGAAGAAAATGGAGGCACAAAAGGGGAAAAAGAGTCAGTAAATCGCAAAAGACTAGACTGGAGTGTTGGATGCAAGAAGTTGGGGCTGGATATACAAGGTACGATAGCGACATAGTTGGTAGACATAGAGCGTGCTGAATGGTTTTCCTGTATACATACACCTGACAGGCTGCGCAAAATCGAGTCTCTTAGACGTGCAATGTGGCAAGTACAGCTGAACATGCTTTTTCTGGTGCTCCAGACATCGTCAATGGCAAAGGGGGCCAATGGTTGTGGATGAACCTGAGTGGTGGGGGCTTTTGAGCTGGACCCTTTGCCGCTAGTAAGGGGTGATGCGGGAAGCTGTTGATCTGGCTTCTGAACATAAGCTCCTCCGCACCCTCCTGGATCCCTTCTCCATCAACTTTTTTCCTTTCTAGTGTGAGGTGAGCTTCTACCATTCCCTCTTACCCCTGTGGATATCAAGTACTAACACACAATCAATTAGGCAGCCTGAAATTGCTGCTCACCATGGCTTCTCCCACGGGCATACGTCAGCGCGCGCCCAAGGACAAGATGCGCCCTACGACGCCGAACACAGAGGTTATTTCCGAAAAGGCTGCGAATGTCATCGAGAAGATCAAGCCTTACAAGCCTGCCCAAACTGGGTCCGAGTGGGACTACAGGATCGCGATGACGATCCTCACGGCCCTCGGTTTTGTGACGCGTTTCTGGGGTATCAGCCACCCCGACCAGGTCGTCTTCGATGAAGTACACTTTGGCAAGGTATGGGATCATATATAACTGCCGCTCTCCAATTCTCTCTAGCAATTGGGAGCGTCATCAAATTTGAGAGTAGGCTGACGAAAACATCCAGTTCGCGTCGTACTACCTGCAGCGAACATACTTTTTCGACGTCCATCCTCCCTTTGGAAAGCTCCTATTCGCCTTTGCCGGCTGGCTAGTTGGATACAATGGCGAATTCCTCTTCGACAATATTGGCGATTCGTACATTACCAACAAGGTCCCTTACGTCGCCTACCGCGCAATGCCCGCCTCATTGGGTGCTCTTACCATCCCCATCGTCTTCTTGATCATGTGGGAGTCGGGATACTCGCTGCCAGCCTGCATCACCGCCGCTGGTCTGCTGCTCCTTGATAACGCCCACATCGGTCAGACGCGCCTGATCTTGCTTGACGCCTCGCTCATCTTCTTCATGGCCCTATCGGTATTGGCATACATTCGTTTCTACAAGCTGCGACACGAGCCTTTTGGCCGCAAATGGTGGAAGTGGCTTCTCATGACAGGCATTGCCCTGAGCTGCGTCATTTCCATCAAGTATGTTGGTGTCTTCACCTTCTTCTCCATCGGTGTCCCCGTCTTGATTGACTTGTGGGATCTTATGGACGTCAAGCGTCGTCAGGGTGCACTATCTCTGCCGGAGTTTGGCAAGCACTTTGCTGCTCGCGCTTTTGGTCTCGTCATTGTTCCGTTCTTTTTGTACCTTTTCTGGTTCCAGGTTCACTTTGCCATCCTCTCAAAATCTGGACCTGGCGACGATTTCATGACTCCTGAATTCCAAGAAACTCTGAGCGACAACATTATGAATCTCCAGTCTGTCAACATCAACTACTACGATTCCATCACGCTTCGTCATAAGGAGACGAAAGTGTACCTCCACAGCCACGTTGACCGCTACCCGCTGCGATACGATGACGGCCGTGTCTCTTCTCAGGGCCAGCAGGTCACTGGCTACCCACACAACGATACCAACAACCATTGGCAAATTCTTCCCGTGAAGCCGCTTGAGAGTGAGACTGGCCAGCACGTCAAGGTTGGTGATGTCGTTCGTCTGCGTCACTTGGTCACCGATACGGTCCTCCTTACACACGACGTTGCATCTCCATACTACCCTACCAACCAAGAGTTTACGACCGTTGTTAAGGAGGAGGCCGCCGGCACCCGCTTCAACGACACTCTTTTCGAGCTCAAGGTTGAGAAGGGCAAAGGAAACTTCAAGACGATGTCTACCCACTTCAGGCTGGTTCACGTACCCACCAAGGTCGCTATGTGGACTCATACCTCGCCTCTCCCCGACTGGGCCTACAAGCAGGCTGAAATCAACGGCAACAAGAATATTGGGCAGAGCAGCAACGTCTGGTATGTTGACGATATTCCATCGCTGCCTGCCGACGACGAGCGCAACAAGAAGGAGGTTAAGCAGGTCAAGCACCTTGGCTTCCTCCGGAAATGGGTTGAGCTCCAGCGCGCCATGTTCTACCACAACAACGCTCTGACCAGCTCGCATCCGTACGCTTCGCAGCCCATCTCATGGCCGTTCCTTCTCCGCGGTGTGTCTTTCTGGACGCACAACGACACGCGCGAACAAATCTACTTCCTCGGGAACCCGATTGGGTGGTGGCTTGCCTCCTCGCTGCTTGCGGTGTTCGTTGGTATTATTGGTGCTGATCAACTTGCTCTGCGCCGTGGCATGGATGCTCTCGACGAGCGTAAGTCTCCCCTATTTGATGATTACACTCTCCCTCACATCCCTGCACAACATGCATCCAACACACAAACCCTAACATTCTTACCTATAGGCACACGCTCCCGTCTCTACAACTCCACCGGCTTCTTCTTCCTTACCTGGGCCGCTCACTACATCCCCTTCTACATCATGGGTCGCCAGCTCTTCCTCCACCACTACCTTCCCGCGCACCTTGCATCCTGCCTCGTCACGGGCGCTCTGGTCGAGTTCATCTTCTGCATCGAGCCTCTGGACCCGGAAACTGCCGTCGTCAAGGGTCACCGCAGGACTGCCTCGCGCCCTGTCCGCGAGCGCGTTGCCACGACCAGCCAGCTCGGCAGCTGGATCGCGACGGGCGTTATTCTCTCAATATCTCTTTGGTGCTTCGTCTTCTTCGCGCCGCTCACATACGGCTCTCCCGGTCTTGATGTTGCGCAGGTGCAGTCGAGGAAGTGGCTTGGGTATGATTTGCATTTTGCGAAATAGACGGCGTCTGGTCTCGTACTGGACGGCTATAAAATCGGGGAGTAAGGCTCGGTCGGGTCGGGTTTAGTATAGAAGGGCGTTCTTCTTACTTCGGAGGATCTCTTTCGCTTGTATTGTACGAGGGGAACAGGTGCGCTGCTTCGTGTAGTTGCTTGCCGTTATCTCTTGTTTGTTTTGCTGGTGCTGCACGGGAAAACGGTCACGGCCGTGAAAGTTCAACTGTTCTTCTTTTTTGTATGTAGGGTAGGTGGGCTAGGTGTAGGTGGTATACAATGTATGATTGCAATCATGTATATTCAGCACTTGTTTCGTGTTTTTGCTCGTGAAATACTCTGTCTATGCATTCACATGGATCGAAGCTTAAAATGTTGGGGTTGCAAAGCTAGGATGTGTGGGTTTGATTGTCTGACCTTTGACGAAAAGAAACCGGCTAAGTGGCAAGGGTATCACGATAGACATCGACAAAAAACCAACAGGTCATGTTTCCAAGGCGACGAGCTCCATTATAATCTAAATGATTGTCCCAAATCCTCCCAAAATGCCCAAATATTATACATCCCCCACCTTATACCCCCAAGAAATGCCGAAAAAAGATTGCGTCCATAAAAGGTATCCTGCTAAATGTTCCCGAAACACCAGTGCTCAAGTGCAAAAAAACGAACAGTACCAGATCACCCCTCCACCCCCCTTCACTTATTGATATCCCTCGAGTAGCAGTCCAAACACCACGGGTCCCCCTCTATCCCAACCTCGACTATGCATTTCTTGCACACCGCTTTCCCGCAGCCGCCGAAACACTGCCGCGCACAGATGTAGCACGTCCGGTTGTCGCAGCGTTTGCAGTCCATGAAGCCGTCGAGATCGCGTTTGCGCTTCGGCGCGGAACTGCAGGCGTGGCATGGGCGGAGGTCGGAGACGGGGTGCGCGTGGGGAGTCGGGACGTCGGGTTCGAGGTCCATGAGGTGCGAGGTTGATTTTACGAGGGCGAGTTTGGGGCTGAGACGCTTGATTTGTTTGATGGGGCGTCTGTCGGAGGTGGTGTAGGGTGGTGTTACGGCGAAGGAGGGGTAGGGGCGGGTGGTGTTGGTCTCGCAGGATGGGGCGTTGCGGTGGGAGGGTCGGTTTGAAGGCGAGAGTCGTTGGTAGTTGCTGTTTATAGCGTTAGTATTATATAAGGCTGGTGTTGTCTGGAAGGTTGTCGTACGTGCTGGGACTCTCGTCTCTGTCCTGCCTCCTTCGCTTGCCGAGCCCTGACGTATGTTGCGAGTCGACCATGATGTTCCAGTGGGTAAGTGGGGTGGACTCCACGCGGCTGTGTGTGGGCGCAGGACCAAAGAGGTCGGACGTGATATAGACCATAGCGGCGAGCTCTCGGTGAAGCGGGACTGAGATGGGACGGGGAAGGAGTGTAGGTTGGCAGTGGCGTGAATGAGCAGCAAGACAACAAAAAGTGAACGTAGGGGGGCTTGAAGGAGATTTACACGCCCCAAGGCAACAACAACACGAGTCGGAAAGGGTAATGAGGGATGGGAGGACGCATCCACGACGTGTTGTGGTCCTGGAGGAATCGGAGCCGTCGGGGCTCGCCTTAGCTCAGGCACCACAGGCAGGGATGCTCTCCGCAAAGCCCAGGCCAGATGTCGTTGGTACGCGCGACTGCAGGGAGAAGGACGTGACATTGACCCCCACCGACAGTTGACAACCTTCTAGCCCCATATGTTATCTACTAATTCTTAGATGATGCTGGTTCTCTCCTGGCGACTGTTATGAATTCACATGCACATGTCCAACCTGCATACTGGTACCAGCCATGGATAGCGTGAATGTCTCCGACTTGGTCGCGCGGCTGGGCTCAGAGGAGGAGTCGGTGCGCAAAATGGCCGTCTTCAAGCTGCAGAGTGCCATTGGGGACCCCTCGTTTGCGGATGTCTTCATATATGAGGGGGGGCTGCCCAAGCTGCGCTTCCTCGCGCTGCATTCCACCGGAAACACGCTGGCGTACTGTCTCACGTCGCTGGCGCGTCTACTCGAACTCGACAAGGGATGGGACCATGTGACGGACGACTTGGTCGTACGGGCAAGTGCTGTCTGAGAGCCATGGGCATATCTACACGTCTAACGCATACAACAGATAGTCGACCTCGTGGTCGCGCAACCGCTCGTCAATGTCAACCGCGGCGCCATGTCAGTCCTGGCAGCCATTGTCGGCCACCCCTCGCACCGCAGCTCCCAGCCAAGCGTCACTGGCTTCCAGCGATTAAGACCCGCAGTCGACACCCAGCCGCAGTTCCTCCCCGCGCTCGTCGAGAAGATCACCTCGGCCGACCATGCCTTGTGCGCAAACTCCCTCCAGCTGATCAACGCCTTGATGCGTGATGCGATAGCCAACCATGTCGATTTCGAGGCGCCCAAATTCATGAAACAGCTGCAGGAGCTGGGCGTGATAAAAAGCGTATACGGGCTCATGCAGAGCTCCGCCGTACAGGATCTCGCACATCCACTGCTCGAATTCCAGTCGTTGACAAAGATCTTGCTCAGAAACTGGAGGGACGAGAAGGTTGATCTGGAGAAGCCGGATCACGACAGGGCAGTCCGTGGTCTGCACACAGCAAGCAATCCTACCAAGTCAGGGGCAGACCCCACAGGCAGCAAGAAACAGCTCCCAGTGGAATGGCGGCGCTTGGGCTTCGACACGGAGTCGCCGGCTCAGGAATTCGAGGTGACCGGATTCTTGGGTCTCATGGATCTCACGGACTTTGTCTTCAAGAACGAAGACGGGTTCCAGAAGCTGCTTCTGGAACAAGAATCAGAGCCGCTCGAGCAGCGTTGTCCGATCGCTCGGGCCAGTCTCTCCATGACCTCAATCCTCTACGAGCACTTCGATGTTGACACGATAGACGACACAGACTCACACAGACATGCTGCGCTTGATTCTCGGGCTGGCTTTGAAAGAGCATTCAAACCGCTGCTACTCCATTGGTCAAGACTGCACACAAGCGGACTCAATGCCTTCATTCGGCTGTGGAAAACTGCAGGAGCCCAGTTAGAAGATTTCGAGAAAATGGAGGAGCTGGTTCGTATATTAATTGAGCAGGCTGTGGGTCAAGCCCCACGCACGAGGGAGGTGCAAGACGTCGAAGAAGAGTTGGCAGAATTCGACCTGAAACGACTGAGAGAGCTTCAGATGGAATTGCTTGAACTCACGTATGAAGATGTGTGGGGACACCATTTGCGGTGAGTTTGGAAACCCTTGCTGACACCGTCTTCACACTGACTCCTGACAGGCAATCTCGTGACGAGCTCAATCACGAGGCTCTTCAGTTCATCAAAGAACAACGTATCAGATGTTTGCTCCAGGGTGCATGGTTTCCAATTGGGGTCAACCAGGCTCCGGATTTGGGGCCGGTGACCAGCAAGACCCTTAATCGTGGTGTGCCTTCAGCGTGGCGCTTTGTGCGACTGTCACACAACCGGCGATATCTGCACTATGCTGACTTCAGCGAGAAGACGGCTGCGGACCCAAGATTGGACGCCTTACACGAGAAGAGTGAGTGTGACGAAGCCGCCTGGCTGTATGGTTCGCCTTGACGCTGTGGCTGACGTGCATGTTTAGTCGATTTGTCCATTGTGTCCTCCGTTGTGAGCAATGTCTCGGCTTCCGCCCCATCGACATCGTCGTCTGAAAATACCGTCACGAAATTGCTCGGTCATGAGCAGGCGTCTACTTCGACAAAGATCACAATCCACGGCTATCTAACTCCCACCAGTAACTCGCACTCACGACAGACATCTGGAGGCTCAGGTGCAGGACGAAAAGAGTCGGTCCTCTTACAACTGCATCCTCAGAGCCATACTCTTGCATCGGAATGGCTTGATGGGCTGCTTATGCTACTCAATCAACAACCAATCACTGCAGACACGAACAAATTGGTTGATTTCATCGGCGGCTACGGACTCAAGATTCGGCTCCTCAATGTGCGTTTTGAAGATGTTGGATTGGAAGAGCCTGTTCTTCCCAGCCGTGAAACTTTGGACGATGAATACTATTACGACATCGCCGGGGCTTGAGACTACCTGGATGTAGTTTCCCACTTGGGGCAAACCGCTAGCCCTCGCGTTGATCTTGTAGCCAGGCGGATTAGGTTTACGCAGCTGCTGGATGTCACCCTAACGGGCGATCGGAAACCTACGTCGTGACACAGCCCCACGTACCCAAACATTGAGCTGCCTTGCCAAGACGTTGGTATCTTGGTAGACGAGGATTTTGAGGTCAATTTTGGCTTTTGGGGGCCTACGACAAGGGCTGGTGTGGGAAGAGGCTGTGTGTTGGGTGGTGAATTTTTTTTAAGATACCCTTGTTTCAACAATCGCGATAGAAAATAGTTATACAATATTATCCTATGACTGAGCTAGTATCGAAGCGTGCAGCTCTTGGTACACAGCAGTGCTCGCAACGGTACACCAGGGGTGTCACAGTCCGTGCGAGTATTGCGTGGCATGCCTGGCTGATGTCTCGGTCCGGCCATGTGGGCAATCCCAGACATTGGCAGCAGAGAAAAAAAAATTGACCGAAAGACGATGACTAGGAACGAGCACCGGACGGACCGACAGGAGCCAAACTATCCGAAGCGGCCGCGCGTGGCCACGACCCAGGAAATCAAACAAACACGGTGTGTCGCAGCACACGACGCTAGAGACGGACGTGGTTATTTGTCCTTGAGTGACGGTGTGGCCTGAAACCGCGGAGGGTAAGGTGGAGAGGAGCGGGGGAGCGTCCTGCGTGTACAACCACGAAGCGCATGGTCATTGGCCTCGACTACCATGTTTGCTGATGGCCTTACGGCCTCCTCCCGTGATATGATGTAGGCCGCTGCTCGATCTGGGCTGTTTTACTCTCTGACAGGGACCTCGCTGCACGCACGCAAGGCCCAGCTGTGAGGTTAGGAAGAGCCTCTGGCGGCGCATGTTGGCTATTAGCTGCAGCTGTGGCATACCGCACGAATATGCATATCGTATATGCCAGCAAACTGCCACTTCTGCTTCTCAGGAGCTGGCTATTACTGCTTGCATCTCTGCTTCTCGTGCTTCTCGTGCCTCTCCAATCTTCTTTGCGTCCGCCTGGCAGCTGGCTGATCACTCCGGACGATCGTTGTTGAGCAAGGCTCGGTTTACATACAGTTCACGGTGAGCTCGACACAACTGGGGCCAGGGCGCTGCCCACGCATATCTTTTCCAAACGCCCACACCCATCACTGGATTCTGTCGAGCCAAAGCCATGAGGAAGAAAGCGAGGACGATGCCGTCCGTTCAGGCGGTCGATTTCGACGCGCTCCCGTGCTCCGTCCAGTACGTATTCTTGCGGATTCGCGGAGGGAGGGGGGGCGTGATAGGCGCAATCGCGTGCATGAGTACCCTCAGGATCGGTTCCACCCCACTCCGTGTCAGTACCTGCAGAATTGGCGAAGATGCTAACCGATGCCGCTGCAGGAGAAAGTATTTCTCATCGCTAGAGCGGTTACAGATCCAGCAGCAGTCGCTTGAAGAGGCCAGGCCGCCCAAGAGTTCTTCAGGCCCCTCGTCCTGCGCGACTTCGTTGCGATTCCGCCCAGCACTGCCCTTGGGATCACGACGTCGACATCGCAACGTCGAAGCCGCCCACCAAGTCTCCCAGTCCGAGGTGGATTTCTATCTGTCGTTGCCTGAGAAATTGCGGAAACAGCATTTTTCGCGTGAGGAACAGGTGCTTTTTTTCGGAAGGCGCGAACAGGTGTTCCTTCCCCACGATCGTTACAACGAGGGTTACCCTGACACCGAGCGAGCACGACAACGCTTCGACGACTTTCATTTTGACTTTCACGACGATTCCAGCACGATTTCCACCCGACGAGGACGCCAGCGGACACGGTCTTCTTCAGCACAGTCTCTCAGCCCCAGTCAGGTGTCGCTCGATTCTCCCACAAGATTGTTTGATCGACGGCAACATCACACCACGTTATCCACCACCACGCCGCATTATTACGAGAAGGATCGAAATAGTGAAAGTAGGCTGTTCTATCTCAACATGACGGGCCTCGAGTCGCAGAGCGTGCCGTCAACGCCCACGTGCAGACGGTCACGAGCAATGTCACTCAACATCCCCCTCATCCACCATTCAACATCCTCCACAACACTCATGCCGGACTCTCCGCTCTTCGCCCAGCGACCCATTTCGCGCCACCAGCGAGCCCACTCCTCAGGCCTAACCGGACGGCGATCCCCGCAAACAACCCCCATCTTCGACCCAGAAGCCACGCACTACTCGGACCCGGAAGCGCGAAAAAAACTCCGCACCTACCTGGCCTCGCCGCAGAAATTCGACGAAGCAATCGAATTCGGATTCCCCTCGTCAGCCGGCAGCGACTCGACAACGCCGCACTACCAACTCCCGCCCGTGACCCACCACCACGCCCGCAAGTTCAGCCGCGACATGCACTCGTTCCTGCGCAACGGCAAACTCTCCTTCCTCGAAGACCACCCCAAGCCCGACGCGGAGAACCAGGGCCTAGACTCCGACGGCGATTCCACCGCGGACCCAGACTCGCCCGCCACGCCCTCCAGCAGCACGGGCGCATCCTTCCGCGTCCACTCCAGACACCTATCGTACAACTCCTCCCCGCTCAGCTCGCCGGGCTTGCCCCCGCCCCTGAACAGGGAAATGACGCTCCGCATGACGCTCACGCGCCCGGATCTGCGCGCCGACGACGACGTGCTGTATGGCTGGCAGACTGCGCTGCCTAAGGCGGGGAAAGATGATCCCCTTGCGCTGGAGGATTTGGTGCTTACGGATGATATGACGGGGACGACGGGCGCGTTTTATGTTAAGCCTAAGCCGAAGGGGAATCTTGTCGCAAGGTTGTTGAAGCGCGCTAGTTTGAAGGCGCGGTGAGATGGGATGTGTGTGGGTTCGTGCGGATGTGGGTGGATTGACGACGGTGGGAGATCTAACACCCTCAAATCCCAGTATTCTGGAAGTTGGGAGGGAGGGAGCTGTCACGGTCTTTGTGGGTAAGCAACTTTCCACCTCCTTTTTTCTTTCTCTTTCCTTTCTTTCTTTCTCATGTCCTCTTTGTTCTCCATTTCGACACCGCGTGCCAGCGAGCGAACGAGCGAGTCTATTGCATTTTAGCGGGTGATTTTTAGCTACGACGACGACAATGACAACGATGACGATGAGGGTTGTGATGTGTCCTGTACGATAGAATGGGGGAGGGGGTATATGCATGGATCGGCGTATTTTGTTTGTTTTGTTTATTCGATCTGATTTGATCTGGTTCGTCGAGAGGTAGGGGTGGTGGTGTAGTAGTATGGAGCACACAAGATGTGCGAGTGAAATTGCATATACTCGGTCTTGTTTAGTAGATATGAAGATTTTATGCTCTGAGTGCTATATACATGTCTATTGTCAAGTACGCCCTGTCCTTTTCTTCTTCTAAATGTAAACCCTTCTTTGCCAGCTTCAACATCCGTTCCCCCCAGCCTGCGTGCGTGTTTGGCTTGTGTGTATATGTATGTCTACCTCCCCCTTACTTCCTCTCACCTCACCTTCTCCCGCCAACAAAAGCACGCCATCGACACTCTATTATATCGCGTTCGAAACACGTATGTGGACCGCGAACCTGGTATCCTGACTTGCACTGAACTGAATGGAAAGAATGGATAGAATCGAGTCCTCCATCTCACGTACGCCAGGTATATATTATGCAGTGAAGCACAGTGAAGCACAGCACAACATCAATGAGAACAAAGTATGCACGACACCTAACAGAAAATAGGGGGATATGGTACAACACGGCGTGACGCAAGGAGAGCAAGAGCAAAGCCCCCTCTCGTGACTTCCATGCATAGCACAGCACAGCACAGCACAACATAACAGACGATGCAAGAAAGCCACGCGTACACCACACCACACCACACCACACCACACCACATCTCGTCCAAGCTCACAATCCCCACACAAAGCAAGCCAGTATGTCATTACTCATAATTTTAGTCTATCAGCTATTCCATCACCACCCTCATCATCCCCACATACCACCCCTCTACCTCGACAGCGCAATATCATCAATACGCAGAATCATCTTGACCGTCTCAGCCGCCAGTTCAATCGCACTCGTACTAACCAGCAACGGCTGGAGGACATTCTCCTCCGCGATATCATTCTTGACGCCCCCACTCTTAATGCTAATCCCCGCATTACGCAGGCCCTGCGCATGCATATGCCTCAATTCCGTAACGACCTTAATACTATTGAGCCCTGCGTTCTCCGCCAGCGTGGTGGGAATGACTTCCATCGCGTCAGCGAACGCTTTCCAGCAGATAGCTTCCGTGCCGTCGAGTTCGCGGGCGCGGCGGGAGAGTTGGTGTGCGATTTCGATTTCGGGGGCGCCGCCGCCTGCGAGGAGGGCTTTCTTCTTGACGAGGGAGCGGATTGCGCAGTGGGCGTCGTGGAGGGAGCGCTCTGTTTCGTCGAGGATGAGGGTGTTTGCTCCGCGGCAGACGATGGAGACTGTGTTTACGACGGATTTTACGCCAGAGACTTTGACGTAGCGGGCGCCTGAGGCTTGGACTTCTTCGACGAGGTCGGCGGAGCCGAGTTTGTCTTCGGTGAAGGAGTCGACGTCTGCGATTGGCTTGCAGCCGGTGCTCTGTAGGGGGGTTAGAAAGTGTTTTCGTTGATGATAGTTTTGTGATGTACCTTGCAGATGAACTCAATCTCCTCGCGATCAATCTCCTTGATGACCATGATCTTGAGTTTGGACAGGAAATGCAGACTGAGGTCGTTTACGGCGTCGCGCAGAATCGACTTTTGAATGAGCAGCACGTTGCACTTTGCCTTTTGGATCTTCTTGACCATGTTGAGCAGATATGTGCGTTCTTCCTTGAGGATCTTGTCCATCTGCCTGTAGTCGTTGACGACGATCTGGTTCTCCATGTCGGGCTTGGGCGGGCTCAGCTGGAACTGGATCAGGCCTATCCGCGCCTTTTCCTTTATTGTGGGCCCGCCGGCGCTCTTGACTACGGGCTGGGTGAGGACCAGGCCGTCGATCATCTCGCTGTCCTCGATGGTGCCGCCGGCCTTCTTGATCATGCGGATGTTCTTCAGGTCGACGTTGTCGGCCGTCTTGGAGTCGATGACCTTCAGGACCGAGTCGACGGCCATGATGGGCAGCTTGGGCTCCGAGGCGACGATCTTGGAGGAGAGGGCGGTGACGGCCGTCTTGAGCAGGGTCGGGCGGTCGGAGAGGGCGATGGGGATGGACATGTCGGTCAGGATCTGGATGGCCTCCTGGGCGGCGCGCTGGAAGGCCTCGGAGATGACGGTGGGGTGGATGCCCTTGCCCAGCAGGCGCTCAGCGGCGCCCAGCAGGCTCCCGGCAATGACCACGACCGACGTTGTGCCGTCGCCGGCCTCGATGTCCTGGGCGTGGGCGAGGTCGACGAGCATCTTGGCCGAGGGGTGCAGGACGCTCATCTGGTTCAGCATGGTGGCGCCGTCGTTTGTGATGATGGTCTCGCCGCGGCCCGTCTGGATCATCTTGTCCATGCCCTTTGGCCCCAGCGACTGGCAAGGTATTAGCAGCGTCGACTCCCCCGCACTGCAGCGAGGGACGTACCGTTCGGATGGCATCTGCCACGGCTGTGCGTCTTGGGTCAGCGGGGAGCTCCAGTGGGGTGGGCCGAGGGCGCCGTACCTCTCGCCGCGATAATGTTGGCACTGCGCACCGCCTTGGGCTTCTCCTTGTCCTGCAGCCTCTGTCAGTCGCTGCGTGGTGAGCTCCCAGCCTGCCGTGCCCACCTTGAAGGCCGCGTTTCCGCCGCCGCCTGCTGAGACCTGGGCTGCCATTGTGTGTGGGTGCGAGAAGGAAAGGCAAAAGGAGGGGTATCGTCGTGGTGGAGCGGGGAGTTTGGCGGTCCCAGAACTTTCGGCGACGACGCGCAGTCGACAATTTCGCGGCGAGGGCGGCCGTCCAAGCTCCGACCCCCGACGGTCGATTGCCTCACAGCTGCCCTGCACCAACACAGCACAACACGACACCACTCCGCCCTGCCACAGCGTATACCGGTTCACTGCCCTCTCCGCCACCACCATCACCACCGCCGTCACCGCCGCCATCCCCACGCAAACCCCGACACGCACCCTGCCCGCCGTCGCTCCACGCCGCCGCCATGCCCAGTGCCACGGGCTCCAGCTGGGAGAAGTACCAGAAGAACTTCGCCGACGACGAGGTCGAGGAGAAGAAGATCACGCCGCTGACGGATGAGTAAGCCGCCGCCTGCTGCACCAGCGCGGTGAGACGTGTGGGCTAAGCATGCGACAGGGACATCCAGGTGCTGAAGACGTACGGCGCGGCTCCCTACGGCGCCGAGCTGAAGAAGCTCGAGAAGGAGATCAAGGACAAGCAGCAGACAATAAACGAGAAGATTGGCGTCAAGGTAGCCACCACACATACTTCCACCACAGCACCACGCCCGCTCACTCCCCACAGGAATCAGACACGGGCCTCGCTCCACCACATCTCTGGGACATCGCCGCCGACCGCCAACGCATGCAGGAGGAGCAGCCCCTCCAGGTCGCCCGCTGCACAAAGATAATACAGGACGACAAGGACGCCGAGAAGAGCAAGTATGTCATCAACGTCAAGCAGATTGCAAAGTTCGTCGTCAACCTGGGCGAGCGCGTCTCCCCCACCGACATCGAGGAGGGCATGCGCGTCGGCGTCGACCGCAACAAGTACCAGATCCTGCTGCCCCTGCCGCCCAAGATCGACCCCTCGGTGACGATGATGACGGTCGAGGACAAGCCCGACGTCACATACGGCGACGTCGGCGGCTGCAAGGACCAGATCGAGAAGCTGCGCGAGGTCGTCGAGATGCCCCTGCTATCACCAGAGCGCTTCGTCAACCTCGGCATCGACCCCCCCAAGGGCGCCCTCCTCTACGGCCCCCCCGGAACCGGCAAAACACTCTGCGCCCGCGCCGTCGCCAACCGCACAGACGCCACCTTCATCCGCGTCATCGGCTCCGAGCTCGTCCAAAAGTACGTCGGCGAGGGCGCGCGCATGGTACGCGAGCTCTTCGAAATGGCCCGCACAAAGAAAGCCTGCATCATCTTCTTCGACGAAATCGACGCCGTAGGCGGCGCGCGCTTCGACGACGGCGCAGGCGGCGACAACGAAGTCCAACGCACCATGCTCGAACTCATCACACAACTCGACGGCTTCGACGCCCGCGGAAACATCAAAGTCATGTTCGCCACCAACCGCCCTTCCACCCTAGACCCCGCTCTCATGCGCCCCGGCCGCATCGACCGCAAGATAGAATTCTCCCTCCCTGATATGGAGGGCCGCGCGAATATCCTGCGCATCCACGCCAAGAGTATGAGCGTCGAGCGCGATATCCGCTGGGAACTCATCTCCCGTCTCTGCCCTAACAGTACGGGTGCGGAGCTCAGGAGTGTTGCGACGGAGGCCGGTATGTTTGCTATCCGTGCGAGGAGGAAGGTCGCGACTGAGAAGGACTTTTTGGCTGCTGTGGATAAGGTTATCAAGGGTAATCTCAAGTTCAACTCTACCGCGACGTATATGCAGTACAATTAGGCTGCTTGGGATGGACATGGCTTGTGAAGGGCAGGCTGCGGATGGGGGGGTTTATAGATGGCTCCATGGCGCTTCTTATGCCTGTGGGTTATAATGCATGGATGTGAATCACTGCTCGTCTTGTGATGTGTCAATTATATCCCATACACGCCACTCATTCATTCGTTCATTCATTCAATTCGTTTATTTCATTCCACCTCCCCCCCAACCACCCTACTCCTCCTATTCCTCCTCCCCAGCATCATCCCTCCCCCCCAACCCCCACAACCACCACCTCCTCCACCTCAACAACACTCTCCGCATCCGCGCCCCTCCCCCACCCACCACTCCTCCGCCTCGCCCTCCCACTCACCACCCCCGGAAAAATCCTCGGCTCCCCATCCACCGCACCACTACTCGGCGACCTCGCCAGCCCCAATCCCAACCCCTCATCCTGCGTCTGCGTCTGCAGTAGCCCCACCCCCGCCCCCTCAGCCGCCGAAGCAGAAGCCGAGGGATTAAGTCGCGCCTGCTGCGCCGGGAACAGCGGGCCCGACACAGCGCTCGAGGGCAGGCGGTCGAAGTGCACGTGCTCCTGTGCTGTTGTTGCTGTTGCCGCTGCCGTGGAGGTGGGGGAGGCTGTTTGTGAGCGCGTTGTTTGTGGGGAGAGGGGTGTGGGGACGGGGTTGTCGTGGAGGTTGGAGCGGGTGAGGGAGTTGGAGCTGGATGCTGCGGCGCGGGTGTAGCGGTCGATCCTTTTATCTGTTAGATATGTGTGGGATACGGGGGGATGAGTAAGTGAGGGGGGACTTACATAGCAAGCTCCTGCATATGCGTCTCGTGTCTGAATTCCTCACGGACACTGGGCACGTTTGAGCGCGCCATGTCGTTTCCCGCCACGCCGGGGAGATGGTAATTTTTGCCCAGCCATTTCTGTTTGACGATGTGTTCGAAGCCGCTTTGTTCGACTGAATGTTTGGCGAGCTCGCACATGTCCACGGCGCTGAGTTTATAGATTTGCGCGGCGACGGAGTATTCCTCGATGAGGGGTTCTTTAGTGAAAGCGAACTGCAGGGGGTCGTCTGTGGAGAGAGACACGTTGAGGCCGCGGCGGAAGTAGCTCAAAAAAGGATTACGCTCGTAGGCTAGGAAGAGGGCGTTGTTGCTGAGAGGGGACATGGCGACGCCGATTTGTTCCAGGTAGAAGATGTATTGCAGAAGAGGGACTTTGCGGAGAAGTAAGCCGTGGCTGATGCTGTGGGCGCATAGAACGGCTGCGGCTAAATGGTCTGTGTCGCCTGCTTCTCCGCAGTGAGGGCGGAGCAGGAAGGTGTTGAAGCCTCGCTGTTTTCGCCAGACGTTTAGGGATGCGATGTTGGCGAATAGGTAGTACATCCAGTAACTGTACGGCGGGTTCTGCTTCGTCTGCCACTCCTTGGGGAATGGGAATTTCTTGTACACTCGTCGCTCCACCTTACTCTCGTCATCGACACTATCAAAGCCAATGACTCTCTGCAGGAAGATGTGGAGCTTGGGATGGCTTGTCGGGTCTTTGGTGACCTCGAAAAGAGGTCGGAACAGGTTGATAATGACTTGTTCAAAGTTGCCCATCAGACCGGTCGCCTTGTACACGTCGAACAGGCGGGGAACTTGGATGAGCCATCGTACGTTGGGCGAGAAGAGCTTATTATCAATCACCCAAGCGGCGAGATTATCCCACTCATCGATATCACGACCGTAGATGGAGATGCGCCACTCGACAAACTGGTACTTACTCGACTCCAAATCAGAGATGACTTCTTTGGTGATCTCCGCCAGGTACCGGCCCTTGATGAAATTGTCTGTTTTGAGGAAGATAGTCCTCAAACGTGATTCCCCGACAGGATTATACTTCAAGTTGAACTTGTCGAAGCGATGGAAAGAGTCTGTATGTGCGTGCATATCCAAGGTATCGATACTAAGATCGTATGCGGTCAGATTGATCGACTCAAACACCTCCTTCAACGTAAGGTGCTTGCCGTCACGGAAGAGCACCACCTCATCAGGCGACTTCTTCATCTTCGACTTGATGAAACGCAGCAAATGCTTCTGGTTCATGCACGCAGAATGATGAACGTGCGTATCGACTTTTCGGACATTGTAAAAGTCCCTATGAGGCACCTTCTTGCTGTCGGCTACCTCCTGGTATTCATTGAGAAGATAATAAAGATTGAACTTGCCCTCAAGATATTGAAGACGTCGAAAGGCAAAACTCTTACTTGGCCCATCAGACGAGATCTCCAGGATCGAGTCAAGGTCCATATAGAACTCCCGCAGAGTTGGAATCGACACAATAGGCGTGTCGAGCTCTGCAGACTTTACAGTCTCGTACACCTGAAATACACCGCTGCCATCTAAGCGGAAAGACATTTCTGCAGCGCCGGGAACGGGGAGCAAATCGTCGATGTGGAAATCCTCTCCAATGTTCGTACCCATCTTTCGGGGTGCTTTGGCCGGCTCCGAGGGCTCCAAAATAGCACTGTTCTGCATGCTGCTAGTCCCAGCATTGCGACGTTCTTTCGAGGAGTCGTTCCACACAGGCTCTGGGTGAGGAGGGTAGATGCGCCAACCCGGTTCATCCTTGGGGCTGTCGAAATTGCGCTGAAGAGACAAGCGTATGTATTTATGGCGGAGATCAAGCACCTTCTGTACGTTGGTGTATATAGCAGTAAGCTCGGCGGTAACACTCGAATCCGACATGGCGAAACCTCCTGGTCCTGGTCCTACTCCTATACCCGCACCAGCGCCGTGGATTCCCTCGTCGGCTAGTAGTGGTTTCTCTTCGTGGGGAAGCGCAGGATGTCTTGGGTGGGATTTGGCTTGTTGGTCGGCCTGGAACGAGGGATCTGCTTCGCCATGGTTGCCTTGCAGATTCGTGCTATATGAACGCTGCTCCTGTGACTGCTCGGCCTGTGACAAGCCGATGGGAAGCGTGGCTCGGTGACCATGCGCAAGACTGACATTACTCTTCCGCGAGCGAATGCTGGCTGCCCCGCTCATCACGTCGACGCCATCTCCAGCACCAAAGTTTGCGGGGAATGTCTTTGCGCGCATAGCTGGGCTGTGTGTGTCCCCCGACTGTGAGCCTCCATACTGCGTCTCCAGTTGGTGACGCTGGTAGAATTGCCTTGCTTCGGTATGGCTCATCTGTTTTTCTGCGGTATAGTCGTAGAAGGCGGTCCGGCGCTGCTTATCGCGGGGAAGCATCCTGGCTGAGCCATTGTCGTCGTCTTCTATATTGGCGTCGGTCGTTGCAGTCGCACCAGTATCCACCTGTGTACGCCTCCCACTCTCGATTTCGAGGTCAGAAGACTCGGGACTCAGCTCGTCGTCTTCAGAGGAGGGGATCTCGTCAGCATGGGTAGGCCCCATGTCTGGAGAAGCATCTCCGTCTGCAGAAAAGGCGCCTGAGAGCACGTCAGTCTTGCATTGGCAGAGAGAAATCAATCCGGCGTGTACTACCTTTGTACATGGTGCTGTGTCGAGGTGCAGGTGGTAGCTGCAGCAGCGACCACAAGTGTTTAGAAGAGCTGGTGCCAAACCAAACCACTCATCGGAGGGGCCCGATGCGGCGAGCCCACAACAGCTCACGCCGTATTGGGTGGATCATCTTATTACTAGTAGCTCTGATCTTACGAAATATCCATCAAACTGCCAAGGGTCGTGGATTGAGTAACAAATCGAGGTTTACGAGCTGCGACAGCTCTAGTTTAGGCCCCTCGCTCCTTGCGCCTCGGCTCGTGAAGCTTTGGGAATGGTGGGTGTCTGTAGATGAGGTCATCTTATCCAGAACTACCATCTTATGGCACGATTGGAAGAGTTTACAATTGCTGATGCAATTAACAACAGCAGACGTTACGATGAAGTGTATACTCCAGTGCATATTGTGCACATTCAAAGGCCTGTGAACCTCTATCTAAAAGCACGGCAGGCGATCAGCCATACCCTTCATCTTAAACGCCTCCATGTAGTTTCCATATACAATCCAGGCCGACTTCCACATTGCGTGTGCCAAAACAACAGCTATGACCCGAGCTCCCTCCCTCCCATTCATCCTTCGAGATCCTGACCTTCCGCTCCAGCAGCCAGTCATCAGATCTATGCAACATCTTCTCATCCACCTCAGAACTCAAACTCGCCCCGAAACTTCTCAACATCCATACCCGGGCCCACTATATCCGATAGATCTCTCCTCCCCATCTGCCCAAACACCCTCCTTAGTGTGTCGTAAAGATTTGTGCTCTGGTTCTGGTGGATCATGTTGTCGAGCTGGCTCTCCGAAACGCCGTCACCCACAACCTCCCTGGCCTTCTCCTTACCTTCTCGCTCAACAACCTTGTGCATAGCCAGTGCGCCAAGTAAGTGTTGTGCCGCTTCGCTAAAGCAGCCGATGTTGATACATGACACACCAAGGTTGTAACGGGCGCGCACAAAGTTTGGTCGGAAGGCAAGCGCGCGCGAATACGCGTCTATAGCTTCTTCGCTGCGTCCTGAATTCGCGAGGGTTGCACCGAGTCGGTTCCAGAGGAGATGGACTTGTGACGATGAGTTCGAGACGCCGGATTCTGTAGAAGCGAGCGCAGCGCCGAAACAATCAACCGCCTTGTCGTACTCCTCCACGCCATAAAACAACACACCTAGGCCGACTTGAACGTCTGGGTCCATCTGCTCGCCTGTTGGTGATAGTTGTGCGGCCTGAATGAAGAGATTCGTGACTTTCTCGTGCAGGAGGTGGCGGTCTGTGAAGCCCATTTCTGCGTCGGAGGAGAGGGGTTCGTGGATGAGCGACGGGTATTTCGTAGCGAGCCAGCGCTCAAGAGTCCGATATGCGGTGCTTTCGTAGCCTTCGTTGGTGTATGATACTGCGAGACCCATCAGAGCCTCCAGATTCGACGGGTCTTGCTTCAGCGCGTGTTCGAGTGCGCGAATAGCTGGTGTTTCCTTCTCGTTTTGTGCTTGTGCCTCTCCCAGCTTTGTCCACGCTGCGGTGTGGGTAGGATCTTTCTGCACTGCTGCTTCAAAGGCTAGTGCCGCCAAAGACAGATTTCCGCCGTCTTCCATGATCTTGACACCCTCTTGGAAAGGGTTTGTGACGTCCTTGAACAGGTTATCCTGCTCAAACAGATAATCGCCCATAGCAGGATTGTGAACAGTGTGCGTGTTCAACCCGTCGAAGCCCTCCCAATGGTCCAGGTCGCCCATGTTCATCCCGTCGGCAAAGTTCTCGTCGTTGGCAAGTTGCCTAGCGTGTTCAGTCTCAGCTTGGATGCCCTTCCAGACAGACTCGAAGTCGTCGAAGTCAGGGGCCTCGAGATCAACTGACCTGTCCATTTCATTCAGCTCCGCCTCTATGTGCTTGTTCGCCTCCTCGTCCAGCGCATCAAGATCCTGCTTATCCGTCTGTTCTAGCGAGGCAAAATGTGCTTCCCAGTCCTGGTCGTCGAGCTCGACCATGCGACCCTTGCCCTTGCCCGAATCTTGCATGGGCTGCTGGAAATTCTGTGGCGCATATGGCTGCGGCATCATGCCCATGCCCATGCCATTCATGCCCATTCCCATGCCGTACATCGGAGGCTGGTATCCCATCATTGAGGGCTGAGAGGCGTTCATAGGGCTTGCCGTCCGCGCAGAGGAATTCGCCTGCTGGAATTTTGCAAAGTCGGCGGGACTGAAGCCTGCTGGTCTCTCCTGCATCGACGGTCCCATGTTCGAGGCCTGCATCCCCGGGTCGAACTCTGCTGCCCACGCCGGCGATCCACTGTGTTGCACGCGCTCCAGCTCTCTCCGCATATGCTCCATCGCGAACGGTGACGCGGGCCCATGACCTTGTGGGAGCTGCGCGTTCTGCTGCATGAATTCGTTCATCATCTGAAGCACATATTAGCTGGCATCCTCCCCGAAGTCGCTCGGTGTCTCCAATAACTCACTCCATCCGAACCACCGCCCATCTGCTGGCTTCGCATGCCCTCCTGGAGCCCGCCAGGTCCGCGTCCGACCAGGCGGTCTCTCTGTAGGGACTTGTCATCCTGAACGTGTTTTGTGAACTGGCTGAGCGGGTTCGCCGCCGTCGAGCACTCTGCGCCGCCGAGGAAAGACATTGCAGGAGACAAGGAAATTCAAAAGTTGGGCTGTTGGTGTATCGCAAGATATGCCTATGTAGAAAGATAACACAGCAGTAGTGTCAATGTATAAACAAGGCGGCTCGCATCGCCCAGTCAATTGATCAGCAAGGTTGGGGTAGGTAGTGGGGCTGAGAAGCCGAGGTCGCGTACCGTCGTGGCGACCCGAATATACGAATGTGAGTGGCTACGGTGCACGTCTGTCTGAATTGAATCACCAACGCTGACCAAGTCGGCTGATGGTAATCTTGTTCCTGCATTACGGTAGGAGTAAATCACATGTGAATTTTCGTGGATGCGCAGTGAATAGTACGTGAGACATTACAGTACGTGAGGCATTACAATACGTGTCGCATCATGTCCAACCCACACATACTCATGCTGTGTGTACTAGAAGAGTGGTGAAGGAACGCCATGCTCCTCTACTATGATACAAGCAGTCCAAACTATCAAGACAATGTGAAAAGAACACGGTAGAAGATTCATGTCCGCAACTCGTACGGATGCCAGTCCTGTCCCTTTCGACTTTTCGTAGTAGTGAACTCCAAAACGCGTAAGAGAGTCTACTCCTGGGGAGAGTCCCTGCGCCTGTCCCTACGATCCTCACGGTCTCCACGGTCTCCACGGTCCCCACGGCCCCCCCTGTCACCAGCATACCTGTCACCGCCGTCCCTACGGCCTCCCCGGTCACCGTCCCGGTCACCTCCCTCCCTTGCGCCAGACCTGCTGAAGTCGACACGGAGCTGCCTTCCGTAAATGGTCTTCTCCTTCAGAACCTCCCTGGCCTGAGTAGCACTAGCAACGTCGATGAAGTCAGCGTGAGCGAAACCCCGCGGTTGGCCGGTTCTCCTGTCGATGGCAACGCGAACGTCCATGACGTTACGGATGTCACGGAATAGATCGTTCAGGTCCTTGTCCGACATCTCGAACGACATGTTTCCAATGAAGAGGGTCTTGGAGGGGGGGTTAGATTCGTAGGAACCGCTGGCGCCGAGAGTCTTGGAGTTGGTTTTGGGACGGTGGAACTGAACGACGAGGTTGCGGCCCTCAAAGACTTGCATGTCTAGGTTGTCGACAGCCGTCTGGGCATCGGCCACGCTCTTGAACTCGACGTATCCAAATCTACAAATCATGTCAGCTTTGGGTTGTCAATGGGAAAGACATAGGACTTACCCTCTGCTGAGACCTCTGTTGTCGTAGACGAGCTTAACGCTCTCAATCTCACCGAACCTCGAGAAGACACGCTTCAGCTGATCCGTAGTGACTTCGTAGTACAGATTGCCGATGTAGAGCATGGTGTTGGGCTCGGCCGGGGTTGTACGTTCCCTGCTCCTTCGTTGGTCGCTCCTGGGAGAGTCTGCGGCCTTGGCAGCGGCGTCCAGAGCATCGATTCCGATGGTAGCAGAAGCGTCGGTGGGCTCTGCCTGCACTGCTGCTTGCGCAGGGGTCAAGTTCTCCTCGACAGGTGCCTCTGTGGCCGTCTGGGCAAAGTTCTCGGGAGCATCAGATGCGGCTGCCTGGGACGCATCGTCGCTAGCGAACCTCTTCTGGAAGGCCGCTATCGACCATTGCTGCTGTCGCGTGCGGAAAGCAGCGGGTGTGAATGTGGCGATGGATCGCGGCTGTGTGAAAAGCGCCTTCGACGGCGATGCGCTGATCGCACGAGCAGCGGTTCGGCGGAGGAGATACCTGCGATTACGCTGTCAGAGAAGGGAAATCAGCTGCAATGACAGTGGTACTTACATGATTGAGGTCGAGTGCGGATTGGAAAGTTGCCTCTACAGAATCTTCGATGTCACTTGAGAGTTGAGTGGACTTAATTTTTTGAATGCGCTAGTCCCACACTGTCTCTTACGTCAGCATCAAACGGCTCTATCGACCGAGAGAAATACAGCCGCACACATAACGAAAAGTCGAAAGGTTTTGTCTGAAGATGAATAAGTCACTTTGTTCAGCGTGATGATCATCACGTTCAGAAATTGAGCCAGTTGCATCATACAAAATTCAAGCGCGATCACTCAGAAGGCATAACTACAACTTGGCAGGTCTGTAAAGATCCCGAGTTGAGAATAGTAAAAACGTTCAATAATCAGATCATAGAGATAATACTGTCGTCCAATTCATCATGATACATCTTCATCTGCGTATCCCTTCCGTCTAGTAAGGGATGGTGGGCACCTTCTCCGACCCGTTCGATCTCTCATAATAGTTTATCGCACCTGAAGTCTTCGCACAGTTGGTGAGATATGTCGAAGAGGCGTTCACAGAAATGGTGTTGCCTTCTTGCGGACGTCCATATACCTATTTGTACATTAGCTCTCAATCCCTGCGTCACCATGTTGACAGAAAGACCTACATGCTCGTAATACCACACCTCACTCAAGACGGTGTATCCGCTATCCGTACTGTTCTTGCCAGCAGTTGTGGTGTTGTATCTTGGACCCGAGCAGCCAATAAAGGGAATGCCGCCGTGATGCTCGAACAATACATCGCGGAAATCGGAATAGCTGTATGTCGTGCTGTTCGAGGGCGTAATTCCGGCATCCTCAAGCCACGCGAATGTCGGGAAGCGCTGGTAGTACTTGATCGCTGTCTCAAAAAAATCTACCACTTCTTCGTTTTCGCGATATAGCGGGCCGTAGCAAGGCACGTTGAAAGTACTATAACATGCTCCGTGCTTAGAGAATTCATGCCCCCAGAAGTCAATTGCTCGTCAGTACGGGAATCTGAGGTCTCAATTGAGTGGCTTACCTGGGTTATCTTGCTGCCAGGCGACCCAGTAGGTGTTCATGTACGCAAGCAGATCAAAACGACCAAACGGCTCGAGGAAGGTGCCGATGTTGGGTCCTGTGTATGGCAATACAGCCGTCCCATTCTTCAACCCGTTCGTGGTATTTGGACTTGGACTTGGGTCGTATTGGCGAGTCAAATCACAGTACTGGGTGTAACTGCCATTACACCAATCTGGCCATAAGCCATGAAGAGTGAAGGTTTTGGCAGGGAGTAATTGCCCTTCGCTCTCACGTCCAGTGTAGGTGTTCCAAAATTGAGTCGAGAGGACGAGGCCGCCATAGGTTTCAACGCAGCAGGAGTCGACCTGGGAGGGATCTTGAGGAGGACAAGAGAGGAGAGGTGACTGGAGTTGGCAGGTGTGGTTCAATGAAGTCTGGTTTGGGTAAATCTGTGCGCTTGCGGTGCTTGCAAACAGCGCGCCTGTGACGGCTTTTGAAATAGTGTTTCGCATGTTGGAGTGATGTTGAAGTAAAGCGCCGTGAAAGTTGTTCAACTTGTGCGACAAAGTGTTCGAAGGAAGGAAGACTGAGCATCAAATACTTTCCAAACTGATCGCGTCCTACACAAAACCAACCCTTCTCCGAAGCTCTTTTCCCGATGTGGAAGGTGAGCTGCCATGGCGGCGACGAGTGATGTACCTGCAGGTAGACTAACTTCTCACGTGGAGGTTTCTATTGGGCAGGAGCAAGATAAGGCTATGCAAGCCCTGCAGTGAAGCTTGCTTTACAAGTCGTCGTCCCCGACGCCGTTCGAGGCAAATTGGTGACATGCGTCAACCGCAGCTCGCCTAAAATAACTCGGAAGAGCTGTGTTGCCCACCGTACTCAGGATCGTCTTCCATGAAAATGAAAAGAGATGTGGGTGGCTCGATAGGTGGGTGAGGGCGTTCGAGAGAGGTTGGAGTTGCCTATTGAGGCGATGATGTAATATCATCTAATCTCCCCAAGAACAACACCAAGTGTTTGTGGAAAGATATTCAGATTTCAAGGCCAGAGTCAATCGAACATATCTGCGTCGACTTAGATATGTTTACTCACGTACATCGTACACGGCCCGCCGGTGAGACTTTAGACCCGACGCGCATCAGCTTCCCCGCGGCATACGTCAAGACTTTACCACATCCCTTCGATAAACTCTATACGATGCAGCATATTTCCCTACGCTCTAGCTCTTTAGGCCTCCAAGAACCCTCATTATGCCTGCAATATCCCACGTAACTACGCTACCTGCGTACCGACCAGAATCCTACACGACCGCCCACCATACTGGCTACCCTCCAACCGGCTTCAAGAACCCATGGCCATCGTACAACACCACAGGCCTCGTCTCCCTATTTCGTACGCGCTGGAGTACGCCGAAAAACTTTGTCCCTGTCCCCGCCGATCGTGACGGCCTTGTCGAAGTCCGCAGGCCTGATTTCGCCGTAAACTCCAACGGCCTGAAAGCAACATGGATTGGGCACGCGAGTTTTCTCATCGAAACGAGTAGAGCAAAGGGCAGGGAGAGGGGCTTGAGAATACTCATCGACCCAGTATGGAGTGACAGAGTCGGGCCGTACGGCGTAGTTGGGCCTGTTCGATTCACGCCTCCGCCGTGCGCAATTGAAGAGTTGCCTGAGGTGGACGCAGTGTGTATAAGTCATGATCACTACGATCATTTGGACTCAGACACGCTGAGAAGGCTAAACATGAAACACAACGGGGACATGCGCTTCTTTTGTGGGCTGGGTGTCAAAGCAGTCTTGACAGGACTTGGTGCTGGGATAAAGGCTGAACAAGTCACTGAAATGGATTGGTGGGATGGGATAAAGTTGGATCAGGAGGGCGTCGGGAGTGTGGAGCTAGTCAGTACTCCAGCGCAGCATCGCTCGGGAAGAAGTCCTTGGAGCTTCGATTCGACGCTTTGGGTCAGCTGGATTGTCAAAGAACCGGGTCCAGAAGGCAAGAAACTGTTCTTTGCTGGTGATACAGGCTACTGCCATGTCACATCCGATACACAGTTCACACATCACGACGCACCACACCCGCCCTGTCCAGCGTTCAAGGAGATCGGCGACCTTTACGGACCCTTCGATCTCGCTTTGTTACCAGTCGGCTGCTTCAAACCGCGCTCAAGTCTATCGGGACAGCATGCGAGTCCCGATGACTCGTTGGCAATCCACAAGGATGTGAAGAGCAAGAAGAGTATAGGCATGCACTACGGCACCTTCAGGGGTGCATTCTCTGCGGCGTACGAGCCAGTAACCGAGCCGCCAGAGCGTTGGAAGAACGGGGCCGAGGCGATGGGTTTGAAGTGGGGTGAAGAGGTGGGTTTGTGTGACATTGGGGAGACTGTGGTGGTGTGATGCGAGTCATCTTGAGTTTTAGTTGTCTCTGGGGTCCAGTCACAGTTTATCTGAATCGACAATATGACAATTCCGTTCCCATGTTCTCTTAGTCATTTCTTGCTTGTATCCTTGACTGCTGCAGCGCTAATATGTCCACTTGTTCCAGCCTTAGAATCAAGGTGGAAAGAGTAACGCTTTGGAGTTCTCACACGGCATGCAGTCAACCTCTCTGTCGGTCAAAACCCGGGAAACAAGCTTTCTTAACTAACCTTCAACGCCTAAAGACGATAAAGATAAAAGAAACGATTTTCATTTTGAAGTCTTTACACGCATCTTATAGACATGTCTGTGTAGTTTGAAGTAAGTTTTGCATCAGGGTACTCGTTCGATAAATAGGATTGGAGTTTGAAGTCATTGTTTTCTGAGTCGACTTCCCGAATCGCGCGGCTAACTCGACCTAAGCCAATTGCGCTAAGCTATTAGCCTGCCCCACTTTAATCTTGCGTCGAACAATTTTCGAGCTTCCTACAGAACACTTCCTACCACACGTCTCCGAACATGACGAAACGAAAGCGAGGAAGCTACTACGACCCCCCACCTCCCGATGTCGGTCTCGGTGCGACGATGGCGCACCTGAGGGGCGAAGACAATGCGACAACACCCGCAGATGGTGATGAGGGCTGGACAGTAGTCAGCGGGTCCAAGAGGCGACGACAGTCCAGAGACGATCACAGAGACAGTAGAGATTATAGAGGGTCGGGCTCGCATCTTCCTGATCGCGATCGCCGCCGTTCCAGCGTGGACTCCAACAATTCTCGAACCGAACGAGAAGGAGCCATGGACGACCGACACTCTCCCAAGATTGCGAGAGCCTCACTCGACAATCCATTTGCACCCAAAGACGAGCTGCTAGATGATCGTGCGTCACCGCCAGAGAATCCATTTGCGACACATAAAAATGGAGCCGAACAAACGCCCAAGGATACAACAGGCATGAGTAGGGAGGAGCGCAGAAAGGAGCGCAAGCTGGAACGAAACTATCCTGCGATCGAGCATTCACATCACGCTCGACTTCAGTCTCATGTGAAAATCACAGATCTACAATCTCTGGTGCTTTATTTGCTTGCAGACGGTAACGCGCCACAATGGGTTTCAGTGCGCAACCGCACAAGTATTCAACGAGTCGTCATGTTGATGGTTCCTGGACTTGACTTAGGCATGTTCAATGGAGACATTTGTCTAGATGCCGCATCAACATCTGAAGCTCCGAATACTGGAGAGATCATGAAGAAGATAACTGACATCGGATCCACCTCAGATGATAGTGCAAAGCCCAAGCGATTACGCATTTCACCTGATGAGTTTTATCCTGCTAGCCTGAAACCCGACAGACTTCCTGCATGCCTGAAGCCTCTTGCCGATATCTTCGAGCACGTGTGGCCGATCAAAGCTCAAGGAGAGCATCGTAACAATCAGTTCATCAGGGTGCATTCGCCCATCCATACTATGCTATCGTCACAAATACCCAAGACACGCGAGGAAAAACAAATGAAAAAAAACGGAAACCACAAAGGTCCCACGCCGCAGAATACAAAGCATTGGGATAACAAGCGTACACGCATTACAGAGTACATCGCCAGTCTAGTTGACCAACAAGACAATGACTACGTTCTTCATCCAGCCTGGTTCACTACTTCAGAGTCCAAAGAAGCTGCTCACCAGAGGCGAAAAGCAGCCCAACAAACTTCAGACCATGGCTGGGTAGACACTAATGTTGCGAGCATCGAAGATGGAGATGTACCTGAAAGCGAAATCGAGCAGGGTAGTACGACCGCTGGCAGACAGATCATCTCAGTCGATTGCGAGATGTGCAAGGCTGAGAACGATCAGCTTGTGCTCACACGAATTAGCCTTCTCAATTGGGACGGGAGCGTGGCTCTGGACAAGTTGGTCAAGCCTGATGTTACCATCAAAGACTATCTGACACAGTGGTCTGGTATTACAGCAGCCATGCTCGAAGATGTCACAACCACTCTGTCGGACATCCAGAAAGAACTATTGACACTCATTACACCGCGCACGATTCTTGTGGGACATTCACTCAATTCAGATCTCAACGCTATGAAACTTACCCACCCATTCGTGATTGATACCGGAATACTATTTCCGCACCCTCGCGGACCGCCATACAAGCAGTCGCTCAAATTTCTCGCACAGAAATACTTGCATCGCGAAGTCCAAAAGGGCGCGAAAGGCCACGACAGCGTTGAAGATGCTCGCACTTGTCTCGACTTAGTCAAACAAAAATGTGAAAAGGGCCCTCGATGGGGTTCTGGGGATACAAACGCGGAGTCCATTTTCAAAAGACTAGCACGCACAACGCGACCAAAGTCGAACAGCGAGCCCCGCGCCGGTGCGGTGATCGACTGGGGTGACCCGAATCGAGGACATGGCGGCCAAGCTCAAGTCTCTGTAGGATGCAAGACTGACGCTGCAGTTGTAGAAGCCGTTGAGTGCGCTGTGAAGGGCCAAGTAGAAGGCAAAGACGGCGCCAACGAGAAAGTTGATTTTATCTGGGGCCGTCTCCGCGAACTTGAACTCGCCCGAGGCTGGTGGGACGACGCAAAGACGGCGGATGTGGAAGCCATTCGACAGAGCGCGCTGCAGAGACTTGGACTCTCGAAGGAAGGGGAAGAAGACGACATCGAAGTCAAAGGATCTGAGCTTGGCGACGCCGTCTCCAGAACCGTCGATCACATAGTTCAGATCTACGACTCGTTGCCACGCTGCACCGCGTTGGTTGTGTACAGTGGGACAGGCGATCCTCGAGAGATTCGCCGTTTACAATCCATGCAACAACAATACCGTCGCGAATACGCCACCAAGAATTGGGACAATCTTAGCGTCAAGTGGACGGATACGGAGGTACAGGCTCTTTCTCGAGCTTGTCAAGATGCCCGCGATGGCGTTGGGTTTATCGTTGTGAAGTAAATTGGGCCGGGAATATTTGTACAACTGCTGGGTGGAGCGTGCAGCAAGAGCAACGTTTCAAGCGCATGGTGCATGCTGATACGTGCGCATGTGGAGTGTATTCGCTTCTGCAAGCCCGTTATGCGAATGTGGCGTCCGGTAAAATCATGATTGAGGCCCTCATCGCGCTTATTTTGTAAGATAGTATCAGCAGTTCGCAACGATCGTCCAAGCGCAGACTTCCGCTTACAGTTTCAATAACATATTTTTTGGTGAGCTGATGTCCATGCATTTCTCACGGTGAGACCCTGTCTGCCCATCCTCCCCTGTCGGGCATATTAATCAGGCGGATATTGGGTACGAGCGATATTAGTTAATGATTATGCAGCTTTCAAAATCAAGAATGCGTTGATACGTTGCTTTTGCTCTGACATGACGAAGACACGGCTTACCCTCCCCGACGCTCGAATAATTTTAGGGTCAGTAGCCACTGCTCGGTACGCACACATTGCAACTTGTTTGTGCTACAGGATCTAGATCCCTGTAGATGAAGGTAAAGGTTAGCGTGTTGCGACATTCCAAGGCTCTTAATAGGGCGCAGCATTTATCTATCCAATGAATACGCTAGCTGCCCACGGGAATCGACGCATGCTAATCTTGTAATAACTTCTCCCAAGTATCGACCCTCAACACCCTTTTCCCTTCTCGGCCGCTAAGGCCTCCCATGCTTTGCGGCGTGGTCGGTATTGCCTTTCGGGTACTCCTCGCTTTCTCAGTCCATTGTTCGTTGTGTGTCTGAAACGTCACTGCGCCTTCTATCTAGTGCATGTACTAGTCGATTCTCTAACAGCTTATTCATTTATTAGCTTATTCATTTATAACCTGCATCCGCGCTAGACGACCCTAGTCCATGTTGAAGCGCATCCCTCACCTCCAGATACGAAACGGCGAGGGCAATCTCACTCGATAGCAAGATTGGCCTAACATCAGTGGCCAACACCGTCTTCGGCCCGTTCAATGAGCTTTCAGAGAGCCTTGAGTGGTAAACTTTGAACTAGCACACAGATAGGCACGCATCACAACTTGTGGCGGATTTAAGACGGCGTTCTCGTGCCGGTAACACAACTGATCAACGTTGATACCAGGGCTCCGTGTCTCAGACTTCCTCGATGAACGAACAGCCTGAGCGCTCTGGTGATCGAATGGCCACAGAAATTGCGGCGAGTGCAGACGAAGGCTCTCCAGAATTTACGTCACCTCAGCCTGCAAGTCGCTCAACGCAAGGGTTTTGCCGAAACTGCAGGAGCAATGTCGGCGAATTTTACAATTCGTGGCACAGAATCACCGGGAGCTATTACGTTCCAGCACTTCCAGCGTCTTACAGAAGCCTACTGAAAAGTATTGGCAAGCAGAAAGCTGCATCGAGGGGCACAGAGTTAGAAGGATGGTAAGCCTATTCCCTCGCCCCATTGAACTATCTTTCATGTTGTCACACAATCTCCTTTTCGAGTCGCGCGTCCCAACATCGCCTGCACTAGCATTTCATGCGTTTATCCCGGCGCCAATCACTAGTCTCTTTGATTTTTCTTAGGCATGGCTGCGCCAAGAATACCCAAATACTATTATGCTATTGTTTAATAAACCCCAGCCCCTCTTCGATTTGACACTACGTCCACGTTCTGACATTTTGTTGACTGACACGCAATAGCATCATTCAGCCACTCTCGTGCCCAGATTCTCGTTGCACCTCGCCTATTGGCTTTACTGTAATTGATGCACCTGCGGAAAAACGTCTCTATCGGTAAGTGACATTTAATTCAAATCCTATTTTCGTTGCATGATTCCACGTACTCGATGTCGAGTATGGGCTGTTCCCTCAACTGCTGCAAGTCGCCGGTTGCATATTAGCGTACTGCATGCGGGTCAACACGCCCGCAACGGGTCAAAGTGCCGTGCTCAGTTTCATGTCATTATATGAAGATGTCTCCGCTAATAATATTATTTCTCTAGCGGTCGTGATTTCTTCAAACTTAGTCGCATTGGGTTGCAATGCGAATTATCCACCGGAAACTGGATATTAGTAGAACCCCACGAGGACGCATCGTCCAAATTGCTGGCTGTTGAAGACTCTACAAGTCCATCGCCCACCTTAGCAAAACCACCAACCGTGCCAACAGAAGCCATGGAGATCGACTCTCGTCTACCCGGCATCCAGCATCATGGCCTCCATCAGCATCACCATGAGGAACATCACGAGTTTCATCGTCAACATCAGATTGAGGCCAATCGTAAATCGTTACCACCTCCTTCAATGATTCGTTCTCCAAATACCCCTCACTTGCATCCCCTCCCACATAAGGCATCCAGCAATCCTCCATTACCAAAGCCTTCGGCGGTAGAGCTGGTGCATGAGCTGCAACCTCCCATCAGAGATCCTGGCGCTGGCATAACCAATCAGACCCATACCCTTCCTTCCATTGTATCCCATCCAACGAACACCTCTGGTGCCTCTCATCTCACCAATGGGCATCATTATCCTCATGCACCACAACAAGTTCAGCTTGATGCCATTGAGCGACTGCAAACGCAGATCTCACAGAACAGCAGCACCCTGGCGGCTCAGAACCGTGACATCAGACAAACCGAGAAATCCGTGCAGCTCGTTGAGGAGAATATGCGCCGAGAATACCAGACACAGTTGCAGCATCAGAGCGTCGACATCAGAAGAATGGATGAGACGGTAGGGAGGTTATACCATGAGATGCAAGGTATCCGTCAAGTTATTGAGGGGTTTAGCCGTGAGATGCAAAGTATTCGAAATGAGAGATTAGTACATAGCACAGCTCCACCGCCGGGACAGCAAACCAGTGCTCAGGACTCCGCGCTTGAGCTCATGGCGCACCAAATGGCTGGAATCTCGCAGAAGGTGAACGAAGTCGACACAATGAGACTCACGATTGAGATCATGAAGAACAAAATACAGCGCCTAGAAGGTGGACCTCCTACGATGCCATGCCCACAACCAGTATCGCAAGATCAATCAGGACACCCCGCCCACTCGTCTCACACACCTGTGTCTTATCATGTAGCGCCAACTGCAGCACCGCAAATCAACGCTCCGCTCCATCCATCACAGAGGAGTCAGCCCCACCCTTCGATCCTATCCTCGACCGTTCCGTTAGAAGCCAGCCAAAGGCCTGAACCTGTATCAAGGCACAGTAGCTGGGCTACGGTAAATGCTGGAGTCAAGCGCCCTCACACAAATGGCGTGGAAAGTCCACGCGAGGTTCTCGCACATGCAACCGGATCTCCCAAGCGGCAAAGAACAGGGACTAACGAATTTAATGGCGGCTATGTTGCATCGCAGGGTCCTCCGCCCGCACACGCCTACGATATGCAAGTACAGTCTCAGATGCACACTCTACCCTCTCAACCACATGTCACGTCTGAGTCGACTTTGACATCGGAGACTCAGCATCCAGTGCACACGCCTTATGGTACGCAAGATAGCCCCTCGGACAACAGCTGGCAACCGGAATCCCAGCGCATCGTCGAGCATCGCCCTCGTGGCAGACCTCGCGGATCCGGACGCGGCGGACGAGGCAGGAAGAGTATGCCAGCCCAAGTTCATCCTATGGGGACACCTGACTGGGACAGGGAAGATTGGCAGGGAGTGCCCAACTCCCAAGCTAGCCCTGAAGGACACTACAACCATATAGCACATCCTGGAAAGGGGATCGCACGTCGTGGTAATGGTGGGGGAGGTCGTGGCGGGTACACTCCAGATCGTGCTGCGAGTCTAGGTTTGCAAGGTGTCACTGCTAGCATGGGCGCTGTTTCTCCTGACGATTTCTATGGGTCCGCAAAGAAGTCGCGAAGCAAGCCAATACGGAACGCAGATGGTGTGCTCATTAGAAAAGATGGCCGTCCAGATATGCGTTCTCAATCTTCGGCCGCGAATTTGCGAAAAGTCAACGCAAAGAAGGATGGAATGTCGTTCACCAGCTTCCAGGACACAGCTTCAACTGCGCCCAATACACCAAGTCCAAGCGGCCATGCCCCGATAGAACTGGATGCGGCGGCCAAGAAGCACAACGATATCATGGGCCGGATGTTCCCACGTGGCATGGACGAGTCACGCAAAGACCATGACTATGCTCGCCAAGTGTTTGACGAAGATCACAATTCCACAGCACATCCTCGCGTGCAGAACTATCACGCACAACAACATCCGCCTTCTAAGTCGCCGCATGAAGTCAAGAACGAGCGAGTCGAACAAGACCGTGTCGTAGAGTTGCAGATCTCAAAAGACGGTGACACGAATATGGATCGCGAGAGCGAGAGTCATACACCAGGGGAACACAGCGACAATGAACAGGAGCAACATGATGGTCGACCCCAAGTTCAGCAGCTGTCGAGCGAAAACAGTGTAGCGGTTTCGGAGACACCCGATATTGACAGCTCGGCAACACTTGCTGTGGAGACGCAGGTTTCTTCGTAGACGGAACTTTCCCATGCGATATTTTTGGCATTTATTTTCTTTTCTTGTCTCTGATGGGAGACCTGACGGCGTCAGGATCAGTCATGTGGTTTATCTTGCTTTACATTCTTATTTGTCTCTTGCAAACCTGTGCGATACTGATGGGTAATACTTGATATCACTCTTTCTGCATTGTTTGCAAAGCGGTCATATCTATTCCGGGATCAACTCCCCCGGGGGTTTCAACACCCAGCATCTAGCTACATAGACAGTAATCTGTAACATCACCATGATTTTGACTTTTGTATTCTTAAACTGAGCGAGACTAGTAGCTTCACTCTCTAAACTATATTACTCTTCTTGCAATCTGATCGCTTGATACGCACTTTTTACGCTGGAACATTCGATCAGATGGGTCTCCTTATGCTGGGGCATTCTCGCTTCAAGAAAGACGGTGGGGTACCCATTCAGTACGCCACGTCAAGCTATGGATCATACTACCATTCTAGTGTTCACGTCGAACAGTCTGATGAGCTCACAGTTTAGGATGAACGTTCACCATCACCTGAACGTGAACGGGAGTTTGATAGTCCTGACAAGGCGCCGACACATCTCGTAGTAGTGAAAGCGATACGGAGTATCCAGGACATTACAAGCCATGACCCTCGTCGACAGCGCGCAACACCTCTCAACCAAGACGATCAACCAGTGCTCAATTTAGGGCTACGAAACACAGCCATACTCGTAGAGTCCAACTCACCCATCTCAGACCTCGCGAACTCGAGATCCTTCCACTTAACCGCCTTCACACAACCTAAACCATCAATATGTTGCGCTTTTTTGGCCAGCTCATGAATCCGCGGGTACGCCGTCTACGACCAAGTCCCAGCCCCGATCCGTCATCGAGCCCCGAACCCTCCACACCCCCAAACAAAGACGAATTCATTGAGAACATCGAGCCCCTCACATGCAGTCTTTGCCTAGAGGAATACGATGATACTCATGTCCCTATCCAACTAGCCGATTGCGGACACATCTTTGGCGACCACTGTATTGTTGAGTGGTTCGAGACCAAGATACGAAACAACAATCGCTGCCCTATGTGCCGCGAGAAGTTGTTTCAGCAGGAGGATTTTGATAGATATGGGAACCCTATTCCTCACGAAAATGAAGATGACGAGGAAGATGATGAGGGCGAGAACGTGGACGATACCGGAGATGAAGACGAAGACGAAGATGACGATGACGACGAAGAGGAAGAGGAGGAAGAGGAGGAAGAGGCGGAGTCAGAAGAAGAACAGTCTGAAGAGGAAGCGGAGGATGTGGAGAGCCCAGCGAAACTCAATGGAAACTACTCATCGTCCACTGAAGACAGCGACGTTGATATGGCCTCTGGATCAGAAGGCTCAGTGTCGGATTTCCAACCTGACGATGGCCCAGAGTCGGATGATGAAATGGATAGAAATGGCGGTCCGAGGATGCGCCCTGAGGAATTGCGGGGATTGTGAGATTGTGAGTCTTTGGACGCTGGACTATAGTGTTCTAGCGCCAATAACAGAAGTAAGTCTTCTCTGTAATACAGTGCAACCTCGTGAGGTCTACTAACGGCTATGTAGCGGTGGTATGTGAGTTGCTACCGCAGAATACCAATCCTTGAGGGTCAGAACATTTCCCAGATACCTCTTGGCTGAAGATCATTATGAACTTCCCTTAAAATTGACTAAAACTTTATGTTTCACTAAAGACATTAGATAACGCTTACTTTTGGTCCACCAAGCTTCTAGAAAGTCAAAGTCTATTTTTTCTTTTAGCTTTGTTGTGAAAGCATGCGGCATATCCCTTATCTAAGGAGTGTCCACATGTTTACAAAAAGAGTTTGGTCCACTACATCAAACCCGTTATCATATTACTTTGTCTTGAGAGCCACAACGCTCGCTGTCCATTCTTGGATATGTTGCTGGAAAAATATGTCTGACAGCAATGATATTTGAACTATCAGAACAAGATGGAGGGATTCATATAAACAAGGAAATACCAAACTCAAACAGCAACACATAGATACAGGAGATAGAGAAGAAGGCTCTGACCTCACAGAAAAAAGCAGTAGATTAGTGGGTAACGCTACGACCAACAAGTGACCGGACAATTCAATCGTGACCTGGTTCCGGTACCCAGGTTATGTTGAGAGGTATCGATAATTGGAGAAGTGAAGGTGTCCGGGTTGCCAAGTTTTGCGTTTGTGGTTATGGAAGGCGCGATCCAAGCGGGGAATATGACGTTGATATGATTGAGACAGAAATTAGATACGAATAGTCGTAGAAAGACTCCTGTCTGCCAACTACAATCAGCAATCTTGGAACGGCTATGTATGCTTCCTGTATGAACAAAGAGGACCACGCTCCCTGCCAGACAAGGGCCTCAAATGCATCACCACTGTCTCTTCTTGGCACTTTGCATGGAAGATTATATGTATATTCGCCCGCATAACCTTTAACGTATGTTAATAAGACGGCATATCTCTATCAGCACCCCTGGTTCTACCAACGCTCAGTTCCAACTTGATGAGAAACACGCAGGCGACTCTGCACAGTTCTGCTTTGTGGCTACGCCATGAATAAAGTCACATATGTGGCCGCATACATTGCTTCTCATACTGCAAACAAAAGCATGAGCGAGGTGGTAGCCGTAATTATACCGTCATCAGCGTGTTATGGCTGATATGAACACGCGTGAATACGAGCTCGATATCTCGAGACACTATCGTGTGGGCCCAGCTTTCTAGGTCCCTTTGCTTTCCATTTGTTCTAGTGAAGAGCTGCTGTCGGCTCTCTACTACTCCTATTGTGGCTGAAGGGTTGAACCATAGGAAGCTGGAAACGTCTGTTGGATCGTGCGTCTGTATTTTTACCAGAACTTTGCACAGCTCTCAAAACCCCGCCAGGTGATAGATGCTCTGTAGCTGAACTTCCGTCATACGAGTGTAAAGTTGAAGAGTGGTGATGGCGTTCAGTTGTACTGAGGTGAGGACGCTTCGTAGCTTTCGAGTTGTTTCGTAACCACTGTGGATGAATGTACCCAGGAAGATCGGGAGGAAACGGGCTTCGAAGTACAACTGTCGAGACGAACGTAGTAATGCGAGTCGTTGGCCCGGCTTCGCGATATTGCCTCAGATAAATTTGCTCAATTTCGTGACGTGCGTGTGTTCTTCATGCACCTCAATCCTCCAACCTCCGAGCACGTACCCATAGATCCTGTCTCTGAACTCGGCAGATAACTTGCCGAGTAATATCGGTTGCTTCCGATTCCGTTCTGATCTACGTAGTGTTAACGAAAAACTTGAAAGCACCTCACGATTACACGGCCATATACTGGACTTGCAAGCACACCGCACTGGCGACCGTCGCACATTACTAGACCCAAGAGCAACTTACATTTGCAGCATAACTTCAGAAATCTCAGGGCCAATGAGTCCACTGCATGCTACGTTGACGACTTGACCGCTAGGCTTCGCATATCTCGCCTTCCTTGAGACCTTGTCTTGAGTGCGCATCCCGGATATCTTACTGAGTGATTGAGGACTAGCGACGCAGTGTTGTTCGAGCTTGGCGTTTGTGACTCTATGACGTGCAAGATAAATGTGTTCGCGTCGTACGTGTAAGGGGAATGGTTACCAAACGAACTAGGTAATCGGCGTATCTCTTGTTAGTACCAGACCGTAAACGATGTTTCTGATTTCTCCTGAGGAAGGCTGACCGCTCACAGTTCTTCGAAGCCCTAATACTAGTTAACTTTTACTGAAAACGCCTACATAAGCACTACAACTAACATGTCAGTTTCCAGTTTGAACGAATATCTCGGCATCCAATAGCGCAAAGCGAGGAATCGTCATCCACTGAATCTCATATCACGGGAGTTCATACCAGGGCCGAGATAGATTGAAGATCAAGGGGAAATGTGATGACATGGATAGAGAAGAAGTCTCCGGACTTCGAAACAAGAAACGCTATGTATGGTCAACGCGGTGGATCCTGTCCCAGGATGTTGTACCAACTTATTCCAAACGATGCATACCAGCATTACAATCTGTGCCATATGAAAAGAGATGGAAGTTCGAAGAATGCACGCTCCCAGGATTCGCCCGTCAAGCCCATGTTGCAGACAATTTGTCTATGATGTGTGAATGCATCAATGCATGCAGTCTCGCTACATGCAGACACTCCAATGCCTCATAGTCCCCAATGATCTACGAAGACTTGATGCGACCATGACAGACCACATCGATATCTTGGCCCTCGTACATCTTGATGTTATCTGCAATCCTGGTCATGGTCTTCTCCTCGCTCTCATGCACTCCACAGCTCAGGTAAAGGACCATTGAGTGAACACCAATCCGCTTGATGCTCGGAAATTTTTCGCGGAAGAATTTGCGGAGGCTGCCATAATAAAGCCTCATATACTCAAAGGGGACATCAATGGATGTGACAAGGCGTTTCTGACCGAGTGGGCGGTTCTTGATCCAGTTATCGATCGCGCGCAGACTCCCGAAGGCAAAGCAGTTTTGGGTATATATGAGCGATGAACTCTCGCAGTAAATTTGCCTGCACACTTGTGGAAGCTTGAAAGTGGGACTGACATATTGGTGAAGCAGTGGGCTTTGTGCGCTGATGGACAGCGGTGAGGCATGATAGCCGGATTTCATAGACAGGCGTTTCCGATAGTAAGGATCTCGAATATTGATTAGGTGGCCTCCAACAGCGTAAGTCCAGATGATGTTTCTGATCTCTCCGGGCAGTCGTAAGAGTAGTGATTCCTGCGAATTCCGTGAAGCCCTGCGTGCGCGTAAGTTGTGGCGTACATATTATGGAAAGAGTGGTAATCACATCTGCATAAACGCTGAACGGGCTGAGATTGCGGTATTCAATAATCCGTTCCTACGCTTGAGGCCTGGCGATGATTTGTAGTGTAAGTTGTGCCTCTTCTTTGCAACTCGTATCTTCGATCCCCGTGTAGAAGAGCTATCAAGTACGATTGGGCGAGCGGTCGATTTCTGAGGAGCCATATTAGACGAACAAAAGCGTGACGATACTGAAAACGAGAGGACTGAACTTCAGTCAACCGAGAGATAAAGCGAGAATAACTGTCAAAGGCGATAGGCAACGTGGAACCTAGGCTTTATATCAGCAAGTGTCAGAATATTGAGGACTGAGTGTGAGGACTGGGACGCGATGAAGGTGAGGAACATTCGATGAAACTGAGTACCATATGGTGAACAAAAAGGGTGAACAGAGTATCCATAATTATGAATAGAGTAAAATACTGTAGGAGAAACGTAGGTAAGGTACTGCATTGGCCTATACTGCGGAAATAGTAAGCACATTCGTACCAAGCAGTCCATGCGGTATCCGTGAAACTCGACTTTGATGCCGACTTGACACGATCGTTTTCTTGGAAATCATCTGAGCCCTGTTTGGCACCATTCTGATTGTCTGTAACTGTCGGCCAGCATGATTTCTGTAGGACAATGTTCCAGAAGCGCGCAAACGTATAATTCGCGTGGCCTTGCCAAAACTCAGTTGCAGGTACTGGTGGGGATGTCGAGATGAGCGCTGAGCAAGGCTCGTATAGTCTGTGGTGCGCAACTGGCGCAGCTTACGACTAGATGGTTGAGCAACGGAACCCGCACGTCAAGGATAGGGCCAAAATTAGACAGGAAACGCGCAGACACCTCATCTCAACCACACGATTGGAGAAGCTTCCAGAAAACGTTTTGTATACACACTGAAAGAGAAGCGACTCGCAATCGGTGGTTGAGACGTTAGTTACGAAGACGCTATCTAGAAAGTGAAATAAGTGACTCGTACCTTATTTTGAACGTTTCTTGACAAGAGTAACAAGAAGCGCAATGCTAAACCAAGGTCAATCCTTTACCTATTCTCCGAGTCTCCCACGAGTTTCGCCGATGAACATCCTTTCTAAAAACGATATCTTATTTATTATCTTCTTATCTCTGCTTCAACGATTCGTCAAAACGTATTTTTTCACGCAGTGTATTCAGTCCACACTCACCATGTGCCCCTCATATGAGAGTGAGCGAACGGGAGCAAAAGGGCTGAACAATTGCGGGGTTAGATAGAGAGAGGTAGGGTACAATTTGAAAGAGCATGGCGTTCACAAGCTGCAATTCTCATTGGTGAAAGGAGACGTGTGTCGCGTCACGTGGGGGTGAGACTACGGCAGCTGCGTTCACTTCCCTCTTTCCTGGTATATTTCGATTTTGCCCGGCCTAGAGTCGATAGCAACAATGCAGACGCGGTGCCGTATTTGATGATCACATCCTCACCACTGCAAACGATATCGTTCACAATCCGCAACACGAATATTCTACCATCATCAACTCAGCCTTGCTCTTACTCCACTAGTCTTGTGCGACGACAGTTTGACTTCCGGAGTTCCAAGGTTCATTCCGATTCACTCGCAACAATGCCGTCGGGGCCAATGCCACTCGCCCTGAATCCATTGTTCCTCATTCTCTTTCGAACGGCATATCTTTTCAATATCCTCATATACACTGCCTTCACAGTCCTAGGTCTCAAATACTGTGGGACCGTTATCGGACTTGGAGCTAGCATTATCGTGGCCATCGGATCTGAAATTGCTTTCGTATATGCGAGGGAGGAGGAAGGCAGGCTGTGGAAACAAGAGAGATACATGGTATAATGGGAACATCGATATCACTGCGTGAGAGGAAACTCGACGCCACAGAAGCCATCGAGGTGTCCACGCCTCTGGAGTGCTGACGATGACGTCTGGAGCACTTTTGATACCACTGTGCGGGTCAACACGCGCTTTCACGCTGGGTCGATTCTCTATCGTTCTATCAAATCCACTCACTCGCCTCCATCTGGCATGGTTCCACGTCTATATATTCAATCACCTCGCTCACCCTTTCCTAGCCCCCCGACAAGCTTTGTCACGCACTGAAAGCGATGCATCGCTTTCGCCCAACAGCCATCACCGATATCGCTCAGATCTCAATCCCCGTTTGCTTGTATCTGCTCCGACTCGGCTTTTTTCCAGAATATGTACAAGGATTGGGCGAGAATGCGATCCCGACGACGATAAGCGGATTGATCTAAAACTGAGTGATACCGGCAGACTGATAGGGCTGGTGTCTTTATGAAAGTGTTTTAGCTGTGTGTTGTGAGGATTGTTAAAACACGGATAAATATAAAACCTTTACACGCGGGGAGTTTGTTGGCGTGGATTGACACTGGAGTGATTCAGCGGCGCAATGTTAGAATAAGACAGCGTGACTATCCCTTATACGTGGTATGATGACTGGCGTCATACTTGATAATCCCTTGAAGTCTGACGATCAATGTTGTTCCGGATTTTGAGGCTATGATAACCACAAAGACAACGACTTTCCACTGCTATGGGTCCAAGAAGCTCCTAGCATGTTCTGTATTCGATCACGCTCCGAGTGAGTGATAAACGCGTACACAGCATGCATCATGATCCTAACGTCTTAGTATCCCATAGTATCCTATAAGTGTTTATCAAACATTCTAGAGGACTTCGTTCGCTTTCTACTCCCATGGCCTTCCGCGTCGCGTCCTCGATTTTGATGCTAGGATATTTCTCAAGGATATCAGGTGTTACAATCAGCGTAACAAGCGTCCAAGCGACCTAAAGATGAAGTGTCGTATGCTAACCGAAAATACAGTCAAATTATTACAATGTCTGCACATGTATGGCCTTGCTAAACTGTCAAACGATATAACACGCGCAGCACTGCAAGTACTGTAGAAGCCGTGGAACCAAACGTACCACGGTTCCAGAGGACGCTGCAAGACAAAAGGAATACAAGGAAGAAGGAGATGACGGGAAGTGATTGAGATGTCATTTGTACTCAAAATGTCAGATAGCGAATCATGTATATGCGCAGTAGGATAGGCGCAGTACAATACAGTTGTATTAGAGCATGCCCTGGCTGCGATCAGAACTCGTGAGGTACTCTGCCTCAAAGTAGGAAGCTGGGCCGGTAAAGATACGACAAGCGTGTCTGATGATGATGATAAAACGACCATTGATACCCTTACGCATCCCAGATGGATTCAAGAATGGTTTGGGGGTCGATCGCGGTTGACGTCAGGGTTGAAGTTAGTGTTGTCACGTGCAGACGCGTCGCTTTTGGCGCGCATCAGCTTGCGTCTTATGTCTTGTGCTCCCTTGGCCACGCCATTTCCACAATTCAGCACGACGTTATCCCTGAGCACGGGGGGCCATTCCACCCATGTTTCGAAATCCCCGAGAAAACCAGGCGCTCCCTGACTCTTCACGATTGGCACCATCGACTGGCCGCCCTCCCTCGCCACCCCACTCTTCACACGAATACCTCCCTATGGCTACTAAGGCTACGACGAAGAACCCGCCCCCAATGCCCAAAGCTACTACAGCTCCACCAAAGAAAACGCAGACGACGCTCGTGTCAACTCAATGGGGCAAGAAGTCCCCAGCCAACAATGGCAGGAATAAGAAGCCCCTACCCGCGTCCAATGGCAACATCATGGCGTTCTTCAAGAAGGCTGAAGACATCAACAATCGAATATTCTTGGAGGAACGAGGATCGAACCCCACGCTTATCCTTGATGAGGTGGAGGAAGATGTCGGTTGGAGTGATGAATTGGCGAAAGGTGCCATGACATTAGACAACGGTCAGGACCGTTACAATGAGAACAACGGCAGCGTCAAGAAGAGAAAAATTAGCCAGGAAGTTGCCTTGCCTAGGTGCAGCCTATCTCTGATGGAGAAAGAGGCAGACGCTACCCTGATCACGCCTTCACCAGATACACCCGTGCCCGCACCGAAGATACACAAGAAGTCGGGTCCGTTTGTGGACGACTCTGAGTCCGAAGACGATGAGACTAGCTTGGTCCCACAAAGACAAGGTATGATCAAGTTACACACAAGCGCAGAGCTGCCATGTTCTGAACAATTGGAGGAGTCTATACCCGTACATTGCCCTGAAATTCACGTAAATAATGCATCACCACCATTGAAAACCGAGCCGACATCTCAGCTGGAAGGCGAAACTCCCGAAGAATACGAGGGTTTGGAGGACGACGAGTTACTTGAAGGCGAGGAATACGACGAACGACGGTGGATGAAGGAGCAAAGGAAACTGGAGATGGAAGATGCAGGTTTTGAAGGTGACTCCGCCGACTTCGATGCACCAAGCCTCTTTCCCGACGATGAAACTAGCACAGTTCTGGGCCGGACACTAGAAGATAGCGGAGAAGCACCTTCATGTCCGATATGCAGCAGTAATTTGAAGGGCTTAACGGAACAAGATGTTTCAACACACGTAAATGCTTGCTTGGACGGCAACCCGATTCCTCTCCCTAGTCTAAAGCAGGTCAAACAGGAAGACACACCGACCTCTACGATCAATGAGAAGGTCTTCAAACGTCCGCCACGGCCAGCAAAACCGGCACAAGCAAACCCATTTCAGCTTGGAGAGCCTAGCACCCAACCAAAGTCAGCTTTCTCCAAGTTGATGGCAGGCCACGCCGAAGATGCTGCATGGGCTACTGCCGCAGCAGACCAGAATGCATCAAGAGGAAAGCCAGCATTTGAACGCACGTGTCCGTTCTATAAGATCATGCCTGGCTTCTTCGTCTGCGTGGATGCATTTCGATACGGAGCTGTCAAGGGTCAAAACGCGTATTTCCTCAGTCATTTTCACAGCGATCACTACATTGGTTTGACTTCAACCTGGTCTCACGGCCCGATCTATTGCAGTAAGGTTACTGCCAATCTCGTGCGCCAGCAACTGCGCGTCGATCCGAAGTGGGTAGTGGGTTTAGACTTTGAAGTGAAGGCCGAGATTCCTGGAACTGAGGGAGTCCATGTCACGATGATATCAGCAAATCACTGCCCTGGTAGCTCCCTTTTTCTGTTCGAGAAAGAGACTGGCAAAGGGAAGAACCCACGACTACAGCGAGTGTTGCACTGCGGGGATTTCCGTGCTTGTCAGGCGCACATTGAACATCCGCTTCTCAGATCCGACGTTCTAGATGCCGTCAGCGGAAAGAATAGACAGCAGAAGCTCGACGCTTGCTATCTAGATACCACTTATCTCAACCCAAAGTACGCTTTTCCGCCTCAGCAACAAGTCATCCAAGCTTGCGCCGATATGTGCGTCAGTCTCAATAAAGCACGCGCAGATGACAAGGATGGCTGGGAGCAGATGAAGCGTGATCGTGCCGGCCAAGGTATGGTCAAATTTGTCCGCAAAGATGGAGACAACGACAACAACGAAGATGTCCCCAAGAGCCCACAACGAGGCCGCCTGCTCGTCGTTGTAGGCACTTACAGTATTGGTAAAGAACGTATATGCATCGGTATTGCGAAGGCCTTGAACAGCAAGATCTATGCACCCCCAAACAAGCAGCGCATCTGCCGTGCACTTGAGGATCCCGAGCTTGACGCACTCTTAACAACTAACCCTCGCGCCGCTCAAGTCCATATGACACCACTCTTTGAAATCCGCGCCGAAACCCTCGATGACTACCTCCGTGATTACGCTGACACGTATTCCCGTTGTGTTGGCTTCCGACCCTCAGGCTGGAACTATCGCCCACCAAACAGCCGGTTTGTCGAGTCGCCGGCTGTGCAGACCGTCCTACACTCGCAGAACTGGAAGAGCAGCTTTGCGATGAAGGATTTGGCCCCGCAGCGTGGCAGCACGAAAACGGCAAGTTGTTTTGGTGTGCCATATTCCGAGCACAGCAGCTTTAGGGAGTTGACGATGTTCTGTTGTGCGCTGCGGATTGACAAGATCATCCCGACGGTGAATGTAGGGAATGCGAAGAGCAGAGAGAAGATGAAGCAGTGGTGCGAGAGGTGGGCGGTGGATAAGAAGAAAAATGGCTTGTTCAAACTGGAGGAGGATGGAAGTAGTTGGTGAGTCAGGTCTTGGTTTATTGACTCCTAGTGAATACAGTATCAACATTGTTATGCATCCGTTCTATACTCATGTCTCGTCCATTTGCATGAACACCATCAAAACTGCCGCATACGCAGCGGTTGCAGCTACAACCTCGAAAGGCCTGTTGATCGTCGCTGTCGACATCATGGCAATGAAGGCAACTATGAACCCAGTAATGATTTTCAACCGTGTCTCGCTTGTCGAAACGTATTCCAGCCACCACATCGGTGCCAATAACATAACCAACCCTATCAATATGATACTGATGTTAGTAAATCCTTCGAATTTCGTATTGTCAGAGTACGTTGTTGAAGCAGATTGTACGTGTAGGTCGTCCAACTGTTTTGCTTTGAAGAGTTTGAAAAAATGCAGCTTCGAACAGGCTTCGAGCCATTGCCCCAATGGTGGACGGTTGCGTGAATTGATTGATATCAAATCACTCTTGTGATCGATGAACGCCGCCTCGTCAGGGTCAATTGCATCGCGCGCAAGCCAGTTACAAACATTCCGAATTTGGCGGGGCTTCGCTCGAGGTCGGGCGCGGACCTTCGAGAAAGAGTCTATGTACTGGTCTGATGAAGGTAAGTCTCCATGCTTGGGTGGTTGGGCAGTTGAAGCTTACTATAGTGTAGCAGTTGACGGGACAATTCGCTCATGATCATATTTCGTTCTTGCATGTACTTCGCGTCCCATCGGAAGCTACAGTTCTTCAATGACTGTTCCGGCTTTGACTCTTCGATATCCTTATGGATCTGGTGCAACCTGCTTTCCAATTGGGAAATGTGATCTTGCATCCACAGAATCGTGCCTGCGTTCAAGCTTTCGAAACGGCGGAACACAAAAAAGTCATCTTCTGAAGCCATCCATTTGCTGAAAGCTTTGTAGCCCTCAAATTTCCAAGCCTGGTCTCGCTTCGCTTTCTCGTCTACCATTACACTGCTGGTGGTGTTGAGAGGCGACAGAGACTGTAATGGTATGTCTTGTGCAGGCATATGAGCCCCTGGCGCTGTCGCTGGGCCTGGAAGAGAAGAAGTAGAAGCACGAGAAACTTGGGTCATTGTTGAATATGCTAATCGCTTTTCCTTTTGCGGTCTGTTTAGCTTTATTTGTTCGAGACAGTTGGATAAAGGCTGAAGGCTAGTTCAGCCTGCTGCGGTCCTGCCTCACTTGCAAAGTGCGGCTGTGCATACTCGACGTTAGAGGACCGCAGGATCCTAGTCATCTGAGGTGTCCACCGATGAGGGTCAGCATCCTGAGTGGTCGCATGCATGAGTCCTTCAGCTCGTGCATAACCGAAACACAACGCTACTGGTCCGGATAGTCGTCAATATATATTTTGTCACGAGCTGAAACCCATTCGACGAAGAGCCTCATCGCGACGTAGCAGCTACTGGGCTCACGTCCGCCTCGTTGCCTCGTTGAGGCAGATTCTAACTTTAAAGTCAGTAATACCCGTCTCAGCTCTTGCACTGCTTTTCCCCCCCTCTTTCCAAACGACTCAGGCAGATCTTGTTCTCTTTATTATCCACAGCCTCGCCGTGCTTCGACTGATACCGGTTCTGGGTACGATTTCGACTGCGTCTAAGCCACTTCCTGACCGGTGACATCGTCCCACGTGCAGCATAGCATCATGAGGTTCTGGGACAAAGCAACGCGCAAGATTAACGCGGCCAACGCGTTCAATAGGGGTGGCTTTGAACGCCAACAGCAATATGACACTGAGACACGAATTCCGCAGCCAAATCAGCCGCCGCCTGTTCCGGCTCAACAGCCTATCTCTCAGCCTGGCGGAGAAGCCATGACCTATTTCGCAGAACATCCCTCTTCAGCCTTCCCTAACAGATTCAACAATTCGTCTAACCATTACAATGCTTTCACAACGACATCAACGTTCGTTCCTCATGCTCAAAACCCTGGCGCTACAGTGTTCTCAAATCCGCCTCTGCAACCCTTCGCATCCGGTAACACAACCGCGATCATAGAGCCTCAGCACACCGGTTATTCATTCCCATCTTTTCAGGAAAGTCCTGGTACAATGACACATTCGCCACCTCAAGATACTTCGACGTCGCCTCCTCAGATGCCCTTCCCGCCGCGACGCAGTGTGACCGAAGACTACTACAATGTGTCACCGATTCCCGCACAACGTAGCCGGACTATGCCTAATCAGAGACCACATCATGACTGTTGCTCGAGCTCGAACTGGAATGCGTAGGTAGCAATGTCATCCTCATCGTATCAATCGACATGCGCTTACGATCTTGTTTAGTATCCTAGGCCGATGCTTGGTCTGCAATCCGTATTGAAACAGCTGAACAACGGTTCGTTAGCACATGTAATTTGCAAATTGGAAACTTCATGCGTCCAAAGTCACATCCGATCACCATGTCTCGACGCGAACGTGTTTTTATAACAACGGGTTCGATCAATGGCACAGACCCGATCCTTCTTTTTTTTATCATGCCTGATCTCCTTATATACCCTTCGCGAATACAAGTACATTAGAGACTAGCATGGGCAGCTGCCAAGTCACTTATTGCACCAAAATTTTACCTTACCTAGCCATCCTTCACTAAGACCATGCAACACCAACGCGGTCTACAATTCCTCACACGTATCTCCGGCTCAGGAGATATCCCGTTATTGTTGACTACTAACGCTGAGCTAGCTGATCTATGGCTGCATCACATTTGTCCACACGCGCGGTGCCTCAACCCTCGTGCAGGTAGCCAGAGCAGTGGAATGTTATGTTACCTCCCATAGTTGTCTCTGATAACTGTCACAGGTAGTATGTTGATTATATGTAGTATTGGTACAGCAATCTTGGTCTTTGTCACGGTGAGAGACATGGCTCTGGAGACAGCATGTCCATTGAGCTTAAATAACTAGACATCAATTAGTACTGAATGCTATGGGTCAGACTGTCGGTTCGAAGTGTCGGTGTGACACGCAGACCGCCTACCAACTACACATGTGCAGACAAACGAGACAGGCGCCAGTAGCCTGGAGTATCTGTGAAGTAAATGGATAGTTAGAAAGAAGAGTTCAGGTGATTGACACTATCATTCAATGGGAGCGGTGTATAGAGTTTGACAAAACGAGTGTCTTCCGTGGGACAACTCACCTCATACTGTTCTCATATCATACCTCACACGCGGAAGATCTTTTCAACCAGCGCCATATGGAGGACAACGTCACCCCCGAAGCCCACGTCAATCTTGACATGCAAGTCACTTCAGAGACCAGTGCGCTGCAAACTCAAGGTTCAATATACGAGGATATGCCCTCAAGCAACGATTATGAGCACATGTGAGTCGCCAGCAGAGCGATGCTATTTCACATACTGACTACATAAGCACCAAAGACAACCGCCATAATTCTCCCCTCCTGCAGCTGCCGCCTGAGATCCGCAACAGAATCTACCATCTTGCGCTCATCCAGGGCACGATCCAGGTTTTGCCTGGCGTCGTGTCTAATCCTGAGATGGTACAACCTCATGGCCGTCAGCTACTATACGCGTGTCGTCAGATACGCCTCGAGGCTTCACCGATCTTCTTTGGGCTCAACACATTCAACTTCGACATGCTTCATCATTTCTGGAGATTTGGAGTGACGCGGCAGGTCTGTAAAGCTGTCCGGTCGATTCAGCTCGTATACAACTCCTTCAACCACCTTCTCGAGATGATCGAGCATCATCGGTTTTGGTTTAGGGACATCTGTCCATTTCCGGCCCTTGAGAAGATCTATGTTCTAGGTACCCCAAACGTGCGGGATGTACTCAAGGCCTTGAATACGTTGAGGGCCTCCTCCGGGAACAGGTGCCTCGAGGTGATCTTCAACGATTTCGAGGACTGACTGACGCGTATGACGGTAAGTGTGAAGAAGAGAAGAAACATATAGACAACTCTGACAGTTGATAGTGTATAATGAGTTGAATTCCCTGTGGCTCTGGTCTATGCAACATTGACGATTTTGTTACCTTGTTATCTTTCTACCTTGGTTATTATGTTACTTGGTTACTTTGTTTCTCATTGTCCGAACTTCTGCAGTGTGCTTAATGCATGAATCCCTGTTCGGGGATCGGGCTCTGCTTCTGTGGCCTGGTGAGGTACACGGAAAGGAGCCCTGGGCGATGGATGTCTCGTAGAATCACTTAAGTCAGTTTTAGCATGTGACTATGACCATATCTTTCCCAACTCAGGCAATCACTCAACAATGATCTCGAGTCGCATTGTCAGTGGTGATAGAACTTGTCCAAGGTAAAGTATTCCGGACTTCGGCAATACAAAGATATGGTCCTCTTACACAATGTTGTGACGACGGTCGAAAACCTCATGCAAGATGGGACCATAACGCGTCTGAGAGCGGTTTTGCGACGTGTAGTTGCAGCAAAGTTCCATGAGACTTCTGCTAAGGCATTGTGCGGGTAATTTGAATCTACAAGTCATTGTCAAGAAACAGTACTTTGAAAATGACTGGCTATTCCAAGTCAACGAATCTCTTTTGTTTCGACGAAGATGGTGGTGATGTCAACTCCTAGCCTGTATTAGTCATCAGCCGTTATATGACTCGAAATAGGAAGGTAGGCAGAATTGTTGTGACTGGAGAGACGGAGACGGAGGAAGCATAATAAATCTGGAACTCGAACAGTGTACTTTACCGACAACATCGCACAGTCCCACATCGTCGTCGTCACAATGGCATACGAACACCCCGCCACATCCCCCACCCTGCTGCACGCTCTCAAATCCAACCTCCCCTACAGCATAAACCTCGTCTACCGAACCCAGCACCCCAATCGAACAAAGGACGCACATATCCTTGCAACCTTCCCTCCGACCTCGAACACCGTGCCGGAATGCTGGGCAGCAGCGTACCTGGATCGCTCCATGCGTCCGGAAACTGAACTCTGGATCTTCGCAGCTGCAGAGATGCCAAATCATTCATCACAATCAGACCAGCCTTGTTCGGGATGTAGAGGAGCAGTTTTGGCATTACTAAAACACATGGCTACACTTCCCGTCCCGCCGCTCCACCCAGACAACCTACCTGCAATGGAATTGGCAAAGCAGCACAAGAAAGACTTTCCAGAACCAGGCCCGGATGGCAGTTATGCCATGTCACCCGGAACATACATGAGACACCTGCTGCTACCCAGTGTAGTAACCCTCGGAGCCTGTCATCACGTCGTAGTTCAGATATGTCGCGATCTCGGGGTGCTGCGTAGAGAGTTTCCAGGTCCTAACGCCGAGTTGAACAAGTTTCTGTTCAAAATCTGCGACCTACCACAGACGAAAGAATTGCCAGAGGGACTTCGATGGGGCGAAGTAAGGGAGGAAGATGTCGCAGTCGTACAGTCGCGAACATCAATCCCTCGATCAGCGAGGACATTGCTGTCACTGAAGAGCGTGGGCGTATTTGAAGAAACGACCAATAGAATCGTGTCTTGGACATTTCTCGGGCTTGATGGGTCGCTTACTACCTTGCACACAGAACCCGAGTACAGAGGGAAGGGCATAGCGAAAGCGGTCGCGGCGAAGGTCTTCAGAGAGTATGCGCCCGACCTTGCCGTAGACGAAGATGGAGGTGCTTGGTCACATGCGGATGTGTATGTGGGCAATGTGGAAAGCGAGAGTGTGTGCAGGAGCTTGGCAGGGAAGGCAATGTGGAAGCACTTCTGGGTCAGGATAGACCCTGACAAGGCCGGGACGTTGGGAGACACGAAATGATATGCGGGTCAAATAACATAGATCGACATCACGAGAGGCATGCAATGTGGAAGTAAGCATGTTTGTATTTGATCTACTTGAAAGTCAGCCTCAGAGTCTTGAATGAATGAAGGTTGAATCAAGCGTAGTGGTAGGTTGTGCTCATGAAAAAATTAGAGTTGCGTGTTTTAGTCTTCATTGAAGATCAGGGTTAAAAAGGTAATAATCATTGCGGGGTATCAAATAGCGAAAGGGGTAGGCTTACTTTTTGGTTGCATGAATACTGTTGCTTGAACGAGTATCACATGCACAAGGAACTGCTTCGAGTTGTTCATCTTATCGTATTGTCGTTGACATTCCTATCTCATAAAGACGCGTCCTGACAGGCCGTGGCCAAGCCAAGATTGGTCAAGTAGTGTTGCCCACAAAGCGAATACCTTAGTCGAAGAGACCGAAGCCCATGTCCTCATCCTCGGACTCCTCCTTCTCTTCCTCGACTTCCTTGGTAGCCTCGGCAGCAGGAGCATCACTGCTAGTGGCACCGCCAGCGGCAGGGCCAGAAGAAGCGTACTTGTCGGGGTTGGCAATGCGGTCCTTGAGCTCAGAGATCTCCTCCCACTCGTAGTCGGTCTCAATGGCAACAGAGAGAACCTTCTTGTAGGAGTTGACGACGGAGTGCATGACGGAGGGCAGAGTGGGGAAGCTGACAGCCAGGGAGATACTGGCGATGGTGCTGATGGCCGAGGAGAAGGCCTTCAGGAGCTGGGACTCCTCGATGTCCAGAACGTGGGGCTCGAAGGTCTGGCCGTTGTCGTAGATCTGGTAGATACCCATACCGTAGGTGAAGGGCGAGATGTTCAACATGTTGAGAAGGGTGGCCTCGGAGGCACCGACCTTGCAGCCAGCCTCGACGAGCTTCAAGTCGGCTGTGATTTCAATGGTACCACGAGCAATCTTGGTGGGGACACCGAGAGCCTGGAAGAAAGAGGTCTTTCCGGGTTCCATACCACTGTGAGTTGTCAGTGCCATTCTGAATGTGTATGCGCAACAGGTTGCCTTACGTGTTTCCGGCCGGGATGAAGACATCATCAGGCGCAAGGGCACCAGCACGAGCAGGGGCAGCGACACGGTTCGCGAGGATCTTGTCACGGGTCTCCTTGAGGTCGGCGTTGGTGAAGACGAAGCCGACGTTGCCTACATACTTGTCAATCTCATGTTATACAGCTGCGTGAATTGGCAAACGCACCCTTGACGTGGGGAAGCAGACGCTCATACTCTGGGGAGTCTGGGATGAGACCCTTCAGAGCACGACGAACCATGGTGTTCTTTCCCATGAGAACGACACCCTCGCCACGGAGGGACTGTCGGATCTCGTGCATCTGCTGAGACGAGACATTGTCGACGGTGACGATGAAGATGCTCTTGTACTCCTCGAGGAGCACCTTGAGCTTATCGAAGTAAGCGGCCTTGTTTTCTTTCTTGCCCCCCATTGTGTTCGTTTGACGCAAAGGGATGTTTAAGGACTTAAACGGGTTTGTTGATGATGGTTTGGAGACCTCACTAGAACGAAAATTTGAGGTTGTTCAGCTTGTGGGTGGCACGTGCTTTCGGCTAGCTTGACAACTCTTGGCATATCGATTTGGAGAGCCGACTCCATCGCAAAGTCTATTTTTCTCAAGCGCGCGCAGCAACATGGTTTTACCATTTCAATGTCTTGTCGCTCGCAGCGGACCTACGGCGACATCGCATGAGTGGACGCTGTTTGGCGCAAGCAGCTCAAAACTCGTTGTGCAGTCCAGCAATGGAGACAGATCAATTTGGCCAGAACAAGATGACCGTGTAAGAGTGAGTTGTGGGCACCAAAGTTGGCGTGTGCATACATAGTGGATATATTTTGGATGGGGACTAATGATGACAGGATCACCAGCAAGAGGATGAGACCCAAGAACCACCCGGAAAACGAATCAAATTGTCAGTCTCGAAAGACACAGAAAAAAAGCCGAACTTCTTGTCTTTGGTCTTGTCAAACGACGGGCAGTATCTAGTTGGCGTCACAGGCGAAGACAAGTGCATCCGTGTATTCCAGATCGACTCGCAGAACCGTCTACAGCAGCTAAGCGAAAGGCAAGGTTGCATCATTGGTCTCTTGAAGTCGAGTACTGACAGTTTGTAGGTGCATGCTCAGGCGGCCTTGTTCGATTACTCTATCATCGGACGACTCCACCATCCTATGTGCTGACAAGTTTGGAGATGTGTATGCTCTTCCACTACTGCCATCACCTGACGAAGAACGGCCAGAGACTCCTGTAATCCAAGAGCCCGTCGAGACTAAGGAGGATACATTCGCACCTGCTGCCACTGTTCTCACCGTTCACTCAGGAAGAAACAGGAAGACACTAGAAGAACAGCTGAAACAGAAAGCCAAAGGCCCTGCTAAGCCCAGAGAAATCATTAAGTTCAAGCACGATCTTCTCCTTGGGCATGTCTCTATGCTTACAGATATTGTATTCGCAAAGACGGACTCTCGTACCTATATCATAACAGCAGATCGAGATGAGCATATCCGGATCTCACGCGGACCACCCCAAGCCCACATCATCGAAGGGTTCTGCTTTGGACATGAAGCGTTCGTGAATCGACTCTGCCTGACACAGTCTGGATCGCTCGTGTCTGGGGGTGGAGATGACCACCTGTTTGTGTGGGATTGGAAGAATTACCAGCTCATTGAGAAACTTCCTATTCGAGATGTCGTGTTGGACCATATCAATTCCCGTGCAGAGCTCGGCTCAGCAGCAGCAGACAAGGATAACTTCAAAATCGCGGTTACTGGGATATGGAATGTACCGAGTAGCAGTAGCAAGGTTGGTTTTCGATAGACCCTTTGTTTTCCAGATACTAACCTACAAAAGAACGACGAGATCTTGGTGGCCTGTGAAGGAATACCCGCTTTGTTTCACTTCAATATCGGTTCTGCCGCGACGACTGATACCGCAATACCTCTAAACGGCAATGCATTAGATGTGGCCTTTGTTCAGACATCTCAAAAATCGTGCACGGTTTTTGTCGCTATCGACCATGTACACAAACCAGGTTCCACAGTACTGGTCCGAGATGATCAGGTATGTAGCATATCAGCCATCCATTGTTACTAGAACTAACGGCAGCGTAGAATGCCCCTCGTTTACAGTGTTTCTCAAACACAGATGGTCGTTGGCAGGAGGATGTAACCACAGAGGAAGCTGTAGGATGGTTTGGCAGCCAGGGACAGGAAGACAGCAGAGCTGGTCCTGAGTTGATTGATGAGAAAGCATTGCGAGACATGCTCTACAATGTGGAGAACCTTAGGAAGCGTCCAGGCGCGGAGGATTAGGCTCTCGTGCGACAAGATGATTTAACAAATGACAAAGTCAGTCTTGACAAACTTGCTGAAAATGTGGCGGTGGGAGCTGACGCGTGACGTGTGAGGCTCCAGACCTGCGTCAGATGTAATCAGATGCATGTTAGCCACGGGTACTTCCAGCAATGAATAAGTCACGTTGCGCGTGTTCCGAGGTTCATGAGTCGGCAAACTTGGATGCTCCGCCGTATCGGTGTCGGTTTTCGTAGTACTTGTCCGTGCCTGTGGGTTTTAGTAGTCTAGACAGTTTGATTTCTAAGTGTCTGAATCGTCAACGCACGCCATCCAGTCTTTTTTCTGTTCCGAGTTGCCAACGACACCACTTTCTTAAGTACAAAGCAAGGCGTGTCTTCCTTCTCGAGTCTCCGAAACAGTCATCACATCAGGCAGCATCGTATTGTAGTCAGACAGCACTAAACAAACTACACCCCGCTACCCACTTGGCTCGCCGCGTCGATCGGCTCGACTTCTACATCGCTCAAAATCTGTAATCACCTTTCCAGGTCTTTCTACGGCACTTAGTTTCTCCTCCAAAAGGCACCTTCTGCGCACCTTAGAGCAGCCCCACACGTCACAGCCCACATTCTACGATCCACTCACGCCTCGCGCTCTACACGCGAAGCCGCACAAGCCGCCAAAGTGTTTGCCCCAATCTTCCGCCGGGCGACTTCTTCTCGTGTCATATCCTTGTTCTCCGTCCCTGTCGCTGCCGCCGCTTCTCATAACCAGCGCGTGTCACCTGCCACGGGGCTTTCATCTGCCACAAGTTTAACTGGAACACCAAAGACACACACAAGAAAAATGCATTCAAAACTAGTCAGTAAGTTGCAAGAGAGCGCTTGCATTTGAATAAATACTGATAGTCTTTGTAGTTATTGGGTATGTTTCCGACGCGTCTCGCGTTTGCATGCGTCTACCCCGCCATCGACGAAGCGCCGCACTTTTTTAACAAACACTAACATGTACGCAGCTCGGGGCCTGCAGGCCACACCGCAGCTATCTATGCTGCGCGCGCCGACCTGAAGCGTGAGCCATTTCCAATTGCATCGGAGAACTCCACTAACAATGCGCAGCTGTCATGTACGAGGGCTTCATGGCTCTGGGTATCGCTGCTGGAGGCCAATTGACCACTACAGATGAAGTAGAGAACTTTCCTGGTTTCACAAAGATCCAGGGAGGGAAGCTCATGGTCAGCACTTCCTGACTCCGTTCCTATGGTTCTCGCTAACGATTCTCAGGAACAAATGCGTGAGCAGTCTGAAGAATGCGGTACCGAGATCATTTCCCAGACCGTCGCGAAGGTCGACCTCAAATCGCGTCCTTTCAAATACTGGCTCCACCCCATGGGTGACGATGATGTGATTGAGGAGGAGGAACACACCGCCGAAGCGATAATCGTCGCAACTGGCGCAAAGGCAAGGCGATTAGGCCTGGAAGGCGAGGAGAAGTTCTGGGGCAACGGCGTCTCCGCATGCGCAGTCTGCGATGGCTCACTACCCATGTTCAGGAATCAGCCTCTGGTTGTCATCGGCGGCGGCGACTCAGCAGTCGAGGAGGCGCTATACCTCACTAAGAAAGCAAAGAAGGTCTACGTCCTCGTACGAAGGGACAAGCTCCGAGCCAGCAGGACAAACGCTCGCCGCCTGACTACACACCCCAAGGTCGAAGTTATGTTCAACACGGGCGCGACCGAGATCAAAGGCGAGGAGAAGAAGAACGGACTCATGACCCACTTGGTGGTTCGCAACAACGAAACCAAGGAAGAGAAGAGTATCGAGGCGAAGGGCTTGTTTTACGCTGTCGGACACGACCCTGCGACGGGCCTGTTCAAGGATCAGCTTGATATGGACGAGGATGGCTACCTGATCACCAAGCCCGGAGAAGGACTTACCAGTGTGGAAGGTGTTTTCGCTGCTGGTGACGTCCAAGATAAGCGATACCGACAGGCCATTACCAGTGCAGGTGAGTTTGCCCTTTTGAGCTATATCAAATATTCGTACTGACGATTTAACTAGGTTCCGGATGCATTGCTGCCCTCGAAGCCGAGAAGTGGCTCGCTGAGCGCGACGAGAATGTTGGTAACGAGCTTGAAACCGAGAACCAGGCCGAGAAATCCCAGACCAACGGCGTTGTACCTGAGTACCGCTCCAACCCGCTGTTGTAAACACATTCTCCATAACAACATTGACATCACTGGTCGAATTTTCAGCACATTGCATCGGATGGATACTGCATGATGGATTTAAACTAACGGCTACATGAGAAGGGTTTTTTATAGACCATGAAAGATTTGTCTTGAAACTTGCTTTTACGGCTCGACGTTGGCATAGATTTTGTAAGCTTTGGCTGCATTTTGGGTTAGATATGAGGGACGCTTGCAATGAACTGTTTGCCAGATTGTTTATTCGATCACATCAAGAGATATTCGCTCCAGTAATAGTTGTGAGGTTTGATCTTGACAGTATTACATGACCAGGTTTCCTTCCGACGACACACCAAAGACCTAGTGGCTCGCAGAATATTGTAGTTGTACGTTCTCGCGTAACTCCCTCACAAGATAGTGCACCTCATCACATGTGTCCTCGAAGAAGCACAATTTTGAGAGCTTGACGAAGGCAAGAACCGCCGACCAGATGGCCTGGCCTTATTTGTTGAACTAAACTGCTCATGAGGTCTCGGCGGAGCTGGATGATAAGCAAGATATATGGCACCTAGGTCGATGAGTATCAACCATTGAATCCAGAGGCCTTTAGAAGGTTGAGCGCACTCTCGAAGGCCCTCACTACATTGGTATCTGCGAGAGATTAGCGATAGCAATACAACGCTGGTCAAGCTGCGCTCACAATGTTTACGAGTCTTCTCCAACTTCTCCTCCGAGTTCTGAACATAGGCTGAGCGTGTTTGAAGGCTGTGCACGTTAGATGCGTAGAGAAATACTGTCCAAGGGTCAGGTACCGTGAGTACGTGCGGCTCGTCTCATGTTCATGACCAGCTTCGGCCCAGATGCGGAAATACTATGCGTGTTAGCTGTACACCCCACACCACAGCAAGTGAGCGAAGCCGTACACTCATAAGGCTCTCCCACTCCTGCATTAGCGCCGCATCGCCCTCATGGCACTTGTTAATCGCTTCATGGTATCGTGCGTGCAACTCCTCCCAGTCGAAATCAACAATTTTCTCAGCGGGATCATTGTCCTCTCCCATCTCGTCATCTTCGCTTGTGTCAGGCGACCCATCTGCATCGCCTTGAATCGGCTGTGCTGAAGGTGGGCGTTCTGTCTCCCCCGTACTCACTCGACTCAATAGTGGATGTGTCGCTCCTTCATCCTGCGTCGCGGGCGGTTCAGACTTGAATCGCGATTTGCTGTCCATTTTCTGGATAGTTATACTTGGAAGGGTGGGTGGTGAGGAGCGGAACGTTTGCAATGAATGATGTGTGGGGAGAGATGACTCGGATTCGCTGGTCATCTGTAACGCTGGTGTGTAAGTTGGTCAGTTCTGTGGGTGAGTGGATTGATCGTGGTGAACTGGAGTCATTCCTGTACCACAGAGAACTCTACTGAGCGAGCTGTAGTCCGGCAGACAATGTGATGGATGTAGTGTTGCTTGTGCAAGATGGGTGTTTGCATCACGTGGTTGGTCAACTAACCGCTTCCGTCTGGTGGAGCATGACGTGCAGAAGGTGCGTCCGTGACTCGCGCTTGCGCTCGCGCTCCGCGACTGTTGCTGCGTGACTTGTTGGCTGCATCAGATCTTCTACCTGCGCGTGTCCCCCTGTATACTTTGACGATATCATTCCTGTTTGCCCAACGCCTGCTCTGGCGCAAACTCATGGGCCAGTAACTGCTCATAACCCCGCGTCGAACCACCACTCATCATGGTCCCACGGTGCCTCTCAAGTCTACCACCTCACGGACTACAAGGAGGTGATATCACATAACACCTCCGCAACATGGAGTGCGATATTTGTGGGAAGGCTGGCAGCTCCGTCCATCACCCTCTCCACTGCATTACTTGCGCTCGCTCTTTCCTCGAACACCCCCGCATCGAACTCGCAAGGACGTTGATAGATAAGGACGGGGTAGAGAAGCATGTCAAGGCAGTCATCCAGGGCCTGGAAGACAAGTCAAGTCAGCACGTCTCCCTGACCGACTCCAAAGGCGGTCTCCTGGTCGATCGGGAGGAATGTACAAACAATCACAACTGGCAACGGACGAAGGCTGAGACGATCGAGATCCAAGAGCGGCTACAGCTTATCGCCGAACATGCAAGTCGCCTGCGCGAGCAGATGGAGGCTACGCAAAAACAACTGGAGGCGAAACGAGCCGACAACGCGCAACGGAAGTCTGATATCTCCTCCGCCACATATGGCATCGAATCGCGGCGAGCCAACGAACTGGATAAGATTCAGCAGAACGTCAAGAGAATGGACTACAAGTCGGACAAGATGCATCAAGATACCACGGAGCTGCGCATGCAGCTATGTACAACAGCTGCAAAGCTTGCTGGGCTGAAGTCCAGCAAGCGTAAGGCGAAGGATGGGAGTCTCACGGAGACGTTCAACATTGGTCCTGGAACACGTCTAAGGGTCTGGGATCTGCGGGACCTCAACGATGCACCTCCCGACTACCTTTGTGCATCTCTAGCCGCTGTAGCCCAACTCCTGGTTCGAGTTGCTGCCTATTTGGGCATTCGCCTTCCTGCGGAGATCACACTTCCACATAACGACTATCCACAACCAACCATATTCAGTCCTCCATCTTCATATCAGGGCAAGAAAGTACCATTCCCTGGTTCGACACCTTCGCATTCTTCAAGCAACAGCCCGGAAGCCTCCCGCACGCTGGACCCGCGTGTACATCTTCCGAAGCCTCGTACTCTATTTGTAGATCGTCCGCTGAGTCATCTATCTGCTGAAGATCCGCCAGCTTACTCGTCGTTCATTGAGGGTGTTTCTCTGCTCGCCTACAACGTGGCTTGGCTATGCCGAACTCAGGGCATGAAGGATAGCTTCAAGGTTTGGGAGGATATCTGCCCTGTGGGTCGCAATCTGCATCGTCTCCTGATTGTTCAAGAAACATATCTCCCCCATCGCCTTGAAAATCCACTCGACAAAGACATGAATGTTGCCAAATCTTCTTCTAGACTTCCTCTCAGGAAGGTACCAGTAGGCTTTGGGCAACTCTCACATGCTACGTCGCATTCTTTCATGCACATTGCCGAGAATACGCAATATCTCGGCGGTTGGTTACTTACACCCACCAAGATTACGGACGAACTCAAGGCGTTCCTACTTGCCGAACAGCAGGCGCAGGAATGGGACGTACTCAATCAGAAGGAGTGGGAAGACATGGAGACTCTGGTCGCGGAAGACCCGATTCTGATAGGCGAGAAACGACGTGGCAACACAGGCATAGATGATGGTCGCAGCCACCTCACATCAACTATAGCAAGTGGAAAGTCGTCGCCGTCACAGAAGAACGATGCATCTGAGGGCGAACGGAGGAGGGGAACAAGTGGGTGGACGAAGGTGAAGAGCAGGAGTGAAGACGTCGCGAAGCAATCGATACCCGAGTAGAACTGTTAGAAATAGAGTCCTTTCATAGATGCATAACCCATTTGTAGTACCGCTATACCATTCTGACTTTGTCAGCGGAATTTCATCGTTGTCTCACAACTTGTGCGTGCTTTTACGTATGCCGATGTCAGTAGGTCCTCATGCAGTGATTACAATGCTAAGACCGTTGCAAGGCGCCTCGGACGAATTAATGGCATCATGCCCGCTAAACCCAGCTTAAGAATCATCGCGAAATCGACGCGGTGCATCTGCACGTTTCCGGCTTAGACAATTGATTGCTAAACAATGCCAGGGATGATGCGGCTCATGAGCTGATATATATAAGGTCTGCTGGAGTCACGGTGGATGTCAGTTCTGCCTTCACATAGATTACTCAGAACAAAGGGTCGGAACAACGTCGCCCCACGAAAAACAACTCTGGAACATTCATCGCTGGAGACTGATTACTCGTACTCTTTTTCAGACTTATCGCTCTCACATTGCTCAAACAATATTTAGAACATCGCCACCATGACCATTTCCGACCAACCAATTGACACTCCTCCACGCGCGTCCTCACCTGTACATCAATTTGGTACTCTGGCTGTACATGCTGGAAGCCCTCATGACCCCGTTACTGGTGCCGTGATCGAGTCGGTACGTTCTTCCGGCAGGTCTTCAAGTGCTTAATCGCTAATTGAAGTAGATCTCTTTGTCTACCACTTTTGCGCAAACCGCCGTGGGAAAGCCTGTAGGCGAGTATGAGTACTCTCGATCCTCGAACCCGAACCGGTACGTTCACGCAAAAACGTTGCAAAGTATTTACTAATTTTTGTTCAGAGACAACTTTGAACGCGCAGTCGCCGCTCTTGAGCACGCCCGGTATGCGCTTGCCTTCAGTTCCGGGTCCGCAACCACAGCCAACATCCTGCAATCGCTCGCCTCAGGATCGCATGTTGTTTCCGTGTCAGATGTCTACGGCGGAACGCACCGCTACTTCACCAAGGTGGCGCTCACACACAATGTGAAGGTCACATTCAGTCCCAGCATCGAGATCGACATTGCGGAGCTCATTCGACCAGAAACGAAGCTCATCTGGATCGAGTCGCCATCGAACCCCACACTCACACTTGTCGACATCCGCAAGATTTCCACAATCGCGCACCAGCATGGCATCATGGTGGTCGTGGATAATACCTTCATGTCGCCTTACGTCCAGAATCCGCTCGATCACGGTGCAGACATTGTCGTCCATTCCGTCACAAAATACATCAACGGCCACTCGGACGTGGTAATGGGCGCTGCGGCCTTCAACTCGCCAGAGCTCTTCGACCGCCTCTCATTCCTCCAAAACGCCATCGGTGCCGTGCCCTCGCCATTCGACTGCTGGCTCGCGCACCGCGGCCTCAAGACATTGCACCTCCGTGCTCGCGAGGCGACCAAGAACGCTACAGGTGTCGCAAAAGCGCTCGAAGCTTCCTCACACGTACTCTCCGTCAACTACCCTGGCCTGCCATCGCACCCACAACACGCCATCGCGTTGAAGCAGCATCGTGACGGCATGGGGGGTGGTATGCTCTCATTCCGCATCAAGGGTGGTCATGAGGCTGCTGAGCGCTTCTGTCAGGCGACCAAGATCTTTACCCTGGCCGAATCGCTGGGCGGCGTCGAGTCGCTAGTTGAAGTCCCCAGCGCCATGACGCATGGCGGTATCCCCAAGGAGCAGCGCGAGGCGGCTGGTGTCTTTGACGACCTTGTCCGTATCAGCTGTGGTATTGAAGATGAGGTCGACCTCGTTGCCGACGTCAAGCAAGCTATTGAGAAGGCTGTTGTGGGCCCTAAGATCAAGAACGGTCTTGCTTGAGTAATGGGTATGGATTGGAGCTTCTCGGATAGCAGTTAGAAGGCGTATGCTTATGGTGGATTGGCGTTCTGGGGCATTTTATGATTTGATGATAGACATGCGATCAGCTTTTGTGTACTTGGGTGATAGTACAGCGAGCGATGAGATACCAAATATAAGTTCTTGCACGTTAATACTGCGCTGTCCACGTATTGTTTCTTGTTCCGATCTCTTTGCTTTGTTCGTTCACAAATGTGCTTCGAACTCAAGTCTCAACTCTCATCTTCCACAAGACAAACATCACCACTACGGCATCAGTTCGCTCGAGCCCAATACCATCTACTCCCCACAAACCCTTATCGAACTTGAAATACAACCCAACTCTTCTACGAAACAGGAAAGCGACCAATTCCACACATGCCCTCACATATTTTGCAATCCCCGAACCCATCTCCATTAGTTCTGCACTCAAACACTCCAGATACTCCAACATTTTCTGTTACCAAACTCCTTTCGTTCCCCATCCCCCCAGCACCCCATTTGTTTACATTCCAGCATTTCCCACCCAGATCCCAACTTCCACACACCCAGAACCATCACCTGGTTCCAATAATATTTCAGTCCCAAGGACAGAGATACCAAGACAGAGGTCGATCCCGACATGACTTCAACACCGGAGCACTATGGAAGCCAGTAGAATATACTATCAGACTGTGAACTTTAAGTTTTGTGAGAAATCAGTGCAGTGCGTTCTTTCCAAGAGCGAAGGACGGACGTCGACCATGCCTGGGTGAAAAACACCATTTTCGAGACACCAGACCGCACAGCTCATCGAACTGGTCATTGATCCTTTTTGAAAAGAGGTGCAGAGTTGGATACAAGTCAAGTCGTATCCTTTATATCCAAGGGAAGGCACGAGAAGAAACATGTTGATTGCTGTGGATCGGTTTAGAACGAGGGTATATGTTTTATCCAGGAGAAGCGCAGGAGTTTGATCTTGTGATGGGATTTTTGGGCCAGACATAGCAAATTCCTGAGCTTTGTTTGGAGTAAATCAATTGATGGGTGGGTGTTTAAGAGGTCATGAATGTTGCTGGGATGCTTTTTTGAGATGTGGATAATTGAGGAGGTAGGAGGAAGGTTGTTGGACGGCTAGATATAGAGTATTGAGCAGTCATGCTTGGTATTTCGACAGGAACACAAAAGAGAAAGGCATATCTACAGTCGGTGGCAAATTTTCGTGTGCATATGCGTCCTTGGGTTTCCAAGACAGGAGGAAGAGCATGCTTTTTCACCACGTAATTTTTCGTTCTTCCAAACACACATGAGCTGTGTTGCCGTCGTCTTTCGAGTATCATGGTAAACAATGGGGATTCAGAATCGTCATGGCAGTCTTGGGTGTAAAGTTTTTACGCTGGAAGATGGACTTTAGTGACCTTGCGTTGAGCGTGAGAACACATATACCTAAACTAACCGAATTTTCGTCTTGCTACCAGTTGTGCATAAAGATTTGAACAGGTTTTCGAGGACCAAAACACACGCCGACATATTCTTGAACTCTGGAGTTTTTTTCCATCTCTTTGTTTCTTTGGGAAAGGGTTTAACGAGAGGAGCACATGTCGAGTTACTCATTGCGTTTTGGTGTTCGGAGCGATAGATATGTAGATAGAAAGGACAGGACAGGACAGGACACATGAGGTTCCTGCATGGTTGTTTTATGAAAAAACGAAAATCGTTTTGGAGGATGGTGAAAGAGAAGATTTGTTTTGTAGATGGGGACATAGAGGGAACAAGAGAGGGTTGGGGAGGTATTTATACGCGCAATTCAATACCATTACGGCTTGGCAATGTGCGGAGAAGAGAAGACCCGGACACATGACAGAAGCAAGTACGTTTTTTTGACAATCAATGGGTATATTTCAACTCTCACTCATTCATCCATACACACAAATCATCAAGATCTCCGCGCTACTTTTAAGAGCCACCCAATCCACGCCTCACGACGCCAATGCCTATGATACAAAGTCTCTGACAAGAAGTCCTCCACACTATCTATCCGTCAAGCACGCCGCTCTCCTTCAAGCTCCTGAACAGCTCTGGTTCGAGGAACTTGCTGATCGTGACGTCTTCGGCAAGCCCCTTCCTCCGCCTCGTCTTGAGCACGAAATCTCTGGCGAGTTGTTGCGCTGTGGCGGGTTCGAGGGGGCGGGTTGAGATGTCCTTGTCGAGCGGGTCGCCGGGGACGATGGACCAGCGGTCGAAGACGAGGGAGAGGGAGACTTGGCCTTGGGTGTGGATCTGCGAGTGTGTTAGTGGATGACATGTGGAGTGAATACACCGGGAAATAAACGTACCCTGAGATCGGTCTCGAAACCGAAGGAGTCGATGACCGGAATCAGACCTCGCACGTTGTACAGCGGAGTACCGGCGATCGGACCATCTTGCAGGACGTGTCCTCGCCTTCGGGCAAGAACTGTGTAGAGACTGCTCTTGGTGTCTGCGGGACCCGTCATGCTGCAGGCGTAGACCGGTTCCATCAATCTCGGACTCGCCATCAGGAAACTTGAGTAGCATGCCCGTCGACTGGTGGGGATGATCTGGCCGCCTCCGCGGAAGATGGCTTCGGGTGCGAGCTCAACGTCCGTGATGCGGAACTTGGTGTTTCGGATGGGTTCTTCGCAAAGTGGACCTTCGCGCGTTGCCCAGCTGAAGCCTTGCCGTAAGGTATCGCGGACTGTGCGGAGAGTCTTTGTGTCGACCTCGGAGGGAAGTGTGTCGTTTTGCAGGATGTTTGCACCCATGTCGTCTGGTCCGAAAGCCCAGATGTTGCGCGATGCAAGCAGATCGTACCCGTAGTTCTCTTCGAAGAACTTGCCGACCACGCGCACAGGGTCCTTGATGTTGACTTTCCCAGCTTCGATGTCCTCTGCAATACCCGGGTCCAGTGGCTCGGCGATCATGGTGAGCTTGTTCTTCTTGTTTGGTGTAAGGGCATAGCATTTAATGGCGGACATTTCAACAACAGTTTCACAGAACCTGGTCACAGGATCTGAGACCTTGATCTCCATGTCGGCGTATAACCGTCGCAGATCGTGAAGCACGCAATCCATGTACAACTCGCCTGTACCGAGTACGACGTGCTCTCCTGATTCTTCGACTTTTGTTGTGATGAGGGGGTATGATTTGTTGATCTTGCGAAGGCCGTCCAACATCTTGGGGAGTTCAGAAGGGTTGATGGGTTCCACGGCCACTTTGAAAACAGACTCGAAGAAGTGGCGGATGGGTCGGAAAATATAGGCATCCTCATCGTCAGGAAGTTTGGAAGCAACGATTGTCGCAGTCTTGACTATCGAGTTGTCGACGCCGCCCAGTAAGACCCAGTTACCTGCAGGAACGCCGCTGACAGGGATGTTGTATCTTGACTGAGCTATCCATGTATCTGTCACGGTCGCAACGACCATGTCTTCCTCGTCTTCGAGCGTGTAGCCTTCGCCGAGCACGCGGACTGATTGTGGGGACTTGGCGATACCGCTCATGACTCGCCCAAGCGCAGTGAATGACTTCGCGTCTGTTGCGTTGAAGAGCTTTGTGACGTGTACGACCAATGGTCCGTCCTGGTCGCACTTCTCCATAGCTTCGGCCGTCTTCGAGTCCAAGGGTCCTGTGTAGTGTCGCTGGAGCAGTCGTTTCGCACCTTCGGCAGGCGATGGAACATGTTGTGTGATCATATCGACGAATCCTAGAGATGGGCCAAAGTACTGTTGGCACACCAGCCGCATAAGCTCTTTCGCGTCTGTCTTGTATTCTGAAGGCTTCAGTCGTATGCCCAAAGCCTCGAGAGTGTCCTTGAGGTCGGCCGAGCTCTCACTCAGCGTGTGAGAGTAGATCTTGTAAACGGGCTCCAGAATCCAGTGCACAAACGACCGCTGTGAAGCATCCTCCTGCCCCTTGCGACTGAACTTGCGACTGCCTGGGTTGTAGAAGATATCGCCCCACAGCCGCATGGCAAACTTGTCCACGTCCAGACCCTTCAACGGCACACCGAATCCTGGGAGTCTCGAGGGTCCAGGGTAGAAGTCGGCGTACATTTTGGCAAAGGACTGGATTGTGAAGCACCAGCGCATGCTCGTGCAGGCGAATGCGACATTGCCTTTCTCAGGGCTTACTCGTCTGCTCTCGCCCCGACCTGGAATGGTGTTCTCGATAACAGTGTTGACCTCCTCGATTACGTGCTTGATCTTGAAGTAGGCGTCCTTGGGTGGTAGTTTCAGCTCCAGGATCAAACGGTCCATCTTGTTGATAACAAGCGTCAAGGGCAAGTCCTCCAGCACCGCGTGCTTGATAATCTGCTCTGTGTTGACCTGCACGCCCTCAACAACATCCACAACCAAAACAACGCCATCGACCAAACGCAACGAGGCTGCCACTTCGTCCGCGAAGTTTACGTGTCCGGGGGTGTCGAGAATGTTGAAAAGATGCGACTTGAGCTTCGTATTCTGCAGGACCAAGCTCATGGGTGCGGCCTTGATGGACAGGCCTCGTTCGCGCTCGAGCACGTGTACGTCTGTGTAGCGCAGCTGCTCCTCCCGCTTTCGTCCCTTCTTGTGGTCGAGGCGATCCTGGATGTCGTGTGTTTCCATGACCAGCATATCCATAAAGGCTGTCTTTCCGTGGTGTAGGTGACCCGCAATGGCGATGTTCCGTATCTGGTCGGGGAAGTTCATCAGATCCGTCAACAGTTCCCGCGAGTGGTGCACCGGCGGCAGATCTGTCTCCTGGGCAATGAACTTCTTCTGCACGACGGGCGCGATGATGGGCTGGGCCAGCGACTGCGTGTCCTCCTCCTGCACCAGCACCTCGACATCGGGCCCGTACACATCGGACGCGGAAGGGTAGTACTGCTTGTCTTCGTGGAGGACTACGGCGTTGGACGGCCCCTCGTCGACTTGCATCAGCTGCTGGTCGTTGGCGTCATCATCCTCTGGGGCCTCCTCGTCGTCGTCGAGCACGTAGGCATCGGCCGCGTCGGCATTGGACTGGACATCGTCGTCGGACTCTGCTTCGCCGATAAAGTTTCCGAATCTGTTGGTGGTCAGTCGCGTAGTTGTGTCGGGGAAGGTGTGAAACTCACTCGTCGTAGAGGTCGTCCATGGCAGCGGTACGCGTAAAAGTAGTGCGGCGATGCTGCGCGGAGAGCTCGCTCGAAGCTATCCGCAAAAGTTCCCAAAGGCTTGGCACAGTGGCTAGCGCCAGGGCGGTGAACAGCACTTGATGAGAACCCTGGTCTAATGCAGGGATAGGCGCGAGCATCGCCGCAAAGTCGAGAATCCCATCACACTTCATAAAGGGCGCCGTCTGCTTCTCTCGGATACTAAATCTCCAATCCATCCGATCTACGTGTAATCACCCTCAAGCCATCCTAAAATGTCGTCCCTTCCCCCTGTGTACATCATCTCGGCCGCCCGCACGCCAACGGGCATGTTTTTGGGGTATGTTTTTGACACCGAGGAGGGGCAGCAGATTGCTGACCACCACACAGCTCCCTGTCGAGTCTGAGTGCCGTCCAGCTGGGCTCCCACGCCATCAAGGGTGTGTATGACTGCTTTTATAAAAAATACAAACTGGGCTAACATGCTGCTCTAGCTGCTGTTGAGCGCTCAGGCATCAAGCCCGAAGAGGTCCAAGAGGTCTTCGTGGGCAATGTCCTCTCCGCAAAGTAAGCCATCCATGCACCTTATCGCACACCCACCAACACGATCAGTCTCGGCCAGAACCCCGCCCGTCAGTGTGCCATCGGTGCCGGCCTGCCCGAGTCGACCATCGCTACAACCGTCAACAAGGTCTGCGCCTCGTCGATCAAGGCCCTGATTTGCGGTGCGCAGACCATCATCACCGGCAATGCCGATGTCGTCGTGGCTGCCGGCACCGAGAGCATGTCCAACACGCCCCACTACCTGCCCAACATGAGGAACGGCGCCAAGTTTGGTGACCAGTCGCTCGTTGACGGTGTGCTCAAGGATGGGCTCACTGACGCCTACAAGAAGGAGCACATGGGCCTGCAGGGCGAGGAGTGCGCCAACGACTATGGCTTCACCCGTGAGGACCAGGACGAGTACTGCATCCGCTCCTACAAGAAGGCCATTGCTGCCGACGAGGCGGGCTTGTTCAAGACTGAGATTGCCCCCATCGAGGTGCCTGTAGGACGCGGAAAGCCTCCTGTTGTTGTCGACCGCGATGACGAGCCCAAGAACGTGAGTCCACTCCTTGTCACCGCCTGCTGAACATGCACTAACCCACCCAGTTCAACGAGTCCAAGACACGCACCCTGCGCTCTTCGTTCAAGAAGGACGGCACCGTCACCGCCGCAAATGCCTCCCCACTCTCCGACGGCGCTGCTGCCCTCGTCCTCGCCTCCGAAGCCTACGTCAAGGCCCACAACCTCAAGCCCATTGGCAAGATCCTCGGTTGGGGTGACGCAGCGCAGAACCCCTCCAAGTTCACCACCGCCCCCGCTCTTGCCATGCCCAAGGCTCTGAAGCACGCCAACGTCGAGCTGTCCGCCGTCGACGCGTTCGAGATCAACGAGGCCTTTAGCGTCGTCGCCCTCTCCAACATGAAGATTCTGGGCATCAGCGAGGACAAAGTAAACCTCCACGGTGGTGCGGTTGCGCTCGGTCACGCCCTGGGTGCTTCGGGCGCCAGGATCACAACCACGCTCCTGAGTGTGTTGAGGGAGAAGAAGGGCAAGATTGGATGCGCTGGTATCTGCAATGGTGGTGGCGGTGCTTCCGCCATTGTCATTGAGTCGTTGCAGTAGATACCCGATTGGCCAGTGACCATGTGTAATGAGAGATGATTAGTAAAAGCTATTATAGGTATTCCTTGTGATTAGTGCTCCGGTTTAGGGGAAGAAGACTTTTCAACATACTCTTCCGGAAGAAGTAAGACTTTTGTGGATGTTCGTACTAAAAGACGAATGTCTGATCAAGACACAGAGCCCAAAGCGAAATTGTAATTGTTTAAGCAAGATACAAATGTTTGCATAAAACATGAACATCCGCGGGTGACTGGAATTAGGGTACAACTAACTGTTTCATGTCGGACTCTGCAAGCGCCGACCATGAACCCTCGACGAATCACCCACCACGACTTCAACCACTCCACGTTTCACACCCGCGGCAACGAACTACGCGCGAAAGCAGCCCATGGCCACGTATGGATCCGCTGTCCATTTAGCACGGGTACCTGATTCACCCGCCACTGTTCACCAATGTCCTTGAAACACTGAGTGTTAGTCAAACAGACGTCCAGCCTTGTCTGCTGCTTTTGGTCTTGGTCTAGAGGCCTCAATGGTGGCTGCAGGCCCTTGATCCTAATGATAGCGGAGATTGAATCATGGGGAGTTGAAACGAGGCCTGGAACCCAAGTCGACTGAGCCGCGTACTCGCGGACTATAGGAGAGGGATGGTATATAGGTAGGTTTCTGCTATTGTGTCTGCGTACATCGCTAGCTTGTGGTATTGAGTCTTCCTTTTCATTCTTCTCTGTTTTTTTTTTCGTCATTTTCGAAAGCGCAGGACGCAGTCATTCATTTTTGCTACTTTCATACTACATCTTGACGATGCGTTTCTCCACTCTCGTTTCGGCTGCGGCCTTTTTTGAGCTGAGCATAGCTGGCTATGTTCTGGAAGATGACTACATGACCGACTTTTATGGAGCTTTTGACTTCTTCACGGATGAGGATCCGACGAGCGGTATGCTTTCAGATCTCGTTCACCGCTTGTAGTATACTGACTATGACAAGGCTTTGTGAAGTACGTCGATGAAGCGACTGCGCGACAGACAAACCTCATCAACTCGTCTACAACCTCAACCGTACAATGGGGCGTTGATAACGAGAATGTGACACCAGATGGACGACCGAGTATGAGGCTTAACAGCAAGAAGACATACACCCATGGACTCGTGGTTATCGATGTAGCACACATGCCCTTTGGCTGCGGAACATGGCCTGCGTACGTCTCATCCCATCACATACACTCTGCCCAAACCACTCACACTTTCACAGATTCTGGATGGTCGGCCCCGACTGGCCCAACAGTGGCGAAATCGACATTCTCGAGGGCGTCAATGACCAGACAAATAATGGCGTGACACTCCACACCGGCCCGGGATGCAGAGTTAGCGCCAACGAGGCTCTCTTTGCTGGCGATGTCACCACATCAAACTGCGATGTTGATGCCGACGACCAAGACAAGAACGTCGGCTGCTCCATCCAAGACCAATCATCGTCGAGCTATGGCGCTGGCCTCAACGCTATCAACGGCGGTGTCTACGCCACGGAATGGACGAGCGATGCCATCAGCGTCTACTTTTTCCCACGCGGTTCCATCCCCGAGGATGTTCTCGGCGACGCCCCAGACCCAAGCGGTTGGGGCAAGCCGACAGCCATGTTCTCCGCCGGATGTGACATCGCAGAGACGTTCAAGGACCATCAGATCGTCTTCGACACCACATTCTGTGGAGATTGGGCGGGCGTCGATTGGGACAAAGGGTCGTGTGGCAAGAAGGCGGCGACGTGCGATGATTATGTGAAGAATAACCCTGAGGCGTTTGTGGATGCGCACTGGACCGTCAACGCTTTGAAGGTGTACAAGGCTAGTGGGGATGACAGTACGCCCGAGGTGCCTACGTCCTCGAGTGCGAGCGCTGCTATCTCGGTATCGGTCCCCGTTCCTACGAGCGTGTCCGTGTCTGCAGTACCCACGCCGACGAGCAAGAGCACCTTGTCGGGTAAGCCGCATCATTCCAAGACGACGGCTGTGGTCCCGGTTCCTAGTTCGAAGACTGTTTCCAAGGTCCCAACTCCGACTTCGAAGACCGCTTCTCAAGCTACAACTTCATCTTCCAAGGCCAGTTCCGATATCCCAGCTCCCACATCTGAATCTATCTCCGCAGTCCCGGTCCCCACCTCCAAAGCTAGTGCTGAAGTTCCCATTGCAACCTCAGAAGCCAGTTCCGAGCTGCCAGCCTCCACTTCCAAAGCGGTCCCGCTCCCCACAACCACACCAGCCACACCCGTCGCTCCAACAGACTCGGCTGACAACACACACGTCGCCACCGTCCCCGCAGACGGAATGTCCGGCTTCCAATGGCCCACAGCCGGCCTAGACTCACCCGCCACACCCACAACCCTCGCTTCTGTCTCCGCCTCCGCCGCACCACCCGCGTCGACCGAGACACCAACTCCCTCCTCAGCAACCCCCTCATCAGCAGCCCTATCTTCAACAACCCCCCTCACCACCCCCTCCCCCGCACAAACCACACCCCAGCCCTCCAGCGCGCAGGAAATAGCCGAAGCCCTCGTCCCCAGCGGCGTCCACATCGTCTACGAAACAGTCTATGTCACGGTCCCCGCGGCGGCAGGGGCTACAGGTTCGCCAGCCAGCAAGGCGCGCATGAGGCGGCATATCAAAGAGCAGAGGAGGAGCTTTGCGCGGCACCATGGGAGGTCGTGAGTGTTCTGTCTGTCTGTCTGTCTGTGTGGGGGAGTAGGAGGGTGAGGGTTTGGTGGATTGCATTGGATCGGATTGGTGGGAGTTTTGTTGTGTGCGCGATACCCCGGCTTTTTTCTGTTCTTGGTTGTTTGGTGCTTTGGTATATAGGTTTTGGTGTGGTTGTGTGTGTTCTTCTTCTTCTTCGAATATATATACATGTTCACTCACGCCTTCCACCTTCTTCTTCTTTTTGCCTCGCGAGAGATCTGCATGTAGATGTTCACCCAATTTTCTTCCAACCTTTGACACTCCCCTTTGCTTCCTTCCCCTCTGCAGGACGAAGCAAACCCACCTACTCAACGCCATCCAACGCCAGTTTCCCGTCCCCCAACGCGACACACAAAAAAAAGACAACACAGCGATGTATAGAGAAAGCGCAAAAAGAAAAAACAAAAAGAACTGGACGCTGTGGGAATTGAACCCACGACCTTTCACAGACATTTTGGGCAATGCGAAGCGAAAATCATACCCCTAGACCAAGCGCCCCACCAGCTGTTTTTCTTCTGATGAAAGAATGCTGAGTTTGAGCAAAAATGTTTTTTGAAAAAAAAAAAAATTGGGCAAAATTGCTTAGACAGCATGATTCTACTAAGTTCAGAAACTAGCTAAAAAGGAGGGATTTGGGAATTGGGGGGTTATGGTGGGGTCGGGATGGGCGAGGTGATTCTGGACGAGTGCTGGGCTTGGGGGTGGATGCGGGGTGTGGATATGAGAGCGTGGAGAGCGTATGGGTGTGTTCCTTTTTGGCTCGGGGATTCGCGTGGGAGTAGTGAAGGACAGCTTGTTTGTTAGATAGCTGGATTGTCGGAGGGTTCAAGAGTATTTGGGTGGTCGTTGTTAGTCGAACGCGTCAAAGAGAGTCTTTGTTACTATACTTCTCGATGGAGCGTACGCTTGACGTTGTGGTTGAAGAGAGATATCCGTAAGCTCAGTAGTGCATGTTTGTAACATGGCTCTTATGTCTTACATATACTCGGCTAGTCCTGCATACCTAACGACTGCGTATTCTTCTACTTATTCGTGCTTGCTTGTATGGTTTCTTTGAACCTTTTATGTATACGCCTACGCATACACTACACTTCTTTTCCACCTCTTTCACTTGCTCTCTCTCATTACTGACCGGCAACCAAGAAGAAGCCAGCAGCGAGGATAAGATCCAAACAGAAGACCTGGACGAGGCTCGACGAAGGAAAGAAATGGCAGTCCATGTACATCTGCCTGAACACTGCTCATTTTCTCTCATACGTCTGGCTTCTGTGTCGAGCAGATTGGTTGTTCACAATATTATATTACCTCAGTGTATCAAGTGCGCATCCTCACAGTGGATAGTTCCTTGCGAACCAGTCATCGACAGGCTTGTTAACAGAGCTAGCACGCTTGACTTGAATCCATCTTAACTTGAAATTACTAGGAGAGATGATGAGTTGGCACGATATTCTAGTCTATTGTTAATGACTTACAAGGACTGCCAGGATGCCACACGATTCATATGTTGCCGACATGAATAAATAACCAACCGGGCTTTGCATCAGATTCTTCTATATCTCGAGAGATGCAAGGGGAACGACACAGAACGCCGAAATGAAGTCGGGAAAACAACCATATGTGAGACATTAGACAATATTAATTACCGAGAGCCGGCGCTATAGACATGGATAGATGGACATATAGAAACGCTAACAAGCAACGCAGCGACAGACGACTACAGACGCGCTACGGTATTGATCGTACAGAGGCGGACCATCTAGAAGCTTTCATCCAACACAAGAGCTCAATCGTTCAATTACTCTCTCTACCTCCCCATGCAACTGCTTAAGCCAAGACATCAGCACAGCCAAAGTGCTGCTCCACACCAAGATCACCGGGGACCTTCCACGGGTCGTCGTTGAAGGAGAAGATGGTAGCCTCAGAGCCAACCTTCTCCATAATCTTCTTCATGGCTACCTTCTGCTGGTCGACACCGGCAATGGCCAGGCCGTTGCTGAGACCGGCGCTTGGCCATCCAATCTCGGAGATGTACTTGCCCTTCTTAGCGGCGTCGGGGCACACCTTGGCGGCCAGCTCGAGCTGCGAGGCGGCAAAGTCACCAGCCATGTCGGCAGAGATGGTTGCCGTGAAGTAGGGGTGGACCTGGCAGGCGAAGACGTCGATGTGATCGCAAAGCGCGGCGCCCATCTCCTGCCAGATGTTGACGGGCTCGGTGGTAGTGATGGCGATGTCTGTGGGGAAACCAGCGCCCGTGAGCTGCTCGCGGACGTAGTCGATGTACGAGGCGAGCTCCGCAGGCTGGCAGTTGCCTTTGAACATGCACTCGTTTCCGACAATGACCATGGCCACGCCTGCCTTGGGCGCGTTCTCCACAATGTCCGTGACTTGCTTGTTGGCGTAGTCGGAGAAGCAGCCCTTGCCGCCCTTACCTCCAGCATCGAGGAAGACACCGTAGATGACCTTCAGGCCGTACTTCTCGCACTCGGGAACGACGTTCTCGAAGACGCCACAGTCGGTGCTGTAGGAGCGGATAGTGGTGAAACCAAGATCGGCAATGACCTTGATGTCGCTCTTGACCTCGTCTGCGGTCTTGCAGTTACCATCAGCCGCGTACGGTGTGTAGGTCATCGCCCATTTGTCGCCGTTGGTCACGATGCGGCCGCCTTCGCTGTAGCTGCCAGTGGGCTTGGACGTCTCCGATGTCTTGGAGGAGCTGGGAGTGGCGATAGCCTTGCTCGAGGATGGCTGAGGAGTGTATGCCGGGGTGGTAGACTTGGAAACGGGCTTAGACGACTCGACAACGGGCACTGATGGGTAGACCATCTTGGAAGACTCCGGGACAGGAGTGTAGGCAGGCGTAGTAGGCTTAGGAGCAGAGCTTGACGCTACGACAGGCACGGAAGAGTAGACAACCTTGGAAGACTCCGGTACAGGTGCAGGGGAGTAGCCCTGGCTCGAGGTCGCGGGCACGTTGGTCGAGTACACCACAGGAGGTGTGTAGACTGACGATGTCTCCTCAGTGCAGGTGGAGGAGGTTTCAGGAGCAGGGGGTGACTGGACACTCGAATACACAGCCGGGGGAGTATAGATTGATGTCTCGGCCTCAGGGGTGGTCGACGAAGTCTCAAGAGCAGGAGGCGACTGGGTGGTCGAGTACACTGCTGGAGGGGTGAGAACTGACGACGTCTCCTCCTCAGTGCAGGTGGAGGAAGTCTCGGCAGCAGGGGGAGGCGATTGAGCGGTCGAGTACACTGCGGGGGGAGTGTAGACTGATGTCTCGGCCTCGGGAGTGGTGGAGGTCTGAGGAGCAGGAGGAGCGGAGGGAATAGTCGAGTACACCACTGGAGTAAAGACTGATGACGTCTCCTCGATGCTAGAGGAAGAAGTCTGAGGAACAGTCGAGTACACAGCCGGAGTGGTGTAGGCTGATGTCGTGTCCGCAGGGCTGGAAGATGAACTCTGGGGAGCAGCAGGAGGTGACTGAGCAGTCGAGTACACTGTCGGGGGAGTGTAGACGGACGTTGTCTCCTCCTCAGTGCAAGACGACGAGGTCTGGGGGACTTGAGATGGCTCGTAGACGGTCGAGTTGGCAGCCATGGGAGGCACTGGTTCGAGTCAGCCTTGAACAAAGTTTGTTTTCCCCGAGTCTTTCTTCCTCATCCATGGATCATGTTCTTCCCAACTCTTTTCATTCAAACAAAATATCACCTACATGCAGTCACATACACGGTCGTGTAAACCGTGCAGACGTCCTCCGTCTCCGCATATGCACCACGACGCACGTGGAATCCAGCATGACCATTGTGCTGAGCAGCAGCAACGGATCCGACGAGGGCCGCCGAAGCAGCAACGATTGAAGCCTTCATTGTCGTAGACTCTTGTGGCTAGGGCTTGGTTTTTTTGTATTTACTACCGCTGAACGAGTGAAGCGATATGAAAGATTGAATGAACGACGGGGCGCAAAGGCCAAAGAACTTGATCACAAGGCTATTGATGCGTACGAAGGACTTGCGTAGCAAAAGAAGAGACAAGCCCGCGAGCGGGGAACGAGGCTGTTTTTATCAACCTCGCCATGGCCCCCGTGAGCATGGTTGCGCAGGATAGGGGTCCCGGACCTTCTGGGCGATACGGGTACGCAAACGGTTTAACGTCGCTCCTGCACGGCAAAATAACGCTCGTTAGAGTGATGATGTGCGGGGCAGTGCGGTAAGGAAATGAGTGTTCTGAGGGAGACCACGGTCATGTCGACTAGTAGTAATACAAGGGTCGACTAACTATAGGTTAGTGTCAATCTCTCCTGATGCTGCTAGGGTAAATCAGATGCACAACATCGCACAAGCGAGTGACTGCAACCACCACTTGAAGCTTAAATCAAGGGCAAATCATGGCGTGCTGTTAGCATCTTGGTCGCAGTCGAGGCATCCTCAATCTGTAATGGTGTTGACTGGCTCACCGAATCGCTTCGCGTTCCACCACACCACCTCGACGATCACACGCCTAGGTTCCACACGACTCATCTTCGGAACTTGCCAACGGTAATATTTTGCAGCCTTGCAATGCAGGTACGAAGTGGCTCGTGCTCAGTTTCGACAGCAGTCCCCTGCTCAAAGTCGCTTATGTGATTGGCTAGTAGTTTTATTTGTAGGTACAAAGCTCAGCTACTGATCGAAGCGAGCCCTGACCATAATCTGACTATATGGTGTGACCGCACCTCCATAAAAGCCATGAAACTTGTCGTTTCTTTTGTACACATGGAGTATCTTACGCCGTTAACGTGGTGGTATCTGCAGCCATGACCACGAGCATACCACGTGAAACCAAAAACAAAGCATAACGTTGTGTTTTTGGATAGACACATGGTTGTTAAGATGCACCGCTCCTGCAGGAGTGACATACCCACATGAGACCGGGTTAAAGGCCAGATTCGATAGATGAGAATAACCACAATAAATTTCGACAGAACGCCTGATCTTCTTCCAAGCTCAGATTTGCACAAGTCTATCAAGATCGAAATGCTTCTGCATGCGCTTCAATGACAATGTTCTGTTTAGCCTGCGAACGGGAATTAACTAACAATCTTATCCCATCGTGTGGTGGATTAGACCCGCGGACTTTTAGCCAATAGAATCGCGTTATAGCGCTACATATTAAGAACTTCAAAATCTTTAAAGTTCGTGCAGAGGCTCTCGACCAATTAAAATACCAGGAACCAGGGTGCAGCGAAATTATGCAACAGCTTAACAACTACAACTAAGTTTAGTGTAGGAATCTTGTCCCTAAATTTTAAGCTGTATACACCTTGCATGTAGTTTAATAAATTGCAATTGTGTAGTTTTGCGGCTTGTAGTAGTTACAAAGGATGTAGCTTACTTCCTGCTTTTGCAGTTGACCGAGGGAGAGGGTGCAAAACGCCGACTCACCGATACCAAGCCTCGCTCTGATTAGCCCAAAAATCCGCTGGTCTAATCCACCACACGATGGGATAATGTCGTAAATTCACGCCTTGATCACATCCATGCTGTAGAACCAGCCAAGACCAAGTCCATATTAATGTTTCAGCTATCCTAAACTACCACTCTCACAGTCATCGCCATATCCACTCAGAAGCACAATTCCAATGCCCAAGCATGAAACCCCAGAAAATGCAACGCTGAAAACGCATCTATGCGACCCCACACAAGCCAACAACAGCAGCAGCAGCTAACGCCAGCAAAAGAACCCACTATTACCAATCACAGGGTTACATAAAACTCATCTGCACCTCCTTCTCCGTGCCAAAATCGTCGTCGAATTCATCTGCCCAGGCGTTGTACCCTGGATTGCCACTCGCACCCGCACTTGCACTCGCACTACTTGCACCAGGTTGCATGCTCCCTGACAACGGCATGGTGTTTGCTGAGCGGAGCGGCGGACGTTCTGCGGGCGGCGCGTCATCGTGCCACGACGGTTGCGTGTCCCATGCGTTTTTGCTAGGCGCGGGACGGTCCCAGGAGGGATTGTGAGACGTCGATGGATCCTTGAACGAGGAGTCGAACGTCATGGTCATATTCGCCGCGTCGGGGTCGTCGTATTCATCGTACTCGTCGAAGCTCTGTTTCCTTTGGCCGTTCGGAGTCAAGTGTGTGCCGTTGTTGGTAGGCGGCCCTGCCGTGGTGCCTGCCGAGCCCAGACTATCGTTGAAGCTCTTGGTCTCCCTGAGGTTGGGGTGTGGGGCTTGGTTGGAGGTTGAAGTGCTGATGTTGATCTTCATGGGCGGCAGTGTGGACTTGATCTCTTTGATCTCAAATTCCTGCTCCGGCTCCTTACCCTGTGTTTTCGCATCGCCCTCCGCAGCGAGAGCAGCAACCTCCTTTCTAATCGCGTCGATGTCGAACATGATCGGGCTCTGCGCAATGGTTGCCGGATCCGCGTCTCGGTCAATCACATCCCTCTTCTGACTGTGTTCATCGTAGACTTCCCACTCCTTCTTATCACCCTTCTTCTTACGCCACCAACTCAATTTCCCGCCTTTCTTTTCCTTTTCCGCAGCCTTCTTCTCAAGTTCCTTGCGCGCTTCTTCGATTTCGTTGATGAGTTCACGTTGTCGTTTTTCGTGGTCCTCTGGATCGGGGTCCTCAATTTCGGTAAACTCGTCGCTTTCCACGACCCACCCAGCTTCGCGGAGGAGTTTGGGCATCGCCGCACGGTAGGCCATATGACCTGGGACAAGTTCGGTGACGTTGATGTTTTCGATGGTGGGGATTTGGACGGGCGCGAGACCCGCGACTTGCATTACGCCGCCGCTAGTAGCGCGGAAGAGGTAGCCTATTGGGGTGTAAGCAACGAAAAGGATTGATAGATATAAGGCTTACCCAGAATCCAGTCGTTGGTGGCATAGCCGTTGACAAATCTTCCAGGAATGACAGCCCTCGCTTTGACATACTCATCATAATTCGCAACAACAGGTGTGCCAAACATGTACACATTCTGTACCAGGCCATAAGCTCCACGTTTAGCCAACTCCTTGAGGCACGAGAAGATGACCCTGGCGCCCAACGAAAAGCCAACGAGGGTTACAGGCCTTGTCCCTAGGTTGCGATCAGCAAGTGAATCTGCAAGGATAAGTCCAGCCATATCTGCTCGAGCTTGCGAGACGACCCAAGGGTTATCGATGAGGTAGGAAAGCTTCGTCAAAGCGAGAGGGAGCGTCATCGCGGCCATGAGTGTTGCCAGAATTGTGCTGCCTAGCACTTGTTGGAGACCTTGTGTGAGAGCCTATAGATCCGTCAACGTGCTATCTCTCGACATTGTGCTGTTGATACTTACTTCGGTAGCAAGAATGTTTATGGTAGCACCCATACTCCTGAGCATTTCAGGCTCCCAAAGAACCGAATAGATGTCGCCCATGACGGGATCCACAGTACTGTACGGCAATCGGACGTCGTCCACTTTACCGTTCATCCATCCCGCCAAGGTGATGATGAGATGAGTCCTCTTATTATTATGAAGCGGTCGGTACTCGAACGTTTTGACAGCACCCGTTCGTCTGTTCGCAGCTCGGACACCGACCGTACTACCAGTCACAACACCCGTCGAAGTGATGATGGCAGCGCCTCCAGCGCCCGCAAGGAAACTGCTCGTCCCCGCCACACCAATAGTTGTGAAGCCTGCAGCAAGACCAGCTCCGATGAGAGGAGCCAGTAAGCCCGCGGACAAGCCAATGACCAGTCCACCACCAACAGTCGCAAGACCCATGAACGCCAATCGCTTGTTGCGCGATCGCTTTGCTCGATTTTGCATGTGCTCGTCTTCATTCCAGTTCTCTTTGTCTGCTTGTTCCTGCATCTCCAGTGCGTCTGTTACACGTTTCTCGAAGCGGCAGATTTCTAGCCAGTCGACGCTGAGGAACTTCCCGACCAGTTCGAAGAGCTCTCTTGAACGCGAATCGTAGACAGAGTCGGCGATGAGAACTAGGAACAGGTCGCACAAGACAGTCCAACGGAGATCAATGTCGAGGTTCTTGCTGTCTGGGAGCTGCGATGGTCTCTTTACCTCCGGATAGTTGTAGTCTTTTTCTTGATGCTCATCGTAAGGCGGAGGTGGTGATCGTAACGGATCGTTTAGACTCGAGGTCGACGAAGATTCGAGTGTCGCGTCTGAGGTATCAGCGCGCGGAGATGAGACAGATGGCCTCGCAGAATCCTGGTCCTTTGGCAAGTCCGCCTCTTCCGCAGCGGGATTTTTCACTCGAGCATTTTGCATCAGCGCTGGGGTGAGATCTGCTGGCACCACGCCATGTTCCGACAACTGCTCAATCATGATTTGTTCAGAAGCGTTGATATCCATATGTCCGTACAACCTAACCATGATCTTCTGAGCCCACATCCTGGTTGTTTCCAGCTGCATGTCCAGTGCCTTTTTGTTGCCCTTGCTGCGCTCGATTCTGGTAAGTTTCCTCTCCATTTCGATCATAGCTAGCCGAACCAAGCCAACATATGCTACTCGTTGTCCCTCTGTGAGAAGATTCTTGGTAGTCTGCATCTGCGTAAGTGGATCGCGTGATGCTTCGTCTTCGTCGTTCAGCGCTGTACTCTTTTCCTTGAAGAGATATGCTGTGTTGTCGTCCATGCTGGTCTGTGAGTCGGCATCGTCGTCCATGATGACCCTGGTGTAGCCTTTCGCAGCGCCTCCAACGTTTGCATAGCCGCTCATGTCCTCGAGTTCGTCTGGATTCTCTTTTGCAATGAGGCGATTATCATCGTCGTATATGTCGTAATGGGCATATGCTGGCATTGTCTGCCACTCGTCGTCGTCAATCTTGTTATCCACTTCTTCAGGATGTGGTTCAGCGACTAATTGTTGGTGCGAGTATTCGTTTATAACGGGCTTTTGTGAAGCAATCGACGCCGTGTGCTTGTGTTCTGAGACTTCAACCTGTACGCTGTTCCTTGGTGCGTCTTGCTCTGTGTTCACCGGCTTCTCGACCTGGTTATGTTCCTCCACATGCTCAGGTTGCTTGTTGTTCTCTGAAGCATTTCGCTTTTCATCCAAGATCTTGTCGCCATCTGTTGCAATATTCGGATGTTGGCTGGTTGCCAAAGCATCTTGAACGTCTTCAACGGCCACACCAGCGCTGTCCTCCTTCTGCCCGGTCCCAATTGACTTCTCCACATTCCCGTTGACCTGTGACTGTATAGCCCCCTTCTCCTTCACCTCGGCCTTGTCTGGTGCATTTTCCTGCACTTTCCCCGCACTCGAGCTTTCTGTCTCCAATCCTGATGCCCGCTCCTTCTCCGTCACTGCGTCTTTGAATTCTCCCTCATCGTCACTCGAGTCGACGACCGGCGTCCTCGGCCGTCGCTTTCTCACAGGCAGCCCAAAATCATCGTATTCGACCTCCTCCTTGGCCTTGTTCGGTTCCTCGGTGGGTTTGGACTCGGTGGTAGGGGGTTCGGATGGGGTGTCGCTGGTCATGATGGGACTAACGTAAGCGCATTGGGTGGATCTCCTAAGAAATTACTAGGCGGAGGCGTGCGGAGAGTGTTGTCGGGGATTTGAGTGTATCCAGAAATTATGTACAAGAGCTCTTAGTGCCCCGAGGCCATGGAGTTCCGCAGCGGAGGTCGTCGGCCGATTCAGCGTACCCTGGTCGACGCGCATGCGAAGCGCTAGCAGTGTCCGCGCTAGCGTGGTTTCTTCGCCATAACTTTTTCCCCACTCAATCACCTCTCAATCACGCATTCACGCACACGTCACGATGAAGCTCAAACGCGCAAAGGTATGCACATCCTCAGGCATACATCAACCGGCAATTAACAGCACCCAGGCATACAAGAAGCTGCTCCACCAGTACGAGCTCAACTTTGGGTTCCGCGAACCCTACCAAGTCCTCCTCGACTCGCAGGTCCTGCAAGATGCCTACAAATTCAAAATCGACCTCGTGGGCCGTCTCGAGAAACTTCTGCAGGGAAAAGTGAAGCCCAGTACGCGCCACCCTGCCCGCCAAATCCTGTCCCCAACTAACCCGGCGCAGTGATCACCACCTGCGACATGCGCCACCTCTACCTGGCAAAGCCCAAGAACGAAACCCTCATCCTCCAAGCGAAAGAATACGAGCGCCGTCGCTGCGGACACCACGAGCTCGAAACACCCCTGTCCTCGCTCGAATGTCTGTCGTCGGTTGTCGATCCAAAGGGCAGCCACACCAACAAGAACCGGTACATTGTCGCATCCAACGAGCGCGAAGTGCGCGTGCACATGCGCCGAATCGCCGGTGTGCCGCTGATATACATCTCCAAGTCGGTCGTCCTGATGGAGCCCATGGCGAATGCGACGGAGCAGCTGCGCGAGCAGGAAGAAAAGTCAAAATTTAAGCAGGGACTCAAGGGGCAGCGGAAACCAGATGCAGGAGAAAAGCGGAAACGCGATGGAGAGGAAGGGGAGGGCGAACAGTCTATTACAGGCGAGCCTACAGAGGATGCGAGGGCGCAGAAGAAGAAACGGCAGAAGGGACCCAAGGGCCCTAACCCACTTAGTGTGAAGAAAACGAAGAAGGAGCAGGATGTGCCGCCATCTGGCTCTACCAAGAAGGCTAAATCCTCTGAAGCGAAAGAATCGCATCCTACAGATGCGCCCGCTGAAACGATCCCAGATGACGAAGGTGCTGGGCCTCGCAAGAGGAAGCGCAAGCACAAGCCCAAGGGCGTTGCAGCTGCTGAGGAGGGAGACGCTGCTTCTCCATGAGATCACATCTACAGCATATCCTGCTCTGAGCAGATTTCTCTGTCTATGATTCCCAGTCTACAAATGCCGTCTCCCTGCGAAGTCGCGAGAGGAAGGACTGGTTATGTCTTGGGGTAGAATATTTCCCGTGTGCAGAAAATTGCCCGAATATAATGTTTCTGGACAATGGTCCCCGGGGAGATTGGTATGGACGCCTCCGTCAAACCTTCTTGCCCTGCCTCAATAGATCCGAAACCTTTGGCGGCAACACCAACATACTGCGATCGTTGCGCCTCACAAACTCGACGACAACATCAGCCGTCTTCTCAGGCTGATCTTCATGAAGAAAATGGCCCGAAGCAGGGAAAACCTGGAGTTGGAATTTGCCTGTTTTACATTAGATACCACGCTCTCAATATCAGAAACTCTGAACAAATTCAACACACCCTGCATCTGCCCAATCATCAATTCCTTGTCCAGACGATCTGTCCCCGCGAGCAGCAGTAGCTTTGCTCCCTTGCCGTCGAGAAACTTCCTGCTCATCCCTGTGAACCAGTTCTCCCAGTAGGATGCTGTGCTCGAGAGATCAGTCCTCCACACCCACCGTCCGTCGGGGGTTTGCAGTAATAGGCTCGGCACGCTTGCACGTGCAGACTCGGAATTCCTCAGCGTGCGCGACCGAATGTGCCAGTCGACTGCTGCATCTAAGCTCGCAAATGACTTTGGCCTGCTGAGGAGATAGGCCTGCATGTGCGTCAAGGCCTCCATTGCGCTTCCCTCGACGACATCCAGTACGGCGTATCCCAGCAGCGAATTTCCAAGTAATCCCTTGCTTGCGACTTCTGTGACCACCGCGCCGCCGAGACTATGTCCAATCAACACGATCATGGGAAGTTGGGGCCATCCCACTTTTGCCTGCGTAAGTTGGAGCATGGACGCGAGGTCTTGGCTCAAGACGTCGATACTAAGAGTGGTGTTTATTGTACCGGAAGCGTCCCAGACTACACTTCCATGCTCCCTTGCTTCAACGGCCAGGATGCCAACCTCTGGCATTGATCTCTTTACTTCTTGTGCCATGAGCGCGAAACTCATAGCCGAGGACCCTGCGCCATGATGGAGGACTAGTAGTGGTACTTTTGGGGTCGTGGGCGGAGTGAAGTAGACGTGGAACTTTGCCTTCCCCCCATCTGGGCTGCTCCATTCAAGGTAGAATTCCTGCGCGAAGTAGTCGGACCAGTGTATTGCAGGCGCAGGGCGTTGTGTGTTGGATGGGATCACGGTGCCGGTGCTGGACATGGAGGACGCTGAGGAGGAGTCCTCGTCCTCGTATTCAGGGAGCTCATCGGGCGCGGGGAGCGCGGAGAGCTTTGTTTTTGCAAAGTGTTTGGCCAGGTCGGACATGGTCGATTTGGTATCCCGGTGTTGTGGATGGGTGGGGGGCGGTTCCTAGCTGCGACTTATCTAGAAATATGCACAAGCTCAAGACTGCATATCAGATTGTATGGATCGGAGTGGCATGTCGTAAGGCGGCGACAAACGTGCTGTGGGGTCGTCGTGGATCGACAGGGATCAGAGATCGTTATCCATCTCAGCAAGTTCGAGCTGCGTCAGACGCCGTATCGAGGTGACGTAGTCTTCAGTGCACGAGAATACTCTTCACAGCGGTCTGAGGCGAGAAAGAAGTCCATCGTAAAGAGCAAGACGTGCGAGCCTGGAACAAAACACAACTATATCACACGCCCGTTATGTTTTGCCGCGGGCTTGGCTCGGGGCCTCCGACAGCTCTCGAACAATGATGCGTGGCGGGAACTAGCGAAAGGTTGATTCACGTCATGGTTGTTGTTAGCGTCGCAGCAGTTCCAAACAAAATCAATGCATATCCCTCGACCAGCCTTTTCTCTTCACGAGCCCTCGCAGCTCAATCTCGCGTTTCTTCGTCTCCATCCCCCTCGAGGTTTTATCCTCTCCATCACCAACCCTATTGTCGTGTTTACAGCTCCACACGAGCTCTAAACGCAATGAGCAGCATGTGGAAAGGAAGAAGCGATCCGCCTAACGGCAATGGATTGTCGGACGAGCCTCCTCACCCAATTCCAGAGGAAGATGGTGCCTCCAGGAGGAGCTACGAGCCCACTGAGCGCACCAGGCTGCTCGACCGTCCCAACAGGCCACCGCCAACTGCAGACGGCTATCTTGACCCCGATGACCCAGCTGTAAGTCCGCCTTTATCGCTAGCAGACCCCAACATTGACAAGTTTAGGTATCCCCATACAACCTCTGGTCTGTGCGCTTCATGCGCTATTTCACCGTCTTCTTCCTCATCATCACGTTTTTGTGGTGGGTGCTTCTGCTCGTGTCCATCTTTGTCTCTCCACCCGGACTGCACACTCGTGGCTCAGGCTTCTTCGACTTCGCCTACACATGTCTTACCCTTGGCAATCTTCTTGTTGCCATCATCTTCTTTATCACTCCCGCCAAGGGACTGCGCGTTACCACGGCTATCATCGCGCTGCTTCTCGCAATTGACATGATCATCATCGTGGCAGTTCCGGGCATCAGACTCGAAGAAGGATGGGTCGGCATCGCTTCGGTGGTGTGGGCTGTTGTCATGGCTGTCTGGTGCGTCCTGACGGATCGCGTCGTGGCTTGGGGTAAGAAAGAGGAAGAAGAGCGCCTTACAGGCCGTCCCGAGACGCGTCGCACACTCAAGGAGTGGGTTGCTGTCTTGATCGCGACTATCTTGACTGTTGTCTTCATTGTCATCGCTGTCCTCATGACCGCTACTCTCGGTATGCGCGCCCGTGACGCGAGTCTCGAAATGTACGGCGAGCGAATCCTAGTCGACGGTGAGAAGTACGCTGTACACCTCGCATGTGTAGGCAACGTGTCCTACAACAACGGCACCAAGGACGTCACCATGCTTCTCGAAGCCGGCGAGGAGCCTTTGGAGTACGATCTCGAGCACTGGGCTTACGCGGCGTACAAGAACGGTACCATCCCAAGATACTGCTACTGGGATCGCCCAGGCTACGCTTTCTCTGATAACGCGCCTTCTCCCCACTCAGCTGGTATGTCTGCTGACGCCCTCGCCGAGGCACTCGCCAAAGCTGGCGAGGAGGGACCCTGGATTCTTGTTTCTGCCGGTTCAGGAAGCATCGTGAGCAGGATCTTCAGCTCAAGGAACTTGAAATCAGTTGTTGGCATCATGCTCATCGACCCGCTCCACGAAGATCTCCTGCACCGCCTTGCCAGCCCCGGACGTGGTTTCCTCCTGTGGGCTTGGGGTATCATCTCACCCCTCGGCACCGTCCGTCTTGCTGGTGCACTCTTCAAGGGTCGCACTCGCGAGGACCGCGTCTACGGTCGCAACGCCTACCAGTCCGGTAAACAGATCAAGGCACAGCTCCAGGAGAACCTCGTCGCCGACTCGCTCACCAAGAACGAGGTCAGCGCCGCCAGGAACATCCAGAGCTCTGACACCCCACTTGTGGTTGTGAGCTCAGGTATCTCGTGCAGGAGGGACACCGAGTGGGAGCGCAAACAGAAAGATCTCACCAAGTTGACCGACAACCTGATCGGTTGGGACGTTATCAACAAGGCGCCCCACCAGTTGTGGCAGACGCTTGACGGTCGCATGGTCTTGGAGAAGAGGCTGCACCAGCTGGTGAAGCTCTCTGCCAAGGTCGAGACGCCTAAGTAAGCAGTGAAAAGAAAATTGGGTTGAGCTGTGGTGTCGGGTGCGTTTTCTTCGCATACTCTTGAGCGCGTAGTGTTTTGGAGTTGTCTTTCCGTTAGCACATATCTGGAGGTCTTTAATGTCTTTTTTCGTTCCAGCGTCCTGCGATTAATGGTAAACGAGAATCTGTATGAGAACATAGTTTGTAATTGCGATCAACGACCATACAACCATTGCGTCTATGCCGTGATACACACACATTTGTCGTACACACTCACTGTCATTTCTTCCCCCCCCAAGCCATCCATCCATCCATCCAATCTCATCACAATATCAAAACACATATCCATACCCTCCCAAAATCACGCCCCACCACCTCAGCTCATAGCCTTGAGGAAATTCGCCTCCTTGATCGTCGCTCGCCGCTTATCCCGCATCGCCTTCGTCAGCTCGTCTCGCGCCTCGCCCGCCTGCACCGCGCCCTGCAACGACCCGTCGCCAGTGGGCAGGTCGACCGTCTGCTCGTAGATGGGCACCTTGGGGATCAGCATCCCCGGGTTCATGGCCTGTTCCTTGCGGAGTCGCTTCGCGGCCACTCGGCGCTGTTTCTTGGATTTGGCTGTTCACACACGCTGTGTTAGCCATGCGCAAATTGTTCAAAAATAAACCCCCCACACCATGCCATTTACTGCCTTACAACGCCTCCAGAATCGGACATAGAAGAAAACGCAAAACCTACAAAACAAATCCCCCATCCCCGCCTCCCCACCCTTAACATCCCCCCGCTCCAGAATCGTCCACAGCCAGGCCGGATACTCGTCGTCAGGCAAGGCGACGGGGTCCTGTGCGTTTTTGAGGAAATTGAGGCCCTTGAGCGGCGTGCCGGCTGGTACGCTGCTCTTCACCAGCGTGGCTTTCTTGTGGTCCTTGGGGGGCGCGGCGTCTTTTTTGGGCGCGGGCGTGAGTGGTTCGCTGAAGGGTTGCGCGGCGGATGTGGAGGTTGCTGGGGGGGGAGTGGTGGAAGTGGTGAGGAAGCGTGGGTGTGTGCGTGATGGGGTTTGGGAGGTGAGGGTTTGGAGCCGTAGGGCGCGGAGGCAGGGGCGGCAGATCATTTTTGTGTGGGTTGGTTGCGGGAGGGGTGGTGTTGGGGGTGGGATTGCGTATGGGTATTGGTATGGGAAACTTTGGGATGGGGGAGCGCCGAGGGGTTGATCCGCGCCGGGTGCGCTAAGCGTCGCGTGGGGTCTTTGTATGCGTAGTTCGATGTCTGGGGTTTGTGGTTCGGTTTCACGTGTGCGTGGATTTGGTGAGTTTGAAGAGGGAACAGCTGGGGAAGTATGGGTGCACGAGTTGTCAACGCGAGGGCAGATGCAAGTATGATAGAACCAATGCGCATTTCACAAGGTCTTGATCCCCTTACTCTACGCGATACAGCATTTTACGATCCGCTCGCCATCTTTCACTACCAACATCATCATCCATAAGACAGACACATCATAAAAGAGCGAACAGAGACGCATAGTCTTCCAAGGCCTCAAAGCCGATCGGTCGGTCAGTCAGCTAGTTGATTCATAACGCCATGGTATACCGTCCGTCCGTCCAATCCCAACCGAATCCAGCAGGGCGAACAAACAAGTGGGGGAGACTAGGGAATATAGATTACATCAACGAAAGTCAAGAATGGGAAAGAAAAACACGGTATGTGGATATGTGCACAGAAACTTTGCGGAAAGATGTAGGAGTACAAAGAGGTATATCGATGCCCTCTCGAGCCCCCGCACATAAGAAATCGGACATTCGCACCGCCTTGTTTGTTTAGGAGGTGAGGAGACAGGCAAGGTGGTGTGTGTGTGTGTAGGAGAAGGAAGGCTACTGGTATCAAAATTCTCAAAATCTCAAATCCTCAAATCCACGCCATGGGTGCGGCGCCAAAGCGCACGCTGCACAGCGGTTGGATCTCAGCGAGGTACTCGCTGGCGCAAAAGTTGGCCAGGTCGCGCCGGCGCATAGCAGTGAGATCTTCCTCCATCTCAGCATCCCTCACAACGCCGCCAAACTCCTCGACTACTTCGTTGAGCTGCTCCAGCTCCCGGCCAAAAGGATGGTCCTCCTCTTGGATCGTGGCGGAGAACATGTCGACCGAGGAGCGTTGGTCGTAGGACTGGCGTTGCGAGCCCGGACTTGACCGGCTTAGGTTCTGCAGGGAGCGCTTGTGCGCTAGGCGCTCGTGGGCGCGCTTGCTGTGCGAAAGAGCCCGTTGCGGGATCTCTGGGGCGGCTGTTGCTGGTCGTTCTTCTTGGACATGAACTTGGCGGGCGCCGATGCTGGTCGTTGAAGCGGTCCTGCGTACTTGTTTGCCGGTTTCGCCAAAGTAGTTTGAGAGATGGTTTGGCGCGGGCGAAGTTGGCGAGGATTCCACAGACGAGGCATCAGTAAGAGTATCCCGAGAGCTGTGCGACGAAGCGCGAGACCGTGTCGATACACTGTGATCCGAGTCGTCGCCAGAGGAGTGAGTTGCGGCAGCAGTAGTAACCGACGGCATGGTCTGTCCCATAGTCGCGATATCCGGGGCGTTGTAGCTAAGCATGTTCGTTGTCGAGACCAGAGCCAGAGGCGACGAGATCTTGGAACGATCAATCTGCAACTTTGGGAATTTCACACTCTGGTTCCGAGCCGGCGTCGACGCAGTCTGTTTCGACGCATCCGAACCAGCGCGCTTGACGCGCTTTGTGAGGCCACGAACAAGAGACATGTTTTCTGAAATACTTAATTGAAGATGGAAAGTTGAGGAAGGCGGGATGTTTTTGATTCAAGTTCCTCGGTCACAAGATGCGATTTGCTAGTGACGATCCGTGGTTGGCGGCTTGTTGGCGCGACTGCACGATAGTGGGGTTGGCCGAAAGAATATATTGCTCCTAGGAAGGTGATCTACTAGTCGATTGGTGAGGTTCCACTAGGGGCGTCTAAAGAGGCGTTTGGTGTCCGGCTCTGGAAGGGTCAAAGGAAGGGATGTCACGTTGTGTTGCGATGAAGATGTGTACGTCTTCGGTGTGCAACGGAGTCCTGGTGTAGGCCTGAACTTGTGATACTGCTAGTCGGAAGACGCAAATCCGTTTCGATACAGTGCGAATAATGGAGTGTTGGTGGGTTTCGGTAGTGTTTTGGGACTGACTTGCAGCGCGTAAATGAAAGTATGCAAAGAGCGATGAAAAGAAGGCAAGGTCGTCTGTCAAAGAGAGTGATAAAAGTCCAGCTGTGTTGTAAAGGAGCGAACACCGGGCCGCGACAAGATAGAGAGAGAGAGAGTGAAATGCTGCTTTGAAGCCAACGAGCATGCAAAAAAAAGGAAGGAAGGGAACCGAAGGAAAAAAGGGTAGAGTTCAAAAAAACTAGCAATCCCCCTGTAGTGATGGCCTAGACACGCCGCGATGACCTGTCTCCAACAGATTGGTAGGATGCACTGGAGGCGGATCAGGAACCGAGCAGGCACCCAGCGAACCGCAGCGCAACAAAGGCAGCCCTGAAAGCGCCGGATCAAGCATCGAAACAGCCCAGTCCGGGTTAAGCCCTCGATACGTTTGCTGGGTTGGCGAATGGCATCACACCATGGTGACATGGTCAGCGCCAGCGCGTCTCATGTTGAGTTGGGGACCTGACCCTGCTCGCTCCTCCCGATGTTGGTTTGTTTCAACACATGGGGACATCTAATCACCAAGGGCGCATGCCCGTGACCTCAATGATAACGAGCATCAATGAGCAAAGGCGAGATGAGCTGCTGCATGTGTGTCTCTTTTTGCGAAGATCGTATGAGAACCGTGGGAGCGGGAAGAGCGGCGCTGCGAGTGCGTTTGTTGGGATCTCGCCGCTGTCAACGATTTGAGTTCTGCCGGGCTCCTGGTGGCGTCCGTCTGGCGCCTCTGGATCGTTCAGACGTCACTCGCGCTCGCGCGGGCGCGGGCGCATGGACTGCGATTATGGTGGTGGGAAACTGTCATCGTGGGCGTCAAACGTGGTGACGGACTCTTTGTGCTGCGTTCGCATCACACAAAGAACCGACGGGCCGCCAAAAGCAAGCATCCCATCCCATCCCATCCCATCCCATCACATCACATGCGCGCCGCATACACAGTCCCTAGTCGCCTCGCTCGCCTCCCATGCAATGCACGACACGCCCGCCTCATCGCAGGTACCCCGCAGACGCGTTCCCTAAAAGTTCAAGGTTCAAATCCTGGACTCGCATGAATCAAACCCGGAAACGGCATCTTATCGCGACCCCGATCGCCCACAGACGAGATGAGAGGGGACGGGACTAACACCCATGCAGCTTGTGCAACTTGGCGGAATTCCAAGACACGAAAAGTAATTCTATGGTTCCTGAAATATCTATCACTTAGTCAGGAACTATTCGAGGGTTCGGGTTGCATGCCGCGTAATCTTGTGCGGGGACGAGGAGGGAGGGATGGCCCGTTGGGGAAAGCGTCGGTTGATGTTGATGTTGGTGATGTTGAGATGCGCGAGACCCTACGGAGAAGTACAACCACAGGCTTCGATATTGCCATCCGATTATAATTTCGAGATGTATATAGTAAAGTGGGCTTAATTGCCGTACGCCTGTGCAAGTTGCGACGCTGAAGTGCTAACAATATCAGACTTATTTAGCAAGTCGATGTTTTGGGAGAGATACATGATGCCAAATGAAACCATCAATATAGCATTTATATTCCCCTGCTTCTACACATCTCAACAGCGCAACCAACGGGTATTCTCGTCCTACTCATCCATGGACTCCCACCCCTTCTCCTCCTCCCCTCTCTCCTCTCCATCATCACTCTCCCCCTCCTCAGAATCTGAATCCGTGTCGGGCTCGTCCAGCCCAACCAGCCTCTCTTTCCCGTCTCCCTTCATCTGCGGTACCTTGCTTGCAAATGCCGCCCTGACAGCCGCGTTGGTGCTTGTATCCCAGATCTGTACCGCTCCCTTGCTGCCTGCAACCGCGAGACGGAAACCAACTTCCTTGTCCGGCGCAAACGACGTTGAGAAGACTCTTCCAACGCCCAAGTCGCGCGACACAACCATGCTCGGCCCGCTGGCTTGCACGTTCCACAGCTTCACTTGCTTGTCTGTTGAGCCTGTCACGAGGTAGCCGGGGATGACGGGGTTGATGTCGAACGCGGAGACAGATTGATCATGCGCTTGCAGAAGCCATACAGGTTTTGAGGCGGATGGGTCGGCGGGGGCGTTGCGCGCATCGTGGTAGTGAACCATGCCGTTCTCAGTGGAAATCTAGAGGTGTTAGTTTGTGAGGCGCAGGAATATGGTAGAGCATAGGACTTACGTAGAAGTAGTTGGGGTCGTGAGGATTCCACCGCACGGTCTCGACATCGCTTTCGACACCCCATCGTGGTGCTTTGGCTTCGGGAGCGCGCATGTCGGCTGCTACGACTGTGCGGTCGTAGCTACCACTGAGAAGTATTGTAGACTCAACAGGGTGCCATGCTACAGAGCAGACTTTGTCTGTGTGATATGTGTACGACTTGGCGCACTTTGTCGTGTTCAGGTCCCACAGCTTGACGGTCTTGTCTGCAGACGAGGACGCGAGTAGGTTCCTGTGGTGACGGTTGGCGGCGAGGGAGAGGACCGAGTCGACGTGGAATTCGTCGTTGGCCTTCTTGGCCTTCTTCTTCTTCTTCTTTTTTGGCTTGTCCGCGTCCTCTGCACCCTGGCCTAGCACAGCATCTGGGTACATGCTGTCGACGACGTCCAAGTTCCAGATCTCGATATCCGGGTCCATTGTGCCGATGGCGACGTAGTTGCCCTTTCCCTCACTCGAGCCAATCGACTTGCCTACGGGCATGTCCAGCCACTCGACAGTCAGAGGAATGGCGGGCAGCATGATGTCGTGGTGCACGTAGAGATTGTCCGCCTCGTCTTCGTAGACATAGACCTCGAGATGTGCGACCTCATCTTCTATCCGGCCAGCCAGCACGAGGTTGTCTGTGGCCAGGATCTGGAGCTCCTCGCGCTCTTCGTCCTCTTCCTCCTCAGTGGCTGGCATTGTGATGTACGGGTCGTCCTCGTCGTTCTCATGGAAGACCAGGTTCTTGTTGCCGAACATGGCCATGGTGTCGCCCGCGTCCTCTGCGACTTCATCGTCGTAGTGCTCGAGGTCGTATTCTTTGAGGTCGTCGTCGGCGTCACTGCACAGGATTAGCCATGCGCATGCTGTAGGCAGGGCAGTGCTTACTCATCGTCGTTGGCTCTCGAAGCGCCGCCCGATGTGCCGTTCTTCCTGCTCTTCTCCTCTGCTTGCGCCTCCTCCAGGTCCTCCTTTGCGTCCTCGAGCTGCAGGTTCGCGAGCTTGGAGATGCGCTCGTACTCGTCCTCGTCGAACTGGTATTTGCTGGGGAAGGGCGCCGCAAAGCCGCGCGGCACCCACGTCGTCGCCGTGATCATAGACATGTTGTCTGGAGTGGAGAGTGCAAAGTGCGAAGAGTTCGGCGGGTGATGCGCGCTGGTGGGGAACTTTTTCTAAATATTTTTGAGCGCCACACTGTGGCTGGAGCTCTCCGTCGACAATCTCGGACCACCGAGCAGCACCAACACGCAGCCGTCGCAACATCCAAACACCATCACCGCCCCGCCAACATGGACCGTGGACACAGCCCGAAGCGCCGCAAGCTCGACCCGGAGGAGTACTCGATTGCGCCGCGACCAAAGTTCCGCAAGCCAAACCACCCGGCGTCCTCGCGAGCGCAGACGCCGCGGACAGCCGACAATGGCTTGCTTCCACACCAGAAGCCCTTCGAAGGGTCGGAGCCCCTGGTCGAGGACTTTGACTCAATGGCGCTGGACCGCGACTGGTACGGCGGGGAGGAGAATGGACACACGTTTGGCGACGACTCGCACAACCCCTTTGGCGGCGCCGACAGCTCCTGGCTGGATGCGCAGCGCGAGGCGGCATTGACGGAGAAGAAGCAGAACAACCGCGCGAGCATGCGCGCTCAGCAGAAGCAAAAGGACGTTGATGCGTGGGAGACCAACCGAATGCTGCAGTCTGGCATCGCCCAACAGAGACACCATGACGCCGACTTCGACGACGACGAGGAGGGCATGCGCGTGCACATTCTGGTCCACGACCTCAAGCCGCCGTTTCTGGACGGAAAGACAGTCTTCACAAAGCAGATTGAGCCCGTTCCCGCCGTGCGAGATAACCAGAGTGACATGGCCGTCTTTAGTCGAAGGGGAAGCCGCGTCGTCAAAGACAAGCGGCAGCAGAAAGAACGGCAGAAGCACGCACAGGAGGCTACCAGCGCCAAAGGAACAACGCTTGGAAATATTATGGGTGTCAAGGACGACGATGCAGACAGTGCAGCGCCCATGCCCGAGGATGGCGAGAAGAAGGGAGGAAGCAAGTTCGCCCAGCACCTCAGCAAGCAAGAGGGCGCCAGCGCCTTCAGCAAGAGCAAGACGCTCAGAGAGCAAAGACAGTACCTCCCCGCATTCGCGGTTCGGGAAGATCTTCTGCGCGTAATTCGAGATAACCAAGTCACCATTGTCGTCGGTCAGACCGGTTCTGGAAAAACAACCCAGTTGACCCAATTCCTCTACGAAGATGGATACAGCAAGCAGGGCTTGATTGGATGTACACAACCACGACGTGTTGCAGCTATGAGTGTTGCGAAGCGTGTGAGCGAAGAAATGCAAGTCAAACTGGGTGGCCTGGTTGGTTATGCGATTCGATTCGAGGACTGTACCAGCAAAGACACCAAGATCAAGTACATGACTGACGGCGTCCTACTCCGAGAGTCGTTGGTCGAGGCAGATCTGGACAAATACTCCTGCATCATCATGGATGAAGCTCACGAAAGAGCGCTGAACACGGACGTGCTGATGGGTCTTATCAAAAAGGTCTTGGCTCGCAGAAGAGACCTGAAACTGATTGTCACTTCCGCGACCATGAACTCTGAGCGCTTCTCACGCTTCTACGGAGGCGCTCCAGAGTTTATCATCCCAGGGCGTACCTTCCCCGTCGACATACAGTACTCACGGTCGCCATGCGAGGATTATGTCGATAGTGCCGTGAAGCAGGTCCTGGCGATCCATGTATCACAGGGAGCTGGCGACATCCTCGTATTCATGACTGGTCAAGAAGACATTGAGATTACGTGTGAGCTTGTTGCTGAGAGGCTAAAACTCCTCAATGACCCGCCAAAGCTCAGTATTCTCCCAATCTACAGTCAAATGCCTGCCGATTTGCAAGCCAAGATCTTCGACCGCGCGGCTCCTGGTGTTCGCAAGGTCATTGTAGCTACCAACATCGCAGAGACCAGTTTGACTGTCGACGGTATCATGTACGTCGTGGACTCTGGCTTCTCTAAACTCAAGGTCTACAATCCTAAGATGGGTATGGATACGCTTCAAATCACACCCATCTCGCAAGCCAATGCTTCCCAGCGTGCCGGTCGTGCGGGACGTACAGGACCAGGAAAGTGCTTTCATCTGTACACTGAACGAGCGTTTCGAGACGAGTTCTACATCCAGACTATTCCCGAAATCCAGCGGACGAATCTCGCAAACACTGTCCTGTTACTGAAGTCCCTCGGCGTCAAAGATCTGCTCGATTTCGATTTCATGGACCCACCCCCTCAAGACACAATCACAACATCTCTTTTCGACCTCTGGGCTCTCGGCGCACTGGACAACATCGGCGACCTCACGCCTCTGGGCCGCACAATGACAGCATTCCCAATGGACCCCTCTCTCGCCAAGCTGATCATAACAGCCGTAGAATACGAATGCAGCGAAGAAATGCTAACAATCGTCTCCATGCTCTCCGTCCCCAGCGTCTTCTACCGCCCCAAAGAGCGCCAAGACGAATCCGACGCGGCACGTGAGAAATTCTTCGTCCCGGAATCCGACCACCTCACGCTACTACACGTCTACACACAGTGGAAAGTAAACGGCTACTCAGACGGTTGGTGCGTGCGCCACTTCCTGCACCCCAAAGCGCTGCGTCGCGGCAAGGAGATCCGGGACCAAATCCAGGACATCATGGAGAAGCAGAAGATGCCGCTCGTGAGCTGCGGCACGGATTGGGATGTCATCCGCAAATGCATCTGCTCGGGCTACTACCACCAGGCTGCCAAGGTGAAGGGTATTGGCGAGTACATTAATCTGCGCACTAGCGTTACGATTCAACTCCACCCCACCAGCGCCCTTTACGGCCTCGGTTACCTCCCCGACTATGTCGTCTACCATGAGCTTATCCTCACGTCCAAGGAGTACATGTCCTGCGTTACGTCGGTCGATCCGCACTGGCTGGCTGATCTGGGCGCGGTGTTCTACTCGATCAAAGAGAAAGGCTACTCGGCGCGCGATAAGCGCATCACGGAGATTGAGTTCAACAAGAAAGCCGAGCTTGAGGCGCAGATGGCAGTGGATAAGGCGAGGGAAGAGCGACGGATTGCTGAGGAGGAGAGCGGACCGCTTGTTAGGAAACCGGGGTTGATCAACAAGAAGAAGGATGTTGCGGATGGTGTGGTCAAGAGACCTGTTATTGGCGTTAAGAGCAAGTTTAAGCGCCGATGAGGAGGGGGGGCTCGATACAGGACGACGGAGATCTTGCGTCGTTGAGGTTTTCTTGAAGTTATGTAGTGGGTATGTTTGTGGTTGGGTTTTTTTCGCATTTACGTGGTTGTTTGGTATCGGTTGCGTGCGGGTAGGTCCTCGCATTGGCTTACTTACTATCTTCTACTTCTTAACATGATCTTGATCATTACATTGGGTTTGTATCTTTATGAATATGCCATGGTCCAATGGTTTATGTCCCCGATGATTTGCCCAATAGAAAGAGAGTTCACCAGAATGATCAAAAGCAAATATACACGTTGACACTCCAACATTTCCAAAAGAAAAGTACAGCTGTGGTGCAATATCCCAGCTTTGGCGAATTGCCCACGAACAAAGCGCCCTTCATCAAGAGCTGCCGTAGTACATAGACCCAGGGCCGATCCACGGAATAGCAGATACTCAAGATTCACCTAACTTACTTCTAGGGAATAAGCAGGTGCTTGAGGTTGTAGATCTATATTTAGATGTCTAAAAAAGAAAGATTGTCTCCAAAGCAGGCATAGCTGCGGAGAAATCGCGGCTGGGACATGTCAAATCAGATCAAATCAAATCAATCTCAACACTTGGCGTCATTCAAAGTCAACATTGTACCACGTCGCGCACCCCAGACCCACTCGGGCATGCGCTTACATTAAGTGACTTTAGGCTTTTCGTTACGGCTGTCTAGAATGTTGTCAACTGCTACTACTAAGTCATCGCGCAGACACGCCCCCAAAGTGAGGACTGGCTGCAAGACATGCAAGTATGGCTATACAATCATCGTAATCAATGCATTAATCGATGTAGAATCACTTCTGGAGATCGGCTGACACCTACGTAGAAAACGCCGTGTCAAGTGCGATGAAAAGCAACCCAGCTGCTTCAAGTACGTCTGATTCACAAAATACGTTGTCTTCTTCTTATCCAATCAGGTGCACAAGTACAGGTCGAATTTGCGACGGCTACGTCCAATCTGAGAAAGACTACCAAATCCAAGTGTTTAGCTATGCCCAGAAACTATCATCAACCCCTAAGAACGCCATACCGGTACTCTCTGGATTCGGCGATAACGTGCGTTCCCTAGAGTTCTACTACCATTGTGTCGGGCCCATGCTTTCGGGCAGATTTGACACCAAATTTTGGTCGCGCATAGTGCTTCAGATGGCGCATTCTGAGCCTGCTGTACGCAGTGCTCTGATCGCTCTGGGCTACCTGAACGAGCACGAAACCGGCAGTTTGGAGTACGCTCGTCGATCTGCGGATTCGAAGGACGGTTATGAACGTAAGACGTTCTGGTTGCACTACAACAAGGCCATTAGATATCTTGTCCATCGCATGGTCCAGCCTTCTTACACACCAGAAGTGGGGCTGGTGACTTGCATACTCTTTGTGTGCATTGAGTACCTGCAAGCAGATTCGCACACCGCATTCGCACATGTCAGAAATGGACTGAAGATCGTGTCCGAGTTACGGCAGAACCACAAGGCTGGTTCGCTGACGCATAAAGCTGGACTGACTCAAAATAGCTCCAGCATGCCCATGGATATGATCGAGAAGATACTTGTGCCGATCCTCACTCAAGGTCTAGTATCTGCCTTTGTTTATGGCGTGAATGTCGAAGCAGAGTTTGCCTTTCTCGAAACACCTCCACAACACCTCAAAATGTACCGTTTCACTAGTGTCCGCGAGGCTCTGTCTTCGTACTGGGATCTACGAAATGCTTCTATCCTACTCGCGCGAGACATGACGATGAAATTATTCCAGGCAATCCCGCCGACAGCATCAGATTTCCAGCGCCAAGAGCACGTCTTAGAATGCCATCGCACCTGGTTAAAAGCTCTAACGGCGTTGGAAGATTCACAAGAATTCTCTAAAGAAGAGAGCATCGACATCAGCGCCCTTAAGCTAGCATACTACTCGAGTTATACCGCATGCGCTTGCGTGATCGACACGCGTCAGATGGCCTACGATGCGCACCTCCACAGCTTTAAAATGCTCCTTTTACACGCAAATCTCGTGGTCAATTCTACAGGGCTTTTGAGCGCTTCACGCACACAGACCCCATGTCGAGTCGCTGCCGCTAACTTCACCTTTGATACCTCCTTGATCCCCGCGCTGTACTACACTGCCTTGCGCTGTCGCTGTCCGACCACCCGCCGTGAAGCCGTCAGCTTGCTATCCTTGGGTCTGCCGCGCGAAGGTCTCTGGGACGCAGAGCAGCATCGCATCGTAGCTGAGCGGGTTATTGAGATTGAGGAGACGGAAGTTGATGGAAGAGGGTGGCCGGTAGAGCGGACAAGGGTTTGGAGCAGTGCTGTTGGTACGAATCTTGACGAAAATAGTAGATTCCGGGTGAGCTTTCTGTTGGCGAGAGATCTTGGGATGGGGGGAGAGAAGGCGTGGAGCGAGTGGTATGTGTTGGGTGACGGAAAGAGGAAGTCACTAATGTGATTTGTTGGCTTGTGGACGAAGATCATCGTCATTCATCACCCTAGAAACAAACTAAAGATATATACAGCATTCGCTGTCACGGAATACTTTGCTGGAGTAGTAGACGGGCGAGTCAAGACTTGAGGGCTTAGAAGGATGTACCTAGGATATTGCTGGTGGTTGAGAGAACATTTCAACAATCTCTAAAGAGCAGGACTACATGGTAGGTCTCAATTAATCGAAGTATCTGGACTTCTTATATATTTTGTACTTATAGATTGTCAGGCGAAGCGCAGCAAGGGAGTCATTCCTGTTTAGCACAATGCATCAAACTCATTGCCCGGCGACAGCACAGCCTGTGTATTATTCGCAAATCCCAGCTTGACCAGTGTGTTGGCATTTGGATCATAAGTCGGCCAGACCAGACCATTACTCGGGTCTCTTGCGAACGCTGCCCACGCATCCTGCATGTACTTTGACGTGGCGCGTTCGGTCGGCGTATCAGGTCCAAGGAGGTCAGATGTACCGAACACCATCGGGATATCAGATGAGTGGTACGCGTGAAGCCACGAGAAGGGGTTCAGATTCGGCCATTCGCCGAAATATCGGAGGCGCCAGACGGGGACGTTGTAGTTCTTTCGGGCACTAGCATACAGGTTAGTATTTGAAATGCTGAATAGGTGAGGATGTATTTACAGGGCTCCTCGTGCATCTGGACATGTGGAAAGGCTTCGTGTGAGGGCATCCACGACGGTTTGGTTCGGGCCAGCGGGGACGAAAGCGACCAGCGAAGCACCCTCGTTGTCGACTTGAGCCAAGATGGTTGGAACTCTTGCGAAACGGCCACGAGCTTGGCGATCGGTGTAGTTGGAGAAGCTTGTGATGTCGTCTGGTGTGGGCTGGAAGGATAGCGACCGTCCATTGTTCGCAGATGCATTATACTTGTTGTACACTTCAATGAGAGCCGTTGCGTTTGTCTTCTGCACGCAAGAAAACTCTTCATCTTTGTTGGCTGATGAGCAGCCAACCTGGGAGGCGAGGTAGGTGAAGTTCGAACTCGTCGCGTCGCTGAAGCTTATGCTAGAGGCTGTACCAGATTGAGCAATAAAGCCACCCACGATGGGATCTTCGGGGTATGCATAGGCGTATTTGTCGACAGCCATTGCACTACCACAGTTAGTCTAGATTTCCTGGTGGGGAGGGGATTGTATTACCCTGCCGATTGTCCGAACAAGACCATGCGACCTGGATCTCCACCGAATGCGCTGATGTGATTGTAGACCCATTCAACTGCTTTACGATGATCAAGCAAGCCAGGGTTCAGATTCTTTCCATCCAGGCCTGCAGCGTTAGGGTATCCGAAGATGTTGAGTCGATAACTAGCGACGTTAGCAAGATCCTCCTCATGGGGAACATTGCTATTACTTCAAAGCAACCACAACAACGTTCTGATCCTTTGCAAGCCGATCTCCGTACTTGTACGGACTCGCACTTCCACCCGATGTGAAGCCTCCACCATGGATCCAGATCATGACTGGCAATCCAGTTGCCTGTTTCCCCCTAGGCGTCCAGATATTCAAGGTCAGGCAATCTTCGCTTTGTTGTTGACCAGGAGTGAGAAGAAAGCCCTTGAGATATTCCGAGTACACCGTCTTCGAGCCACTGTTGTACTGGATACATGATGGTCCAAACCACGATGCATCAATCGTTTGGTTGGCCATCGGACGCTTGGTAATCGGTGGTCGAAAACGTGCCGTGCCTACTGGAGGCTCGGCGTAGGGAACGCCGCCAAAGAAACGGACATCGGTTGAGTTTGGCCAAGATATGCCCTTCACAGCATACAGATCCGTGTGTACCAAAAGATCATCATGGTCTGATCCTGTGGGAAGGCCGTGGACCAATGGCGCGAGCAAGAGAGCGACGATCTTGAAGGCCTTCAAAACTGCCATTGTGAGTCAGGAGGAGAGTCAGGTGCTGATGATGCAGTAAGGCTTGGAAGAAACCTCACGTTATGTATCATTCGAATTTGCGGAGAAGACTTGCATGAGTCGGTTAACATCATGTCATTTACGAACATCATTGGCTGGATTAATCCTCTTCCCAAAGACCCTCGGAATGGTCGCAATATGGCTAGCGCTACACTATCAAACGCGGGGCCCCGCGAAAAGAGTGGATTCCATCATGGCGTCTCGATTACGGCTCTTGCAATGCATGGTCTCGGTCATTCGGCATATCAAGATTTAAGAACCTCAAGAATCAAAACAACAAAACAATTGCCAGAAGGCGGAAACTACTGTAAAATCTACAAGTACGTTTACGTAGTGCTCGCCCAATCCTCCAAACAGACATGAAACAACAATAACAACAATAACAGCAGTTGTATTTAGTATCTCCTGATACTAAATATCTGTTGAGAATTTTTTTATCCCGGGGATTCAACCGAGCGAGAGATACATAATCCTCATCGAAAACGCCCCAGCAAGTAGCACCCTCGTTTCGTTGCACTAAATGCGAAAACGGAGCGACTTGGTTTCGTATTGACGTGTAATATATAGAGACTTTAGCTCCACTTATTTTCTATCTCATCGTTCACAACCTGTCGCGACTTCAACGCCGTTGACAGAGTCGATGCTGTACTGCACCTGAGTGTGCACACGGCATGCCTCGGTAAACCTGACGACGCGTACACGAAGGAACTCGTTCTTGTTGTGTCCCCGCACAGCCAGATGGAAGAACACTACTCCCGCAATTGCTGAGTACATCAAGGTATGGTCTTGTATTGAGTAATGCTACGGTACAGTTGAAACTCAGAGTATTATGATTAATTGTATTTTGAGATGTAGAATATATTGTGGAGGTGCGTCTTCTACATGACATCATCTCTGCGGGGACTTAATAAAAACGAGCTCCTTCGTAATCACATACAAATGTCAATCAATCCTGTCATTAAACGTAGTCCCCGCTTGCTACACTGTTTAGTATGGGCCCGCAGCCATCATCAGTTGAACATTATGTAATGCCCCAGTCATCCCAATTACCTTGGGCATATAGTCCGGCTTTATGCCTCGATTACTTGTTCAATCAACCATCTCAACCAGTCATCGAAATATCGCTGTTCTGGTGGTCTATTGAATATTATCACCCCTGCTGGAAGCGGCTGCAAGCACAAGATAAGATACAGTACTGTCATTGGTCTTTGTAGCAGTTGTGTAAGAGACTGCAAGGCTTTCTGTTTACTTAGCCTTGTTTAAGTAATGTACCAGGTGACTGTTAGTCGATGGATAAGATTTCTTTTGACATTTTGAGCTTCCTACCCATTACAGTACTTTCTGCCAACTAAATAGAGGTTCTTACTAGAGTTACTCGAGAGGTGTTCTGCTAGATTTTGAGCAAGATACACGAATCAAGTTTGTACCTTTGCTCGCCTTTAATCTCGTTTGCCAGCGGTCCACGACAATTGATGCAGGTGAGCCTACACGCAAGAACTTGCTCTGGCCTTTGAGAAACGCCGCCCTGAATTCAACCCGAGCAAGGAGAGTCAGGTTGATTGACCAGAAACCTTAAAGAAACGACGTGCATGCCAAGATAAGTAAACATCTCAATAGGGTTGGAACGATACTGCAACAAGACCTAGCTATCCTATCAGAAATTGACTATAACTTAGAGTTTGATCTTTCTTGTTCTGCATCAGCATGGCACGGCATGGTATACGACACACATGCAGTTTCCAGAGTTTCGCAACAGATTCAGGCAACATCAAGCAAGTCGTACGACGAGAGTTATACGGATACGATGAAAAGGCTCATCCCAAGTCTATCGGTTTTCACTGAAACGTACTAGCGTGGGAGGCCTAATGGCTTCGCCCAGGCTTCGCCCAGGCTACAACAGCCCTATGATCCTTCGGCAAGGCACGAAAGAGGTCAAGAACCCGCGTAAGAAAACAGAATGAGGAAAGGGGGCGGCAGCACAAAAGCAGCGAAAGCGCTTCTTGAGGTCTGTAAGGATCACTTATGACCTTCGCGGTGCGAGTAAAACAAGCATCAACCGACACCAAAACTACATCACGCGTCACGACAATGCCATCCCTCCTCAAGAAACTCATCTACGGTAAAAAGCTCTCAAACCCTTACGCCGACCCCTACCACCCAAGCCATACACACACCTCAGACCCAAAGGCCTCCTCAACGTCAGGCATATACGCTCAACCACCAGAGCACCTCTCAAATCACGGCCATGCTAAGAGTTTTCCGTCATCTACGCGTGTGGTCGCACCTCCACAAGGCTCAAAGAACTCCCTTGCCGAGGCACGAGCGATAGCTGGCCGCGACCCGGTGACCGGCCAGCGCGTCCCACCACAACAATTCGCAAGTTATGTCGCGGCAAGCGGCACTACGATATCGTCAACACCACTGGGGAATTCGCAACCGGGTGGGCATGTGCAGGCGCGGGACGGGCCGAATCTATGGTGTACCGTTAACATTTTGGGGAATCCGTATTTGAATGGTGGGGCGGCAGCCATGAGTCGGGATTTAAGAGGTGGTGGTGTGGGTGACGATAGCAGGGTGGATCATGCGGGGATCTTTGTACAGAATGAGGGGGAGAGGACGGTGAATAGACATGATGTCGACGTGAGAGGGAAGGAGGAAGAGATGAGTAGAGCAGCCACGGGTGGGACGAACACGGAGTTTTATGCACCGGAAAGGCCGATGATAAGTGAGTTCTATTCAGGCGGTATCAGGGATTAATTGGTGTTTTGATTGATTCGTTATGGATACTTATGTATTACAATCTTGTCTTTATGTTCTGATGGATGGTAATGAACCACATTCGTTTTGGATGTCACCAAGGTCCCGGGCGATGTTTCCAGAACTTTTTCGCCTGCCTAACTCTGACTCAGGCACGGGAAGTGAATGAGGCGATTGAGGTTCCCGAGGCTGATCACAATCCTCAGTCTTATCACAATCTTCTGAGATTTTCAACATTTTCTGTTGGACTAAGTCAAGAAGGTCGCAGAAAAGTTTAGTAAAATGGCTATGAGAACGAAGTTCGTCTATCCTCTGTTTCACTCAAGGTCAGTCGTTGCTAAACTCTTGAGAAAAGGGACACTAACTTGTATGACTGTGTTCTTTACCCTGGCGGTACGAGCTCCTCGTTCGTTCACCTCAATTTTGAAGAAATGATCGTCATCAGAATTGTGCCAGAAACTGCCGTCGGCCTGTCGCTTTTTCGCGAACGTTTCTACTCCTGGAAACCCTTCGAAGTACCACGTAACGAACACAAGATATATGCATCCTAGAGCCCAGACGTCACACAATGTACTGAGTCCGCCAGGATCAAGATCGCATTCAGGCGATCGATATGTGCGGGAGTTGGGTGGTTCAACTGTCGGACCTGTATCTTTGATTGTGAAGTCCGCAATCCCGAAATCAGTGATTTTCAAAACGCCATACCTGCTATTCGGCTTCGAATCACGGAACCAAAGAATGTTCTTGGGCTTGACATCCCCATGACGACCAAACAAACGCATGTTATTTGGTAGATTTCCTGATTGTTTCATGGCCTTGCGTTGCCGTGGCCGTGTCGCTTGGTAAAGTGTGGTGGTGTCTGATCGGGTCTCGTAACGATGAATTTTTGATAAGGCCTCGGCAAGTCCCTGACATTGACTCACCAACCATTGAGCCATATCTTGGTCATCAATACATGGATCAGGATTCAGTTTCCAGAACCCCTCCAGATCCGTATCAGCCCAAGGAAACACCAAATGGTAGATGCTCGATTGCTCGTAAGTCGCCAAAAGAGTTACGAGATGATCGTGCTTATGGTTTTTACTGCTCAAACTTTTCAGTATCTCCGATTCCTTTTCAAAGGCATCTTTGTCCCTGGAAAATAACGCTTTCACTGCTACAACTCCTTGAGGTACCTGGAGAATGATTAACAACTTCCGTATTGCACCGTTGCAAGGTGGCACAAACCTCTACCTTGTCGAAGGCATGATGATCAGGATGAACTGTGGCCTTATACACTTGGCCATAACCTCCACGTGGCTTCAGTCTCCAGTCAGTAAAAGGAAGCGACTGCTCCGGTTTCAGCTCAACATGTGGGACGTCTTTTCCATTCGATTTTCGGAAAAATGGAGCAAGAACAATCCACTGATATTCTTCGAAATCGCAAATAGTACCGTCCCTCCATTTTTTCAAGCACCGCAATGGGGTGTCGCGGTCTTTCTCCCGACGAAGGTCAAACCGGCCCTCTAGTCCGCCTGGTCGGCGGACTTTCATCAGTGGAAGATCAGCGTCGCAGACGCCTTCTTCGACAAACGACCATATCCGAGATGGTCGGCGAATGAATAACAAAATGGCAAAAACCTTGCGGTATAGCTTTTCCTGGGGCTCCTTCGGATGCTGAAGCCGCTTTGATAACATAGAGTCGGACTCCGCACGAATATGACCTTTGCCGCGGCGAATGGTCTGCTTTTCTTCGACGGGAATACTGGCTAGTCGTTTCCACGCGCGGATGTATTTTCGTGGTAGGTTTCTCAGTTTTGAGAGCTCATTTTCGACCGACGTCTGAGTGATGATTCTATCCAATTGGCATCGGGGAAGGAACTTCCGATGAGATACGTTCGATTTTTCCATAGATACCTTCAGTTGGTCTTCCAGACTATGTAGTCGATCATCGGTATTAGCTTGCCCCAGATTCAACCATTCTATGCTCTGCCGGACATTGGCCACTAATACATCAGGCACAAATGAGTATCTCTTATTGTCAGATCTCCACGGTAGACGGTCGACAATCGACGATCGAATGCGTCGAGTATTGTCAATCTGACTAGACCTCCGTGGGGCTGGCGCGACGGCAGTGATTGATACGTTGTACGTTTGCAAGTCCGACTCAGGGAGAGGTTTTTCCTCTTTTAATTCAACAATCTGAGTTGCCGCAGGCCCATCTTTGATTGGTTTATGAGACTCGACATGAGAACCAGACGGACTGTCATTTTGAGTGTATGACAGGTCAAGTCCAATCGAATAGTCATCAAAACAACCTGCTACTAGTGTGCTGTTGTCACCTGAAGACTCAGAGGTCGAAGATACAGGAATAATCAGAGACTCCGCCACAGGTTTTGAACCTGAACCTGTACTTTATTAGCGATCAAATACTTGAGTTCTTTAGTCGTTATCTACTGTTAGGTACAGCGAGGTGTAGTTTACCTCTGAACGGCAATCCATCCAAGACACTTTGAACTTTTACGGTTGGGATCTCATTGGTTGTACAAAGCAGACTTGAATCGTTCGACAAACTCGATATTCCAAGGCTCTGCAAACGTCCTGGAAGTGCTCTAGCGTTGTCTGCATCAGGAATTCTTCCGGGGCGATTCGATTGTTTGACATCGATCATCATGCATATTCATGCGAACGATATTCCCACGACGAATGAGTGGTGGTGTAGACGCGCGATGCAATGGATAGTGACTGTGCAATGAATTTATGGTTGCACACGAAGAAATTCATGAGCGGCAACAAGCTTGTGTGATCGAGAGCGGGCGTACATTTGAAACATCCTTGTAAATAGCTGAGTTGTGCTGATAGCCCTGCCAATACGTCGTTATTACGTTGTTGGCTTGCCAAACCGATACATTGTCAGGCGCCACCAAATTAAAAGGGCAAGACTTGCTACAAACTTAGCCTGCGAAGTCTGCATGTAAACCCCCGCTGATAGTGCCCTGCATTTGACCTTGCATCACCACGCCTGATTTGGTTGTAGCGGCCCTTGTTACGCGCCGAACATACACGCGCCTTCCACAATTGACATCGTCAATGCCGGGCTTTTATGCGACTTCACTGGTGGATGTGCCACAGTTCATGCGTGTAATCATGTTCCCCTGCGGGCTACAGTGGGTATTCATTTGATCGGCTTTACCATGCGAGGAGCTTAGAGACATCGTGAAAGTAACAACTGTGAGCTTATCAATCCATAGGTATATCAAACTCACCAAGACTAATGCTTCGTAAATCTTCAAATTATTGGGCACTCGCTGGACCTTTTTATGGCTGTGCCGACCGCATCACATGATCAATCACACCCGCGTCTGGAGTTTTCCTAAGATAAGAGCTTTTATTCTTCCATCTTTACCGAGCTGAGAATACCTACCTTCGACCCGAGGTTCGCCCCCACACATGACGAAGTCCGCCCCAAGGTTTAACCCTGGAGCTTTCCGTTGCCTTCTTCAACACATTAGCCTGTTCTCAAAGTAGGCAACCGCTGCGACGTCATGAGTCTGTTCTGGCTGCGATGAGGTAGACATCTAGGCGTAAGGATACAGACATAGACCAATACCTTCGCATGTAGCTAGCAGGCAGCACACCGTCTTTACAATCTTGAGCGCTCATTCGTGGAGCAAAGGCGCTTGATAAGCATGAAATCACCTTCGGCGCCTCTTCTTCCTGTTTAGATATACGCTGGGATAGATGTTGCAGGCTATATACTAAATCTTGTTTGACATTTCCCACTGGAGCTGTTCACCACTTGTGAGATAGCAATCTTTACCGAAGACATCTTTACAACTTTCCACAGGAGTGTCGACACTGTTGCGATCGGTAGACAATAAGAGTATAACATTGGAACCTTGGCGACTTGCTGCGACACCGCGAGTGATAGGTTAGGTCTGTTCAGCGATGGACTCTGACGATTCGGATTCTGAAGATGGGAGCAACTCCTCCCCTGACGAGGATGACCTATCAGGCGATGTCTTATATGCTCTAAAGACAAGCATGATCCAGAGCAAATTCGACACGGCAGGTCATTATTTTCTCCCTGATGGAATTCTCGCCCGACTCACAACGAAAACCTCAATTCGAAATATTTTGGGGATTGAGAAGCCGACCGAAGAGGACATCATACTGGTGGACTTTGTTGAAACAAGAGCCAAGAAGGTATTTGCCATATGTGCCTTCATCGATCTTCGACCATTGCATAAAGCAATGACACTGTTCCGGAGGAACAACTTTAGCGATCAGAACTTGCCTATCAAACCCTGGTCGTCGAAGAAGTTCAAAAGTGCCTCAAGCAACGGTATACAGCACGATTTCGTCGCCATGGAAGGGCCTGTTGACGCCAAGACACAGGATGTTCTCTGGGCCGGACGATGGGCCAAGATATACGATTTCCAAGAGGCTCAATGGAAGTTTCTCGCACCGATTTTCCGGATTGACAAAGATCATCCAAGCCAGGATGTTGGGAAACATATCTTGCCATTCATCTCCAAGCAGACTATTTCTAGGGAGGGCGCGTTTGGAGACGTTTACCAGTGCGAAATCCACAAAGATCATATAAAAAGTCTTTTGCATCCGGATGAGAAAGTAGGACTAGAACAACCGAAACGCTTCTTATACTGACCTTATGCAGATTGAAACCATGGTTGCCGTCAAACAAATCAAAGTGGACAACGAAACAGATCCCAAGAATGTTGTCACTCACTGGGAGAAAGAGGTAGGGGCTTTGGCGAGAATGAACGAGTTGAATCATGAACACATTGTTCGTTTCATCACTGCCTTCCGCCGTGGTAGTGCTAAAGACCCGGAACACCACCTGATCTTCGAATGGGCCAATGGTGGAAATCTATTGAACCTGTGGAAGGCAACTCCTCAACCCGTATTGGAGGCTCCCTTGATCGAGGCGGTGGTAAAACAGCTCCTGGGACTCGCTGATGCGCTGAGTGCTGCTCACTATCTCGAGGAGGATGGAAAGTTGACCGGCGGAGGGTATCGCCACGGCGATCTGAAGCCAGCAAATATTCTTTGGTTTCGGGATTCCAATGGAATTGGAAGACTGAAGATCGGTGATTGGGGAGAGGCAAAGATACATAACGTTGTGACTGCACTGCGTCATAGCAAAACTACAGCCAAGTTTGCCACCCGCCGCTACGAAGCTCCCGAGGTTGAGACTGGAGTCAAAGCAGTACTTCTGGGCCAGGCAGAGTTCCGTCGGTCCCGGCTTTATGATATATGGGCCATGGGTTGTGTTACCCTTGAGTTCATCGTCTGGCTCCTCTACGGCTATGACGTGCTGGATCGATTTAACAAAAGCGTAAAGAATGAATCGAACGGCGAGTCACCATTCTACCAGCTCAGCAATGCGAAAGGAAAGAAAGTGGCCAAGGTACATAGCGTTGTGGAATACTGGATCGACCACATGGCGCGTGATCCATCATGTAAGGCCGGCGCTACCGCCCTCGGGGACTTGCTACAGATCGTCAGGACAGGTTTGCTTGTTGTGAAGCTTCCTAAGGAGGGAGGTACCTTTAACGACGACAACCCTCAGCAGCCTGATGTACAACGGCTTCTCACGCAGCTGAATCAAGAAAGTACGACTAATCAGCTTAGTGCGTCACAGCCTCAGGAGACAGGAGACTTCGACAGCACTCTTACGGCTACCGTACCTACTTTTGAATTCGACCTAGACAGCGACGATAAACCTGGATCGGATCTCAGAGAACCACAAAGGCTCCGTGCGACTAAGTTCTTTGACATGTTAGAGAACATTATGTACACAGACGAGATTGAGGGTTATTGGCAAGCCGTAGAAAGTGATCGACAACCGCCCACGGATCTGGAGCTATCACTAATCGCTTTAACGACTACAGACACGAAGAACACCGAGTCACTACAAGAGGGACTTGCCGTACCTGTCCCCAGTCTAATCAATTATGGCGACGATCCAAATCTCGACCCAAACATATGGGAGTTCGAGGTAGATAACGAATTTGTATCAAGTCTTTTGCCCGCTTCCAATGGCTTGAATAGGTCGTCATCTGAAACTCGCATCTCTTCGAATCTATGCAACAAGTGTGAGGAGTTTCGCGACCGTGTCTGGAACCCAGGATTCAACATCACTTACCAAGTCCAAGACTTGTTGTCAAGCGCCATAAAGCAAGAGTGCGATCTGTGCTGCCTACTATGGCGAACTTGCAAGCGAAATCAAGGTACCTCGGTGTCTACTGCTCAGTTTCAGAGAATCGGATCTGTATTGATGATGAACGGTGGTCATATCCCGGTGCTTTCACTCTTTCGTAGCCCTGGTAAGCTGACCCAAAAAAACTTGAAGCTAACAATCGGCATTTTGAAACTGACATTGTTGCCCTAGAGTACCGCGTTCCGGCTGTAAACAGTATCCAAATCGGATTTGCTACGCTTCCTGATGTTGGCAGTTCAATACATTTCGAAGTCATCCGTCGGTGGCTCGACGATTGCGACGAGAAGCACCAAGGATCGACATGCATGCCAGCGAGGCAAGAGTATCCACATACACCCAAGGAAATACCAACACGCCTTATCGACGTCGGTGATACGAGCAATGACATGGTTCGCCTATGGGAAACAGGGAAACAAGACACTGTAAAGTGGATTGCACTATCCCATCAATGGGGAGAGAACCCGCCTCACTACTCCACCACGCGCCATAATCTCGCAGACCACATCCTTGGTACAAAACTTGAAGATCTCCCCGCTACATTCAAAGATGCTGTTCGTGTCACACGAGCTCTAGGACATCGATATCTCTGGATCGACTCCCTTTGTATAATCCAGGGTGATGATGGAGACTTCCTACAAGAGGCTAAACGGATGGAGATCTACTACAGCGGAGCATACTGCGTTATTGCGGCTAGCTGTGCCAGTGGCCATTATGCGGGGTTTCTGCATGCACGCATCGAAAGAGACCATGTTTCCCTTGTCCGCGAGACCGATTCTCAAGCTCCTTTTCATATTTGCGAGACTATCGATAACTTCAAGTCTGATGTGTTGGAGGGTGCTCTAAACCGCCGTGGCTGGGTGCTACAAGAGCATGCTCTTGCTCGTCGCACCATCTTCTTCACAGAGAACCAAACATATTGGGAATGCGGTAATGGTGTGCGATGCGAGACATTAACCAAAATGAACAAGTAAGTATAGTCTGCCAACAGATATGTTGGGGCTGTTCCAGTCGATAGGTTGCTAACGCATATGTCAGCAAATCAGCCAAGTTGCTCGGGGACCCCAACTTTCCTGAGATCCTCTTCTCGGCTCCACAACGTGAGAGGATTGAGCGATATCAAGAGCTCTACCGGGTTTACTCGCGCCTTGGTCTTTCCAGAGCGTACGATCGGCCCGCAGCTATCGGCGGCTTACAGCAACGTCTTCTTCGCACCATGGCCGTCAAGGGCGGATATGGCATCTTATACGAAGACACAATTCAAGGCACACTCGCTCGGAGCCTCTTATGGCACCGTGGAGGCGATACATCTAGTCTCACTCGGATCAAATTTACTGGCGTCAGTGTCCCGTCCTGGTCGTGGATGGCTTATACCGGCGGGATCGATTATCTCAGCCTGGACTTTGGTAGGATTGATTGGGAGAAGATAGAGTCGCCATGGTCGCGCTCGGACAAGAGTGATGGAACCGATACACTTACCGCGGTGGCTCAAAGATACAACGAGGATACAGCCAGTGAGCGTCAGAGTACTTTCATTTTCGATCTTCCAGAATATGCTGAGCAATATGAGACGATTTGTGTGGTATTGGGAGTCCAGAAAGGATCGATGCCTCTTAGTGACAAGAGACATTATGTGCTGCTCGTCGTGCCAACAAACGGTTCTGGACGCAGCAGAACCAGCTCATTTGAAAGAGTTGGCGTAGGCTATCTGCCAGGGAGGTGTATTGCCACTGAATCCACATCAGTCAATATCCATTGAATCAGTTTTCTCTTCCAATTGCGTTGATAGTCGATAGTAAGAACAATCTCAATACTTAATTCCGTTATTAGTATTTGCTAAGAGGACATTCACACTAAATGAAAGTACAACTCATTACATAGTAGTTCGCAGAAGCGCATCTTTTCACCTATTATCTAATGGCCATACTACCCATAAGAACAATATATACCGTTTTACGTCTACCCGCCTTTATCCTTGCTTTATTTATGTTTTTTAGCTAGGGTTAATATTCTTCCTTATAATGTACTGATGCACAAGGATTCTATGTGTACTGTGCATAGCGAGTGAAAATCGTCCAGCACGCAAGACTTCAATCAGCTTCGCTGTGGATGGCAAGCCAATTAATATGAACGAGACAAAAAGAATCTACCAAGAGACTTTCAGAAGTTGACGCTATGCGAAATTTTGATAAGGGGCGGGTTAGGAACCAAACGCACAAAAGACACGCAGATAAATACTGGTCTGTAGGGGTAGTTAGCTGGCGGCCGCGCAGGCAGATACTAGAATTCTATTAACATGGCTCTTTTAGACAGGAAACCTAGATGTACGTCTTTCTAGCTAATAGATAATAACTAAATTGTTATCTTATGTCCTTTTGTGAGAATGGCCACGTAATCAAGAGCGATCGTTGTCAACATCCGTCGAAGAGTCATCAGGTCGATACCTCCTGGTAATCTTCCTTCTACAAAAGTTATTACGCTTTACAAGGTTTCCAAGCACTAGTGGCGCTACAAAGCGTTTCTGTAGAAAAGTAGTTAAACAAAAACGTGATGGACTTGTCACAAATTCCATATTCCATAGATCCCTCCATTCAAGCAAAACGTTCGAAATTGATCCGGCAATTCTTCATTCTCGTAAACAACAGCTAAAAGGGTATTACAACATCATGAGCACGCTCTTAGTCTCTCTACCATCCACCTGGACCTCCGCGACCGCCTCCACCTGGACCTCCCTGATGGCCGCCCATTTGGCCACCGCCTCCACCGCCATGGTGACCGCCACCGAATCCGCCTTGACCTCCACCCTGTCCTCCTGGGCCACCGAATCCGCCCTGGCCTCCGCCCTGACCTCCGTGTTGGCCTCCGTGCTGGCCTTCGTGCTGACCACCGAATCCGCCTTGACCTCCACCGAATTCGCCTTGACCTCCGCCCTGACCTCCGTGCTGGCCTCCGTGCTGACCACCAAATCCGCCTTGGCCGCCCATGTCTTGGCCGCCCATGCCTTGGGGACCTCCGTGCTGTTGTCCACCGAAGCCGCCTCCCTGGTGTCCGCTGCTCATACCGCCGCCGAAACCTTGGCCGCCTTGCTGATGTTGCATTGGCTGCTGTTGCATTTGTTGCTGAGGATATTGTTGTTGAGGGTGTTGGTTCTTGTGGAGAATCTTCTCCTCGACTTTGTGGATAAGACCCATGATGGAGTAGCTTTTATCGTCTTGAGTATAGTTGGGTAGGTGTTGTAGTTTGAGTTGACTGTTTATGTGTTGATGTGATGATTTGTAGAGTGTGATATCTAGTTATTCAAGAATAGGTGTATCTTTATAGAGGGCTTTGTATGTCTGGGAAGGCGACGTCACTGGACGTCACTAAGACTGGCAACCACAGCTCGTCTTTGGGCCGCGTCACCCTTGGACTACTATTCAAGATGGTTCAGAGCGATTTGGATGAAGTCTTAACGCTATGACGAAGGCGCTCTGTAGATGTTGTGATACACGCGGCCGGACCCACTTCGACTAGACTGAGCTAGTGAGTACCATGAGGATAGAGAGCCGGACAACCGGACGCCACTCCTAGAAACCTCTTTGTCGTCACTTGCCAAGGGATTGTATTGCGCGTCTGCGCCGTATAGCAGCTACGTCAGACGATGCAAGTTCAAACGACTGTGAAGGTGAGTGGACGGTACGAAAACTACGCTTGCTTCCCAGACTATACATTCGCCAAAAGATCCCCCATTTGCACACGAAGAATCTATTGGGGAAGGTGTGCCGTTGACCGAGAACAAGAACGGCCATGGAAGGTTGGGATTATGAAGGTGTTGTGAACTCAATAGTTGATATCCACGCGTCAGATATGTAGCTGTGTAGGAGTCAAGGCAACATGATCAATTCCTGCGTGGTTGTTGAGTGCATAAGGTCAGATTGGACTTCCAGAGCGCAATCGACCTACCATCACCAGAGCCTTGTACGAAGTCAATGTGTGTCGGGCCGATGAGGTCGAGGTTCAGTACACGAGAAATCGGGATGACGACATCATCACGTGCCTTAGAACTTGGAGATTCGAACGTAAACAAATTGGAATCGACTTTCACATCTCACATGTATCGTTTCAACTGCAACAAAAGCGCCTGTCTATCTTCAATCGATTATTGAGTCTGTCATGCTCTGTCACTTCAATCATGTTTCCGCTATGCAGGCCTAGTTTTTGTGGATGATGAGTACGTAGAAAACTCGTCTGACCGAGCAAAATAACAGGAAGGTTGTTTCTGTGCTGTTTAATGATTGTATACGTAAAATCCAGGCGATATGTTTTCTACTTCTGCGATGCGAGTTCAGTCTATTTCTCCTTCCTTCTCTCTCGTTTTACCTCTTCGAATTTGCACGCAAAATCCCCGTTCCAACAACCTCAGCGCAGCGCAACACCCTCAAGCAGTCCAGAACGATAATCGACGAACTACATCTTGTTTGGGCAGCTATATTTGACGTCAAATCGACTCCTGAAACGAAACAATAGCCTGCGTCGTCCGAGATGAAGATGGTGAGACGTAGCGCAAGAATCACAACACCCACGCAGAAAGCAACGCTCACGAACATCGTCGACAACAACGCACAAAAGCCCTTCATTGGAATGTTGCGCTCGCATGGTCACTCAACACGTTCGACACGTTCTCAATAACATGTCCCCCTATCATCCTCCTCTCGTTCCCGGCTGTTACGCCAGTGCCAGGCACTGAAACATCCGTCCTCCAACATGTTCCTCAGAAACGTATCACTACAATCCCCCGTGTACCGTCTTTCATCCTCCCGTCCCACGTGCTCTCATTTCCCTCTTCCCTTTTCGTTTCTCCCCACGCTCACCTAATTTTCACTGGTCGCATGTCCAGTTCCCCGTCAATCGTTTGTCGACATGAGGCAATATCCGACGGTTACAAGCTCTCCATACTCTGCATACTCCAAACAATTCCGTAGTACGGTTCCTGCGTCAAGTAACAATGTCATGAACTAGTCCGCACGGGGAGATTGCGTGGAACGGCATTGGTCCGTTTTGTTTGCGTTTCTGCCTGCCTCGGGGACGTGGTTTCGATTCACATTTCAACTTACTTTCACTTTGTCGCTATTTTCGTCGCTGTTGTCATATGAAAACCACGTTCTTTCCCCCAAAACATTATCTCGACTTGATCGCACTTTCCTTCACAGCTTAACAACAATAACGACACGAGCACCGCGTTCTTCGCCAAAGCCCACCACATACATCTACATCTACATACATTCACAGCCAACATCCACAATCTACATCGTACCCACCACGCACAAATCGCAAACACCCCCACAATGAAGCTCCTCATCCTCACCACCCTCCTCCCCACCACCCTCGCCACCCTCGACCCAAAAACCCTAAACCCAACCCACCTCTCCCTCCTCTCCGTCCTCCGAACCGGCATACCCTCCTCCTTCTCCGCCGCGCTCCCAACCGCCAGCCAAGACCCGCAGTGGTACATCGACCTCCCGCTTGACGTCAAAGAGCTGCTCCCACAGCTGTACCCCTTGTCCACTTCTACGTCCACTTCTCCATCTCCATCCGCCTCGACTGCGGCCGTGAGCGACGTCCCGCAGTTGCTTGAGAGCGAAACACCAACGTCGACGACCACACAACGCCTCACTTCGCGGACTACGACGGTTGTTACGAGGACGGTGGGGCGTGGGAATGCGGGTACGGGTATAGGTACGGGTATAAGTGGGGGTGTGAATGGGACGGGTGGTCTGGCTACGTCTACGTCTAGTTCGACGGCGACGGAGACGGCGGTGCCGTCTGGATTGTTTTCCGCGGGCGCTGGGAGGGCGGTTGGGGTGGAGGTTTGGGCTGGGGTTTGCTGGGTTGGGGTTGGGGTTGGGTTTTTTGCTTTTGCGTAGGGGGTCGGAGGTGGGTTACTGGGAGTTGTGGGTGGGAAGGGAGTGTGGATTTGGGATACCCGTTGGCGTTTTCTGGATAGGTGGGTTGGGGTTGGAAAGGGAGGTGTATGTGTATGAGGCGGGTCTGGAACTCGCTCTGCTCTGTTTTTATGGTTTCTGGTTTACTTTCGGGCTGTACTGACTGACAGATGTGTTTTGCCCACACGAACAACGAGTAAAGCAGCGTGTGGAACATGTACATTACTTTCGTCTTGATAGTCTTTACTACACGCATCCCATCGCATCCCACCCCTCCCCCCTCCAGCCCCCTACGCCCCACACAACACCCCCGCAACCCTAACCCCCAAATCCAGCACAGCAAGATGCTCATCCCCCCCATCCACAAGCCGCTTATCCGTCTCGCTAAACACCGCCACAAGCCTAACCTTCTTAACATCCTCCACCCGCTCATCAAACATGACCGTCTCGTACAGCTGGCCGAGCGTCTGCGTGGCGCTCCACCCCTCAGCAATCATATTCTCGACGACGCGCGCGATCTCAGCGTAGCGGATAGTTTTGGATGCGGACGTGGGGAAGAGGGAGGTGGTGAGGGAGGAGAGCGTGGGAGCGGGGATTACGCCTGCGATTTCGGCGATGGCGCGGAGCGAGACGGTGGATGATTGTTGTGATGTGGTGGAGGGGGGGTCGAGGTCCATCGCGTCGGGGGTGTTAGTGTTGTCTTCGTCGTCATCGTCGTCGGGGATGATCTTCCTCTTCCTCGTAGAACTGCCTTCTTTCAGCCCCTGCGTGGCGCCTACGAGCCGTGCCGCAGACTGCAGGAAGGTGATAGCTTTCCGCAGATCACCGTCCGCGACTCGAACAAGTTCCTGCGCGACGCCCTCGTCGAGCCCCACGTTCTCCAGCCTCGCAATGTCCGACACGCGCTTCACCGCGTTCCCCTGATCCAAGCTCTTGAAGCGAAACTTGCTACACCGCGACGCCAGCGGATCGATAATGCGCGTAACGTAATTACACACAAGGCAGAACCTGGTCATCTTACTGTACGTCTCCATAGTCCTGCGCAGCGCGGACTGCGCATCCTGCGTCATGCTATCGGCCTCGTCGAGCACGATGATCTTGAAGGGCGGACACGAGTACAGATCCCTGTACCTCACCATCTTGCCCTCGCCGCCCTCCTTGTCCTCGGCCATGACGCTGTACGTCGGCGCGGTGCTGAGCTGCTGGCGCGCAAAGTCCTTGACTTTCTGCCGCACGATGCTGATTCCGCGCTCGTCTGAGGCGTTGAGCTCGAGCACGCGGCTCTTCATGAGTTCGGGCCCGTAGAGCTGCTTGGCAAGTGCGAGAATGGTCGAGGTTTTTCCTGTGCCGGGGGGCCCGTAGAAGAGCATGTGTGGGAGGTTGGAGGACTGTAGTGTGCGCGAGAGGATCTGGATCGTGTTGTCTTGGGCGGTTACTTCGGAGAGGGTCTTTGGGCGGCTGGTGTTCGGTTTTAGCATTTGACTCCTTGTATTGCAGCAAGGGACGCACTATTTCTCAACCCATGGTTGCATGCGATTCGACTCTTGCTTGGTTGTGGGAGCTTTTGACGAGCTAGCGTGAGCGGCGGCTTGTTGCCGTGCTTTGATGTTGAAAAAGTCTGCCATTGTCGTGGATTGAACTCGGTTGGCTGGAGTATATTGACTGTGTCTTGCCGTCACTATGTGGTGCTGCGTGGTCGGTTGGGAGGAGTTGCAAGGATCAACGCCAACGCGCGACGCGTGAACAACGCGACTTCACGTTACACGTGATATTCAAACATAAATTACCAGCATTAAAACCATAAAAGCCTAATATTAAATCGATTTGATATCTTGCATTCACGAGCTTCTATTTTCGCCTAGGCGAACGCTAACGCCTATCCATCTGCACCCGACGCCAGTCCATGCACGCATCCCAGCGCAGCCCATCCACCCAGGTGCCGTGTACGCAAGCGAACAACCTGCGCAACAGCGCTCGATCGGACCTACAAAAAAAGGGTCATGCCGCAGGAGAAAGTTGCAGTTGTCAGGGAGTCAACTACTTTCCCTTCAGACTAACCCCCTTTACCCTCTTAGCCAGCTGTACAGAATCGGAGTCGGAACCATAAGAAGGCTGCCTCCTCAGCTCGCGGTGAGCCGCAGAGGTGAGAGACGGAGACTGATAAGAACGTTTCGGGGGGCGCTCACCACTTTCTTTGAGGACCGTCAACAGCGTGGCCCAGCCGCTGGTGTGTTGCAGCGCTGAGCCTTCTGAGGCATCGTGAGTCGAGGCGACTTTGAAGAGGAGGGAGGCTTCATCCTAGATCACGGGGTGAGTAGTAGTTGGGAGCTTCGCAAAGAAATAACTTACCGGCGACAAGATACCTAGACTGTGGATGAAGCAAAGCAAGTGGAAATTCGATATGGCGTTGAGGCCACTTGTAGTGTTGAGCGCAAGACCGTTCGCCCTAGCGTTGAGCGCTTTGCCCAACGCTGGTATATCAGGCATCTCACCCATGATATCGCGGTTTTCGATGGCAAACTTGCCTCCAGTGAAGAGGGGATTTGGTTGAGACGGGAAACCATGAGTAAGCGTGATGAGAAGGTACTCGTAAGGAAAGTCGGGTTGGGCGCTTTCTTGAACATTCGCCCCGTACTCGTTGATTCTCCTGTAAAACACCTCAGGAATGTACCGCGCTCGGTTGAGGGCCTCGTTGTCGTCCTCCGACTGGACAAGCATGACTGACGGCTCCGCTGAAGGCTCGATAATGTCTGCTCGCACCATCTCGACCGCAGCATTCGAGGCTTGATAGGACGAGATTCCAATCTGTCCCTGGTCGTCACCGCTGATGACACAGGTGACGAAATTCGACCCAAACCTGCCCGTCTCGCTCCACTTGGACGGCCGTGGGTATTTCGCCTGGTACCGCGCTGCGAAGATGATTTCAAGAGAGGATAGATAGTAGGAGTCGATGTGGCGCTTGCAGATGACAGACCCGTCACCCTTGTCCGCATCCAGCAGATCTGTGAATATTACTCCCACCCTCTGAAGTCCACACTGTGCAGCAATCTCGTCGACCTCTTTCTCGTTGTCCCAATCTCCCAGCGAAATGCCATCCACCTCGTTGACCTGCGGCGGCTCATAGATTGTCTCGACGATGGCTTTCGTTCCCAGAGGCACCTCGGTGTACTCCTCGTACCGGCCATACAGAAAGCCTAACCGCTGACACCCAGTATTTCGCCAGAAGTTGATGAGATCGTCCACAACCTGTATCGAAGCAAACTCGACGTGATCAACCATGCGGTACTCCTGCGGCTTGAGCGAGATAGCGCTAGGCTGGCATTTCGTGCAGATGCCCTCTGGGAACGGCTTGTGTCCTGATGGGCAGTCTGGTCGCACGCGATAGTATGGTTCGGTGAGCGGAGGCATGTACGAGCTGCCGAGCTCCGGCCTGTTCTTGGCAGAATTTACTTTTCGCAGATAGGAGTGAAACGAGAGGTGCTTGATCTTCTTCTCGGCGAGGTACTCGGCCGAGTAGGGCTCCAGCGGCATGCAGTAGTCGCACATGCCCTTGGGTCCGTGTGTGCACATCCTCGCGTCGCGCTTCCGTGGGATCTTGCCGTCTTGCCTGTCCAGTCTGTCGTCGAGCGGCGACTGCTTGACCACCTCCCACGGGTTCTTGATGACTTCTACGGGGCCGCCGAGGGGCACGGAGGGCATATCGGAGGCTTCGACTGGCTTGCCATTCAGGCGGGATGCATTTGCCGGAGCTGCACCATGGCCGTTTGATACCGGGGCCTGCTCGTCGAAGTTGAGGAAGAGCTGTGCGCCGTTTCTAGTGCAGTGTCAGCTATGAAAACAGGCCAGGGCAAGCTACGCACGACAGTCCAACCTGCTGGAACGTGACGCCCTTGAGTGAAGCTATCTTCCTAAAGTCGCCTCCCTGGGGGCGGTTGCCCACGCTTATGCTCTCGATGTCCGTGTTCTTGGGTAGCTTCTCCGCGAGCTGGGGCAGGATATCGGTGAAGGCAGTCGTGGGCTCGACATTGAGCCGGAACAGGCCGTCTTTGCTGGTGAACCGGAGGATCATGGTCGTGTAGTGCTGCGGTGGGGTTGAGTGAGGGTGAAGACTAGGTTCAGGGATGTGCAGGCGTTCAGGACTTGTAGAGCGAGTGAACAAAGCCACTGCGGTGAAGTGAGTGGTGCTGCAGCGTCGAAGGCGGCAGAAGGCAATGACGCGTGCGTGAACCGGGGTTCGCGAAACTGCTCCGGCCTTTTGCCGATAAGGCCAGTTGTTGGAACAGCGAACATCCAACATCGAACAGCGGCGCACACGGACGAACCCTCCCGCACGCCCTTTGAGCCTTCCCGTAGCCCACGGTCCCTTCCTCTGCTTGCATGCCGCTCACTTGAACCGCCCCTCGCCAACACCACAGCGACTTTCGCCAAACCAACTGCCACGCCGGCGCACCACCTTCACACCCACACACACGCCCAACATGTGGCCCTTTGACGCCGTCGATTGGGTGATGCTCACCATCCCCGTCGCCTACCTCTTCATCCTCGTCGGCTCGCTCGCCGTCTTCTCGTCGCTGTACCGCAAACGCAAGGCCGCCAGCGCCGCCTCGCTCGAGCCCTGGTTCCCCCCACACATGCAGCGCAACGTCTACCTCTCACTACTGCACATGGAAGAGCCGCGGGCGCCAGACAGCATCCTCAAGGCCGCCCTCCTGCGCCGCGCAACAGAAGACATCCACCGCATTGTGCAGATTCGTAACGCGAAGCAGGCCATCCAGGTGCTGCTGCAGCGGGGCAGTGTCGGCGACGACCTGTGGCAGCGGTTCCAGCGCGCGGAGAAGGAGATTGAAGAGGAGCTGAGGGATGTCGTGCAGGAAGTATGTTTACGATTTATTCCCCTCAATTTCCCACGTTTCTAATCATATCGTCCAGGCCAACGCCTTCGCCCCTAACTGGGGCCAGACCATCTTCCAGTCCGCCTCTGAAATGGCCCAGAACAACCACATCCGCGAGCGCCTCGCTGAAATCAACGCCAAGCTGCCCGCAGAGAAGGAGTGGTGGGACAAGCGCAACCCCTCGGCCCAGCCGCACCAAATCACAGAGGCCACCGACGACGACGAGGCCGTGCTGGTGCAACAGGACGGAAACTAGGATTTCAATTTCGATGCATTTGTACAGAGCGAGGTTGAGGAGGAGAAGCAGGTGGTAAGCGAGTTGGTCGCGGCGTCGCCCGGCGCGTCGAGGAAGAAGTACTTTTCTTAGCTTTAGCTTAGCGGAGTCGAGTCGGGTCGGGTTGCATGACTGTGTTTGCTGCATTGCTGGCGTTAGGTGCATGGTCAGGTCCAGGTTCAGGTTTCAGGTCCAGAGTCAGACATGACTGGCTAATGTGAGGCATTCTTCCAAAGGACAGGTGTATGCGTATTTCAATCCACAAACATAACATGCTCGAGTGGCAAGTCTATTCATGTAAATCAATCCATTTGATATGCTACTAGACGCCAATATAAAAGCCCCCAAAATCCAACTCGTTCACTGTAATAGTAGTACAAGCTCGCGCGCTCTTCTCTCCGACGGATTAGACACTCGCCGTACACCCCATGTACACTCCCACCCTTTCCTTACTTCCTTCCATCTCATCTCATCCCATCTTATTCCATATCATCTCATTCAACCATACCTCGCACAGCCATCTACTTCCTGACGGGCCCACTGACACCCGCGCCAATAACGCTGGGCAACTCCTCGGCGCCCATAGAGTACAACATGCCAATACCGCTGGAGATCAAGAAAGCCAGAACGGTTCCAGTCGCGACAAACAGCCAGAACTGGACGGAAATGTCCTTCTTCTGGCACGCTGGGCCGCCCCAGTACGTGACCTTCTTGGGGCCGTCTTTGCCCTTGTCCTCGCTCAGGTACGTGGTCGTAGCCACACAGGCACAGCCGTAGCAGTCGGTGGACTGGGCGTCTTTGCCGGAGCCGCGGCCCTTGTGCAGGAGCTTGCACTCGCCGTGGCTGCTGCAGTTCTGCGTCCGCTGCTGGCAGATGGACAGCGTGTTGAAGCAGCTGGGCAGGATGCCGCGCACAGGCGTGTTGTTGGCGGCCATGGCGGTGGGGAATTCCTCGAGGTCTGGGACTCTGGGGTTGGGGGATGTCGAGGGCTCGGGGTCAAGGCTGAGGATCTTCTCGGACGGCACGCGGCGGGAGGCGGCGAATGCGGAGGGAAGGTGGTAGGTGCCGTCGGGGGTGGCGGCGCGCTTGGTGTGCGAGGACGAGGGGGGCATGAGGACGACGGTGATGGCGAGGTCCTGGGAGGCGAGCAGCGAGTTGAGCTTCTTGGCGAGGGTGTCGCGGCTGAAGGCGTCGCTCTTATCGGCGCGGAAGATGCTGAGGTACTCGTTGTGGAAAGTCATCTTCTTGAGGGGCGACAGGGCGGCTTCCAGCTCGATGCCGGCCGAGTAGGTTCGCCCCTTGGCGTCTGCGTACTTGGGCAGCGACTCTGCCTGGACTATGAAGTTTTCGATCAGGAGGTTGTTGTCCGAGGGCGACGGGGGGTAGGGGATGGTGAAGTCGGAGGACCACGCCGATGCGTCCTTGATGATGTCTGTCGCGCACTGTCAGTCTGTGTCTGCATCTGTGTGTGTATCCGTGTAATTGCGCCTACCAGTCGCGTCCTCGACGTCCTCCAGCCACACCAAGACATGCGCCCGGCTCTTGTCCGCATCCTCTCCGCCAAACAGCTTCTGCTGCGGGCCGCTCAGGACATTGATCTGCTGGACGAGCGCGGGATCTTGGTAGTTGATGGTGTAGAAGCGCGACAGGCCGACTCGCTGGGCGAGCACCAGTCCAGCGGCTCCCACATTGAGCGACGGGGACGACGCCTGGGGCGAGGTCCGCGTCGCCGGGTCGTGGACGAAGACATGGCCGGTCTTTGCGGCGGCGGCCGAGCAGCACAGCGAGGAGACAAGGGCGCCCCAGGATAGCTTCATCGTGGCGAGTGGTGGTGATGGGTTGGGGGATGCTGTGAGCTGCAGCAGCAAGCGATCCTGTCCAACACGTCAGGGAAGCTGCGACGGCGGCATTTGCCGTCCTTGCGCCGCCACTCGACACGCTCAGCCTTGCCGTGCTGCCCTCTGCCATCACAAGCCAGACATGCACTCTTATTTATAACCCGAATAACCGTCGCTGCCGCCCCCGTCCTCGTCCACGTCTACCTCCACATCCCCCGCGCCTTCATGTCTGCTCACACCAACCGCGCCTCTCCGTCATAACCCGCTTTCTCCCCGCAACGGCCCCATCCATCCATGTTCAAGGCGCAGGTGCTGCGGAGGAACTTCTCCCTCTTCAACAGGGTGTCCTCGTCGCGCATAGCACAGTCCGCCGCGCGCAACGGCCATGAGACTGTGACGGTGCAGCGCTTCCGCATACGCAAGCCTTTTGTCAGCAGATCGTGAGTTGCGCCTCCCCGACTGCTTGCCCATCCACTCATGTTCCAGACGCTTAGTCGGCATAGTCGCAGTCTCGTGGGCCTCGTACAGCATCATACAATACCTCGGCCTGGAAGTCCAAGTTGAAGTTATAGAGAAGGAGCAAAAGCCCCCGGGTCCAGGCAACTCCATCCAAAACCAAGACGAAGACAAACCTGACGCAGGATGGGAACAGGCGACTGGCGAAGAGGAGGATGACGATGACGATGATGAAGACTACGATGATGTTCTACTCTTCCTGCCCACAGGCTTCTCGCGGCCAGCACCCAGGATGTTCTGGCGAGGCTCAGACCCAGAGTGGCAGGAGTTTAGAAAGATCGCCACAGACGGCGCAAGGATCAACAAGATACGCGGTATGGACCCAGACACGCCTTCTAGAGGACCCCGCTAATCACCGAGCAGGAGAGCTGGCTACCATGGTGCGCACCTCAGCTGTCATGGACGCTTTATGGGTCAAGACCATTGGCAAAGTCGATTCCAGCAAAGGCAAACAATGGATCGACATCAACTTCCCCCCAGGCCCACCTCCCGAATTCGAGCGCCCGGGTATCGAGTTGACAGAAGACCTGGAGTGGCGGAGGGCGACACGGCCAGTAGAACACCTCGCCCACCAACGTCTAAACCAGCTCATCTATCCCACTGCCGTCGGCACTGCCCTCTACCAGGACACAAAGCGCAAGGCTGAGCAATCTTGGAAGGGCCTCAAAGCATACATGGGCTGGGAAGTGAAGCCTGAGCACACCGCACTCTACGAAGGCATGCTGCAACGACTACCCAACCACCCAGCATTACCCAGCTCCGTCACCACACCACCCAACACTGCATCAACTTCCCCACCAACAAGCACACCGCAAACCACCACATCACCCTCAGACAGTCCCACCAAAGACGTCGGCATCGCCCTACCACGCGCCAAAGACATGACGCTCGACCTCGGCGACTTCCGCAAAGACTTCCGCAAGGCATTCAAACCGTACGCCCCCGAGCCTCCTCGCGGCTGTTTCAACGTCCTGGGCCTGATAGAAGTCTACGGTGACCGTGCGCGCATAACACTCCAAGTTAAAGCTATCTACGATCCAAAGCAAGCTCGTTATGTCGGTGTTCAGGTCAATATGTTTAACTTTGTGGAGCATCGACAGCAGCCGAGGGGTGGGCCTTGAGAGTTTTTATCTTTTTGCAGCATTTGTAGCGTTTTTTTGGGATGGGGGGGTTCGGGTAGGGGGGTATCGCTCATGCGGTCTTGGTTGGGTTTGGGGCGTATGGGTTGGTCTATGGGTGGAGCGGCATTGTGGGAGTTTGTGGTCTTTCATTGATGGGAGGTAGGGTAGACTGGGACCAAAGGTTATGTAGGTGAAATCGCCACTTTTTCTAGCATGAGCAATTCATGTATGTCAGTCAGTTTTCTATCAAAGGAGATTTTACTTTGCCATCCCGCATTCTTTGAGTTTCACATGCCGCTTTAGTAAAGTATGTCCTTTCAACTTGCAATTTTCTTAGGATGGCTTAGAGGGGGTTTGGGACGGGGTGTGACATATGGCAGTGAGGCGTTGGGTGTGGTGCAGTAGACTAGAATAGGCCGGGCTTGATGTTGGGTTAGATGGGATTTGTCTGGGTGATTTATATAATGTTTTGAGTTGGAGGAGTTGAATGTTCTTGGAAGTGGAGTGAGCTGTAGAGGTTGGTGAAACTGCTGTGTTTGTGGGGGTGTGTGTAGTCTCGGGTGGTTAGTATTAGGAAATGGAGTCTTTTGTTTGGTGGAGCTTGATGCGTGAGATAAAGATAGATATTAATTTTTGATAGCAGAATGTAGAGAGTCGCAGCATAGTAATAAGATTGAGTTGATAAGGGTGGATAGGTAGAAACAGGCAGTCCTAGGGTATTTGAATATAAGTCATCTGAGACAAAGACATCATAGCCATGCCATGCTCTTCTCGTGGAAGCCATGGAGCTCTGGACGATTATATAAGCACCGCGCGCACCGACCACCGACAAAGCATCCCCAAACTTTCGAGCCCAGTTGCCATCGGCGACTCCCTCACCATACCCAAATCAATAAACCTGCAGCACAATGGCCGGCCCGCGCTCAGGAAAGAACTCAACGGCCAACGGCTCCGGCGGCGGGGAATCGTCGAGCAAGCAGTCGCTGAACGAGGCGTCGGACAAGGAGCTGTTTGGCAGCAATGGCGTCGACAAGTATTCGGGCTACGACACGTCCATCGCCGTGCAGGACCAGGACGACGATATGGACGACGTGCAGCTCAACGGCCGGAGCCTCACGGGCCAGTACACGGCCACCAACGAGATGCTGAACGAGTTCGCGCACGGCGACACGGCCGAGGCCGACATCCTCGACAGCCGCGAGAAGCAGGCGCAGATCGCCTCGCGCGAGACCGACTACCAGCGCCGACGCTTCGACCGCGCCCTCTCGCCCGAACGCGCCGACCCCTTTGCGAAGGACGGCGAGGAGGGCGGCATGTCGTACAAGGAGGTCATGAAGGCGCGGGAGCTGGAGCGCGAGGAGGCACGCGTCCAGAGGCTCATCGAGGACCGGGAGAAGGAGGGCGGCAACCAGGTGCTCGACCACCAGCCCACGCTCAACGACGACGCGCCCCCACCCGTCAACGGCGACAAGACGCCGCCCATGGAGAAGAAGCGCAAACGGAGACGGTGGGACGAGGGCGACGGCAAAGAAGCTGCGGCTATCGAGGAGGCGCCAAAGGAAGAGCCTGAGACCAAGAAGCGGTCCCGGTGGTCGCCAGGCCCAGAGGAAGACAAGGCGCCCGAGGCCGCTGCACCAGTGCGATCACGCTGGGACACAACCGCAGTCGCACCCTCTGGTGGCGCTGCGACACCCGCCCCCGTCGCGAACGGCGCGCGCCCAGCAATGCCCTCGTTTGCCTTTGGCACAGACATCTCGAACCGCAATGCGCCACTGTCCGACGAGCAGCTCGACATGATGCTCCCTGGTGAAACTGAGGGCTACAAGGTCCTCGAGGCACCTCCGGGCTATGAACCAGTCCGACGACCAGTGGGCATGCCAGCGCTCCCCACAGGATACCAGGGCTTCTTGCTCCCAGAAGCGGACAACAGCTTGGCCGCAATGGGCAAGCAGCTGCCAACAGAGATCCCAGGCGTGGGCGACCTGCAATTCTTCAAGAACGAGGATATGAAGTACTTTGGCAAGCTGACCGACGGCGCCGACGAGAACGAGATGACGGTAGATGAGCTCAAGGAACGCAAGATCATGCGACTTCTCCTGAAGGTCAAGAACGGAACACCACCCATGCGAAAGACTGCGCTGCGACAACTCACAGACAACGCCCGCCAATTCGGCGCAGGCCCTCTTTTCAACCAGATCCTCCCTTTGCTGATGGAGCGTACGCTGGAGGACCAGGAGCGCCATTTGCTAGTCAAAGTCATTGACCGTGTTCTGTACAAGCTCGATGACCTCGTCCGTCCGTACGTTCACAAGATCTTGGTCGTTATTGAGCCGCTCCTCATTGACCAGGATTACTACGCTCGTGTTGAAGGTCGCGAGATCATTTCCAACCTCGCAAAGGCTGCAGGTCTCGCACACATGATCAGTACAATGCGTCCCGACTTGGACCACCAGGACGAATACGTGCGAAACACCACTGCTCGAGCTTTCGCCGTTGTTGCCTCTGCCCTCGGTATACCAGCGCTCCTTCCCTTCCTCCGAGCTGTGTGCAGGTCGAAGAAGTCGTGGCACGCCCGTCACACTGGTGTAAAGATTATCCAGCAGATTCCCATCTTGATGGGCTGTGCTATCCTGCCTCACCTGAAGGGGCTCGTTGAGTGCATTGGCGAGAACTTGAACGACGAACAGCCAAAGGTCCGCATGGTCACTGCGCTTGCGCTTGCTGCTCTCGCTGAAGCTGCAAGCCCGTACGGTATCGAGTCTTTCGACGACATCCTCAACCCTCTGTGGACGGGTGCTCGACGCCAGCGTGGCAAGGCCCTTGCATCCTTCCTGAAGGCTGTCGGTTATGTCATTCCGCTCATGGACGAAGAATACTCCAACTACTACACCAGCCAGATCATGGAGATTGTCATCCGAGAATTCCAGTCTCCAGACGAAGAGATGAAGAAGGTCGTCTTGAAGGTGGTATCGCAATGCTCGAATACGGCAGGTGTCACGCCAGTCTACCTAAAGGACAACGTCCTGCCGGAGTTCTTCAAGCACTTCTGGGTACGACGTATGGCCCTCGACAAGCGTAACTACCGACAGGTGGTTGACACTACCGTCGACTTGGCGCAGAAAGCTGGTGTTTCTGAAATCGTCGGCCGCATTGTTAATAACATGAAGGACGAGAACGAAGCATACCGCAAGATGACAGTCGAGACCATCGACAAAGTTATCAGCACCCTAGGCGCCCACGATGTCGACCAGCGTTTGGAGGAACAGCTTATTGATGGTGTGCTTGTAGCCTTCCAAGACCAAACCATTGAAGACCCCATAGTCATTGATGGATTCGCTACGGTGGTCAACGCGCTGGGTGAGCGAACCAAGACCTATCTCCCACAGATCGTTGCTACTGTCCTCGCCCGACTGAACAACAAGTCTGCCACGGTGCGCCAGCAGGCTGCAGATCTGATTTCGCGAATCACCTTCGTCATGCAGAAGTGCGATGAAGACCCCCAGCTTATCAAGCTTGCGCAAGCACTGTACGAGTACCTTGGTGAGGAATACCCTGAAGTTCTTGGTTCCATTCTGGGTGCTCTTCGTGCCATCGTCACAGTTGTCGGTCTGCATGCCATGCAACCGCCCATCAAGGACTTGTTGCCCCGTCTAACACCCATTCTTCGCAACCGACACGAAAAGGTCCAGGAAAACACAATCGACCTAGTCGGCAGAATTGCTGATCGAGGTGCAAACTACGTCAACCCTCGAGAATGGATGCGAATCTGCTTCGAACTCCTGGACATGCTGAAAGCACACAAGAAGGGCATCCGACGTGCCGCCAACAACACATTCGGTTACATCGCCAAAGCCATTGGCCCTCAAGATGTACTGGCAACTCTCCTCGGCAATCTCCGTGTGCAGGAGCGTCAATCTCGTGTGTGCACAGCTGTCGCCATCGGTATCGTGGCCGAAACATGCGCTCCTTTCACCGTCCTACCCGCCCTCATGAACGAGTACCGCGTGCCGGAACTCAACGTGCAAAACGGCGTACTCAAATCCCTCTCCTTCATGTTCGAATACATCGGCGAAATGGCAAAAGACTACGTCTACGCCATCACGCCCCTCCTCGAAGACGCCCTCATCGACCGCGACCAAGTGCACCGTCAAACCGCCGCCTCGGTCGTCAAGCACGTCGCCCTCGGCTGCGTCGGCCTCGACTGCGAAGACGCTATGATCCACCTGCTCAACCTCCTCTGGCCGAACTTATTCGAAACTAGCCCCCACGTCATCGACAGAATCATAGAGGCTATCGAGGGCATCCGCAACGCTGTCGGCACCCCGCTCGTCATGAATTATATCTGGGCTGGCCTCTTCCACCCTGCCAGGAAAGTCCGCCAGCCGTATTGGCGCATCTACAACGACGCGTATGTCCAGAACGCTGATGCGATGGTCCCTGCGTACCCGACGTTCGAGGACGAGGATGTGAGGAGACATGAGCTGGATATTTTCATCTGAGGTATGCGATACCTTCCCTGTACTTTGCCCACTTTTCTGCCCTCGACGAGCTTGCCGCTTGGCTGCTCGGGGGGAAGCAAAACTCGCATCGTGTCTCTGCGGGTTCGGCTGCGTCTGGAGAGAGCGTAATACCTGAACTTGTTCCTTCCTTCCTTCCTTCCTTCCTCCCCTTATCTTGTACATCACTTCTCGGCACGGGGGTTGCAGTCACGGGCGTCTTGGTGGGCTTTCTTCCTCTTCCTCTTCTTCTTCTTGTTTTTGGATTACATCGGACTTCTAGGTCGTCGGCATCGTCACTGTTCTTGGTTTTAGCGATGTGTGTTTTGTGCTGCGTGAGGGACTGGCGGCTGGCCGGAAGAAAGCGTTGCTGCTGAAATGGGGACCAGGATCAGATTACATATGGTAAACAAGAGAAAACAATCCACGGTTCCCTCTTTTTACTCGCTGATCACATGCAGGTCTCTTGTGATTTGTGTTGGTGCGTTTGTGTGTCAAGGTAAGTCTTCGTGTGATATGTGCTCTGTATGCTGAACTTTCAAGACGTGCGGTATGTCGCAACAGGTGGAATGCCGTGCCTCTTAACTTCCCTTCCCGCCGTGAAACTTTCCTTCTCCGCGCGTTGCGCGTACGTCGATCGATAACTAGCCACTCGCCCAGCACATCCCATCCAGCCCAAGCCAACCCTCCACCATGCCGTGCTCATTCATATCTTACCACGTCGCTAGCTTCGGTGTGGGACTTCGAATCCGTGCTCCACGTCTAGTGTATGTCTGTAGTATCTCAAGAAGATAGAAAATACACATGCTTGATATCTAAGATGTAAGCTTTGTTTAATAACAGTGCCGTGAGACTACTTTTCAAGACTGAACAGATGTGCGAGCTACCAGTCGTTGTGTCGATACCCACCCACGTATAGACGAAAATCACGCACTAAGAACTCGATGGATTTACCAGCGAACAAGAGGCCATGTCTGCAAAAAAGACGGGCATTCGTGCTTCGATATGCGGCAGAACAACTACATCTGCATAACAAACACCTCGATTCAAAAACGTATGCATACATCTCCATCACCACGACACATCAATCACCAGCTTTCACAAAAAGAGGCAAATGCATAACATGAACAAATCTCCAATCTCTCTCCCACCCCCTCAACTATGCTAGTTTAAAATACTCTACAAGTTCAGAATGATAAAAGCACGCAACAACCCCCCAAAGACGATCTATCGTACAGCAACCTCCTTGACAGTTCTTCCTAGTCCATCACGCTGACTCCCGCCTTACTGGCGTCTTTTGGATCCTGGATCTGTGTGTGTACCACGTCACTCTCCTCTTCGTCGTCTGATTCGTCTTCGTCTTCCTCTTCCTCTTCATCGTCGTCGTCATCTTCTTCTTCCTCTTCGCTGCTACCCTCCTCGCTGATTTCCTCGGGTACTACTGCTGTCGTAGGGTGAGCGCTCTCGGCCTCTTGCTCTGCTTCTGAACTCTCTTCTTCCTCATCCTCCTCATCGCTGCTTTCTTCCTCGTGGCTTTCCTCAGCTACCGCTACTGGCTGCTCGATTTTCTTCTCTTCTACCTTTTCTGGCTCAGCTGGCTCAGCCGTCTCGACAGTCTCGACAGTCTTCGGTTCCACCTTCTTAGGCTCTCCTACCTTAGCTGTTGGCTTCTTCTTCTCAGCTGTAGGTTTCTTTGTTTCGGTTGTAGATGTCTTCGTCCTAGTCGTGGGTTTCTTGACTTCAGTCGCAGGCTTCTTGGAGGTAGACGTCTTAGTTGTAGATGTTCTAGTTGAAGGCGCCTTGGTTGTGGGTGTCTTAGTAGTAGTAGTAGGCGTCTTCGTAGAGGACGTTCTCGTAACGGATGCCCTGATAGTAGACGTTCGGGTAGTGGGTGTCCTGGTGGTAGACGTTGTGGTAGTAGGTGTTTTTGAGGTAGACGCTGTGGTAGGCGTCTTATAGGTAGACGTCCTGGAGGTAGACGTCTTGGTAGGGGTTTTGGTTGCAGGGGTCTTGGTCGTGGATGTGGACGTCTTAGTCGTAGATGTCTTGGTTGTAGGGGTTTTGGTTGTGGAAGTCTTGGTTGTGGGAGCCTTGCTTGTAGAGACCTTGCTTGTGGACGTCTTCGTGGTGGACGTCTTAGTGGCAGGTGCCTTCTTCTTCTCCTCGGTCTCTTTTCCGGTCGTAGGCTTCTTCGTTGCAGCATCTGCCTTCCCGGTCGCACCGGTCTTCACCTCCTGTGTCGACGATATTGGCCCAGCTGCGAGATCTGGGTTTTCAGCATCGATGTGCATCGAGGGCGGCGCGTGTACAGGTTTCTGCTCCAATTTTGGAATGCTCGGAGTACCTACACTCGCAGATAAAATCGCAGGAGTAGGCGTCTTCGGGATTGGTATCGATCGCGGAGATAATATGTCGCCGATACTCTGCGATGCTTGCTCTGGAGCAAAAGTCGGGCTTTGGGGCAGATCAATTGACCTGGGCGCAATAATACTACCGATGCTCTGCGGCGCCTTTTGTACGAGCAAAGGATTTGTGGTCGCGATCTTCGTCGGAATTGGTTTCTTCGCCGCCGCCGCCTTCGCGGCTTCCGCGCCCATCTGCCGAATTGCGAGGTTCTGTTCTGGGCTCATGAACGGCTTGTTCTCCCTCTCCTGTATCGTCGTCGAGGAGAAGCCTCCCGGTAGAGCGCCCTCGAGCGGCGGGGGAGTCTTCGAAGGGGTAGGCTCGAACAGAGATGTGGGCTTTGCGGGCATAGGCGTGAAGGCCGCGGTGACGCCTAGGGCCTCTCGTAGCTCGTCGTACTCGTTCCATTCTTCGATTTCTTCGATGCCCTGTATTAATTGTCAGCCATCAGCTATAGCAGACGTATGATGGCAGTACGTACCCCCAGAACGTAGCCTTCTTTAACTATCAAGGGTAGCTTCTTCCCGGCTGCTCTCCGTTGGAACAGCTTTCGTGCCAAATCATCTGTTGCTGTGTCTACACCCTTGAAAGGGATCTTGTTCGCTCTCAGAATAGTCTCTATACGCGATGTCGCGGTGATGATGTGCGAGGATCCAGCAGTGAGCGAGGTGAAGAGGTAGATGGTCGGGTCTTTTTCGTAGACGCTGAGTTCGCTCATAACTGCGGTGAAGCTGTGCAAGACAGGGGTAGAGCTCGTTTAGCTGTCGTGACGGAGTGTGGAACGCGAAGTCGACGCAATGGCTAATCAATTAGAACTACATGCACTGATAACGCAAGGTAAGTAACGCTTTATAGGAGTAGATTGAAGTGGTTCAGGATGAGAGCTGTTGCGTGGTCCGTGATGTGGGGCGTGCTGGACCCTGATTCGGAGAGTGATCCATCAACAGCTCCCCACACATTGGAGACTAGATAAAGCGCGCAGACGAATTGATTCAGGTACAAGAGGATTGCGCAGCGACTACAGAGACGAAAACACAACTACAAAAAAGCTCATAGATCACATGCCGCCCCCACTCCAACCAACAATTAATACCAACGCCTTGAGCAACACAGGTATAGTTCAGTTCTTCGCGACGAGGACCGTAGCAAACGCGTCGCGCACCTCGAACTCTTCAAGAACAGCGCCAAAGCTATGCATTGCGTTAGCACAAGTCGGGATAAATATCAGAAGCTCGGCTCACCCGTAGCACCGCACTTTGGCGAGCAGTTCCTCCTTGATGAGCAAGATTTCCTCCTTGGAAAGCTCCCCGAACCTCTCATCCTGCAACATCATGGCCCACGCCATGATCGGTGTAATTTCCCCGTCGAGAGGAAGACGAGCGCTGAGATCCAGCAACTTCATCAGATCTGGCATCGCAATATCCGGCATCTGGTGCGGATACTTGTCCTGCGGGCAGGTCGCAATGTGCGAGTCAGGCGGCGCCGTGGCCATGAGCGCATGTCCACTAATCGTCTCTTCGGCATCGTGGGCGCGTACCATCAGGAATTGCATGTGATCCATGCAGGGACGCTCTAGGCTGGAGGATGCAGTCGTCAGAGGATAGTGTACAAATTGAGGAGACGACGTACAGAGGATAATGGAGAGTGAAGAACGGCGTTATTGGTTGGGCGGAGGAGAAAGATAGGGCGATCGTTCATACGTTAAAACAAAGTCTATCCCGATTTGATCCAAGTCCATCCCCTGTTGCTGAAGACCCAGATGTGACTGGCTCATGCCTTCGTTCGAGTTGGAGGATCCGTGATGCTGTAGACTCGGAGGCGACGTGTAGCCGGTCGACGTTGATCCTGGGCCGTAGCCTGATACACTGCCAGTGGAGCTATCGTACGCAGAAGAAGGAACACCTTGCATCATGGGGCTTGCGAAGTCGAAGGTGATACCGTGAGCCATGAGAAGTTCCTTCAGTCGCCGATTCTCTTCGGCAAAAGCATCTCGTTCTCGTGATGTGTTTGAGAACGTCTCTTTCAAACGCAATACCTCTTGCTCCAAGGCCTTGATGTACATCTCTTTTCGTTCTCGGTGCGTCCTTGAATTGGAGTCAGTACATGCATTCACTACACTCAATGTTGACCTTGCCTTTGTGCTTGACGATTGAGCTCCTGTCGCCGAGTCAAGGCTGGTTTACTGTCTGGCTTGGGCCCTCTTCTTTTCGCTGGCTGACCATCTATGATTGATCAGTAGAGCACGAGTAGTCAACGCCAATCATACGAACCTCTCGTCGTCACCTTCTTCTCCGAGATATTTTTGAAGAACCCAAATTGAGCAAGTGGGCTTCTGGGTTCACTACCTAGACGGGCACTGTTGTTAGCATGCTCGAGCGTGGTATCATGACCCAAATGTCAAAGAGATATGGAGGCCACAGCCATGGGCGATTCGAGATGCATCTTGAAGAAAACGTCGGACGCGGAACCAAGTTGTCATAACAGGTGTACGCAGCGCGTTCGCCGCTGTGTGTTGACCTCGACTAGACGCATCTTGTATATGTAGTATGCTCTGGTCGTCGAGAATACAGGCACAGCGGTGAAGATGGTAGGGAAGAATGGCAAAGTAAAAGAAATCCGTCTTGAATCAAACCATGAAGAAGTAAAACTCTCCACGATGGAAGGAGACGGTATGCACGTACCACTGCCATTCTGGTAGTTCGAATCCTCTAATGAGGGATCCGCCTTGATAGCGGCCATGTTGTGTGAGTGGCGACGACCAATCTCGACCCTCAAGTATCAATGGATTGACTATTTCAGGAGTACCTGAGCCGTGGCTCTGAAGTTGGCACCGCACTGGGAACTGTCAGTCGAGATTCAATTAGTGTGCACGTTCGGAACCCACGAGTCCCGATAGATTGTCGCCTTCCCCGTTGCCGTCGTTGTCGCTGTCGCTGCGGACGGCCAAGGGGTAGAAGCTGAGATGTTGCGTCTGCAATGACGCGATCAGCAATAACTCGCTAGGATGTCCCGGAGATCCCAACAGCCAACACAGGTATAAAAAACAGTGTAGGCAAAGTCGCGGAAGGATGAAGCGGCGCAGGTAAGTAGTGGCTTGAGACGCGAGGTGGACCGGGACGGTGCTTTGGGTAAATAGTAGGTAGTACAACGCGGGTCTGCGGACAAAAGGAAATCTCGGGGCGCTTTCTCATTACACTCACAGTATTCAGTAGGTACGATGGTCGACACACTTAGCGCAACGAGGATCGGCCCTTGGAGAAACGCAATGCACTCATGACATGCACAGCCGCAACTGTAATTATTTGAAATTCACGAACTGAACGTTGAGGCGCGGTACCAGTCGGGGATGATGATCAAGCAACACGATTTGTGGACAAGCCTTGTCGTCTGGTGTGGTGTTGACAAGCGGGCTTGCGGCTCTCTAGGAGAGGTCTGTAGCGGTCTAGATCTTCGAATCTCGACAAGAACGCCACAAGAAATAGGAGGCAGAGAACAAAGGCAACGACGACAATGCAGTGGAACAGTGCATATGCTGGAATGTCTCCCCTATTGTGGTTGGATGTCTGAACAATGGCCAGTGTGGTGCTGACAGTTGCTCGATGCAGTGTTGCGTTCATCAAAAGATTGGCATCGAACTTCCATGTACGCTATGATCAGCGGGCGGCCCCTTCGCAAGATGACGCTCACGTTTGCCGTCTCTCCAATGAAGTGCAGCTTCTTGATGTCTAGACCGTAAGACCGATGTGGCTCATGTATGCCGTAGGTTATGCACATCTCCATCACAGCATGCTAATGCTTGCTCATCACCAGGACTATTGTATGTAATTTTGAATTGCCCTCTATCTCCGGGTTTCGGGATGAGAATCCGCGTCACATGACATCGGTCATACAAGATGCTTATACCGACGTCACGTGATGGGGACCGTCACCCCCTGACTATCTGGCGCCACACATGGATACTCAGGGCTTGTTAGCCAAGATACCCTCAATCTTCTCCATGATCTCTGGTGTCAGCTTCGGCAACAGCTTGATGGCCCCGCAGTTGTCGTGTACTTGCTCTGGCTTTGTAGCACCAAGAATGACCGTGGACACATTCTTGTTCTTCGCAGCCCAAGCCAAAGCGAGTTGTGCCATGGTGCCTCCAAGCTCCTCTGCAATCTTGGTCATCTCTTTAACCTTCTTGATCTTGGTTTTTCCCTCTTCAGTCTTGAGTGCTTCAATATTGCTGCTCATCATGCCCGAATTGTTCGCAAACCGCGAACCTTCGGGAATGCCATCGTTGTACTTCCCAGTTAACATCCCGCTGGCTAAGGGCGACCAGATAGTCGTTGCTAATTGGTGCTTCTCATACAGTGGTGCATATTCCTTCTCGAACCGTTCGCGGTGAAATGCGTTGTACTGCGGTTGTTCGGCGATTGGCGCGATGAGATGGTATTTCTCGGCAATGTCGATCGCCTCCTGGATCTGTTCTGCCGACCATTCAGATGTTCCCCAGTAGTATGCAAGATTCATGTTAATTGTCTGTGTGAAAGCCTCGACAATTTCCTTCATGGATACACTGGTAGATATTAGAAGTATTCGACAACAAGCTTGTCTTTTACATACTCAGGATCATGACGATGAGCGAAGACAATGTCCACGTATGGCGTCTGTAGACGGGCTAGAGAGTCCTTCAAACCCTCGACGATGTGCTTCTTCGACAGACCCCTTTGGACATATCAGCATATGAACAGCATCTAATTCCATAGAAACGTACCTTGTATTTGGCTCCTTCCTCTGAGTGCCAAAGAAGATCTTCGTAGACAACACGAATTCGTCACGCGGCCAAGCCAGCTCCTTCAATGCATTTCCCATCTCCAGCTCGCACTCCCCCGCAGCGTAGGCCTCGGCAGTGTCGTAGAAGTTGATACCATTGTCCCAAGCAGCTTGCATGCAATCCTTGACGATTGAGCCCTCTATTACAGTGTTAGAACGTGTCTAATAACCAATATGTATTTTACTAACTCTGCGTGCCGCCGTAAGTGAGCCATCCACCCAGAGACAGGACAGAGACTTTCAACCCAGCTGGTCCCAAGCGTCGGAACTCCATGTCCTTGGGATCGAACTTGGTTTCAACGGCCGGCATTGTGAAAAGTGTTTTGAGATTTTGAGAAGAGATTGAGAGTGTAGAGAGTGTAGGAAAGAGGAAGACAAGAGAGCAGATATAGAGTAGATATGCTGATAAATAGGCACAGCTGTCATAAAGTTGTAAATGGCGGGGCAGTTCGACGTCATGTTCTTGGTGAGGCCATGCCGTGTTCTCGGTTAAATGGAATACCAGGACCCCAAACTCTTGCAGCAGCCCAACAACTATATCCTAGAGTAGGGTAGGAGTCTTGTGCCTAAATTCCTAGAAGTATACTACTAGCATACACTTTTGTAGGTTTTATTGGTTTAGTTTCGCGGCTTGTAGAAGCCACCAAAAATGCAGCCCCTCGGTTAGTCGGGAAATCAGCAAAAAGTATCCGTAAAAAGCGGCGCAAAGAAAGGTGGAGACAAGCACTACGAGGAAGAAAACGCTGCAGTAACCACAGCCATATATTCAAGATCTAACAAGGTACCATTTCCACAAAAGAACAGACACTTGGGCACTTGATATTAAATGGTAGGTAATGAGCCTCGCACGGGGCAGCTTACTTCCCTCCTGTGGAGAGCTGTGTTACTACGTTTTTACCCCGCAGCCATGGACAGCGCGTGCGATGACAGGTGCATACACATAATTGCCACGGCTAAACATCCCAGCTGAGCTGACCGATGTAAGCAATTCCACATGCGGCATCGTTCGTGAAGTCGCTTTCGCCGTTGTAGGAAGCTTGTTCAACAACGCTGGGTTGGGTGATGCACCGACAGGAGAGCACTGGCCAAAACTCTGCATCTGCGTCGGCCACTGGTAACGAACCGACCTCGGTGCAGAACATGGAACACTGATCCTCACCCTCAGTACAAGCCCACTTGGGATACGCCCGTTGGCTTACTGAAGCTTGACGCGAAGGCGCAGCGTTTCGAAACACGTCGTGCCACAAATTTCATCGGTCCGAAAGCCACACCCAATCATTTGACATAGTCCGAGCCCAGGCTGAGCTGACGATCACCTCTACCAAGCGAGGATAGGCCAGCGATCTTTCTGGAGATGACATCCCCTGAATAAGCGTGGTAGACATTTGGACAGGGCTGTAGAGGATCAGAGTACAAATATAGCTTGCTCACATCGTTACAACGCCCTTTCACAGCCACTTTACGCCCTGCATTCATTAACAGGCTTCACAATCCTTTGGTGAATTTTTCTCTGCTGGTCTGAGAAGTTCCACTATTCTGTCATTCACTTCAATACACTCTCTTACTTATAACTGTCACCCTCTCCGGTATTCTGACCATACAAACGCGCCTCCTCAACCTACATCCAACAAGATCCTCGCCAGCCTTTTTCAACACACACCAAACAAGGACTTCCCAAACAATCAACAACATGCTTTTCAAGCCCTCCGTCCTTCTCGCAGGTGCCTTCGCAGTTAGCGCCCTCGCTCTGCCAACCCCCATCTGCGACGCGGACACTACATCGACGGCTCTCACTGCCGAGATCATTATCGCAGCCTCACCAGCAACTGCCTCTTGCACTGATGCACCATTCCCCGAGGAGTGCGCAGATGCATCTCGCGCCGCGGTTGCCATCAACAAGTCTTTCCAAACGTACGAAATCAATTCAACCGGACAACAGGCAGCACTACTTGCATACATGTTATACGAGTCTGGATTCAAGTACAACAAAAACCACTTCCCCGGCCGACCCGGTCAGGGTACCCGCATGATGGCAATGCCCGCTTACGTCAAGCTGTACGCTACCAGCGTGGTCGGCGAAGAAGCAGTCACTGAGGCTGAGGCTGTTGGAGGAGACGACGGACTGAGGGCCGTGCTTGCGTTGGTGAACAGCGACGACGAGAAGAGCTTCGGTAGCGCAGCCTGGCTCCTGAGCTCGCAGTGCACTCAGGAGGTGAAGGATGGCCTGACAGCTCAGACGGTTGACGGCTGGCACAACTTCTTGACCGAGTGTGTTGGTACTACCGTGGCTGATCGCGATACTCTCTGGCTCTCTGCAAAGCAGGCCATGCTCGGGTAGGACTCTTAAGTCGTGCTTCTTCCCAACCTAGGATAAGGACGTCTTATCGGTGTTTTTGTATTTATTGATGAACGCATTGCATGTCGGAGGAACCTTGCTTATTTTGAAGATCTTATGATACCTTTATAGTTTGCTACATACCAATTCAACAACAGACTTTTACATTGTGTGAGTTCCTCATTGCATCTTTTTGCTAACGTCTCCTCAACTGTGTTGTCATCCTATGAAATTGGCTCTTGCCGCATACATATGAGGTGCAGAATGCTTTCCCATTTGAGCACAGCCAAGACAGCCACAAAGGGTGCACTACAACTGCCCCTCAGCTACCCCCACCATGTTTGCGGTATGCGAAAATGGCACAGGAGACGGGCTTTTCCACGACATACAAGTACGAGCCCTTGCAAACCGGCCGTCATATACGTTTGCTAGAGATCACAGGCAGCACCGAAGCTGGAAGATACGGCACGTCGCAAACCACGTACCAACTCATCCACGCAGAACTGCCTTCCGACGACACACCCTTGCAATTTGAAGCCGTGTCATACACCTGGGGAGATGCTACACAGGTATCTGGACTCCAATTCGAAGGCGTGCCAGGCCATATTGGCCTCACATCAAACTTGACGCATGCCTTACCACACCTGGCCCGTCACTCAGCAACAAAGCGCCTTTGGATCGACCAAATTTGCATCAATCAATCGGACAATGATGAGAAGTCTGCGCAAGTAGGACTGATGTCTGAGATTTACAAGAAGGCTACCCGCACTATCATCTGGCTGGGACCAAGCGACGAGGGTAGCGAGCTGTGCAGAGAATGGCTCGACGCAATCAACCACTTTTTTTCTACTTCGGACAACTGTAGAAGAATGACACCTAGTAATTTGGATTACAATACGGATCGGAGAAACGCCGGTTTACAAAGGGAGCTCAGTGATGCCGACGCCGATCCTAAATATGCGCGTGCAATCGGTCGCTTCTGGAGCCGTATGTGGTTTCGCCGTGGCTGGATAGTGCAGGAATTCTTGCTTCCAAGAGAGATCGTCTGTCTCATGGGGGACCTGCAGTTTGGGTTGCAGGATCTCGTGGATCTAAACAATGTGCCGGAGAACGCGGTGAAGGCGGCTGGGGGCTCGATGAGTTACAAGACTTTGATGCGACTCAAGATCTACCCTTTCAAGGAGGCACAACCTCTTCAGTTTCTCCGCTTCATGGCTAACTTAGCGCGAGAGTTTATCACGAAAGAATTGGGTGACCAATTGTACGCGTTCTTAGGGTTGATGGAGGGTCTGGACTTTGTACCTGATTACAATACCCCTGTGAAGAAGAACTTCACGCGTCTCGCTGTCGCCATGGCAAGGGATTTTGGCTCATTGGATTTCTTATCCCTTTGGTCAGCAAGCCTGGATGATTTACTCGACAGCACGCCCAAAGAGCTAAAGGGATTTCCCTCATGGGTGCCCTCCTTCTCTGCCACGCCGCTGAGTGCTCCATGGAGGTTGGCAGTTGGTGGCGCGAGAACAGCCAGGTATGAAGTCGCGTGGAATGCTTCGGCAGGACGTCCTCATGTTTACGAGCAAACACTCGAAGCTGGACAATTACTAGTCCGTGGCCAGATCATCGACGCTATCGACAGCATCAGCTCGGAAGCCAAAATTACACGTTACTGGGACGTCGATGAAGCTTACCTCACGAGCCTTGTCGAACAGATAAAAAAGGATCTTTCTGGTTTCGATGACTGGACATACTTTGATCTCGTTCAGTTCCTCAACGTCGTATCTTCAAACGGCACCGAGCCACAGGACGCCACCGAGAAACTCCTCGGCGTTGCACTTGATATGATTTCCGACTTAATGAGGAATTCATTAGCTCTATGTCTCGTTATGGGGACCGGACGACGCTTCGCGAGGACTGAGAAAGGTAGAGTAGGACTTGTGCCGTTCATTGGGAGTCAGGCTCGGTCTGCGGATCGAAGGGGCTCAGTGATTGCTGTGCTTCATGGGTGCAGTGTTCCTGTTGTTCTGCACCCCGTTGAGCAGTCCGTCGATGGGAAATTGTCCAAGTACAGGCTGGCGGGCGACTGCTACATCGAAGGCGTCATGCATGGCAAAGCAGTAGATTGGAAGGAGAGTGAGGCAAAGACGTTTGTGTTGGTGTAGGGTGCATATTAAATTTATTATTATAATAAAGTGCGTACACTTTTCAACATTGTTTGTTAGTTGTAGAATGCCACCCTCCTTCCTCCTTGTCCCCAACTCACTTCCCGCTATAGAACGCCGAGTCGGACGTGAAGGCACCAACATCCTCAGACGCCATATTCTCCCCACACTCAGGGCATGAGCATCGTTCCCAGCCTTTAGTAACAATGCAGTTCTCGACCCATGATTCCAGACATTGCAGACAAGTGCTAGGCTCATGCCAGCAGTTTGCGGTAATCCGACGGTTCATGAACTCAGCGTGTGGTTTCGTGGTTTTACATATTATACAGGTCTTTTCGAGAGACGGTGTCCCCCTCCTAGACATACCCACTCGAGGGCTTGTGGGTGTGTCTGATGTGAAATGTGACAGTGTAGCGTTGCTCGTAAACAACGGGGATATACCGCTGCTTCGTTGGGAATGAAGGGAGGCCGGGCGACTCTGGGTGGGCATTGTGACTGGCGATTGAGGTTGGCTTGGAGCCATTGTTATTGATATCGACAGTCCGCTGCTTTTACGCTGATGCAGGGAACTTGGGGGAGTCGGTGGCTCATCCGTCCAGGGTGCAAATGGCGGTGGTAGCGGTGCTTCGAATCGTGGATGTGCCGTCTTGATTGGAGATTGATTTGGTGTTGGGAGGTGCTTAAGGCCGTGAAGGTTGAGGTTACGTGTGGGACTGTCAATCTCTTCATGGTGATGATTGGAGCGATCTTCAGGCGCGTTCATCTGGTGTAGATTGTCAAGATCTACAACGTTTTTCGGGTCTTCTACCGAGATTGAGAATTTCCTTCTGGCCATGTTCTTGAATGTGTTAGGAATGGATGACCATCGCTTCTTCGACTTCTTGTCCGCCTTGGCCTTTTCTTCTACCGCTGCGAAAATGTCTGTGGGGGCTCTCAGAGGCGAAGGGAAGGAAGGCGAGGCAACTTCATCACCCACGGTTTGGTGGGCTGTTGTATGGGTCTCAATTTGCTCGCCGGGCACTACTCTTGGTGCGAACTCGGTTTCTGATTTCGAGAAGACCGGGTAGCTGTTATTCCTAAGACCTCTAGAAGAGGCAATTTTGCCGTTGGGGCGATCGCGGAAATTGACCGTTGCGAGGGACATGGGACGCGGACGTCGCTCGGCCGGCTGTAGGTTACCAAACGGAGATAGACTGTCTCGTCCTGATGAAGGACGAAGGGGCTGGAGAGATACGGGTCGAGCGTTGGTCTTCATTTGACTCGAAGCATCCCATGTCTGATTATGGATAAGTCGCATCGTTGGTCGTGAGTTATCTGACGAGGAGAGGCTATCTTGGTGGAAGTTCGAGTTGTCGGACTGGAAGGATACGGGTCGTCGCAGCTGAGTGTTCGTCGTAGGCCGTAGGGATTGTTGTTCCTGAGGGAGCGGTTTCCTACGTATGGATGCATATGTGTTAGGGTTCGCCTCTGGTTGCGCTTGAGCCACCTCCACCGACTTTAATAACGTTGGAGGATCTGGTTTGGTCCATCGATCGAGTAATTCCGAGTCGGTTTCTTCGCGTTGTTGAGTGGAGTGATTGTCGACCTTTGCCAACTCGATATGCTCCTCCGCGTGTTCCAAGCCTAGAGGGGATGCCTCCAGGTGTTCATACATCGGCCGCTCCAACCATATTGTTGTTTTCGATCTTTCTCGCTGTAATGCTTTGGCCTCTGAATCTGTAATCAAGCTCAACATGCGTTGCGCTTTGGCAGGATCTCGTTTAAGTGGCCGAGGATGCCGGAGCAGAGGGTGGACAGCATCCTGTATCTGACTCTGCGCCACTGATGCCATGTCGACGACCTAGTTAGTCGAAATGTCCACGCGAGAAGTTGATTAAGAGGAATCGAGGAAAAGGAGATGAACTGAGCGGTGCGAAGTGCACGAGCAAATATTAAAGCAGAGGACACGACCAGCCCCTCCCAACGGCGTGAGACAGTATGCCGATCATCAACGGATGGCGGAACATTAGCCGTGCAACCCCAGCCATAAACCGCGTAGCTCGCAGTAGCACCAGCATGCGTTCTCTGTCGAGCCCATGCTCAGAGCGTAAAGACGCGTTAGCTCGCGCTGCACGACATGCGGCCTCGATAATTCGTCGTTGAGTTCGTGATACGAGGCGTACAGTCATGGTGATTGCAGTGCGTACACCGGCCCCACAATAAAGTTTTCCAGAAATAGGATCCCTGGATATTGGTTCGTCTTGGGGCTTGGGTCATGGTGGGCAAAGCGGACCACAGGCCGCGACGTCTGTGGCGATGACGATGGTTGAGAGTTTGTGATCCACCTGCCTTGGGATGTTGTGTTTGTTGTGCACTGCGGTCCTAACCACGCGGTTTGATCGGCGCAAGGTTACAAGCCGAAACACGTCGCCAGCACCGAACTTACCACCGCCAGACGGGAGGCTGAACTCGGCCCGAGGCGATAGCGCGCTGCCGGATAACACGCAGCCAAAAAAGCGCGCTGCTGCGCGTACCCGTTGAGGTTCGATAGCTCAAAACGGCGAAAAGTCTGGCAAAAAGGCAAAAAAGGATAATCTCTCGAGCAGGGAATTGAACCCTGGTCTCCTGCGAGTTGTCTTTCGATGACAAGCAGAAATACTAACCACTATACGACTCGAGATGCGATCGCTTGATGAAGAGGAGGCTTTGTTATTCAAATATATACTCACTACTGACAGGATGGAAGGTGGAATGCGACATGACACGTACGTTCATCGGAAGCCCAATCTGTTGGCTCGCCCCGCTAGGATGCTTATGAAAGAGCAGAACAGCCACTCTTCTCTCGGTCAATCGAATTACCAGGAACCCGAATGCAGCGAAGTTTCGCAACAAGTTGACAACTACATGTGAGAATAGCGTAAGAGTCGTATGTCTAGATTCCTTGCGGTCTACGCCTAGCATGCTTGCAAGAGCAACAAGGAACGCAGGTTACTTCCTGCTTTTGCACTTGACCGAGAGACCACAACAGGATCAGGCAGTACCTGGACGCCAACATCTAAGATTAGTATATGAGTCTTGTGCCCAAGTTCCAAGCAGTATACGCCTTGTGTGCATTTTTGCGAATCGTATCAGTGTGGTTTTGCAACTTGTAGGAGCCACAAAGAATGCAGCTTGCTTCCTGTGTTCACTCTCAACGACAGCTACTATAACATGTTCATAGTATGAGTTTAGTGTTGTATGGTGTGTCAGGTGAGAGAGCTAGCTAGATGGCTCATGCCTTATGTACATGCTAAGACCGGAGACAATGCATAGGTAACACCTCGCAGCCACGTACCAACATAATCCATCATTCCGAGATGCCTGTGTTGGCCTGTGTATTGTACCATGTTAGATACTGCGCCTACATCTCCACTGCACGCTAATTTTGCCAGTGACCACAGTAAAGTACAGCTTGCTTCATTCATCATCCTCTGAAGCCTTCGAAGTCCAGTCCATACCTAAGATGCTTGCACGAGATGAGCTAGAGGCTCCATGTTTCCCAATTAACTTCAGACATATAGTTGGGATATTATTGCTTGTTTGGACGATAACCTTACTTCTAGCTTTCAGCGCGACGCTAACTCATCCTCATCCTTAGCCACAGCGAGTGACGCTCCGTCTTCCAACTCAGCCGCACCTTCATCCTTATCTTCGTCTTCGTCTTCGTCTTCGTCTTCCTCGCCACTCATGTCAGAGTTGCTCGTTTCGTCGTCAACCAATATGGCCATGTCTTCCTGTCTGAACTTGTTCAACGTGTCTAACTCGGCGCGCAAATCTTGTAGTGTCTCGAGTGAGTTTGTGTCCTGTTTTCGATTTGCTTCGCGGAAACTCGTGATGTATGCCTGCTCTGCCGCAAGTCTCCAGACATCGGCATCATCCCAATTGTCGAGAGCGCTAGCAAGAAGAATGCAGTTTTTAATAACGTAGTAAGGAGGAAGAGTGATGTCCCTAGGAATGTCATGTAAGTCGTCATCGCAATTATTAAGCAATATCGCTAACACTTACGACAAGTTGAACTTCGTCACTACAATGCACTTTTCCATATCGCCGTTCTCGAAGTCTTTTAGCGCATCCAGGTATCGCCTACGGTAGGGCTTTGCAGGTGGATCTGGATCTGACATTGTCGCGTGTGTCTGTCGTTGTGTGGATGGAAAGAGTTGGAGAAATAGAGAATATCATGGGAACGGTCGAAAGGAAGATACGTCCAAGTTGTGTGCCAAGCATTGCGTTTGCACCGACAGTGGCGTGAAAACAGGTAAAAGCACAGGTGTAAACACAGGTGAAGGTACAGGTGAAGGCATAGGTGAAGGCATAGGTGAAGGCATAGATGAAAATACCGGTCCTCAGGTACGCTCCGCATTCCAGATGCATAGTCTGAGGTGTGGTTAAGTCCATAATAGCATGACTACTCTACGGTGCAGCACTTGAGTGCACACTTCGGCTCAACCCCCTAATCAGCCTTCCGGTGACGACGAGTTTCGACCAGACGAGGCTGCTTCCGGTGCTGAAAACGACGTTGATGCATTCTCACCCGACGACGAGGTCAAATGCAGCACGAAGAAGCTCACCAGGCCTAAGAAGACACGGGCAACCCGCAAGAAGGTGTGACGACTGCAGGCAGATCAAATCCCACGGGCAGACACAGTTCCCTTGGGCCAAGGCGCTTTGCTGCATACACCTGCCCTCAATGAATTGCGACATACTCCATCCGCTCAAACGACAGGTCTCAACAGATGGATCTGCGTGCGTGGTGAGCTCAAGGTGACAGAAACAATTTCATCTGCCAAATTTGAAGTCCACTCCCTGACACCTCTGGGTGACATATCGGACATGTCGCGCCGCGACTTCAAGTTCGATGATAATAGCGCGGACCTGGACATCACTTGGACCCATCCGAAAGTGAGGAAACATCAGCCAGGAAGCTGGATGCACATATATAAGACAGCCACTTCCCCAATGAGATCGAACACTTGCCCTCTACATCTGACTTTGAAATGACAGAAACCCTTGAGCTCATGTCCTTGCGCTGCTCGGGAACCGAGTTTGACTTCCGCAGCATTCGCTATGTCTTTCGGTATTCGGCAAGAGGGGCGCCTGGTGAGTATGTTTTCAGCACAGCGCTGAACAACACGATAACTGGGAGGATTAAGACCATTATTCATAACAGAACACTCCCTATCTTTACCACAGAGCCCCTATTTACACATTCGGGCGCATCATCCAAAAGACGGATCACGCTAGGATCGGACGACACTGCCTTCACAAAAAAGAACACAGATGGTCTCCCTATCGACCCATATTAGTGGGGGTTCAAGTGCCTTTTGATATATCTATGACAGGGGTAGAGAAACAAGCAACGCCGAGACGCAGGCACTGTCGAGCTTAAATTGTGGTACCCAGAGTAAGTTTGACCAGTTCGCCACCTTTGCACTACAGAAGCTTGCTGGACCATCTGTATGGATGGTAGCAAACTGCTAAGGATCTTGCAATAGCTGGACAACTACATGGAAGATTCAAGTAGAATCTGTGTCCCTTGAGAATTATCAGTATACGTCTGTAGCAACTAAACTCGTTGTTGAGCTGCGTGATTTGCCTAAGAAATATGGCTTAATTTCAGATGTTTCGACTCATTGAGAGTCCAGATATCACAGCAGGCATCTTCTCCTGACTAGTCACGCTGTCTATGAAGACCTTAACCCAGATGCTTCAAACGCGTACTAGACACAACACGGTCTGAATTCCCTGACACACACAACAAAGGGTATCACTTTCGTAGAACATCACAGCACCGAGCTTGAGAGCAGTGGGGATATCGCATCTTGATACTCGAGCACTCACTAACAACACACTCTCTAATATTTGCAAGCCAGTCATGACTTTACAGGAACCTTGTCCGACAGCTTTCCTTCCTCCGACAAGCTACCTCGATCTTTGAGGCTCGATTCATCTCCCACACCCATCACGACGTTGCCCTCGCGTCCGAGCATCATATGGTCGATATTGACCTTGGGACCCTTGAACCATTTGCGCGCACTGACAACCCACCAGATCATGATGAGAGTCATGGGGCCACCGTAGACAACGCAAGTCCAGTTCATATCGGCCGCACTGATATTGCGTTAGTTTTGCTATCGCGAGGAAAGGTATGATTATGTTTCATTTTGGTGAGGACTTACGTCAATTCGCTGCCAGTGATGGTGGGCAGGCATAGTACAGGGATCATGAGAATGACGAAAGCAGACGCAACGATGCCGGTAGGAATCGAGAACTTGCCCAGATTCCAAGGCCCGGGGCGGAACCTGTTTCCTACGAAGAAGACGCGGATGAAAATGGGTGTCGTGAAAGCACTATATTTGTCTGTCAGCATCCACAACGAGGAGGTCGGATCGAATACTCACACAAAAGCAGCAATCGCTCCAATACTGAACAACGCTCCGACAGCCAATTCACCTCCGAACATTAGCAGAAGTAAGATTATTCCCACCCCACAATTCAGCCACACAGCATTTACTGGTGTCTTTGTGATTGGATTGACTTGTTTCCAGAATTTGCTGAGCGGGAAGCAGTCGTCACGCGCGTACGCAAACGTAACCCTACTCGCTGCAATCATGCAACCCTGCCCCATCGAGAAGCCTGCGATGATCGTCATCGCAAGAATCGCCAGCGTCAACTTCTGGGACATGCACTGCATCAGATACGCAGCGAACGGCTGTCCAAGATCGGACGCGAGAACCTCGTCGATATCGACAACGGTGTAAGCGACAACGAGCTGCAGGAACCAGCCGAAGAGACCGCCAGTCGCAGAAGTCAGGACAATAGCGCGTGGAGCCGCAATGCTAGCGTTTGAGCACTCTTCCGCAAGGTGGAAGGGGCTGTCGTAGCCGCTCATTGTCCAGATCACGCTGATGAAGGACATCAAGACTGATATGCCAGCTGGGAAGGAAGTCCCTTCGTAGATCGAACCCCAAACAACAGAAGAGTCTTCAAAACGAGGAAGGCCGCGAGATTGGCGATCGGTACCAGCAGGGATCATGATGATAACTATGATCAAGGCGATGAAGTTGAACGTCGAGCCGCCAGAATTGATCTTCGCCAGCCATCTTGTCGGCAAAGAGGACATGACGGAATGGATGATCATAAGAAAGACGGTCACCAGGAAGGTTTGCCAGGTCGAGGGAATGTAGTCTGGGTTATTGATCGACGCAGCAGCGAGAATCATAGAAGCGACTCCGTAGTTGACTGATCCCCATTGTCAGCTCTGTGTATCTGTTAAAGAATCTGCTATGTACTGACCAGATGGTGCTCCACTTATTTGAGCGAACCAGTTGCTCCATCCTGTAATCCATGCAGCGAATGGTCCCCAACCAGGGGGTGCCAGGACCGCTGAGGCGTAGTAGAGTCCTCCGCTGGTAGGCATAGAGCTGCAAATCTCTGCCATACTACAAGCCACTGATTGGATTCCGATCATGGCAATTAGCCATCCCCATGTCATGCCTTTTCAAGTCAGCCCTCGCTTAGCCTCTCCATCTTCTCGTATGCACGGCGTAAGCCATTCTGGACCGTTAATTCTCCCACCAGATCCTAAACATGTCCTAAAAGAATCACAAAACATACCGGCGGTACCTGCATAACCTGCTAGAGTGTTAGTAACAGCTCACATAGTAATTTCATCATATAACTCACCAAGACCATAGTACATCGTCGAGGCGAAGCTCGGCAACAGCCCCAAAACGGCAAAACTGACACAAAAGGTCGTGAAAAGGCTGAACTCTCTTTTGAACTCGCTCTTATACCCCAACGCAGCCAGCGCCTCATCATCAGCGCTGAACTCATGCGTAGGATCGTACGGCACGTCCCCGTCAGGTAACACGCTCGTGACAGGTTCCTCGGCAACGGAGCGCCTCTTCGTGGGTGAGGGCGCCATGCTCGCAGTGGTTTGTCGTGCCGCCACAGTAACAGATAATCGCAGAATAAACACGAATCACAAACACCTTATCTCGGCTGTAGAAAGTCAAGCATAAATCATAGCGTGCGATATCGTGGACTGCATAGCTGAACGCGCGTATATATACCTGCGACGCAACGTCAAGCGACGTTTCTAGCCCAAGCCATATCGGATAGCCATAAGCGGGGAACGGCGCGACATCGTGGGACTTAAATCACTCGGGCAGACCGTTGATAGGCTTATTGGCAGCGAATGGTGGCGGCTCTCGCTATCTGATAATCGGTGGAGGGGGATAGTTCGCCTAGGATGCTTAGCACGATAGCGCGCGCAGGATTAGGAGAGATGATGGTGGTGGCTGGGGTTCTTGTCGAGCACGGTAGAAAGGTGGCACGTGCCAGATACCACGATAAAGAAGTACCCTATGGAGCAATGGCAAGTGTGTAGTCTTCTCGCTCAAGCAAAGCAAAGCATTCGCGACTTTCAGCATAAATCGTTTCTAGCATCTTGAAATCGAAATGTCTCCATACTCGACGCTAAGCTTTAACCCCAGACAAATCCCTCCGCGACGGCTGAACCTGCCTTAACGGGCAAGCGCTATCTGGATACCATGCCTCTACCCGTGGGGTTGCATGCTCGGGAACCACAAACGGGCAACGGACACAGACTGGTGACTGTGTGCCAAGCCGTCCATGAATTAGGAGGTGTCTCGAAAGTTTCCCATACACGTGTAGAAATCGTAAGAGCTTCCACAAGATGCAATTGAAGAGTGCATTGAAGGGGTATCTCAATAGTAGGTCGTATTTGCAGCATAGTCACTCTTAGTACCAGGGAACGCACCAACAGGAGCGTTCCTCTCATCTTCGGCACCACTGTCATCTTCTTCCCCTTGAAATGCCTCACTGGGGTCCGGAGGCGCCCTCATACGAACGAGCGAGTCTTCGTCGAGCGCTGGTACAATGAACATTTTCGGCGAATGATACTCTCTGCCTGAAGGCATGCTTGCTAGTAGGGGCTCTGATGGTGGAATAAGCTGGACGCCAACCTAGATGTTGTGAGTATACGCCATGCACAAGTCGGCAGAAATGCACTCACTGTATCGTTCATCTTCTCCCACTTCTTCAACAGCATGTCCACCACCCGTCCTTCCTCGAACTTCCCCGCGTCGGCCCCCCAACCCTCACCTTTCTCGATCTTGCGATCCTCCCTCTTCTCCTGCCATTCCTTTTTTAATTTGGAAAAGCCAGACGATTTCTTCTCTTCCTCAGCGCCGACTGCTATGAACCCTAACTCTTTCCTCGCGCCCCGAAGCCATGCGATACCCTCTCCCGTTTTCCCACTGGACTCGGCATCACAGGCTAAGAACCGACATGCTTTACCCTTCGCTGCTCGCCTCATATCATCGACGTATTTGTGTAGGTCGTCGTTGATCTTTGAGGATCGACCGAGCATGGCTTGGGCTTTGGCTGCATGTTCGGAGGAAGCAAGGCATAGGCGCGCGAAGAGATGCGCTCGGACTTTGGGTATCTCTACACTTCTGAACATCCAGTCCACGTTTGACTTGTTCCTGTCTTCAATCACTATAGTTGGGTATGGGTCGTCTTTCAACACTGTGATAAGCGTAGCTTCAGCTATCGTGAGCTCGGCCAATGCACCCATGACAGACACCGATATGTCCACTGCTGTAGGTTGTGCGTTCCACTGTCCTGCACGATTGACCAAGTATGTATGTACCGAGTTTGCTTCGAGGAAGTGTTTCATAGCAGCCCCGATTGCTGTCGCGCGCTGTTCAGGCGATGGAAGTGTCGCATTATAGAGTATGTGTAACTGTGCTCGAGCCTGGAGATTATAGACATACGCCAGAGTCGTCAGAGTAAAGCATAGCTCACTCTCAAGGCTTTTGAGCTTGGTTCGTGTGGGCTCACGACCAGGTATCGAAGCACTGAGAGTAGAGCGCCATTCTACCTCCAGCTCTTTGATCAAGACAAGGTCAATCTCCTCGCCTGCACAGTTTGAACCGCTCAGCCCAGCATCCAGCGCAAACAAGTATGGTATATAATCGTTGAGAGCGGACAGTACGGTTGAGAGGTTCGAAGCTTGAGAGGAAGGCGGGATGCGCTTGTGTCGCTTCAAGACGTCACGCAGCACGTTTCGCGCAGTTGTCGCACAGTTGGGCAGGGAAGGATGTGTGCTGCTGCTAAAGAAATGGGTGTATGAAATGCTTGAAGTAGTTGGGAGCACGAATGGAAAGGGCATCTTGTGAAGTGTCGAGTGAAGTAACCTGTTGTTCATGCAGGTACACAGCTGTGGTGGGGTATGAAACGCTAGGCTCGGCCGCATGACATGGCCATTGTCAATGTGTTATGGTAATCAAGTAACGCTTGTAAACTTCGATTAAGATGGCATGTTAGTGAGAAATGGAACAAAACTAAACTTTACCATGCCAGATGTGCACTGTTACAAGGGCAAATAATGCTTGTCCATCCTCTTTTTGGCTGGTATATGTACAGAATTGCCGCTGTGGAAGGACATACATGGTTTTCTCGAAGTCAAACCAGTCAAAACGCCTAAAGTTGCATCGTCCACATAACCCGTGTGCTGGCGTTGTCTCTCGCATATCGTGCATCCCGTCCCGTCCTTTACCACCAGGCTTCCGGAATATCCACAACCCCCTGTGACATGTCCTACTGCTTCTTGAACGCATCGTCAAGGTAGTTTTGCTGCGCGAAGAGGTAACCCTTGACTTTGGAATCCTTCAGCAGCTCGAAGTAGCGCTCTGTAAGGCATTCGTTAGCCCTGTCACTTATCCATCCCACATGCCTCGATGCAGTCCAAATGTTCTGTATACAGCCCAAAACTGGGTACAAAAAGCGGGAGAGCATTGTACAGTAATTCTAGAAAATGGACATACCTCTCAGATGTCCACACTTCTCCAAATGATTGACACCCTCCCTGCGATAGCACTTGCCCATCTCCTCCCTGACCAACCGCGCCATCATGCTCCTGACCCACTGCTCGCGAATGATAGCATCCTGTGCAGCCTTGAGCGCCTGGTTGTCCTCGTAGTCGACGCCCTCAAAGGTCGGCGCGACCTTGGGCTTTTTAGCCAGGAACATCTCGGACTCGGGAGTCGGCATTGTGGCGGCGGATATGTATGCGGTCGGAGAGGTGTATCAGAGCTCCGGAGAGGTTACGTGCGTGGTGCGGCGGTCAATTGGCGGCGTGGGAGTTGCGGAGCTTGTGGTGGTGAGGGCAAGCTCAAGATCGCGGATGATTAGCCTCACGTGACAGTACAACTACCCACCACCACCGAAGTCGTTCATCCTCACTCACATCCCACCACCCATTATTCATTTTCCTACAGCACTTTTCAGAACCCCCCTCTCCCAGTACCCAGTTTTCCCAATCTCCCCTCTCCAACCCAAACCCCAAGCGCCCGCAGCCTCCCCTCCCTCTCACCCGCACACCCAACACACCCCCCCTCAACCTTAACCGTACAAAACGGATGCACCCGCCCATGCCCACACGCAAATCTGCCTTCCCTCCTGCCCATGCTTCTCCCCAGATTTGCAGGCGTAAAAGACCGCTGTGTCGCTCCAAAGTTAAGATCCTCATAAAGTATAAACTCGGGATATTGCAGTGCTAAACTCACTCTTGGCCTTTTCGCTTCTACCACTTCTTCTTCTTCTTCTTCTTCTTCTTCTTCTTCTTCTTCTTCTTCTTCTTCTTCTTCTTCTTCTTCTTTGTTGTCTCTATCTTCGTGGGTCTCTCCTGCTTTGGCACAAAACCCCACCGGCGTTGATGAGAGGACAGAATGCCCGCAGCCCATGAATATGGAGAGTCGGTAGTAGCACATTTTGGCCTCGTCACGTTGGGGGTAGGTAAGTTCGTTGGAGTATGTGGGAATATCGGCCGACACAGTACTGCATCTTTCATCAAGGTATAGGGCAAATCCTGGCAAGTTTGTCTCTTTGTGCGCTGCATAGAATGGAATGACATGGTCGCTTTGTGTGCGAGACAAAGACAAGCGTTCAAGGCACGTTTGTGCAGTTACATTACCTCGAATAGTTTCCAATTAGTTTGCACATGAAGAGTAGGGTGAGAAAACCACGTTGTTGTAGTTATGTAGGCTTGATTGCGAGTATGGACACTTGTTTGCTGGTAACTAAATCAAAGCATGGTGAAGTTCTTTCGGTCTCAAGACAGCGTATATATATTGCATGACTACTTGAATTACCAACGAGCTCTAAATCGGCTCAGTTAGAGTGACTCTCACGCTTATATTGCGAGTGATCTCAGCAACCGCGAGATCTGATAGTGTACAAAATGTACACAAACTTAAGTCTATGATTGTGCTTGGGTTTCTTCACACATCACTTTAACAACATTCAGATATAGCTTTGTATAGCTTGCGTTCAAGCACAAACTCAATGCATTCGTAACTCCGCTCTGAAGACGAAGACTATAGTATACAATCGATGCGCCATGACCCATGAACAATACTCGCTGAACTTCAAGATCCAAGGATATACAATCACCCTCGACGAACACCGTTTTTCCTCACGTTTTGCCCGCACGTTCGATGCGCGACGAACATCTACGAGACAGTGGAGCGTGTAGTGCGCTTGTTGGCCTCAGCCTGAGCCTGAGCATGCTCGGCTCCAACGGCAACAGCCTCCGCAACCTGGTTCTTAGCGTCCACAGAAGCCTTCTTCGCCTTCTCTGCCTTAGCCTTGACCTGCTCCTTGGAGGGAGCGGCGCCAGAGCCAACGAGAGCAGAGATGAGAAGAGCAAGAATGGTGACGGCGAGGGCACCAAGACCACCAGCAACCTCAGGAACGGCCTTGATAGCCTCAACGGGATCACGCCTGGCAATCTCAGTGAAGAGCAAGACCTTCTCCTTGACGTAGGTAACGGGGTCGTCCTTGAAGGCAAGGTCCTGGAGCGACTTGGGGGTATCCTTGGGCTTGGGCATGTTGGCCGCCTCGTCGGCCTTCTCTGCGGTGTGCTTGGGGACGAAAGACTCGAGCCTGAGCTTCTCAGCATCCTCAACGGAGTGGCCGATGTAGATGTTGTCGAAGAGGATGTCGTTTTGCATGGACCAGAGTTCGAAACCAATCTACAATCAATTAGAACACGTATAATAAAGAATTTGCAGGAGAAGACTTACAGCGCCGATGGGCTCGAAGTTGGCTGGTGTCTTGTCCTCGAAGTAGTTGGGGTTGGCGATCTTGCGAGGAGCCCAGACACCCTTGTAGAGTGGGTTATCGATGAAGGGAGCGGTCCACTTGCCCTTGTAGGCAGGGTTCTTGGTCATTGGAGCCTCCCACTTGCCGCAGCCAGCGGCCTCGTCGCACTTGGGGTTGGGGACCGTAGGGGGAATCCAGTCACCATCCTCCTCGTCATCCCAGTCCTCTGGCTTCTCAGCCTCAGGGTCGGGAATCGTGGTGGGCTCATCCTCGAGCCAGTCTGCGGGCATCTCAGCCTCGGTGTCGACAATCTCGAATGGCGCGTCATCGTCCCAGTCCTCGGGCTTGGAAGCCTCTGGGTCAGCGATACGGGCCTCGTCAACCCATTCCTCGGGCTTCTTGTCCTCAGCGTCGTCGATCTCCGCCTCGGGGTTGACCGAAGGAGTGAAGTCCTCAAGGAGGGTGCCGTTGCGGGTGGACTCGCCGTCAATCTTGATCTCGAAGCTCTGGTCAGGCCTGACGACCAGGGTGTAGAGGGTCGACGTCTTGACGATGCGGGCCGTAGGAGGGGTGTTGAGGTGCTTCTCCTCGTACTCGCCAGTCTTGGGGTTCTTGTGGCGGAAGATGAAGTGGACCTGCAATAGTCAGCTTGAGTAGGATCCGATATGTGCATGCGTCATACCTTGTTCGTGGCACCGCACTTGTCAGGGCCGAACATGATCACGTAGGGAGAGCTGTTGGCGAACTCCTCCGCGTGAAGACCGGCATTGTTCTGGAGGAGCTTCATGTAAGCACCGCCGCACTCCAAACCATCTGAAAAGCGGTTAGCAGATACTCAATGATACTAAATGCGTCGCAATTGACTTACTCTGGAGCTTGACCTCGTACTGAACAACAAGGGTGTTGTCCGTGTTGTCGACGGCCTTGGCAAACTTGGACGAGATGGCGTGGTGGGCAGCCTTGTCCTTGATGACCAGTCCCTTGTCGCCCTCAATGCCCTTCAGGACAGAAGGCTCCTCAACGGACCAGGTGCCAACGTATGCCCACTCCTCATCGTCGCCCTTGGTGTCTTTCTTGGCCGAGGAAGGCTTCCACCGGCTCTCCCAGTCGTCTGTGAACTGCTCGAGGAAGGGAGCTTTTAATGTGGTAGGCTGGACGCAATTGTCAGCAAGGACTCGCACCTACGCAATTGGCGAGACACTTACAGTAAAGGTAGGCTTTGAGACAGAGACGGAGGATGGAGCGGCCTCGGCCTCTTCTTGTGCATGCGCAATGGCGGCAGCGAACACTGCTGTGGCACCGACTGTGAATCGCATCTTGCCTGCTGTCTAGGGTATAGCAGAGGACTTGTAAAAGGTTGCTGTAGGTAGGTTGAGAGGATGATGGCGCAAGCTAAAGTTGGGGCGTGTCGCTTGATAAATAAATGCGGGTGGAAGCTGCAATCGTGTCAACTTCCGTTCACAGCCAAGGTGCAGCGAATGAAAGCCGAGCACCCCTGCCATTTCGCTCCGCACTCCGACCGCAGCTTCCTGGCACCGAACCTTGAGGAACGGCTTCACTTGACCTGACAGCTGTCCTTTCTTTTTCACCGAGAGGCCCTCGAGGTGAAGCAAGCATAGTCCATGTCCAACTGAAACTCACCATCCTGCTCGCCCAATTCGACCAGCCGAGTCCACTTGTTGGCGAAAATTAGACAACATGAACGTAAACATGAGCCGTTGTTGGGAAGGGTCGCAGAGATGGCGAACCATGTACGTCAAGCTGTCACACCTGTGCCAACCCACCAGACAGCTTCCCAAGTCGTGCCCAGTGCTCCATGTTCACACCAATCCACTTGATCTCGCACAACGGAATTGCAACTCACAAACGTATGTATTATCAATTGTAGAATAGAACTATATCCATAGTCCCACCAGTGCAAATGCAAATAAGACTTCAATGGGAATGTCCTCCCTGAACACCACCGCCAGAACCCAACCGTGACGCAAAAAACCAATGTGTGCATATTCCGTGCCCAAACCCAATTTCCTACCATCTTACAGCCGAGCCGGTAACGCCTATCGCTAACAATGAGTCCCTAGTTTCGCCAACCAACATTCCATATCACATGTGCTATGTCCCGTGCAGTATTGACCGTGTCCACTACTCGTCCCATGATCCCAGGCGGTTGGAGCTCGTCTTCGTTTTCTTCAAATGGCATGAACATACCGGACGCTGTTCTTCGTAGTCCGCCAGCTTCCTCCCCTGTTGTGAGCAGGTGGTCGGATCGCTGTGAGTGAGGATCCGAGGCCGTTGGGGTGATGGGTCGCTTTACATCGTATATCCCAGAGGGGTTGAAGTAGTCATCTTTCTCATCATCGTCGTCATCATCGTCGCAATCGGAGAGTAGGAAGTTTCTTGAAGGGCTCGAGGGCTTCAGCGTCTCCTGCGACGGCGAGGGTGATAACCGACTCGAGCGCCAAAACCCTAGAGAATGAGACTGTGGCTGTTCAGTCACGTCTGGCGAGTCTGTTTTATATTTTAAAGTAGTCGAGGGGAGTTTGGCGATAGTCTTGTTGTCGCCAGTGACGCTGATTTTCGAGCTTGTCCGCGACAAGGGACGCCTCTTACGTGCACGCTTCATCATGACCACGCCCTCGTCAGACGATGAATCCTCGTCGTGCTTTGCCCAGGGGTTGTGGTTGAGATCCTCCTCCTCGTCATCCGCATCCTTGCATTCGACAGCGATGCATTGTTCGACATTGTCGTCGAAACGAATATGCTTCTTTTCGCCCTGATCCGGCGTTTCTAGTCCAGAGGTTGGTTGCGAAGAGAAGTAGTCAGTAGGCTCTCGACTCAATGTCCGTGACATTGTCGAGGATGTTGGGAAGTCAAATGTCGGTCCAGGGATAATCATTCGGGGTTTCCTTCGCTCTAGGGTGGCGCCGATTCTCTGTTGCGATTGCACCGACTCTGCCGCCTGTTGAATCAACGATGAGGTGGATATAGACCTCTGCAGCATGGCTTCGGACATGCTGCGTTTCTTGAGAATTGGCTTCTTGACGCCATTGACAAAAGAGCTGCTCTTCGACAACCGACTGGCGGTTCCCGAGTTCTGTTGTGAGCAGAATCGATTGGATGCGGGTTGCATAGGTCCATACAGCCAAGTCACATCCACATCTTTGAGCCTGGGGTCGTGTTAGCTTCATGTGACATGAACTCGGCAGTTGCGCATACGACGCGCACATATGGTAGGGCGCCGAACAGAACGAAGTCTGAACTTACCAATTCAATGTTTCGGGCGAGACTGTTTTTAGCTTAAACTGAGCCTTGGCCCATGTTCTCCAGCTAGCATTCTCGAGCCTCGATCGCTCGCCATATACGTTCCGGTGTTCCACAATGTGCCGCCACGACGACCAGATGTCTTCCTCCCTCCAGTCGTACGAGAGGTAGTCTACGTGATGTGATGGTTCTTTTCGCACTGCTGTGTCGTCCTCTGATACTTGCAGCGGGTCTGGGGTGGATAAGGGGGTGTTGGAAGAATGGCCGTCCGTAGGCGAGGACGGGGGCAAAGCCAGTGTGAGGGCATGTTCCTGCTTGGCAATTGGAGGCGGTATGACCACTGTATCGACCGTCTTTTTGTATTGCCCTGCGGTACTGTATTGCGGGAAGGCCAGCTCTTCGTCCTCGCTGCTTGAGTCATCTGACTTGGTGTTCAGGGAGAGGCTGCTTGAGGGCGTGGAACGCAGCGACGACGATGTGCGGGATGAGCTCAGCGAGGGCGAGCGCAGGTCTGGCAGCGAGTACTGGTTCCTGCGGGGAAGGGAGAAGGCGTCGAGATTCAGGTTGGTCGAAGAAGGGGAGCGGGTTGGCATGTTATGGAAGGGCGAGCCCTCTGTGCGCGTGGACATGACCTCGGCCATTGTCGAGTGTGAGGACTCAATGCCTCAGTAGCAGTCACACGGAGAGGCCGGCGGCGGTGTCCTGCTTCAGAACTCCCTCCACAGATCTGTCTCGGGTGCTCGGTCTCGACATGCGTCCCGCGGGCGTCCTGGTCAGGTAGTATCGTGGGATGCGAGACGGGGGACGTGGGGGTTCGTGGTGGACGTTCAATGCGCGAGCGTGGTGGGCGAAATGCACGGCAAGAGGGTGCTGGATGCAGCGACGGGTGTCGAGAGACGTGGACGGGAAAAGCGAGATGTGCAGAGTGCGTTCAAGGAGTAGTAGAAAAGCTTCGAGGCCCCGGTCACTAGCTAACTGCAAAAGTTGGACGCAGGCTAGCTGCATGTGTAAAAGTCGCCCCCCGCATCATCGCCCATATGCCGTGAACGGCGTGGCCACTAAGCTTGGAAGACTTTAGGACTCGATGCTATCCTTTGGTGCGTTGCTCCGTGGCTGGACTGCGATACAACCACTTCGATAAGCTGCTGGCGACCTCCGGCGCCTCTGCTGCCCCGCTGTTCTTCCTTGTTCGCATCGCAGAGATCCTCCCAACCGGCTGCTGCCCTTGTCAACGGGGCCCCAACCGCAGCTGCGCGCCCGTTTCCTGACAAAAGCTAAGGCTTGGTGTAGAGCCGACTGCAGGCAATCCCTGTTCGGCTGATCGGCATGCATGGCTCAACAGACGCACCCTAGAGCAGCCTAGACCCCCATGCTGGTAGCCCTTGGGCGTGGCTTGGGTTCTCGCATCTCACTCACGAGACTGCCTTCCGCGGATCCACGACTGCTCGCCCACCTCCTTTTTGGGTCAGGGGAAGACGCACATTCGTCGGCGACCGTTGCGGGGAAGGGCGCAGCCAGCCACAACTCGAATCGGTTTTGTATTCTGACCTTCAGTCTTGGTGGACGAGCAGGAGAAGATGACATCTTACGACCTTTGCAAGGTGCACGTGTTGTGATTACACCACACCCTGTGCAACCCCATTCGCTCCCTGTCTGCGGTGCTGCAAGATACGGTAGGTGCACAACCTAGCTTCTCAACACCAAACATCATCCACTTGGAGCATGACGAGAGCCACTGCGGCCTCCATATGCACTCCTCGAACACCTGCTCCCGCAGCATCAGGCTCGCTGCATTGGTGAACATGTGGGGACGACGTCTCATCGCTTGATGAAATGCTCCACCGGTGACGAATGTGTTACCTTAGCGATGCATCGAATTCACTTCAACAAACACCAAGCCAGGATGTGTTTAGATGAACAGTCGTGGAACATGGAGTAGCTGCTATCGGCGGAGCCACCGCGAATCTTATCCATTGTGCCATCACCTACCTTTCTCTATCTCTAGCCTGTACATTGCATCTGGCCAACGATACTTTGCATGAAGACTACACTAGAACAGATCACGCGTGGCTTGAGCAGCAGAAGAGTAGGTTCAACGATAACGTTACTCGTCGCGACGCGTCTTAACAGTAGATGTTATGATTTGCGCAATCTACTCCCCCGCAACCCTCCCGACGCCCTCCAACGCCTTAACGCCATCAACGCCTTCAACGTCTTTCAACGTTCTCAACAGATACCGAGACATGACGCTGCTAAGCGCCGCGTCGGCATGCCGGCTATGAGCTCACGAGAGGCAGTCTCTCCAACCGACCCCTTAAATCATCTTGCTGTACAGCGCTGTTGCCTTGGCACCTCCGCGTCCGCGACCCCAGGTTTTGTTTAGTGATGCTTCTCGTCTAAACCCGCAAAGCGTCACACCGCTGTATTTAGTCCATTGATCAACACGCGCGTGGCTTGTCGATGGACCACGGACGACCGATCGATTGCCAAGACGAAACCATGCTCACGTCGAGTTTCTCCCTGATGATCGTGAATTTGTCCAACTCACGCTTTGTCATCGAGTGTAACTCACAACAACCGGTGTCGTTGTGGTCGCCACTGTAGGTGTGGAAAAAACAATTGCAGAGCTAGTTCCATGACAGGCCGATGCGCGCATTCGGGCTTTGCGGAGGCCGAGATCATTCTGTGCTGTCATAATTAATTTTGTTATTTGAATTTTGACAAACTCACTCAATAACTTCTCGCTGCCCTTGTTGTGGCCTTTCATTTCTGCTTCGTCTTCTATCTGCTAACAGCGCGAAATGACGCAGACTGATGACACTGCGGTTTCGTGGAGGCAAACTGAATCAACCCTCGCCCCGATCGAACCATCCAAGGAGACCGATGTGGCGACTCCACCATCAAGCGCCTCCGGCGACTCTGGAATAGATGGGAGTCAAGAAGAAACAAAAGATGAAGGAAGAAGCGCAGATGTCGTTGCGGGCGCGCCCCCAGCGCAGGAAGAAGAGAAACCACAGCGGAGCAAACTCAAGATCGCGCTCATCATGTTTTCGCTTGCCGTCGCCGTCCTCCTAGTCGCCCTAGACATCACCATCGTCACGACCGCGTTGCCCACAATCGCCGCAGATTTCAATTCCGCATCGGGATACACCTGGATTGGCTCCGCATACCTGATCGCCAATTCAGCAGCAACACCAATATGGGGCAAGGTGTCTGATATTTTTGGTCGCAAGCCTATATTGCTGATCACGAATGCCATATTCTTCGTCGGCTCGCTCATTGCCGCATTGTCCGTCAACATGAACATGCTCATTGCTGCTCGAGTTATACAAGGCATTGGAGGAGGAGGTCTGGTCGTTCTCGTCAACATCACGATCTCGGATCTATTTGCCATACGTGACAGAGGCGCCTACTTTGGAGTTATTGGTGGAGTTTGGGCTCTTGCGAGCAGTTTGGGACCTGTTGTTGGAGGTCTGTTTACGCAGAAGGTTTCCTGGAGGTACGTCTTCCACAAAATCTAGGGCTGGGTGTCTTCAAGGGGCTGTTTCAATCGCTGTTCGAACTTGAAAATACCTTGAAGCTATACGGTCCGTTCAGTTGATCTCAACTAACTGATATAGGTGGTGCTTCTACATCAACCTGCCGTTTGATGGCCTAGCTTTCATCATCATCTTGCTTTTCCTGGATGTGAAAACACCCAAGACACCGCTGCGCCAGGGGCTCTTGGCTGTCGACTGGTTGGGCTCCCTCGTCATGGTCAGCGGCGTGATCATGTTTCTTCTCGGTCTCGAATACGGCGGCATCAGTCACCCATGGGACTCAGCGATCGTCCTCTGTCTTCTCATCTTTGGAGTTCTCACCATCGCCCTATTCTTCCTTGTCGAATGGCGGCTCGCGCCCAATCCGTTGATGCCTCTGGACCTATTCTCTAAAAAGTCCAACCTCGCAGCATTGGCAACTTGTTTCTGCCATGCGTTCGTGTTCATATCGGGCAACTACTACATCCCGCTCTACTTCCAGGCCGTCCTGGGAGCTACACCCATTCTATCGGGTGTATATTTGCTTCCTCAAGCACTCGCGCTTTCGTTCTTCTCAATATTCACGGGCATCTTTATACGCAAGACTGGGCAGTATCTTCCCCTCATTTGGGCTGGCATGTTCATGATGATCCTGGGGTTTGGACTGTTCATCGACCTAGGCGCCAATTCGTCTTGGGCGAAGATAATCATCTACCAAATCATCGTGGGTATTGGCGTGGGACCGAATTTCCAGGCTCCGCTCATCGCACTGCAAAGTCTTGTACCGGTAAGTCTGCTCCATCTCATCTCTGTCTTGTCCGCACTTGACCTCTAACAGACATCAACTTCACTACTCATGCTAACAAACATTTTTTTTAGAAACGCGACATCGCAACCGCAACAGCAACATTCGGCTTTATGCGCAACCTCGGCTCTTCCATCTCCGTTGTAGTAGGCTCCGTTATCTTCCAAAACGAGATGAAGTCAAAACAGCCGCAGCTCATTGCATCTCTCGGAGCACAGACGGCTTCTGCATTCACAGGAGGTTCTGCGAACGCCAACGTCGGAATTATCGGCACGCTACCCACAAACCAGAAGCTCATTGTACGAGAAGCTTATGCAAGCTCGCTGAGTACTATGTGGATACTTTACACTGTGTTTGCAGCGTTGGGCTTCCTGGTCAGTCTTCTCATCGGGAAGAATGTGCTTGACAAGCAACATGAAGAGACCAAGACAGGACTTGAAGCAGAGCAGAGCCGGAGATTGGAGAAGGACGCTGAAAGGGCAGAGAGGAAGAGGAAGAGGGCTACCAAGGGAGCTCTGGCGCCAGATACCGAAGCGCAGGCTGTGGGTCCTGGTGGGCAAGGGGCTCAGGAGCCGAAAGTTTGAGGCTTTGTTACATTGCCACGGCTGTTTAGACTAGGGATTGCATAGCATTTTGGCGCCTTCCATTTAGCATAGATATCATACAGGTGTGTAGTAATTCTTATGGTCACTGAATCGAGATTCATGTGCCATCTTGACCGTTAGAAATGTGTCCATTATATTGAAGGGTAGCGCTAAATGTGAGACTTTGAACGCTTCACAATAACGAGAAATTTCATTGCCATACTATCGTAGCACATAACAATTAGTGTTTACCTAAGGAGTTATCTCTGCTGATTTCATACTAAACTCCGACAGCGGTAGTGCAAGATGTTCATACATTCACATCTTGCCTATCGTTACGCGGTGTGAGGAATCTTTGGTGAAGCACATACTTCATTGATTGATCCGAATTACTTGTGGTCAGCACTTGGAGTTGTTGTTACGTTTTCATGCCTCCCGCTGAGCGGGGGACCGGAGGTAAGCGCCTATTATCGCAAGTCGCCTCGGGAAGCTCGGTGCTAGAAGTAAGAAATGCGGGGCGAACGCGGCTACGAAAGGAAGGTACCATAACGGGAGCTCTTTCTCCAAAAGCCTCTCAGAAGACTTCGCTTGATACAGCATTGCAACTTTTTTTGAGTAGGTTGGTTTCGATTGCAAATCTTTCCTCTCTCTTGCAATTACCTACACGTATATCAGCGCCGGTATGGCCGCCCGTCGTGCTCTCGCACGTATCCCAGCGCTATCGGCTCGCTCGTCGCTTCCTCGCGCAGCTCCTCTCTGCACCAGAATGTCGTCGCCCGCCAGCTTGAACAAGATTGCCGCGAGACGGTTGCACGCTACAGCTCAGCATCTGAAGCCAGCAGCTGCCGCCGCCCAATCGTATCCCACGAGCCACGAGCCCATCCAGTCTCCCGAAGACACGCCGTACTTCCTCGACAACAAATTCGTGGCTTCGAATGCGACACAATGGATTGAGTTGAAGGACCCTGCTACAAACAACCTGGTCACCCGCGTTCCCCAAAGTACAGACGAGGAGCTCAGGGCCGCGGTAGACAGTGCAGAGAAGGCGTTCAAGCCATGGAAGGAGACCAGCGTGCTCTTCCGACAACAGATCATGTTCAAGTACACCGCTTTGATCCGCGAGAACTGGGACAGGCTGGCTGCTAGCATCACACTTGAGCAGGGCAAGACCTTTGCCGACGCGAGGGGAGATGTCCTCCGAGGTCTTCAGGTTGCGGAGAACGCTTGTGGCATTCCCATGCAGATGACTGGCGAGGTGCTCGAGGTTGCAAAGGACATGGAGACGCGCAGCTACAGGGAGCCATTGGGTGTCATTGCAGCTATCTGCCCCTTCAGTGAGTGAACTGTGGCTTCGACAGCGAATCCCTGCTAACCGCTACCCCAGACTTCCCCGCCATGATTCCCCTCTGGACTATCCCCATCGCCACCGTCACTGGCAACACCTGCATTATCAAGCCATCAGAGCGCGACCCCGGTGCGTGCATGATTCTGGCTGAGCTTGCCGAGAAGGCTGGGTTCCCTCCTGGTGTCCTCAACATCGTCCATGGGTCCGCCAAGACCGTCGACTTTATTCTCGACGAGCCGCGCATCAAGGCTATCAGCTTTGTCGGAAGCAACAAGGCGGGAGAGTACATATACTCTCGCGCCTCGGCAAACGGCAAGCGAGTCCAGGCCAACCTGGGTGCGAAGAACCACGCTGCCGTCCTCCCCGACTGCAACAAGAACCACACCCTGAACTCGATTGCCGGTGCTGCTTTCGGTGCTGCTGGTCAGCGATGCATGGCTCTCAGCACGCTGGTCATGGTCGGCGAGACCAAGGAATGGATCCCTGAGCTTGCTGAGCGTGCTAAGGCTCTGAAGATGGATGGTGGCTTCGAGGAGGGTGCGGACCTTGGGCCCGTTATCAGCCCAGAGTCGAAGAAGAGGATTGAGGATCTGATCGCCAGTGCCGAGGAAGAGGGCGCGACTATTCTTCTTGATGGTCGTGGCCAGAAGCCTTCTTCTGAGAAGTATGCTGATGGCAACTGGGTGAGTTTTCCTATGACCTATTGAAGGATGTTCTAACTCGAGTTCTCGTTTAGGTCGGTCCCACCATCATCTCCAACGTTAAGCCCCACATGAAGTGCTACACCGAGGAGATCTTTGGCCCCGTTCTCGTCTGCCTGAACGTCGAGACCGTTGACGAGGCCATTGACATGATCAACGCCAACGAATACGGCAACGGAACCGCTATCTTTACCCGCTCGGGCGCTACAGCAGGTCGCTTCCAGCGCGAGATCGAGGCCGGTCAGGTTGGCATCAACGTCCCCATCCCTGTCCCTGTAAGTCTAGCCCTATCTTCGCACGCTTGTGATAAAAATTAACAGAGTATAGCTCCCCATGTTCTCCTTCACTGGTAACAAGAAGTCTGTTGCCGGCGGCGGTGCAAACACTTTCTACGGCAAGCCTGGTCTCCAGTTCTACACACAGCAGAAGACGGTAACAAGCCTGTGGAGGAGTGAGGATGCTTTGGCGACCAAGGCGTCTGTGAACATGCCCACGCACAGCTAGATGTTAATATGAATAATAAGCTTTGTTCTACGTTTTGCTGGCCTGCAAGTGGAGCCGCGATGGCGCCAAGCATGCTGTATCCGAGACATGTACGATGATGATGAGGCTGCCGTCAAACAAACCCATGTACGGAAATCAATATCTATCAGTGCATTGCATGCTATCAATCAGATTGAGTGTGGCAGGGATTGGTGGGTGATTCTCTATCAGTGCAGCACTCGGTTATCGCAGGTGGACGCACGGCAGATCGTCGGTCGCCAAGGAGAGTAAAAAGATTGGGTGCAAGCGGTGTGGAGAGATGCGGAACTCCACGAGGCGGCCGGACTTTTTATCGTTAGATACCGGCTGGCGTGCGCGTCCGCCAGTCTTCATAAAGTGCTGAGGCAGCCCTTGTCGCATCTGATGTCAATTGTTATTTATAGACTGCGATGGGCAGTCATTATGAAAAAGGGTTTGCAAATTATTTTCAATGTGTGCAGATCTCGACTGATGTCATGCCTCGTATGAATAGGTATCCATCCTTTTGGGGTCAGTGCAGTTAGGCGTCGAGCTTATATCATGAAGTAAAACCGGCTTTGGGTGTTGTCGTGTTTGCTGGCGCACATTCCAAGAAAGTGTATGCATGGTCGTTGCTCGATTGGGAAGCGCGTGTATTGATATGGTAGTGCGCCCATGCATGCAACACGATATAGAATGCTGCTGCTGCCTGCTAGCAGATGGGGTGAGATTCTGGCAAGAGTCCCCCCTGGAATGCTGCAGTAGTGGCATTGCCAGCAGTTGCATCGTGGGAAATGGCGGGTAAATGGCAGGCAGCCAGGCCAGCCTCGTGCTCAGTATAGCATTCGAGACCGAGGCTGGCGTGTGGCTGGTGGTGTTGTTGAAGGACAGCGTAGCGTGGGCGTGGGCGTGGGCCGCGTCCGGAACTCCGGAATAGACAGGAATAGGGTCGCCGCAACGGCTGGGCGTTTTGGTTGGGAAACGCAATCATGGTGTCAGCGGCGAGACGGGCGGCGCAGAAGATTTGGATCTTCTGGCGACCTTGGGCCAGTGCGAATTGACGTGTGTGAAGGGTGGAGCAAGAGGCCGTGGCAGACTCGCTGCGACGTGACATGCGGCGCAAAAAGCGTTTCAGCATGCTGGTGGTTGCGCTACCCTGGCTGTTGATCATCGATTGGGCCTGGCACCGCCGCACCGTTGATGACGAGTCCAGTGAAGTGCTCAACACCGCCCGCGCGTACTCTGCCTCTTTACTAAACTAACGTCGCTCGCGTCCGTCGCCCGCTCACTCGACCCTCGCTGCCACCTGCTGCAATCTCTGTGCCCTCTCTGCGACACTCTCGTCTCACCTCATTTTTAATCTCCCATATTCGCTCCCCAGGACCTGTGCAGGGGCCATATCGCGAGTCGACCACGCCCTGATTCCTACGCCAGCTCCGCTTGATCCGCCTCACCCGCCTCGCTGCAGCAGAAGCCTCGGGCGGTCTGAGATTAACTAGCCACAATGGAGAACACGGCGACCCAGTCGCCGCGTGCGCGCTCTGACACGCATTTCAGCCTGCGCAGCAACAAAAGTCACGATTCTCCAGGCAAGAGCAAGCACGAGAAGAAGGACAGCGCAACCAAAATCCACTACGAGCCCAAAGGAAAGGCAAACCCGAACGCCGCCATGGAAGAAGCCCAGCCTAGTATGATCGCCCCAGCCCTGCCGGTCTAGCGTACCGCTCGAGTTTGCGACGCCTTTGTTGACAATTCACAGTGGCCGCTGCGCTTGAGAAGCCCACCCTCCAGTCTCTGCGCGAGTTCCAGCACAGCGACGCCAACGGCAATGTCATTGGTGAGTCGCACTTTTTGTACCTGCGAGTTCCGTAGAGTTTTCGTCTAACTAGCTGCAGCCGAACCCGATCTGTCCAACCCAACGCGCTCGCGATGGGAGCGCCCGCTCGACACCATCCGCTCTTTCGAGGCGGCCATTGACGGCGAATACAAGCGCAGAGTGCAGTCGACACGCGGCGACCAGACAGACATCATGAGCGGGTTCAACAGCCGTAGGAGCAGCTTTTACGGCGGAGGACCCGACTACCAGCAGAATCGCTACTCCCATGCCAGCGGATACCACGGCAACAGACATGCTGGCCGCGACAGCTACGACAACAGCCACGACATGGGTGGTCCCGTAGGCGGACAGCAGCGGATGCGATACAGCAATCGCATGCAGCCTGACCAAGGGTGGAACAACAGGCAAAACGGTGGCAGCAACATCTACGGACCCAGCGGCTACCAACAGTCGCGCGACACTGTACACACAAATGGCTCCAACGGCAGCCACAGCGACGGACCCTACTCGAACGATCCCAACAGCGAGAACTCGTCGATTGAGCGAGGCGTGCCCGTTCAAAAACCCCAGCCGCCGCCCCATGGAGAGTACGGATACAACGGTTACAACGGCGGAGCGCCCATGATGGAGCAACGGGGACATCAAGGCCAGTTCTCGCAACCACAAAACGCTTACGTGCCGCCGCCTGTTGCGAAGAAAGCAATGCCCATCAAATTGGGTGGTGGTGCTGGCGGACCGCCTCCTGCTAGTGAGAACAGGCCAGCTATGGTGTCCAAGAACAGCGAGGACAAGAGGCGGAGTTGGTTCAAGAAGCGGTTCAGCAAAGACTAGACTGAGCAGCAACAATAAATTGGGCGATGTGTGTGGGAGTATTTACAAAATTTCTCCGTTGAGATATATGGATGTGGATATGACATATTTTCTTTATTTTTTCTGCGATAGATTCTTGGTGTTGGGGAATTATGACGACGCTCATGGCACCGGGACCACAGGGATGTTTTCACGATGGGGATTGCCCTGGGTATCAAGGCCCTATGACCACGTCATTCTTATCCTCGACGTTGACATGCTGCAGCAAGTTGGAGTCAGGACGGGTTTCTTTGCAATGTTTGGCAACTGTCACTCTTTAAGAGGTGAGCTGCTACAGAAGTGGCTTGAGACCAGCTATGTAGTAATCTTTAATGATGTGGCGTGCAAGCATTTATTCATCTTTCTCATGCTCTTTAGACTGATGTGGAGCTGGTGGTGCTACAATGCCTTCTTCGCTTTCTGGGCGTCTTCTTCCTGCTCAGCTTTGTCGTCCATGAAAGCCATGACTACGTAGCCGATTAGGACTACGTTTGCCATGAGCGCGGCCAGTCCACCGGCATATGTTGCGTTGCCTGAGTTGAATTAGTCCTGGGTCTAATCGAGTAGTAGTCGTGGTGACTTGCCGTTGAAGACGAAATTGACTGTGAAGAAGTAGGTTCCCAGTGGAAGGGTGATCATGGCGAATGTGGCGCTCATGAGCTTGACGATGACTGATCTGTACCTGGTGTCAGCTTTCATCTATTATACGATTGCTTGAGCTGCAACTTCATTCACGTGTTTGTACTACAAAGCATATGTTGCACAGGGCGACTCACGTTGGGACGGCCGGCGCGATGACGGAGGGTCCAGAAGCATCCTGCCCATCATTGTCGAGATACGACTTCTCGTCGCTGACATTCCGTCTGGTTGTCATTTTGTCTGTAGATAGTCGAGCGGTGTGTGTCGTGAGAGTGCTTCCTTGAGCTGCAGTATCGTGATGCCGTGGCACGGGCCCTACAAACGCATGCACTTTACGCGTTCGCGCGTATCCCCGCTGCCAGAAATCTTTCCTTTTGTCGCCGCAACAACGTCAAAGACGCGCCATGCCGTGGGCTTTGTCAACAATCCCCTGTTTTTGTTTGTCGAGCTAGACCCTTTGTCTTTTTAATACCCTCCCCACGCAACAACCCTGGTGCACGTTCACGGCACGTCCTCTTTGCCCGGACCGCGACTTTGTTAGTCTCAATGTATCGTCGCGACCCCATAATGACCTCTTCACCACCACCCACGGCGCCCCGTGCGCGCGACGAAAGTGACGACGATCTTGCAGGCTCCGACGCCACGCAGCCCACGCAGCTTCTCGAAACCCGCTCGCCGTTCTTCCCCGCGTCCAGCACCACGCAGCCCACGCTCATGCTCACGCCGCGCGCCAACCGCACGCAACAAGCAGACTCCTCGCAGCTACTGGTCCCGCAATCGTCGCCACCCGCCGAGCGTTACTCGTCCCCTGGCCTCCCCCAACTACAGTCGCAGTCGCAGTCGCAGCGCCCGTACGGCAACCAAGTTACCTCCATGGCGCCACCCGGTACATCATTCTTCCCTCCGCAGGCAGTCCGCAAGCCCGTGTTTGATCTCACGTCGGACGATCCGCCGGTAGAGCGCGACCCCTACGAGCGGGAGTCGGCGTACAGGTCCAACATACCACTATCAAAAGTTGAGATGAGTTCGCGGACGTCGAGGGTCGAGGAGACGCCAGAGAAGCCGAGTTGGAATCTGTCTGGATACGCGTACAACAACTCGGCCAACCCACGAAAACGCCCCGGCGACGACTATACGAGTCCGCCTGCGAAGAAGATCAAGCCTGTTGTGTGCCAGAATGGGCCTTCCCGCGCTATGCCTGTGGACTTGACGGCGGACGAAGACATCACCATCGCAGATATAACGGACAACGACATGAAGCGGAAGACGGAGCGCTTGAAGACCATCTTCGCGAACCGGCGCGTCAAGGTACTCTACGACGCTTTGATCTTGAGGAACGGCCACTTCGACCGCGCATGCGATGACCTTCTGCAAGAGGACTCTGATGACGAGCTGCTCAAGTCTCCCAAACTCGGCGTTGCTAAGAGCAACGCGAGTGCTGCGGTGCCAAAGAAGACAGCTCAGCGCGTGCTTAATGCGCCCGTCAAGTCCCTGCAGGAGAGGTACTCGAAGATCAAGGTGACGCAGGATGTACCTGCTCCTGTTGCAGCCCCTGAGGAGTCGAAACCTAAGCGCCGTCTTATGCGCGGTCGACGCAATCGCTCGCTCTCTCCTGCGGACAATACACCGCCGCGGCCGCAGACCCAGCAGGATAAGCAAGTCACAGTCATCTCCTCTGACGAGGATGTGGATGAGGGAATTGTGGAGATCTCGGACGATGATTCGGAGGCGGGGGTTCCAGCTGCAGAGCCCAAGTTCAGTCAATCGAGCCTGCTTAGTTTCTTCAACACGTGCTCTCTAGAAGCAATGGTCGATCTGTCTGGACACAAGGAAGAAGACATCCGCGCTATCTTTGAAAATCGTCCTTTTGCGTCAGTGGCCGCCATCCGCAACATCCATGTTGATCCACAACAGGTGGCGAAGGGTACGAAGAAAGCGCGTAAGCCCAGGATTACGCTTGGTGCGCGACTGGTTGACTCTTCTGAGGATATGTGGGAAGCTTACTCGACCATCGACTCCGTTGTCCAGCAGTGTGAAACCCTTGGGAAGCCGATGGTAGCTGGAATGGGGCGTTGGGGCATTGACATCTTTGGCGCTTCGAAAGATGGAGGAGTCGACGTGACTAGTCTGGACGATAACAGCGATGCTAGCTCTACTCGCGACTCGGGATACCATACTCCACGGAGTAGTCATGGCAGCGACACGGAAGGCGACATGATCCGCAAGACCACGAACCGCTTGAAGCTCTTGGAAAAGCCTTCGATCATGAACAAGGATGTGGAGCTGAAAGACTACCAGGTTGTTGGTCTTAACTGGCTGAACCTCCTGTGGCAGAACCGCATCTCTGGTATTTTGGCCGACGATATGGGTCTGGGCAAGACGTGTCAGGTTATTGCTTTCCTGTCGCACCTCAAGGAGCAGGGCACGGGGAAACCAACACTGATCGTTGTTCCTGGATCGACTTTGGAGAACTGGTGTCGTGAATTCGAAAAGTTCTCGAGCACTATCAACTTTACGCCGTACTACGGTCCACAGGCCGAACGCTTCCAACACCAGGACGATATTCGAAATAATATCGACCAAGGGCTTTGCGACGTGATCATTACCACGTACGATCTTACGTTCAGGAAAGAGGACAATGCGTTCCTGCGGAAGTGCAAGCCTCAGATCTGCATCTTCGACGAAGGTCACGTCTTGAAGAACGCCAACACTATCCGATACAAGAGCTTGATGCGCATTGATACACCGTGTCGTATTCTTCTTACAGGCACACCGCTGCAGAACAGTCTACAGGAGCTCATGTCGATTCTTGGTTTCCTCATGCCTGGTGTCTTTTACGACAAGAGCGACGACAACACTGTGCAAGACATGTTGCAGATTCTGTTCAAACACAAGGCAAAGGTGACTGAGAGCGATTCTCACAGCACGTTACTGTCTGCGCAGCGTATCCAGCGGGCGCGTACAATGTTGACACCCTTTATCCTCCGACGAAAGAAGGCACAGGTTCTCAAGCATCTGCCGAAGAAGACCTCGCGCGTGGAGTACTGCGAACTCACAGAGACACAAAAGACACTCTACAACCAGCAGTTGCAGAAACAGCGTCAAATCCTGCTGGATCGAGCAGCTGGTCTACTCGTTAAAGACCACGCGAATGTCATGATGAAACTCCGCCAGGCCGCCATCCACCCTCTCCTTTTCCGCCATCGCTACACAGACGACAAGATCCGCAAAATGTCCAAAGCCTGCCTGAAAGAAGAAACATTCGCCGAAAGCAACCCGAACATCATCTTCGAAGAACTCGAACTATACCAAGACTACCAATGCCACGCCCTCTCCCTCAAATACCCCGGCGCGCTCAAGAAATTCCAACTCCACGACAAAGAATGGATGGACTCTGGCAAGGTCGCCAAGCTCCTCGAGCTGCTGAAGAAATACAAGCAAAACGGCGACCGCGCCCTCGTCTTCTCCCAGTTCACGTCTGTCATGGACATCCTGGGCTGGGTCTTCGACGACCACGACATCGCGCACATGCGCATGGACGGCTCCACGCCCATCCAAGAGCGCCAGGGCCTCATGGATATCTTCTACCAGGACGAGTCCATCGGCGTCTTCATGATCAGCACGAAATCAGGCGGCGCGGGCATCAACCTCGCCTGCGCTAACAAAGTCATCATCTTCGACTCCTCGTTCAACCCACAGGATGACATTCAGGCTGAGAACCGCGCGCACCGCGTCGGCCAGACGCGCGAGGTGGAGGTCGTCAGGCTCGTCACCAAGGATACGGTCGAGGAGCAGATCTACGCGCTTGGTGTGAGTAAGCTGGAGCTGGATAAGATGGTACAAGGCGAGGAGGTCGAGGAGGGCGCCAAGGGGAAGAAAAAGGGCGCTGCTGGTGCGGCGACGGACTCGATTAGCAAGGCGGAGGAAGCGGGTATCGAGGCCGTGGAACAGATGCTGCTGAAGCAACTTCATGTTGATGAGAGTAAGGAGGGCGATGTGAAGGATTTGTATCTTGATGGGCTGAAGAAGGCGGGCTTGGATGTTAGTGCTGCGTAGGGAGTGGGTTGGTTGGTAGGTTGCGCTGGGTTTTGTATAGCTCGGGTTTTTTTCTTCTGCGGGACGATGGATATATGGCTGTTTGTGTTGGCGGTTTCTGATTCTTTCGCTGGAGGGCTTGTTGCGTTGAGGCATGGCTTGAGCTTTGAGTCTTGAGCCTCCCTCTCCCCCTTTTTTTTCTTGCCTTCTTTGCTGTGTGCATAGCGTCGGCGTCATGTGTGTATCTAGATAGAGTGGACGTATAGATTCTTCTCCCTCCGAGTCGCTGTGCCTTACTTTACCTTGCTCTAATTCACTTCCATTTTCCATCCCTGTTGATTCCCACCTACCCCATGAACCATCCCATTACTTCCAATCCATCTAGGCTTCCTCCCTCATCTCACGTCATACACCTCTATCAAACCAAGCCAGCCGTTATATTAACAAACGATATGTCTGCGGCCCAGACCACACACCACACACGCGCGTTACCCGCCCTTCTCGCCTCTCGCCTACCTACCCTACCAGGACACGGGACGTGCCATGCCAACATAAAAGACGAAGGAAGGGCGCTTGACACGTAGGATGTGCCGCTTCGTCGGTCACGCCGTCTAGGCGCCTTGGCGGAGGAAGGAATTGAGATGAAATGAGATGAGACGGGAGAACGCGAAGCGAAGCGAGATGTGGGGATGGACAAGTATATCAGCAAGTATGTATGCATTTAAAACAGGAGTCTTGAGTACTGGGGTGGTTAGGTGTTTAATTAAGTAGTTGATTGATTTGCGTGCATGGCTATGAAGTACTTTCTTCTGCTATGCTGCGCTGGTATATGTATGAATGGAATCCATCCGTGCGTATTGGGGAAGTAATGAGAGACTCGAGCTGTGTGAGTCGAGATCCTGAACGCCTGTCTGGCTGGATGGTGGGTCGTGTGTGTGTGTATCCCATACCATGCCATGCCATATCATCCCGTGCCGTGCCGTGTCCGTGTCCGTATCCATGTTCAAGTCCAAGTCGATTCCGCTCGCAACTCCCATCCCCCTCGCCATCGTAGCAATTCGTCAAAGATTACAAGGTCGTATGTCGCGCACCGATTCCTCCGCCCAACCCAGCCTAACACAAGCCAGTCTTATCCTCAGAAATTACATCCACCCCCTCCTCCTCAAGCCATAGCCGTAAACAAGCAAACCTGCCTGACCATCTGACTCGCGAGCAGAATCTCGCGAAACACCTGATCCATACCACCCATGAAGTGAATTTTATAACTGTCCACCATGCCTTTTCTCTTCTTCTCACCCCAGACCAACTTAGTCATCGGTCGCGCGTCGTCGCACCGCTTGCCCGTTCTGCTCCCCGGCTTCGCCCAGTCCCGCTGGAACTCGTATAGTGTCTCTATCATCGTATCATCATGTGCATCGCTTGATTTCCACACAAAGCGGCGGCCGCCGTATGTGAAGCGGCGCGGCGACCAGGGGATCTTGCGCTGGCGGTCCGGGTACTCTTTTATGGGCTGGCAGAAGGGCCCGCGGATGTGGATGCAGCGGGATTTGTAGCCTGCGTCTTTTGAGGGCTGGGAGGTGCATTGTTTCTGGTCGCTGCTGGAGAGGAGGATGGAGATGCAGGGCTGGGGGAACTCTGCGACGCGGAAGAAGTCTGCGGCGATGGGTTGGTGGTCTCTGTGCGACGTCTCGGTTTCGAGCATGTACAGGGCGTATTTGTCAGAGTAGTCGCGCGCCGTGTAGACGTACTTTTTGTAGCCGGATGTGCCGGTCCATTCGCGTGTGCGGTGGAGGTGGTATGTCGTTGGGGCGCGGGAGGGGTCGAGCATGGAGTGGTAGGGGATGTCCGGGCATGGAAGTTCGTCGCAGAGGGGTATGCATGAGGCTGATGAGTACGAAGCCTGCCAGGTTAGGAGGTTGTGTATCTGTGTTTGAGTTAGCGAGCAAGTTGCGATTGAAAGACTAATCAAGGCACATACTGCAGACAAGCTCTCACTGTCCTCATCCAGGTCTCCGTTGGCTCCCCACTGATTAGGTGCGGCCGTGAAGACACACTCGTTCCCATACTCGTCCAGCACATCACTCCCGCTCTCCAGATGCGGCCGTAACGCTCTCTGCCTCTCTCTGTGAATGGTGATTTGCGTCTTGATGATCCGTATCTGCTCATCCGAGTTCTCGTCAGGTGATATGCTTGCAAGTGATTGTGCTATTTCCTGTCCGAGGGCCAGTGCTGCTGCTGCGTGTTGCGAGTAGGATTGATCGTAGAGCCAAGCATGTTCAGACTCAAAGGCCGAGCTGCGTAGAAGCTCCAGATGGTCTCGAGCCGTGAGCTGGCGTCTATTCATGACGGGCTGTGAAGATAAAGTCAATTGCTCCAGGCGTTGTCGATGTCGAATTGAAATCCGTACTAAGCAAACGATTAATTAATGGGTGAGGATATCCTGGATGTCCTCGGAGGGACGACTCAGGCTGCAAACAAGACGGAGAAATTATGGAGGTATAGAAGAAATGAGGGCCGGCAGGCTGAAAAGCATAGTCGCATATCAGGCTGTAAACAGCTGCTGACCCAGCAGGAAGGACCCCTTCCCCTGTCATCCCGGTCAGTCCTTTGTTGCGGTGCGTGAGGCACGGGGCCAAGTTGCATGTGGTGGGACCTGGATCGTGGAGGGCTTCGCCATACTAGCCCTATGTGGTAGTTGGTTATTGCCCTGCAACGTGACAGCGTGTCGCGAAATCGACACGCTCCAATGAGTTTTACCATTTTCCCCATGCATCCAAGAGCCTCCTCCCTCTGATGCTGCAATTTCGCCAATATATATTTCCTTTTGAAACACACATGGCTTTCCAAGATTGCGTCCACATTGCTTTTCGCGGGGAAAAGAGATTCCCAATCGCTGATGCCCGCCCGCTCTTCTCCTAATCCGTCCCTGGCGTAAGACAAGCCCCATGCTGCTCTGCTTCCTGCGCAACGATGCTCACCGTCCAGGACCGCCAACAGCAGTGTCACCGTAGAGGCGTTTGGCAGCCACCGGACTCCGAAGATACGGTCAGCGCTCCCCACCAACCAGCTCAGTACTCACGCTTCATGCCTGTCCGCCATGCAGGGCTTGCAGGACAGTGTTACCCCACGATGGACGGCTTATGCGGCGTGGCCGGCTCCTCATTTCGAAGGATGGAATCGCCGTCCATTCATCGCAAGCACCTACCCACCACCCTCGACGCACGATTATTGTCCGTGAGCAATGCAGAAAGGCGTCGTAGATAGGGCTGAAGTGAAACATGTGAAGGTGGGGTTTTGACGTGTTGTCTAGCGGGAGCGCATGTTCGCGCTTATATCGATGACAATGTCAGGAGCAGGAACAGTTTTCAGCTTCCAACTTCAGATGATGTTCGCCGTTTCAGACTAGACCACAGCGAGAGATTTGGTTTCATCTACCAATGACTCAGCAGCGATGACACCCTACCCTACCCTGTTAATAAGCAGCAGCCTGATGAAGCAAGCAAGCAAGCAACGCAGGCATAAAACCACACCCATAACATCAACACACAAACACACACACCACCCAACGCCCTGTACACCCCTCATATCACGAGTCCCGCCCTGCCAGACAACATAATGACATACCACAACACCAGTTTAGGTAAATCAATGAAAGCCTCCAGTCCTCGAGGACCACGAAGGACTAAAACCAGTAATGCACCACGACTTCCGCCCAGCAGCACGTCGTACACAAGGCTGGGTTGTACCTGTACCTGTGCGCCAAACCACCCGCCGAACTGGCACGCCTCACCGCTTTTGCTGTGGCACCTCGCTGCCTTGCATGGTATGGTGTGTCGATGCTGCACTTGGGCGTGCGATGCAGGGGACAAGTGCGGAGTGTGTGTATGTATGTATGTATGTATGCGGTGCGGAAAGGTTTCTGGGTGCGTGAACAGATACGGGATGTTGAACGTCAAAGGAAAGAGAAAGTGATGAGCAAAGGAACGAAGCACGTTTGAGACCTAGTACATCGCATACCTCCACCTCCACTCCACCTCCCCATCCCCTCCCCACACCCCATCAAAACAGCACATCCTCCTCACTAATCCCCTCCAACTCCCCCCTCCCCCAAAACACCTCCACAACCTCCGCCCTCTCACTCAACAAAAACCTCTTCTCCTGACTCCCCACCCTGCTCAACCCCCTCCACCTCTCCAAATCCGCCCTCACCCTCTTATCCCCCTTCGCCTCCTCCGCCCCCCTCCAATGCCCCTCCGAAAACGCAATAACAGTCGTCATACTGCGCTGCACAATATCATACACAGCCGACACCACCGTGCCCGTCTCTTCCAGCCAGTTTATCTGCCACAGCTCCCCCGCCCGTATACACTGATACGTAGCGCGCTGGTAGTTCTTCCGGCCGGCCATGGGGCCGCCGTGGATTGCGTAGACGACTCGCGTGGGGGATATGCACCATAGTTCGTAGCGCCATTTTTCGGGGCGGCCTTGGGGGTCTTGGGCCGCGTAGTCGTAGATTAGGTGGGTGTTGAGGATGTCGGTGGTGAAAGAGGGGTCGAGGGGTGTGTTGGTGAGGAAGTCGGGGAGGGTGTCTCCTGGGGCCATTGTTAGGTTTTTTTGGGGGGGTTCTCGGATAGTCGGTTGGTTGGATGTGTGGTGATGTGATGGGATGTGGTGTGATGTCTGGACTATATATATAATTCAATGGATGGTACTGTTCGTCCGTCGGTTCGCTGGGTATATATACATACCTACGCCGTCTAGGTACACTACCCACACACTAACGCGGAAGCCACCGGGAGTCATGACGTAGGGGTAGAAGCTCTCACGCCACTACATATCATCCGTTAGCTGTTTGTTGGGGCGAGGTACGCGTCCCTACTTCTCGGGGGTGGGTGGACTAGAGAATCTGATCGGGCCGTTGCGTAGAGAGGGAAAGAAACGAGGAGGAGGGAGTTAAGCATGAAAGGCATTATATATATTCTAGCAACGCCCTATGCAATGCAACACAACCACGCACCGGGTATCCTCATCTCCAACGCGATATTTCAAGACGCCAAACAAGCGCACCCGTCATACAACATAGAGTACAAAGAAGATAGCTAGCTAGCTAGCAGGCGTGGAAATCTTCCAGATCACTCCAACCTCCACTCCATCCAAACAACCCCCCATCGCTATCCATAACACACACACACAGAGCCTCGCACCCCTCAATCCTCCGTCGACTCACTCCCCTCGCTGGAGAAATAACTCTGATCCAGCCTTAAAATCCACTCAATCTTCTCGCGCTCACTGCGCGCGCGCAGGATATACGTGTTCGTCCTCGCAAACACAGCCCAGACCGTGTCTTTGCCCGTGCCGCCCACGCTGCTCGCGGCGCTACCATTGCTATCCACACTCCCGCGCCTTACATGTGCGTGCGCGCTACCATTCAGACTAGCGCCCGTCCCGCCGAGCAGCCTGGCGATCTGGGGCGAGTGGTCGATACGCGCGTTTGTCAGATTGATAGCGTTGATTTCGTCGCCGTCGGTGGAGTAGACGTGTAGATATGGTTTGCGCAGCTCGACGAAGCGGCGGATCCAGCGCGAGTTTGTGGGGTCGGGCATGAGGAGGTAGCTGCTCTTGAGGAGGTTTGGGTTCTTGGAGACGAAGCGCACTGTGGCTGTTAGGCTGGGTGTTGGGGAGGGGGATGGCGAGGCGGAGCGCGGGGCGAAGGCGGCGCCGTTTTTGGGGGGCTCGAGATTAGTGGGGTTTAGGATTATTTCCGCGGGGGCTTTGTGGGTTTGCCAGAGGGAGATGACGCGCTGGAGAAGGGCTTTTTGGCGGTCGTCGAGGTCGGGTTGGGGGGTTGAGGAGCGGGATGTTGAAGGGGGTATGCTGAGGGCTTTGGAGGAGAGGACCGAGCGCGCTGTTTCTATCTCGGCGATTCGTCTGCGCCGCTTTTCGATGTTGATGAAGTCTCGGACTAGTGATACGCCACGCGGTGTCCAGCCTGAGACTTGTTCTTCGCCTTTGATGTAGTCGTCGCGCGTGTTCATGCGCCAGAGATCTGTGGCGCGCTTGACGGATGTAGGACGGATGGCGACGTTGAAGATGCCAACGGTAGAATGCACCGTCTTTACTGTGTTCCCCCATAGACTTGCCAGGGAGAAGAGGGAGGTGGGGCGGCTTGCTATGCGGCCGCGGATTTGCAATGCCAGATCGAGAGAGAAGACCATTGGATCCACCAGCTTCGCAGACATGACATTGAAGAGAAGCGTTGCTTGGACGCGGTACTTATCTTGTGTCGGGCGGTCGAGAAGAAGTGAGTTGTGTGCTGTACTATCCCATCGTCCTACAAATTTTACATTCGTAGTTCCGTCAGCATTGTTCTTGACGGTGGGCGCAGAGATCAGAGCTATGGGGACCTCTTTCACGGGAGTCTCAATTCCAGGAGCGTTTCCGACTGAGTCGATGAGGCGGATTCTACCCATCCGCATCGAAGTAACGTTCTGCCACTGCAGTGTGTCACCGCATGTGTGGGTGAGATTTACTACAATGCGACGCGCCACACCGAGATGGAGTTGATACACACCCGCGTCCATAACGCTGCTCTGTGTGACATCGACAGGCTGATACGTCCCTTCATCCGTAGGCTCATGAACCTGGATACGCGAGAAGATATCGTGCGTATCTTCCGTGTAAAACTCCGACTCAGGTAGCCGCGCATTGCGTCGCTTCTTCTTGGGCTTCTCGGACGGGTCTCGCATGTCATCCCAACTAAGGAGCATGTCGAGGTAACTTTCATTGACCTGCGCAAAGATGGAGATGCGAAGGAAAGTGTCGCGAGGGCTAGGGTATGGAAGACTCATACTGTGTATACTCTCGAAGCGAATAGGACCTTCATTGAAATCGGTGATCCAGATTGTAGTCGTCGCACCGCTTTCGTCGGAGATGCCAGGTACAAAAAGTAAAGCATGTACCTTGGTGCCTTCTCGTTCCGGAAAGCCGACCATTTCATGCATACCAACATTGAATTTCAACGTCGTTGAAGGGGCTTCCGCAGATGAGGGCTCCAGAGATAGCCGGATGATACCGATCGGATTTGCTGTGTAGGGTGAAATAACGTCGAGACTGAAATCACGTACTCTGGAGTTGAAGACAGCAGCAAGTGGAACATCGACGTCGCCAATGCGAGAGAACTCAGGCATACATGGCTCGGAAAAGGGTGTTTCAGGTTTGAAGTGCTGAATGTACCCAGGTCGGTTCATGTACTGGTGCATCTGATGCATGCGTCGTACGCGTTGGCGCAGCTTTTGTAATGACCACAGGTGAACAACCTTATTCCTGAAATCGATGACACGGACGCCAACGCAAGGCTTCGGGGTGTTGTCGAGAAATTCATCGTCTTCGCCAGGAATGCCCATGTTGACCAAGTCGTACGACGAAGGGACAGTGTGGCCGACACCAACGATGCAAAACTGGAAAACAACACTCTTGTCCATCTGATGGCTCATGATCTGCGCCTCCTTGAGAGTCGCTGCGTTCTGGAGGATAGTCTCTGCCATGGTGACGTATTTGCGTTGCCGCCATTGATGAAAGAAGTTTCGGACTAGGTCAAGCTGCTGTTCGTTGGGTTTGTCCGTTGGGTGTTCTCCATTTGTCGCGGGTGTTGGCTCGTGGCCAAGCTGTCTCAACTGACGCTCGTATCCTTGCAGTTGCTTCTGCATATCTTCTTTTGCAGCTCGAAGCTCCTCCAGCTCCACTTTGACTTTGGTCTCTTGAACCGCCTTCAGTCTCGCTGGCAAGTCTTCTCCGTGTTGAACCAACTTCTCCGCTGAATCCATCCTCAATTCTCGCCCCTTTTCACTGTCATCCTGCTGTGGTGTAGACGGCATCGTCAAGGCAGTATCGAGAGAGAAGTTATCAAAAGTCCCTCCAGACGTGTACTTTTCTCTGAGAGGAAATGAGGAGATGGACTCCATATCTTCGTCCTGTTCATATATCCTGCTTTCTGGGCGCACCTTACGGGTTTCCTTCAATCTCCGCAGATCTTCGAATATGGCATCAAACTCGTCGTCGGGAAGATTCTCGATTCGCTTTTCTGGCCCTAACCATGCTGTGAGAGCTTCTCTGCGCGCAAAAGTAAATTCGGACTCTCGACCGCGCTGCCAAGGGGCAGGCGATCCAGCTCGAGGACTACCAGAACCGAAATCGGAAGTAGCCAGGCTGATGGCGCTGAATGATCTGTCGTGACCGGGTCGCGGCGCAGGAGAGGGCGAGTTCAAATGGTTTGCTGCGATTGAATGACGAAGCAGACTCGCCCCCACTTCTGCCCGTACGGCTCTTGCCTGCTGTGGGTTGTTCAGGCGGAAGATGTGAAAATTGCCGAGAATTACGCGATCACCGCTGTTGACTTGGGTCGGACTGTCCACTATCCGGATGCCGTTTATAATAACACTTGCGTTCTCGGCCATGCTCACAGTAATCGTCCCATCGACGTTTTCGAAAGTGCAGTGGTCAGCGAGTACTTGCGAGCCGTTTAGCTTTATTTGCGCAACCTGTCCTTCGGCGTCAGAGTTGCCAACAGTTGTTGTTCCAGGTTTTAGATTGTAGACCAAACACTCATCCAGAAGAGGATCATCACTCAAGTTGATCAGATGAGGCATGTTCTTTGGCGTTGACAGACCGACGTTTCCTTTTTCAATGCTGATACCGAGCTCTTCCAACGCAGCCTCGCGCTCTTTGTGAATTTCTTCCGTTTTTGCGAGTTTCTCTTCCCATGTCTGGTTGAGGTCGTTGTACAGCTTCTCAGACTGGTCGAGCTGCTCGACAATCTCAGCCTTTGAAACCTTCTTGATTGTTCCATCAGACTGTGTAATCGACACGATCTGTTTTTCCAGGGGTGTGTCTGGCGCGTACTGCTCTGCGACTATACCGCCGCCGCCACCGCCGCCTGAAGCGCCTCCACTTAGCTGGGAACGAAGCTTGGACAGCTCTTCTTTCAATTCTCTGATCATGCGCGCGTTGGGATCTTCGTTGACGACGGCGTGGTTCTTGATGCGCTTGGCGGAGTCGGCGTAACGCAGGGTCGACAGGGTTTCTTCAAAATTGATGTCGGCAGGGGAGATGGCAGCAATCATAGCCGTCATACTATTTCCACCCAAGGAGTCTTTCAGCAGCCATGTCAGGATAGAGTCTCGATACGGGACTTGTGTCTTCTTCTTCCCCTGGCCTATATCTGCGAGCGCTGCAATAACACGACCAAGGGTCGACAGCGATCTGTTGATTTCTGCACCTTCCTTCAACCGTGCTCCAGTTGCGCCAGTAGACTGCGCTCGTTCCGAACCAGCCAGATCGACCAAACTGATCTTTGCCACCCTCTCTCCGCTCATGCTGGTCTGCTCGTCGTGGCGCTTCTGGGTGAGGGTCAGGGTGAAGACGGCGTGCGATCGGGAGGACGTCTCGTTCATGTTGGTCGCGGCGACGGTACGGGCCTTGTTTCCCTCGTCCATGAGGTTCTCGATCTCGGCAAAGGACTGGACGACCAGCTTTGCCAGATCTTCGACATACGGGCCCGTCGAGGGGTGCTCTCGCACTCGCAGGTTGCCCTTGTTGGAGGGATTGAGGAGATCGCGAACGCGCTCGTTGTAGATTTCCAGATACGAGACTTCGACGGTACAGCTCTCGTGCTTGTCCTGTTGCACCATCTTGATGCGCTCGAACATGTCCTGGCAAATCTTGGGGATGATGCCGTACTCCTGCCCATACCCCATCATCGAGTACGACTTCCCCGAACCCGTCTGGCCATAGGCGAAGATGCAGTTGTTGTACCCCTGGAAGGCGTTGTCGAGCAGCGGCTTGCCCAGGTCCTCGTGGAGGTTGTCCTGGCCGGCATAGTTGGGGGCGTTGCGGTCAAAAGACCAGTAGGACCTGTCGAAGGCGAAGGTCTTGGGGCCCTCGGCGGCGGCCTTGCCAGCTTTGCCGCCCTTTGGGTCGGAGGGGCTCGAGAGGATGGTCTGGTCCCCCTTCATGCGCACGATGCATTGCGCGTTGCGGTCCTTTTCTGGGGGCTGTCAGCTGCTGCTTGTCTAGCACAGCATGCAGGGCGTACCTCGGCCATTAAAGGGCCTACATCGCACGACGACCTTGATGTTTCCCCCTCCGGCCGACATCATGTACGAGTGGTGCTGGAGAGAGTCGCAAGAAGCTGTGTCGGGGAGCGGGCGATGGGTGGCATGAATTACGTGTGCGGTCAGGCGCGGAGTCTGCGGCGCTTCATGGCATGTGGGCGGCGTCTGGGGGAGTCCGAGGGGCGCGGGACGTCTGCGTGTTGCGTAGTGGGCGTCTGTGTTGTCAGGACGCGGTCGACTCCAGGGCTAAACTCGACGAAATAGGGCGCGGACCCTTGTCGTCCCTGCGCCTAGTTACTTCACCCGCACAGGACCCTGATCGCCTGCTTGCACGGAGAATAGACAGAGTCGCCCTGCCCACACGCACGCCGCTCCCTGTTTTTCTTCTGCTGGAGGAACACGTCCGAGGACGCCAAACCCTGGTACACGTCTGGACCCCGCTTGGCGCCATCATCGCCCTCCGAGTCACCACAACGCGACCACAATCTGCACAAGACGAATATCCACACCTCCCCACCACACCACACCCCGCCCATGTCCGCGCCCGACATGTTCGCGCCGCCGGTCAACCGCGCCATGAAGGTGCTGGATCGCGCCTTCTTCCACAAGACCATCCCCACGGCGGCTGCCCGCATCTTCAGCCCCAAGGACATCGCGCGCTGCCGCAAAGAGCTGGAGAAGAGCCAGGACACGCTGCCCAACCCGCGCCTTGACCCCATCCGGCCCGACCCCGACCAGGAACGCGCACAGAAGGGCGGCAGGTGTCTGCTGCTGCGGCCCGAAGTGCGCCCCGACGGTGAGTGGCCTGCACCGCAACGCCCAGTGGGGTGCTGAGTCTGAACGGCAGCCAGATCGCGCGACATGGGGCCCCAAGCTGCAGGACCTGGAGCGTGACGGCACCCTCGGCGTCATCCCCTACCAGCTGCACCTCGACTACGACTACTTCACCTACGCCGAGATCACAAACGCCATCATCCCCGCGCCCGAGAAGAAGAACGACGACGAGATCCCCACGGGATTCACTCTCGCCGGCCATGTCGCACACATGAACCTCCGCGAGCGCTACTGGCCCTACAAGCACCTCATCGCCACCATCCTCGCCGACAAGAACCCCTGGGTCCGCACAGTCATCAACAAGGTGGATAACGTCGGCACAGAGAACGCCTTCCGCACCTTCCAGTACGAAGTCCTCTTCGGGCCCGACGACATGAACGTCGAAGTCCACGAGCAAGACTGCACCTTCAAATTCGACTTTGCAAAAGTATACTGGAACACGCGCCTCGACCGCGAGCACCGACGGCTCTGCAGCCTCTTCACCGAAGGCGACGCCATCTGCGACGTCATGGCGGGTGTAGGTCCCTTCGCCATCCCCGCCGGCAAGAAAAAGTGCTTCGTCTGGGCAAACGACCTCAACCCCGAAAGTCACAAATCCCTCGTCGCTAACATCGCCCTCAACAAAGTCACAGACTACGTCCTCCCCCACAACACAGACGGCGCGGAATTCATCCGCTCCGCTTCCGCCGCCCTCCTCACTCAAGACTCCCGCGAAGTAAACATCTACTCAAAAGTAAAATTCTCCCGCTCAAACCCCGTAAAATCTAAACCCCAGCTCCTGAAAACCATCACCCAGCCGCGCATCTTCTCGCACTACGTTATGAACCTGCCCGCGAGCGCAATCACCTTCCTCCCCGCCTTCATCGGCCTGTATGCAAACGTCCCGGGCATCTCGACAGACGAGATCAGGAAGCTTTTCGCGCCCCACACGCAGCAGAAACTTCCCATGGTGCATGTCCACTGCTTCAGCACGAAGAGCGACGACAACGTCGCTGAGACGAGGGATATCTGCAAGGAGATATCGAGACAGTTGGGGTGTGAGATTACGCCGCAGACGCCGGATTTGTGCGTTTGGGATGTTAGGGATGTGGCGCCGAAGAAGAGGATGTTTTGCGCGAGCTTTAGACTGCCGGAGGAGGTGGCGTTTAGGGGCGCGTGAGGTGGGGGTGTGAGGGAAGGGAAGGGGGGTATGTGAGGAAACAGAGTCGAAAAGTTTGGGAATGGGTAGATGGGTGGGATAAAAATAGATGGATTCACGCGAGGACTTCTTTCTCGCGTTATAGGGTCTTTTTGTAGATATACCCGTGGAAAGGTTTTGGAAAATCTCTTGCTCATACTCGAATCATATTGATCCTTCAGGCTTTTACGCGCAGTGAAATGGATGGGGAGTTGATCGATTGCACGTGTCAAGTCGAATCAACACGGAACTGGTACTCTACAAGTCTCGCTGTGTAGATGAAATATATATCTTCCCTCATTACATCTCCCTTCTTTTCTATCCCCCCTCCCCATGTCATGTTACCTGTTGTTTCGACATTCAAGGCCCAGATGATCCTGCTTTTTTGTCTACACGCTACGTCTTGTGCTTATCTGGATGACCCCCTTTCTCCTCGATCGCTCCGAAAGACTAAAAGTCCATCAACATATCGTCATCAAAGACAAGCTCATCGCCGTCGTCGTCGAGCTTATCTTTCGCATTCATATCCACACCAGCACCGACGTTAGCGTTAACAACCGATTCCACACTTGAAACGGGGCCATCGGGAGCGTCGATGCCCTCCGCACGGTTGGCTTTGGTAGTGAGTAAGCGTGTGGGCGAGGCCACGGTCGCCGAGTCTAAAATGCCTGCAGATCCAACCGCCCTCCCCACCCCCTCAAACAACACACCCCCAACCCCCACCTCACCCACCCTCTCATACCGCCCACCCAACAACCCCTCAATCCTGCCCACCCACTCCCCAACCCTCCCCGCCGAAACCGGCTCTGCAAGCACGTCATACGCGTGTCCAGCGCTGTACCCCCACTCCAGAGTGTTGCAGCGCATGTCTAACTTCCAGGACGCGTTGAGTATGCATGTCGCGCTCGTGGTCACTGGAAGGATGAGGTCGTGGATGCGGTGCCCGTTGGGTGTGCGTTCGAGGGGGAGTTTGGAGGATTTGGTGCGGTGCGGGGGGTCTGTTGGGTGGGGTTTGAGGGGTTGGTGTATGGGGGTTTCGTGGGCCGGTTTACTTGGAGGGTGTGGAGAGGGTGGGTGGAAAGGACTGGTGCCCGTGTTGCGAGGCTCTGGTCTCATGTTATTGCTTTCATGGGTGTTGAGCGAGTTGCTAGCATGGTTTGGGTGTTGGATCGGCTCGGAGGATGTTGCTCTGGATAGAGATGGTTTTGCATAGGGGGCTTCTCGCTCGACGTACGCTCGTAGCTGCTCAGTGATGTCGTGCGGCTCGAAGCTTGCACCACGGTCAGAGTGAAGTAGCAGTTGCTTTCTGGTGAGGTTCGAACGTGGCTGCGGTTCTGCAGAGGTGGCCCTCGAACTAACACTGAATGGTGGCATTGGCTGACTGTTCTGAGAAAGACCGTTGTGTTGACTCTGGTTTTGCCTGAAAAAATTACGAATGTCAGAGTTGTTTTCTGGGTAAGTTATGGCATCAGATGACAGGTTGGCCTCAGTCGGAATTGGCCTTCGGGTGCTGAACGTATTGTCACTCGGAAACAAAGGTACGTCTTGGTTTCTGGCACGCTTTTGGCGGCGAGTTGGCTGAGACGACTCTGCTCCAGCCATCGGTTGACCAAACCACGTGTCGTTTGGTTGTCGTGCAGGTGATACAAACGGCGTGTTGTTGTATGATTGCTGCTTACGTTGGCGATGGCGTGGAGCCGAAGATATTGGAGGAGGCATATCGTAACCATGTGGTGACCCATACAACGATCCAGCTGATGCGAAGTTGTGTTGATTTTCCTCTGAAAGAAGCATATTCGGACGCTGAGAGAGATTTTGGGGCATTTGAGCTGCAAATCTGGTCTCGGGTGGAGTGATACCAAACTGCTCTCGTTCTTGTGATACTCTGCTGCAGCCCCTTGTAGGTCGCTGTTCAGGAGACGACCGGGGCAGATGCCGAATGCCACGTTCCAACTCTTCATCTGACAATGATCTCCGTGCATTCGATCTTGCCGAAGTTTGGGGTGTCAATGGCTCGATCGGCGGAGTCTGGCGTGGTGTGACTGCGGTTGTGGGAGAGTTAGAACCTATAAATATATCGCCTCGACTCTTGGCTGGACTGGGCAGTTGACCGTTCCCAATCGACTTGTTTTGTTTCGTGGCGGCATTCATCCTCGCGATCGTCCATGGGTTGGATGTATCTGTCGCTTGACGTCCTTCTTCTTCCTCTATCACTGGAGGTTGCTCCTTATGCAGAAATTGCAGATCATCCTCATCAATGCCATACATACTGGATCTCCACCGCGGCAACTCGTCCTGTGGAATGGGCAACGGCTCGCCAATCTCCCGTGTATCATCATCATCGCAAACACAAGCAGGTACTACTTGTAGCATTGACTGTTGCTCGATTTGCACTTCCTGCGACTGCTGGGCAGATATTGGGGATTCAATCTCTTCAACCTCGACAACGGCTTCGGGATAGTAGGATGTTAGTAGTTTATCGACGGCGCTCACTACCAGATCTTCATCGTCAAATACTACATTGTCTTTTGCTGGTTCCAGGTTGGGATCGTAGCTGTCGGGTGGGCAGATAATATTGATGCAGAAGAAAGGGTCTCTCACCTCTCTGAGCGAGGTGTTTGCTTTGCGAAGTCTACCTCTGAAAGCATTCACTATCCGTTTGGGGAATCCGCGAACGTTGGACATTGGCCTCGAGTCGACGGAGATGAAGCCACCATAATTGGAAATCTTGGATCCATTTGCAGTAGGCTTGGGGAGGAAAGCATGTATCTCGAGACCATCTGTTTCTAGGGCAGTCCAGTCGCATTGGAGAGCGCAGTCTTTTCCGATGATCTTTAACACAGCATCTTCAACATTTGCGCTGGTTTTTGGCGCGTAGATGAAGTCACCCTTGTTGTTCTTCGCTTTTAGTACGTGCAGTCTGAACCGGACGGCAGGCCTGGCCAGCGCGTAAGCTTGCATCAGCCGTCGAATCTTAGCAAGGCATTTTGCTGAGTTCTTTATCGATGCTTGGATTCGGACTGGTATCGGTTTGAAGATGTTGGTCACCTTGACCGTAGTGCCGACCGGATGCGAATCCCTCGCCGTACTATTTGAGCGTCAGGTTGAGGACACATACAGCATGCCAATCTTACGTGGTAAGCTCGCCATCGCGACCGTAAACTAGCTTGACGGCAACTGGTTCGCCTTCCACTCTCGTCGTGACCGAAAGCGCGCCACTGATCCCAGCCATGCTTGCCAGAGCCTCGCCGCGGAAACCAAGCCATTTCCCTCCCACGTCTTTCAAGTCGTGAAAGTCCCTGATCTTGCTCGTGCAGTAACGACGACATGCGAGGGGGCGATCTTGAGCCGGAATGCCATGACCATCATCCTTAACCTGTATCAAGTCGAGTGTATTCGCTGTAATGTCCACAAATATGCTCTTTGCTCGAGCGTCGAGAGCATTGTCAACCAGTTCTTTGACGACTGAACTGGGATCGACTATGACCTGTTGGGAGCCAATCTGTCTCACTGTTGTTGGCGGAAGTGCGGCGATGCCAGGTGATGCACCGGTCACCGGGTCGTCTGCCATCGTTCGGCAACCGTGAATGGTACCGCAGCAATCCAATTGATGGAGAGTTGGGGAGAGGTAGGGTGAGGCTAAACGCTTTTCGTGGTCCATGGTGACTGCCTTCCATCGTGCCTTCCCTCGCCAGTATGCTGACAGACCAAATGGGCAAGCGCTCACAACACGACGCGCCCGCACTAACACATGTGCATCTTGCCTTACAATCAATGTTCATGAGCATGATTCAGAAATCTCGTGCAACAGTTTACTATCATGTGGTCGGTTTGTCAAGAAATATGAGGCAGGGTTGTCTTCGAATGTTCCTTTCAAAGTGGCCAATCAGAGCTCGCAACCATCGAGGGTTCGCAGTAGTTTAAAGCGAGAACTTCCCCAGGATGTTTTAGATCCAGAATCCACCTCTTTTCCGTTCATCATCACCTTGTCACTTCATACCTTGGTACTCGCCTGTTGTAACTTGGAAAGTTCAGACGACTGTTGACCGTGTCAGAGCGTTGAGCTGCATACTATCTTGGTAAGCGTGTAGCCTCATATTCAAGGCGCCGATGGACGTCACACTCATCCTGATCTATGCTGATGCTTCATGAAGCGCTCAGTTATCAAGATTTCAATGACCTACACAACCGACGCGTCCCGCTGGCGGGCGCTGACAGTTCGCGACATAAACGCAAATGGCCAATTTGTCTACTCAATCAAGTCAACCAAAATCTATTGCAGACCAAACTGCCCCGGACGACTGGCGCGCCGAGCGAACGTCGACTTCTACAAAACAGCCAAAGAAGCACAAGAGGCCGGATTCAGGGCCTGCAAGAGATGCAGACCAGATGTCGAAGCTGAGGAACCGCAGTACCGGACGGTAGCGAAAGCGTGCAGCCTCATTGAAGAGGCGTCGAAGAACCACGATAGAAAAGCCTTCAGGTTACAGGACCTAGCAAAGCAGGTTGGACTTACACCAAGATATTTCCATAAAGTCTTCAAAGATAGAATGGGTATGACGCCAAAAGAGTATGCGCAAATCAAGATGACGGATGGTAGCGGTTCGATCGCGACTTCGGTCCCGATTGCCAGTCAACCAGATGTCGAGTTCTTCGATTGGGAAGCCTTTGACTCGGAGAATGCTGTAGACATTGGAGTTGAGTCAAGTACGACTTCGTACAACGGCTTCACAGCGGAGGATATACAGTCGGCGGCGACCTTCTTTGGGAACGGAAACAATACATGCTTCCAATTTCCAGCTTGGGATTGGGGACAGCCTGGTGGCACGGACTCGGAATTTGGTCTCGTAAACGAGAGCATGGACAGCTTGCTGGGAGCAACACCGGCGCTTGTTGGTATGGAATAGCCATAATAAACGATTGCAATGCCGAAAGTTTCGGGCTTGGTACCCGGCCCAAGTAGATCTGATAGATTGCGACGTATTGACGATTGGTGAGAACGTCGCGTTGAGGCTAATCAGGGTCTGGCTAAAGGGAAGAGTAGAAATTGAGGGGGCAAGGCTAAGCCTTCAATTGTTCGATTTTAAATAGTATAACTATAAAACCATCAACCCGCAACAAGAGGGATGTGTGGCATTCTCCACCAATCTCTATCCAAACCTGCAGCTCCGTGTCGTCTTTGAGCCTAGACAGGCAATATCCAAGCTGTCTCTAATCATGCAATACAGTCCTGACCAGCTACAACCTTCCCACATTCGTCCCAACGTGGCTCCACGGATGTGTCATTCTTCTTATATAGACGCGAGGGGCGGCGCAAGCGGGCGCATATATACAACCATCACCGAGAAGGTCCATCCAGCCGTGAGCACCTATTCTCCATCGTCAGCACAAGCCTAGCAAAACATTCTCGCAATATGTCATGCAAAAGACGCTCTCAGAGACCGAGTTATAAGCAGCGACGGCGTAGCATATGTCGATACTAGCCATACCTTTTCCGGCTCTTCCTATAGATAAATAATGGTCGATGTCTCTCATCTTGTAGCGTTTGAGTAAAGAAAGAATACAACGTACCAGTTGCGAGCTGCGACACAGGCCGGGTTCTGCATGTTAGTGAGGATTATCGCTGTGTGATAGAGCTTGCGCTCTGCGTAAACCACACGGAACAACAGGGCATGTGTTGGTCCATGACGTGCTGGCGCGGCGCGGCGCGTCGACTTCCTGTCTGTGGAGGTTGAGAGCAGGAAAAGTTGAGAGTTTTCCTGAGGCTGCCGAAGCGAGATGCTAAGCTTGGTGTGTATTAGTACCATTTGACCCCTGTTCTTCTGGAGTGACTTGAAATACTTTCGTTTTTGGCATTTGCGAATTGTTTGAAAAAGGACTTGAGTTATGTTTCATACGTCATGTTTTACATCGAACTATGCCACTGGTTTGTAGTCTTGTAATTACTTTAAACCATGCGCTTGATTGCTTGCACATACAACATCGCTATGCGAGGAATTTCCATACATTGATATACATATTCGTTCGCCCTCTTCAATCCTCAATATCGTCATCACTTAATATCAAACTCTTCCCTTTCTCCGCCAATCCCGCTATCGCCGATTCAGCCTCATCATCCTTGCTCGCAATCCTGACCCTCTTCTTCCTTGGCGACAGCTCAGAAGTCGACTTATCAGTCGCCCACTGTTCATGCTCGCTTGTATCCGGCATCTCCAGATCATCCTCGGCATCATCAGGATTCACACTGAACGCGTTGTTGCCGATAAATGAGGTGATCTTTTGGATATCGCGAATGGTGGCTGCGGTAGAGAGATTTGGTGTACGCGATTTGCGCAGTATAATGGGCAAATAGGGAAGCCGCTCTAGCAGCATTTCAGAGCGCGCCGAACCACCGCTGCCAAGGAGGATGGGTACTTTCTCATCATTGGCTGAGGATTTTGCGCCTGGAGTTGATGAGGAAGGCTGGTTGGAGGAGGGATTTCTGCGCCAGGTTTCAACTCCGCCGGTTGCGACGGCCAATTTGGGTGCTCCTGTGGTAGAGGTAAAGAGTTCGCCGCGCTGTGCTCGCATTATCCACATTTCTAACAGATCCCCAATCTCTTCCTGTTGCCTCCACAGCCGTAGTGATGAGGGGTAGTACATAGCGAATGCGTTGCCTTTTGGAGCTCCTGCCGCTGCACCTTGGCCTTTGGCTTTAACACCCATGATACCAGGGGGAGGTGCTAGTCGTCTGACGGGATTTGGTAGATTGTAAAGAAGTCCGCGCACACTCGTGTGAAAACACATTTCGTCTTGGCGTAGATTATCCGCGCTTGTGCCTTGGAAGTTGCGTCGCCCAAAGTCGCCGAAGCGGTCTGGAGAGAGTAGGTCCGCATCTGAAAGAGCATCAACGCACCCTTCCAAAGAGTCCATAGTCTCTTCACTATCGGCACCTCCACATGAGAGGACGTAGTTTTCGTGCAAAGCCGCAGTGAATGTCTGTGTGTCAGTACCAAGCTCATCGATAAGCGTATCGAGATTGACTTCAGATGCTTTTGGCCTGCGTCGCTCAGGAAAGCAGTTCGGTGGTTGGGGAACCAACATCTCTGAATCTTCCGGAAGTCGTTTGTTGTACACGACCCTCCCTACAGCGTGAAATATACCCAGCGTGCTTTCACGTTGCGTCACCATTTCCAGCGACTCCTTCTCCATCTTCGTGATCGGAACATCTTTCGGTCCCTTCTTCTTTGTGAAGTTGACTTTGGCGCCCCATCCCTCGGCGTCATCTCCACGTAGACATAAGAATTCCAAAGAGGATACTGCGCTGCGAATATCGCCGAGCCCTGCAAGTCGCTGGATGACCTGCGGCCCAACAGTTTTCTTGCGCCCAGATTTCCGCGCTTCTTTCAAGACGATTGTGTCCAGTGCTTTCGTCATGTATGTTGGCGCGATCGGATTGAATTCGATAACGGAGACTCCGGGGTGAGTCAGGATCTCGGGACCCAGCAGTCGATGAGCAGTGAAGCTGTCAGCTGCAGCGGTATTGGTAGAAAGAAGTGTCTCGGATATGATCATGACGATAGGAGTAATTGGCTGTTCTGGGTCGGCCGAAGTCGAAAACAACGCAGTAGTTGATGGCACATTCGCCGCAAGATAGTGGAGGACGGAAGATCGAAACGAATGTACGGCCGAAGACGCACGCGCGAATGTATTTGGAAACTCCTCTACAAGAACCAGCTGTTTCTGTCTACTACTCGGTGTGCTGGGCAGAGCCTGTGAGCGAGCCTGGGTCGGCTCGTCAAATGCTAAAGCGCCAAATGCACCAGTCCTTCCAACAAAGTCTTCGAACTGAGCAGTCGCAGACGCGAAGTTATCAGAGGTCGACATAGAGTTTATTGGGTTCTTCCACTCGTGCATGTCGATCCCCAGTTCTTTGGACAGCAGTGCCATTGTGGTGGTCTTCCCACTGCCGGCAGGGCCTTTGAGAAGCAGGAGCCTCTTGCGCCCCTTCCGACCGAAGGCATCTGCGAGCCATGTCTGCACGTCCGTCACCTTTCTCTTGTGCACTGCCAGCTCATCGAGTGACACCGGTCCGTACTGTTCAGTCCATGGCCGTCTGTCTATCGTCTCCGGGGGCGCTGCTGGCTGCGAAGATGGCTGCGAAGGTGGTGGGGGCGTGCTGTGTACTCCGCGCGCTGTAGGCAGGAACCTCTGTCTGCCTTTCGCAATGCTGTCAGGGTCTGTGGTAGCGGTAGCCCTGGTACTCTTCCGCACTGGCAGGGCGATCGATGGCTTTAGGGGACGATCATCGTCGGAGGAGTCGAGGATATCGTCAATTTCTTGGAGCGGTGTAGCAGACTTCTCAGGACTCGGCGTGGGCTGGGCCGACTGCGACCGAGTGGCATTCTTGAAGAAGGATGTGATGGGTTTGTATACCGCCTTGACCTTGCCAGGCTGCTTAGCTGGGGACTTCTCAGTAGACGATGCCGGCAACTTGGGCGACGCTACACGACGCGTCTGCACGCGAGATGTCTTTAGTTCTCTGCGAGCTCCATCAGAGATGCCGGTTAGTGTGCCCCTCTTGGGCCGCTTGGGAGGCGGTGAGTGGGATTCGTCTTCCTCAGAATCCGAGGAGAGCACAATCGGCTTCTTGCGGGTTGCCCGCGACTGAACCATGCCGCCCCAAGATTATCCGGCGAGAACGCACTCCTCGGCAAATTTGCATTCTCGAAGTCGGCAGCCAGTTGTGGTCGCGTGCGGCTGGGCCAAGTGTGGTTCGTTCATGCGGAGCAGTCAGGGAACGCGGAAGAACTACGATATCACGTGACGCCGATCAGTGCTCTGCATGATGCCAACTCATCAACAACAAAACCAAACCACGCTTGTGCTGCATGACGCTCGCCATTCTCGGCCGTGCTCGAGAGGCTGGTATGCGGCTACTAGGTCTGCATACCTACTGGGGTGGCCCGTGTATGTGCTCTGCATGCGCCTTGACGTTGCACCAACGAACAGACGACACGATCACACTATAAACCTCCTGCATAGGGGCTGGACATGGGCATGAAGGAGCTGCGTTCACAGGGTGTTTTTTCGTTCAATGCCGTCATACTTCAATTCCAACGCACCTCCAATCTCATCCGTTTGGCGCACATATCTGGTACCCTATTGCCGGCCAATTCGTAGTCCAACAGAAAGGTAATGAAGGAAGCACTGTTACAATGCGTTCTCCACGTGCAAGGCTGCATCCGGGATTTGGATGTTTAGATGCGATTTAGCAGGGGGCGCATAGAATGGCTCGGCTCACCGTGATATGCCACCTGCCTGTATCCCATTGGACAGGCATGCGTCTTTCAACCTCGTCTGGTCGGGCTTTCAAGACTTTGCTACGCATCGTCCCTTATATAGCTTATATGCGCGTGTTTGTACTTTACAAGTTTTCCTGTCGTTGTGTGCCACGCGAGCAACCCTTTAGCCTGCACGTTGTGATTGCCCCAAAGTGCGAAACACATTCCTCAATCAGCGGCGTTCGGTGTTGATCTACCGATATAACAGGGACTATTACAGCTGCCCGCATGGAGGAGGAGAAGAGCGAGAGTGTCCAGGAGCAGGTGGAAGTGGCATCCCCACCAGGCAGTCCAGTGCCAGCGTCAACAACCGAAGAGCCTGTCCCTGCTGTGCCTGAGTCTTTGCCATTGTCGCCGGAGACGACAGCCACTGAATTGACGTCGAACGATCAATCGAAGTTGTCCACATCCGTACCGCCCACTCAGGATTCAGACGTAGTTGAGGCTGCGTCAACTCCAGACCAGGAAGAAGAGAAACCAAGTTTGGTTAGCTCTGTGCTCTCTGTACTTTCGTCATCTGTGAGCAAAGGGTTAGGGCTGGGATCTCCAGTGGAGCAGACGACACAACTAGAAGCCGAAGCAATGGAGGAGCCGACCCCAAGGGTGGAGACGCCATTAGAATCACCAATTGAACCAGCATCGATAGCCTCAGCCCTATCAGATCCGATCGAAGCGCCAGAAGCCCCAGCTTTAGCAGATTCAATGGAGGCGCCAGAAGCTCCGATAGAGTCAATCGAAGCACCTGACGCTTTGCCTCAAGTTCCCACAGATGCGACTACAGAAGCAGGAATTGAACCGGAACAGACCCAACCGGAGCAGTTATCTGCTGAGCTGGAAGCCGTGGAGTCAGATGAACCAGAGGCAGACATGAATTTACAGGAAGCCGGCGATCCACCGCCCCCAGAACCCGAGCAATCTGAACTCCAGGAACCTGACTCTGAGAGTGAAGAGCAGCTGCCCGCCGCGCATGAACTACCTTTAGCAGAACCGAGGGAGATCGAAGACACTGAGCCAGCTGCTCATTCTGTTCCAGAAGCAATTATTGACAACGTCTTGCCGCCACCACCTGTTCCCGAAGTACTCCCAACAAGTTTCGAAAGGACTGAAGTGATAGAGTTAGTTCCCAAACATGTTCCAGTAGCATCTGTGGAAAGTGAACTACAGCCACAACCCGAAGAGGTGGCAGCAGAACCATTTAAAGCTCGTCGAATTTCTGTTCCACAAATACACCATGCTGTCGCAGAGCCATTCTGGGAGCAAAAAGTGGTGCCTGAACCACCAACTGAGCCAGCGCAAACGCTTGCACCTTCCCCCGAACACATCCCGAAGCGTTCTGCAGCGCCTAGCCCGCCTAGCTTCGAGTCTGTCAATCATCAGCCCACCCCTGCTGCATTCGAGAGCCCTCGAGGCTTGTCTCATTCCGTCCCGGCAGGCGTCTTAAAATTCAGAGCACGGGAACGGGCGTATCGAGATGCGCCAGCACCAAGACCTGAGATGATCGATCACGCTGTCGAGAACAACTGGCCGCCAGCCCCAAGTCCTCCTATGAGCAGAGTACGGCCACGACACGCTCCCGCGTTTGACGATACAGATGATTCGGACGCTTCTCTGATACGGCCTAGACGCCAAGCCAGAGGCGGTGAGGCGCACTCGCGCCAGGAATCTCGGGGGTCCACGTATTCCCAGCCCGCATACCATGCACATCGGCCCACTTATCCACCTCAATCCAGTTATGCACCGCACCAGACGCCAACGCACTTTGCATCGCGTGTTCCAGTGGAGCCTTACTCCAACAATCCTTTACCGCCTCCACCGCCTCCCCCTCCAGGATACCACCCGAGGCACTATCCTGGCGCTGCCCCACCGTACTACCAAAATCATCCTTACGGCTTGAGTCAGCAGACAGGCTATCCAAATCCTTATGCCACCTCACACTCTTCCTCCTCTTCCTATCCGGAACCGTGGAATTATTACCAACCAGGATATCCTCATCATGGCAGCCCTACTCAACATCATGACTCCTCTTTTCGGGGGATGCCTGCTTTAGAGAACGGACTTGCAATTGAAGACGGCTCTGGTGACGTTTTTACCCGCATTGCAAATACTATACCTGATCTTCATGTTCTGCTCGCACGATACAAGGAGACGCATAGTCAACTCAGCGTAAGAGAAGACTTGCTTCGCCGATCAAGTATTGAACAAGAGGAGAAGTTGAGAGCCAAGGATGATGAGATCCACGTGTTGAAAGGAAAGATTAGTAACTTGCAGAACAAGCATTCCACTGAGGCAGGCAGACTGCGATTCGAGATTGGTAACGTGGAAGAGCAGGCGAAAGAGCTTCGGGAACGGGTCGCTCAAACGGAGAAATCCAAAGAAGAGACCAAGTTGGCACTCGACGCGGCCATGACGTCCTGGGCATCCAAGTATAAGGAGCTGGAAGACTCGTATGCGGCTCTGGAAAGGTCTGCTGCCGAGGAGAAGGCAAAGGCCTGGGCAGAGTTCCACGAATGGAGGTCGACCGCCACCACGAGGCACGATGCCGAGAAGATCGCCCTCGCCATACAATTCGACAAGAAACTCAAGGAAGCCGACATCCTTGCCGACATCCGAAGACAAGAAGTCGCATCGGAATATCAGAGACAGCAGCGCGAACGTGAAGCTAGCTTTGATAGAGTACGTACAGACCTTGAGCTTAAACTTGAAGCAGCCCAGAGAGATCGCGAAGAAGCCCTCAAGCTAGAGCGCGAGAGTCGAAACATCTGGCTGGCCGAGCGCGACACACTTGTGAAGGCTCACCACGAAGATCATGAAAGCCTCAAACAGACCTGGGATGAGCAGCGTGATCTCCTGGAGACACAACACAAGCAGGCCAAGGATGAGTCTGAGAAATCCTGGATCGAACTTCACGACGATGCGAGTCGCAAAGCCGAAGAAGAGAGAGAAAGGGTTGATCAGTTGTCGTCGGAGAGGGAAGAGTTGCTGAGGAAGTACAACGAGTTGAAGGCTGAAAGTCTGAAAGAGAAGGAAATCATCAAGAGCGTCGCCACCAACCTCGAGTCCGAGAAGGCCAGGTTGGAGAAGCTCATGGAATGTTACGGCGACATTGCGGAGATCAAAAGCAAGGGGGATACATACTAGTAAGTGACTCTGGATTGTTTTTCGTTTCGGGGGTGTCGTGCGGTGGATGCAGAGGCAGACTCTTGTTTGTAGAACTCATCAAGCACTCCCTACACCATCGTTAGCACTTGTTCATCCCGTAATACAATTGTTTCCCCTTACTTTGACGCCTCTGCTTCATCGTCGTAAACTCCTAAACTTCCGCTAACGAATATGTGCAGCTCGGTGTCCTTCTCGCAACTCCAGAAGCAAATCCTCGACCTCGCCACAACCCACTTCGTGCATCTTCCAGTGCGTCCACCAACAGAAGACCTGACACAAGTTCCAATGAATCTGCCGTCCTTCCTCGGGGATACGAAAGCCTCCAGGTACGTTCCACATGCCAACCACTACCTGGTGTCGTTCTAATGCAGTGAAACTTCAGGCAGGTTCGTGCTACATACGTGGCGCACACAGTGTCAAAACTGATCACATATCGAGTCTTCGGCCCCTTCTTGTTCAGTCTTGGTCGTCGTTATGACAAGGCCGACTCTCTGTTTCTTTCCATGAGCAACCACATCCGCGACAAGAGCACGCGCAAAGAAGCCATCTGGAGACAGCAAACGCTTCTTGCGGCATTCACGAGCAGTGGTGCAAAGCAGCGTATCAACACCGCGGCTGGCACCGTCGTCGAGGAGATTGTGAATGCGATCAAGCATTTTGCTGATCCGAAGGAGGAAGAGGGTATCAAGATCGCGGTGAAGAGGATAGTGAAGCTTGCTGCTGAGACATGGCGGTTCGCGCGCCTCGAGCGCGAGATGATCACAGCGACAATGCCTGCTCTACAGGATGAAGAACACAAATTCACAAGCATAGAGTATTGGCCAGCTTACATGTCTAATAGCACGACCACATCCGGAGCCGTGTCATCGGCTGACGACCAGCCCAAGCTGCTTCTGAGGCTCTTTCCGGTCATCTACCGTGAATCGAAGCACGAGAATTTCCAGAACAACGGCGAGCAGCCTGACGAGGGTTGCATATACCATCATGGTCTGGCTCTGTATGACAATGCAGAGCCGGTTGTTCGAAGGGCGGAAGAGCTCAAATCAGCCGGTTTGCCTTCCTTTACAACTGCTTCTCCGACGAATGCTGAACGTGGGAAGTTTCCGCCGCCGGTGGTCCCTCCGCCTCGGGACCCTGTTCCGCCTCTACCGGAGACTGAGACTATGATGTCCATATGCTCAATGTCAAATCCTCCTCCCCTTTCGCCGACCGAAACCTCTGGGGAAATCTCGGGCAAGCAAACAACACCTCCATCCGCTCGTTCGTTAAATCGATCTGTGGACACACCTCCAAGCCGAGTACTTGCGTACCAGCGCCCACCTCCAGCCCCGATCGACTATCCGACTCCTAGAAACATCATGGGTCTCCCACTGCCGATCGGAAGCATGTTTGCCTCGAAGAAGGCTTCTGTCGCTTCAGGCGCGGCCATCCTACCAATGTCCATCGCGGAGTCGAATGAGGACTCAACCCTTCCAGAACCTACAGACAGTGCCATGTTCTCAGAATCCTTCTATGAGCTTTCCATACAAGACAACAAGGACCCCCCCACACCACCCCATTCTTGCTCCGGCACACCAACACGTGCCGCTTCCCCTCTCTTCGAGACAGCAGACGAGGCTGAGCCTTTGCCAACCCATCGCCGACGACCCTCGGTGGCTTCGCGCCGCCGCTCAAGCCACATCCGTCATCGATCTGAGGACGAGCTCCCGCCCGTACATCCGCAACCCGATCTGACGGATCTCAAACGTCGATCAACCGGCTACGCACTCAGCACCCGTACCTCCAGAACCGCCGAAAGTGAGCGCTCAGAACGCAGCGAGAGATCTGAGCGTACAGAGCGCTCGGACAAGGCTCGCTTCATGTACGAAAGCCGCAGTGCTGCGATCAAGGCCTTGTACCCGAACAGCCCCGTTGTGGGCCAGGGAGAGAAGAGCTCTCGCGATTCCATCAGGAGCTCTAAGAAGAAAGATCGAGACTCGAAAGAGTTGAAGCGAGAGAAGAGTGCGCCTAGTGCACCCGCGAGCATATCTGACACGTTCGAGATGCGGAGGCGGAGAAGCATCCCAGATAATGGGACTTGGGACACGACGTCCTATATCACAGGAGTTCCGACAGGCAACCCATTCTCGAGTAGGCGGATGCCGAAGAGTGTTGCTGAAACTTGGATCCCTGACAATGGAACTTGGGACACATCTTCTTGCATCACAGGGAACCCAACGGCTACTCAGGTTTCGAGGCGCATGGCGAAAAGCATTGCGGATAACGGGACCTGGGACACAGCTTCGGTCATCACGGAAGCCCAGCCGCCCACTCAAGTTTCGACCAGGAAGAGGCCGAAAAGCATTCCTGACAACGGGACTTACGTTCCTGACAAGGCGGCTCATATTGATGACAATGTGACTTACATTCCCGACAACGCGACTTTCATTTCTGACAATGGGACTTGGGACACAGCCTCTGTCGCTACGGGATACCCGACGGGTACACAAATCTCCTCGAGGCGAAGACCGGTCAGTATCCTTGATACCGAAACCTGGATCCCCGACAACGGGACTTGGGACACGATGTCTTATGTCACGGGGAACCCGACGGGCACTCAAATCTCTACTAGACGGAGGGCCGAGAGTATATCTGATAACGGGACTTGGGATACGAATTCCATCATGACAACCGACCCCACGAGAACGGAATTCTCCACGCACCGGTACAAGTAGACGTAACAGTCTCAGTCGCCAGGATAGCGTCGTGTTTTTTTTTGGGTGTTTTTGCGATCGAGTCGAATTTGCCTTTGTTCCAAGGGACAAGGATTGTTTATACCTGGCGTTCTGTGGCCTTGTGCCTAACGTTTTTTTTGTTGCTCCTTTTTTGTTTTGCTTCGACGCATTTTGTATAGCAACGGCTTGCATTCGAAGCATTGCTGAGGAGTTTTCCGCATCCACGACGTATGAGCATGTATCACATCACATCACGGCTGAAGAACGAACGCATTACGAAATGGGCGCGCAGCATCGTCAACGACAAGATATCTATCAAAACATAGCGAGGCGTTTTTTGGGGAGGGGGATGGGCTTTTGCGCTTCTCAGCGTTTAATCTTGTTTTTGCCTTCGTGCAGGACTGTACAGTATATATACCACGCTAGCTAGAACCAAATTGAGCCCGTTTTTCTAAATGATATTCCTAAAACTTTGAAACATGTATTTTATCGATGATATCATAGCTTTGCGGGTTCGTCGAAGGTGAATAATCCCCGGCCTTTCTTCGCGGAGTCTTGCCTCAACCATCCACTTCTCCCAACAATTTCTCCCGTCCCTTCAGCCATCTGCCGTAATGTACTGTCGTCTCCATGGTTCGCAAGGAACCGCTTGTCGTTGCTCTTCAAGCGTCCAACTATATGGCCTCGCAGGGGACTGCCATCACGCTTGAACTCGACCGTGTACGTCTACAACCCGTCAGCATCTGCGAACCGGAAGCCCAAGTAGGGAGTCAAGACAAGGCAATGTCCCGATATACAGCCCCGTGATGAATACATACCTCCACGACCGCCTCACCCTCCGCCTCAAGCATAACCTCCGGCACATGCACATCTGTGATCTGACTCGGCAGCGGGTTCTCCTGAGGATACTCTCCACGCTTTCGTGGTTCATTCGACAAGATAACAACATACTGATAGCTCAACACACCCCCATTGCACAACACTAACCCCTTCCTCCCCTTACCATCTCTTAGCTGCCTCGTCATTTCCGTCAGCGCATGCATCGAGTAGTTGTTCCCCGCGCCGCCGAAGCTCGTCAACCCACCCAGAAGCGTCAGTGCCTTCTCACCACCCGTAATCGGCAAACCCAGATGCATAGCTGCGAGTTTCGGGACGATGGGAAAACAGGAGTAGATATCGTAAAGATCAATATCTTCCTTGCTAGTATCGGAGAGTCTAAGCGCGGCGTCTATAGACCGCGAGATGCTGGGCGAGGAGTAGAAGTCCGGGCGCTCCCAGAAGGCGTCCGAGTCGCGCGTGCCGGCGCCGCCGAGCGGGTAGATCCATTTCGAGGGCGGGATGTTGAGGGATGTAGCGATGCGGGTGGTGGTTAGGATGACGGCGGAGGCGAGGTTCACGGTGTTGAAGGCGTTCATCAGGAGGGGATCTAGCCTTGTATGAGTTTCGTTCAAATCAACTCTTGCACTGGATGGAGGAAAGGGAGTGAATAACGTACACGGCGAGCATATCATCCTATTCTTCTTCCCCACCGTCGCAATCACCTCCTCGCTGTCCGCCCGACCGGCATTCCACGCATAGGCTTGTTTCGCTGCAACTTGTGAGAACTCGGCGTACAGCTTCGCACTCTCTTCATGGTTCGCCTTCACGCTCTGTCCACGATGGGCGCGGAATGCATTCTCATACAGCGGGTAAACATGGATCGGAGCCCCGATCTGATGGATAGCGCCGAGATCTGTCGTGGAATGAGCATGTGAAAGGCGCTGCCAGAGGGCAGAAATCATACTATCGCCCAGATCGCGGCCCGTGGGCGTAAACACCGAGTCCACAGCTTGTTCTGGCGTTGTCCAGCCCGGTGGGGGCAGTTGGCCGGCGGCTGCGCAGGCGGATACTAGAATTCCATCAGCATAGTTCTTTTGGACCAGGAAACTGGATGCACGTCTTTCCAGCTACTAGACAATGACTAGATGAGAAGTGTTTCGACATACAGGATGCCAGCGCTTCGCCCCCGGTTAAAACTGCAACCTTTACCTCCCCACTCGCAATTCTCTTACACGCCGCGTCAAACATCCTCCCGGGCTTATCCCCCCCATGCTCGGAATACGCCTTCCACTTCAGCCCGTCCTGTACGCCCAGCTCCCGCGCCACTAACCCGGGAAGATCAGGGTACGGCCACGTCCACGTCCTAACAACATCAATACTGTCGATGCTAGCCTGCAATGCGCTCGCAGACGACGAACCCGCGTCGTGGATGGCGAGGCGGATGGCTTCGAGGATGAGGGTTGCGGGTTCTTTGGCAGTGGTGGAACGGTTTTTGACATCGCCGACGCCGATGATTATTGGGATCGAGGGGGCCATGGTGGGTGGTGTTGGGGGAGCGTTTGGGGTGGGTTGAGGACTACATGGTTGGGGTATATGGTATGTACGTCGTGGTTTAGAGAGTCATCATTTGGAATGAGGAGATGGTTGCTTTTGCCGAGGTTTGTACATGTTAGTACCATGAGGCTGTGAGCGACACAACATGTCGGTAGGATGGAGGAGGTGACTGCATTTATGCTTGGATGAATTGTGTGGGACTCAGAGTGTAAGCTTAGGCTATTGAAATTGCTTGTATGTTGTAAGGGTGAGAGGAAGTGTCTGGCGCTAGTGTAAGGAGCTGTCGATAGACACAGTCAGATTTCATTCTCTTGATACAGTCACATCAGCACATCATTAAACAAAGCAATCATGCACCAACCGACACTCTGTCATTCTCTCTGCTAACGGAGAGTCTTGCTCTCCGTCCTATTCACAGCCACCGACTACGCACCTGCATTTTAGCAGTAGTAATCCAACCCGAATCGCACAGTGCATACCAATAACCCTCAGCCAAACAAAGAAAAATAATGCACAACCTACGCTCCAGCCAGCATACCAGCACCGGAATTAGATTAATGTAGGCGAAGGGAAACCCTCAGCCAACCGCTCAACTGCAACTCAAAGAAAATAGGTAAACTCCCATACACAAAGAAATAAGCAAGCTCGAGCCAAAAAGTCAAGGAAAATATTGATATGTCGCAAATGTTGAGAAAAGTGGGTGCCCTTTGGGCAAGAACTGAAGGCAGAAGCGAACGCAAAAGTAATATGCCAAGCAGTGCGCCGGGCAGGTATCGTAGAAAAACAGGTTGAACGGAATGTAAACAAAGTAGAGAAGGAACAAAAAGGTATATGCAAAAAAAGACAGTTGTCGCCAAACCAAGGACGCCGTCGCCAAATGAATGCAGGGGTGGGTCGTGGGCACGTTTACAAGCAATTTTGAAGATTAATGTGGCATCGGAGATGCAGCACCACTCTTCTTGCGACTAAAGAGGGCTCTTGTCCGGCTCTTGTCGCGGGCTTTCTTTTCCGAGTTGTCTTTCTTCGCCGAGCGTCCTGAGCGGACGGACCGGGAATCCGAGGCGGTGAAGTCGTCCATGTACTTGTCTTTGTAGATCCTATAGGATATGATTAGTAACGCACATGACAACTGAGATGAAATGACTTACCAACTGTTACCGACCATGCTCACTCCCTTCTCCTCCGCAGCACGGTAGAACTTGGCAGCCTTCTTCATGTCTTTCCTGCAGCCGACGCCTTCAGCATAGCAGTATCCGGCTTCCACCAAAGCGTCAGCATCGCCCCAGTTTCCGGCAATCTCGTAGCAACGAAGCGCAAGAGTCTTGTCCTGAGCCGCACCCCAGCCGTTCATGTAGCATTTCCCAAGCTCATAGATTGCGACGCCATAACGTGCTCTGTGCTGCTTCTTCTTGACGATGTCAATTGGCCGCCCATGTCTGGACTGGTCCTCATCGTCGGCAACTTCTAGATGGCCAGAATCGACGGCGCGACGCAGCCACGTCAACGCTTCAGATTTGTTCTCGCGCATACCCCAGCCATGGCGGCAAGCCAGGCCATACCAGAACATGGCCTCCGGGAGACCTGCACGAGCAGCGAGACGCAGATGATAGGTAGACTTCAGAAGCTCACCAGCCTCATGAAGTTCAACACCCTTGTCACAGTGTTCCTGCGCAGTGACTTCGGCGCCAACTGTGGTAGATGGGCCACGTATCGTGCTATTGCTCGATGTAAGTGATGGTGCTCCGCGGTTCAACGCGGCATCGCGAGCAGGCGTTGATTGCTGCTGCTGCTGCTGCTGTGATCGTGACGATTCGAAAGAACGGGGCGGCGATTCCGGCGATGGCGGCCGTGCTTGCTTTTGATTTGGCTGGTCCCATGTGATCTGGTCGTTGAGGAAATCCTCAGCGCCTACAGACTTTCGATCCAGCTTCCTGCCTCGGGGAAGGTCAAATTTGGAGTAGGTGTAAGATGGTACGGGATTGGTTGTGAAATCGCCTGATCGACGGAAGCAATCTTCGCTGACCATACTAACGGGCGTATGTACAGTCTCGTTATGATAGTTTGTAGTAGGGCTGTCAATGTACTCTTGGAGTCTGACGCTAGTATCGTAGGATACCCTCATGTTTACACTCTCCTCAGAAGGCTGTCGCGATGGCGGGCCAAATGGAGGCCTTACATCGACCGACGGTCTTTGGCTCTGCCTGCTCATAGGTCTAGAAAAATTGAAGGACGGGCGAGGGAGGTAAGAGCCACCGACAGAGTATTCAGAAGATTGCGATGTAGAACGAGCAAGGGGTGGTTGTGCAGGTCGCGTGAAGGGAGACTGGGCACGGAAGCTAGGCGATCGACTCCTGTTCGGCTGCAAAGACTCGAAAGAGGCGCTCAGCGACATGTCCTCGACCTCATCAGAGCTGTCCTGAACCGACCTGATGCTGGGCGATTGCCTGGGAGAGCGCTGAGAGTGCAGCGAGCTGGACGACCTCGGAGGCAGAAGGTTAGCTTGAGGGCGCGACCTGGGCGATCTAGGTTGCGAGTCCGACGATGGGTTCCGCTGGGGGCTGAGGAACATCCGCGAGGTTGGGCCTGGCACAGTCGGGCTGACAGGCGTAGCTTCGCGGATGTCAATGTGGTGTTCGGCTGCTTCTGGAGAACGTGATCTTGGAATGTCGAAGTAACCCTGCGGCGAGCCAGCAGGACTGATCTCTCCAATTGACGCCAGAGGCATCCGCATGTGGGGCGATTGGAGATGATTCATTTCGTCGCCGCCGAACTGTCCCATGAAAGACTTATGCCTCTCAGGAGCCTGGACCTGCCGAGGCGACACCTGCGGCTTCCGTCCTGGGCTGGCGGGCGCCTGCTGGTCGTTGGGAGGGCATAGGTCATCGTTTGGAGAGTTGAGCGCCGAATTGGACAGCGACGTGAAGTAGCCTGGGCGGTGGCCAAACTCATTCTGGATGGTGAGCGGGGCCAGGCGACTGAGGCGCCGTCCGCTCCGGTCGGCCTGCTCGAAGCGCTTCGCCAGAAGACGTCCCTGCAGCGCGAGGGCGTCCAGAGGGGAGAGGGCGGGCGGCACTTCGCCAGCCTGTGGGCTGGGTATGTCGGCGAGGGAGAGGCTGCTGGCGCTGGCGCCGGCGGAGCTTCCTATGCCGGCATAACTGGGGTCGAAGGACTGCGAGCGGAACTCGAGGCCGCCAGGGCGATATGGTCGTGCCATGATGGAGGCGAGAGAGCGAGTGTATGTCTTCAGCAGGGGTATCGCATGGAATCGGCGCGTGTCGGGCAAAGGCAATGGACCGGCATGCGAGCAGCGTGTGAAGCAGACGTCGAGCACAGAGTGCAGGGTGGGCGCGGGAGATGTTCTATGGCGGCCAACGCTAGAAACGCGATGCGATGTCGACTAGCAGATTCGGGATGGGCTGTGTAGATGGCGCAGATGGTTGCAGATCAGCAGAAGGAGTGGACGCGACGGCGACGGCGTGAGTGCACGAGTGGGCGCAGAAGAGGAGAGAGAGCTGCAACAGTGGCCAGGCCTCACGATAGTCGGTGAAAGACTCTGGCACTCGCGTGTATTTGCTGCCCGGACTCTACCTCCTGAGGAAAACTTGGCGACCAGCAGGGCCATCAAACTAAAAACGTCTGGGGGAGGTTACCCCTTGCTAAATTAAGATCACTCACCAATCCCCATCTAGGCCCTGCATGAGCTTCATAAAGCCGTTGCGCCCTCTGCATCGTCAGCGTGACACGGCCTTGTAGAAAACAGCAACAATTGGCGCGGCTTTGATGATGCCCTCATTCTTGCCACTTTAGCCTTCATCTCTCCCATGGCACGACGTCCTGTGGTTCCCTGTTCGCAAAATACCCCCCGATGACTAGAACGATTCTAGACTCAAGCTCCTGCACACGTAACGAGTTTCAGCTCGTACCCTGCCCCTCGGCTCGCTGCCGAATTGGGACCAAGCCGTTATTGTGGCACTCTCTGCACGTCAACTTCATTTGGCGCGTCGTAGACTTTGTCCTGTGGAGCAAGCGGGTCTGTGACGGCCGTCTCATCAAACTGCGAACCACTGTTCCCGAACACACGACGACATCATCAAGGCTGAAATTTGTTTGTTTTTGCTGCACACCTCATCGCTGACATCTGAGTGGAGAATGTCTGGTGTTTAGCTTTGCGATGCCAATAGTCTCTATGCTGCTAGACGCCTTAGTGTACGTATACTAACGTAGCTTCGTACCCCGATATAACCTTGCGCAAGTGTCACTGCTGCCAAATTACTCTAGAGAGGTTCACATTATTCACAGAGTAACATCGAACGGCACGCCGACACGAGGCGCACGAGAAGGGTCAACATTGCCATTGCAACCCAAGTCGTCGAGTCGTGCAAAAAGAAGCCTACAAGTCCTTGAAGCCGCATCAAACATCTGACGTCTTCAAACGATTGCTTCCACTTTCTCCCATGACTGCACACTATCCTCGAGTTTGGGTGCTGCGGTCGTGTCAAGCGAGACGCGCCGTAGACCCATCATCCATCCTACTACGCCAGTGGGTACCCAGTTGGCGACAAGGTCGTAGGTGACACTCCCGCGACCCACGCGCCAAACCTTGCGGGGCCGATTTTGCGTGAGCGCGTCAAAAACGGCATTGTGCAGCTCGCGCAGAGGGCTTCCTGAACTGCTTGTATGATTAAACACCCCGCGACTATGCGCAACACGTGTCTGGTTGGCAAAGTTGTTGGCATACAACGCTTTGGTGGTCGTTGGCCATGCATCTGGACCATTTGATACTCTTCTCTGAAGGTGATGTTTCGGGCCCACGTTAGTATAATCGAAGGTTCCAAGGTGAAACTGAATGACGTCGATATCGAGAGTGCCCAGCTCCCCTCTTAGCGACGCCAGAAAGCCTTCGAGGGCGTGAACGATCGTCGTTTCTACGCTATGGAACGGCGGTTGTAACGACGCCACGATACTGGGCGTAAGCATCATGACTCGCGATTTGAACTCGCAGATTGTTGGCAGCAACGCTTGTGTTACTGCAATGGTGTTGAGTACTTTGGCATTCAATGCATCGGACCAGAGCTCTGGAGAAACAGTTTCGATTGGTCCTGATGGGAAGATTAGGTCGGGGACTAGGACGACGCCCTTCAGGTGGAGGTTGTGAGGACTAGCTCCTGCGAAAGCAACGTGTGGCTTCGTGAGCATATGGTGGAAGCGCTCTATGGCTTTCTGTGTGCCGTAGGTGTCCACAACGTCTAAATGTAAAGGTTTGACGTCCGCTCTTGATTCGCTTAGCACCTGTTGCTCTTCGTCCATGTTTGAGCACACAATGTATACGATGAAACCGCGTCTTTCGAGGTCGAGCGATAGCGACTTTGTGATGGGTGAATTTGGAGGGCCCGCGATAACTGCAGTTGTCAGCCATACTCTTTCGATATGTCGAGCATTCCGCGCATACCCACAACTTCTCTTCGCGCTCCATTACTTGCTCTGCGCGCTCTCCGCTTGCGGTTGTACTTCTTCCTTTCCCGCCATACAAGAAACCCGCCTGTCCCAACAAACGCGACAAATGCTGCTGTCAGCGCGCGATTCTTGGAAACCCAGTCTTGAAGGTAATAGATGTATGCGCCTGTTACGGTGGCGGGTGGCGGCGGTGGTGGAGGTAATGGTCGCGCCTGCTGTGGAAGCCAGTTCTCGGGAACGTGTCGCTTTACATACCCAGCTACGTTGGCAAAGTGTCTATCGCTCGCGTCCCATATCGACCCTGTGAAGCTCTTAATGTCTTGAGAGTACTCTGTAAGCTCGAATGTCGTTAGTATGGCGGGAGAGATAAGTGACCTAAACACTCACCACGTCTAGAAAACGCTGCTCGTCGTTTGCCATGGTTATTTCGAGGCGGGTTTTATAGTGTTAGTCGAGCGCAGTGTAGAAAAGTGTAATCGAAGTCTGAACGCCCTGCATCTACGTCAGGCATGTGGGGCATCCATCACGGTCTCACGCGCTACCCACAATCGTCCCGCGTCCTGGGCACCTAACACCCTTGCGCCATTGTGAGGCTGTACACTTGGTGACCGCGGCCATGTCTCCTTCACCTTGTCTTCACAACATCTTGGTCACGGCGCCTGTAGGCCCGTTGCGGAAGCTGGCACTCTTTCCGACTTACGCGTCCTTCACTGTTGGCCACTGCTATCGTGTGAATAGTCTACGTGGCTGGCGTCAGGCGTTGCCACCTCCCTGAGTAATTCGATTTATTATACTTCTACTCGTTTCTTTGCCTCTGTGCGATTCTATGGTCTTCTCTGATTTGGCTGCTCCACATATGTCTGGTCGATTAAACGCGTGTTCCTCCGTCAATCAAGCAATTTCAGTCAAACTACATACCGAGATATCCCAAGAAAAGGATGAACAGAATGAGGGAGATCGACGCGCACTTCGATGCGTATGAGCATCTGAAGCACTTGCCGAGAGACTCAGAAGCGCTCCACATGCTTCGCAAGGCTGCGTCGATGGTCAAGCCGATGATGAGGAAGCGCGGGTGGAAAGTCGGCACACTGGCTGAGTTTCTGCCAGACGAGCCACAGCTGCTCGGTAGGCGTGTCTCTTACAGAATTGGAAATCATCTCTAAACAAATATCAGGCTTGAACATAAACCGTACAGAGAGGATTCTTATACGTATGAGGTACCATCACGATTCGAGACAATTCCTGCCCATGGAACAAATCACCGATACCTTGCTCCATGAGCTATCGCATATTGTCTATGGGCCACATAACGCCGACTTTAACAATCTTTGGAACGAACTACGTGATGAGCACCAGTCACTCTTGATGAAAGGCTACACTGGCGAGGGCTTCCTATCACAAGGTCAAAAGCTCGGCGGCAGGCGGATTCCTCTTGATGAAATGCGCCGCCAGGCCAGACTAGCTGCTGAGAAGCGGAAAGCAAGCACTAACATTCATGCTGGCGGCAATAGATTGGGTGGGAGTCAGTCGGTACGGGGCGTGGACATGCGCAAAGTCATTGCGGATGCAGCGACAAGGCGGAACAGCATCACCGAAGGATGTGCAAGCGGGAGCTCAGAAGTTGGGAGATTGAGAAACCAACAAGAGCAAGATGGTTTCAGGACAACAGCCGAGCAAGACGATGCCAACGACCTGGCAATCGCACGAGCATTACAAGACCTGATGTATGAGGAGGAAATGCGACAACTTGGCGCGCCAACGGGTGGAGGTGGTCTTTCATGGGACCGTCAGAATGGACTTCAATTCGACAGCAACCCACCTTCGCGGTCAGCTTCGCTTACGACATATCTACCATCGACAGGAGAACGAGGGCTCTCATACTCGCCTCTCCAGTCTCAACAACCGTACCCATCAGACAGTCCCTCGTCAGACATTCAAAGACGCCCTCTCTCCCGGATTCTCACAGAACCTTTGATGAAGACTTCTGCCACACCCTCGTCATCACGATCAACACACTCCTCTGCCCGCTCCTCTACACGTCTGATATCTCGTGAAGAAGAATCTCTCCGCAACAAACAACTTCCCCCCACACCACCTCCGCCCTCACCTCAAGCGCTGCTCGTCCCTACCGACCCCAACAAATGGGCATGTCCACAATGTACACTGCACAACCCGCTCGACTTCTTGTCATGTGGAGCATGTGGGCTCGAACAACCACCGCAACCGATTCCCCAACACAAGCGCTTCGGACCGTCACAGGCGGCGCCTAGTTTGCCAAGGCCACCACCGCAGTCAGGGTTGAGGGGGCCAGGAGCTACGCCGTTTGAGCCGGCGAAAGGCCGCATGGGGTGGAACTGTTTGGAGTGTGGGACATTCATGGAAAACCAATGGTGGACCTGCTCGTTGTGTGGGGTGATGAAAGTGGATTCGTAGGGCTAGGAATAGGCTTTGTCGAATCCATTTTCTTCGACAAGGGAGAGTGCTGACCCTGCAATTCACGTATGTTAGATCGTGGGGTCTGGTACCACGGCACCATTTGGGTATAATCGAACGGGCACCTTTGGAGTGAATTGTTGATGTTGTTTTCTTCCCTCGAACGCTTCACACGCTTGTGTTCACGTACATACAGGACTGCCCTGGGCATCAAGGTACATCAAAGCTTATTACAGCACTTCAAAGTAGCTTAGCTTTCACATCGAGTAATTTTCGATTATGTGTTTGAACTCTCATTTTTTGTTGAATACATCTCGTTGCTCTTATGTTCTTGGTGAATAACTGAGCGATTCAAGGTCGTTTTGTCAATTCTTTGCGTTTATCAATGCCCTTTGCTTTCAGTATTCAATTCCCTTAAGCGTTTGCTCAAGTTCACGTTTGTGTCCTGCTTCTTCAGTGTTCCCTGAGGCATATCAATGTTAGGGTTCACTGGAGTTGAGCTTCTGTTTGTAAAATGTGCCACGTATGCCAGGGTCTCGAATATCCGCATCTCTCGAACCTGTAGTGACGTAGCTCAAACGTCTGGGTTGGCACTATATCCAGTTGAGGATCGAGTAATGTCTTGAGGATGTGAAAGTATCGTCGACATATTACACCTCTTTCACCCGCCTCTTACGAGAAACAAGCGGGGACTTGTTGACCTTGACAGGAGCTTACATGGAGTGGATTTCGAAGAGCAGAGGCAGTGTCATCTAAGGGTTGTACTCGAACAAACTCGACTTCAGGCTTCTTTCACCAATTTGACATCATCGTCGGTCGCCTTGACAACCGAGTGTCTCCCGCTGCACTCACATTGACTAACACCTGCCTTCCATTTACTCAACCCCCGCACCTCACAAAACCCTTCAACACTTCACCCGCACACTCGGCCAAGCGGAACGGTACCACGCCTCGCAATGCCTACGCTCAAGGATCTCACCTGCTCGATCGAGCTCTCGGACGACCAAACCGCACTACAAGAGTTCGGCACCATCTACGGAGATGGCTGCGTTGAGACCTTCATCCCCGTACCCAGCAAGTCGCACTCATTCTCGGTTCATCTCAGCTCCAAAAAGTTCATTGCCCCTGGAATCGCAATGTATGTCTTCATAGACGGCGTGTATCAATGCAATCGCAACAGACAGGACTTAAAGCTGCGCAAGCCGGATGATCGTCGGTCTTTGGTCGATTTCAGAGTCAGGCAGAAGGAGGAGAAGCAGAAAGATGGGTCTATGATTGCGCGTGAGTGGACGTTTGAGAAGCTGAATGGTAAGTGGTGTTTTGAATGTGAATGCGGTATGCTGACTGATGAAGCTTCTGCGAATGATGCACCAGATTTGTGCTCGCCAAATATCCTCGACAATATAGGCTGCATCGAAGTCATTGTGCTTCGCTGCGCTGGCCCTCGCAACGCCAAAAATGCACCTAATATGAACCTTGATGGCGCAGGTGATGTGCCTGACTTTCACTTCAGCTTGGATGGGCCGTCAGACGGACGATCGATTTACGATGATCGACTGCCTTTCTCTACGGGATACAACGGTCGTGTCCCTTCTGTGCCTTCACAGTATCGCTCGCCCTACGCTGAGACAGCCCGTAGTCGCGAGGGGACGGCAGTGCGAAGCCGGCGTAGCACTCAGACTGGGTGGGGCGTTCCATCAGCTCCTCCACCCAGCCATCAGCGTGCACAATCGAGGTACTCAGAGCCCGTCAGTCCTGGTACGCGACCAAAGGGCAACATATCTCTCTCTGGCGTTCAATATGGCAGTGGACCTATTCCCAGGGATGAATCCGACCGAGATCACACACCTAGCAGCCTATCGTCGAATACTCCCATGGTCGATCCAGCATGGCTCGACAAGCTGGTAACAACAGCAGTCAAGCGTGGCGTGGAAGAAGCACGTCGGAACGAGACGCCATTGGACCAACCTATAGAGCATAAACAGACTGTAGTCGGTGTTGCAGCTGCCAGTCAGCCTCCCGGAGCATGGCCCATGTCACCGTTCAGCACTCCTGTGCAGGTGACATCATCAGAATCCAACATGCCCAACTCTGACGAAGACCGCGGCACAACGTGGAGTGAATCACAGAGCGGCTGGCAGCAATCTCCCGCTCGCAGCAGAGCAGGGACGCGGGTCACTTGGAATGAAGAGCCAGTGTGGGACAGTTCGTCCCAGGCCAACGGATGGGCCTCACTGGAGGACAACAACGTCGACTCCTGGGATACAGACGAGACATGGGCAACCAAGAATTCCGATGCAAAGGAATCATCGAGCCGAGGAAGTAGATCCAGAGCTCCTGTTGCTCTCAGCATGCGACATGTGTCTCCTGGTACAGTTCGCACGCGCCGCTCACGCTCCAGGGTGTCTCGTCCGCGAGGTTCTACGCTGAGAAACGAGTTGAGTTCTTCTTCCGAGGACAACGAGGGCTGGACGCATGTTGAGCGCGCATCGACCTCTGATGCTTCGTGGGAGATCTCAGACGACACGGTGAGGCCCGAGCAGTCGCGGAGCCAGGTACTACCTTCAAGGAGCAAATCGAAGAAGCGTGCGCCATCCCATCACAGTGAGCGACCCCACGCACCACCGTCGCACTACAGTGAGCATTCCCACCATACGCCATCTCACCACGACCACAAACAAACACACTATCCTTTCGAACCTCCTATTTGGCATCCGGCAAGCATAGCCCCTACCGCTATCCCCATGAACGCACCACCCACATACTCCGCACCACCACCCTCCGCACACCCAGCAGAACCCCCCACGCGAAAAGTCAGCATGCACACCGAACCCGCGCTATCCGTCGCTCCACCACCGAGTTGGGGTTGTGCTGTCCCTGAGAAAACGAGGGTGCACAGCATGGCGACGACATACACGCCTCCCGCGCCGTACGGCATTACTCTGGACGAGCTGGTAAAGAGCACGAAGGGGAGCGTGGTCAACGAGGCTCGATCGGCGAGTTCTTCGTCCTGGGGTGTTGGGAAGAATGGTGGTGAGGACAGGAAGGCGAAGGTATCTGGGGAAAAGACGGCGTCGAGGTCTTCGTCTTGGGAGAGTGGGGGGAAGGTCGGGGGTAAGATGGATTTATGGGGGAACGAGGAGTCTGGCGCCGGAGAGAGTTCGTGGGGAAGTGGTGGTGGTGGTGGTGGTGATGGTGACGGGGCGAAGACTGCTTCGATGCGTGGTGGTAGGGAGAGCTCGTGGGGTGAGTCTGCTGACCAAAATTATGGCTGGGGCGATGATAACGGAAAAGACAACGACAACGACAACGGCTGGGGTACGTCTAACGTCGAAGCCGAAGCCGAACCCAAGCACGAAAACACCCAGCCACCCCCAACCGCCATCCACACCAGCAAATGGCCCTCACCCCCCGACAACCCAGCGAGCAGCACCTGGGCCACGCAAGCCACCACCCCGACCGCCGCACGCCCAGCAAAGCAGAAGAAGAGATCTACCGCCGCCGTCATACCAGACCCCCTCCCACCCGCATCACACCCGTCTAAACCTCCCAAACAATTTCCCCCAAAGATACTCCCCCTCCCCCCTACCATCCCCAACCCCTCCCCATCCCCGAACTGGCGCTTCCCTCCCCCTCCCCCAAGCTCACCCTCCCCCCACGCAGGCCCCCACCACGAAGTCCGCACAGGTGCAGCGACGAAATACGGACACGTCATCGGACGGCCCGCGTATGTGGATGGTTTGGATCGGCCGGTACGTTAATTTCCCCTTTCATTTTCCTTCCTTCTTCTTTTCCCCCTCTTCGTTTGCGTTTGCGTTTGCGTTTGCGGTGCTGATGATAATAATGTGTAGTATGCTGTGTTTCGGTTCAAGTATCGCTCTCGGGAGGTTTTGGGGGGGATGTTTGGAAGGGCGGAGGGTTGTGGAGAGGAGAAGAAGGGGAGGGATGATGGGGAGAAAGACTCGGATAGTGTTATTGCGAGGGGGTTTACGGAGAGGTGGGTTGAGAGGCATTCTAGGAGGGATAGTGGCAGGGATGAGGGTGGGGTTAAGGTGAAGTGGTAGGATGGGATGAGATTTGACATGACAAGATGTGATTGCGGGCGTGGAGTGTAGTAGATGGGTAGACATGGACATACGACTTCTCTTTAATGTCACTGATTGACTGGGGTTGAGCGTGTGTAATACTCAACTCTTGCTTTAGCATGGTATCATTTCCTATCCTATCCTATCTGCATATCTTTTCCCCACGTTGGCCAGATGCCAACCCACAGGTTAATCTCTCAAGGCGTCAGGTTACTTCATCAGCGCAATGCCTCGTAAATCCCATTCCATTTCATTCCATTCCATCCAACACACGCACGCACGCAGTTTTCTCATCGTCGCCCAAACGCCGTGGAATCGTCAGTCCCTCAAACGCCATGGAGATGCATAGTTTTTCGATATTTTATATTCGTTGCCCCAACATGTTAAATTTAAACCAGCAGCACGGCGTTCAAGCAGCCGTCGTTTTCGGGGTTATTGGTAACCTCTATGAATTAAGTTATTAGTAGATGTGCAGACGATTGTTTTTCGACAGCAGTCTGGATATAATACGTACGAGCATAACGACCCCAGACGACCTTTCCACCAGCCGTCACGAGGCCCAACTCAGAAACATTGACCTCGATGATAGTTCCCTTTGTCAAGACGCCGAGCTGCGTATACAGCGGGTTCTGGGGGTTCTTCTTGACAGAGATGATAGGCAGCTGAACAGTGACGCTCAACTCCGGGTGTGTGACGTTTGCCTTCTTGTACCTCAGTCCCATGGGCCTGATGAAGCGCTCATACTTGACAGGTCTGCGCGTGAAGCCGGGCCCCACAAACGTAGGCTTGGTGATCATACGCTTCCAGCTCTTCTTATGCGTCTTCTTTCCCGTCTTGACAACGCTGAACATCTCCTCCTCGGAGATACCCTTGACCTTTGGCAGGGGCACGGAGAAGCGAGCAGCCTTCTCATTGCGCTTCTGCTTGATGGCCGAGGACAGGGCCTTTGCGTTCTTCTCGTTGGAGCGGTCGAGCAGGTACTGCGGCAGGGCTTCGGTGGCGGGCTCGGCGGGCTCCGAGGTCTTGAGGTTGCGTTCCTCGTGCGCGCGGATCGTCTTCTTCATCTGGATCTTCTCCTTGCGCCGCTTCTCGGCGTACAGCTTGGCGCGCAGGCCGCGGTAGTTTTGCGCTTTCTTGGACCCATCGTGGCCTTCTCGGGCTATGCGCTTGCGCTTGCGTTCGTCGTGGTCGAAGCGCTTGCCGTGCCTGCGGGGGGGTTAGACATTGCGGGCGGGCGGGAGGGGTTTGGTGGGGATGGGAAGACGTACTGCTTCGTCCAGCGCTCGATGTACTCGTTCTGGGGCATGGCTGCTGCTCGTCTCCGGGGGTGTTGTTGGGGAAGAAGTGAAGAGTAGTGGTAGCGGCCTTTCGCAACCTGCAGCCCCATCTAAAAGTTCAGATTGCCAAGCCCTGCACCTTTCTTACCTAAGCCGTCCCGTCCGCATCTCCGACTCCGCAAGAATTCCACTCCAAGCAAGTCCAAAGCCAATTGAATACCCAGCCGCCTGCCTGGCCAACACCCCCCTCTAAAAAAAGAAGAATGGCATCCCTCGCCCGCACCGCGCGAACCGCCCTCGCCGACGCCCGCACAACCGCCCCCTCCCTCCGCGCAGCCCTCACAACCGTCTCCCACACCCTCGACACCAGCAACGTCCCCGAACCCCTCCTCCGCTCAGGCCAGCACATCCCCGCCGCAGCCCTTACAAAAGCCAGCGGGCCCCCCAAACTATCCGCCCGCGCACCCAAACCCAGCGCCCCCAGCTCGCCCCACGCCCGCTCCGACATCGTAACCCAACACATCACGCCCTCGATCCGACACCTCCTGCCGCTGCTGCACACACAGCCCGCGCACTACATCACCGCGCACATCCACGGGCACCCGTATCTGCTCACAGCGGGGGACACGCTGCGCCTCCCGTTCCTGATGCCGCACGTCAAGCCGGGGGATATCCTGCGGCTGAATCGCGCTACGCATATTGGTAGTCGTGACTATACGCTCAAGGCGCCGGCGACGGTCAAGGGGAATGCGGACCATGGGAAGCAGGTTTTTTACCTTGATGAGCGGCTGTTTACGTGTCGGGCGAGGGTTGTGGGGATTGAGACGGAGCCGTTGAGGGTTGAGGAGAAGACGAAGCGTAGGCAGAGACATGTCAAGCATGTGTTTAGTAAGATGCGGTTTACGGTGCTGAAGATTAGTGATTTGGAGGTGAGGGGGTTGGAGGAGTATGAGAAGATTGTTGGGGGGAAGTGAGGGGCTGTGAGGTTGAATTACAATGGCTGTATTTGTATGTGTGGATAGTAGGGGTATATCAGGCGCGGCATAGCATTGTGTGCGTCACGTATCGGAGCAATTCGACGTCAAACATATCATGTCTTCGTTTGATCATGCTCATGATATCGTCATGTGCTGTAAGTACACATCAGCCAGCGTCTTTGCCTGGCCCTGTACCACTACATCTCCGCTAGAACAGCTGTCTAGCAGCCGTCTAGTACCTGCACGCACAGCGTAGCATGTCTTGCAGCATTGCCGCGATTGTACGACATGACATCGGCAATGCGAACTTGAAAGATTCGTCATCTCCCCCACAACCTCTCAATGCACCGCCTGAGACGCGTAGAACTCTGGATACTGGTTCTGAATCATCGTCGTTACCTTTTCCACCTCCTCAGCCAGACCCTGCACATTCGTGTCCCACTTCCTCAACTCCTTCCCCACCACACGCTCTGCATGACCCGTCTTCCGCTGTCCGCTGGCCTCGCCCTCGAAGAAGATCAGCCGATCAATCTGGTCAATGTAGCCCGCCAGCCGGCCCTGCTCCAACATCTTGGCAGCATAGTCCTCGGCCTTCTCCGCGTCGATGCCCAGCAGCTCGCCGAGTTGGTCGAATCCTATGTTGTTGTAGAGCTTGGATGCGCCGAGCAGGTTGTGTTCAAGCACAGCTTTGTCGAGCACCGTCGATCCGTCTGCAGTCTTCGCGAGGTGGTGTGGCTCCAGCTTGGCGGCAAAGGCTTTGATTTCTGCTGGTGAGAGAAGACGGTCCAGGAACATCTTCTCCAGAATCGAGAAGTGCTCTACCCGGCTTGCTCGGTCGTCCTTGTACAGCTTGGCCAACATCCTTCCTCGTTGCGGGCCTGCGGGTGCGAGGACGGCGCATATTATGGCTGCTCCGAGAGCTTTCTCACGCTCCCCCTCTTCGATCATGGACTCGTTGCTCAGAATGTAGTATGCCTGCGCAGCGTCGAGGAAGGCGCGTTGTGAGTCGTAGATGCGGGCTTGGCTGAGCTGGAACATCAGCCGTGTTTGTTTGTCCTGGACGCTGAAGATGATATTCTTGATCTTGTTCAGGTGCGAGAAAGCGCTTGTAGGATCATCCTCCTCGAGATAACACCTCACAATGCGGATCCAGACCTTTGCCTTGTCGTCGGCCGACACGGACTTTTGTGTAGACTCCAAGTTGATGGTGGCAAGTGTCTGCGCCGACTTCCTCCAGTCCTCGTTCTCCTCGTACGCGTCGGCCAGTGCGTTCTTGATGCGTGTGTCTTGCTCTTCATACTGTCCTGCGCCCTTTGACTGCAGCAGTGAGATGACTGCCTCGCCAACGTCGATCTTGACATCGGCATCCTGCACGGTTTGAAAAGCCTCTACAAAGGAAGCCAGAAGTGGGCGCAGTACAACTATGCCGAGGGAGTCGTCGAGGAGGGTTCGTGCAAAGGCATTGAGGTCTGCGGCGAGATTGCTCGAGGATGCGGTGATTTGTTGGAGGAGCGATGTGTATTGAGACGGCTTGTCGCCGACGGAGGCTGTCTCGATGTCCTGTAGGGCAGACGCCACAGCTGGAGAAGCCATGCTGGACGCGGTGGTGGTACGCCTAGTTTGGTGCCGGAAGTTCTGATATGGCGGGTCTTGAAGTTGGAGTTGATTATAAAGCTAGCAATTTATCTCTGGAGACTTGCAGTGCTTCGTTCGGCACAGAAAGATTGTTGTAACAGTCAAGTACGGAGTGGACGTGAACAGGCAACAAACAGTGGGGTGGAATAGAGCTTCCATGTTATCGATAAGGCTCGCGCTAAGGCTCGGCCATGGTTGCAGCCATGATTGCAACCATGGATGCCTTTCATCATCCACAGTCATTCGACCGATTACTCCGACAGGCCCACCACACCCGGAGTTGGACGCCGTGACTCAGTATCTAATCACGCTCGCTTGAATATATATATTTCCTCACACTCTCTAATACTGAAACACTCCCATCACCACAGACACGCGCAAGCCGCAAAGCGCGTCGACAGGTCCAATCTTACAAACACCTCACACACCCCAACACGACTCTCCCCTCGCCATCATGAACGGCGTCAAGGCAGACCCCGACGTGAAGATGGAAGGCACCACGCCATCGGGCAGCGGCTACATGGACGACGAGTTCTACGAAGACACGGGCGAACTCGCGCTTCCACAGGGAGAGGACAAGGATGTTTGGCTGTCGCGCATTCCCGACTGGCTCTACGATGCAGTCTCCAAATGGGAGGACCTCTCGGGCGGCAACGACAACGATCCCATCCAGATTGGCGAGGTTCTCGGTTTTGCGACAACGAGTGGAATCGACAAGGCGAGGCCGATGCGCGTCTTCTTCAACGACCAGTGGCGAGCAAAGGCAAACCTCCCGACTGCCTTCCAGCTGGATCCCGCACAGGCCACAGACACGGTGCTAGGAAACACATACGTCTTTACAGAGAAAGACTTGCCAGGCTTCAGACCCAACGGCCACGGCTCCTTCAACCGGAATGGCGCGCAAGGGAATTCCGGCAGTGGAACCCAGGACCCCAAGGCACGCGTGCAGAAGCGAGGGAGGTACCGGAAAGCGATTCCCAAGCAAACCGCGCTCGTCGGCCACGCAACACGTCAATACAATGCAAACCCGCTCGACACCAAAGAGTACAAAGATTTCAGCGCCAAGCGCATCAAGCAGGCCATCCAAGGCTCACACACCCGCACCAACATCACCGACACGCTCGAAAGCACAGACTACAACAAGCTCCAGCACATGTTCGACGGCTTCGGCCGCTCGTCCACAAAGAAGAAGTCGCAACTCAACAAGGCTGCTCGTGTTTCCAGAGAGGAGCTCACCGATATGCTGCACGCTTGCTTCGACGAGTTCCAGTACTGGCCCATGAAGGCGCTCAAGAAGAGAACCACACAGCCCGAAGCCTTCCTCAAGGAGGTCCTCGGCGACATCGCTCAGCTCATTCGCTCCGGTCCGTTTGCGAGCAATTGGCAGCGTTTGCCCATGTTCAACACCAATCGCGATATCAGCGGGCAGCAGCAGGAGGCGGCGCCGGAGGGAGAGTCGGACGGCGAGGAGGAGATGGAAGACGTTGTGTAGAATCGGACACACATCTCCCGAAACTTTGGGTTTGGGTGTAGGAGGATTTGGTTATAAGTGGGAAGGCATGGAAAAATCTGGTTCTGGCGGTGTGCGGCGTTCTTTTCACTATTGTATGATAGATGCTCGATGGTAGAGCGCAGTGGTGATACCCAGTCTTAATATGACACAGAATTAATTCAAGTTGAATGCACATACACGTATGCTATGCTTGGACGTCTGCACTGATTGTCTGATGTATCTCTGGCTGTAATAGCTGTTGAAAGTACTGTATCTTGCATAGAGAAATCATACGACTACGCCCCATCAGCACATGACTCGAGCAACATTGCCCCGACGAGCTTAGTCTTACGCCCTAGCACGACTACACGTCTTGACGTCTTGTCAGCTCACTTTTTACGATGGATTTCCTCAAACGCACTGTCGATGGAATAGCTTTAATAGAGATCCCCCCATCCGCGACCTGAGCCCTTCTAACAAATCCCTCCCACATTCCTCATCATGGCACAGAAACAGACACAGCAAGAGCAAGGACAAGGGCAAGGACAAAAGCAAGAACAACAACACTGGCTAGACAAATACGCAAACAACGCCCACACCTGGCAGCCCTCCACAGACCCCACAACCGGAATCACCTCCTTCGAGCGCCCCCTCGGCCTGGTAGAATCCGCCTTCGACATCGATGGCACGCACTACGGCGGCCGCGCAGACATGACCGGCATCCTCACCCTGCACATCGCGCACAGCCTGAGCCCGCAAGCCCTCCGCCACCGAATAGCACTAGCATGGACGAACCTAACGCTGCACCACGTGCTGCTGCGGAGCCGCATGAAGCCCAGCAGCACCACTGGCGCGCTCTCGCCGCGAAAGTTCGTCGTCGATGTACCCGCCAGCCCCTCGGAAGCCGTCACACGCACATCCGCGCAAATCGTCTGGTTATCCGACTTCTACCCCGTAGTGGATGAGCAGGATCTGCACCACCACGCGCTAAATGTAACGCGCATCATCGACCCCGCGACATGTTTGGCGAAACTACTCGTCCTGCCCCTCGTCCGCCTACCAGATGGAACGCACAGTCTACGTCTCCTAACCGTCTTCGCGCACCAGATCTCCGACGGTTTGTCCGCATACACTTGGTTCAGCGACCTGCTCCGCATCCTCAACACGCCTGCACGCGGTATAGAGGAGGACATCGCCGCGTGCGTGCGCCCGGAGCGTGTATATGCCAGTCTGCCCCCGGCGCAGGAGGACTTGTATCCGAAGATTTCTGGCTCCAGGGCAAGGCAAAGGTGGTTCTGGGCGCTGGTACGGGTGCTGCGCCATGTGCACAAGCCGCTGCCGCCGACGTTTGCGAACCCGTTGTTCCGTGCTACACGGCTGGATGCGCCGCCGCAGCTGCCGCAGACGTATAGTAAGGTGTTCGACTACAGCGCTGCGACGCGCCCGCCCATGGCAGCGGCGCATATCACGGCCGCGCTCTCGCCCGCTGCGTCGGCACGACTCATGGCGCTGTGTCGCGGCGCGCGCGTGTCCGTGGGCGCTGGGTGTTTCGCCCTCGCAGGCCTGAGTATGATGTCGTTCCAGTCCCCTCCTCCCGACGCTCCCCCACCCTCATTCGCAGCCTCCTTCCCCCTCAACCCACGCGCTTTTTTCGCCAACCCCCCCGCCCCAAACTCCTGCATGCTCGCCTTCAGCGACGGAATCCTGATGCCGCACCTCCCCGCCTCCCTCCCGTTGGAAACACGTTTCCGCATCGTAGCCCGCCGCGCAAACAAAGAGCTCCGCGTCTTCCAGAAGCGGCGCAATGCTGACGATAATGCTGAGAGAGGTGCCCTGCACATCCACTCCCCCACACGCCTCCTAGCCACCGGCTACGTCGCGCAAATCGAGCGCGTAGCCGCCAAGCTATCCCCGGCGGAACAAGCCCTACGTATGCCCAACCCCAATCCACAGGGTGCGCTGCCTGCAGCCACAGGCGCGTATGGCGCTACCTGCGGGGTGTCGAGCGTGGGGTCGACGGCGGGGTTTTTCGCGGCGGGCGCGTATGAGTTATTGGATCTGGGGGAGAGGGACTTTGCGGCGGATTATCGCGGGCTGAAGATGGGGGTTAGGGCGCGGGAGCGCGAGTTTCTGGTCGGCAGCTCGACGGATGCGGATGGGATTGTGGGGTTTGGGGTCAGTTATGATGCGTGTGCGATTAGTCGCGAGACGGCGGAGGAGTGGGCGGGGCGGATTGGGGGGCTGTTGGAGGGGCGGGGTGGGGTGAAACTTTAGGTTGTTGCTGTGGTGTGTGGAAAATGGTGTTGTTATGATGCATATGAGAGACGACATGTCAAGAGCGCACACAAGAGATGACGGTGCCACGATGCACGTAGGACGTGACGATCGGGAGCGAAAAAAGATCAAATTGGCTTTTCCCAAGCCTTGGGTACTCTCTCTATTGAAGGGCTTGACTATTGCACAGGTGTATGTAACATGGAGTAATCTTGACGTGTTGATGTTTCTAGAGGGCTGATCGCTTCTGGGTGACGATCCCTGGGAGTTGTTAGTATAAAATATAAATAAATAACATATGGCAAAACGCACTCTCAACATCGGTGATGCTCTGGTCGAGAATCTGCTTGAGCGTCTTGGGGTTCTCGAGCTCCTTGTCGATCTTGGCGATGATGGCCTCGGCAAGCTCACGCTGCTGCCTCTGCTTGACCTGGCCCTCGTAGCGCACCCACGAGTCCAAAACAGTCTTGGCCTCGTGGGCGATGGCTGTCTTTTGCTCGAGCTCGAAAGCCTGAGCCTCGAGCTTGGCAGTCTCCTGTGTGGTTGTTAGTCACAGTCACGGCCGGACTAGCGGAATTTCCCGAAGCCCATCCACTTCACGGCATGTCGCACCTTGGAAACCTCGAACAGGGTCTTGGTAATGTCAATGACACCGCCGAGATCCTGGACGCTCTCGATGCGCTGCTTGACGGCCGAGGTGTGGTCGGCGCGGGCGGCGTTCAAGATGCCCGAGACCTTGTCGATCTGCTGCTGGGCATAGTCTCCCCAGGCCGGGCCGGCGTACTTCCAGACGGCCCACCAGATGGTGATGAGCGAGAGGGCGACAATCGTCTCCTCGTTGACGACGTAGAGCTCGTTGCTGATGGCGGCAACACTCAGGCCCGCACCGGCCGAGAGCACGGCGGCCTTGGTGAGGGGGCTGTTGCCGGGCACGGGGATGGCGTCCATCATGGACTGGGCCTTCTTCTTGGGGTCCTCCTGCGGCACATTGCTGTTGAAGCGGACGGGCTGGATGTGGGCCGCGATGGAGGGCAGGCTTCGGAGAGGGAGTGTTGGGCGGAGACGGGCGGCGCCTGGGGCGGGTGAGCGACGGGGTCAATGGCATTTACGGGACATGGACGGGGCTGCACTCACCGACCGCGCTCCTTGCCAGACGGGATGCCATTGCTGCGGATGAAGGTGGGGACGGTTTGGGGTGTGTAGGTGTGGTGCTGCGAGTGCAGTTCTTGCAGCCAAGCTCCGACGCGCTAGCCGAACTTCGCCCGCCGTCACTTTTTCTGAGCCTGGAGTCGACGTCGATTTGCGACGAGGGAGATAGTCGCCAATCACACCACGACGGACGATTACTTCAAGATGCCAGGGACCAAGTCTGCCAGTCTGGCCGGCGCCAAGCGCAAGAGAGACCCGAGCAAGCCAGAGCGCCGCGAACACAAGTCCAAGAGCCGCCGAAAGTCCCCCAGCGACCATGGCGACGACGCCCAATCCGACATTCTGCACCTCGAAGCCCAGATCCTCGAGTCGCGGCGCCACTACAACAACATCGCGACCCTCCTCCAGCTGGCAAAACAGCCAGACGCCGAGAATGAAGCGCCCATCCTCGCTGTCGTCGCCCTGTGTCGGGTCTTCTCGCGCCTGCTTGCGACGGGCGACATGGTGAAGAGCAAGGGCATGGGCGAGGCAGAGGCCGTCATTGTATCGTGGCTCAAGGAGAGGTACAAGGACCTTCTGGACGTGCTGCTCGACGACTTCCTGCGCAGTGACCAGCCGGCAAAGCAGTCAGTTGCGCTCGCCTTGGTCATGCGATTGGTCAAGGAGGAATCAAAGGCGCAGAAGGACTACAACATCAAGAACGGGCCGCTGTCGAGACTAGTCGAAGTGCTGCTCCTCCTGCCGCAGGACGACTTGAACCGCGACGAGTTTGCCGAGAAGTACTTCAAGCAGTTCGACGACGTCCGATACCACACCTTCCAGACCATCAAGTAGGCTTTCTCAACTCTATTTGTGAATCACCACTAACACCACCAGAAACGTCCTTTCCACTGACATCGAGGCTTCTACCAAGCAGCTCGTGGCCGCCAACAGTCTGGCCCTACTATCGACCATCGACACTGTCCCCACCTCCGACGACGACATCTCCAACCTCTACACCGAGTCGCTAGCAAAGAGCCCCATACCCTCTCTCAAGGCCTACAAATCCAAAGCACAAGAAGCCTGGCTCGCAACCATGCGCTCAGGCCTCAACAAAGAGCAGCGCAAGACCATCCTAACCGCCTTCTCCTACCAGATCGCGCCCTGGTTCCAGCAACCCGAGATGCTAATGGACTTCCTCACCGACTCATACAACGTCGGCGGCGCGACCTCCCTCCTCGCCCTATCCGGCCTCTACTACCTGATCTCGTCAAAGAACCTCGACTACCCCTCCTTCTACCTAAAACTCTACTCCCTCCTCGACGACTCCCTCCTCCACTCCAAACACCGCTCCCGCTTCTTCCGCCTCCTCGACACCTTCATGTCGTCCACGCACTTGCCCGCCGCCCTCGTAGCAAGCTTCATGAAGCGCCTCTCGCGCCTCGCCCTCCACGGTCCCCCCGCAGGCATCGTCGTAGTCATCCCCTGGATCTACAACATGTTCAAGCGCCACCCCGCTTGCACGTACATGATGCACCGCGAGACCCGATCTCCGGCCCTACTCGCCCAGCTGGAGGAATCAGGCATGGACGACCCCTTCGACATGGACCAGCTGGACCCTGTGCTCTCACATGCTATTGACAGCAGCGTCTGGGAGCTCGAGGCCCTGCAGGCGCATTACCACCCTAATGTGGCTACGCTGGCGAAAATCATCGCGGAGCAGTTCACGAAGCGCTCGTATAATCTTGAGGACTTTTTGGATCACTCGTATACTGCGGTATGTTTTTTTTTCCGTTTCCTCGCTGGTGAGGTTTGTTTTGCTGATTTTATGTCTACAGCTCCTGGATATCGAACTCAATAGAGATCTTAAGAAGGACCCCGAGGTTGAATTTGAGATTCAGAAACATATCTTTACTGCGCCCGAGGCGGGGGCGGACGGCGGACTGAATCCGCTGGGTCAGTTGCTTGCGCAGGTTATAGCTGCGAGGTAGATTTATGTAGCCTGGTCTTCAATTTGATTCGGTGTGTTGTTTGTTGTGGAGAGAGTATGCCTTTTAGTCTTTGTTGATGCGGTGTTGGAGGGTGATGTTGTGGGTGTGACTCTCGTGTGAGCGTTGTTTGAGGTCAATGTAGTAGGCTGGAGATGTACGATGCAGTATACATAGACTGAGCTCACGCTGAATTAATCACGGTACTTCTCATCTACATCCGTGGAATACATGCTTAAAGCGCACCACATGACCAACCATCTGTGGCAAAGTCCCAAACGACACCAACCTCACCTCGACCTCAACACACCACGCACATCAAAACGCAACAAGCAGATAAACTTCCAGCAGCCTCGCAGGCTTATATATTCATTGGAAAAGCGGCCATCTAGGTAGGTATACACGATAAAAATGCACTTTCACGGACCCCCCACATCATTAGCCCAACAGCGGAGCGGAGCATCGTCCGCCCAATCATCCATTCCAATCCATTCCATCAATCCATCCATCCAATCATTCCAAACCCAGCATGTACAAAACCCCCCATAATACATGCAGACATTACCACTTCAGCTGTCGTTACAAGGCGGCCCCCTCCCGACTCATCGCAAGTCGCAGGGGGCCGTGAGAAAGAAAAACGCCAAGATTGCAGACAACGCAATGCGACGCACTTAAGCGAAGATAGCGGCGATGGCAACAGCAAAGGTGCCGAACGACACCATGTTGGCGGTCGCGGCGCCGGTGGCCTCGGGCACGCTGGCGGTGCTGCTGCTGGCTCCCGATGCGGCAGCGCTGGTAGCACCGCTGGCGGACGCAGCGACGGACGACGCGGCGGCAGAGCCACTGGCAAGAGCGGAGCTGACACCCGCGGCGGCGGAGCTGGCGGCGGAGCTGGCGCCCGACATGACGGAGGAGACCAGCGAGGTGGGCAGAGCGGGTGTGGGGACGGCGGTCATGTAGCCTGGGTTCCTGTTAGTATGCTGATAGTGTTGAGAAGGCGTGGACGGCTACGTACTGGACACGATGGACTCCGCTGAGGACACGGCCGCGGGCACGGATGCGAATCCGCTCGACACGATGGGGATCATGGTGGTGACGGGCGCTTGGATCTGGCCATCGCTGATCTGGGTGATGGGCAGGACGGACTGGGCGGAGACAGCGGCGGCGAAGGCAGCGACGGAGACGGCGAAACGCATATTGGCGGTAGTGGTGGGTGGTTGGTTGGTTTGGTTTGGTTTAGTTGTTGATGATAAGGTCAAAAAAATCGAGATAGCAGTGATAACAAGCGAGAGACTCGATGTAAGAAAACAGCAGATGGGTATATTTTGGAGATGAGAGAAAGCAAGAAACACGGGGTGGGCAGGACAAGGCCAGTTATTTATTGCCTGCACGACCTGGCACAGCGCAGCACCAGCCAGCCAGCCAGCGCGTTGTTGCGCACCGGCGGTTCTGCCAGTTGTCGAGGAAAAGAGCAGGGATGCGTCACCCCCGTTTCGGGAATGGGCAGAACAAGGAATCGACAAGCATCTGGCCAAGGAAAAAAACGCACCACCGTTGCGACTGACGACGACGGAACGGCAATCTGGGCGGGGGGGCTGGACGCTGGTCGCTGGCGCCTTCTTATCTCGACTTCGGCTGCGGAGGACATGCCCTGCTGGGACGGCAGTATGCTTGTAATGTACCGCCCATTGCTGTGCGCAATCGTTCGTAGGTCGTCGTACAATGCACTTCAATCGCGTGTAGATCGACTACCTGCCTGCCCAGGACAAACAAACCTCATAGGTACACACACGCACGCACGCAGGTATGCTATCTGCCCATCCATCCAAACAACCATCACTCGTTCCCGGCACTAGATACACTAGCCCCAACCCAACCCAACCTAACCTAACCCCAAACTCCTCCCCCCCCCGGTCGACGACGCAGGGGTAAAACCAATCGTCAGACAAAGCCACGCAAGCCACGCGCCAATCACACCCCAGTCCAATATATCAACCTGAAGCCCCGTCCGTTTTGCTCGCCACCAAACCAAGGAAAGGAAACGAGGAAAGGAAAGGAAAGGAAACTCTGCGTTGCGCGCGCCCTGGTCTCGGCCGGCTGGGCTAGGTCGCGGAATTATTGTGCCTGGGGTTTTCTTTTGATGGGATTGCATATCTTTACATATTACCGGTATCTGTCTATGAATAGTGCGCATATTCCGATCAGCGCGATTGCGATTTTCCGATCGTCTTTGCGTGACGTTATGGGATGAGTTGGGTGTTGTTTAATGGGGATGACGCGTGGAAGAGCGACAAAGGGGGGGCTGGATGATTGCTTGTGATTAACATGTTATGTTTTGTTTTGTTTTTTTGTTGAGGCCCTCGATGATGTGTGAGGATTCCGGGAGCGCAAAAAAATCGCGTGGTTGGTAAAGTTTGGCATGTTCGGAAGTCCCAATCCAATCCACACACCGCAATCTTTCTTTCGCGTTGGTGGCGCTGCTAATAAAACGCAGGGCAGAGAATAAGCCTCAACGAACCTGTTCTTGTTTCTATCCTGCTGGGTTATGTATTGTTATGCTCCTAGGCAACCTATGTATCGATACTTCACATATACACAAGGGTATCAATCAATCAATCATTCAACAAGCCATATTCCGTGCCATGCCATGACATAACCAATAACCCGCACTGACTCACCGCACCGTCCCACAATCCGTCCCCCACAACCCCCCGCCAGCAGAACCCACAACGATGATGCAAGAAATAACCCACATCCACATCCATCAACCAGCCTCGTCCCACCTCTTCTTCTCCAGCGCAATCATCGTTGCACACACGACGCCGATCCGGCGGTATTTCGTTTCTTCTTCCGAAACTTGTTGTGCTATGCTATGCTGTGCTGTGCCGATCCATGACGGCGCTGAAACACGGGCGTGTCTCGGGTCGGAAATGCACGCAGATATGCAAAGAAAAGCGCTGGCTGTCGTGCACCCATTGCGAAACCAGCCTGTTTCTGCGCCATGCTGCAGATAAGGGCTGAGATTGGTTCGGTTCGATTATACAGTGCCGTGTGCATGCGCCATGATCGTCATGTTATCGTGGGTAAACAAACATCATCACATTTGTTTAAGTGGAAGATACAAGTTACAGTGCTCGTCATAGTAATTCATTCATGGACGTTTCGTCTTAATTCCTGATACCTGCGCTCATGTAAACGCCCTTAGAAATGCTTTTTCCACCCGCCAATCCCAGTGCTTCCCGCTCAGTGCGTCTTCGCGACATCAGCGCTACGGCTGCTATCCGTCTCGCTCTTCTCGTTGTACTGCTGGTTCACTCTCCCCGCTGATCCTGGCCTGGGCGTAGTCTCCACAAAGTACTTGTGAACATCGGCACCGACCTCCTCATCAGCTTCGATATCCTCCCAGCCGTTCTTCTCAGAGAACTTGTGTTGCTGGCGCTCGACCCAGTCTGCGCGTAGCTCATCAATCTTCATCTGGTAGTCGAGCTTGGCGTCGTAGAACTTGTGCTGTCCACGCATGCGCTCCCACCATGACAGATGCTTCCAGTGGATCGCGATACCGTGGTAGTCGTGCTCCTTGCCAGCGCGGATAAATGCCCAGCGACGTTCCTGCTCCTTCAAGTCGAGACCAGTCGTATCCGGGAGGAACAACCAGGTCAGAAGAGCACCCATGAGGCCGAACCATGGGACGAAGTAGAACTTAGTCTGGGTGTCGATGTAGTTGTAAAGAACCGAGGCGAGAAGGGCACCGGCTTTACCTGCGGCAGCAGAGAATCCGTGAGCCGTGGCTCGGACAGGCGTGGGAAAGACCTCGGCAGCGACCAAGAAGGTAACACTGTTGGGTCCGAACTGGTTAAAGAATGACGACAGGAAGTACATGGCCTGGAAAGCGTGGATGTTCTCGGGCCTCGTGAAGTACTCGTAATTGAAAGCTGGGATGATGAAGAGAATGAAATCGGCCATGAAGCCGACAATCATCATCCACTTACGGCCATCTGGAACGATAGTTAGTAACAGCCCAAAATTCGGTTCAAGGATACAAACGTACAAAGCTTGTTGTCGATGAGAAGCGAGGCAAGATAGTAGCCGCAAAGAGATACACCGACGTTGATCAGGTTGTACAACCATCCAGTCATGACTGAGGTGCTACCTGGCGTAATGACCTTGATGAATTCAGCCTGGAAGAGCTTGTTGCCGTAGAAGAAGACATCGTTCGCGAACCATGCACCAGCAGTAGCGATGATACGTGGTCCAAAGTAAGTGAAGGTGAGCTTAAGGGAATCCATATCGTATCCCGTGACATTGGCCTTCTTCTTCGACAGCATGAGCTGCTTTGACGCTGACTTCATCTTGAAGAAACGGTAGTAGACGAGCCACGCAGTACCGATAGCTGGGATTGCGAACGACAGGCGGTAGGTGTACTGAGTAGTCTTCTTCGAGTAGGGCGGCGCCGATCCAGAGTTGAAGATCAGAAGCAGGACGATGAGAATGACCTGGTTGAAGAACTGGCCCCAACCTTGCATCAAAAAGGCACTCGTCACTTTTCGGCCTCGGTGAAGTCGGTCATCCTTGGTCGATACCTTTCCAGAACCGACGGCATTCTCCATACCAGCTGTCGCAGTCATGGGATATTCGCCTCCAACTCCTATGCCGTAGAAGAAGAGAGCCCAGACATAGCAGATGACCCAGCCGTTTTGGGTGACACCCCAAGCGGCAGTGAGCATCAAAAGCCCGACGAACATGATGATAGCATCTTGAATAAGACCATGACGACGGCCCAGCCAGTCACCGATAATGCCTACAAGGATTTGACCTGTACCGTATTAGTACTGCAGCGCAGTTGAAGGGGAGCCACGCCACTACTCACCGACAATGATACCGCAAATCTCTAGGTAGTCAATGGCCTCTGTCCAGGTTTGGTTGCAGATGTGAAATGTCTTCCAGCATGACCCAAAGGAAGCCTGGAGAAGCGGTCTGACGTTGCCGATTGAGAACAACACATATCTATACAAGATTAGACGGTGATCGTTCTAGATGAACGGTATGCACATACCCTTCCAGACCGAGACCAGCGCCGGGAATCACACAATTCTTGAAGTAATGGCTGATGGGACTCAGCGGGTTCTTCTTGAACATCTGCCAAAAGAAGCTGGCCTCCTCTTTCGCTTCTGCCGCGTCAACAGCAGCCACAAACTTGCATCGCTGGACGAAGGGCATGTCGGCCCAGTATGTCCCCTGTGCATCGTAGAGATCGTCCGGGTGAAGGAGGGCGTGGAATACATTCTCCTCGTTCTGGCTCATGTCACGCCTGACATCGGGCTCCTGCATAGCGATCTGGTCGTTCGCCATCTTTCGAATGTTCCCGGTTTGTGACAGCTAAAACTGTGCGAGCCCAATTGGCCTTATGTAGCTTCGAGCAGCCCGTTGAAAAATTTGGTGCGACCACTGTTGAGCGTTCTCTTAATCGGTGTCTAGGCCTAGCGGCGGCAATGACGTTGACTGTGGGCGGAGTTAAAAGTAAACCCAGCAGATGGCAATGCGGAGCACGCGCACGTGTGCTTTCGAGTGGTTGCGAGCGGTTTTTGGAAAACAACAATGACAAATTATAGCAATAGCTGGAAGATATTCCCGGTGGGGAGAGAACACGACGACGTGTCTGCTCGACGGACTACCTAGGGACTGAGAGCGTATGCTTCTTGACTTTAAGTACCGGATGTTCCTTCGTAAAGAAATTTCTGCCAAGGGTATCTGCATACCGCTGGATCCGCAAAGTAAGAGCGTTCCCTCTAGCCCGTCCAGGAAAGGAAACTGGTCGCGTGCGCCAGCCAATGTTGATCATGGCTCCATTTAGCGGCAGTAAGAGGCCGAAATATGGTATGATTGGACTCGTTTCGATCTGCCTGCCCCAATGCAGCCATCTATATCCTAGTCTGGCACCCCGTTCCCCAGATTCTGTCTTCTCGTGTCTCAACCAGACGTCGAATTTGCACAATAGCCAAGTCCATGAGGGCGCTGACAAGCACACCAAGCTCACGCCTCCGAAAGCATGGCATCAATCTAAAGATCTGCCGTGCTTGTCAGACCACATGTCCCGCCACCATCGACGCAATGCCGCGTTTCCGTCCAGACTGGCATCAACAAGCTCTTGAAAAACGAGGTTTTCAGTAGCCAATGAGATGCGATCACTGAGAACGTGGGTGGATGAGTGGTTTTGAGTGGGGTCTTGGATCTAGATGCAGCCGAGCCCAATCCCAATGGCGGCGCCTGCCGACAACCAACAACGCCACATCAATGTTGAAATGACAAACTACGCGACCTTCGCAGGCCATGCAGGGTTGAGTGCCGCACATGTGTATTGGCTCGCCTCCGCGTTTCTGTCAATAGAAATAATCACACGGCTGCAAACACGGCAAGCTCAAACACAGGCAAAGCCAACGAGCAGGCTGAGAAAGAGCACGTTTATTAAGTGAGAGCCCTGCATGGAAGCTCAACAAAATCTGGGTGCTGACCGATCGTAGTTGATATTAGATATATGGTTGTCTAAGGTAATGCTGTTTTGTACGTGATCCCATCCAGTGGTCAACGATTTACCACATTGCTGAAAACATCAGGACATGAACAACACTGACGTGTCGTCGAAAATGCAACGCTATGCCAAACTCCGGATGTAAATGCTACCAACAACATAAGAAATGTACTTGAATGAAAACGCTTTTTGGCTGAGAGTGCTCCTAATTGAGCCAGTTCTGCCATTGGCAACCACACCCTCCAGATCCTCCGTCAATGGGTCCTGTGACGACTTGACGGCCCTGTGTACCATTGACAAGGTTGCCGCCAAACGCCCGGTCCTCGAATTGAAAGAACCGCTTCGAAGCTTTGTTCTTGATGGTGCCATCTGTCTCCACATTGTAGCAATATAGGTTCTTCTTCGCCGCATTTCCGCCATGGCGATCAATCGTAACTGTGACGGGGTATGGGAAAGTCCCAGGGCGTTTGTACGCATCCGTTGCGTTCTGAGTGGCACTCTGTAACAAAGGCTTGCTGGCTGCACTGCGTGTCCAAATCTGGACCAAGAACCGTGTCTCAGAGAATGTGCATCGCAGGGTCGCAGCGTTGAAGTTGCTTCCTCCGTCAGTATCTGCTGGACTCCCGCCGCGATTGGTGTCGTTGATTGATTTTAGGAAGATGGATCGGTCAAAGTAGGTATAGAAGCCATAGTGCTCCGTATCCAATCCGCGATTATACAAGCGAAGAGGCTGTGCAAAAGGGAGGGGCAGCAGGTTTGCGGGCGCAGCAGTGCCATCGGAATTGAGCAGTGGCGGGGGAATGACGCTGGTGATGTTTGTAGGATCGCTGCTAGCACGCTTGAGGAGGCGAGAGGCGGTGCTTCTGGGGTCCTGGAAAGTCACAAAGAGAGGCGTGTCTTCACCCTCGTACGGTGCGTTATTCCCATCCGTGGTCTCGCCTATGAATTTCATATCTTGATCGCTGGGAGGTGCAGGAGAGGGCGAGGGCACGGAACGGACGTTCAGAATGCGTGATCGGATAAAGGCGCTCGCTGATACAGGATTCGCTACTCTTTTCGCAAGCTGTGTCGATGATGGGGTCGCTGTGGTGCTGTTGTCAAACGTAATTTCGATCTTGAAGTTTGGTTGATCCGGCTTGTTGGGTTTGACAGAGTCTTGGAGTTCTTTTGGAAGTGCACAGCTCCACAAAGTGGTAGGAGCAACGCATCCACTCTGTTCTTCCACTGCTTCGGGCTGAGATATGGTCGAGATGCCAGTGGGTATAGCCGGATAGTTCGTCAAATTGAGCCACTGTGAACCCACTTCTTGGCCCGGTTGTGTGCCAGTAGGGGTCTTATCGTGGTGTTTCGTAAACACGACAACAACTGGGATGATGACGGCCATAAGAACCACAAGGACCAAACAGCAGCCGCAACACCAGAAGCACCAACCTCGCTTCTTCTTTTTCTTTTCGTCCGTGTTACTCTGTTGCTTCCGCTTATTGCACGAAAATAGACCCATCATGTTGGAAACTTTCCGATGCTTCTTTGTTTTCTTGAGATCTGGAGAAGATGCCACTGAGCTGGAGCCACTGTGATCATAGCTGAAGTGTGAGCCTTTTCGAGAAAATGTCGGCGGTGGTGCAAACACAGGTAGACTTTGTGATTGGGTACTGGACGAACCTACACCCTGCAATCGAGAAGCTGGCGAAGATGAGCGACTGTGTTGGTTGTTTGCCGGTGAGTTAGCATCGGCCAGTCGAAAGTTCGTGTCGGGTCGCCTGTCTTGGAGTTCAATGTTGATATTGATCGCTCGGGGTTGCTCTTCGACTTGGCGTGGCATCAGAATAGTCCCGATAGCTGCTGTGCCGACAACTGGTGTAGCTGACATTGATGAAAATGGTGAGGTAATAGCTTGGGGAGTACTTGACTGAGATGGTATGACAGCAACGCTTGCGTTTGTTGAAAACTCTTTCGCACCGTTCGCGTTGTATTGTTGAACAGTGCTCGCAATGTTTTCGGGTTGAACTGTTCCCCGAGATTGTTCGTGCTGGCCAACGCCAGAAGTAGTCGGTTCAGTACGAAGCCCTGGTAGGACTGAGGAAGGTTGCTCATGAACAGATGGGCTCTTCTCAGTGGCCGACCAAATGTAGGTCGATGGAGACGTTGTGGTTAGATGGGGAGCAGGTACTGTAGGTACATCTGGCGTTCGGTCGCCGTCACGTCCGTATTGTGGCCACACAGCACTCCTTGGAGTTGTGACAAACGGAGTTGTGATAAAATTCCACCATCCCTGAGACCGTCGTGGTGTAGGGACCATTGGGGTTTCGACGTTCAATGTCGATTCGATAGTCCTTTCACGCAAAGGCGTCACGTCTTCCTCAAAGAAGGTACTGGTGGACATTATGCGCTCTCTACGTTTCATGTCGTCATCTTCTTCGAAAGCAGTCCCTGCAGAGTCCAAAGTGTCGTTCCTGCTATGCCTAGGCAGCTCTGTTACATCTGAATTCGCCTTCGGATTTGGTTGGAAACCTGCAAAGTTCGAAAGTCCAGCAGGAAGAGCGGGGACAGGGGGCGCATTTGGACTAAGGACACGTCCGTTGAGGGTGTTTCGAGAATAAATGCTCGGGGTGTAGTCGGATTCTGAGTATGGAGTATCAGGGGACCAGACTGATTGCATCGCTGCAGCCGGAGTTATTATGATACTTGGAGTGACCAGGGTGGCGTCGCTTCCTGCTCGAAAACGAGATGTCCGGTACGTGCTGAAATCGGATACACTGTCTGTGGGAATCGAGATACCTATAGGAATGGGTCGGTCCCAGGGAGATATATCCTGCCATGGCTTAATACCCGACTGTAAGGAATCTGTCGTCATAGGCTCATCGTGATCGATACTAGAATGGCGTCGGTGTGTATTGTTGGGCTGAGGAGTTCCTCTGGTGATGCCCAGGCCTTTGTATTTCATCGAGGATCTTGTAAGCCAGGTCGGCTTCCTGGATAGTCTTTTGCTGTTTAATCCATCCCCAGGGAATACCTCATGTGGCGCTTTTCCCTTGTGCCTTGTGAAGCTTGTATCGAGAGTGATACCTAGCTTTGTCTGTCGTTCCCGTTGTTCTCGCCTGCGGCTCATATGTCGTGACACAAGCGATCCGCGTGACTTCCTATACGCCGCTGTCCTGGCAGTGTTTTGTGTGTCGCTCTCCATTTTCCTGATCTCTTGGGTTGCGTCTGGCGCGACAGACGTTCCGGCGAAATCCTCATTGAAATGCACCAGTATGTGCTCTTCTCGATCGTCTCGATAAGCAAAGCCGTCAGTTGGATTTGTGTTTGTCATCGTTGATAGTGGTGTGTTTGTTCGTGGCTGTAGGGTGGTAGCCTTCCGGTGGTAGGTGGAGTGATGACCGAAAGAGGGAATATATGGAATAATCAAATAGCAGGTTTCAAACTGGAATTATCGCAGGCTCCAGGCCGAGACAGTACACAGGTTGTTATTATTGTTGTTATAGTTGCGATGTGGACAATAGGCAAAGCAATAAGAATTGACGATAGATAGTGATGTAAAGGAGCAAGTGAGTAGGTGAAAGAAAAGACCAAGGACAACAAGAGAAGAAAGGCAATGCTGTCGCGCGGACACACGATCCTGGAACGTTAGAGAAGAGTCGATTGCTTTGCCGCCTATATACCAGACTGGATGGCTTCTCACGCAGATCACGGTCTCGTTCTGTGATTCGTTCATACCGCCAGTCACGTTGGTTGGAGCGAAAGCCTGAGCTGGGTACAGAATGAAGTGATTGGAGGCGAAGACTTGCCAGCGGCAGATCTGCTGCGTAGTGGGACGCCATCCTCCAGCGTTGAGGCTCAATAACCGCCCAAGATTCGCTGGACCCGAAATGTACAGCACGACGCGAGACTTGAGACGCTCTGGACGTCGTACCAGGCTAAATGACGGAGAGAGACGCGGAGAGCCAGTGAGATCCTAGATTCGCGCTGGCTCTAAGCGCCAGACATGTGCCAAGACAGTACTCGATCTAGCTGTTTTCGGGTGGCGCCCCTCTCTTGAGACACAGAATTAGAACATGGAGAAGCCTCACAGCTCGAGTCGATGTAGATGGAATCGGAGAGTGGAGACGTTCATATATATGAAGGTCCTAGTGCATGTTCGGGAGCCAAAGCATGATGGCGACCTCCGCCACTGCCTTCAAACGAGAGGGACCTTAGTTGTGTCTCGGACCGACGCTTGATTTGGTGTAATTCAAAGAGAAGCACAGAACAAACAAATGCAGCATGGCAACGTCACATGGGACTCTCGTGTCTTCTCAGAGGACGGGCACACAGCAACTCTGCTCTCGGCGGTGCAAATGGTGCGGTGAACGCGATGGCAGCACTTCAGCCGTGGGGAAGGCGGTATGCTGCTAGTCAGGGTCGTTCATTCGCGCTCCTTAGGTACTCCTTAGCAACTCCTGTTCGACCGCCAAGGAGATAAACTAGATGGGGAGTAATCTCATCTTCTGCGTGTGTTCATTTCCTGCCGCCTTCTCTCCCTGTGTGCTGCAGCAACATCTATCTCGTCGTCTGCTCTGATCAGCTTCGACGTTCCACGGCAGCCTCGACGCCTCCTTCCCGCCAAACGTGCGACCGCCTCGCTGCACCGTTCGAAGCTTCAGTCCGAAGCCACCTGGCCTAAACATTTCCCGCACCTTGCGTCTGCAGTGCTCCACCATCAAGCCCTGAACACCTACCAGGGGTATCTGCGCTGAGTGTGCATTGGCGGCACCACGGATAAAAATACGCGTGGGCGGCATTTGACAATTCCGCTCGTATCCACACGTTGCAAAAGTCACGCTGGCTTCCCACTCCTCCTTCTCCGCCTCTGCTGGCCAACGTCGAAGGCGTTCGTCAGCAGCGACACACCAACCGAATCTGCACATTGACATCCAAGACAACGCAGAGTCGCGAAGCAGGCTCGGGACAACCAGTGGTCTTGCGGGCCGTTCACTGGGCGACATCCTCCCCGCGATTCCCGGCACGCCAGCTGTCGAAATGTCAGGATCATCCTCGCCGCAGCCGGGAGGATGGTCAAGTCCGGGCTTGAACACACCCTACGAGACCAGCGGGCGCACCAGCCCATACGCCAACAACGGCCCGCTGAACGATGTTACTTGGGCTTCAGCTCAGGCAAGGAGCGCTGAGATAAAAGGACACCCTAGCTTCAACCCTAGAAACCAAGGCTTCTTCGGGAAACACTTCCGAAAGATCTCGACCAGCTTGCCATTTAGCTATGGTGAGAAGGAGAAGCTAGGTCGTGGACGGCAGCAGGGCAACAAGTTTATGCAGATGCTGAATCGCATTGGACGGAATCTCTGGCGTCTAAGGAAGTCTCTGGGCGTGGTGTTGTTTGTCGTCCTCAGCGTCATCGTTTTCTACGTGACACGTAAGTACCCTCATCTTGATTCTCATGATCGTCAACTAACAGCCACAGCGCTACATCGGATGTACAGACGATCCTCATTGTTTGGCGGCGGCAACAAATTTGTCATTATCCTTGCTGCGAACGAGGGTGGCGGTGTTATGGAGTGGAAAGGTCCTCGCGAATGGGCCATCGAGCGGGACAGCGTCAAGAACAAGAAGAAGTACACGAAGAAATGGGGTTACGACCTGGAAATTGTCGATATGAGCACCAAGAAACGCTACGCTCATGAATGGAGAGAGAGTTGGGAAAAGGTGGACACCATTCGAAATGCCATGCGCAAATACCCGCACGCTGAATGGTATGTACAATATCGAAGTTAATTTGACACGACTGACATGCGCTAGGTTCTGGTGGCTGGATACGAACACGTTCATCATGGAAACATCCTACTCCCTCCAAAGTCACCTCTTCAATCGCCTTGAAGACATCACGTATCGTGACATCAATCGCTACAACCCACTGAACATCACTCACCCACTAACGGACGAGTACCTGGACCCCGAATCTCGCTCGCCAGTCGGAGATGGCAGGTTGGACTCAATAAATATGCTGGTGCCACAAGACTGCGGCGGGTTCAACTTGGGCTCGTTCATGGTTCGGCGAAGTGTGTGGACCGACAGGCTACTCGACATTTGGTGGGACCCTGTTGGGTACGAGCAAAAACATATGGAGTGGGAGCACAAAGAACAGGATTCTTTTGAATACATGTACAAGAATCAGCCATGGATCCGTCCCCACGTCGCTTTTATCCAACAACGCAAGATTATGAGTTTTCCGCCCGGTGCGTGCGGGGAGAACGATCCCAATATTCACTACCAGGAGAAGGATCGCGACTTCGTGGTCAATATGGCGGGCTGCTCGTGGGGTCGCGATTGCTGGGCTGAGATGTACAACTACCGCCAGCTCAGTAATCGCCTGAATCGAAACCCTTGGGAGAAATTCAAGGACTTCTTCAGTGAAAACTACAAGAGCTGGACCAAAAAGGAGGAGAAAGGAAAGAAGACCTAATCTCTAATTAGTCCTCATCAACACGACCTGTACGAGCACCACTGGCACGATTTTTTTCAACACTTGTATTTATGGAGAGCTGTCTATGGCTTAGGGGTTTGCTACGATATTGTACGCGTTGGAGCTGACCAACATCTTCCTGACATAGTTTGGCATCGTTCTTTCTACCATTCGACGGCCCGTTTTGAAGGGCCACGGTTTTGAGCTTGCAGGCTTTCACGTTTAACGCCTTCGCATCTTCTATCAGAGTTCTTTGGGTCTAGGCTTTTTCAGTAACGATGTTTTTGACCATTTCAACCCTCTTGTTCTGCTTTGGATGTGCTCTTGTGCTTGCTATCACTCCATCTAGTATCATCTGTAATCCACAGCTAGACAACTAGACAGCTGATGGTAACGTTGGGCAACATCTGTCCATAACTGCTCTTCCGCAAACATAGCGTTGCCTGGGTGTATTCACCGCTCAAGAACGGTGAATGTTACGGGTGTTGGGCTGAAGGTTAGATACGTGCATATATCAACGCGCACCATGGATGATAGTCAAGAGATTCGTGCATCTTACTTTGTCCCATGTCTACTGTGATGACGTGGTTCAAGGGCATGCTATGAATGAGGAGGCATTTACCATGACTGAAACGGTGTGGGTGTTCCTAATCAATCACAGTAGGACCCAGAGGCTGAGCGTCCTTGTCTCAAGAACATCACGCTCGAAGTGGATGATCAGGATGATCAGAGAACACATGCTTATGTCTCGGTTTCAAGCATGTGAGCCCAGGCCTCGATGCGGGAAGCGTGGTGAGGGCGCTCTGATTCGTCCGCGCGCACCCACCACCCTTGGTGTACGTGACCAGACCAGGCTCATGACGAGGCCAGGAACAAGGACCCTTTATCCTCGCCTTGCCATCAAAATATTATCTGTAACCCTTCTTCTTCGTGTTTTCCTTCATCTTCTCTCCTACAATTCGTTCCCCGCAATCTTCTCCCCGCGTTCGTTCCAACCCCGATCAACGCTTAGACGTCATCAACGTGGCCGTGCGCCGGACGTCTCCAAGCCAGCCTCTTTGCACCGTGTCAGCTCGTAGGCTCAAACCCTAATCTTATCTCCAAGTGCCTTTGCGATCATCCGCGGGCGAGAAGGATTACAAGCTTTGGTCTTGTGCTGTGCTAGAGTTCTAAAGCCCACCCTCGTTCTACCTTCCGGTCCAGCCACTTAGACACCAACTTCTGGATCAAGAGTGAGACCGGGACGGGCCTTGGGATATCCACTTCAGCGCGTCCGTTTCCAGCACTGGTCAACGCATGACACGAGCGTGAGCAGTGAGCCCAGGAGACACATTTCGCAAGAGTCGTATGTCTCTTTGTTACATCGGATAGACGATACCATGCATGACCATCTTCCACCACGGGCAGCAGCTAGACAGACTGGAAATCGTGAAGAAACTCGTTCACACAACCAAGCCATGGCCCCTTCACAGTCTGTATCTCCGCCCTCCAGGCAGCACTCCGAGGGTATGTCATACGCTCTATACGACTCCTACCTGTCTCCGTCCTGTATTGTCTTCATGCAACGAGCCTTTCGCATCTTCGATTATCCTGTACATAGGCTAACATGATATCTTGTCTTGCAGAGTCATGGATTGAGCTTGGATCAGGACCATCTTCATCATCCCTCTCTTCCGTCGCTGACGAGATCATCACGACTGGCCTTACTGTCCAGCACGACTCGAATATGCACAGACGCAATAGACCAAGACAATCACAAGGGGGCGGCACGTTCCAAGTTGGCACGGGATTCAGAGTAGCAGGCGCCGGAGGAGGGACCAGTAGCCAAGAAGAGTACGACGAGAGTGAGAGCGAGTCTGATAGAGTGATGACGTCCTCGAATGAGGCCATCGCTCCATCACCACTTCGAAATGAGCTTCACCGCCCACCTCGAGGTCCACACTCAGTCGCTTCGTCAGAGACGACATCAGAAAGAGAAGATGAAGAAGATGACGAGAATGCGACGGCGGTCAATTACCCCAGATCATCCGGACGAGGCTTCCAACCACGGCCAAACGCGTTCTCGCATCCGAACACCCAACCTACCATCCGATCACAGTCGGGTACAGTTCATACACCCCGCAGAACAGCAACACGACCAAGTCACCCACGACAGCATTCCTACCCCCAACACTCACCGTATAACATACTGTCACCCAACCACCACACAGACCAAGACGAAGCCCTCCGCGCCAGCCTATCTACCCTCCTCTCCGCCGCCGCCGCAGTTCGGGGCCTTCCAAAACCTGGTCAACCGCGCACCGTGCCCACCACCTCCTCTCGCATGGACCCCACGTCCCTCCGCCTCGTCCCCGAATCTGTTGCACTCGGCGACATAATGGAGGAAAGCAGCAGTATCCCTTCATCCACGTCCCCACTCTCTACCTCCTCCGATAAACCCAAGCGTAAGGCCATTGCACGCAGCAACAGCAAAGACCGCCGTGTTGTCAAGAAAGCAAGGAGTACGGGCCCGCTTATCGAGGAGATCAGTCCTACGCTGCTCACATGGGTTGTTAGTGCGAGTGTGCTTGTGCTTCTAAGTGCATTAAGCTTCTCGGCGGGGTATGTTGTTGGGAAGGAAGCTGGCCATGCAGAGGCTATAGGCGTCGGGAAGGAAGCTGGGGGATGTGGAAAGGAGTTGAAGGGTGGGTTGGGGCTGAGGAAATTGAGGTGGAGCGGAGGTGCTGGAATAAAGGCCTGAGGCTATGCAGAGCATGATCGAGGTTTGACTGGGAGCAATTATAAATATGGTTTGAGGTCTGGCAGCATCGTTCCATGCGGGAGAGCACAAATTGGACAGATGGTATCGTCCTTGATTTATGGCGTTCATTCCTTCAGTTTAATAGCGTTGATTCGTCCTGGTATGGGGATTGCTGGCGTTGATTTGGTGTTATGGTAATGGTATGTAGCATGTATGCTTCAGAGTCATGGTTACGACTCCATGCGACTTGGGTCGACATCTCCGTTCAAATAGTCCTAACATTGAGCTCATCGTTTCCATGGGAGTAACAGCGAACATCCATTGTACTCAAAAATTTATTCTTACATACCTTGCCGCATGTTTGTCTTTGCCGCGTGATAAACCATGCTCTCCATTCACGGGGCTCTGATGGGATACAACTCGCTCGCCGAAGTGCAAAGTCAAACACACGCCCAGATCACTGGCATTATTGACTGAAATACTGTTTCCATCGCGCCTGAGTTCATGGCGCTATGGCTGCTCATGGTCATCGCGATTGCGCGCGGACAAGACCAAGCAAATGTGAACTTGAACCAGGTAATGAAGTAGCTCAAAAGCCAAAAGGTCCTGTTTGTAAGTTGTGCTTCAGAGATGTATAGGAAATTTGCTCTTACTCAAGACGCAATACTCGCAAGGCGTATGTGCTCGCTTCTCGAAAAGGGTGTTTACTTATCTTGAAGAAGCGGAGAGCGTAATCCGCAGTTAGCACGAACTACACCCAAAGGATCTCCTGACTTCTCTTGAGGTCGAACTTGATAGCTTCTCTAGGTGCTCGAGAGTTTCATGTTGAAGCCCAGAAAAGGCGGCTGGTAGATGTAACTTGAAGTGACTTTGACTCCAAACTACTGGAAGACAACAACAACCTTGTATAGCTTCGGTCCTTGCTTGATTCAGTTGTAAACAAGCAAACATTAGCAATGTTGTCAGTCTCATTGTTGTGGCGATTGAGACCTGGAAAGTACGGAACTAGCTGACTCTACCTGCAATTTCTTTGTCAATCGCTCATATGATTGTTCGGTTTCTGCTGTTTGAATGAATGATTCAAAGATAGGAGTTGTCTCAAGACCAAAGTAAAAAGGTGAAAGTGTGATGCAAGAAGCGTCGTGCTGTAACAATGCGCTGTATTTGAAAGCTGTATGAGCACAAGTACACAACAAACCTGTGAACGGTTAATAACTGTGTTGAACTTATAAATTTTGTGTTTTCCATCCCACCTCCTCTGTGAGAGAGGTAAAATCCAAAACAAGATTCATATCGAAGCTAAACTCGACATCGAGTTCAACTCAAGCCGATACTCAAGTCACTAAGTCAGAATGCCTTCGTGTTCCCTAAGGATAGTTCCTGAGGAAGGTTTATGGAATGAATCCTGTTCCACCATCTCATCCCCAACTGAAATGATGGTTGATGTGCCCACCAACATTTCGGTACCAGAAGGCGACTTGCAACATAGAATCGCGATACTGGTCTCAAAAGTCTTCGATCAGGCTGGACCGCAATTTGAAGACCTTGGGGGCTCGCACAACAAAGTTCTAGCTTTCACAGTGCCGAGATATCGAGCCCGAGATTCGGGTGTGTGGCTGGTTAACGGTCCCCAAACGGCTTATAGTAACGGGCCAACACCGCCGATTATAGGTTCGGATGCGTACGTTGTGCGAACCCCTGTTCCTCACAACTCGCAGAAGGTTGATGTGAAGCGCAGCATCGCCAATCTATATGCTATCGAGCCACACCTTGCACTTCCGATACCCAGGGTACTCAAATTTGATTTGACCACAAACAATCCCCTCGGACAGCCCTATGTCATTCAGCATCGATTGCGTGGATATTCGCTCGAAAAGCTGTGGGAATATCTGAATCCGAAGCAAATGGTATCTGCCGTGAGGGAAATCACGAAACTCGTTGAGATGACGGCGGCTGTTGTTGCACCCGGCGCCGGACTGGTTCAAAGTGACAACTTTCCGACTACCAAAGCCTCTGTATTTGAACTGGAAAAGTTTCCGATCCCATCTCTACGAGACGTCCATCCAATGGTTAACAAAACCAATAAGGCTGCTACTGAACCAGCACTGCCACAGATACCAATAGAATTTCTCATAGAACAGTGTGACCGGTGGCGCGAAATCGAACCAGACGCTTGTACTGGCAGCGAAGAAAAGACTTGGCGCAAGTTTATCGCAATCGCTCGGTCGCTCAACATTGATGGGTGGCTGGATCTTACCTTCCACTTGGTTCACGGCGAATTGGTCCCGAAAAACATACTTGCGGTTGTCAAAGACTCATCATCTATTGAAATCACTGGTATCGTAGGCTGGAGCTCGACATACTTCGCGCCAAAGTTCGAGGTGTATCGTGCTCCTTTCTGGGCATGGGACGGCCAGGACGGTGAGACCATCGACACCGACCCTCCAAACGCTGTTGATGTCCCTTTGAAAAAAGCTTTTTGCAAGACGGCGTCGGAGGAATACATACGTTTCGCGTTCTCGCCTGAGGCTGCTATTGCCAGACGAGTATTCCGCGTTCTGAGAAATGGTATGCAAGGCAAGGAGCAACAGAGTTACGCGTATGACGTGGTTGCGAAGTGGGAGACTTTGCACCCCGGGGATAATTTGGCCAAGTTTCGGTGAAAGTTTTGGTACTTTGAAGACACCAACATTAGTTGTATTTCGTTGACTGCGCGTAACAACTGAAGATTCTTCCAGGGGCATTAGAATATTAGGTAAAAGTATAAGTAGTAATCTCTGTCTTCATTGTGTGTGTATTTGACTGAGTCTGAGCGAATTGATTAGAATATATCCGTTTCGAAAAGGGTTCCTCTGGCAACAGACCGATAATTTGAGTGGTAAGCAAGCTAAAACACGAAGTGAAGAGAGAGTGCAGGACAAAATTCATTAGTGAGGAGATTATACTAGACCATGACGTAAGAGCAGCCCCACTTTCGATCTTTTGTCAACTCCGTCCAATGCTGGTATTCGGCAAAGCAACACCATGCAGTCAGCCGATGCGGGATTACAGAAAGCCTTCTCGATACTACCCCTAGAGCTTTTCCTCACTGTTCTCGATCAGCTCGTAGGAACCCGCGACGGCCAACAACCCATTGCTTATCCACCGTCTCACCCCGTTACCAAGGCTCTGCGTGCACTCACACTTGTGTCGCATAATATCTCTCCTATTGCTTCAAGATACCTTTACACGAACTGTCTTTATTTGAGCAACAGCACCAGCTATGCTCGCCTTCGAAGAACGCTGGGCCTCAATGTTGGCCATCCCTCTCAAGCACTCAAGTATGGCGAAGCTGGCCTCAACGATACGATCTTTGCAGACATGCCACGATACATAACATCTGCTTTCATATCTCCATTGAAATCAGATAGGGATGGACATACTATTCGATTACCACATGTTATTAATCTGTTCAAAACCATAGGCCCCATGCTGAAGAGGTTGGCATTGGATCTACAACCGGTGTATACGCCCGCGAGCGAGGTGGAGCGCATTAGGCCACACATCAGCGAGAACAACATATTCTTGCATATGCCACAATTGGAAGAGCTTATCGTCAGCTTTGATGTCACAGATTACTTCCCATATCCACCCCCTAATCTAAAGCGACTCGCGATTACCACACAGGAGATGAAGGACGATGGGCCGCTGGAGTTCTGTTTTTCAATATCATCTTTACGAACCCTGGTCTTTTTGCGGCCTCCGGAACTACAGGCAACAGATATCGATCGCTTGTTCTCGTACTATAAGGGACATAGTCTGGATGCCATACTTGTAGACGTCAACTCTAATCATCGAACGCCCCTGGGTACTAGAGCTTGGAAAGACGACGACAAAGTGAGGATATGGGAGGTCGACGTACCGACGAGCTTCTATGGCGACGATGAAGATCTGGTTCTATGCGACAACTGGATGTGGAATCGTGGAGTTGAGGGTACGCTCTGGACTCAGGATAAGAGGGGAATGACAAGTTGGGATGATATTGAACGAAGACTTGCTGGACCAGTGCATCAGATTGCATATGGATCTCACTAACAGTTCTGGTATTGGTAGGTGGACTGAACAAACGTGGCAACGGTTTTGCGTATCATTGGGCGGTGTTCTGTCATACTCAGTTGTCCTTCATGTCCGCAATGTTGGTGAAACCAAGAGGGCCCTTTTGTAAAGGCTCAACATAATTAATGTTTGTCGCGTAACCTGCTCCACTCCTCGAGTATAGTCCTACATTCTCTCGAATGCGCATTATCTGAGACTCCATACTGCAGTTGGACGAACATGCGACGTAGCAGGATATATTCTGGTCCATATGCATACCGCAGAAAATCGCTGCCTACGATTTGCTCAAACAACTCTTTCAACTCCCTTGACCCAGTTTCTTCAGGAATTCTTAAAGCCTCATTCTCACAATTCTCGTCCAAGCCTTCTTCATCTTCCCACAGCCAAAATGGCGCGCGACAAGCCACGTACTTTGGCGCGTACAAAGCGTCATCCCAGTCCAAGACACCTGTGATCTCAATCGAATTCTCGTCCTTCACGTTGACGAGGATGTTGCGTGCGTATAGATCCATGTGAGTGAAGTGAAACTTGTCAGTGTCTGGGATGAGATCGCGCTTATGCATCTCTCTGGCCATCGCCATAAACTCATCCCAAAAGGGTCGTGGCTTGCACAAGTATGACTTTTCATAGTCTTGCCAACGCTGACAGGCGTCGAGGATGAATTCAAGGGTTGTTTGTGGTTTGGCGAGCAAAACGGTAGGTGACTCGTCTTCGTCATGCTCTGTGGGTATACTTAATATCTCCATCCGAAAGGCGTGTCCTTGTTCAAATGGTTCGTAGGCGGTGACGACTGCGCAGGCAGAAACCAGCATCGTCTGCAGGAACATCATCAGTCTAACAATTTTTCGCGTCAGATCTTTTCGCTGTTCATGATTGAGTTGTCCAAAGATTGTATGGAGGGTTTGGCCGGGTATACGATGTTGCAGTGTGTATGGAGCGCCGAGTGCGTTGTCCTCCGTCATATCATGCCGAATAACCCTAGGGACAGGGTATTGTTTCTGACAGCCAATGAGTTTTAAGACGGCAATATCGCGCTCCATATGCTCATCACCGTATCGTGGAATGCGGAGGATGTAACGGTCAGTCTTCATCTTCTGAGTCACTGCCGGATGTCCACAAATCGTACGTATGAAGTCATACGCATGATTCAGAAACGAATAATGATGACTAGCCTGTGCAACGCTAATACCGACGACACGATTTGAACTACCGCCAGGCAAGCGCTCGATATCGATGTCTTTGACGTCGGGAAAGAGTTGTGTGGCTAATTGGGTAACTTTATCTTTAAAAGTGTTCCAGGGTTCCTGTGAGTATCGAATTGTGGAGGTCGAAGAAGCCGAGTCGCTAGATTTAGTGGACTGGTTATCGTCGTTTTTGTCGTCCTCATCTGCTTGGACTGTTTCTTGCTTTGGCCTGTGTTCGGTTGCATTATGGACATTCAACCCAGGTACCTGACGAACGTGTTCGCTAAAACTCATTGCAATCCAACGACCCCGGTGGTCTGGCTGTACGACGTGAAAGTTCGAAGCAGGAGGGGTAGAGGTAGTGGTAGAGGTTGAGTCTGTGTCCAAGCGTCTACTGCTGAATTCGAGAACGGGAGAAAAGGGTCACATTTGTGCCATTGAGCGCTTTGCTCGTTTACACAATGCCTTTCAGTCCTTGCTTTCCTGCAAACGGACAATCAAACATTACCAGTGACGAGGAACCTGTACACGACGTCTCACAGTGCTTTCAATGTGTGACATTAATATAAACAAAGACACTTCTTTGAGTTCAGAACAATGACCTTCGGATATGGGGATCATCCCCATTGTCTTCAAGATATAAGATACTCTACGACACCTTTGCTTCTCCAGAACGTTACACGGTAGGTTTTACACATACGTCCATCAATCGACAACAACATCATTTCAGCAAACAAAGCTCTTAGAAAAAGACTAACAGCAAAATGCCAAAGTGCACAACCCGCACTCAACACCACTGCCCTATAGCGCGCAACTGCCGTATTGCCTGGGCACCTGAGGCCAAGAAAAAGAACAAGATGTGTTTCAAACATCAAATCTTCTGTATACCGCATCAAAATATACACTTGAGCGTGGAAGTATGTGATGAATGCGAGGTTGAGGCGCAGAAGCGAAAGGAAAACAAGCCTGCCTCGAAGACCAACGGTAAGAAGTGAAGAAGCATGTCAGTAATAGACACACTGTGAGGTCTGCTACTTAACGCACGTTTCTTTGAGAAGGTTCAAGGGTGATGTCTATGGTTAACATCATGTAGCGCATGACTAACCCCGCTTTATCATGTATACAGTCCGCATTATACATAATGATCCGGTTGCTGTAAGAGGGTTCACTTCATTTAGAGCTTAGACTACGCGATATAGACGGTTCAATCAACTTGCTGTAATGCCAAGTCAAGCATGGAAGAGTATGCAAATCCAAAATTGAGTGCAGACCAAGTCCTCAATGCTGTCTTGCACGCTGGAATTTCATTAAATATGCGTCATTCAATACACCAGAACCCATGCATCACTTCCCATCCTCAACATCCCCGTATTGATTGCCAACCACCTCACTCCATACTGAAATCTGTGTCCCCGGGGGACTTGAGAGATATGTTCTCAACCTCAAGTTCAGGATGCAGGCTATTCCACTCTCTAATAATATTGTATGCCTTTTTGAACTGTTTATCCGTCGAGACTCCGCTCAGAAGAATGCGAAACATGCGCCGTGCAATCATGTACTCGCGGCCATACGCATATCGCAGCCACTCTGGTCCAGCAGTGCCTTCGAACATTTTCTTCAAGGCCACATGATCCGGGTGGTCTGGTTTGACAATGGCCATGACTTCTTTCTCCGCCAGCCTGGCTGTGGAGATCCAATTCCAGGATGGTGCTTGGTAAGCCATGAACTTTGGGCAGAAGAAAACGTACTCGGAATCCCAGTCGAGAACCCCTGTGATTTGAACCGTGTATGCATCTGGGACGTAAACGAGTAGGTTGCGTGGCTTGAGATCGAGGTGGCATAAGTGGAACTCGTCAGTGTCGGGTATGAAGCCTAGTTTGTACAGATGGATGGCGATTTTCGTGAACCGTACCCACACTGTCTGGGTTCCGAGGACGTCTTCTTGTAGGAATCTGCTCCAGCGCGAGCATGTCTCGATAATGTATTCAAAAGTGGTTTGAGGCCAGGTTGCGGGGAGTCTTGACATCGTTGAGGAATTCTGTTCAATTGGCGGGATTTCAAATCGTGTAAGATCTTCGGCACCGATGACAGTGTCAGTATTGATCAATCCGGCACTCTTACTGGTATAGGCTCGTATCTTGGTGTGAACGTCCATAAGTTGTCGTAAAAAGGCTTTTCGTTGGTAAATGTTGAAGTAATCGAATGCCTCGTGCGCGTTCAAGCCTGGTAATTGCGTTTGAATGGAGTACGGACGGCCAAAAGGATTGTCTAGGGACAACGATGCAGTTTGTAATATGGGAATGGGAAGGTTGATGTATTCTGCGGCAAACCAGAGGGCAGCAAGATCGTAGTGCACCTCATCGTGGGTGGGAGGATAACGACCAACCCGCACAATGTAGTATTGCGCCGTCCTTACCACATCTGTACCAGCGTGATTGAGAGACTCTGAAGGAAGAACGGTGATGCCAGCGATACGGTTCGAGGTTCCACCTTTGATGTGTTTGATCCGAAGACCGCCGTGCTTCCGATCGGAAAAGTATAAGAGACATACGTCGTAGACTTTCTCTTTGAACACTTCGAAGGGTATGTGCCCAAAGTATCGTTCTGTTGAAGTAAGGGAGATAGACGAAAGGTCGTTACTACTCTCCTCACCGGCCTCGTCACTAGTGTTCTCGGACAAAGGGTTCTCCCTTCCAACCTGAGAGCCTGCCGGACTTTCCACAGCTCCGATAGTCTTGCATGGGTTTGTATTAGTAGCATGGGCGGAGCGACCTGGTGAAGTGGTCTCGCTAATCATGTTGAATGATGTTGGGTAGCTGTGTAGCAATAAAACGAGTGATGTTATCGACTAGCAAACGACGTTGATGCTCCAACGGAGCTGGATCGAAATGCGGATATTCTAGTTCTTACGCAAAGATACGACTAACCATGGACAGCAATGACTTGACTGCAAGCAGGCGAGATGAGTGTTAAGAAGCAACGATGGATCAGCTCTTCCCAATCGAGTTTGTGCAGACGCTCATCCGCAGTAGTCACGACGTGGATCACAAACATAGATAGCTAGTGAAGCAAGAGGAATGTGCGAGGAGGAACGCCGTGAGAAACTCGACTTCTTGGCCAAGCGCTCGAAAAGTTTCATACAATCGTAAAACTTATGAAACTACATATACACAGAAAAGAAGGGATTACATACTCTAGCATTCCTCAATGTACCATGCTCTTCCCAATCTCACTTTCCCAGTTGTTTGCTCTCTCGAAGCCGTTCGAGTGTGTCTGGTAATCCTTCATGGCTTGCATGACCTCGTCTCTGCTCGTCACAACGAATGGACCGTACTGTACGATAGGCTGATCTAGAGGCATACCGGCAACTAGTATGAATCGTGCCTCCTTTCCGGCACCCTCTTCGACAGACGCCTCAATGCTGTCGCCCTCCGCATCGAATACGACGGCGTGGTATTGTTCGACGGGTCGAGACACGCCGTCGGATGAGAATATGGTAGTCCCGTTGAGCAGGTAAGCGAAAGCATTCCAGCCCTTGGGTAGCGACTGCTTGACCTTGCCGCCAGGTTGGATAGTAAAGTCAAGCAGCCACACTGGTGTGTATGCAAGCTCCTTCAAACTTTCGGTCTCATAAGCTTTTCCGCTGATGATCTTGACATGGACCTTGCCCTCCTCAGCTGTGACCTCTGGTATCTCCTTGGCGCGCAGGTCTCGGTAGCGTGGCTCACACGACTTGAGCTCCTTGGGCAGATCGACCCAGAGCTGCATGCCCACGTTTGGCGAGCCATCCTTATTCTGGCGCGGCATCTCGGCGTGTACAATACCGCGTCCGGCAGTCATGAATTGTAAATCCCCCGCTTCAATCGTGCCCGCATTACCGGCGAAATCTTCGTGGTCGACGGCGCCGGAGAGGAGGTATGTGATGGTCTCCTGGCCACGGTGGGGATGGTCGGGGAAGCCCGCGCCGGGTGGAATAGCGAAGTGATCCAGCATCAGGAAGGGGCTGAAGTTGCGCAGCTTGGGCGTACCAACTGATCTGCGCACTTTGGCGCCCGCGCCTTCGGACTGTTCGATTGCGAGGAACGACTTGGCGATCTTGCGGGGGGCGGATGTCGTCAAGGGCTCTGCGGGGATGACAGGCAGGCCGCGGAACATCCCGTTTGTCGACATTTCTGCTGTAGAATTGAAGATTGTAGTCGTGGTTGGTGTAAAGCGCTTTGATAGCTGTGTAAAGCAACTCAACATGTATTCGTTGTTGTAGACAGCGAGTACTATTGCGACGACAGCGAAAAAGATGGATGTGAAAGTCCTCATCGATCGAAGAGCGGCGCTTTATACCGTACAGAGATAGAAGTTCGAGAACGTTCAGAGAGCGAGCTATAAATGTTAAACCAAGAAATAGTCATGATGAGCGATGGTTGCTAATGTTGTGATGCTTTGTCGTGACTGACCAAGCAGCTGGAAATCCAGAGTGGAGCCGACGGAAGGTGCAGCTTCCGCGTAGCCAATCAGCTAAACTCACGGCACCTGAAGACTCTTGGCTTAAACATTTCGTACGACAACTTTTCCAATACGAAGCAATAGCTTCACTCTACGACACCACCTGACAGAACACGTTAACGATGTCAGCTCAAGGAGACAGAACCCTCCTTGCACTACAATGGCGACCCGTCACTGAGGTTCAAGATGTAGACATGTGTGGCGATTGGTAATACTCCGCCAGGCGCTATTTAAGTCTCATCGCCTTGAATCACGTATGACCGTCCTTTCACAAGTACAAGGAAGAACACCGCATGAACGGAGTATGTTGTATGTATCTGCAACGTCGTTCCATTGAGTAAGAGAAAACTGTTGGATGTGATAAAGACATATTGAGACGGGTACAACGATATTTGATGATAGATACCTAAGTTTTGATAAACACCACTGATGGCCCAGACAAATTGCCTAAAAACACGCTATCAAAACACCTAGGAAATGCGTGAGAAAATGGCGCTAATCTCATGAACGTACACGCGAAAGAAGAACATTCAACGCCGAGCAGGACCGTGAATCCCTGTCGTTTTCCTTTTTACCTTTCCCGGGCTCCCTTTTCCTTTCCAAAACGGGAGATGTTTATCACTGACATGTTTCCAACTCCATCTCGCCGTATCGTCAAGTGCCCTGTCCGCTACCATTGCGAGTATGAAAGTGACAAGTACAACACCGATTGCAGATACCCAGTAGACCCAAAACTTTCCTTTGTTAGGCGCATAGTTGTCTTGCATGCTGAACAGACTGCTAGTGTAGGCCAGCGGTACAAAGAACAAGGCAAGACCGGTAAGACGTTGGACGCGTTTTGCTTCTTCCAGGTTTTGTCGGTTTCCTGCGATGCTAGCCAAGCCAGTCATGGCTTGCATCAGACTGTCAGTACGCTCTTTCAGAAGCTTGAGGCGGAAATATAAATATTGAAAATCCCGTTCACAATCCTCCCACTTCCCAGCTCTGACTTTTGATGGCGGTTCAAGTGAATATCCTAAGCTGAACAGTGTATCCTCGATATCGTCGCGATAGTTACCGCACCGGCGAGATATGGTTTGCAGATATCTCCAATGATCTTGTTCTTCGATCCATGCAGTTGTCAACTTCAGTTCGAGGGAAGGCAGCATGACTTTGATGTAGTCAACCAGTTGGTGATAGTGTGCTGCGACAATCTTCTTCAGAAACAGAGCGGAGGAGCTCGGGGTTTTCCAAGCTTCCTCTGTAATGAGATGGGAGGACTTTTCAAAGTAATAGATGAGGTCGCGGAGCATTGAATCGTGAGGATGGGGTCTGCCAGTATTTGCGAGATCACGAGTGACAGTCGGCAAAAAGTCAATGTATCCTCCTTGGAACGGCCCGTTTTCGAGGTTGTTATCTGGATCGATGATCAAACTAGGCTCAGACTCGCCTTCGAGTTTTACTCTAGGATTCCCACGGAGCCGATCAATTCTAGGATCACAGAGAATCACGACTAATGGAGAATCAGTATAAGAAGTAGTCGTACGTAGAAAGAGCCACGTACCATCCCAGCCTCCATTGCCAGTCTCTTGTGACCACCAACCAACCTTGCGTCGTACAATTCCAGTCGTGCTATCTGGCCTTGGAGCGGTCAGCCCAACATGCCTCCCCGTGCGATTGCAAAAGTAAGGTACAGTCTCAAGCCGCATATTGAACTCTCTCAACTCGCAATACTGCAAATGAAAACTCGTATCAGGCTCGAGTGAACTTGGCAGTGGTAGTGCATCACTAACAGGTGTGAACTTGTCACTCCAAACACATGTTCTTTCGTGTCGCTGGAAAAATGTCGGATCCATGAAGAAATGACCGCCGACCATTGAGACATAATCGGGAGCTAGTCCTTCCATCAGGTAGATGCGTCGTCGGTCATGCTTTAGATTGTGCGACGCCTCCTCGAAATGGGCCCGAAGTAGGCTCTGTGTGAACTCGGTCTTCTCAAAGCGAGTTGGGCCAGTTGCTGGAGCGTCTAGAAGAACAACGAGTGCATTTCCGTTCCTCAGAGGATTCTTTTTGTTGTTCGGATCCGGCTTTGCTAAGCTAGGGTTGGAGCTACTGAGAGCTGTGATGTATCGCTGATATTCACCTGCTCAACATCAGCGACAATTCCGGGTATACTGTACAGCCTTGTTTACCATCAGCACACAACCAAGATCCGACTACATTGTCGCTCCCTGCAGTAGGACTCGGTGCCGATGACTTCCCGTTTGTCGTTGCAGAGGCTGTCCCGATTTGTGATAGGCTGCTCAACTCAACGGAACCGATATTTTCAGCCATCGAGCGAACCCCACAAGTTCACCTCAGAGCCACTAATAAATGCAACTGTGAGAACGGTTGGCGGTACCGGGAATGTGATCTCACGCGAACATGCGTTGTCAGAAAGTCGAGGTCGTCAGGGAGCGGGAGGAATGGAGCGAGCCGTCTGGCGGCTGTCCGCCTTTTCACGCGGCTGAGGCTCTGCGTCCATGCAGACCATTGGGGGCCAACATGGCGCCACGTCATACGTGCGCCCCAGAAGGTGGTACATCTTCGCCTATAACTTGGGTCGCATCGCGCACGGCTCGAGGCTGAAAGGCACTGAGGACTGAGTGCTTTCCTGAAACCTGAGGCACAACATTCGAAAGGTGGCTTGAGCTTAGCGTGTTTCTTGAGGCAGCGACAGCGGCTGACACAGCTTTCAACATCGTCTCCACCTGCAGCAATGTATCGGATCTTCGTTGATGATCTGGAGAAGTTCAATCAACCCCTGTGCATATAAGCAAGCTGCATTTGGACGTCGCAAACATGTATCACACAGGCTGATAACCGATGTGGTTTAGTGCGTCGACCGTAATCGGGGTTCGATAATATCGAACGCTGAATTGACTCATTATGTTCAGGCTCTTTGATCACGGATTCGTCGCATATTCAGGACTCATCGGCTCACGACTGAGTGTACGCCATCCAGGCTCATGCCACTATACTGAACCTCTTGCCACTATAAAGTGTCTGATTTGAATATACAACAAACTATACTTAGCCTCAAGGGCCTGACTTAAGTTTGAAGATTGAACAACAGGTGTTGTAGTGATTCTGTGTGAGTTTCAGTTCAAGTCGAGTTGGGCTTAGCTTCATCGTCTTTAACAAGAACCCTGGAGTATGAATAGAGATTCCGCGCAGGATGTATGACAAGTTGGTGAGAAGTTGAGCAGCGAACTCGGTGATAAGGTTCGGTAACTGTCGGCCGGGAATAACAGGTCCGGGAATGTATCCGGCAACAAAATCAGTCCCTCCATCGAACAGCACGTCTGTCATCTCTAGTCCGGGAATATAGCCACAAAGTGTTGGCGCATAACATGAGCGGCTGGCAGAGGCGCAGATTTGGAACCAGCACTGTATCTAATCAAATGCTCATGAACATGGCCTTGCATGCCGCTACGACACCATGCAATCTTTAGTATCGTCCCCACCTCCCGACGTTAGCTCTGCAGTTCGATGAGCCGCCTTCCATATAAAACGTTGATTGCCCAGATTCCGGGGACCTAGGTTTATTATGACTATCTAGCGTTGCCATTCATAAATGCGCTGTCACGAAGTCGCGTCGCCACACTGCTGACCTCATGATGGACATATCCAAAGATGCGTCGAACATACGTCGTATGGAAGAGAGCATGGATGGAGAGCTCTCGAAGGAGAAGGAGAACGAGCTGGATGACATGGCATCACAAGAGATAGACTTGGAGAGAATCAATGCGGATGAAGTGTTGCAAAGAGAGATCTCCGGACCACCATACTCAGCGTTCAGCTCCGGGATGAAAGCCTGGATTATTTTTCTCGTATCAGTGTCTGCCTTGATATCACCTTTTGGTGCAACGACAGTTTTACCTGCTTTGAACGTTCTCTCCGATGTCCTTAACATAACAGCAACGCAGACCAACATATCCATTACGACATATATGGTACGCTGAGCTTTTTCAAACTCATCTCCAAGCTAACGACTCTAGATCGCTCAGGGTATCGCGCCTGCTATCATCGCCGGTATGTCTGACAACAGCGGCCGTCGACTTGCTTTCATTGTCTGTTTTGTTATATATATCGTTGGCAATATCGGGCTCGCACTCCAAACCAACTACATCGCCCTTCTGATCCTACGCATGGTTCAGGCTGTGGGGTGTAGTGCAGCAATCGCTTTGGCTTTTGCAGTTGTTGCAGATCTTGCCACAAGTGCGGAGAGGGGAAAATATATGGGGTATGCAGGAGCAGGCATCCTCATGGGACCGGCGTTCGGCCCAACCATCGGTGGTATCTTATCTCAGTACGTATGCTCTTAGAACCTGCAATTATGTTATTTCGTGCTGCGCTGACAACTCTGTCGTTGATAGATACCTAGGATGGCGGTCGGTCTTCTGGTTTCTTGCGATATTTGCTGGTGTTCTACTCGTACTATTCGTTTTCCTCTTCCCTGAGACATGCAGAAATGTGGTGGGCAACGGCTCTATACCTGCGAAAGGCATCAACCAGTCCGTCATTGGCTATCTGCAACAGCGTAGGCTCGCCAAAGACAATTTGTCAAATACTACAACTACGGAGCTAGGTTCTTCCGATCAAAAGGAGAAGCGCAAGTGGCCCATTCCCAACCCTCTTGCCACCTTACACATCATCGCGGAAAAAGAATCTGGAATCATCCTCTTCTATAACGGCTTCTTCTTCACAGGAATGATGCTGGTCTCAACCTCAATTCCCTATCTTTTCCATGAGGCTTACGGTCTGAATGAACTGGATGTTGGTCTTTGCTACATTGCGAACGGGATGGGGTCTCTCCTTGCGTCACTCACGACGGGCCACATCGTTGACTGGAATTTTCGCCGATACGCCGCAGCTTTAGGAATGACGATTACCAAGGGCAAACAACAAGACCTCAGTAACTTTCCCATTGAACGCGTGAAGATGGAAATTGTCATTCCAGGCCACATAATCGGTACCATAGGCATACTCATCTTCGGCTGGACAGTTAAGTTTCAAACTCACATTGTGGGACCCGAAATTGCCCTCTTCATTATCGGTTTTGGTGTTTCTACGGCTTTCAATATTACCAATGGTCTACTTGTAGATTTGCACCGCGATCAGCCAGCTGCTGCGACGGCCGCGGTGAATTTTGCAAGATGTCTGATGAGCGCTGGAGGCTCAGCGGCGATCATTCCAATGTGCAAGGCTATGAACCCTGGGTGGGCCTTCACGTTCATTGCGTTGGTATATGTAGTCCTGATTGGGGTGGTGTTTCTAATCATCAGGGACGGTATGAGATGGAGACAGGAGATGGAAGAGAAGAAGCGGGCCAAGAAGGAAGAACGAGAAGCAAGTGTTGAGCAAGCAGAAGCAGAGGGCTGATCGTGGAATTAAACAACAAATTACATGAATGCATTGTTCAAACGACATACAACCCATGTAGATATCAGACCTCGCCTGACACTACCGTCTATAATCGTCGCAGATCTTAAACAAGAAACCACAAGCACCAAAAACTATCATCTAGAAGTAGTACCACTCGGGCTGCTGGCCCTAATCGGTGGGCACCTCAGATGAAAAGGACCCTTTATGGCTACGGTTCACCAGAGTTGAATACGTACAGCCGTACTTCGCCTGAAAGACAGAACTGCAACATGCTGAACTGTCGCTATGGCTGACTAAGGGATTCCTAAAATATATGGTGTGAAGAATGGTGAACAGCTCATGCTTTTGCAAGACTACAAGATGTAAAGGTGGGTCGCACGATAGTTGGCTTACTCGGCGATAAATCGCCGGTGAACGTATCCTCAATGCACTCAGGCCGTACTTGAACTTCCTACCTACTGGAACTACTCCGATACAAGGTCTCTATGCAATTCCCGACATCAAGCTTCGGCGCTAATGTGCCACTGCGCCGACTGCCTATCGCCTCGTGTTTGGGTCATGTTGGTGTTCTATCATTTCGGCGGTAAATCGCCGACTTCATTACGCGGAGCCTGTCATCAGGAAACTAGAAAAGCCTTCGATGGATTATAAATACCCAGAAGACCCTAACAATATACAGGAAGACTTCGATTTCGCCGAAACTTTCATTTTGAGTTCGTCTGCCCAAGATGGATACAATCACCAACAGCACACCTATCCTGACACCTCTTGCAAGCCGACTACGCCTATCTCCCACCCTCGAGATCAATGAGTTGGTTCAAGAAGAATTGAAGAAAGGCCGTAAGGTTGTTCATTTGGGATTTGGAGAAGCGACGTTTCCTTTGCAACCCAATGTCGCCTCTGCACACAAGCAAGCTACCCTCAGCACGAGCTACCTGCCGGTTGCTGGACTGCTAAAGTTGAGAGAGGTCAGATTCACTAAGGGCCAAATATCTGTTTCTTGATCTTGGCTAAACGTTACTGTAGTCCATTGCTCGATTTCAAACGCGCCGCCTTGGGTTCGTGATAGACCCTGAGCAAGTTGTGGTTGCGCCGGGCTCAAAGCCACTTCTTTTCGCATTGTTCGACATTATGGAAGGAGATGTCCTTCTGCCACGACCTTCGTGGGTCAGCTACGAGCCACAGATCCTCCACGCCGGTAAACGATTGTTCTGGGTAGAAACTAGCGAGGAGAATCGTCATGCCATCACAGGTTCGGGTTCTTACACCAATACTTAGTATAACACTGACACCGTGTAAAGAGAGTTCTCTTCGCCTTGCTTACGAGAAAGCGCTTGAAAGCGGTGGTAACCCCCGCATTATGCTCGTCAACAGTCCGTCCAATCCAACTGGTCAGGTCTACACAACAGAAGTCATCGATGTGTTGACCACGTTTTGCAAAGAACGTAACATCACTCTCATAAGTGATGAAATATACTCTGACATCGATTTTGCTGGGGATGTGAATGTTAGCGCCTGTGCTGGTAATCGTCTCAATACCCAAAGAATGGTGTTGACAAGCGGACTGTCCAAGGTACGAACTAAGAGTCTCCTAGTTGCCTAACTAACATACGACAGACCTACTCTGCCGGTGGCTGGCGTGTTGGATATGCCATCTTTCCCGCAACTGCGTTTGGGCGAAGTGTAAGATCAACAATCCTGGCCTATGCCTCAGAATGTTGGTCAGCCGCATCAGCTCCTGCCCAAGAAGCGGCGGCAGTTGCGTTCGACACAACTCCAGAGATGGACCTGTACCGGACCCAAGTCAGGTCTCTACACAAAAAGTGCACACTAGCACTATACCAGGCTCTGAAAGAATGTGGTCTCGACGTTGCAGAGCCGAAAGGCGCTTTCTACTTGTATCCATCATTTCAGCCATACGCGAAGCAACTGAAGGATCTAGGTGTTGAGACGAGTTCTGAGCTTTCCCGTTGGTTGATTAAAGAATGCGGGATTGCAGCTTTGCCAGGATCAGCTTTCGGTGAAGATGACAACGGTCTGGCGGGCGGTCGATATCGGCTGCGTATGGCAACTAGTTATCTGTACTTCAATAGCCAAGCAGAGCGGAACGAGCAAGGACACGATCTCCTGTCTTCGGCGTTGACGGACGAAAATACGGTAGACTTGCCTTTACTGGACGAGGCGATCAAGGCAGTTCGAGATGCTGTGGCTCGATTGAGAACATGATTTATGGCCGAAACACTTTAGCCTGAACTCAATATCAATCGATGAAAGTTATTAGTTGACAATTGTACATGACCTGGAAGCAGTCGATTGTGATATGAAAAAGGTTTATTCTGGAGGAAATGTATCCCAGAAGGTTTGCGCAGGATCAAACCCCATTATGTCCCTCATTAGCTCGAAGTCATACCAAGGACCCGGGAAACCACTATCCGGGAGATGAGCACCCTCAAAACTGCAATCATCTAAACCAAGAGTTGGTGCTGTCATCTCCGATGGCCATGGAACGGATACCTCTCCAAGAACATCGACGTCTCTGGGGGAAGTGATGGCAGAAGAGATCAACTGCAAAGTATCGTTGACAAGAACCTCAAATTGCGAATTTAGTTTTGGCAGGAGATCTTCGTGCCAGCGTTCGTCCATGATAGCCAAGCAAACAGAACATTTCCTAGTCCAGGCGGGCAGGTCAACGAGCAAAGAAAGCAGGCCCACACGTGGGTCTAACTGTTTGAACCCTGTTCTTGCCGTGATCAACATCGTCAACCCAGCAAACATGACTCCTTGAACAAGCATCCAGGAGAGGGGTACGTTGCTTTCACGTAAGAGTTCGAGAATGTTATCTATGTAAGCACCAGCTGATTTAAGGCATATACCGAGTGACTCTCGTGAAGGGTTTGGGCACAAGGGGCTGGATCGATGTAGGACGAGAGATGTGCCATTGTAAAGCCGGACCCAAAAACTTCAGAATTATCAGCCTAAAAACAACAAATGACCAGCATACGGCCACATACCTATAGGGGTAAGGAGAGTCTTCATTTGGTTGGCGTGGATCCGGTATCATAGATTTCCATTGATCAAGTTCTTCCTGCAGTTGGGCGATCATATCTTGCGCCTCCGTCAAGCTTCGCACTTTGTTGTTGACACGATAGACCTGGGATATGACACGACTCTGGATCTGTCTATGTTTGATATGAAGGATACTGGACAAGGTTGTGCTAGAAATTCTCGGTATTTCTGCCGTGATGTGCTCTTCTCCAATCGACGGAGGACGACCAAGGTTGTAAGCCAGACTGATCTCGATAGCATAAGCAGACCAGAATACACGATTCCTCTGGTCTGTCGCTGCCTCAGAGAAACCTGAAGCTGTGGATGAATTGTGCAATCCTATCTCGATTGCCATCTGCAAAAAGTCAGTGGTTGATGTGTATCATTGCTTGTGAATATCTACCCGCATCGCTGATCCGGCCAGTTGCCATTGGCTTGATGCGACTGGTCCATGTAAACTGTAGATTGAGATCAAAAGTAGTATTTGTATGAACAATATACTTGGTACGTGGTGCTGAGTGCTGATATCCATACACTTGATTGCTTCACCATATAAGTCGGCAGCCGACCGTCTGGAGGCGGATGGATTCTGGAACAATCCTTGATTGGACCGAACCTGTGATTGCTTGAAGAAGTTTTTGATATTGATAGCCCCGAGGGCCATGACTAGGTAAAAGCTTGCCATCTTCATGTTCTGTTTAGCAGCTTGTACAGGATGAATCGTATCGTTGATTGGTGAAGTCAAGGAACTCGCAACAAGGTTTTCCAAGGTTCCAGGATCTAAAATAGGATACAAAGGCTCTATCCACATTCGATAAGACCGCAATAGGACTTGACACTCATCGGGGGACAGGTTTGGGGGCTCATCTCTCATGCTAGTTTCATCAACCCCATGACCTTGGGCGACAGTGCAAACTTCGAGCGTGCTTTGGCTGGAAGGACACGATCGTGCCAAGGCAGTTGCGTATGTAGCGAATGAAATACCGCTCGACGGACCGAGGTATTTCATTTCTCCCATTGCGTTGAAAGTTACAAGACTTATCTCCGGTGCATCATTGTTCGGAGGAGAGGCATTGGAGCCTTCTGGTGGTTGAGCATTGGGAGATGGAGATATCGGGCCATCTGGATGTACGTGTCGTTGTGGAACTTCACCAACAGTCGTTGCAGTTCCGGGGTTTGGACCAAATTGCAGAGGCGTTCCTGTCACAATGTCTTTGCACGAGATACCGAAACGCTGGAGGATTTGGTCTTCCAGCCATTCTGTCCTCTCTTTGAAGAACTTCAGCGCTCTGATGTATTTAATGTGAGTAGGCGGGTCGGAGAGTGTTCAGCAACTCACTCTAAGCTATCCCTCTTTTTCTGTCGTCGGTACGGCTCGCATGATACACCGGCGCTCGTACAACTTTGGCATTGGGGATACCCAGAACACTGACTATCAGTCGGGCTATATCGTAGATGGGAGTAGCTGTGGCTCATACACGAGTTTTCTTACAATGGCAGCGAACGCAAGCCCGTACCATGGTACTTGCCATGGGTAGGAAATTCACATGTGTTATACCGTAGGAGTTAGAGCAATGCTGACTGCGATTGTAAACGAAACATTGATGTTGTAGGAAGGATCCAAAGTTCGAAAGCATTCTGAGTTCGGTGTCTCAATCGCCGAGCCAATAGCGAAGGAGAAGCCTAGCTTCGGCATTTACGAGAATTGTTTGATAATAGCCGGCCCCAAAGTACCGAATCTTAGCCCATATTCGCCCTACAAAGTAGAGGCACTACAACCTCGAGGTATTGGACGACGGTGAATGAGGGAGGGTCAATACCACATATGCATGCGGTCCTATCACCCAATCCAAAGATCCTCACACCTCCCCGCATCCCAGCGCTTTCCGTTCATGACCCCGTGGATATAGGAATTTCCAAGGAACTCCCATACTGGCACTGTTTTCCTCCGACTTTCGTCTACTTGCACCATCTCTTCACCTTTCCACCTTAGCACAAGCGGCAGTTTTACACCCTGGACTAACACGACATAATCACCGAGCCCACAGATTCCCGGTACCAATCCGAGAAGCTCTTGTGAGGATTCGTCCTCACTGAACAGCCTAGCTCCTTTTCGATTCGTCATATTGAGGACCATGATCCTGAAAGCCGTTTCGGAATGCGTGTAACTAAAGTATCGCAATACACGTTCTATCAGGACGAAAACCAGGTAAAATATGAAGAAATTCTGGAGGTGGAAAATAGGTATCAGGCGCAGGATGCGTTGCCGCCGTTCGAAACCTTGCGCAGCTGCCTCTTTCTCTGCAGACGTGTAGACTGATGTACCGGTCATGAAGGTTTCGTAAGTCGCGGTGTCGTAGGGCTCGCCAGTAGCGTCATAGATCTGAGATGGTTTCAAGGGTCGCATGGCTGTTTCCCACTCGTAAACTTGCTGCTGGGTCGTTTGCAAAAGGCGTCCTTGTTCCATGAGCGTCTGACGTCCAGAAGGAGTGTGTATCTCCCAAGGCCGGGGCGTAAGATGGGTGACTCTAGCAATGACAAATCCTCGCACACATATCAGTTTCGGCAGCGGTGTGGGCTCAGGTTCAGTGTCCACGAACGTGTTCCAAGCGGGAACATCGAAGCGAACCTGGAACGCAGAGTCTTTCGAAACGTCGTATGTTGGGCCCGGGAGCAGAGCCTCATCACCCTCGGCGGCGTCCATGGAACTAGGTGTCTGTATTGTCCATCTCCAATCTGGTACCCACGATGGTAGTACTATCTTCTCGAATCCCTTTTCTCCTTCTTGTTTACGCGTAATGGCCAACCTTGGTACTCTTAAAACATCCGCATGACCCTTTGCAAACGAACGTACGGCAAGCCGGGTAAATAGTGTCTCGGGCGTTGTGTTTTCGTAGTCAGGCTCGATACCCAGTTGTTGAAGCGCAAGTTTACATCCCAGCCCATAGAGGGCGTAAATCTTATCTCTTGGGTCTCCCGAGATGCACATTCGGTGTCGAAGTAGCACTCTCCACCATTCGATCTCCCTGCGTCTCTCCCAGTCCATCTCGCTGAGTCTCAGCGCAAAGAGGAACGAAAACCTCGTACCGGAATAGAACTCCCACAACCATGCGTGATAATGTATAATGTAAAGATAGGATCCGAGGAAAGCCGCCCAGCTAATGACCGTGTTTCCGCACACCATCCACACGGTGTCACTTATCACGACTTCCTGAACGATCCAGGCGCGCTCGAAATAAGGCCGATCCAGAAGCTTCAACAGTGCGTCGAGGTTGGGATCGCCTAACACGACTTTGACATCAACCTCCTCGTTCTCTTTTTCTCCCTCGGGAGTGAGTGTGTTGGTACCTGGCTTTGCCAATTCTTTTGTAAACACTTTGTTCAGGGAGATTGCAAATTCAAGTGCACCGCTACTACCGTTTGCCTCTGGACCCAGCCAGGCCAGTGTCCACTTCGCTTTCAGATAGATATCTCTCATTTTTGGCACTTGTATACTCTTCTCGTTCTGATTTTCCTGATTGATACATATACTGTCTATCCAAAACATGCGCAGCATGCTATTTCCAAGTGCTTGAGTGCGTTGCAAGAAGGGTATCAACGATCCGGGTATATTGAGTGCATTGTCAGCGAGCGCGCCATCAGCAAGCAACTGCTGCGCAGAGTCCGGGTCTTTGTCCGTAATGTATATTGTGCCAGGATCGGACTGACCCCAGCAGTATGATACAGCTTCGAATACTGGTGCTTCGGAAAGTAACGTAGAGATGATACGGCAAACAACAGGTCCTGTCTTGGGACCATGGTAGAGCTCAATGAGTCGGATGTAGATGTCGTCTTCGTCTTCGCTCGTTTGGAGGTCCTGGTACTCGTATGGCATTATTGGCTCTCAATCTTGAAACGTGAGGGGTGCGGAAGTTCAAGGGACGGAACGAAGGGGATCGTGGAGGGAGGACCATTCAAGTTCACTAATGCAGACTCGCCTCGCTGGTCACAAGTATTCATTCTTGGCACCACTGAGACACCAGTACCTATGCACTCTCTTGCAGGCGCCTAGTGCAACAGGCTCAGTATCGGGTGAAGTACATCGATAGTCATAGGATCCATTCTGGGTCATACAGGGCCAAATCGATGTCAAATTATAAGTGGCAGAGAGCACCTGCCCATAAACGTTACACATACCCCGCATGAGTTGACCGCCCACCTGAATAGAGGATTTGTTGCAAGCCAACGACCTGGGCCGAATCCTGTAATCCTTGTATCCTGAGATGTAGACTGACAAAGTTGACTCATAACTACAAACAGGTTCTCAGCTCCCGTTTCTAATGTCTCAGTCGACACCATACATACACAACCAGGATGGTCTCAAGGATAGGCCAAACCTCGTTTGACATGAATCGGTAACTTGTTGAAAAGTACACGATAGCGACCAAACACCGCCCATATCGAACGCTCCGCGATGACCATCTCCTGACAACGAACATCCACGATGCTGCCGCCAAGGTCCACATCACGAGAAGCAAGGTGGTGGAAAATGATTGTGCGTTTCTCCCTCGACAAACGATCACAGTAACGAACGTCTCCTTACTACTCATTCTTCATTCCTCAACACCTTCCCTAGTGCCCACCAGCTCAGCAATCTCTCGATAAAACAAAACAAACCTTCTCTCTCCTTTACAAGCAGGCGAAAAACAAAAAAGATGTTACCACATTAACACTCCCCAACACGTAAAGAGCAAAAAGGTTACAGAACATATGGAATAGGTCGTAACATCGATTCGACTGTGCATAAATGATATTCCCCTCCATCTAACTAGCATACGTGATCAAAATCTGCAATATGCAAAGATATCCAAACCCGCATTGCCTTTGCCCCTATCTACCCTTTTGCGCAAAACATTACAATGCGCGCTGTGCCTAAATCCTATCCCGTCCCATCCTATCATACCCATGCGTTCGACACGATTGAGCCGAAACACGCAACCATTCCATGCCCAAACCAGAATATATGCACCTCAAAGATACATCCAGAAAATTTGCTCAAAAAGGTAACGCCGAAAAAAGCGAAGATGAAAAAGCATCGCTGAGCCCAGAGTCGAGAAAGCGCTGAAAACGAGACGAGAAAGTGGGGACGGTAACGAGAGTCGTAAAAAAGGGGCGTAAAAAGTCGTATTCATTCGAACCAAGCTGCTATCATACCGTGGACCTATTTCCAGCCTCGAGTTGCGCGGGTGTAGGTTGCGCGGGCGCAGAGTTTTCGCTAGCGTTCCCACGTCCAAAGAGCTGGAACCTCGATCTCCAATTCGAGCTACCGTCCTGCGCATTCTGCCGTAGCGCCTCGGTCATGGGACGAGCAGGCCGACTGGGATGAACTGGTCGCCCGAACCGATCAGTTTGCTGAGTTTGCTGAGCGCCAGGGCCGGCGATCACGACGACTCGGTTTCGTGAAAAGGGGTTGCCGCGAGTGCCCGTCCATACGGCTTGTGGAGACGTAGGGCTTCTGAGGCCTGCAGCTGAACGACGACCTGCGGAAATGTGGACGGCGTTCTCGCCCTCAGTGACGGGCTTAGGGACGTAGTAGTCAGCCTTGCAGAGTGGACAGCAGGCGCGACGAGCAGTCAGCCATGGATCAACACAACTGGCGTGGAAAGCATGACCGCAAGTCAATCCTCGTACATCATCGTCGTCCTCCAGCGTGTCCAAGCAGATGGCGCATGTATCGCCAGGCTCGGACAACATCTCTGGCGCAGTAGCAGTGCGAATCGGGTCGTCGTCATCGTCCGATTCGTCATCGCGCTCGCGGACGTCGGCCTCGACGGTTTCAGTTTTAGTCGGAGACTTTTCGCCACTGTTGTTCTCAAGCTCTTTGTCGCCGAGTGTCCTACGCGCATCGACGCTTGTCCTTGGCGAGATGATGCGCCTTGGTGAAGATGGGGTACTAGCAAGGTCTTCTCTGGCCATGGAAAGCGCAGTGTCTGGTCCTCCGCTGGAAGTGCCGTCGTCCTTTGCAGATATAACGCCCTCGACATCCTTCATGCTCACAGCTCTGCTTTGGGGTGCTGTGGCGATTCCACCCTCAGCCGGCAATCCCCTAATCTCCCGACTCGATTTCCACGTCTTGTACTTGGCCAGCGGGAATCGTTCGTTGACGTCGTCCATGGACATTAACTTCTTCTCTCTCCTCCTCCTGTGCGGTCGAGGCATATTCGCCATATCAATAGGCTCTCCATCTCCAGTCGCTCGGGCAGCGCGGGCGCGATTGTATCTAAAGCAGTACTTTACACCTACGATGATCCTGAGTAATGGTTAGTGGAAGAAGTAATTCGCGGGGCGTCTGGCATCTTCGTACCAGAGGTTCGTGAAGACAACGCCGAACCCAAGGGCGACGAAGAAGAGCAGCGGCGAACTGGTGGGACCGTTATTGTTGTTATTGTTGTTAGACGTGACGGTGCTCGAAACAGCTGCTGCGCTGCTGGAGGCCGTTGTCGCCAGGATGGAGGTGGCTGAAGACATTGTATATAGCAGAGCCTCTAACGTTCCATATGTTGACTGGGTAGATATCGATGTATGTATAGGAGATCAAATCCAGCGACAAGGCTGTCCCGGTAAGCCGGAGTGGTGACGGCGACGACTACGAAACGTGGCGACCGGGCGAACAATAGACCGTGCTGGTCTGACTGTATGTTCGTTTGCCACAAATAACTAGCAGTGAATGCGCAAAATCACAATATCAGCGCCGGCCATGTGCTGCGAGGGGCGTGATGCGGGTGGTGAAGGGCGCGCGGGAGCCGGCTGTGCGCAGGTATATAAGTGGGTGTTGAGGGACGGCAGGTGCAGAATCCGCTATGCCTGACAGGGAGGAGGAGCCAGCCACCGATCCTGTGATTGATCTACCACGGGCAACACGATAAGGCTCCGTCCACAGAAATCGCGGAGTAGCTGCCGAGCGCTGGGTTTGAGATGCTGGTGGGAACGTCAAAATCCTTTTGTACTGTGGGTCTGGAATGGTTTCTTGCTTGCTGGCGGCTTTCGCCGTGCCTGGCTTGTCACCATGAAATGTCCTTGATTCTGAAACCCTGCCCAACCCACGGGCCGGTACATGCAGGATGATGATGATGATGGTGGTGCTCGAGCATGGGACATTATGCAAATTATAAGCTCTTTGTCAACACTCTACAAGCATCGCAACGGTTCATCTGCATCAATCCATCTGTTGCGTGCAGTGCTTCATTGCAAACATTACCCGTCCACTAAAGTCAACTCCTCACCAAGTGGTAAGCCTCCTCAGCGCTAAGACCCCTCGGCGCTATTACGTGCCCTGACACTGCATTTCCTTCCCGTCCAACCCCCAGCAGTCGTCAATCAGCACGCAACCATTCTGGGGAAAACCCAAAACCTGACCAGAGAAAATATTGCCGTCGTGAAATCCTGCCTATCACGTGCGTCTACTCTCTAGTGTTTGTCCCAGCCACCAACGTGATCGGTTCCAACTCGCACCTCGACGGCTCTCTGTTGCCGTGCACCGCCCCAGCCATGGCAGACGATAACCCAATCGTGTTCTTCGATGTTACTTTAGGAGGTATGCACCCCATTCGCCCCTCACCCCGCTTTTGGCCTCGGTATTTCTTTGGCGCTGCTCGGGAGTGGTAGCTCCGAAATCTATGAGTGGGTGGACTGACATAAGCGTACAGGGGAGAAGCTGGGAAGAATCCAGATTGAGTTGTTCAGCAATGTTGTGCCCAAGACAGCGGAGAATTTTCGACAGTTTTGCACTGGCGAGACGAAGGGGAGTCGGGGACTGCCGCAGGGATACAAAGGCTGCAAGTTCCATCGTGTGGTGAGTACTGCCTGTCATTCTTGCGTTTTGGTGTTTCATAACATGCATTATCGCACACTCGTTTTGGTATATATGTACTGACTTTGCTAGATCAAAGGATTCATGATCCAGGGTGGAGACTTTATCAACGGCAACGGCACTGGTTCCAGGACCATATACGGGACTGAGAAGTTTGCTGACGAGAACTTCATTCTCAAACATGACAAGCCTGGTCTGCTATCCATGGCAAACTCTGGTCCAGTGAGTAGCTCTTCCTTGTCCTGGTTTCTCGTGTTGCTCTAGACTATACCCATCACCTACCGTGGAGGCATACTCTTCATGTCATGCATGTGTCTAGCATCATACTTACGATACATCAGAACACCAATGGCTGTCAATTCTTCATCATTACCGCAAAAACTGGCACACCCCATTTGGACGGCAAGCACGTCGTCTTCGGCAATGTAATCGAGGGTATGGACGTCGTTACCAAGATCGAGAACACGCGGACGTTGGCGAACCCAGAAGGAAAGCCGATGCAGGATATTATGATTTCACAGTGCGGGGAGATGTGAGTCTGCTGGACACGTTCACAAATAGTGGATAAGAGGCTCGTTTGCTTGGGAGAGTGGAGAGAAGAAACAAAAGGATGGTCAGTGAAGATGGTCCCAAGCATATGCGCTGTCGCTGTCAGAGGCACACAAAGCTCAGTCATGGCGGAAGGATTAGACGGGATCATACATCCAGCGCGTAGAGGAGCCTAAGAACAAAACTCGGTGGAGAGAGCACAACCAGACGGAAGCAACTCACAATGACCCCCTTTCAACATCATACCTGCGTGAACCAATCATTGCTTCGTTCACGTGACGCTGCTTAGCTCTCCCAACTTTTCAGTGGAGCCACACGCGACACAAAGTTCCCCGCCTCGCTGTTGACTATCTTTCACCACGGCCTTTCAACAGGATCGAATTCTTACTTTCACCCCTTCCAGTTCCGATGTAACGACTCTGACGACTTGCTGCTCCCGACATGGTCTCTCTTGCCTCAACCAACAGAGCAATGGTGATGCCTGCCGCAACGATGCCAACTGGCGGCAGCCTCAAACGAAAGCAATCCGACCACTCGTCAGACGCCGAGAACGCGCCCGCGACCCAGCTGAAGCGTCGCCGAGTGACCTTCGACCCCGAAGTCGACGTGCGCATACTGGCGAACCCAGACGAGAAGAGTTCGGAGCTGGTAGACTCGGAGGTGCGGCGGGCTTTGGAGAGACACGCGGCGGGCGAGAAGATGGACTATGACCGGATCAAGGGCCTGTTCAAGGAGGCGCCTACAACAAGAGGCGCGCCTTCCTCGAGCTTGCTACAGAAATATGTCGTCGCCCTCACCCATAACGCGCCGCTGCTGGACACGAGCTGCAAAAGCCTGGTGCATGCAGTCATTGATTGCTGCTGGATTGCCCGCAATGAGCATTTCGTGCACTATTTTCGCAGCTTCATACGCTCGCTGCTGTCAGTGCAGCCTGGCTTCATGTCGACAATCCTCCAGATGCTCGTGACCATGTTCCTGAGCCCGCCGTCACCCCGCGCCAGGCACCAGGACGACCCGCCCGTCCAGCGAGCCCGCCTCCAAGTGCGAATACACGACTGCCTCAAGTCTATCCTTCGCCAGAACTCAATGGCGAGCGCTTACTTGGCTCCGATTCTCATAGCGACGTTCCCATTCTCCAGCGATACCGCGAAAGCACATGTGCACTACATCAAGAACATCCTACAAGTCGCAGAGTACTGCCTGGAGATCAAGGGTGAAATCATGTCGGTTATAACAGACAAGCTGGTCAAGATTGATGTGCAAATCCAGGTGGACATGGAAGAGCTGGAGGATGACATGGAGGAGCGGCTCGTGGGCGAAGCCATCAATGACGCAGAGGACGATGACGACAGCGACAACGAGTCGGTATCAAGCGAGGAGAGTCTCGAGCCCGAGGAGCGCCGCCTCAAAGACCTCAGAGACTCAGTAACTAAGCTCGACGATATCATGGACCTGCTATTCACACACTACGACTCCGTCTTCGCAAAAGGCGACCGTTTCGACATCGACGAGCTCTTCGAGTCTCTCCTCATCCAATTCGCAAACATCATCCTCCCCACCTACCGCTCTCGCCACACACAATTCCTCCTCTTCCACTTCAGCCAAATATCCCCAGACCTCACAGAGCGCTTTGCTGGCTGCTGCTCGCACCTGGCCTTTGACCATCGACAACATCACATCGTCCGTGTCACCGCCGCCGCCTACCTCGCCTCCTTCATCGCCCGTGGGGCCCACGTCTCGGGATCCGTCGTTCGCGACGTATTTGATCTCCTGTGCCACCACCTCGAGAGTCTACGCGCGTCTCAGGAGCCTTCCTGCAAAGGTCCCGATCTCCGGCGCTACGGCACCTACTACGCCATCTCCCAAGCTTTGCTATACACCTTCTGCTTCCGCTGGCGCGACCTCATCGTCACACCTACTGGTGCCCCCCCGACAGACGAAGATATCATCTACCACGAAGGCGACTTCAAGTGGCACACTAATGTGCAAGAAACCCTCCGTAGAAACATCTTCTCGAAACTCAACCCCCTCAAGATTGTCGCGCCGACCATTGTCAGCCAATTTGCGCGTATGGCGCATCATCTGCGCTTCGTCTACGTGTACCCCCTCATGGAAACAAACAAACGCGTTAGACTTGCACGCAGCCTCGCGAGCGGATACCTCAATGGTCTGGGCGGGAGAGAAACTGCGCTCAGTCAGAAGAAGGGCGAGGAAACGTTCCTCCTCGATGCGTATTTTCCCTTCGACCCGTATGTCCTCCCGAGGAGCAAGAGGTGGCTGCAGGGCGAATACGTGCAGTGGAAACCTGTTCCCGGGATGCCTGTGGAGCGAGACGAGGATGACGATGACGATGAGGAAGAAGACAGCGAGGACGAGGATAGTGAGAGTGAGGAAGATGGAGAAGATGGGGCGTTGGCCGTGGGCGATGATCTGGATGACGGGAGTACAGAGGCGAGTCTTTGAATCCCTTTTACTTCTCTGCTTTTGTTTTGTTTAAGCGTTTCCGCGGGACCTGCATTGTATGGCGCTGGTAGGGCAAAAACGGTTTACAACATGCATGTACTCGGCGTGGAGGGCTATCTGGATGCATATACTGCCTTTTATTTGCGCATGATTGATGGAGATGGATGGACTGGGTTTGCGGTGTATATGTGGTAATTGCATAGCGAACTGGAATCAGACAAGGTAATATATACAATCACAAAACACTGTACCAATCATTGCATGGCAGCTGTCATGATCACACAGTAAAACACACCACGCGCGTTCCAGTGCCACATAGCTTTCATCAAGCTTTCGCCAAGTATGCTTAGCCCCGGATATCGAGCCGTAGTTTGGGATTCGCGGCCCGTTTCGAAATGACAAAAAAACCGCAGCAGCAGCGCCACGGGACTCGCGCGCAACGTGGCTGAAATTATGCCAAATACCTCTGTGCAGGGGAAGGGGGAGCGCGCAAATGCAGCGCGTTAAGAGGCGCAGCACAGCGCCTTGCATTGGTGCATACGTGCGGATAGGCACGTGGAGAGCGCTCATGACGAGTGACGAATTGCAGTCTGGAGTCCGCGCCGATCGATGCGAGGTGCAGTGCGAAAGGCCGGTGGATCCCGGTGATAACGTTGGGGGGTGCTTGGATTGTTTAAAGACTGAGGCGCTCCCCCCCTTGCTGTGGCTCATTTCTGACTTCTACTCTCCATCTCTTTCCCACGCAAACCCGTCCGCACACCACGTCATTATAATCAAGCTCCCTTGGCGCTAAAGCTTGGTATTGCTGTTTCTCTGCCTACGTCACGAACTCGAATCGACGCGCCACGCCGAATTTGTTATACACGGACGAAGCTTCATCTGATCTGAACTCGACTCTACGCGACGCAACACACGCATAAACACAAACACATACACCTCGATAATGTCGGCGCAAGGTTACTACCAACAGGGCGGTGCGCCACAGTACCCGCAGCAAAGGTATGTACACACTCATGCATCACCTCTCCCTGCCTCGCTCCTTCCCATCATCTTCGTCGCACTACCCCAAGCCTCAAACTAACGCCTCTCAGCTACGGTCCCCCACAAGGCCAATACGGAGCCCCACAAGGCCAATACGGCGCGCCCCCGCCCCAGCAGCAGATGTACTACGGCCCGCCGCAGGGTCAGTACCAGCAGGCGCCTGCGCCACGTCAGAAGAAGGACCGTGGGTGTCTGTCCGCTTGGTGAGTTTTCATCCCATCCTGTCGCGTTTATCATGGAGGACTGCGCTAACACAACTTAGTTTGGCGACGCTGTGCTGTTGTTTCGTGTGCGAGGAGGGCTGCGAATGCTGTGCCGATTGCTGCGAGTGTGCGGCCGAGTGCTGTTAAGTTTGGCGAGTTGGGTTGAGTTGAGTGGTAGATGGGAGGGGATACATACACAACGTGGCTGGCGGGCGCAACGTTCGGTGAACGAGTTCGATCGGTGCGTGTCCATACGACATATCCAAGTTCTGGGGCTTTTCATTTGTTCGCAGTATACACCTGGCATGATATGAGTACAATACATGGTCTATCTCTTTATCTCCACATTTCGCCGTGTTAGCTACACTCCATGTCCCTTCGTCTTACTTTCTCGGTTTCAATGAGCAGTCTATGTGTTTCAGACTCAATGCGCTGCAATCCTGTTCTGACTCGACTTGACTTCTCAGCTATTACCTTTCTAGTCTCATATTTACATGTCGCTTAGCATTCATATCTCATCACAGTCGGAAAAATGCACCCCAAAAGACCTCCTATCCCACGTTATCATCATCGACTCCTCTCTATCACCCTAAATCGAGCATAACCTTCTAGATAGCACTCACGCCAGCGCCGGAACATTTCCCATCGATCTATCCAGACTACAATATCACCAATGATGCGACGAGGGGCCTTTTGGTTTGTCGACATAGTCACAATATATATCCGGGTTCTTGTGGTGGTCAAGGTTTGGTTGGTGAGCTTGAGAACTGGAGTCTTTTCAGTTCAGGTTGTCTATGGATAATAAAAAGAGGAGTGTGGTGAACAAATTCATGGCAGACTGTAGAATAGGAGTAAAGTACCGAGGAGAAAACTGAAACGAGAGGAAAGGAAACCACAATAGAAAAAATGAACCCTCTTCATCACCACATGTCCTCCCGACTCCCCTGTTTCCGTACAAATTCTTCCGAGAACACACATTCATCTTCCCGAGAACCATCACACGCTTCACACATCCCGCCAGCTCCTCGCCGCCAGCCTTTCAGTAAGCGGCCGAAACTCCGACCCCCTCTCACTATCTTGCTCAATCATCCTCACAGTCCGCCTCTCCTCCACAAAAGTAGCTGGCTTTCCACTCTCGTCAATGCCTTTCCAGCGCCTGACTTCCGTGACCTCGCCAGAATGCGCACTGTCGGAGTCGGTCAGGTCCTCGTAGTCCTTCTCTTTTCGACGGGGCGGGGGAGTTAGGGAGCGAGTGCGCTCGACGATTCGAGTACGAGACGAGTTTCGGTAGTTGGAGTATGCCGGGCGCTCGGGTGACGGATGGGACGGAGGTGATGGAGGAAGGCGGGATGCGTGACTGCGAATTGGAGGTGGGATTGGAGAGATATGACGGGCGCGAACTTCCTCATGGCGTCGAAGAGGTGGAGGCGAGCGGGAGATGCGGCGAACTCGATCTATACGGATATTTTCGTAGTCCCTCGACGGTGATAGTGATGGTGATGACCGTCGGATCCTCAGACCGTCCATCGCACGTGTTGGCGGGGAGAGAGGACGTTCCTCAACATATCGACGGTGCGAGTATTGGCGATAATGCTCATAATCTTCGTTGGACAGTGGTGTATCGTCAGCATACCTTGTTGAGTCTCTGATACCTTCAGGAACTGGCCGCTCATTCTTTCGTTCTGAAACAAATTGTACTCGAGGCCCTCCAACTTCGACAGAGGTACTTTGCTGACTATCGCGTAAGGTGGTTCTTCGCCTGTAAGCCGTCTCAAAATCCCTTCCTGATGGCTTCAGAATACCGCGATTTGGTGAGTCCATGCGTCCCTGAGACCCAGACCCAAGGTTTGTAGAAGTTTCATCGGATTCCCTCACGTACTCCCGCTGATCTGGCATCAATGCTCGGTATGGCCTAGGATGCGACGCCATCCTAAGCTCAGCGTCGCTCCGTCGCTCTTCACGAGTACTGACACGTCCACGAGCTGGAGACACGCTCTGGATTCTTGGGCGCCTCTCTTGGGATTCACTATGGTAGACGAACCTCCTAGACCTAGTACGTATGGGTGGAGGCGACGGACTGAGTTCGATGATCCTGGAGTTCTGACGGGTCGGTGAAACCTTCCTACCCGAGTGAGTACGGACAACATCTGGTGGAGGCCATACCTCGTCAGATCTCGGGATAGGACGAGGAAGCTGTGTTGGTGTGGCGTAGATTTCATCCGATCTTGGTCTCATACGAACAACATCTGGCGGGGGCCAAACTTCGCCATACCTTGAAGCTCGACGTGGGCTCAACGAAGAGACTCTAGCTATCGTTTCCCTCCTTTGTACGCGCGCCGGGCTGTAGTCCTGCTGCTGTACTCGCAGTCCTATCCTAGTTTGACTTGTGCCTTCTCTGACGATACGAGGACGACTGGGAGAATGCCTGGCTAAGTAGACCTCCTCGCGACTCTGGCGCCTGCCACGACGCTCACTACTGTTCATGTCAATATGAACGGCCTCCCTAGGCCAGTCACATGGTTCATCGGCGATGCATGTCCTGATACGAGTGTAGCTGCTCTCCGAGCGACGCTTACTCTTCATTTTCTTTTTGCATCTGCGACATGAACTAGTAACCACAGGCTTGCCCGGAATGACTGGGTTGTTACGATGGAATCCTGCTGAGCGCATCTTGCCACACTCACTGCATGTGTGGCACAGCAAAACTGGCACAGTCTGATTCTGGATATGCTGAGGTGCTGTCGGCCCTGGAGGCGCGGGAGGATAGCTGTGCTGCTGATAATGGTAGTACTCATCCGTCTGCTTTTGTCTGGACTCCACAATCTCTCCTGAGAAATTGCGTGGTGCTGTCATGGTACCCATCGCAGCGCTTGTACGTCTATCTGACGGCGCCATCGGATCGGTATACTGGTAGCCCGCGTTATACGTTGGAAGAGGCGGTGGCTGACTGGTGTAGTTGCTTGGTATATTGGCATATTCCCCTGGCGCGACAGGTGCACGCATCGATTGCTGTTCCTGAGGAGCTCCACTTGCACCTAGTGGTGGTGGGCGTTGAGGAATGCCGCTCTGACTGAAACCACCTTGACCAAATCCGCCTTGAGCAAAGCCACCCTGGTACCCCGGGAACGAAGCGACAGAAGACGGTGCAGCAGGCGGAGGAGTAGGCGCCGCGGGTGGTACCTGTAGCCCTGAAAACTGCTGTTTGGTATGAGTTTGTGCACAACGTTGACAAACAAACAAACGCAATACATCTACAAGCGCCCATCAGTCAACAAGCTCTCTCAGGCAGCCATACCGCAGCCAAATACTTACACAGAATACAGAAATGGATTGCCCGGTTGAGCGACGGCGCCGGGGTACTCGGGGACTGCTTGGCCACCACCGGAGCTGGCAGTGCCCATATAAGACGCAAAGGCCCTGCGTTGTTCCTCGTTCGCCATGTTGTACGTGGGAGGTGCGAGGGCGTGGTGTGCGGGCCTGCAGTCTTGAGTTGTGATGTTGTGATCGAGGAAGGTCCACGGGAAATGGGCTGCGTAATGGGAAGGTGCCTGACGAACTCTTGCAGTAACGGGAGCTAAGGTGAAGGAAGGCAGACGAGAGAGAAAGAACAGAGCAACCGAAAGAGACTGTTTAGTGGGGCGGTCTACATTGACTCGAAGTGAAAGACGTGGTGACCGTGGAATGTCTTCTTGGTCTCAAGCATTTCGCATGCGTCTGCAACCTCCATGACAGGTACACACAGGCTGAGGAGTCCAGTCACATATCGTTATTATCAGAAGACAATATACTGAGCAACGACAACAGACGTGCCTCTTCAAGGCATACTTATAAGCGCACACATGCCTCTCGCCACGCCCCCACCTCAGGAACCCCTCAATGGGATATCAAACTTCTTTTATTCTTCCCAAAACGCCTGTTGCCAAACCTACTGGTTTGGCCTATTTTACAGACACTCGAAACATGCTACATGAAATTGCGTGTGAACATTGCGAACCTACTCAACCCTCAACACCCTGGGGCCCTTCTTCTTAGTCGCCCTCTTCTTCTTGTGACCCTTGTCGAACGACACGGCACTTCCATGGTCACGGCCAAAGTTGTCAAGATCCTTGACCTTGTAAATTCGGATGATCCAGTTCTCACTAGTGAAAGCCTCATCAATGGTGCTGAGTTCTGGCCCTTGGGCAGGCAACTTGGCGTTACGGACACGGTCCTGTGCCTGTCCGGCGGGGAACAACGAGTTGTAGTTGTAGTAAGACATCTTGTACCTAGTGAAATTGTCAGTAACTGCACATGCTCATGACAAGGGCGTAAAACTTACATCAAGCTGTTCTTCATGGCTGGTGTAGCCTCCTCGTCAACACGGTACTCGCCACGGGGTGTGAAGAAGCTGCGCTCCTTGACCTCATCAGGCCAAATGCCCTCGGCAATACGGACCATCCAGAGGAACTTGTTGATGTCGTCACCAGAGTAGCCCAGAAGACCTCCAAAGACGACCAAGACGTAGTCGACCTCATGTGCGCGCATGATCGGATAGCTGACCTCCTCCCTTGAGCTCATAGCCTTGCCAACGGTAGCAATGTGCGTATTGTTCCATGTGTTGTTGTCGACAAGCGTCGGCCTGTCAGCCATACCACCAATCTGGTAACCGTAATCCCACCAAGCCATGACCTTGGAGTTCTCGGGTGTGTTCTGCCTGAGCCAGTAGTACGCCTCGCGGTAGTCATCGATGATGTGCTGGCTGCCATCTGGAAGCCTGGACGCGAGCACAACAGAGGGTGAGGAGTACGCGTTCGAAGTGACCCAAGTGCAGTGCGAAACGAAGAGCAGCAAGTAAACAAGCGAAGACCCAACAACTGTCATCTTGGACGCATACGAGTGGATTCCAACGAAGGGGTTGCGGGTGGATCGCAGACCACTGGCCGCAGCAACAACCTTGATAGCATCCGTGTTTCCATCCTCCTTGGCCTCGACATTTGGTGTATTGACATCCATGTACGTATCCAGGATCTGGGAGAAAGCCATCGCGGAGGCGACGCAGACAATCGGGGTCAGAGTGAGCATGAGACGAACCATGACACCAGCAAAGTAGCTGGCAAACACAGCATAGATGACAATGAACACTTGCTCATCAGTCAGCTTGGTGAAGCACAGGTAGACACCAGCGGGGAAGAGCCAGATCATCATGCTCAAGTCGAAGAAGAAGGCAGGCCATGCGGTCGGCTGATGCTCGGAAACCGAGGCAATGATGGGAATGTGGATCTTGGCATAGCCAGTGTCCCAAAGCGAGTAGAAACGTCCAGACCAAGGCGCAATGACTCCAGCGAGAGTCAGGAGCACCAATCCTCCGAAGGCGATGACGACTACGGACAGGACGATAGCGCGGAGCAGCGTCTGGAACTGCTTGCTTGGGAGTTGAGCGCGGACCCAATCGACAAAAGCAACAAGCTGGAGGAGACCGAATACGCCTAATTGTGTCAATACGATCCTTTTGAGCCACTGAGGAGCTATGCTTACCCAATGCGGACATGTGCTCGCTACTGCGGATGGGCAAGAAGCCGACAAACGGAATCTGCATACTCGCGAGCGTGCCCAGCGCGTACCACGATGTGTAGCTGACGTAGAGCCTTGGGCTATACCTCCCCATGCAGATCAGGACGAACGCGTGCAATGGCAGCAAGTTGGTGATGAAGACGTATCCACCCCACGCTGACACCATGTATCCGTAGAACAGCGCCGTCAATGCGCCCCAGAACATGGATCCGTTCTTGACCGCCTTGATCCAGAGGAAGAAGGTGAAGACCAGCAGGAAGATGGCAATAGCCTCGTTGTCGTAACTTCCTGCCACCGATCGCGAGATGTAACCGGGGGTGATACCCATGAACATGGCGGCGAGGAGACCGGCGGAGGGGGACGTGACCATCTCGTTGGTCAGGAGGTACGTCGCGAACGCGGTCAGGCCTGAGAAGGCGGGGGCGAGGAGGACGCAGATGTTGCGGATGTCAATGGGCATGGACAAGAAGCGCAAGAGGTGGTAGATGGCACCGCTGGTGACCATCAATCCGGGGTAGAGGGTACCACCAGTAACTCGTCCAAGCGGATGCCATGTTCCTATCCGACAATGTCAGTCAATTGTCTATTACATCGCAATATTGTGTAGAATGCATACGGTCGTCAAACCAGTCCCAGAAGCTGTAGAAGCCATTCTGGACTAAGTATTTTGTCGCTCGGAAATTGAACCATGGATCGACTGTAATCCCACGTCAGTCAATTCTCCTATACACCTAGCATTGGGTACTGACACTCGTGGATGATGCTCTCAAAGCGGATTACCGAGAACAGACGGCTGCTTACAGCTGCACCCGCAATCAGGCATAAAATGATTACTCGAAGTAGACCACGGGTCTTCTGGCCCGTCGCCTTCTTCAGAAACTGCCCTTCCTCTACGGCAGCCATAGTCAATGGGAGAAGTGGTGGAAAGGAAGGTGGTGCTGCTAGGCCGCGTCACGGAGCTCCTCGAGCTATGTTGGTGCACACGTTGCGTTTCCATTTCATGACTAAGCACGGCAGGAACAATCGGCGTGAGGACTGGCTTTCTCCGACATTCAACTTGTCAGACTTCAAATGTGAGAGTTTGAGTGTGATTGGGGGTCATTGCATTTACGTGTCTAACAGTTAGTATGAAATCTATTTTCTTGTAGGGCATAACAGGTCCTAAGACATCTAAAACATGACAACTTGGGATACCATCTCAACCTCTGCACGTCAAGTCGTTTACATCGGCCAATTCCACGATAAATTCACATCTTTCGCATACATGATGCGGGCAGTATGCACAAGAAGCGTCCATCTTGCCGAACTTACCTTTACAATTACACTGCGAAGTTAGCGTAGTTCACCCGAAAGCCAGCAAATTGACTCACACAATACCGATTTTTCTCTCTAATTTTGACCTTTTTTGCTGATCTTTGAGGCTGCATCGCATCCGTAGGAACCGAACGTTTCCTGGGGTTGCTCTGTTGGAACATCTGCTGTGGCGGTAGGGTTGAAGCATGTGAGAACGCAATTTCCACATCAACGCTTGGTGGAAGGCTGTCATCCACCTCACCCACAGCATCGACATCCCCAGCATCCTCATCAGACCCGGCTTGATCCTTCTCTTCCTTCAAGTCCTTCTTCTTCTTGTTAAACTCCACACACACCCACTCATCAATGCTCTTTTTGTCCTTCTCAAAGTGGTACGCAATATGATCGAATCGCTCGTCCCAGGCATCGTTCCTCTTCTTGTTCAGCGGCTTGATCTCACCACAGAAGCCACACCAGAATTGTACTTGACAGTTCTTTCCAATCTTACAAGCCTTAACCTCTTGGGACTGCTCTAGGGACTGCAGATTGTGCAGCGTCTCGAGGTGCTTCTTGAACTGTTCGGGGCCGCGGAAGTGTACGCCACATGTCGGTCCGAGAGGGGAGGATCGCTGTCTACAACGGAAGGCTTCAAGTTGGAAGTGCTGCGAATTTTCATGCCGCTTCCAATCTGACTTTGCACCAAAGCGCTTATAGCACTCGGGATATGTGCAGCCATATGGTTTCTTGTGCCGCTTCATGTGCTTACGCAAGTCACCTGGCCGGGCCTCGTACTCGCACACCTCGCACTTCTTTGTCTTGGAAGAATTACCCCGAGAAGAATGGCGTGACGAAGTGGACGTAGATTTCTGACCCCGCTTGACGAGATTCGTCATTGCTTGGAAGGCTTGTAGCACTTCTATCTCGGTAACGTTAGCTGAGTCGTCTTCAGTGGCGATCGTTTGTGCAGCAACAGATCCTTGAGCGTGTGGGGCAGACGCGTCTTTTTCATGTCTTGATGCGTCGCTGACCTTGTTCAACATGCGTCGAAACAGATTTTCAAGATGTGCTGGGTCTGAGGAAGGTAACGAGGGCCTCTGGAGCTCTCCACTGATGGTCTCGAGAACTTTCTGAGACGCCACTCTTTGATGCTCAGCCTTGGTCTGTGGTGCACGAGAGCGCGGCTTGAAACTGGGTTTGCTCAGGTGAGCTGGTTGTAGTACCCGATCCTTTGCTGCTGCGACACGCATCTTTAACGAGTTTTGCTGCGCTTGTGGCCCTTCGTGCTGATTCTGAGCGTTCATCTGTCCTTGTGAGTTGTGAAGGCGGGGCTCTATAGTATCAGAGTATGGTCTGCTGAGTTGGTTGGATTGCTGATCGACATCCATCGTGAAGTCATCGGTGATCATGCCAAAAGAGCAACGGCCCACTTCTGGGTCTGCGGTGAGACTGGGAGAGTTCAACCCGTCAAGATGACTCCCAGTGAACGCATTCTCAGACCCAATACCAACAACAGCAAGCGCAGTGTCCATGGGAGTCATGGGAAGAGTGTTCATAACTGGCGTAGATTCGGCAACGCGATATACAGAACTACAACCATTAGCTAACTATGGCTACATTGAAGTATGATTGTTTACCTCTCGATCAAAAGTGCATGATCTTCATCCATGTGCATTCGGCCAACATGCTGCTTGAAGTTGTCGAGGCGCGGCCACAGCTTCGTCTTGTTCCGACAGTTTTTAGAGGCACATTTGTAGGATTTGCCATCAGTGAGCAAGCCAATCTGATGAACACTCTTCTTGTGCCGGTCAAGATCATTGGTGGTGGTGAAGCCTTCAGAACTTTTCTTGCAACCTGGTATATCACATACATAGGGCTTGTTGTGCTTCAGCATATGCTTCCTGTTCTCCCTTTAGCACAGGAGCGTTAAAAAGGATGTTCATACACGCACTTGTGATCTGATTTGCATTTGAAGACTTTGTCACACGTTGGGAAGTCGCACTTGATATGTTTACCCTGAACAGCGCTTTGGTGACTGTGGTTAGATACTTGGTCGGCCGGTTTACGCATCATCTCTGGCACCTCATTACGTGCCGATTCAACTTCCATATTAGCGATCTGCATTGTGACATCCGCAGGCAGCTCCTGGTTGGTGAATTCTGGTTCATTGCTAATAACAGAGTGAGCAGGTTTCGCACCTATGGAGCCATAACCCGAAGCACCATATCCCGAGTCCGAGAAAGCTGGCAGGCTCTCCATGTCGGATCCAGGCCTATCGCGAAAAGACCCATAGCTCACACCAGGTTGACATTGCGAATTACGGCCAGCGTTCATAGCACGATGGGGAGTCCATGGCTCATCTTGGAAGTGACGCGCGAATAGGTTGTAGTTGTGCTGGGGGATCTGTCCAGGAGGAACAAGCGGTGCCAGACTTGGATACATCCTGGAGTCCTGTGGCGAAAGATTGGGTTGGCCAAAGCCCATGCGACCAGCAAACCTTGGGTCCAGAGTAGTCATAGCAGACCTCCCAGAAATTGACGGACTCGGCATGGACTGCTGCACAGTTTGTGGGCCTGAAGAGAGCCATGATTGAGGGTACGGGCCAACATCGAAGCACTGGGGAAGTCACTATGTGGCCTCGTTGCTTGAGTAATTATGCGACCTACAGGTTCTTGAACAACGAAGTTGAAAGGTGGGTAGTTCCCATGAGGCTGCGACATTTCTGCTACACCAGGTCAGCATACAGCCTTAGCTTCAACAATGCCCGTGTGTAACCCTCCACCCTGGGAAGCAAACGAGAAAAGCAACCAAAAAGGCAAAGCATCCAGACGACTCGAGACGATAGGAATGTAAAATCAATCTACTGTAGAGAAATCGGCATCAGCCTACCGGTGCGCAAACAGTTCAGCCCGCAGCCAAACGCCTGATCATCTGCCTTTGCAAGGTCGAAAACTCACTGGAGAGGCGCGCGTGCGCATTAGTATACTGTGCTGCACGTACACCGCCCTAAAGTCTTCCTGCAGCGTCGATGTGCGCAGCAAGAGGTCCTTCGTTTCGTAACTCACGCACAGGCCGCTGACGCAGACGAATCGAGGGAAAATGTGAGGGAATTACAGGTGTCAAGGAGCGTAGTCTCGCTAGTCATCGACGAACAACATGCGTGAGAGGAGACCAAGAGAAGTGAGGCTCTTTGCGCTATGTTCCTCCATGACGACGTGGTGGGCGGCCTCTTGAGGAAAGGGCAAAGGGCAACAGGCAAAGGGCCCAGTTGCCCTCTTGTTGCCTAATGTTCCATGACGCCAAGGGGCTTTACCGAACAACAAATGGAGACCCGACCCAGAGATTGTGGTTGCGTGGCTGTGTAAGTCCTTCAATGCTATGCGCTAGCCATCGGCTGCAGTGCGATTGCAACTTGCCGACTTGGCTTGATGAAGTTGGAAGTCCGGGAACGGTGCTGCAGAGTCCTTCAGAGTACAGCCACACTAGTTCAGTCGCTTCGATCGAAACGCTCCGTTTTTGATCATACGTTTGCAAGAGATGTACATAAGTGTATTGTAATATACAAGCGCATATAAACGCGTAAACATGACGACAAATATCTATTCAAATATGCAACATGGATATCGTGCGAAAGCGGACAATCATTAAGAGCAATAACTGCGCGCAACTCATCCACCCAAAACTCAAAACAATAGATCAATTCGCCAAATCCCTTGCTACTACCTCTGATACTGGTAGCCATTCTGTGCAGTCGTATACTGCATCGTGGGGTAGCTGCCACCCTGCTGCTGGTACATCCCAGTCTCGTAACCTAGCGGCATGTCGTTTGCTAGATTCTGTGGCTCCTGCGTAAAGTAACTGGGGAACGCCGTCTCAATGGGAGAATTCGTAAAAATAGCCTGCTGCTGCTGGACTGCAGAGACAGGACTGATCGCGTAGTGATTTGATACGTTCTGCATACTGCCGTTGTGAAACTGCTGTGCGGGTGTGTGCAACCCGCTGGCATAGGCACTACTCGGCTTAGGGGGCACTTGCAGACCCGGATACGTGTGGTTTGTGTAATTTGTAGCGCTATTGTCGTCATAGTTCGTGTATGCGTTATTCTGCGTCTCGTGCTGGTTCCTATACGGCACCATTTGCGGTGGAGGATAGGTGTGCATGACAGTGGATGCGACCTCCACTTGTGCGTCCTGGGGGTATTGACCATATGGACTTAGACCCGGTGCAAGCGTTGAGTTTATGTTGACTCGCGAGAATTTGTCTATGGGTGACCGGTCAGGGGTCGCTGGAAACTTTCTGCTCTCTGGTTGCTCCACTACAGGGCTGATGATACTGTCTGCATCCAACTGCCTTTTTTCTACGAGCGAGAGGATAGGCATGCTGATCTGCTCCATATGCTTCGCCAGGTGTACAGTCAGCTTTTTCCAGCTTGTACAATTGTTGCCACAGAATCTACATGGCTCATCTTTCGGCAGCTTGGTAGTGTCGTGGCGACAGTTATCGACGGTAGTCCATACATTGTCTAGGAAGCTGTCAGAGAAATGCTGGTCAGAGCTGTAGCAATACGACTTACCTTGATCGGCATTGACCGGTACATCCTTATTACTTGCTCGCCCAGTGCGTGGCCGTGGCTCGGCGATCTTATGTTCTCTTACAAGGTGTTGTACAAAGTTGTCTTTGCGGTAACAGGTATGGCCGCATTCGGGAAATTGACAGGTCCAGTATTCCAGTTGTCGGTGTCGTTCGTTCTCGTGTCGAACCCAGTCAGCCTTACGCTTGAATGACTTAGGCTCGCCACAATCCTGAAAGGTACACGTGAAAGGCTGGACGTCCTCATGAACGTGTTTCGTCCAGTCCGATGGCTTGTAAAACTTCTTCACCTTGAAACACAACGGACATTCGAATTCTGCGGGAAGGCGTTTGACAGGAGGGAGAGGGACCCCGGACGGGAATTGAGCGGACACCACTGCTCCCTCTGATAACATTTCGTCGCCTTCGTCAGATGACCCAGGGGCAGTAATTTGAAAGCCAATGAATGGTGTATCGGAATCCTTGTTTCCTGTTCGTGGGGGAAGTTGCTTCGCTTCACCGCCCAAGTCCGTGCAAAACTTCCCAGAAGGACAGGTTTTGTTCTTGACAGCGACCAAGTGCTTGACCCTGAACTCTGACAGCCGCTTGTACCTACGCATTTGTTCCTGGGCAATACGTTCGACCATGAAGGTGGACAGGCGTGGATTGAGCTCTCGAGCATGGGACCTGAAGCCGGGATAATCTGGGATGATGAAATCAGTACGGACTTTCAAATCCATGGTTACAATTTCTTGCTCATCATCATCGTCGTCTCCGGCAGGGCTTGGCTGGACAAGTGGCTTCGTCGCTTCAGTTTCTCCAAGGGGTGAAGCATGTATAGGCATAGGCGGACCTCCATGTTGGGTCATGAGTTCAGCAAGGCCGAATGATTTGCCCCTGCCCAAGTCGCTTCTACTTCTACTTCGCTTGATCACATTCCTCGCACCCTGATACCACGGATTTGTCGGTGCTGAAAGACCTGTGGGAGCGGGAGGGCTTAGTTCTTTGCTGTGGTTGCTGTGGTTGCTATCAACTCGCGGTGATTTGGGTCGTCCCCAGCTCCCCATACGCTTAGGCTTTTCCATGATGAATTCTTTCGACTTGTCGAATATAGTGTCCGACGATGGTTGTACAGGAACACTGCCTTTGCGTTTGAGGAGATTGCTCTGCGTTCGTTTGGGCAAGAAAGTGTTCATGATACTCGAACGACGTTGCCTTTCTTTGTACTTCTTTGGGTCGGGCTCTATGAGTTTAGCAACGCCAGGTGCTGCGCGGAGACTACCCATATCAGACTCGCTTAGTCGGCGTGATCCTATCGTGGCAGCAAGCGAAGCTGATTCGACGTCTTTGGCTCGTTGCCGGAAGCGCATCATCGCCGCGTTGGAGGTAGGGGGTTGATAGTGAGTCGATGATGTTAGTTGCTGGGCTGGAACATCTACCCAGGGTCGTATGATACCGACAATGGAGACAGTTTCTTTTGCAGGAGGAAAGTATGGGTTGTCGGCATGGTCTGCCTGAAGGTCGATGGCAGCAGGAGGTGACTCGGGTTCGGTAGAATCATCATTGTCTTCATCATCGTCGTCATCGTAGTTGTCGGTGTCGCAGTCGCTTTGCTCGTCTATGAATATTCCCGGCCCAGGAATGTTCTCGTCGTTGCCATGGTCAAGATCAGTGTGTACGCCAAGACCCAGGCGACTTCCCCGGGCTTGAGCACTGGTATCCTGTAAACCTCGGCGGTAAGCGTCATTCGTACTCTTTGCTCGGCGACGTCCACTGAAAGGCAAGGGTAGATTATTCGAAGGTGCGACATCACCCGCCTCGCTACCAACTTCACTCTTAGTTAGCCAGACTTGGACCTCAAGCTTCTTTTCGTCTTTCAATCTCTGCTCCTGGAGTTCCTCAATGTTTGGCACCCATGCATCTTCCATTGCCTGACGGTCACCGGGGCTCAACCCAGTTTGACCTGAGCCTCCCTTTGAAAGCCATGAGCCATCTTCGTTACGCTCCGTGCTTTTGAATGTGGGTTGTATGCGTACGTGTTCGTGGGGTGTCTCGTCCTCATCGGATGACTCGTTTTGTGGATAAGGAGATAAGTGATGACCAGAAGGACGGCTATTGTGACTTATTTTACTCAAACTCCTACTGTGATTTGACGGTGAGGGCGATCCATCTCGACTGAAATTTTGTACACGCACAATTGGGCCCGCGATATGGCGTGCAAAGGGTCGAGAATTGGGCATGGACGTACTTCCAGGACTGTTGGTTAGTGCTGGACTTTGAGTTTGCTTCATTAGAGTAGGATGCCCCATGAGGTTTGAGGATGTGGATGAGTCGTGACTGTTTCGGCCAGTATAATGTGCCGTCGGGAAAGTTGAGCTATCGCCTTCTACCATAGGACTGGAGTTTGGTTGTGCGTTATGTGAGACCAGTTGATTGTGGAGTTCCATTGGAGCATTGCTTGGGGGTATTGGCGACTGAGCGTTGTATGTGTTCAAGTTGCCTGAGCTCAAAAGTGACATGTCGACGTTTTCTTGAAGTGGAGGAAACGCATTCATCGAAGTGGTGTCGGTAAAGTTCAAATTGGAGAAAGATTCGTCCAGGTATTGCCCGTTGAAGCTGGGTGTCGGATAGTTGCTAAAATCTTGGTGACTGAGATCGCTGACATATCCCGCTTCTGAACTCAATTGTTCCACCGAGTGTGAGGGTGAGACGCCTTGACCGTTACCGAGATAGGATCCAGGTGAAAGACTGTGGGTTTGTGCCTGTCTATAGGCATTTGGCGGAGGGTAAGATTGAGTGACCATATCCTGGTGTAAAGAAGAATCGAAAGAGGATCCAGTATGTGGAGCAAATGCGAAGTCTTGGCCGGAGGCGTCAACGGCGAGGAAATTTGCTCCGGAACTGTCGTACACGATAGGAGCGGGTTCCGCAGAGAAGGTGAATGCGCCTTGGGTATCTGATATGTTGAAGTCTCTGGTGGCGGGGACTGGAACGTAGCCAGTAGCGTATGCATCCTCCTCGTTACGAAGCTGGCGCCGTTGGCCGTTGAACGGCTGTGTCCAAGCATCAGCCATGTTCATTGTTGCCTAAGGCGTGGAAAGTTATGAGAAAGGCAGACTTGAAGCCAACCGGGGAGTGGCTGATGTCGGAGAATTGCCGCATGCGAGTTTAGATCGGAAATTTACGCCGTTTCGAGTTTTGCTGATTATGGAGACATAGTTGCCGCCTGGCGGCTAGTAGTGAGAGCTTTGCGGCAACTGGAAAGGCGATGCTCCTCGTCAAGATAACGAGACACGGTACAGAGAGGCACAGAAGAGGCGCGATTGTTGCAGTTGAGCCAAAGATTGCCAAATTTAGTGAAGGAAGATCCAAAGTTCGCGATCTGCCTCGTGCGCGGTGGATTCCTTCGAGCTGTAGATGCCAGAGGCAGTGCTAGTCCGACGCGAAGTTGACAACCTTCCAATGGGCCGAGGGTAGGGTTCGGGAAGGAGCGCGCGACCAAAAGGAAAGAGGTGGCTGGTGAGCACCGTGGGGAATTCGTAGTGGCCGATGAAACCAACCGCAGCAGTGGGGGAGAGTTCGAGGCACCGGTCAAGGCTGATTTCCCTTGGAGCTTCAGGTTGGCGGGGACCAGGTGGAGGGCTGAGTGCCGAGCGGAACGTTGTTCGCAAAGCTCGACCAGGGGATAGCGCTGGTTGTTCTGACGTCTGCTGATGGGAAGAGAGCTGCAGCATGGATGGAAAACAAGCGTGACAACGCGACGGGAGCTACAAGCTTGATCGTAGACTCGAGGCAGACTTGCAGGTGAATGACACGCCCTTGGCAAGCTTAATGCAGCGGCACAGCCTCACCAACCAACTACCTGAGAAGCGAGCAAGGTAAATGGCAACGAGTGGCTATGCTGGATATAAACCACCGTGTTTCATCACGATGATGGCGCTCTCACTCTCCGTCTGGTATTTATACACTCACTCTTCGTCATTGTCGCGTCTATATCAAGATGGAGCCATCATTCTTCATACTAAGAACTCGCAAAGGCCACTACCATTGCCCGTCTACGCGCCCGACATCTGGCAGCAATCCTAGTTCTAAACAAAAGGAAGCCAAGCCTTCCAGTGCCGGTGTTTCAGGCGCGTGATATCGCTAGCATGGCAAGGTCGGTTATTTAGGAACGCTTAAAACGGAATATGCGTGCGCCATTAACTGCTTTGATCTGACCGGCTTGCAACATCTTTCGATGTTAGATGCTTGTTGCCATGTATCTAGCCATGAGGATGGATACGCCGATCCGTGGCTCGCCAGCGTTTCATTCGACCAACGCGCTGGATAGCGGGTCTGTCCGGAAACGTTGCCGATGTGTCCAGATGTGGGCGTTGAGCCTCAACGCTGTATGCATCAAAGTGAGTGTTGGCAAGAAGTTTCTAGGAGAGCAGTGTTACTGAGTGGGTTGGTAGTAGTAAACACCACAGGTTCCTACACACAACTTTTGGTCCACGCGTGAGGAACGTAGAAAAGCACAACGGCGGCCCTGCCAGAGACACTATCGTCAAATGTCATTTGGATGTGGGGAAACAATTCCGCAGACGGTCAGGGTCTGGGTCTTCTCATGATAGCCGATATTGCGGCCGTTCTCTGGACCCTTCGGCGGAGCGGAGAACTTCAAGTACTTTACTGCCCGCAACAATGATGGACCGACTAGGGCTTTTGCACATTTCTTCTCATGCCCTCCCCTCCGCACCTTTAATCTGCGATCATCATCGTCTTCTCGTGTCGTGTCAGTCGCGTCAAGAAAGTTTCCTGCGCGTCACAGCACATTCGCATGTGACGCCATTGCCATACCGTGCACCACCATCGCCAGCGCAGAACCCTTAGCGAACTTGAACCCTTAAGAGCTCACACAATCTTTGATACCTCCTCAACTCTCAGTATTGGAGATAGTGCTGGAATCTTTCAAGACGCCAACCCGGCATCACATTCTTCGCCCTAGCAGTCATGCCTGGGCTCAACCAGTTTGTTCCGCCGCCCGACTCGCGGGAGCTCCTCCCACCACTACTGGCCTGCCTCTCAACGGCGAGAGCATCGAAACAGACGCCTCCAGGCTTGCTACCCCTGCTGTCGCCTATCCTCCGTCAGCGAGTACAACTTCTCTCCTCCGATGAGTGGCTCTCCCTGCTATGCTGGGACAAAGAAGCTGGCTCCAGACTACCACAAACCATTGAGAAGATACACGTTGAGCCTCACCCCTCTTCAGGCGAGATCGAGGTGGAAGAGCCAGATCAAACACTGTACCGGCGATCAGACCCAGAGACGCTACACTCAAGACTCGTGTTGGGCGAGTTCGGCCTCATACCGACATATCTGTGGTGCACGGGTGGAGAGGGCGGCAGTCGGTGGTTGCTGGCAGAACTGAGAGGTGCACAAGACGCTGAGGATGGCACTGAATGGTTCACCAACATCAGCGAGGCAGACGAGGCAGGATTCCGGCGAAAGCCAGCCAAAAGAAGTGAAGTTGTGGCCGAGCGAGAGACCCTACAACCAGAGCCTGCGAGAGAGGAGGAGGGTGACGACGATGCATACTGGGCCGCGTACGACCAAACCCCGGCGCAAACGCCGCATCTGAAGCGCTCTCCCGCACCACAAGCCGCGAGTCGAACGCAGGTCGGACCAACACAGTCAGAACTAGAGTACTTTGCACGATATGCTCAGGAAGTACAACCCGCGCTCGATGCCCACGACCCAGACGAAGAAAACATCGCACCTGGCGAATCAACACTGAACGGCAACACCTTGGACTACTCCCGCGAGCCACAGGTCGAACCACTCGAAACCTCGAATTTGGGACCAAACGGCTACGATTCGTCGTTGCCCCCGCCATACGCAAATGTCAATCTAGACGCATACGAATCACAAAGGGAGTCCATCGAAGATGATGCGCTGAACCACCCACGGCCATCCTCCTCCGCGTCGTCAAAATCCGTTGAAAGGCTGGAGCGCCAAGCACGGAATTCTAGCCAGGCTGAGCTCGCGATCAAGCAGCACATCAGCACCGACATCAAGAGCTTGTTTCGACTGGCAAAAGCATCGGGCATTGACAGGGAGGAGTTTGAGAGAATCATTATGAGAGAGTTGGAGGTTTTGCCGCTGTTGGAGCAAGAGCAATGATTTGGATTAACGTTCTCACGACACCATAACGAATAAAAAAATACACCGGATAAGCTGGGTGCGAAAACATGGCAAAAAAGTTGGTAAACTGGGTTCTCTATTCAGCATCCGAAAGGCGTTGTTATAGCATTTTTCATCGCCTGATATAGCATCGCTCCCTCAAGAGCAATCCATCAATGTCCCTTGAAGAAATTGTTGTCTGCTGCTCATCGCCTTGTTGTGCAATCGCAACGCCCTGCCCTAGTCGAGAAGTGTTGCACGGCAAGACTCTCTATGCTATTTGCTCTTGCTTTGCAAACACGTTCGCTCACAGTGTAGGAGATGTCAATCAGGACATTAACATGTTGTTCTTCCTCAACTCCGAACGCCATCTTCCCATTTTTCCTTTTCGCGCTCTTCCAATAATCTCATCCTACTACACCCTTTAAGCCTTCCTCCTACGACCACCCCCCGCAGTAGTAGCTGCCCCGCTAGCCTTTAATTGCTCCAAAATCTCCATTGCATTTGTGGCATTGTTGATATCAAACGTCTGGTCCGCGGCGCTCCCCCTCCCAATTTCCTCCACCACGTTATTCGGATCCGCCTCGCCAATGACCGGGACTTCGCTCGCAAGCCACTGCTGGAATGGCTTCGCAATGAAGTAGCCGTCCGAGGTGAACCAACGCGTCAAGGGTGCGCGGATGTGGATTTTCTGCTGGGGATTCGAGGAATATGGGGCGGGTGTGAAGACTACGTCGCATTCGTAGATGGGGATGTGTTTTTTTGTTGACGAAGAGATCCTCACCTATTCAAAAGTCAGCTCAGACTCCCGTAACAATAGACGTGGTGGTGTGAGTGATCAACGTACCTTGCCTGTCTTGCCCTCGCCCTCGTACACAACACCCCCTTCGGCAAACCACAGCCAGTACGTGAATGCGCCATTGAGTAGGAAGTAGGCGGCGACTGCAGGTGCGGTGTAGGGCTTCGAGGCCTCCCAGCCAAATTTCCAGTCGAAGTAGAAGAGTGCGCCTGCAATGATGACGGCGCTGTAGCCCAGAGCTAGGCGGACGTCGGTTTGTGTGTGGATTTGCTTGAACTTGAGGGAGTGGAGGTAGTTGGGGAGAGCGTCATCGGTCGTGTTCTTGAGATCTGGTAGCTGTTAGCATGAAGATGCATTGGCTTGATGGTGCAGTGTTGCGTACCGGGCAGGGAGTGGACTGCGATTTTCTGTGTCGCGGACATTTTGGAAGAACAGCAGCGTGAGGGACACTTGTTGAGAAGAGAAGCGCGTGGTAGTGAGCTCGAAACGTTGTCGTTGTGGAGAGGTGTTCACAACTTGGGAAGGCACGCTGGAGAGGCTCAAGATCCCTGCCACTCGCTCGTTCGCGAATCCCGCCGCGCTGGAGCTTGCATCACCAAGCTTCACGACACCACCTCCACCACCACCCCTCTGCCCTTTGTAACGCGCGCATTTCGTCTGAAGCCGGCAAGATGGGACAGCCCGTAGTACAGACGATCCACAGGGATCCTGCGCTGTTGTACGTAGACGCTGCCAACAGATGAAGAAACACAAGACTGACAGATCCTCAGTTGGTGGATTCTACTCCCCATCACGGTAGTCATGGTACGTTCCCCATCGATATCCTCATGCTCACATCACCAACAAACTATACAGGTCCTGACAGGTATCCTCCGCCATTACGCCATGACGCTCCTCCAAACCACGCCCAAGAAACAAGACCTTCCCAAAATCCGCCAACAGCGCTCCCTCGTGCGAGGCGTTAACCTGCGCAACAACGCCAATGTGCTCTCTCCCGCCTCTTTCCAGGCCCGCAAAGCATACATGGTGCAGGCGTACAAGGACGGGACATTTCTGGCTGATCCGGAGGGGAGGGGCAAGCCCAGGCCGAATCCTATGAGCGATCCGGCGGCGATGGAGGGCATGATGGGGATGATGAAAGGAAACATGGCTATGATGATTCCACAGACACTTATCATGGGGTGGATCAATGCTTTTTTCTCGGGATTCGTTATCAGTAAGTGCGCCATTTCAGCGAAACCCCACAGACAATGCTGTCGCTTCTATGCGACGCTGGGGACGACGGTGGCGTTTGTGGAGCTCGTCGAGCCGAATCGGAAAAGAAGGATCGGAGCCAACACTTGGTCGCCCCTATCTGGGCCGTTGCCAATTCGGTATCATCCGAGTTGTAGTCTGATCTCCTCGCTAACCGTTGTTGATCAACAGTGAAACTACCCTTCCCGTTGACGCCACAATTCAAATCGATGCTGCAATCCGGAGTAGGAACTCGTGACCTGGACGTCAGATGGGTGTCTAGTTTATCCTGGTACTTTCTCACCCTGTTCGGGCTACAGCCCGTCTACAATTTCATCCTTGGGAGTAACAACGGTATGTGTATCTGAATAGCCACGACGGTGTTCACGCAGGCAGGGCTGACAACGTCCATCTTTAGCTGCGAACCAAGTTACGCAACAAATGGGTATGACCAACCCTGGCGCCGGCATCATGGGTCCGGAGCAAGATCCCGATAAGCTGTTTCTGAGTGAAGCCGAGAACTTGGAGGTTCTAGAGCATCGGTGGATCCTCGAAGGAATCGAGGATCGTCTGATCACTAAGTTTGCGACGTGAGGACCAGCGCGCTGATGGCGTCCATTACTTAAAATACCACATCCATGTCGAGGGGGTTGGTGTACCTTCTTCATAGCTGCACAGTCAAGAGGGGTTCAGGTACATGCCGATCATCCCGCGCGACCATCCGCGCAAGGGCTACCTTTGCAGAGTCGGCCAGAAGATAGGCGGTTTTTATGACAGGCCTTCCCCCGTTCTTATGGTAGCTCTGGTAGTATAATCACGGATATATACGGGGCAGCATGACAACACATGTCAAGCAGTCAGCATTTTCCTATTTGAGCCTCGCCGTGACAGCCACTGGTGCGTGAAGTGATCCAACAAAGAGCACCGGCTCGGATGCAGGGGTAGAGTAACGTGGTGGCTCGAGCCGGCCGAGCGTCAGAGCGTAGGAATTCCTCCACCATAGTTCCCCGCCAATCTCCCAGCGGGACGCACCGCCCCCAACTCGTACGGTTTGCGCTCCCGACACGCCGAGCTTTTGCAGTGTGGACCATCAAAGTAGGCCCTCGACAGGTCGTGAGGTAGCGGGTAAGTGCAGAACGCAGAAAGGAGTGTGCAGTCGACGAAACAGCCCAAACACCTCCTTTTTTTTTGTCATCATGCAAATGCTTGCGCTATCATCTTCACGTTCAAGATGGATGGCTCTGCTGCAAGCGAAGTCCGACGTTGACAAGCAGGCAAATTATGCACCGCCATGCCTTCCTCGCGATCGGTGCCTAATCCGAGCATTGAGGGGAATGCGCCCCGTCTGGTGTGCTCGCGTCGCCTCGAATATCACATCAAATGGCGCCTCTGCGCTGCCACACTCCCGTATGGACCCTTAGTGGACAAACGCGCCCTCCTCTCGATCGGGACCTGGGCTACCTAATCAGCATTTCCTTTCCGCGGCCTCAGGTGCCGAATGCAGGATGGGTAGTACGGATATGTACTGATCACGAGTTTTTTGTGTGCGGCCGCCTCTAAATCAAGACGAGAGCCTGGAAGGTGCATGGCCTATTTCTCGGCTCGTCTGGTCGCTTATTTGTTGTTCCTATCGCTTGTTCACAGTTTCGGCCCCCAGGATATCCTATCGAAACCAAGACATGGCGCACTAGTGTTCACATACACCTCCTTAGTTCGCATCTGTCGATCAGAGTCTGCGCACCATGCGGTCCTGGGGGACGCAGTTCCAGCAGTTACCTGGCAGGTCTGCATGGCTACATGGGGAGGTTCCGTTCTTTCCATGGTGTAATCGCTACTTTATCTGGCGCTTCGTTCGCCCACCCTTGTCATGCCCGCTCCCGCGCCCAGAGTTAGACGCCCACTTGTGGCTGACCAGCTGTTGATTTCTTGGACGACATGGTCTACCGGTGAATACGATGCAGGGGTGTTTGCAGGACTACCTTGCTAGTGTGGTTGGATGCTTATTGGTGGTGGTGCGATGCGGCTCTGCGATGGGTATCAAACATAAAGCACTGTTAAGTTGGAAAGGAGTGAAGATGTACACAAGTCAAAGTCGTGGGCAGTGCAAGTCAACCTTGAGTCTCTATCTCTACTTCCATCCAGAAATCGCCTTTATATCTGATGGTCCACCCCTTCTATTCTATCACCATCCCACTTGTTACCAATAAAGGGAATCTTCTCTTCGGCTATTGCTGCTGGACTTGGTGATCATCGTGGTAAGTTTGACTGCGTCAATTCTGTCGCCATTCCACTAATGATGTCCTCTAGAACTTGTCCAATTCTTCTCAACCATGGCCGCTCCTCAGTTCGGAGATTTGCCTCAAATTCCCCATGGCATGGACGATTTTCTCAACACCAATTGGGACTACGGTTGCGCGCCACAGTACAAACAACACACGGTACATTTCGACCACAGTGAAGATATCTACTTCGATGGCTTCGACGACGGAAGAGTGAGCATGCAGCCAATGCAACGATTCATGATTGACCAGTCTCCCCTCACTGCTGGATTACTTCACGCGAACATTCCCCTACACAGTCACTTTGAAGGGCACTATGCGCAGCAATGGCCGTCTGTGTACGACCATCGATACACATCTCCTGATCGAACCTCTGCTTCTGGCAACTCGAGTTATGCGACACAGAACGAAGTCTGCTCGCCACATCTATACCATGCTGTTCCATACAGTAGTCCAGACAACTTCTCTCGATCGTCGCTGTCATACCCAACCACCGAGCAAGTCTTCGACAGAGTGCCTTTGTCGGGAACTTCTCTCCCTGGCGCCAGTATCAGCTTGCGCGAGCTCGAATACGAACACAACGAGGTCGAGACGGTCTTTGAGAACGTTGACATCGTTGAGGTGAAGCAGGAGGTCACTCACGAGCACGAACAATGTCTCAGAAAGACAGACACCACTCCCAACAGCTTCGTAGAATACGCAGACTCGGGCATTGGTAGCTCTGTGCGAGACGCTGAGGAAGTCCAGCCAATCGAGCTACACGAGGATCCCTCATCAGACTCCGACTATAGCCCTTCCCCTACTCGATCGAATAAGCGGAGACGCTCTTCGACCTTGAGTAGCGGTTCAGGCCGGGGCCAAAAGCGCCGTGTTCAAAGCCCAAAGGAACCCACCGCCTCGCACGTTCTAGGCTCGAGCAAACCCATCAGGAGAGCTCGCAGGACCTCGCACTCGACAAAGGCCCACACCGAGGCCCACGGACATGCGAACGAGCGACGACCATTTCACTGCACATTCGCAGTATACGGCTGCACATCGACATTCCCTTCGAAGAACGAGTGGGGCCGTCACCTCCGCACTCAGCACATCAAACTCGGCTACTGGCGTTGCGATCTATGCCGACCGACCACCGATCCAAATGACCCACAAGCTGTCTACTACAACGAGTTCAATCGCAAGGACTTGTTCGCACAGCACCTTCGCCGCATGCACGCCGCACCCAGTGGTTCCTCACGCAATCCAAAGGAGTTTCCAGTCACTGAAGAGAACCTTCCTGACCACCAGAAGCGGTGCTATATGCAGCTTAGAACCGCACCACAGCAGTCGAAGTGCTTGTTTTGCGATCGCGTATTTGAGGGACCAACATCGTGGGAGGAGCGCATCGAGCATGTTGGGCGTCATATTGAGAAGGATCGCAAGAATGCTGAGTATATGATTGATCTCACTACGTGGAATAGGGACGAGGAGCTTGAGCAGTATCTTTGCGACGAGGGTCTCATCATACGAGAGAAGGGGGAGTGGATGCTTGGAGATGGAAAGCCGCGACGGCTGTCTTCCGTTGCTAGCGGAACGGACTCAGAGGAAGAATAATGGTTTCTTGTTTTTGCATACGGTTCGCGGACTAGTACGGGTCTTTTTTTTCGGCCATGATATTTTACGAATCTCCTTAGTCTTGATACCCGTTGGCGTTTGGATACGATGAGATGCTCTCTCCTAGATAATCTCAAAATACTCAATGCATATCCAAATCTTTCTACCACACCAAGTTCAAGATGAAAAGGTGCCTAACGTGGCGTCGTGTTAGCAGCATAGCCTCACTACGGTACACACAACGGCTATCTGCTTTTTCTACCTACACGAAGACGTCACTTGATTTCGTCAGAAACTCGACACAGCCTCCAGCCACACACCAAGTGGACATCCCACAACATCTGCCCCTCTCTGCCAAGTGGCAGCACCTAATGGCCGGATGCACGACCTCGATCCCAGAAGCCGGGTTCCTACAGGCATGCGCACCTGCATAGCCTTGACAGGCAAAATGGTGTGACAGGCAAAGGCTTGTGTGAAACAATTCGATCATCGACGTACTCCGGCCGGACGCAGAAGCATGTCTGCATGTTGCGTGGGGTGGTCCCCCAGCGCAAGGCCTCGGAGTGAACATCTCAACGAAGCAGCTTTGAACGACTTGGCTGAAACACAACAGCTCGGTCAGGTACCTCATCTCGTCTTCCTGTGCATCCGCTCAGACGTCTCCTGCGGCCGTGCAGTGAAATCCGGAGCGAGGTGGTTTCCTCTCCCCGCATGACCTCCTGTCACATCAATCGCAGATGCACAAGACCGTAACCCCCATCAATCCCGACACCGTGTATCATGACTCAACGGATCAGCAAATCGCAATCTGGAGACCGAATTGGCCTGACACGTTGACAGTCTGCCTGCTTTTCTGCCTGAGCTGAGACCTGCATGCGACCACGAGCTTGGTGATGCATGGTCCTCCGGGACTGCAGGACTACGCGCGACTGCGCCGCACGCCTGCTTGGGGTCCGTCGTCGATGGGTCCCGCGTCGCAAATTACGATCGCCCCAAGACGCTGCATGGAATGGAGGACTCATGTGGAGAAGGCAACCGTTTGCCTGGTGAGCCGGGAGCGCGGTATTAGCTTGGATGACGTGTGGAGATGGCGGGTTGGTTGTTGGGACTTGGGCGAGTTGGTTCGAGATGCTTGGGGGCCATAAGGAATACACGGGGCCCTTGTGTTATTTTGAGTGTTGCGCACTTGGATGTTGTACTAGTAATTGATAAGGTTTCGAATGGTCGGTCCGCGGATCTGGGCATATAGCTTGAAGTATCTTGAAGTATCTTGTTGTTCTGGGCGTTGTATCGTGCTTAAGGTCTAAGCAGAGGGGTGGGAAAGCATGGCCTTACAACTACTTGATGGGAATTCGATTCCAATACTACCCATGTACGTGCAAGAGATGAAACTCATTTTAGTATGCATGCAGGATGTTACAGTGCTGTAGTCTTGACTTTGGGGTAGCGATGTAAAGCGGGGTGACTCAAACGGCGGTGCAAGAACGTCATTTTGAAGAAATCGACGTGGGACGCGAGAGTTTATACACTAGGCACCGCTATGCTATGAAAAAGATTTGCCTACATCGAATAACGTTTGCCTTCTTCTGTTGCCTTGCCTTGCCTTCTTCTTGGTGCGCCAATATAACGCAGAATTTCCATCCCAATGTCTCGACATATGACGCATCACTTGCATCGTCAGATGGCTAATAGAGGTCAGGGGTACCCGCCTCACTTTGTCCTCCCCGTAGCTTGCCTGTCAACCCAAGGACATAGAACTTATCATATCGTCGTTGGAGCTTGGGGCCGGTGTCAACACATTCTCTCTTAGATTTGGAACCGCTTTACATATCGCTTACCAAACAACGGACTCAGATTATAGTTGAGTTACTGTTGGGGTAAGGGCTGACATTAATGTTTTTGGGGGTAAGGGAGAAAGTTCTATGACAGCACTTCTCTCTAGTAATGCCCGTGGGGCGAAAGAAGAGCACTTAAGCATGTTCAAGATGCAGAATTGAAAATTACGGATGCAATTCGAATACATCAGGTGGGGCATGATCATCGCGAGACGCTTTCAACCTGGTCTTGAGGTAGTAACATCTAGACATTCTGAATCGTTAACTCAAGTATGACCAGCAAATAGACGACACAGCAGACTTGGTTCAAGAAGTTCTTCCTGATCTAGACCAAAACGATATGCCTGACTCCAACAAGTAGCTGATCTTCTGACACTCACAACCTGTCCCTAAGAATCTCGAATTGCTTGAGCTTCTTCTCGAGTAACCTAAATATGTTGAGATGTCCCCCGAGATGCTCGTGTCAGCGAATTTCTGTAATATGCTCAAGTTGTCAGTTCAAAGATGCGAAGTCATATCTGATAATTTTGAAACAATCGCCAAAGGTTTGAATCCAGACCTCATCAAGGTTCTCTTCCACGAAGATCTCGGTTTGAGGTTGGTAGCAAACACCATTACCGTTCTCTCGGTCAATTGTAAAAAAGAGAAGTAGATCACGTTCACAATAGTTCGTAAAACCCGAGAACTATATCTATAAGATTTGGAAACACTACATGCTCGATACATGATGCTCTGAATCTACGTATCAGACTTCTATACCAATCTTAGATGTAATTGTCATGATGTTGCAAGATTTGCTGCACGTTGGTTTGATTAACCAAGAGCCGCTCTCTGGGAATTATCGAGAGGTCCTTGAGTCGAACCCGATCCACTAAAGGCCTCTTCAAAACAGATGGAAACACGTTTATCAAACCCGGGACACTCGGTTTAGCATGGGGTATTATCATCGAGGTTGCAGATGCACTCTTGGAGTTACCAATGTTGGAGTTCGGAGGCTCCATTTTTTGGTGTGGCTGATCAAGTTTGAATTCTACAAGTGAATGTCGTTGAGCAATTACTTGTCGACAATATCCTCTGGCACCCCCATACTCCAAGATTCTGGTTTTCGATTTGGCTTACAGTTGGAGTGAATGAGGAAGATTGAGAGGGAAAGAGGGTTGGGGTCGTCGGGATATGATATATGCAGTTTTATGCATAGACGCAGGACATCTGGTCCCAGGGAGTTTGTGTTGACCGGGGCCCTTAAGAGGCCTTGATGGTGAACATACCAGGAAGTGTTCAAAAGAAATCTGTGGAAGGTCATGTGTAAATCACAACTTGGGCAAAGATGAGCAGCAACTCGACACTTTGATCTATGAAAGCTGGCACAAAACCATCACTACACACACGAGTGTGAAACGTATCTTTTCGAGATATTGGATTGTGGAGCGCGAAACTCATGTATAAATATCCGTAAAGCGAAAGACATGGAACATATTATGAAACTCTCTAGATTTTGAGCATCAGGACCGGACATGAAAAGTGTCTACATATTGTTGGTGGGACTGTGAGGACCTTTTCAATTTCATCACTGAGAGGCATCCTCGATGGGATCTCTGCCCATGACGACGGTAGATTTATTCACGTAAGGTGGAGACGTTTCTCATGTAAAAATCAGGCGCGGACACACTGACTTGCTCACAGTCGTAGTTTCAATAACGTTGCTCCTGTAAAGAGGGAAAGAGAGTAGCTCGAAAGAATGGACTTATGGTCGAATTGCCGACCCCACGGGTTTGCTTGTCCAGAATGAGAAAACATCTACATATTACTAGTGTTTCCCTTACCTGCTTGCTCTGTCCAGCTGATATAGCTAGCAAACTGATGAGAAAAGCTATATTAACCTCAGCATCGACTACATCCTCATATCGGGACGCACCTATCACCTTCCACTGCCCTTTCCCTCTTACCGTTAAACAGTATGTTATCTATTACGACTTTCACTTTGACGGACCCACTGCTATATGATAAGCCCACCCTTTGACTATATAATCTCTACATCCTCATACATTTCCTCACTTCAACCCACTTCTTACCTCTTCAACCACTGATTCTGTTCTCCCTCCAGCGACTCGAACACTCTCCACTTCTTACTTGACGCTATACAATGAAGTTCTCAGTTTTCTACACCTTCGCCTTCGTCCTTCTCTGGACTCTCGTCGTTGTCGCCTTGCCGACTGGTATGCTACTCTACCCAAGCGCTAGCTTCAGACATATGAGTTGACTTCATCTGCAGAGATCGATGGTTCGCTCGATGCCACTCAGTTCGACAACCTGGACTACGTGCCCGAAGTTTCCCCTCCTCAAGTCAACAACACCCCCGGATTCACCTCAATTACCACTGATCCCCAAGAAGCCGATACCCTCGAGTCCCTGGCCCTCGGCATCAACTGCAGAGGCTCACTAGCATGCAGCGGTCTCTGCCCCCCTGCGAACTTCGCAGCAATCAGGAGATACGTCGACCAGATCCCAGACGACGTACAGTACCAGAACGGACACCAGATCGCCTGCGTCAGATGCAACAACGTGAGCTACAGCGCCATCTGTGCCTTCGTCCAGCACGCGAAGGAAGGCGAGATGGTGTCTGCAGCGACTGTCAAGGAGAAGATACATCGTTTGGTGCAGCATCAATGCATGAGTGAGTGGTTTTGATCTTGATCTTGATGTCGCAGTCATCTAATGTGCTATAGAGTGTGGCTCTTGTCCTATTCACCCCGGGAACAATGGCGCGACGGGCGAGGTTACTGTCAACTATGTGTGGCATGGCTGTGGGACTGGTATCTGTCCATATTAGACTTGAGCGTACCTTGGGCGGTGCATATGTGCTGGGGGGAATTATAATGGTACTTTGAGTCGTGGTGTAGATATGATCGTGACTTCTTATAGATCGACGGGATATATGAATGTAGATCTCAACTGGTGGTTTCGATCTGAGTATAGTGGAAGAACATAATCGAATTTCCAATGACCAAAGATGCGCATCTGAGAAAAGACCTAGATGGCGGACACTCCTGTTGCAAATCCTTGCCGCACTGTTGTAGACTGAGCAAGGAGTACTTTTGTCACGTCGCATCTTCTAACACTTGTGATACTGACAAGCCGACCGCGGTGTTGAACTCATGTCTATGCTAAGGGATGAGGAAGAAAGAGAGGAAAGCGTGGTTTGATGCGGTGCTCTTTGTTTTTTACATCGGTTGGTGTAATATTTCGTCGCATTTGGGTCACCCTCTCCAAGTGTTTAAGCAATCAGACCACATTAGCTACACCATGAATTCAATACAGCAAATTAGCCTTGCAACATAACATGTCTAAAGCGAATGCACATGAATGTGTCTAGTAACATGACATTGATGAAAGCCTCGATTTGGAATTTTCCGTTCATAGAAAGATAGAGAAACATACACAGCAATCTGACCACCATCATTCCAATAATTTCACATTCTCACAGGAAATCCATTGTATCTCCTCCCTGTAGCCCAACCGCGACCTATACAGAGGCAAGCACCTTGCTGTGCATCGAGCAAAGCTCAACAATCGTGCTTATGCTACTTACTTCCTGCCGGCTATCCTGCAACTGCTCTTTGACAAAACTCTCCGTCGCCGTCTCAGCCCCCATAGCCGTCTTACTCCACGCGCTGACATTCTTAGAGCCTGCTGGAAGCAGGTGACTCTCACCAGAAAGCCGTAGTAGAGCTTCCTCAATCTCTTGGTCTGCAGCGGACATCTGAGCCTGTAGGTAGACAGATTGCTGGAGAAGAGAGCGCTCGTTTACTGCAGAGCGTGCGATGTGCGGAAGATGCGGAAATATCTTGGTGATGGGCATGACGTTTCCTTTGGCTTCGGGGGGATTGGTGGCGACGCTCTGGGGATCGTTTGGTTTGTCCTTTGGCGCTTCCGGGGTTTGCTGAAAGGAAGTGTATGAGTCGAGCAACGTTGCTCGAGAAGAGGTGTACTGATCATATGAGCTTTGGATGTGCTCTTCTGCTGTAGCTATGTCCATAGGAGAAGGACTGTTTATAGAGCGTTTGATCGGTGAAGCATCTTCCAGGAACACTGTCTCCTCTTCCATCTTGGCAAGTTCCCCACTCACCCATTCAGCAAGCTCATCTCGTGCGCGCTCCAAAGCGTAAACCTGCGCCTGCAAATTAGATTGCTCGGGCGACTCGTCCTGGACTTTCTTCTTTGCAGCATTCGCTCCATCCATCTCGACTCTTGCTTCGAGAACCTGTTGTTTCAACTTGAATACCCAGGTTTGGTTGTCCTGGGGTTGTGACAGTTGCTCGAGTCTTTCTGCTGGCAAATCGGGTTGTTCGCCGATGGTGTTGGCGACGAGAGTTCTTGGGTCATTTGGAGCATCTGTTGACTTTGCGTTCAACAGTCTCTCTAGGGCATCCTGGATAACCTGGAGTTCCGCAAAGCGCCGGCGTTGTCGAAGGAGAGAAACGTAGCCTTGTGCAGCTTCATCGTCGAATTCAGATTCGACATGGGTAGGATTCTCATCAATATGCCGTTGCTGCAAGTCCTCCAAAGAAGCTTGAAGCTCAGTATGACGCGTCTGTGCTTGGTTCCGAGCTCGCAGAGCATGCAGATATGCTAAGCGTGTGTCTTTCAGACCAGGAGGATTGGTGCCGGCGGCTGACAGACCCAGCGGGCACTCGTGGTTCACATGCTGATTTTGAGTTGCAGAGTTGACAGGTCGGAGACTAGCGGTGAGATACTTTGAGAGTGCCCGTCGAATCCTGAGTGTGTCTTTGCGAGAACCGATGTAGGATGACAATGCTTGATCGACCTCGGGTATAGGGCATGATGTCTGGTCTGGCATCGATGCGATAGGTGTATGTTTACTTTTGGCACGATGAATAATACCCCTCTAGTTTTCGCGGCTTCTGCAGAGGGGTTCGGAACGCACACGAATACGACAGATATTTAAAATGAGGCCGTGGTTGCCCTGCAGTATCGACCTGTAGATGTGGATGTGGGTGTCGCTTTTTCTGAGGCGTTCAATTGCCGGTTTATCGCCTAACTCAAGGTGGATACACGGTGGAAGCGCCAGGCTAGCACCAAATCGCGGAATCAGGTGATTTGGTCCATTATTTGGGAACCAACGTTTCAGCAATGCGAGACCAGGGAGAAAAATAACTACCGAAGATGTGGAACAGCTTTCTACTCGTTCGGCTGTATCGAATCATTGGCTTTAGAGTTTCTGCTCCATTTCAACATGTATGCAATCAGCTGGATCTGGAAATGCCCTGCCGTTGACAGGAGTGGGGATCAGCCCCTTTGCTTTTCCAAGAGTTCATCGGATGAGTGTTCTCGTGGATCTGTTTGTGTTACATTGAGGGCAACCGACAGTAAGATTAGACCTGAGAGCATGTTATGCTAATGCCAAGGTGTCAGTCTTCGAGTAGACCACCCATGCGCGACTCTCGTACAAAGCCACAGAGGTCAGCTATCTAGGTCAGACATGAACGGAGGTTCAACATCCGAGTACGTCAAACTACGTCTGGAGAGCTGACAGGTGTTGCAAGGTTGTCACTATGTCCCCTTTCCGAACAAGCAAAAACTTGGAAACGGGAAATTTCGAAAGCTTATGTGGCAGACCGGAACCTATTCCGGCAGAGCTTAAAAGCAAACGCGGTGGTGATGGTTCCTCAGGGGCCGCAGATCATGTGCAGACGCATTGTTATCGTCCAGCCAGGGTCTACCAACGAGCCATGTTCATGGCCGCGTCGTATCTATCTCTTGGAGAAACGGCTGGAGAAGGAACGGGGTTTGCACATCATAGCATCTGATTCGTAGTAAGAAACGCGTCGTGTACAACGCATCTCCATCTCCAGGCCAATTGCAGACGTGAAGTGAGGTATGCAGCCCTGGAGCTGATGTGCTGGCGGAGCAAGGAATAGAGGTGAGGAGGCAGGCAGGGCCCGCTGCAGCCCTGGGGATGCATAAGGAAAGCGCCACGGACAAGGTTACCTTGGCGCCATGTAGATCGTGGAGTTATTGGGTCTCAAGGGCTGTTATTTCGCTTCAAGCGCCCTAAGGCATTGGTCCGTACTTCTCCTTTCCCTTGACGTTTTCAAAGCATCTGGAGAGCCTCGAGGTGCGCAGTTCGAAGTTATTGTTGTTGTCGTCGTCCTCGCACAGTCGTTGAATAGCTGCGACCCACCTTCACCTTAACCTCTGCCCGCGCGCAACACGTCCACATTGTCCCGAACCAGCTCGTATCTACTAACGGTAAAGTGAGCCGGACCTGCCTGAGGGCCCCCGCGCCAGACCAAGATGCCGTTTTTCAAGAATGTCTTCAAGTCCAAAGATGCGACACGATCTGCGTCAAAGGCCAGCAAGAATGACGCGCCCGTCGCACCGCCCAAGCCTCGGTGGGAGGATGCATGGTCGCGCAAAGACGTCGCGCCCGAAGAGATACAGGAGCTGATACATGTCTGCACACAAGAGATGAAGTCCAGAGGCACGTATCCAGCGCCGCACGCCCATCTGGGAGCCATGGCTAACTCGCACCAGCTCTGGACATGCTGTTCATGCTCCTCCCCTTCCGCCCCGCGTCCGACACCAGCGCCTCCCGCAACTTTGTGCGCAGCTTCTTCAAAGCTGCATACGAGGGCACACAGCAGTTCAAAGGCGAAGGCCTGTCCCAGGAACTGCGCCTCGCCGAGCCATTGGTATGCCTGCCTCCCACCTTGATTGGGCGACACAACATGCGACAGCTGTACTAACCTTCGCAGACACTATGCAGCATACTGAAATGGTGCTGGAGCAGATTACCGGGCGGCGTCGTGACTTGGGACGCATATGAGCTCTTCCGAACTGGGGAGTCTGGTAAGCTCACCGTGTGCACATGACGAAGTGACGACGTGCTGATCCGCGCTGCAGACTCGAACTTTGCCCGACACGCATTTGACACTTTCATCCCGCTCAGCACCGACTCTGAATACCGCACGCTTATCATCTTCGACTTCTTCGATTTGCTGTCTTCTGTAGCTGCAAGAGGCAAGACCAATGGCATGGGCGGCAGGAAGCTGTCGCGCATGGCGGGGTGGTGGGCCTTTGAGTTTGTTGATGATGGCAAGGGCTTCGACGGTGGCTATCGCACATGGGAGAAGTAATTGCCCTCTTTCGCATACCAACATAGATCATAAACTGACATCACTGCAGGGCCGCGGATGCTGCGAGCCATCTCTTCTTCGCCTACTTACGATCGCTCTCTCCAGATCCCAACGCGATTGGCGGCGTTGTTTCCCTTCCTCGATCGCTACTATCGCTGCTATCTCAAACCGAGTACCCGCCACAAACACCTACACTGATGCAGACACGCACGACCAAGGTGGTCATGATTGTGGACTCTGTCTCGCCCACACCGTTTTCATTGTTGCGTCGCGCCAAGAATTTCGAGTACCGGGATGACGATGCAGCACTGCAACAATTCTCTGCTTACGACGACACTGTCAAGGCTTTGACGGATGAGTGTCGCAGAGTGCTGGAATGCGTGGCCTCTGTCAACCAGTCAGTCGCTTCGCCCGACGCTACTACGCCAGATGCACCATCCTGGTCTCGATTTGAAGACTTTGGATTCTCTGGAATAGTGGATGCCTCTGAGAGCAACGCAAATGGAACATCCATGGGAAGGAGCCCCCGCGAATTTTCCAATGCTTACGGGGCTCGTTCGAAGAATAACGACTTTGGTCGTCCCACTACTCCCTCATGGGCAGAGTTTCTCTCGTCTGGGTTTGCAAACGAAGGTAACCAGGCTTCGCCAACTACGCTCCTACTGCCAATGGACAAGCTTCCGCCCCTAGGCGAGGCTGCGCGCGTACACAGCTCCCAATCGCATATGCGCAACGTACATGGGGTTGAAGAGGATCTTGAGCCTGGCGAACTTGCAAGCATCACTCAGTTCGATCTTGACGAGACGTTCTGGTGGGTATGGATGACAAGTCTTGCCAACGAGGAGACAATCCACCGCAAAGCCGCGTTTGGCAGGTGTACGTTGATCGAGACCCGGATCCCTGGTGCCAGATGGCTCGTCATGGAAGAGCAGGTCAAGGGCGCTACCGTTGGTCCCGAAGACGGCGCTTATATTGCTGAGAAGAAATCCAAGTTCAGCTTCACGAAGCGTAATCGTCTCGGACGACGGAAATCAACTGGCAAGAAAGGAATCCCTACCTTGTCCGACCCTTACGTTGCAAATGCACCTATGAGCAAAACAAGCATCGGTCCAGACCAGCACGCAAGAATACAAGCTGCAGCTGCCAAGTTAGCGCAACAGGACAGAGATCAGAAAGCGGCGGCGGAACAAGGTCAGCGCCGAGGGAGGATGGACGAGACCTCATCGGTCAAGACGAACAGTGTATTGACACTGCAACCGCATCTCCTGAGCGAAGCTGGTCCAGCTATGAAGTGGGACAAACACTTTGGTGAAGGTGTCAAGGATCGAGATGCACTCCGTGCTCAGTACCTCGGGGATTTGGGTACTGGAAAAGGCTCGAGCAACAACCTCATGATCACTGCTAACGGTGGACGTCCGGCGACTCTATCCACTGAACTATCGAATCGTGAGTTGCCAGCGCTGCCCAAATCCGAGAGAACGTCCCCCAGTGTCAACAGTGCTGTTTCAAACACGCCCACTCCCATCGCAACGAGCGCGTCACCCTATGCTGAAGTAGCGCCTGTCACTCGAGTTCCTTGGCCAAACGATTCGCCCCCTGCTTCGCCATTTCGGGATGATGATAAGCCACCCATAGCGGCCATCACCAGCCCACATCCTGCATTGAGGGCTCCAGTACCTGATCGAAAACCTGTCGCTGCTTCCTATCTCCAGGTTCGCACCAGCGAAGACCAAGCTCGTACGATGGAGAGGAAGCCCTCTACGAGAACAGCGAAGAGGAGAGAAGGCGGGTTCAGAAATTTCTTTGGCAGGAAGAAGACAGACGAACCCGTGACTGCAGGAGCGATGAGTCGCAGGGAGTCTGAGGAAAATGCACGTCTGCGAACACGTGATACTAGCCGAAGTGTATCTCGAGTTGAGCACCACGACACTCCGGTCCAAGAGCTATCACGAGCACCCAGTACTGAAAAGCCTACTCCGGACCCCGTTCCAGAGCCCGTTCAAGAGCCCATTCATGAGCCCGCCCAGGAACCCGTTCTAGAGCCATCACCGGCTTTTGAGCCCACTCCGGCTGCCTCACCTGGCTTGTTCTTGAACTACCGCAACCCTGATCCCCCGGTTGCGCCCAATAGCAATGCATACGAGCAGCAGAAAGTTGATCAAGCATTCTCAAGATTTGATCAAGGTCCAATGGAAGACATGCCAGCATTTGCTCCAGCAGACAGTGACGATGAGGTTGATGTTACCGCTGCGCCTGTGCACCAAGTCGAACCCACGATGCCTATTGCTCCAACACAATACGCCCCGCCGACCAGAGACGATGCATCGGAGGAGTCTGTTGAGCTGGAGCGCAAAACCTCGCCTCAACAAGATCGATGGGCGCAGATTAGGAGAAACGCGGCTGATCGGGCTGCTAAGCTCAGCGAAGAGCAGACTCGTCGCAGCCGAAGCCAAAGCCAACGTACAGACGAGGGGGAAACAAGTGGCGAGGAGACGATTGAAAGTCGTGTGGCTCGCATCAAGGCTCGGGTAGCTGAACTGACTGGCAATCCGGAAGGACAGTCACCCGGCGGTGGTGTTGGAGCTTACGGCAACCGACAGCAATTTGCGTAAAGGTGGGCTCCCTCACGTTGTCCACAATCATCGTCGCTGAAGCTGACTAAAATCCAGTCTTCTTCAGAATTATTTAGTACACGGGCTAGTTTGGAAAGCCTAGACGGAGTTTTTGATACCCTTTTACGTTGTAATTGTCTTTACATTCAATACCCCCTCAGCGCGTCTAATCAGTCTGGCACTTTTGTGTCCAAACCACCTTCTATACTTTAATGATGGGCCTGTTGTTGGGGTAATTGACGGGCGCCATGTTTTTTTCTTACTGTGACCTGATCACCTCAACAACGATTTGAAGCTTGCCGTAGAGGCTACATTCCATCTAATAAAAACGTTTTTTGTACATCGTTGTGTCGTGGCCGATTGAATGATATGAATCGTGTCGCCTATCCTGTTGTGCACTGCGACTTTAGTATACTTGATGCTGTCCGGCTGCTTGCATATATGAACCAGACGGAGTGTACTCTGGAATTGGGTGTAATCCAACGGGACTCGAAACAACCACTGCTCTTGTCAAACACCCATCCGCGCGACGATCCGTCGCAGGAAATTGCCAATGTCACCCGCTAACGGCGGACACGTACACAGCAACGTCATGCCATCTACACACGCTGACAGTGTGCGAGTGAGTAGACGTGGGATGGCCGGTAGAATGCTGCATCATCGCATCCATCCATGTGTGTATGCATGCCATAGCATGGGGGTTGTGATGTGTGGGCATGCTACTAAAAATAGCCCAGTTTCAAACATGGGGATGTGCGCATGTGTGTAAGATGGCGCTACTGCGAGCGTACCGTACTGTATTTCGACTTCAACGCTTTTTACCGTTGGGCGCGGGAAATATCCGCGAGGTTTTGCTTTTGCACTGCCTCGCGGGGACGGGAGGGGCTGGTGCTGGGTTTGGGGACGCGAGGGGGTGCAGGGATCGCCGTACAGAGCATGGCGAGGTGGTGATGGGTAGGTACACGAGTGGATGCGTGCTGCGCAGTGGGATGGATCAGATGCGATGCGATGCGATGGGAATGCGGCTCTCCCGATGCTCCTCCCGCGGTATGTGAGGCTACACTGGCAGGCTTCCCCTCATTCTTGGAGGTTGGTGCGCTGCTTGTCTGCTCGAGGGTGGGGGTGCGAGCAAACAACGTCGAGGTCTGTTTGTTCACTCAAATGCCCTCCATAGTGCAGGTCAGACTGGACTCGAGATAGACGCCCTTGGTGCTGTACGACTGTCACAATTGCGCAGTGGGAGTTCACAAAGGGTTCGTGATAGCTGTGACAGCCCTGATATGTCCTTAAAATAGCCCAGCTAGGCGTCACACATGGCAGCTAGCCCGAGTGGGGCCTATTACCGGACTCTGATGGCAGGCCCACACGCTCGCCAGACCAATGGCAGACGCGTGAGACTGTCAAACACCGCAAAAAGTGGCAGAAGGGGCCAGTTAGGCGAAGGTCGGTGGCCCAGGCTTTGCGGACGCCGGATTCTATTATTAGGAGCGCCCGCCCGCTTCCCTGATGGCTTTCTCTAGCACCTTGACTTTCAGAGCCTCAGGATTCGGGAAAGATTGCTGCGCATACTCACGTCGCGCGCCGCGTCCATATAGTCCACGGGCTGCGGAAGAAGTTGACAGAGTCGCGCCGACTTTTGCCGTCTGTTGATCGCCTCCTGAAGGCCTAGCTGAAGCGAGGCTTTGCCGTGCTCGTGGCTTATTGTTGTTGTCGCCGTCGTCGTCGATACCGGCCTGGCCTTATTCACGGCGCCTCTGTTCCCCCGCCGCTCCATGCGCCTCGCCGTCTGAGAGTGCATATTCACCATGGGCCGCCGCAAGATCGAGATCAAGGCCATCAAAGACGACCGCAACCGCTCCGTGTATGTTTCTCTACGCGCCGTGCCGCGCCTTTCAATACGATACAATACAATGCTGACTGACTGGGCAGCACGTTTCTGAAGCGCAAAGGTGGACTGTTCAAGAAGGCGCATGAGTTATCCGTCCTCTGCTCCGTCGACGTGGCCGTCATCATCTTCGGCAACAACAAGAAGCTGTACGAGTTTTCATCGGGCGACATCAACGAGACGATTGGCCGCTACCAATATGTAGGCCTCCTCTGCTGCTGCGTGTATGAGCTGCGCTAACGGGCGCGCTGACAGGTGACGCAGTATGGCGGCGCACACGAACACAAGGGCCCCGAGGACTTCATGGGCAAGGGCGGCGGCGATGAGGACGACGACGACGACGAGGGCGCCGTGCCGCGCGACTCGCACACGCCGCCCGACCACGCCATCATGTCGACCCATCTGCAGCACTCGCAGGCCTTCCAGCACATGCGCCAGGCCACGCCGTCTGCCTCTCCGCCCATGCCGCCCTACCACCACAACAACAGAGGCCCCTCGCCGCAGCCGGGCCATCTGTCGCGCCCCAACTCGCGCGCCCACATCCGCCGCCCCAGCTCGAACCTCGCGCCGCCCCAGCCGTACCCCTCGCAGGCCCCGCCGCAGCAGCCCACCTACGCCTACATGCCCAACCCGCCCTTCTACAACCCCCAGGCCGTCGTCCAGCAGATGGCGCCCAAGCCCCCGCAGGCACCGCCCGCCCCGCAGTTCCAGTACACACACCCCATGCCCACACACCCGCAGGTGCAGCAGTTCATGCAGCAGGAGCAGCGCAGACAGTCAATGCCGCCCGTCATCCAGCAGCAGCAGCAGCAGCAGCAGCAGCAGCAACAACAGCAGCAAATGCAGCAGCCGCCTCCCCCACAGCCTCTGTCCCAGCCCCCACTAAGCGCACCGATGCAGCCTATCATCACAGCACCCTCGCCGCCACCGCAGAACCAGAACAGCTTCCAAAGCCCCCCGCTACCGCAACCAAGGCCTCTGCATGCGTCGGCCAAGCACAGCATCTTCACCCCAATCGATGACAGCCAGTCCATGCTCGCGGCGCATTGGGGCAACAGCACCATGATGCCGCGCAGTGAGGCCCCGACGATCAAGCAGGAGAACCGCTCACATTCGATCGACGTCGCCCTTATGTCAAGACTACAGCCAAACGGGAACTCCCCTCCCCCGCCGCCAAATTCACATCTGGGCACTCACCAACCACCACAACGAACGCTATCCACGTCTTCCATCCCTGCCATTCCTCTGCCGCCACGCGCAAACAGCATACAGGTGGACAAGAACAAGCCAAGACTGCGAGTACAGATCCCCAGCGAACATTCGGACGCGGGTAGCGCCACTGCCGACTCGTCGCCCAAGGACTCCACGACGGGTGCTACGCCTGCACGCGCCAGCACTGATGCCTCGCACTCTTCAGGCGTCGTCCTACCGCCCCCGTCTCCAAGCGCGAACTCCCTACTCAGCGCCGGCGCCACTGGACCGCCCAACCCATTCGCCCGTCCACAACCGCCATCGAATAGCAACTCGTACAACAGCCGCGACAGCAATCCGTACAACAACAACCGCGACGCCAATCCATACAGCAACCGTGACAGCACCTCGTTCAGCAACCGCGACAACATGGAAACGCCCATCTCCGCCCTGCCCAGCCGCTTTGTCGAAAACGGCCTCCTCCCCTCACCGTCGAGCTTCTACCCCGAATGGGGTTTTGGCCGCGACTCCAACATGCTGCCCAGCCCGCTGAACTTCCAGACGCCGGTTGTGGCCAACGGGCCGAGCTTCGCGCGCGATGACTCGGCGGAGCGCGAGAAGGAGCGCAAGCGGAAGACGTCTGAGGAGGAGGGGTCTGATGCAGGGGGGCAGAAGAGGATCAAGACTTGATGGTTTTTTTTTCGTTATACGTTTCTTTTATTGTGTAAAAGCTACTTGTTGTTGTTGGGGGGGTTGTACAACTATGGGTTCTATCTTTTCTTTATACTTTCTCTCGGATTTACATGCTTGTTTGCTGTTGTGGTGGTTGGTGGTGGTGGTGCAAGGGCGTTGTTGGATACCCCGGGATGAAATCTTTTGTACGTGTGTGTCTTTTTGTTTTCTTTTTCTGGCTGTGTGTGCCTTGAGCTTTCTTATACAATTTGATGAGTATGGATCATGGCTGGCATTTCGGTGGCTTTGGGAGAGGGGAGGTTGTGGTAATGATAGGGGGCTTTGTCGGGGAAGGGCATGGCAAGACAGGACGTGGGTGTAGTGTTGAAGGTAGAGATATTGTAATGAGATTATGTCTGCCATACTCGGTCTTCGTTGAAGTTCTCCTCGTCTTTCCTTGCGCTCTGTAAACACCCTGTGCGCAGTGGAGATGCATGGTTTGTTCACGATGCTGCACGGCGTCTCTGCGCCTCCACGACTGACTGCATGACCGCAGTTCGCATTGCAGCTCTCTGCCTTGCGATATGCCGAAGACGCTACATGATGCATCGTCGTAGAGTCATGGTCTGCGTCGGCGCCCCACACGTCCAAACTGGTCGAATTGTCGATTGGTTGGTGTTCCCGTTGCGAACGAGAGTTGCATCCTAACATCGTCATCGGGGCCAAGCACCGCCCCGCTCCGCCAGGGTTCAGGGACAGGGTCATTCATCCTCAGCCGCAGGGCCTGGCTGGTGAATTGGATTGGATTGGGCTGCCATAAGTCGGACTCGCTACCCGTCCATCTCACGCGGCTGGGCGTGCTGACTTGTCGCGTATATCAGTCAGCTTGTGCATTTCCCCCATCTTCTGAACTTGCACTGCACTGCATTATCGCACTGAAGTCGAGTCGAGTGAATACCAACCCCCGCCATGGCATACAACAAAGGCTTCAATCCGGATAGGTTACCCGCGCACGCGGAGCCTGAGCAGGTGTGTGACAACAGCCTCTATATACGTACAAAGTCCACGACTGACGCACACAAGGCCGCCGCAATGCTCTCGCAAGGCCACCCCGCCGCGCGCCCCCCGCGCACCAGCTCCGCGCGTCCGGACTACAACAAGCCGCCGCCCACGGTCCCCAACTCGCGCGTCGACTACCGCCCAGAGGAGCGCTACGGCGGGCGTCCATCTTCCTACGAGCAAAGACCCCCGCCCGGCGCATTCACCAGCTCAAACACGTACGACGGCCGCTCCAACACGCCCCGCTACGACGCGCGCCAGGACACCAGACACGGCGTCGGCTCCCCCCCGCCTGCAAACTACGGCCACGGATCGCCGCCGCAAGGCTACCATGGACGACCGCCCATTGCCGCCCACGCCAGGCCGCCGCCTACGCCTGCGCCGCCCAGAGACGGGAATGATCGCGAGGCGCTGTGGAGGCTGTTCGGCGCCGTGGACAAGGACAGTATGTTCCGCCCTCTTTATATACATGTGAAGACTTGCTGAACATAGTTTTTCTGCAAAGGAAGCGGCGCCCTCACCGAAGCCGAGCTCCGCACCGCCCTCGTAAACGGCGACTGGTCCCCCTTCGACCCCCACACCGTCCGCATGATGATCCGCATGTTCGACACCGACCGCTCCGGCTCCGTCAGCTTCGACGAATTCTGGTGCGTCCTCCCCCCCTCCCCCGCCGTACTAATGCCGCTCACCACCACCCCCGCGCAGTGGCCTATGGGGCTTCCTCTCCGCCTGGCGCGGCCTGTTCGATCGCTTCGACGCCGACCACTCCGGCAGCATCTCATTCGGCGAATTCAACGAGGCGCTTGTCGCGTTTGGGTACCGCCTCTCGAACCAGTTTGTTAGCTTGCTGTATCGCACGTATGATCGCAGCGGGCAGAATGCGATGAGCTTCGATTTGTTCGTTCAGGCTTGTATTAGTTTGAAGCGGATGACGGATGTGTTTAAGAAGTATGATGAGGATCGGGATGGGTATATTACGTTGAGTTTGTAAGTTTTCTGACTCCTTTTTCGCTGTTTTGGGAGAGGGGATATGGGGAGGGGGAAGGAGTGGACAAGGGCTAATGTGTTTCTTGTGCAACAGTGAAGAGTTCCTCACAGGTGCGCAAGCTTTATTCCTCTTCAACTCTATTTCCTCGACGACTGATACCGGGCTTTATTAGAAATCATCGCGCAGCGATGAAAGTGGATTGTCAGTTAGTTTCTATTCGATGCTGAGTACTTGGCCTTCTTTCGCGCTGGATGGATGGATGGATGGATGGATGGGGGAGACGGATCTTTTTTTTTTTGAGAGTAAAGCCAGGCCAGGTCAATTTGCGCAGGCTATGAAGTGGCTCGTTCAGCACGACACTGCTGGTCGCGTCTGTGGCCATCACTCGGATGACGAGGGATTGGCATGGCGCATGATGTTCATATGGTGGAACACAATATCACACGAGGCATTCCGGGGAGGGGAATAGTGGAGGGGAATCTAGATACCCGTTTATGACTGAACCATCTTTTTTATACAAGCTTCTGTTTTCTACCGTTGGGTTGACTTGGGATGTGGTGAATAAGATGAGTCAAGACAGGTCAAGTCAAGTTAAGTCAAGGGAACCAAAAAAAAGTCGCAGATCTACTATGAAGATACTTTGCTTCTTGCCTATTCTTAAGTTTATGCCTATGTGTGTTGTCGTCTATTCGTCAAACATCGTCTATCGTAAGGGAACCTATATACTGTCTTTCTTCTTCAGAGATGCATGCGTGCAAGCAGCCAGCGCCCATGCCACGCTCTCGAGTAAACCTCAACACACACTCCTCGAGTAACATGTAACCCCCCCTCACGGCCGCGCCGGCGACTTCTTCACCCCCTTGACCGACACTGGCGCCGGCAACCCCGCGCCCTGCCCAACGCCATCCACAAACGGCGAATACGGCGCCGCAACCGCATGCGGCGGGGCTCTCATACCAGACTGCAGTTTCGGCGGTTCAGGCGCGCCGGGCCACTTGCGCTGCTCGTCGTGCATCCTGTCCAGCGGCTCGCCTACGACGTGGTATTTCGCCCAATTTACGGGCGGACAGCGGACGATGTTCTGGGGTTGGGGGATGGCGGGGAACGCTGCGCGGGGCGGGGGCGCGTCCATGCTGGCGGAGTCTTTGCGGCGTTGTTCGTGGTCGAGGTCGGATAGCGTGGGGGTCAGGATGTCGGTATGTGTTTGTACTTGTGAGCGCTGCTCTTGTAGTGAGCGCACGAAGCTGTGCGGGTCCGACACGGCGGCGGCTTTCAGGTCCTCGAGCGCTTGGAGGTCGCGCTTGCTTTTTTCGCGCTGGAGTTGGAGGAGTGATATCGCGGAGCGCAGGGCGATGGCGTCGGGGTTTGAGGACTCGGAGATGGCGATCGACGAGGGCTGCTTGATGAAGGTTGCGGGCGGCGGGGGCGCGGGGCGTGCTTGCTCATCGTGGTCGCGGTCGGCGCGCGGGAGCGGTGCGAGCTGGGCTGCTGTCGTCGTGGGCGTGATGGGCGACACGGGCGGGCGGTCTGGCGAGCGCGCGCCGGTTGACGAGGCGGTGCTGGACGTGTCGACCACGAGGGCGGGCATGGCGGCGACGTGGACTGACGTCTCCAGGCGCATGGCCCTGAGAGTTGCCGGGCAGTTTCCCTAGTGCTCAGTAATCGCCGACGACCCCACAAGGCCGGGAGGCAAACGAGACGTGGGCAGGCCGCAGCGAGGTCTGAGTGGGGGGCCCCCTATACTGACGTCGAAGAGGGATCTGCCGCAGATGACGCGCAATCAAGGTAGTGCTAACGTCTTCCTTCGCGCGGGCGTTCTGCCACGTTTTGCTTGTTTGGCCAAACCGTGGTTCAGGCAGGGACGGTAGGTAGCGGGAGAAGGCGTCGAGGATTGTTCTACGCAGCAACGACGCCCCACCGTTCCTGCGACGTTGGCGGTTGTGGAGCCGCGAAAAACAAAAGTGCAGGTTTGCCCATGCTGTCGGGATCCCTGTTTGGCGTACGGACTACGGGCCGAGGAGATATGCGGCAAAAAGTGAAATAGACTGACTGACTGGTTGCTATTTAGCAAATGCCCTGATTATTTACTGACCGGTCCAGTTTGGCGACTGACGACCTGCACTGGCTAGCCGATGTGGGGCTGCACCAGGAACAAGCGGCGTGTTGGCCTGTTTGACTACTGTTTGATTTGCACAAATGTCCATGATTGTCTGCTCTTGCAATTCCCTACTTGTCTTTTCTAGCAGCACGTGCGCGATAGGGAACACTACCAACATGGTCTGATACCTACTTCAGCTGCTGCCGTCCCAGACGTTCAATAGCGTCGGCCTTGTGCAGCTAACCCTCACCCTCAGCTCCCCACTTCCGTTGCAGGTCGATCATCGCCCGCCAATCAGTCCCCACTCTGGCCTCCATTGCGTGCAGGGACTACACTTGCTAAACCAGAGCGGGCATAATCTTCCGCCCAAGGCCCATGGCAGATATAACAGGGCAACCCCTCCCTCGCATGCCCAAGCTGCAATACCGGAGCCCACCTCCCGCCCATGGCATGTCATCATCGTGGTCGTCTCGGAGTATCCGCAATCTGGAACCTCGAAAATATAACACCCCCGGCGCCCTACCAGCCGCAACATCACGCGCTTCCTCGCTCGATATCCGCTCCTCTTCCGAAACAGCCAGCTCTACGTCACCCAGTCTGGCTTCCACATCGTCCAGCGCGGGTAGCTCATATGAGTCCAAGTCAAGACCAAAGAAGAAGCCGGGCCTTATGAGCTCGGTGCTCGGCTTCCTCTCCTTGAAAGAGCCGTCGCAATTGGCTTTTGAACAGCTCGCTGAGCAACAACGCCAACAGAATGGGAAGGCAACGCCAACGTCCGCGCCGACCATTACTAGCCTGTCAGGCCAAAAGCTACCTGCCAGTGTTCCCAAAGTAAACTCCAAATGGGATGGCGTTCCCGACAAAGTGAAGAACCGGGACTCTGGCTCAAGTCAATGGAGTAAGGACAGAAGCAGCATACCATCCCAGAACTCACGAGGTTCATTGTCAAACTCTGAATCTACAATTCCTACGTCGGCCGGTGGCACTCGCAATCCTCCGAATTCAATCGCGTCGCCTATGACTTCCGTGACGAGTGTCTCTGCACACCAGGATAACTCATCCATCCCGCCTGCTCCAGCAACCACCATCGTCCCTGAGACCAGCTGGTACCTCCCGGACGGTGATGAACCTATAGCTTCTGGCGCGCTACCTCCAAAATCTCTGAAGGAAGACTCATCACAAGACCCAGTCGCAGGACAGCCACACGTGCAACCAGAGCTCGAGTCGGATGTCGGCCGGCCATCAGACGAATATTTCGACGCACGATCCGACTCTCCGGCCTCATCGATCGACTCAGCAGACACAATAGTCAGGGATACAGCCGAAGCCATCTTCAACGAACTGAACCACCGACCACACCAAGACTTCGCTGGAGAAGACTCACCCGCCACCCGCCCACCACCCGACAACGTCCCCTCGTCGCACGACTTCCTCTTCACCCCCCAACCGCCCCTTCCCCAGCAGCAACCACCACAAATCGACCACTACACCCCCACACGCCCAATCCAGAACTTCAGCCGGCCCATGCACTCACCCCCCACCACACCACTAAACCCCATCCGCCCATCCCCCTACCGCAAAATGCCAAAAACCTCCGGCCTCCCGACCCTCTACGAACTCTCCCTCGCCAGCGACGAGTCCCTCGAAACCGTCCGTGGTAATAGTGATGCGTACTCTATCGCCCCGTCGTCCATCGCCCCCTCGGAGCTGTCGGTTCAGTGGTACGATTCCCCCCGTGAACGGCTGGGGCTGGGCGGTCGCATCCGCAAGAACGATGTCCTGCCGTGGGAGATGATGGGGAGTCCCGGCGGGAAGGCGAAGAAGAGTCGATTGTCGATGTTTGGGAAGGGGGCGAGGGTGTAGGTGGTGGTTGTGCGTGTTCTTCCGCCCGTCTCTCGCGCGTTCGCATCGCCAGTTATTACTGGGCATATGATGACGACTTGTCTTGTCTTGTCTTGTTTGTGCGTTTATTTGCTCGTTTAGATACCCCGTTTCGCTTTGCGTACACGCTTATTTATATTCATATACCTTCTTCACCTACTTTGACACATACATCTTCGCAGCGAGAATACCAATGGAACCACACTGTTTCGCCAACTATACTCCCCATAATTCAATATAATTCTCATAGCATCTTCACCCATCCCTCATGTACCCAACACCCCGCCCACAGCCATCACACTCTTCACCCCATCCCAGAAACCAGGTCTATAAACGCTAGCACGAAACTTTATCCCCCCCCCCTCACCCCTGCGCCGATCTCCGTTCACGAAGCGTTATGCACGCTCATGTGGTCCGTTCGCGCACACGAGGCGAATACGATAACTTTATTCCTATGCGGCCACATGGGTTGTTTTAGGGGGTTTAGTCGGTTCGTTAGGCAGTGTAGTGTAGTGTAGTGTCGTGTCGTGCAGTATGCGTTTGGAGCGAATGACTCGCTCGACTTTGGGAGAGTGATGGTGGTATTGGATGAAGCGGGGTTGGGAGAGTATGTATTTGGAAAAATAGATATGTTGGGGTGATTTTGTGAGGAGGCGGAGGTTGTAGAGAGGGTATGTGAGAACACGTGATTTTGCACAAGTCTGGAAGTAGGTTGGGTTGGGTTGGGTTGAGGTAAGGAAGGGGGTGTATGTTGGTTTGGTGTGGTGTGGCTTGGATATGGGAGTTGTGGGGTGGTAGAGAGGAAGGGGGTGGGAGGTGGGAAGGATGGGTAAGGTATGGGATTGTGGGATTTTGAGGTGGTAGGGAGGAAAGGGGAGGGGTGAGTGGATGATTTATTGAGAGGAGTACTGCGTATAGACTGTATACTTGTGTTTATGTGCACGTACAGAGACTTTTTACGCAACGGGAAGAAAAAGAAAAAGTTGGAAAATATACAACAGCGGTGAGTCGCTGGTGAGTTGCTCTACTCTACTGGTCTGCTGGTATGTTGCTTGGATACGGCTGAGCTGGCGGACGGGACGGGAAGTTTCGCTATAGACGTCCTGTGGGCGTGTATTCTTTTGGATGGGAGGGGGGGGGATGGTTGTATAGGCGCGAAATGGAGGAGGGCGGTACATATTTACTTGATGGAGGGATGGGAAATGAGTGCGGGTAGTAAGGGGATGGAGGGATGTAACGTCACCTAGATCTATGTGGAGATGTTCTGGAGAGATTTGAGGTTTATGGCATTCTGGTGTTGACCTCACTGTCGGAGTCCCGTCTTTCGTGAGGCGGTCAACGAGTGCATGATATTTTGTGATGCTAACGCTTTCTTTATATGGTTGGTGCTGTTGCCAATGTAGCAGTTGATGTTTCTACCAGGAATTACGCGTAGATGCAGTGTGCTGTTATGCCATCGAGTGGCCTTCTGGCGATTTGCTAAACTAGAGCCTACTGTCATCATGGGACATGGTCTAAGAGAGGACGCTGCTCGGTACGCTGCCTGGGTTTTGTTGCTGGCTGATACTCCATACCTTGTTGATTTCCGTACCCTCGTACTTATTGATGAGTGCTGTGATACCAAGTTTTGCTCTGTGTCATCCACAATCCTTTGAATGTGCAGCTGAACAATTACGAGGTTTGGAAGAGACGAGCGGAGATGGTCAACACTGTTTGTAGGCCTAGGGACTAGTTTATTCATATTCGTTCATATTCGACAGGCATACATCGGACTGGCAAAACAAGTATTCCCCCTATATACCCGCCCAATCATCTAATATTGTAGAGGCTGAACTGATATTAGAAATGTTACACCTGCCTTTGCGCAAGCATCTCGGTACTAGGGGCAAAGTTTGACATGGGATATTCCTCAACCATTGAGTCTGACCCTATCAACGGCGGAGACAACACCCTGGTACCTTCATCTTGACGTTTATCCTTCATCTCTCGTTCGTCTTGCTTGTACCACTTCAATCGGCCCAGGGTCTTTGAGAGTTCCGCGAAATCGCCGTTTGTTCGTATCCACAGGCGTCGGTTGACAATTTTGAAGATAACGAAAATCGTGAACAGAACGATAGGCGCAGCGTAGCCGATTGCTACCTTGGAGAAAGTGGCTTTCAAGTCCCACCATGTCGCGCTGCAGAAACCAAGGATGACGAGGCAACCAGCGATTGCGACGATAGCGGGAATAGGCTGCATGAAGGCGAGGACAGTGTACGGCTCATACTTATTACCATTCCGCAAAAATTGCTCATACTCGCCGACCAAACACTGCCTACATTTCTTCAACCTGACCATGGTCAGCAAATCGATAGAGGCCAGCTCCTGAGGGAATCTGCAGACCATAGGTAGTAGCGGAGGTACGCTACGGATAGTGTTGCCCAAACAATTAGAATGCTTACACTAGCTGATATTTGTATGATCTCTACCAGCTGGGAAAACACGATTAGCAAGACAATCATCGAAGAACGTATTTTGGAACACTCACGTATTGCACAGCATATCCCGCTTGCAAGTGCATAAAAGGTAGCCAGATGAAGGCTATAGCAGAAAAGAACAGGGCACCAGCTGGTACGCCGGTCTTGGGGACGACAACAGCAAAGCCGTGTAGTAGCTTCCCCAACCAGGTCGTCGTAGGAACTTCTCGGGCGAGGCCATATAGTGTCCGAGACGCAACATAGAGCGAGGTGTTGCTAGCCGAGAGGACGCTGAAGATCATAGCACCATTGATGAAACCAGCAAGTCCTTTCTTGCCCCAGTCCCAGAGCGCAATGATAGTAAGACTACTGGATAATGGCCATTGTAAAGTTGTAGCGTTAGTTACGCCGTCGCCGTCGCCAATACCGCTGTAGATCAGGGGTAGTCGGTCGGAGGTCCACGAAACATTCAGACATTGGCCTAATAAACACAGAAAATACAAAACCAGCGTCGTGTACGCGATACTTTGAGAAGGTAAACGCAACGATTTAGAATCTCGAGCCTCAAAAGCTGTGACCGCGACGGCCTCAATACCTAAGAAGCCGAAAGCAACCATAGGAATAACATAACTGGAGACATCAGTGGCTGAGTTACTGTGTTCATATGTTCTTTGTGAATTGGCTTACCAAATTGCACGATATTTGTTCGAGGTAAATGCGGGATTGTACTGGAAGCCATCGTTGATAGCTACAAAGGTTAGCAACACCGACTTTTTGTCCTCAGCATCGAAACTTACGGCCCTGGCTAGACCAGTTTCCTTCTGAATGGTGCATTAGTGGCCAAGAGCTGTATGATGCAATTTCGTAACATACCTTGCCCGGCTATTACATACAAGATGATTGTAACCGCAAGTACTAGGGCAATCTTGAGGATGCCTCCAAAAGCTTCAATCCATCCGAACGTATCAACGCCGACAAGATTGATAGTAAAGATAAGGACGGGTGTAACGCAATAAAAGATTATGATTTGCCATACTTCTTTAATGCCCCAATACACGGCCAGATTTGCAGCCATAAGATTCTGGGCGGCAAAGATGGACGAATTTGTAAACCTTTTCAATACCTCAGCAGCTGTCAAACAAGAAAGGGATTAGGAAAGGCTTTTCTTACCAGTACGCGATACCGATCACCCATCCGAGATCTTTGTCGACAAAGGCTTGTACGTATTGAACGATTGCGTTTGGGGCAGGGAACAGCTGTGTAAGCTCGCTCAGGCCTTCTGCTACACAAATAGCGACTAAGCCTGATACAATAGTCAGATCATGTTTCAATGTAAAGACACCATTGCCAAAAACGGAATACATACCTATGACCACAAGAGCAAGCAACGTCCCACCAGGGCCAGCAACCTCGATAGCTGCACCTCCATTACTGAATATACCCGATCCTATCACGGAGCTAATGACGATGAACTACAAGACCAACAATATCAGCGCCATTCGTGTCAAATGCTGAATACCGTTTGTACAAGTTGAAGGGCAAGCTGTGAGAGAGTAGTGTGCGCGTACGAAGATCATCCATCCCCGCAGATTCTGCCTAACCCCGATTAGTAATAGCGGCCTCGATCCGTCCCACAGGCGAACACTCACTTAAGTTTCGGCTGCTCGTCGTCTGTCATATTCATGGTGCCAGATTTCAACATCAGCTTCCTGGTTTCACAGTAGTAAATGTCTTGCTTTTGTTCAGATGACTGGGTGCACAAGGCCTTTAAGGTGGGAGCCTGGTTGACACTGGCGAAGAGGGACCATCAGGCTGAGGCCGGCTGAGCATTCTGCGGCCGCAATGCCAATATTGAGGCACATATGATAGGCAGCTGGTCCAATAGACGGCCTCTTCATGTCTAAATTCGGGGGCCAGGACGCAAGAGGCTTTACCGGTGATGCAGCAGAGTGATAAATAGAGGGCGGGGAGATGCTCGAGACGAATGCCACCTTTGTATAACCTTTCCCCCAAGGCGCTTCACAAGTCGTCACGCTGATCATGGTTTTCAATGTCCTCGAGCCTGCGCTAACGCGCTACATCTCCCTCCGCGAGGATTTAGAGGGTTTCTTGAGGGACAAGTATGGACAGGACCACCCGAACTTTGACTTCGAGGTCGAGGTACGTGCAGACCAACACGGCATGGGAACGAATCAGCTGATCGCCTCAGCACGATTGTGATCGATGGACTTTTGAGGCTCCTGAGAAAGTAAACGATGTAAGGCTTTGCCAATAGACTTGCAGACTAGGACTAACACTCAATAGAAAGACATATTGTCAGTACAGCGGAAAACAATGACTATGTTATAAACTAAGCTTTTGTTTTCAGGCGTCTAATTGATGAGCTTCAAGCAAAAGGTCAGCCTGGTCAAGTGGCGGGATATTGAGTTGGGCTGAGGCAATGAGGCTTCGCGATTTTCGTCTGGTCAACCTGGGTTCCTTTCCGGGTGGCGTATCTCGGTGAGGGTGTAGTGACAGCCTATCAATAGATTACTATTCACCAAGTGGTCACTTTCGCATGTGGTGAGGACTGCGCCTGCATTGCATGATTCGGACTTCGCCGTGTGGCTCAGATTACAGGTGACAACAGCTCACGACCAGCGACGAGACAGCCTGACAGGCTTTGCCTTTGACCGCAGTGTTTCAGGATCGTTTTCACTGACCGAGTTGATCTCAAATAAGAATGATGATCAGATAGCACACATAGACTTGGAGCATCTTTCTCTGTCGCAATTCCCTCGAATCGTTGAAACATGTCAGTACAGAACTCTCAGCCTCGTACCTGGCCTTGGACATTTCCAAAGTGCAAGGTCCTTCTAGATGATGACAGCGACGCCGCAAACATTCAAATCGCAGATATCGCACCGGGTCAGACTCCATCTGAATTCTTAAGTCGATTGGCAAAACTCATTCTGTGTAGGTCAATTCGCCTCAGCCACATTCACCTCGTCCACCAAAGCCCGCGAGGCACTCCGCTGCAAGCCTGGTGATGAGTTCAGTATCCGCATCATGTATGTAATCGTGACCATCATGAGTCTTGACTCTCATTGACATATTTCATGTAGTTCCATATTCTCCGCAAAAACAATATCCCCACTCCAAGTAACTAGCGAGCTGCTAGAATACATATTTGATACATACAATGTACATCACGACTTTGCGAACGTAGTCGCATCCTTTGGGCAGGACCCAAACAAGGCTGAAGGAAGCAGCAACAATGCAGCTGTGCACATCAAATCATCTGGGGAATGCGAACTCTCATACCAGATCCGCTACGTGGAGGAAAATCAAAGAAGTAAACTGGATCCCTGGTCTCTTCGACATTCCGGTATCTACCACTGCCATGGCTCCACAGGTGAGGCTGATACATTCATCTTGTTGCACCCCGTTCTTGAGCCAGCCATCCGACGAAAGATAGACGCGTTGCAACATGACGCGCTCATGAGAGAAGCGCTTTCCACCAATCCTTTTCTCTTTCATACGTGGGGGTTTTCCCAGTATTTTGATAACTGGCGGTGGTATTGCAGACACCTCGATCATCGTTTCGCTGAGGACAACGACTTAGCAATGGTCATGAGACTTGAGCGCGCGGAGCCAAACACCAGCTTTCGCTGTGTTAAAAGCTTGCGCAATACCAATGATCTCATAATTTTTGCACGGGCGTGCTGTTCTGGGAATCTTGACCTTGTCAACCGCCTCCAAACAACGCCTATTCGATTGCTCAGTGAGATCGATGAGTTGAGTACACACGTGTCAAAGATGAAGGGCTATGTTGAAAGCGCTGATGTCTTGGAGGGAAGGGTGCAGAATCTGATCGATCTGGTAGGTAAATGAATGTGACACGTCTTATATCCTACTAATATGATATAGGTCGGGTATACGTTGACCTTGCGTAACCAGATGGAAGCAGCAAAAGTTCAATTAGAAGCTGCTAAGATTGATACTGAGCTGCGCGACTTGACTGAAGGGTTGAAGAAGCTCGGCGAACAATCAGTTGACGACAGCGCAACAGTCAAGATTATAACTTTTGTATCTGCTGTCTATCTTCCAGGAAGCTTTGCTGCGGTAAGTCAAATCTTGAAATATGTCTGCCATCTAGGTTTCATCGTAGTTGCTGATACTTTGTGCAGACGTTGTACGGCATGAACTTCTTCCTCTTCGATGCAACTTCGAAGCGGTTGCAGATCTCATCTGACTTCTGGATATTCGTTTTGACATGGATACCTCTGACGCTCATTACGGGCGGGACGTACATGTTGTTCCTGTATCTCCATGCGAGGCGCCAGGGAAGGGAGTTCCGATGGCCATGGCAAAGGAACCCTAAAAACGCGTCGACTATTGCGACAACCAAGAAAGCCACGTAAGCCGCAACCATCCTGAGTAGCTACACACAATTTTGGTTTCAACCTTCACTCTCTTCACCTGTCATCTTGTAGCAATTGGAGTAGGAAAGTTGTTTCTATAGAGACTGGAGCGCCATTTTAAGACATCCATAGGGATATGTGAGGATGAAGATGATTTTTGCTTCCACAAGTGTCGACTTCTCAGTGGACACACCATTCGATTTCGACACCCTATATTCCATAGATCACAACATATGATCAACGACCCATTGAGTTGCTGGCCACAACTGGTATCAATATAACCTTTCCATCGTTCTTGCACAATACTATCATTAGGTTGTCTGTTCCCGATATAGGGATAATTCTCATCAACGTGCCTTCATCAATGGTGCTCCGGAGCTCCACAATCTGCTTCTGGTCTTCTACGTCAATGACGTGTGTTGTGCTACCAGCGATACGGCACTCCCATATGCGCGTATGGAAATGCCCTCTCTCGACGAACAGTAATGAGTGATTACCGTAAACGCAGCCAGTCAACGCTTTGGAGAGAGTCACAGACCTTTTCGGAAGTCTGAAACTGCTTCCGCGCTGCGTGCTACGGATTTGAGCTGGGAAAAAGACATCTCCTTCCCCTCGAATAATGCATCCGTACTGAGTGTTGTAGGGAATAAGAAGTACATTTGGATCTCCTCGTTGGTTCTGCGAACAAAGTCAGGTATCACTGACGATACAGAATTGGAAGACCTACTGATGAATAGCTCCCTTCCGAATCAGCGGGTTTCGCTAGGTTGCCAGAGTCTGCAACACGCCAGACATACAGTTGATCGTCGGGTCGACCAAATTGCCACGCATAGAGTAAAGCTCCATCGTCGTTGAAGGAAGCGTGGGTGTATGAATGTTCGTCACTAGCCTTGATCTCACTTTGCATATCCGGGTCTTGAAAATGGCTGAAACGATATAAGTTGAGTGCAAGATGAGGATGCAGACTGGGCGTGGTACGTACGGGGCCATTGTGTAAAACATCAGCTTTGAGCAGACAAGCGCAATGGAGCCGCGCCTCGAGACTGCTACTGTGAGCAGATTCGCCAGCCATGGTTTTTTTGAAGAATTCCATACGTCAAATGTGTTTCCGTCTGTCATATACACCTACGGTTACTTAGTCACTAAATCAATAGTTTGTCACCTGGTGTACTCACCCATTTTTCCGAGGCCCTACCTCTAGAATTACCCCAAACGACGATATAAGTCTCTGCAAGGACGAGGTACTGCCATGATATATCTGTAGGCAGCGAATTTGGTATCGGAGACTGTACTCGTTCCATGCGACGATTGGTCAGGTCAAGACTGTAGACAAGAACATCGTAGTTGGATTTCTTCGACCCCACAAGATATCCTATGCGATCTCCTGATCGACATAGAGAAACAGAAAGTATTTTCGACTTCATAAGATCTGATATGGTGAGTGTTTCTGGTTTCCCGACCTCGCGGTTCTTGTCCTGATCAATCAACACTCCTTGGAGATCCCTTCTTGATTCGCGAGAGAGGCGTCGACTAGAAACCGAAGTACCTTCTGTGAACAGTAGGTTTTGTTCCTCCAGCTTGTTTCCGACAGTAAAGCCGTTCTGCAACCTGGCTTGCTGCTGAACGGGGGGATCGACTCCAAATGAACTAGATCGACGGGTTTCAAGGTGTGTTGTGCCGTGCAAATATGGATGTGGAGACGGAATCGTCGTAGGCTTGATGTTCAAGGGTTGAGCAAACAACGCGCCTGTTGATTGAGCGTCGGCCGTTTTGGGAATGAAATGATTCTGTAGTAGTATTTCTTCCTTCATGGTATCCGATCGTATGACCGAAGGTATGTTGCGCGGTGGAAGCTGGTCAGAAGTCTCCCCCGCATGCGGAGGTTGAGGGTTCAGGATCGTATCCCTTTCTAGTGGACACGTATTGAAAGTCTGAGGACCTTGCGTGGCAGTAGTAACGTGGTATGCTACATGCCGCATCATCTTCAGCAACTCATCTGCTGTGGGCCTCTGATTTTTGTGGACCTTGAGAATATCGAAAAGAGTTTCTACGCAACACTCTATGGCTCGGTTGGGAAACGAATAATCCCTTGGTAACTTCCGCAACCAAAGCTCAGCTCCGCGACGCACTCGATACGCTTTTGTCGAAGTGAGGTTCTGAAAACTCGATTGTGTTTCTTCGTAGAAGTAATTGTTCCGGTGTCCTGCTTTGCGGTCATTCCGAAAGCTCTTCACGCCATCCGTCCGATTGAGTGCGAAGGCAATTGTTTCGGCGAAGATGCACCCAAACGACCATATATCGCCACCTCGTCCAGCAATTCCTTTCCCAGGGTTCGTCATTGCTTGAACCTCAGGTGGTTGGTAAGCTCCCGCATCGCGCTGTGGAGACGTGTTGATTGTGAAGTTCTCGAAGACGTCCCGGATAGTCATTATGTTCGCCTCGTTGCCTTCCTTTAAGGTTGAGATGCCAAAGTCCGTCAACACCCACTTGCCGACAGTCGACGCCCCTTCGTCACTGTCGATCAAAATGTTGTCGGGCTTCAAGTCCATGTGCGCAAGGTGAATTCGATTTTGACGTGCTTCTGGATGCTCAATACCTCTATGAAGCCACTCCAGGGCGCTAGCAATGTTTCTCATCTGAGTGCAGATGTCTGCAATCAACGTTCCATCCGTAACCTTTGGAAACCGTAGGTTGAAATCGTAGACTTGCTCTCTTGCCATGGTGTAGCCCCCAAGAAGGAACACGTGGAGATCACTATGATCTGCCCAAGGAAAGAGGATGAGGTGCTCATCCCCGTGAAAGAGAATTGATAGATGGACTCGAATGTGATGGTGATCAGAGATGTTGCCCTTGAGAACCGTTAGGTTGTCCACCTCTCTTTTCGAGTCGATCCGGGACACATGCACTGAAGAGGTGAATCTCTTACAAGCAACGACTATCGCCTGTCGGAGTCAGAAACAGAGTAACGACGGGTGTAGAAGATAAGTTGTTACCTTGTTATTTGAATAGTTCTTGGTTTCAAAGTACAACGGGGATATGCTGATTTTGTCTACTTCGCCATACGCGCCCGCAGACACTTTCCTGGAGATAGATTCGAAGGGTAGACGGTGCGACTTGTCGATCTGCACGACCTGGTTTGACTCGCGAAGAACCACCTAGTATTTTGGTCAGCAATTGGGAGAGCTTGAACAAGGCTTTTCCAACGACCTACTGGTACAAAAAGGTATTGATCGTCGAAGAAATGCCAACCCAGTCCCCTTTGCCGTACGGTGGCCTGTGTCATGGGTAATGACTGATCAGAACAGGTAAGGTTCCCACTTTCATCGAGAAACCTTTCACGGAACGAATCCAGAATGTCGCGAGCATCGATGTATACTAAAATGGAGAGAATCCTCAGGAGCTGTTCCGCGATCAATTCCACGTCCTTTGTAGCTGAATCGTCCAAATCAAGCGCCTCTTGGATAGTTCTATGCTGTCTAAGCCATATGTTCTGTACGTCTTGATAGCATATGAATGCTTGGGAGCAATCGAGTGCATCATCGCTTTGGGTTAGGCCTGCTTGGCCTCGTGCTACTTTCTCGATCTCAGCCCGCAGCTGTCCCTGTACCTTAGCTCGAGTATGATACGCGATCTTCGACGGCATGATCGGTCATACCTCGGACGGTAGCGACTAGTACAAGAAAAGTGTCGTGAAAGATGCATCGCCAACCAGGCTTGAGTAACAAAGCTCGAGGCTGAGCTTAGATGTGCAGGTGGGCGGCTCCAAGCTGGCAAATCCGCTATTCTGAAACAGGCATAGTTTGTGAAGTATGGGCAGATACTGTTCGAGGCAGACTCAACCCAGCAGATGATAGAGTAGATAGAAGTACTTGTTTCCAGTATCTCAGAGTTGTATCTAACTGGGGGATAGATTTCGGGATTTGCATCGAAACACAAACAGCCGCTTCGACAAACCCGGCTCTCCACTCTACTTCGTAATATGAGTCTCGGGTCGAGCAGCATATGGACAAGACAATGAATAAGATAATGTGGATATATAATTCCAACCCGTCAGGTTAAAAGCAGGTACCTGTGCTGTTAGGCCACAGTCAGTTATCCTGATGTGCGATGATCCATGCTAGGCTGAAGACACTTTCGCTCAGCCTCCAACTTATGGAGCTATCGCTGACCTTCTTGTGCGGCGCCTGCTTGGGCAGCCATCTTATTGGCTGGTAAGCATGATTGTTACGAGCTTCGGGACCGCATTCGAGTAGGAGGCCAGTCATTATGAGATTGTCGGTTCGCAACTCCATTCTGCATGCAATCAATTCACCATTGCACGAAAGGCTATAACTGAAAATATACTGCGCACAGGTTGCTCATTCATGATTTCGATGCCTGTGTACTTATTCTTCTGTGTTTTGATGTCAATTCGACTTTGAACCATCCGACAGCGGATAAAACCCTATAACCAAAGATAAGTTCAATGGTACTCGCAAGCTTAGGCGATCTTAGGTCACAATCGAAGTTGTCGAGATTGCGACGAAAGCAGAAGTGTGAGGCTGGAAAGAAGGCTGTGATGGGCGGTGACCCACTTTTTGTTCCGCTTTTGATCTTCTGTCACTTCTCCCCATCGCATCTCTTCTGCATCGCCTTCCTTGCTCGTCGGACACGCGTTCCTTGGTTTACAGCCCGATTGCCATGCCGCAATCTATCTTCTGTATGCGTTAATATGTTCGATGATCGCACCAACTGACCTATAGACGTGCGGCGCAGTCGTTCCATGCGGACAGAGCTATCCCAATGCAGTAATTGCCTAGGCAATTTGGTCCGTCCCAAGCCTGAGCAAGTCCCAAACCCAAAGTCCCATGTGAACCTAATTGCGCAGTTGTTTTGTGTGTTGCGGGGGCTCAGGGTCTAGGCAGATGAGGTATTTAAGAGGGGTAATGGCTGCTCGAGACAGATACGCCACCACCCTCTGTCGTTTCTTCAAGCTTTGTACCTCCATTTCGAGATCCATCGGACGGTAACTCAAGTAGCAGCTCTAAAACAGAAGACAACAGACACGATGGCAGCCCCGGCAACGATCGACATCAAGAACCTTCAGGGGAAATGGCTCATGGTGAGCTATTGTAGTCGCCCAGTGGTTATCATCTCCTGTTAACAACTCGCAGAACAAGTCTCTCTCCGACAACTCTGACCCAGCCCTCTCACTTCAAGGCATGGGTTGGCTGACACGAAAAGCGATCGGTGCCGCAGTTATCACTCAGCACCTTAATCAGTCTTCTACCACAGGCGACAACGGCGAACCCTGTACATTAATCGAGATCGATCAACTTCTCAGCGGCGGCATGAAAGGAACCACCGAGAGACGCATCTTGGACTGGTCGTTTCGTCCCAACTCCGATCGACTGTTCGGTGAATTGCAAGGCCGCAGCAGATACACCACTTTAGCAAACATCATAGAGGAGAGTAAAGGCAAGGGCGTTACCGAGGGAGACGCCAAGTATCTGGCGGAAGGATGGTTGAAGGAGACAGAGGATGGTGAGATCGTTGAGAGCTTTGTCGACAACGAGAAGAACAAGTGGACTGGGTGGCAGGTCTGGGGATTTGCGGAAATCAAAGGAGAGAGGAAGCTGACGAGAAGGTTCGCTGTAAGGAAGACTGGCAAGGATGAGGTAGTTAGGATAAGGCTGGTGTATGACTACTTGGGCAGTTTGGAATAGAACGTGTCGGGGAGGTGTGCGACAAGAGGTCGAGGAGATGAGTAGTAGCAGTAGAACATACTGTATTGATTAAATTCCAGGCTATGACTTTACGGCACACCCTCTCTACGTACTCATGTACTAGACAACGTCTCCGCCTTTCAAACTGGTCAGAAGTTTCCTCGAGCAACACGGCGGATGGACACCAGCCCTCACCTATACGTCGTGCAACTTTTGAGCCACACAACGTATTGCATAACACTCTGGCCAGAAGGGATGGTAAGTTCATTGGACATAGATGGGACCGAATGTGGTATCCGTCTTGTGTAACGTTCTGAAAGTGATCCCCGCATAGTGACATTTACAGGGATCGAGTAGCACCGAACAGGTAGTATAGGGGCCACAAGTTACTCCAATGTACTTTTCGCAGCAGCCGACCACGTACTCATAATATCAGGGTTCGTCGATTTCTGCATATCGTTTTCGTCAAGATCGCTCTTCGAATTTGCGAACATGTCCTCGATTGACGTACCCGCCCTCTTCACGGCACTTATAATACTGACGGCACTCGTCCTTTTCCTCATCATTCTCTGCGTATCCATTCGCTGTATCAAACGCCATCTCAAGTCTCGACAATCAGAGCCAAATGTTGAAGTTGGAAGGACTATGCCACAAGAACGCTTCCTAGCAACGCATTCAGAAGTCACAACGCAGCAGCGCCGCATATCCTCGGCGTCACAATCCATCGAGCTATTACCCGAGATTCGAACAAGCAGCGAAAGGGCGGACGACTGGCTGGAGAGAAGAGGAGCCAGACTTGATGAGGGAGTCGATCCGGGGGTAGTTAAGGTGCTGAAGACTTACAAGATGCTGGATGTAAAGCATGATGGGCCGTCTCGATGGAATGGGAGAAACGAGGAGGATGTGAGCGAATTGAGGGTACCAATCGAGCGCGACTTTATCTCGTACAAGTATCATGGAGAGGCAAGTCGATGTGGGTGAGATGGATCTATTGATAACCTGCGAGGATCCACCACATATCACACGAGAGGCTTGGATGTAGATGCCTCGGCAACTTACATCGACGCCTTCAAAGCCAGGTTAGATAGAACCAAAAACTTGACATACATGCATTCGTCCAAGCTAGTTACGACATACGCGCAGTAAGATGTGAAGAAACGCTTATCTTACTTAATTATCACTTATGTTTCTCGTTATAGTCGTTGTAAACAACCACCACCATTACTCTTGTATGTCCATTCTAATCGTTCAGTGGAGCATATGGTGTGACCTGGCTATGAATATTATACTTCGAGACAACATCCAAATCAGATCGCGTATTGATCAGAGAGTAGATGGAGGTTACAGCAGGGACATGGGCCTCGTGCACATGCCAGTGAACTAGCATATCTTAGCGTGTAGCGCTAGACTGGTATAGGAGAGGCTTCCAAGCTCGAGTGACAGGAACCAGGTTATCAAATTTCACGACTGACTCTGTAAACAACTGCTCGATCTCGTCGCGCACCTAATTATTGCTTCAGCTCTTCTTCCGGCCTTGAACTTTGGCGCGCACTTGAACTCCTGAGCTCTAGAAGCTGCACCCCTCCCGCCTCAACTGCAGCCGACCGCGAACCGAGCGACTACCTGCCCCACCTGATCGATCAGCCAGCCTCTCGCGACTTCACGCACAAGCACACGAGCTACTCGTCGCTCAACCTCGCAATGACGGCAGATATGGACATCGACTTCACGCGTCGCAACAAGAAGCCGCGCCCGCTATCCGAGCCCGAGAAAGAGAAGCTGGACGAGTTCATTGACGCGATCCATTACTCGTCAAGGTACGTTGTTTACACTGGACCTGTCGACGCGCTCAACGCTGACAAAGCATGCAGGTACTCGGATGAGGAATACGAATACCGTCATGTGCAGCTCCCGAAGCAGATGCTGAAGGCCATTCCCAAGGATTACTTCGATGGCGCGCGGGGAACACTGAAGCTGTTGTGGGAGGAAGAGTGGAGGGCACTGGGAATCACACAGGTATGGTGACAAGAACAAGAGGAATACTGGAAAGCTGACGCGCCTGCAGAGTTTGGGCTGGGAGCACTACGAAGTCCACGAGCCAGAACCACACATTCTTCTCTTCAAGTAGGTTGTGTCTGCATGAACGCGTGATTTGGTGCTAACTGCTGCACAGGCGACCGATCAATTATCAGCCCCCAATGCATTAAAAAGTTAATCATCTCCTTCGCATGGTGTGAGATGTCCGATTTGCCGATTCAAACACCACCACCACTGCCTCGACGATTCCGAACACGACTCAGCCTCCTTGCGGCGATACCATCCAACTTTCACTATCCATTTTGAGCGGGGCACGTTAGCTATAACGACGACATGATAACATCGGGAAAATTGACGTGTTGGCGTCAGGGTTGCATGGATGCTTTGGACGTCGCCCGCAACAGCACCTTTCGGGACGACGATGGACGTCCACCCTTGTACATATGGTTGTCACAGGAGCTTTGGGGAGTATTGGGCGTGGGCTAGCATGTCTCAGCCTACGGCTTCGGTCTATTGCAGGACTTTGTTAAATTGCTCGTCAATTGCCAGAATCGTTCCACACGTATGCCATTTTCTTAGCTGTCTCTTGGTCTACAGGCTGATGAGAGCACTCTCAAGGCAGAGACATCTTGTCTCAAAGCACCGCTGTAGCACAGTGTAGGGCCTCAACGAAGCTGGATTTACGATGCTAGTCGTACGTGCCAACATATAGGAAGCCTCATTCTTGCACAGAGCAACGGGCTTGGAGAACGTTGGTCGGTCTCACTCTTATCACTTCAAACTGGCGTGATGTTCTGGTGCAGATGTTTAAACACGCTCCGTCCCTTGTCTTATGGGCACGTTTCATTTGTGCAAGATGCTTGAAAGAAACGCTAGATAGTGACGGACAGCTTCTTTGCCAGGTCAAAAGAAAGGTTCTTCTTCGAGAATGTAGCAGCGACTCAAAGAAGATGCAAAACAGTAGGCGTATGTCGGCTGATGTTCCAGTTTGCTGATCGCCACTGTGTGGTTCGAAGTGTATTAATGGATTGAAGATTGGCCTCTGGCGCCATCAAATGTTGAGCAGAGTGTGGGAGTTTAAGAACACCTTGCTATCATTGTTCGATATTGTTGAGGACATTTGGTCTCAACAGCTATGCACGTGATGTATCTCTCCATAGAGCCTAGAACCAATCGTGAATACCGTCCCGTCTTACCCCGGACAGTATCGGCCCGAGATTGCAGTTCTTCCCCGACCGAGATGCCACCTCCGCTGTTAATCACATGCTGGCCTAGGAAGACCGATTTCGTAACACCATCGTCGGGCCTCGTAATTGTCAGCCCCTCGTTCGGAAAAACTCGAGCCAGTTATGGGCGGCGGAATAACCAGCACCGCCTTGCAGACAACATGCGCCAACCTAAAGAACCCGGTAGTCATTACTACATACCGCTCTCGTGGTTGGGACATTGAGCAAGTATCTGGCCAAATCTGCAGCTTCGGTTCCCAAATATCAGGCTGCTGATAGCTGGCGCTGGCCTCGTGTTCTACGTATGATGCGTCGAGCTCTTGGTCAACATGGCGTTACTCGTATTGTGTCGTGTTGTTGACAATAGTCGCGCCGTGATACCTACCGTTACCTGGGCTTGGTATAAGGCCGCGGTTAGTAGGTACGTTGAGAGGTAGCTATGACATCAAGGGTACTAAGTGACTGGATTAACGGGTTGACGGGGATTCTCGGGCTTCAAACTGCCGGTGTTCACGCGAAGGGCATCTTGCCTGAACAGCGCGCGGTGAGACATGCCTAGACAGGGTTTGGGCGGAGCGGAGATCTCACGCGTAGTGGCAAGGGACGCACTCGTGCGAGAAGATTGTACAAGCGGCTCAAGCAGAATTTAATGCGGAGATACGATCCCTGAACGATCTGAAGAACCGACAAGGACGTTACATCACTACACAGTTATCAACCGCTACGACCGCTCAAATCGTGAAAGAGCGTCGGAAGTCAGTCCATCGACTGCTGTCCGATGACCGATTGAAGACCCCGCGCAAAGTGATAGGCAGTAAATCGAGGCATTATGGACAGAAGACGTTGCGCTATATCTGGAGTGACGTGCAGACGCCAATACCGAGTACATAACAGCAATTCACTGCTTGGTTAGCTAGTCCAGGGACGACGTCGTGCTGATTGCTGCCGAAGAAGGTCCAGAGATAGCTACCAGAGATGGCATAATATTTTTACGCGCACTAAAGAACCAGTGGGGGACTCAGTGCTCCCATTGGTTCCGTAGTTTGCCTTATCGCTCTAGGGCTTGGTGTTCGACTGACTTGCGCTTCCAACGCGTTGTGTACCTAATAGCTAGTCCGTTTTGGATGCCAACCATTAGGTAACGGGCATCCAAGGACATGGTCGCATCTGCGAAACAAAAGTCACCCTCAGCGCTCTTGCCAGCAACAATCACACATTCACGCCCTCGACCCCGATTATGTGCCTGTCCAATCCCCACACAGGGTCCTGAGTCTCCAGTTCAGATCTCCAGCCCTTTTCCGGCCCTCCGCTAGCAACCTGTCAGCACCCGACAACGACTGCATCTCGGAAACCTTCAATGACGGCAAGAACCATCAACCACCTCATTCTTCTCGCAGCCATAGCAGGCAATCTAGGTCCTCAATCTGGTCATTCTTGACGGTCCGCTGGATTATTTTTTGCCCTGCATTTTCCGTCCTAGGATTACACATCTTGTGGACCATCAACGCAACTCCCACGCGATAAGCCGCGCAGTTCCAGACTTTATCTACGGAGAACCTCGCGTGACTGGTTATCGCGACACTTTGATACCTGTCAGCCATCTTCGGAGACTAGCCAACGGCCCGTGGCTTGTCTATCAGGAGTATATACCCGGCCTCTTAGCTGCAACTAGGCTCAAGTAAATACCCGTCCTTATCTGGAGCGCACTACTCGAGTCCGACTGCTACCGATATGGCCACCGTCATGGCTATACAGCCTGCTATGCCACGGCCAACACCGGTGCCCATCGCAGCTGCCCGGCCTCGAAAGCAACAGAAACCCTCACCAGGTAAAGAGAATCTGGCCGCCGGCAAACCCACCTCAAACAACGGACCCGTCTCTAACATTCGCTCACGGAGAGAACGACCGTGTGACGCTTGCAGGAGAAGGAAAAGCCGTTGTGTGATACACGAGGGCGCAGCGCTGTGTGTTCTGTGCGAATTTCACAAGCAGGAGTGTACCTTTGTGCAGAGTCCACTGCCCAGAAAAAGAAAGGTTGTCGACAGCGACAAGAAAGACTCGCCCAATAACTCGAAAAAGAGGTATGTCTAAACTTTGCTACTACTGCACGGCGATCTTAATCCCGAAGCTTGACGTCGAATTGTCTACCATACCTTTTTCGTCTCATCACGTGCTCACGCGAATCGGCTTCTCCAACACCCCCAGATCAGCGCCTCTAGCTCGCACGCACTTCTCTATCACCCACGTCGCGGGCTGCATCATGTCGCCTAGCAGTACAGCTAACATCGATGCAGATCGGTGGACTGTGAGCCACCCCCACTAGCATTGCCCACGCCCACCATCACGGCAACTGCACCGAGTCCTCGACCGCCGCAACCCTCGTTGGCCAACATCCACCTGCCGCAACTGGGAGAGACATTGGGTCTGCAAAGACGTCAGCATAGCAGATATATTGGGCTGAGTTCTCCTTTTGACAACTTACTCATTGGCCTTTCCCACTTTGATACCCGTAACGAGTCCACGTTTGATCTTGGAACCCTTCGACGAGTGACTGACCAAGAATGTTTCATCATGCTACCTGACGAGAACACACAAGACTATGCCGACGAGGCCAACACTTTGAACCTTGTTGAGCAGCTCGTTCATCCACACGGTCCTGCTCTATTGGACCTGTATTTTCAAATCGTACATCCAAGCTTTCCCATCATCCAAAAGCACCTATTTATCGAACGGTATCGGAATGGCGATCGGTCTTTCTCGCCGGCTCTGCTGGCTGGCATGTATATTTTATCTCTCAATTGGTGGTCGCTCGATCCAAAGCTGGCTAAGTACACCAAGCCCGATGCAACCCGCTTGGAGGCTATCGCAATGAGATCTTTGACGCTTGCCATGGAAAGGCCCAAGCTCTCAACCGTTCAGGCGGGACTGCTGCTTTTGCAGCGTCCAGAGGCAGACTCTTGGAGTTTGACAACACAATTGGTGGCCATTGGCCAAGAGCTCGGCCTACATCTTGACTGTACGACATGGTCAGTGCCTGGGTGGGAGCGAGGCCTAAGGAAACGCATTGCCTGGGCGTTGTACATGCAGGACAAGTGGAGTTCGCTGATCCACGGCCGGCCATCGCACATCTTCAACGCGAATTGGGCAGTAAAGCCAATTACCGAGGAAGACTTCAATGAGGAAGGCGACGGATACGATGCGCGGCAGGACGACTCTGAAGATGAGTTAGAAGAGAATCATAGAAGCCGGATATTGTTCGCTCAGATGATTAGCCTTACCCAGATCATGGCGGAAGTCATGGATACGTTCTACACCCAGACAGCCATCCAGGATTTCGCCAACGCCGGGAGGAAGTCGACAGAGCTCATTCTTGCGCGAGCGAAACCTGTTCAGATCAAGCTCCGCCAGTGGCACGAGAGATTACCTGTGGAGGTCAAGATGCATACGCCGAGTAGGAGCAGGCTCATCTCAACCGGTACGTCAATGAAGTATGAAACATTTGATCACACACTCACACTTACAGGCTACCTGCATCTCGCCTACTTCGCCACAGAGATCACCCTCCATCGACGCATCGTGCAATCGCTCGACGACACAAATCCCGACTCCTACGGCCTGTTCATGTGCCGCAACGCAGCCAAAACGCGCCTCATCTCCGCCATGGACTTTGTCAACCGCCTCAAACCCGAGCACCTGCAGTCGTTCTGGTACTTTGCATCCAAAGTGAACTTCACGCTCATCGGCACCTTTGGCTCGTTGCTCTGGGCCACTGCGCCCGCCAAAGAAGAAGCAGAATTCTACAAGCTGCGGCTGAGGGAATACCGCTGGACCCTCTCCGTCTCGTCCAAGCGCGCAGACTTCCTCGACTACGCCGTCTCGATGCTAGACGCAAGTCGCGCCATGCTCAACAACCTGGCCGAGAAACCCAGCCTTGCCGACCAGATTAGCAGTGCGGGCGTGCCGCCTGCGCCGCCGCGCATGTTCTCGTCAAATCTGACCATGGCGCAATACCATGACGATGACGTCGATATGATGGATGGCGGGGAGTTGAGGGGCGCCATGTCCCCCGGGGAGAGTTTCGACGGGTTCGACGACGGGTCGCAGGATGAGAGTAGAGGGAATTCGCCGCGGTCGGCTTGATGCCTTTTTTCTTTCTCTCCCAAAGCATGCGTTTTAGCGAAAGAGCATTTTCAGTTTCGTTCGCGTCATCTGTTTTGTTCAGCGAGCGAGCGAGCGAGTGGTTTTTCTGTCAATCTATCTGTTGGCGGTTGGTTTGGCTTGGCTTGGCTTGGTCTGGCATGGAAGGCTTTGGGGCTTGCGGCGTTCATATACGCATGATTGTGTGGTGTTGCGTCGGGATGGCGTGCTATGACGACGCCCCTACCACCCGTTCTGGGCACCTTGGATACGGTATGATCTTTACACGATGTTTATGACGATATCTTAGACCGATGGAATGTATGTAGCATGTAGTATAGAACTTGTAGCTTGTAGATATAGCGATATATATCTGAGTTTGAGGGTTTAAAGAATCACGCTTCAACTTGACTTGGTTGTCTTTATGCTTGTGCGTGCTGGATCGCTACTTGGCGGATATGGTACCCCTCATACTCACTTTTCTGGAGCAAGTCGAACATACTACACACTTATTGCTAGAGGTACCTTGAAACTCTGCATAACCTGGGGATAAAGCAGAATGTGTTTCCCGTGCCAGTCGTCGTAACTTGGAGATACTACTAATTCTACGCTGGGTGCTGGAAGAAAAAGAGAGAGTCGGACAACGCCATGCTTGCGCGTCAAGCACATCACGCCGACAATGGTAGTCATTTAGAGGGCGCATGTTTAAGTTCGATCATGTGTTTTCTGCAATTGCACGTCCAGATAGTGGCCAGGTGGTCAGTCAGTCACTCAGCCATACCGTCACTCACACGCCACAAATCATCACAAGAGTTTCAAACCACAGAAGAAAAGCGATGAAACATTTGCCATCTAAACCCACTCCCCCCAAAAAACGCTATATAACCAAAAGAAGAAGAAGAAATCGTCGTCGTCAAGAAAGAAAAACCCGGGTATACCGCCCCCCCATCTAACCGTCTAATACGACGCCGTCTCAGCATAAACCTTGCCGGTGCTAGACAACGCGCCAGCAGCAGAAACAAGGTACTTCTCCGCGCCAGCAGCAGGCGCAGCCATGAAATACGCATAGCGCTCGATCCAGCTCTGCTGGTCCAACCAGGGCAGGACCTCAGCGAGGAAAGCGTCGGCGTCGCCCTCGCTGACGCCGAACTCGGTGATCCAGATGGGCTTGCCGAACTGCTTGTGCATGTTTGTGAAGTATGTCTTGAAGTCTTCGGCCTTGGCCCACGCGTACCAGTGCGCGGTTACAAAGTCGATTTGGCACCCCGTGCAGCCGGCCATGAAGGAGGAGAGGTAGCTGAGGCCCTTGCCGGCCTCCGCGCCGTTGGTTACGGCGGGGGACCCGATGCGGAGACCCTGTGCTGCGAGCGGTTGGATGTATTTCTTGTGTGTGGAGACTGCGTCTGAAACGGCCATGTTTGTGCCACCGCCACTGGAAGGGGTGTTAGTTTCGTTTGAAAGAGGGTATGGTGAGGGGGAAAAAGCAAAAAACGTACCCAGACTGATCTGGCTCGTTGAAGGACAGCACGTGCGAGACCTTGTATTTCTTCTGTGCGGCGGCGACGTTGGCAGCCCATCCGTCGGCGCACCACGACTCGCCTGAGTGGAGCTGGGGCACGAATTCGACGTCGAGAGCCTCGCCGTCGATGACGGCCTCCCAGTCGTACATCCAGGTGATCTGGGGGTAGTTTTTGAAGTTTTGTGTGTATGTCGATCCAGCGACGCCGGTGGAGGCCTGCTTGGGGAAAGCAAGACCGCGCTTTCCGGCAACACCGCGCGGCTTCATGGTGACAGGGCTGGCGTCGACCATGGAGCTGAGGCCCGCGAGGGCGAGGGAAAAGAATGTGGACTTCATGATGATGATTGTGGTTGTTGTTTGAAAGGAATGACTAGTTGTTCAAAGGAGTGAAACAACTGCGAGCAAAGGAGCAATGAATGATGGGCGCGAAGATGAAAGAGTGTCTTGAGGAAAAGAAGTTTCAACCACCATCGTGGGATGCCATACTTATACATGAGGGGATTGACGCCGGACGCCAATGCAGCATTCCATGCGCCAACTGTTCAAAGGGCCTGGGCGTTGTGATCGTGGCTGTCGACGAAGCATAGCGCCATCCACGTCCCCGTCCATGTCCATGTCGACACTTGCGATGCATCCAGCAGCGTGAGCATTTTACCGCTTAGTCTGCATCGGCTGATGCGAGCCGTAATTACAGTGGAGTCATTCTGGCGTTCTGGGCTGCTGTCATTGTCGCCCGGGTGTCACAGCGCGCGCGCCTCAACCAGACATGGTGATTCTAGGCGGCCAATGGAAGCGCATCCACACGTGCCATGAAAGCTCCGATACGTCGACGCTGCGTGCTAGACCACACGTTAGATCCGGGGCTAGACACCACGACGGCTCCCTAAAGTCAGGAACCAGGAACCGAAAAACCGCGCACTAGATACGCCCGGGAGATGCGTTGTTGCTGCATGTTCGAGACAGGGTTTCAAACTTCTGCATGAGCGTGAGCGTTGGGTTTACGGCCCCGCAGATAAGGCAGAGCGAAATACATTCCTCCCCACCACCCAAGTACAAAGAATGCAACTCACCCTCTGCGTTTCGAAACCCCTTCTTCTCCCCCCTTTACCCATCCAATACACTGCACAGCCTCCGCGAGAGCATGATCCGTAGACCGCGAGTCCGTCGCCATGGCGCCGAGTCCACGTGCTGATCCCACCTTCCCTTCCCGACCTTCCGTCCACGTTTATTTTTGTTGGGATCTCCACCAGGGCTGGTGCGCATACGAGCGTGCATACACAGGTACACACCTACAGCAAAATATGCACCTACAGACGCGAGAATAAGTTTCATGTTTGCAGCGCCAACTCGACGCCACGGCCGTTTTGCATTAGCGAAATGAGGAAATCTTGGGTCTTGGTCTAATGACGACCATTCATATACTGCCGCGTGGGTGTCTGCTGTGACTGCTGTGACCGCATGTGCGTGGTCATGTCTTGGGTAAGCACACGACTTGATTCGAGTCAACTTATGAAAGACGGAATAGATGCTCTCAAACGTTGGTAATTGCCTAGCTCGAAATACAACTCGCTAAATACACACTCATCTCTCGATACGTCGCTCAGAGCTCGTTGTGGTCGTGCTGTGTCTCCTCTTCAAGGATCTCCTCGACTTCGATCTTGATGGGATCTTGCTTGGCGGCCTTTTCTCCCTCGGCCTCTTGCGCCTCTCCACTTACCAGGAGAGACTCTACGGGCTTCTCTTTCTTACCATCTCCCATTCGGATGGCATCGACCCACTGTTCGACCTCTGCGGCGCTGAAGGTGGTGCCTTGGTATTTGTACCATGCGCGCTTACCATGGGTCGCAATCAAGTAGACGTTGTCTTCGCTTCCTAGGCTCAGCCCCGAGATCAGTGATGCAGCCAGAGGATTGGATGCTGAGACGCCGAAGAAGGGGAAGAGGAGAGCACCGACGACATCGTATTTCCTGTGGATGGAAGTGAGTGATGCGAGAGCAGTCTTGGCAGCATCAGCTGATTCGTCCTTGGGCAAGATGGCGAGGATGCATGTCTTGCTCTTCTTGTTTAGGCAATGTGCGTGTAGCTCTGCAGCTTCAGCGAGGACGTCAATCGTAGGCTTGAGTTCTTCGTTGGGAATGGCGACTGGTTCAGGCGTATCCTCGTCTTTGAGATTGGCAGCTGGAGACTCGGTTGGGACGACGGGCTCCACGACTGTCTCGTCCGTGGCTGATGCAGCGGCTGAAGATGCATCTGCAGACTTGTGAGAAGCGGAAGCCTTGGAAAACTTGCTCGAGGACTTGGATTCCTTCTTGGTGTCCTTCTTTGCCTTTGGCTTCTTCTCCTTGGGCGGTGGGCAGTCTGGATTTGGCGCTGCGACCTGCGAGAGGAATTTGACCATGGACTCCTTCTGCAGCTCACCCTCGAATGTGACGGGGTCCTCGGAGCCAGCGGGCAGGAGGATCAAGGTCGGGTACTTTGTGATGGCGTACTTTTCGACGGCCACCTTGTCCGACTTCTTGATCTGCGCAACGGAGACCAAACCGGCGAAGTCTATGGCCAGCGCCTTGAGTGTCGCACTGACGAGACCCTTGTCGCTGAACAGGATGGCCTTGGCGCTGTCCTTGTTCTCCTGCAGCCACTCTTCCAGATTCTTGTCGCTGATGCGCTTCACGCTGTTGGGGACCTTGTCCTTGACGGCGTCGACGATGCCCTTGGCTGAGCGCGCGCCCTGGTAGTCCTCGACTATGGGCTTGCCTGGTTTCTTGCCTGGTCGGACGATCTTGAGGGTGGGGAAGCCCTGCACGCCCATCTGGCCACAGAAGGGCTTGTTGACCTCGTCATCGCAGTTGATGGCGGCGACCTTGGCAATTCCCGCGAGCGATTTGGCAGCCGTCTCGTAGGCGGGCTTGAGGTTCTTGCAGTGGCCACACCATGGCGCGTAGAACCTGGGACATGTTAGGATGGTGGAGGTGGTGTGGTGCTGGTGTTGAGGCCTACTCGACAATCTAATACTGTTAGCCGGGCCATGGCAAGCTCTTGCGCGGGACCTACTGAGGTGTAGTTTGACTTTGCAATGACCCTGTCGTAGTCTGGGCCGTTGATGGAGAGGACACTAGACTTTTTGGGGTACATGCTCTCGGCCTGCGCATTGAGGGCCAGGGCAGCCGCGGCGGCGAGCAGGGCGGTTGTGCGCACCATGGTTGGGGATGTGTGGGTGGAGTTGGAAGGAGGTGGTCAGGTCGAAGCAGCTGAGGCCTGCGTCTCGTGTTATATAGTACCGGGCCTCACATGGTGTTTCAAGATGCAAAGTGTCCTTTGGCGTGCCTGAAGAAGCTCTGATGCATTGCGGGGACGACAGGGATGCCGGCCCTGGCCCATGACAGCATGCAAGGCTCCCGTCGCATTCCACCAAACCACCATCTCCACCATTCACGACCATTCACGACTATTCACGACTACCACCACGACAACACCTGCATCCGGCACCACCATGGCCGACGCACTCCCCGCCAAGCTGAAGAGGCTGCAGCTGGCGCCCTTTGCGAAGAGAGCTGCCCAGCTGGAGCGCTTCAAGCCCATTGTCTCGTACTGGCGTGAGTCGCGAGCGCTGCACAGGCGTCACGGCCGTACTGACCCCGCCCAGTGCGCTTCTACATGGTGCAGAAGGTCATTGCCGGCGGTCTCCACTCGGCAGACGAAGAATGCACCGTCTTCACCACCAACCTGATGGAGCGCCTGGAGCAGACCAAGGCCGACACCCCCAACGAAGACGCCCTGCTGGACGATGTCGTCGCGAGCGCATACTGCGAACAGTTCGCCCTGCAGACGTTTGCCAAGGGCGAAAAGGACATGGCGGAGAACAGAGCAACTGGGTAGGCACACACACACGGCCCCTCCCCCATGGCCCCGCCTGCTGACCTGCTGTCCAGCAACACGGCAGACACGCTCCTGGCAGCCTCGACCTTCCTCGAGATCCTGTCCATATGGAAGCCAGACGCCGACCCGGAGATCACTTCCAAGACAAAGTTCGCAAAGTACCACGCCCTGCGCATCCTGAAGGCCATCAAGGCCGGCCAAGACCCCAACGAAACCAACCCCGCCCAGGAGACACATCAAGCCCTCGACCCTCCCATCCTCGACCCGAGCGACCCAGAGGTTCAGAACATAATCCAGACCCCCCAGCAGCAGCAACCCCACAACCCATACCAGCCATACGTCGAGTCGGCGCCTGATTTCTCCGGACAGCCCTCGCCCGCATTTACTGCGCCAAAGGTCTCGCCTCCAGCCAACCTCCCCACCGTACCCACAGGATACACACAACCATCACACAACGATGTGTCTCCCATGTCGCAGACGGCTTCGTCGCGCAATGGTTCTGTTGCTTCCATTGGCGGAGGATACTTCCCAAGGACCGACGTGCCGCCTCCTACCTTCTCAGCAGAGAACACCGCGCCTACTCTGCCAACTGCTCCATCCATGGGCGATGAGACCATGACGACACCTATGGGAGGCTCATCATTAACTCAGACAGCTGGAGCACCAGATCCCTCCAGTTTCTACCAGAACCCTGTCTCTCCTCCGCCGACCGCACAGCCTCCACAGAATCCATACATGTCCCCGACGTATACAACTCCTGCCCCACAACAACCACAGCCACCACCCATATTCCAATCGAGTCCGGCCCCACCACATCAGCAGTACTCAGCACCCCCACCTCACCAAAATCCATACGCTCAACCAGCTGCACCTCCTCCAACAACATCCCAAGGCCCCTTCAGGAACGACGAAGATTCACTCCGAGAAGCGAAAAAGCATGCAAAGTGGGCCATATCAGCGATCGACTTTGATGATGCAAATACCGCCGTGAAGGAATTGAGAGTGGCTTTGAAGGCTTTAGGGGCAATCTAGAAAGCGTTGACGTTGTAGCGCGTTGAGTAGCCGACTGTAACACGCGAGTTCGGCCCTCGTAATGACCGCTCTTTTCGACAGTGACATTGTTGTGGATGTCTGGCAGTGGGTGGAATTGGTATAGAGGCTTCGTTGTATACCCTTAATGAGCTACGGACTACATACATTTTTGTGGATCCTCCATCTACATGATTGAAGAACTGGTACATACACAGAATATCCAACAATATTGATTTTGTGCATTTATGTTTGAGAGTTTGATTGTGCCTCTGCGCCATATATTCAACATTGACAACTAGAACGCATCCTTCTTCTTATTGCAAACTCAAGTTGCGACCAAGTTGCTGCTTTGCATCAACTTTCTGAGATGCCAAGATCGTGCTGCATGTTAGCCTCATGCACGTGCCGCGTGTCTCGGTCGCGAACCACACCTCGTTGCTCAACCTCGAACTCGCGGTCGGGATATATTGCTCGTACCACAATGAAACTGCGTCTGCCATAGAACCCTCAAGCCGCTTGAGCGTCAATCTGCAATGGCTCCCATCACTCCGTTCAACGCGACGGAAATTACAGAGAAGGCGCGGCGAGACCTGCTTCTTCTGCTCGAGGGTGTAAGGTAATGTCAACGACACGGTACATCGCTCATACTGACAAGGTATGAACAGATCAGGGGCAAGAAGAACCTCGTGCTCGAAAAGGCGCTCGCGGGGCCGCTGAATCTGCTTGTCAAGTTCTCTACCCTCCAGGAATATGGTGTCGACAAGCCTTTCTTTCTCGAGAATGATAATGTCGACGCCTCGCAGCGGAATATCGTGTTTCTGGCCAGGGGGGAGAAGGCCAAGACGGTCATGGCTGTCGCTGGTACGTATATGTGTTTGTTCGGGTTTGTACACGTGCTCTGGCTGTATGACAAGCGTTGGGATCACAAAAGAGGCTATGCAGACAGCATCTACTCTGCTTAGTCAAGTCTCGATCCCTAAATCAATACACATACCAAGCGCTTATATTGAACACCCGCTTCATCCTATACGGAGTCGTTCTGTTGTGCAGTGCTAACATACTTTCTAGATCAAATTAAACGCATACGACGAGACAGTCAGATCGAGCATGAGTTTTCCATCTTCTGGGTGCCGCGACGCACAATCGTCTCCGACCAGCTGCTGGAAGGCGCGGGCGTGCTCGGTGAGGCCAGTGTGAGCGAGTGGCCGCTGTTCTTCGTGCCGCTCGCAGATGATGTCCTGTCATTGGAGCTGGATGATACTGTGGCAGATCTGTATCTCGTATGCTCCCAAACTTATTGATTTTTGTGTGGTACTAACAAAAGTCAGCGAAAAGACCCAACATCCATCTACCTTGCAGCGAAAGCGCTCATGCTTCAACAACAAAAACATGGCCTTTTTCCACGTATCATTGGCAAAGGCGACAACGGGAAACGTCTCGCTGATCTTCTCATCCGCATGCGCACCGAGGTCACAGCAGGCGAATCTCCCTCTAGCACAGGCCCTTCTTTCCTCGGCCTGACCCCGAGCTCAACAATCGACAGCCTCATCATCATCGACCGTGAAGTTGACTTCCCAACTGTCCTCCTCACCCAGTTGACGTATGAGGGTCTAATCGACGAAGTCTTCAACATTTCCGCCAACCAAACCGAAATCGACTCTTCCATAGTTGGCGGCGCAGCTCCGCAGCCTGGGCAGACGGGATCAGCATCGACAAGCATGAAGCGCAAAATCCTGATAGACAGCAAAGACTCCCTCTACGCGACCCTCGGCGACGCAAACTTCGCCATAGTAGGAAACCTCCTCAACAAAGCCGCACGCCGCCTCCAAAGCACCACAGAGCGCAACTCGCTCGCGCAAAAGTCTACCTCTGAGCTCCGCGACTTCGTAGCAAAACTCCCCGGCTACCAAGCCGAGCAAGCAAGCCTAAAACTCCACACATCCCTCGCCGAAGAAATCATAAAATACACCCGCTCAGACATCTTCACCCGCACGCTCGAAGTCCAGCAGAACATCATGTCGGGCGCAGACCCCACCACCCAGCACGACACCATAACCGAGCTGATAAACCGCGACGTGCCCCTCCCCACCATCCTGCGCCTCCTGTGTCTCGAAAGCACAACAAACGCCGGCATCCGCCCCAAAGACCTCGAGTCCTTCAAAAAGAGCATCCTCCAAGCCTACGGGCCCCAACACATGCTCACGCTCTCGGCGCTCGAAAAAACCGGCCTCCTCGCCCCCCGCGGCGGCCTGGCCCTAAACTCCACCGTAAAACCCGGCAGCGTATCAAACTACACCCCCCTGCGCAAAGCCCTGCGCCTCTGGGACGACGACGTCAACGAGTCCGCACCAAACGACATCTCCTACACTTTCTCCGGCTACGCGCCCCTCTCCGTCAGACTCGTCCAGTCCATCGTGCAGAAACAGTCCCTCGCCAATATCGTAAAGCCGCCGCTGAACCCACAGGCTAATCCTCTCGCGCAGGGCCTGCGCATCTTCGACGACGCGACGAAATACGTCCGTGGCGCCACGTTCGATGAGGTGCAGACGGGCGATCAGAAGGCGCTCAAGGCTCGCAATATGCTTAATGGAAGTCATGCGGATGCGAATAAGACGGTGGTGGTGTTCTTCTTGGGCGGCGTCACGAGGGCGGAGATTGCGGCGCTCAGGTTTGTGGGGGGTAAGCTTAAGGAGGTTGGGGGGGAGGGGAGGGGGAGCCGTATCGTGGTTTGTACGACGGGGATTGTTAAGGGAGAGGGGTTGGTGGGGAGTGCGATTGAGACGGCGAAGTTTACGGGTGCGGCGTCTGTGTGATGGGGTGGCAGTAGGTAGGTGGTGTGGCAGCGGGCTGAATGCAGAAATCTAGCAACAACTTGACCACTACACACCGGATTCCTGAAGATTGAGTGCTTTGGTTTCTGAATGTCTACACCCAACCTCGTTTGTGTACTATTTTCTCATGGATTGGTCACTCAAGCACAACGGACACCGACATATCTTAAACTCGTTCAATTTCCCCTTGTTCTCGACCTCATCTACCTCAGATGCCCGCACCCCAGTTACATAAGAGAGATTTCCGCCAGTCATACTTTTGCAGGTTATCATTACGATCGTTCGTCAGGCATCGTCATGATAGAGAAAGTACACACAATACTTTTGGCATCCCCATAGATGCCGAAGAGAACCCAGGAAAGGAGAAGGAACCAAACACACCAAGTCTATCGTGAAATGCCGCAAAGATGAAACTCCATTCGCAGCGGCTCGCAGCTCACAGTCTGGGTATTCTGCGCCTGCGATCATTCTTCCTCCCACCAACCATCGTTAATACGTTACGCTTATCGGGTAGAGAAAGCCTTGGTGACAACGCGCTTGAGAGCCAACTCCTTCTTCTTCAGGTCATCAGCGGGAGCATCCTCAATCTCGAGCTGAGCCATGGCGTCGCTGAGAGCAGACTCGATCTTCTCCTTCTGGCCACGCTTGAGGCGGATAGCCGTGGTTGGGTCAGAGACCATCTCCTCAACACGGGAGATGTATGACTCGAGCTGTTGCCTCGACTCGAACTTCTTGCTGAAGGCCTCGTCGCTGGTCTTGAACTTGGCGGCGTCGCTGATCATGTTCTCGATGTCGGAAGACGAGAGCTTACCGACGGCGTTGGAGATGGTGATGTTGGCGCTGCGGCCGGAGGTCTTCTCGGTGGCGGTGACCTTGAGGATACCGTTGACGTCGACCTCGAAGACGACCTCGAGAACGGCATCACCAGCCTTCATAGGTGGGATGGGAGCAAGAGTGAATTCACCGAGAGATGTGTTGTCCTCGCAGTTGACACGCTCACCCTGGAAAACGGGGAATTGGACGGTAGACTGTTGATCAGCAACAGTAGTGAATGTCCTAGTGAAGATGTTAGTAGCTGGACAACTACGATGGTATAAACGGTTGAGAAACAAAAACCGCAACACTAGGCGTGAAGACTACCATGATGGCAAACAGCCGAGGAAAACGAAAACAGGAACACCATGCGTGGAGACTACCGTGATGTAAAACTGTTGTAATAACAAAAATAGAAACATCGAGCGGGGAGACTACAAGGGTATAAAATCACTGACAACTGAAAACTCGAAACATGAGGTGTGGAGAATACCATGGTGTAAAACCACTGACAAATAAAAACACGGAACATGAAGCGGGGAGACTACAATGGTGTAAAACCATCAAGACATATGAAAACACAAGACCAGGCGGGGCGACTACCATGGTGAAAAACGAGAATCGAAACATGAAGCGGGGAGACTACCAGGGTATAAAACAGTTGAGAAAGCAACCTTGAACACCAAGCGGGGAGACTACCATGGTAGAAACATTGAAAAATGAAAACTTGGAACACCAAGCGTAGAGACTACAAGAGTGGAAAACACATACCTCTTCTTGGTTGTTGGCACTGTCTGTCCACGGGGAACGACAGGGGCGAAGATGTTACCCTCCATGGCGACACCGAGGGAAAGAGGAACGACATCGAGGAGGAGGAGGTCGGCGGTCTCGGCAGAGGTGGCCTTGCCAGAGAGGATACCGGCCTGGACGGCGGCACCGTAGGCAACGGCCTCATCGGGGTTGATGCTCTTCTCGAGCTTCTTGCCACCGAAGAAGTCGCTGAGGAGCTTCTGGATCTTGGGGATACGGGTGGAACCACCGACAAGCACGATCTCGTCGACCTTGCTCTTCTCGATGGCGGCATCCTTCATAACCTGGGCAACGGGGTCAAGAGTGCCAGCAAAGGCCTTCTGGTTCAGGTCCTCGAAACGAGCACGGGTGATGTTGGCGTTGAAGTCCTCGCCGTCGAACAGAGAGTCGATCTCGACGGTGGTCTGAGTGGCATTGGAGAGCGTGCGCTTGGCCCGCTCGCAGGCAGTCCGTAGACGGCGCAGGGCGCGAGCGTCACCAGAAATATCTTTGTAGTTGTCAGAGCCACTCAAAAAGTTTCAAAACTTGCGATCCTCACCCTTCTTAGTCTTCTTTGTGAACTCTTTCTTGAAGTGGTCAAGGAGATTCGTGTCGAAGTCTTGCCCGCCGAGATGAGTACTATAAAGGTTTAGTGTAAGCGCTAACGAATACTATACTAAAGCACTTACTCGCCCGCAGTGGCCTTGACAGTGAAGACACCACCCTGGATGTGGAGCAGAGACACATCGAAAGTGCCACCGCCGAGATCGTAGATGAGAACGTTCCTCTCCTTCTCAGACTTTCCGGAGCCGAGACCGTAGGCGATAGCGGCGGCGGTAGGCTCATTGATGATACGGAGAACGTTGAGGCCGGCAATGGCACCGGCGTCCTTGGTAGCCTGACGCTGGTTGTCGTTGAAGTAGGCAGGCACGGTGATGACTGCCTTCTCGACCTTCATGCCGAGCTTGGTCTCAGCGACCTCCTTCATCTGGTAGTTGTCAGCGGGGTGCTTCTCCAACATGTGCGCACAGATCGTACCTTGACGAGGACCATGGCGGAGATCTCCTGGGGGGAGAAGGTCTTGGTCTCACCGAGGTACTCGACCTCGACGAGAGGGCTGCCGCCCTGGTCGACGACCTTGAAGGGCCATGACTTGATGTCCTTCGTGACAGTTTCGTCGTCGAATCGGCGACCAATCAATCGCCTGTAGGAGTCAGCACAGTGTTTCGCCATACGAACTGCGCTGGGGAAAAGTCTTACTTGACATCGAAGACGGTGTTCTCTGGGTTCATGGCAGCCTGGTTCTTGGCCGCCTCGCCGATCAGACGCTCCTCGCTTGTGAAGGAGACGAACGAGGGAGTGGTGAAGCTACCCTGCTCGTTGGCAACTGCGCACAGAATAATTAGACAGCCGTCATGACGAGCGCGGGGGGAGCGGGCGCATACTGATCTCGACATTGGTGCCCTCGTAGTTGGCAACGCAGGAGTAGGTCGTGCCTGGCGATATTTGTTAGTCCCGCACAGTGCACAGTGGGGTAATTTTGGGACTGCGCGCACCAAGATCGATGCCAATGGCACCCTCGTAGACTTCGTCGCTCATGATGAAAAGTGGTTTGGCAGGAACGACCTGGAAAACTACAGAGAGAAAATGAGGTGGAGGAGGAGAAGTGGAAGGGCAGTGGGACTTTTGCGCTTAAAGCGAGGGGACCAGAAGAGAAAATTGATGGAGTGCCGCCAAGAGTTGGCCTTGGCGAACACTTTTCGCCGATAGAATTTATCGAGGACCGAGGCGAGCAACGCCACCCCAGACGTCAGAACATGCCGTGCAGGGCTCGTTACCATGTTTGAATCGGATCGAACTATGCTTTGATCGTCGAGGGTTCTCGCTTTCTTCGACAACACCCTATTTGACGGCGCCAGCGAGTCACAGCAAGGGCGATGGCGTCACTGCACACAGAACAACAGGCTGCATCTATGAATTCGTTCCGAATGAAGACTCAATATTTAAATCAAATGCCCGTCGTTGGGTATATCAGCACCCATAGTAACGCCCTATCCCTATCCCAGCGCCAGACAAATCCTCCCAGACCCCTCATATCGCCGGCGCCATGCTCCCCTCCACAAGGAAATCCTCGCCGGACAACCCCTCCACTCTACCCTCAAACCTGGTCATCGTGGAAGACAAAACTAATGTCTCTCGGCCGCTGTGTGTTGTTCCTAACGAATGCATCGTCGCCCGGCGGCCTCTCTTTGACCGTGTTGCTCGTGAGCATGCTCTGCAAACTGACGCACACACTCTCGACGTTGTGAACGGGGCTCCAGCCTTGCCGATCGAGCAGGTCGAGGCAGATGATACCGTTGGAGTAGACGTGTGGGTGCCAGGGTATCGAATGCTCAGTGTCGCGGACAAAGACTACTTCGGGGGCCTGTGCGGAGTGTAAGTTTGGATGGTAGCATAGAGGCAAGCGCGACATGCGAGACGCACCTCGATAGGATAGTTTGAGCTGAACATGAACTTCAGTCTGTATGTTTCGCCTTTGTATATCGGGTTGTCGTCCATTACTCGAATGTCCATGAGCCATGTCTCGAAGTTCTCTGCCTTGACCAGCGTGACGCCAGGAGGGAGCTGGCCTTGCATCTATGTAGAGTGTTCAGCGAGGTAGTCTTGGACTTTGGCGATTAATTTGCAGGAGAGACAACAGTACCTTCTGGAGCTCCTGCAAACACACGTTAGCTATGCGACAACATCCATTTTGAGATTGTAAGAAGCGTACCTTGCCCAACCGCTTAGACGCAAACATCTTGTAATACTGTCTCCTTCTATGCACCAAGAGGACTCGGCCTGCACGTAGAGCTCTGATCCGTATGCGCGAAAAGCTTCAGATGCTAAGCTCAGGATCGGTGGCGCGTCTGCGGCTCCACTTCCAAATTGACACGACGTGAATGCGGGGGAGGGGCAGCGAACACAAAGAGTAGTTGCCTATAGTCTGTGAGAGACTGCAAAACAAATACGGAATGGAGTGAACGAACGAGTGATCGAGAAATATCTCAAACAAGGAACTAGGGTGTGTTTGTTGTTCGTGTGGCTTTGACGCAGGTTGAGCTCGATGCACGTCGTGGCAGCACCCGCCGCAAATCAACTGCGTTCACACGTGATAGACGCCTGACAGTTGGGTTACCAATATAAGTTTGTAGAGCCGTAAATTTGCAGAAGACAGGGAACCCCAACGTCATTGATATCTCGCTATAGTCAAACGCCAGAGGAAACCAGTTCTTTTCCCAACCCGTCTGCAGATCTAGAAGATCCAGCACACCGTGTGCCTGAAATTATAAGAAATAACGTGATCCATAAAAGAGAAAGAATGTACAAAAACCCCTGCTCAAGAAACTACGAGTAAAACGCGCCCTTTTGAAAGCTCTCAACTCCCATATCCCCCACTTTGCTATCGACTTTCGGCCCAGGCGCTGGCTCAACAGCCTTTGTGGTCATCGTTGTTGTCCGACTGCCCAAACTGCTGCTTGTCATCGTCTGCGTCCTGCTCCCCGCCGGACTCCCGCTCTGGCTTCCACTGGTGATCTGCGCAGGCTGCTTCCTTTGGATGGTTTCTAAGTAGATCCCTGGCAGATGACCCATGCGGCCGTCTCTTGAGCGGCACCGCCACCATTCTGACGCATTGCCCATGGGGTCGCTCTTGCTCAACACAGCGACCATGTCGCCCTTCTTGACCGCGAGATCCATGCCCTGCATGTTTGAATTTGGGGTGAAGTCGTACAGCGCACGGCAGAACTCGAGCTTGTTTGGGTCGAGGGGTTCGCCGTATGCTTGCGGGTTCTCAGTCATCAGTCGCTTTTGTTCGGTTTCCTGGGAGCGTGCGAGCGTCTTTATGAGCTTGCCCATCAGGTATGGCAGGCCAAAGACGGCTAGCATGAACATGATGAACGGCTTCTTTGACGGTTTGGCGATAGATGGTGAGCCGTCAGAGGCACGTCCTGCGAAGGCGGCGAAGCTCGCGGGTGTAAGGTCCGTTGCATTTGCTGGTAGGGGGCGCCCTGTGAGTTTCGCGACCGCCGTTCGTATCCATCGCATAACGGTGTAGATGCCCAAAACCGAGCCGAGTGTTTGTCGTAGATTTCCGAACTGCTCTGCGACTGATACCATTGCTGATGTGAATTAGCGTTTGATCATGTTCCCCATCGCGGATAGAACTCACCAAAAAAGGACGAGTGGGTCGCCATGTACGTGCTCTGCAGCATCTGCGCGAACCCGCCAAACGCACCCACAATGTTCTCAATCAGCTGGAACGTCGCCTGTGTGCTCTGGCTGAAGGACTGCGTGAGGCTGTTGGGGTTGTTCGGGTCCTGCATGCCGCCGCCGTACATGCTCCCCATGCCCATGCCCATACCCATCCCCCCCATCCCGCCGTACATGCCTCCCATCCCGCTCATGCCGCCGTACATGGAGCCCATCCCGCCCATGCTCGAGTAGGGCGAGGAGTAGCTGCTCATGCCGCCATAGCCACTGCCATAGGGGGATGAGTATCGGTTGTTCATGGCCGAGTAGTTGGTCGCGTTGCGGGTTGCGACAGTGCTGAGCGAGTCTGGCATGGCGGGCAATGGCGGGGGGCTGGCGGTGGCTGTGCTGCTGGGCGCACCTGTGAGTCCTGCGCCGCTGTTAGACGTGTTTGTCGCAGACATACGGGGTCGCGGCTACTGACCAACCGAGGCACTGGTGGCACCTCCACTAGTCTCCCATGGCTTTGGCGGCGATGGCGACGACATGTCTCTGCTGTGCCTCCTCACCGCGCCGTCTGGCAATGGTCGATGCTCGTCGCGGGCTGGCGTGCTTTGGATGTGGTGGGCGTGAGGCTCTGCAGACGTCAAGAGGCTGGCGACGGCCGGGGATGCACGCGAGTTTGCGGGGTGCGCCGGCGTTTGTGTGTGTCCAGGGGGACGGTGCGCGATAACGGTGCGTGAGCTGGGCGGGCGTGTCTGGGGAGGAGTCGAGGAGATGCGGGTGCGATGGAGGCGATGCGATGCGTGCGTGCATCAGCCGTCGGCCGGTGCTTTCACGCTCTGAACGGCAAACGCCTCGGTTCAGGGAGAGTCGTCTGGGCAATCACAAGCCGCCCGAGCACGGCGAGTCATTCGCCACTCAACACCATCGGCAACTGTTTCCGCATTCGCACACGTTTCGCGAACATGCAGGTCAGAGTTTTTGATTTCCCTTTCGAGTCGCTCTGCAGTGTCGTTGGTGCACTACAACGTTCGTGAGTCACTTGTTAGTACTGAAAGTAATGACATCCATACGAATGAATACCTCAATCGAATGTCGTCGACATATCGTTGTCGAGAATGAAATTGATTGTTCCTATGTTCGAGTATGACATAGCCACACATGCTCATCTCAAGCCCCAACACCAAACGCACTCTCAATCCCCAATTGGAAAAAGCGAATGCACCCAACTATCCTCGTCATACTCCACCAAATCCCCAACCTGCTCCTGCGTCAACGTGCTCCCAAACTTGAATCCGTCATCCACCACCCTCACTGTGATATGGGGAAAATGCCACACCACTGCAAACTTCATCTTCCTCCCTACGGGTCTCCTGAAATAGTTGCTATCGCCCCCCTGCAGATTGCCCTGTCGATGCAGCGTGCTCTTCGCCCTCTCCGCTCCATTCCCCAACACTTCAAACGCGTCGAACTCGCCGCAGCCGGTTGACCAACAGGAGCAGGGGATGTTGTTGCGGTCATTGCCGTATTGGAGAATCCGTGGGATGGCTGCGTTGAGGAACCACCATGCGGGTGCATCAGAGATCAGGCCTTGGTCGGTACCGCGGTTGGCGTAGTGGTCCATCTGGAATTCTACGATGAAGGCTTTGGAGGAGCCCGACCAGCCATCTGTGTGTGCATGTTAGCATGAGTGTGAAAACACCTGGTGGAGCAGAGATGGAGAGCCTACAATGCGACGTAGCATCCGGTCTTGAGTACAGACAACCGTCATCGCACTCTTTGTCCGAGAAGACTGCAATCTCGAGTTCTGAGGTGTCCAGCTTGCCGTCAAAGGGCATGCTCTCGGACGCAACTCTGCCACCGTTGGGGGCTACGTACGCGAGAGAATTGCCAAATGCGCTGGCTATGGTCAGTAGGATCATGTTGTTTGAGTCTGGGAGGCTTACTAGTCGAACGTGCCCGACTTCTGCGGATCTCCTAGGTTTGCGAGAAAGGAGAAGCCGGTTGCCTGGGCAGGTGCCGTGGAAGTGTAGTATGCGACACGATTCCACGCCGCCACAGCTACATGCACATCCTCCCGAGAAATGATAGGTGAGGTTTGTACGGGTGATGGTGTAGGGACGGAGACTGGTCTTGGTTCAGAGTGTTTGACCATGCTTGCAGAGTTCTTGCATGTGCAGTTCGATGTCGAGGAAGCGAGGGTTGGCGTGCTAGAGATATTGGTGTTTGGACTAGATATCTCTGGCGTGGGGAGACACGGTAGTGAAGGGTCGATGTGATTAGTGTTTCGAAGGGGTTCGGAAGTGCTTATTGGAAGAAACATCTCGCAGTCCGTCATGGTGATTGTGGTGGTTACTGTTGCGACGGAGCCGCAATGCATAGTAGTATTCTCTGTCCTTGTGCCGAGTGTTGGTACTGAAGGAGCTTGAGGGGAGTTGGAATGTTCATCCATGTTGAGGCTACTTGTCGGTGCTTGTCGCTGTTTCAGTGCCTGTCGACGGTTGTAGAATGGCACAGTATCTCGTCTCCGTAGTTTGAGAGCCTCACTAGGGAGTTGATAGACAGCGAGTTGGGAAACATTCATTGGTCCGCGTAGGTGCATCGATACCTTTGACCATGTCAGCAACTCGATTTCAACGTCTGCCTCATGAGCAAAAGTACATCTCCGAACAATGGAGTGCGCGGTCCGGTCCCAGAATAGTCAATACGTTCATGGCCACAAAGCCCGGTTCGAGGATCGACGTATGTTGTTCGATTGTAGACGCCGGACTGACTGATGTTGCGGTACGTGATTGCCTGGACCTCAGAGCAGTACCAATTGCCGTCGTTGGAGAGCTCAGCCGTGCCACGACACAGTTCGCCGGCAGTCTTGCTTTGGACGAAGGGTAAGAGGATGCTCGCGGCAAGTAGAGTATGTTTCATGATTGATGACACGGTAGAAGTGCTGGATGATCAATGTTGTGAGTGAAGTTGTGAATGTATGGCAAGATTTGATTCGAGTCTATGATATAACTGGACCCTACGCAACCATCATACGATGTCGTGCAAATATAGGGAAACCACAAGGCTCGAATACGAAGGTGCGTAGCGACACAAAGTGAAGAGGAAAGAGAACACGCCATTCGCCATGCGCTATAACCTACCTTTCGCGATAAAACCAACAGGTGCGTGCAACGCATAATCGAGCAGTGCAGGAGCAACCAGGCCATACCAGCATTCCTTGAACGTCACGTCTGAACATTTACAATGGAAGGATGAATCTGTACTACAAAATCTGCATGCCGTTAGTCTTTGTTTTCTCCGAAAAGTCCAGACAAAACAGGTAATTGCAAGACGTTCAGAAGTCCGTTGAGATCATCATCCCTAACGGGATTAAATCAAGAGGTACCAGAAAATAATAGTATGGAAAACTTCATCATTGTAGCAATGGGCGGATAGGAAAGGGTATAAACGTACCATAAGCTTAAACTGCATCAACAACTATGCCCTCTCGACACAACTCAAGCGCGCCATCTACTACCAAAGCACATTCCAAGTTTGGCGCCATACAAAGACGCGTGGTATAGTCATCGTTGACATTTTCGGATTTGGTGCTTTCCTGGACGAGATGTGAGAAGGTGAGGTCGCAATTCGGCAGACTTTTTATCAACCCGGATGCCAAGCTAGCCCGTGCACCTAAGCGAGCCTGGCGCGCCGCACAACACCTCAATCTCAATCTCGTCGAAGTTCAAGACTGTCTCGATTCTCCAACCGTCTCCGTACTAACAGCCAACATGGGTCGTCTTCACAGCAACGGAAAGGGTATATCGGCGTCGGCCGTCCCCTACTCTCGCAACCCGCCTGCGTGGCTCAAGACCACTCCCGAGCAGGTCGTCGAGCAGATCTGCAAGCTCGCGAAGAAGGGCGCCACTCCCTCCCAGTAAGGATTGCGATATGGAGGAAGGAAAACGGAGAACTGACGGTACTATAGGATCGGTGAGGTCCTTCGTGACTCTCACGGTATCGCCCAGGTCAAGGGTAAGATTTGCGCAATGAACCGCAATGTATGCACCGGCTAACAATCTGCAGTCGTTACTGGCAACAAGATTCTGCGAATCCTCAAGTCTTCCGGTATGGTTTCCTACCCAACATGAAGCGCGTGTCAACAGCAGCTCTGCCCTCAGGCATCTGTCGCGCTATACAAATCTGCCTCTGTTGGTGCAAAACTGACAGGGAGCCATTAGGCCTCGCCCCCGAGATCCCCGAGGACCTCTACATGCTCATTAAGAAGGCCGTCGCTGTCCGCAAGCACTTGGGCATCAACCGCAAGGACAGGGACTCCAAGTTGTATGTTTATAGTGCGCATTGAGTATGCAGACTTTGGGACTAACACCGTGCAGCCGCCTCATTCTCATCGAGTCCCGTATCCACCGCCTCTCCCGCTACTACAAGACCGTCGGTGCCCTTCCCCCTAACTGGAGGTACGAGAGCGCCACTGCCTCCACCATGGTCGCATAAGCAGATGTGGGTTTGGTGTGGACGACTACCGTGGGTGGAGAACATCGGATCGGAGTTTCATGGGCATGGATGCTTTACGGACTACCTGGAAGGGTTATGATCTGGAATGAACAAAAGCATCATCTGAATTGAAAATATATACCCGTGCAACTTCGTACTTTAATTCATGTGAATGTGATGCAATTGACCTGGGTATCTTCCCTCATTTGACGCCGTAAACCAATCGTTGCTTTTGAACACCCACCCGTCCATGCGCGCAATTCACATGTACTTCATATCAACCAAGTCGTCTTTGCTGAACACCCATCCGTCTTGCCCAACCCCTTCCACGCTGTCTCGACTTTTTGAAACCCCTGACCTCTCACCCCTCAATCTCGGCACTCTTCTGCGCTAGAAACTCGCTTAACCACTTCAACGGCTTATCCGGCTCCGTAGTCGCCAAGTGCTTCATCGCCTCGAGCAAATGCGGCGTAACCCTCTGATTCAGATAAATACGTGTCGGACTACCGTGCGGAATGGGTTGCGTCGGCGCCTGCTGTGGCGCGCTGGGGTGCGGCGAGTTACGTGAAGATACGGGAGCAGGCGTGGGTGCAGGTATTGTTGGCGTGGGCGCGGGCGCGGGCGCGGGCGGTGCAATGGTAGGTTGGGGTTGGGCCAAAACCTGCAGGAGGCGTTAGTGATAAAGTTGAAACGGATGAGCGAGGGAAGTACTTCGGTGGTTGGGGCCGAATCTGTCATTTCTACATCGGCTGGTGGTACGTCGGCGCCGTTTGTGGTAGTTTGGAGTTCTGGGTCTGCGATTTGGGGTGTGGGGTTAGAGGATGGTTCGGCCATCTTGTTTGGGGTTGGATGCGGAGAGTCGTGGAGAAAGACGTGTATCGTTTTCGTGTGAGGGTTGTAATTGTGAGTGAAGGTTGGTCTCGACGGAGCTTGAGCTTGGAGCTTGATATTCGGCGATGCACCAGCAAGCTCGGATCAATCTCGGAGTACAACGTCGCTACGTTTTGACGCGTTCTAAGAACATGTCAACATCGCTGGCGCGCTGGCTTCTCATATCTATACGCTCCTTCCATCGAGAGTTCTTATCTACGTAACATGTCTTGTCTATCCTTCTGCGTGTTATCCAGATATCAACATTCCTTCGCCTATGGATTGACACACGCGTGACCTTCACATACCCCTCCCACGCGTGTCCTTCGCGTCAAGCACGATATCTTACAAATTGAAAACCGCATTCAATATATTGCACAGGCGAGAGCCGCGCAAACGAGATTCCTACCATCGGAGACGCCGACCTCGCTAATATTTCGGCGTTGATTGGCAGTTCTCCTTTCCATATGGGACACGCGCGTTTGTCTCCACCACATTGACCGAGGCTCCCTCTCCTTGCAGACGCAAAACGAAACAGAATAGACATTTGCAGGAGACGTGTAGTAGAGATAGATCACCCCATATCACGGATGCAATCTATCCCGAATTTTCCATCCCTTTGCTAAGGTCTTCCTCGGTTTGGTACTCTTACGAATGCGTTCAGACGCGAAGTTTTCATAGATGTCATTTCCACATCTACACCCAGCCTCAGCGCCTCGCCTCGGCCTCGTGGGTTTGACACGCCCGGCTTTTCGTTAGTTTGCGCTAAAAGGAGTCCAACTAGCGCCGCCTCCTGACTCCAAGATCTCATGCCCCACGAATCGAGGGGCATTACACAGTACCCATCTAGCATTGGGTTTTTATGAAATGTCTTATGACTGGTGAAGAGAAAGAACAGTAACAAAGACTACAAGAGTGCTACATGCGATTCAGTAGCATGACGGCTTATAACGCCTCCAAGACTGATCAATACTTCAGGACGGAAACGCCCAACTCCTGTCCCCGGAGGTAATTAGCGTTTGGCTTTATTCTAACCATTCAGGAGCGTTGCCAAGGGCTGGACGGCTGAGGGGAGAATTGAGGCTTGCAGTGTGTTCAGCTGTTATGGCTTTCGCGAGTAGTGGTAACGCATGATGACACTTGTGGTAGTTCGCTATTGTTCAAAGAATATATATTGAAAGCAGTCCGGTGTGCCTTTGTTTCGCCAGAATTACACATTCTTTTAATTTTCTCACTCATTTTTTTTATCTGACTTTGTCAGTTTACGGTCTTTACTTCATATCGCCAGTATGTTGTTCACTTCACTCTTTACAGTGACAGCACTTCTCGGTATCACACACGCCCAGCAATATGGCGGGTATGGCTATCCTCCACGCCCTACTACTACTTCAATCACCGCTCAGACATGCAAATCTGCGACCACTGTTACGAAGACTTCCATCAGCACAGTGAGCATCCCTGGAAAGACTGTGACAAGCCAGGGCTCCTGTGCAGCCACCGTTAAGACAGTATCAATCCCCGGGTTCTCCGTCACCAAGACAGTTTCGATTCATGGGGCTTCAGTCATCAAGACAGTTTCAATCCCTGGGGCTTCAGTCACCAAGACAGTTTCAATTCCAGGGGCTTCAGTCACCAAGACCATTACAAGCCAGGCCTCCTGCGCAGCTACCATCAAAACAGTCTCACTTCCTGGGTTTTCTATAACCAAGACAGTTACGAACCAAGCCTCTTGCGCGGGCATGCCTGTATCCACGGCAACATTGACAAAGACGACCACTTTGACTGGAGCTGTCTCAACGATCACATCCACCATTGCTGGCGCCAACTCTACGGTCACATCGACTGAGCATGTTGCTGGAGTCAACTCTACAGTTACCAGCACAACCACTCTAGCTGCAGTGACTATGACAATTGATGGCGGCAACTCTACTGTCACGACCACCCAGACATTGCCTGCGATAACGACAACCATTGACGGAGGCAACTCTACTGTTACAACCACACAAACCCTCGCTGCGGTTACTACAACAGTTGATGGTGCAAACTCGACAGTGACGACCACGCAAACCCTCGCTGCGGTAACTTTGACCGTTGATGGAGCCAACTCTACGGTTACGACAACCGAGACTCTGCCCGCGGTGACTTCGACGATTGATGGCGCAAACTCAACGTTGACGACCACTGAGACGATGACTACAACGGTTGGTGGAGCCAACTCAACAGTAACGGCTACCGAGACGTTGCCTGCAGTAACTACAACAATCGATGGAGCCAACGCCACAGTCACAACCACGCAGATAGTGCCTGGAATGACCATGACAGTTGATCTAGGCAACTCTACTGTCACAACCACGCAAACACTGCCTGCAGTGACTTTGACATTGGACGGGGCCAACTCTACAATCACAACCACCCAGACGTTGCCTGCGGTGACTACAACGATCGATGGTGCTAACTCGACCATAACGACTACGCAATTCGCTACAGAGACACTGCCTGCAGTGACTACAACGATCGATGGTGCCAACTCTACAATCACGGCCACCGAGACGCTACCTGCAGTGACTACAACGATCGATGGTGCTAACTCAACAATAACGACTACGGAATTCGCCACGACGACTCTGCCCGCTCAGAACTTCACAACAACTGCCGTCTTGACACAGACACTGAACTTGACAGCAACCGAGACTTTGACGCAGATACTGAACTTGACAGCGACAGCGACCGCGACAGAAACCTTCACAACTACTCTGCCTGTGGAGACCATCACTCAAAACTCCACAGCCACCGCTACGGAGACTCTCACAACCACTGCCATTTCAACACAGACCCAAAATTCTACAACCACTGCGACTGAGACCCTAACAACCACCGCTGTCTTGACACAGACTCAGAGCCTCACAGCAACCGCGACAGAGACTTTCACAACAACTCTGCCAGTGGAAACTGTCACTCAGAACTCCACCACTACCGCAACGGAGACGCTCACAACAACTACAGTCTCGACACAGACTCAGAACTCCACGGTTACTGCGAGTGTGACTCAGACTATCACGACAACCGCCGTATCAACACAGACACTGAACTCTACAACTACTGCGACGGCAACGACCACTGTGGCTCCAGCCTGCACAGCATCTGGTACAGTGGCTATAGCTGCGTGGGCTACCCTCACTGCTGGTGATGCCCTTCTAAAACAAGGTGCCAATAACCTTACGTCAACTATCTACACAACAAACAGCAATCTTCCTCAACGTTTCGTGACGAGCGTACCAGCCTGCTCTGGCTCTACATACTCAGTATCATATTCTGCTGAGCGGGGCACCTACCCGGCTGGTACTGCGACTGTTTCGCTCTTGGTTGACGGTGTTCGCACGCTAGTCACTACAGCATCCAATGCGGCAGCTAACACTGTAACCTTCAAGGCTTCTAGCTCCTCAATGTCTCTGGTGATGGAGTTCGCATACTCGGGTGGCACTAATCAAGCCAAGGACGCAATCGCTCGTAACTTTGTCCTGACCAAAGTTAACTGAACGTCTTTTGACCAAGTTTGAGCACGAATCCTAGCTGAGAAGTTACGAATTTTGTAGTTTCTTTGTGTTACAATGTTGCATGTATCATTCACGTTATTGTTAAGCTTCTTATGACCTTTTAGTTTGAGGCCACATGTTATGCAATTTAATATATGCCCTCCTTGATGTATTTTATGTTAATCACTATATCTCATAACTTTCAACGCTCTGTGTCTTTCACTGCCACGAAGATGATGATTCCAAGTGCCATGAGAGACAAAAGAGAAATGTCCGGTGTGCCACTAAACCGCGATTCGAATGTCCTCGACGCCTCTGCGCTGTCGGTTCCATATTCGTGAATATGGCTTGCCGCGTTGTGTAATCAACATTGTCTACTTTGCAATTCAGCTGGACCGTATTTGGACGTAATCGTTACCAACCGACCAACATACTCTTGTAGAGCTTTCCCCATCTCCCAACTATCCAGCGTCTTCTTCCCTTCTGCAGGGACAACGGTATCCTACCAGCTGTCACGCTATTTCCGGCTTGCATCGTGATGCTAGAGTGCTAAAATTCAAGGACAACAGAGCAGCAAGGCTGTGCTCGAAAACTGATCTGTTATTGGCTTCCCCAACGTTGGAAAAGATAGTCTGGAACAGTAGTGTGCCGGGCCGCTTCAATCTAGCCAATGAAAAGGGTACTGTGACAACGATCGAATGAAAGTCAGTCGCTTGAATGTAGGGCAACTTGATCGTGGAGAACTTCGTGTAGCGAGAACACATGTTCCTCGCAATCGCTTCGTAGCCCTGTCCCGCGGGGGTACACCAAATCAACGATTTAAGCCTTTTTGGCCCCATTGATTTCAGCTAGGCAAGGATATGAACTGACCCTATGAAACGAACAACTTACACAATGTTGAACGCGACAACCCGGAGGAGACCAAAAGTCCAACGTCAGCATGCTGCAGGGGGCAAAGCCACACAACCAGAAGATATAACAGCCTACCCCTTCTACATGCTTCCAGAACATCTTCCTCTGAGCATGATAATTCCACGACTTATTCTTCTGTGTGAAAGCCCGAGAATCTGTTCCAATAACGGAAGGGCTGTCTCTTGCTGCTAGTGGTAAACCTAATCTCCTATGCTCATCGTCACCCTTGCTGACCAAACCCAGGGCTAGCTGTTGTTTCTATAGCTGTTCAGCTTACAGAAACGTGTACTAAGCTTTACAAATTCTGGGAATCTATTGAAGATGCCCCTCAGGAGATTGCGGGGATCAAGGAAGACTTGCATTATCTTTCTTCTGTCTTTGAAAGGATCGGAAGCAACGGAAAGCCCTTAGGCCACTTTGTGGTGGAAGGAATACAACACTGTCGACTCAAAGTAGCGGTAAAAGAGTATCCGCCACTGTACAGCCGTATGCATGTTGACAATCTAGGAACTCAATTCCATCGTCGAAAAGTTTGATACCGGCTTTCAGTCTTCATCCCGGAGGAAACGAGTATGGACAGCTTTCAAAGCAGCTGCGCATAGCAAGCAAGTTCAAAGGTTTCGCGAATCACTGAACGAGACAAAATCAACGTTGACACTTGCTATGATCCATCAATGGTTTATTATGACCTGTCATACTGTTATCAATGATTACAGGGCTGATTAACTTCAAGCGTTATACAGCCGCAAACGTCCATCGTCTCGGCGGAAACACATGTGTTGCCAAACCTGCAACATCATTCCATGAATTCCAAAGCTCAGTTACATATGTCAACCAAGCCAGGGGTCAAAAGGCTCTCTGCGGTTACACAAGTGCAGATGGCTTCTTCGACATTTCGGAAGCAACCTTTTCGGCGTGCAGATTTCCCAGTGGCATCTGATGAAGTTGCAACGAATGTGCCAGCGTGGCTCAATAAAGTTGTTCTTGAGCGATCGATAGTTGTAGGGAAGGCCCAAGAGCTTATGCTACATACGATTAGCCAGATGGCAACTGCAAAGTTCGAATCGACTTCAATGGAGATATTTGCTCAAGATGGGTTTATGATGGATGACAGTGGAGGTGTTCGATCCAAAACGTTTGTTTATTCAAAAAACTTGCGACAGCGCGTTTGCCACCAATCATCAAGCTTTCAAACCCCTTTCGGATGTGTGTGGGTGCGCACAACGACCATTCATCTGAACGACCATATTGGTGGCACGCTTCCAAAATCTCAGTCCGTCACCTCGATTGTTCTCTACCCTGCGACGTGGATACAGCGTCTAGGTTTTAAAAATGGGTTAGAGGCTATCATCGCTATGGGAAACAAGAATTGTTTGTTCACTTGTAGACTGACGTTGACTCGCGCTGTTCCAGAAGACTCGCTGATTTTCGAACTCTGTCGAACTGGACAAACCCGGGCTGTAAAGACTATTCTGAACAAGGGAATAGGGAGCGTGGTAGATACTAGCCCGAAAGGATGGAAACCTTTGCATGTAAGCATCACTCAACGGTTCATTCGGTTGGATCCATGCGAAGTACTAGTTCTAAGAATTTTTTAGTTTGCTGCTGCCGGAGGGCATGTCGACCTGTGCGCTATGTTGATTCGAGAAGGCGCCGACAAAACCGCACTGGTCTATGAAGGGCCCACTCCGTCTATCCTGTGAGTTATATCTACCTCTACGGAAGACTTAATCATCTGACTATTCAAGCTCTCCCATTTCAATCTTTGTCGCTTCTGCTAACGACCTGCATGCTGAGGTCAAGATCTCAATGCTTAGGTTGTTCTCGGATTGCATTGACATCGCTGATCCCGATGATGATGGCTGGGCTGTCCATGAATGGTTGAAGAAGGCATACGCGAAAGAGAAAGTTCCGGTTTCGCGAAACAGCATCATCTGGCTTCTCCACTTGACAGCGAAAGAGGAGTACGTTGTCTTTGGTGCCCGTACCCTATGGTGCGGCATACAACATGCTATAAGGTCCCTTCTTAACCATGAGCGACATAGCAGATCTCTGAACCGTATTCTAGGACTCACGGACGATGATGTCGAAGCCACTAGCCGAACACATGCAGATGCAATTGGCCTCTGGCTTGCTCTTGGAATCGGCGGACGAAAACTCTTACCGATGGTAGTGGACGCAGGGTCTTTCTTTCAAATGAAAGGATTCGATTGGGTCGAGGATGACATTACACAAAGCCAGGTCTTGAAAGCCCTTCCGGGCATATATGCGGCGTGGTGCCATGCACTGATTGACTGCGTTGAGAAAGTGGAAGAATACATGCAACTGGAATTAGAATATTGCGTGAAGAGGCTCGGCTGGCAGCGCAACGCCTTCCTCAACGCGATCTCACGCGCGAATACTCTTGTTGAGGGTTCGAGGAGAGAACATATCCATGAGAGAGTTTGTACACACTGTAAAGACGACTATAGTGCTCTTGGATTTGGTCTCGTCGAGCCTGCGCAAATCGCTATCACCGAGTGCATCAGAACCAACCACAAATCCAAATGCGCCTGTCCAGAAACTCACGAAGACTATATTGACGCAATCGAAACTCGACTTCCAATCTACTGTGGATCATATTATGAAGAAGAATCGGACCCTGACTCCGACTCTGACTCTGACGAAGAATTCTTTGATGCAGAATCAGATCTCACTCCTGATTCTCACTATCTGAACCAACATCCACACCTCGCTGGAACGTCTGACATATTTCTTGATACGGCTACGATTCTGTACCGCTCTCATGGAAGAGTTTGGATAGGAGAGTATAAGATAGGACAGCGTTTTTGTGCTACCTGCCTTTTGCTACAGGAGCAGTATATTAGTAAGGATGATCAAGAAACTGATTTTCCGCCTACACCAGAGAGCTATGAAGGAATCCGTATCGACCGGCATTTGAGAGGGGCCTTTGATGTCGAGCCGAACTGAAGGATTTCCATCAACATGTCCTCTATACTTCAGGACAAAGAAATATATGTGGTTCAGAGCACATCGTATCTCGGGAAGAAGCTATCATAGTATAATTATCTAATAACTGTTTCTTTGACTCAATGAATCGAACTGGGCAAAAGTGACAACCTCCGTAGATACTATTAATAAGCATATTCCCAAAGTGAGATCTTGTTCGAGACTATGTTTCTTTGATTTGGAATACGAACCTCATGAATTTAGCACGACCAAAGTCAAAAGTTTGGTTCTCTTTCTATTTGGTTCACAGAAAGGGCATCACTTCAGCGATAGGACATCGTTAGGGGAGTGTATGAGTACGGGAAATCGAAGGAACTCTCATGTTTGACACAGCGCTGGCCTAGAGTATCAAAAACAACCTATGATATGTTACTAATTTATGAGCCTTTTACGTTGATGTTGGCTCTCTTTTTGACCGGCGATATTACTGCGTTGCTGAAGTACGGTTCACTTTGGGCGTTTACACTTGTCGTCGAGTAGCAGGTGGACTACTCAAGAATCGAATGAGCACTAACTGAATCTCTGTCGAGGGATAAGATGATTGCCCTGTTTTTCCGTCTCATCTATAGGAGTTACTCAGCGTTCATCTCGTCAGTCAGGAGACAACCAATAGCTTGCAGAGATAACTGTAAAGAGCAGTAAGCCTATTTTAGATAACCGACCCGTATTTGACCTTGGTTTGCATTTATGACAGACAAGGCTGTAAGACTGATACTACGCTCCGCACAGATTGTTGTTATAATGTATTAACCTTACCATACAACAGGACATTCTGCTCAACTCTGCCTTACAATGTTTAGCATAATCTCAATTTCACTGTGACTTAAACCTCTATCTCAAAGTTATGACTGTCTCAAGTTGAGTTATTCGAAGAGACCCATTACGGGCTAAACAACTCACCATTCTAATATATGTCAGCTCCGGACAATTTTCCAGCTGAGTCTGTCTGGGGGACGGAATCTCAGTAGAACTGGGTTAAGGTAAACAGATGCTGTGACTATGATGCTGCTAGTTGTTTTGGTTATAGACTTTACTGACAACACAGTCCGTCCTCTAGACGATTCCACAGACTTCGTTTGTTTTCAACCAATTGTTATCGTGAGTTCTTTGTGCGGAGTAACCCAGATATAATGAAGTGATTGGTGCCAGATCAAATGAGTGTTCTATTCTTGTCTGATGAACAACTCTCGAGCATACGACTCTACCTGTAGCATATTCATTCCCAACTTCGCATTCACCGTCTCCTCCTTACCCCACCAAACTCCCTTTCTCGCAAAAACAAGTCTATATCTCTTAATCCCATCCTCTGTATCCTTGCTTAACACTTCCTCTAGACATGGGATAGTCCACTCCTCTCTCTCGACTTCTTTTCCAGACACCTTCTCAACAATACCCGCCAAATCTCCGTAACTTACAGTATCGCCGGCAATATATAGTACCCGATCCTCTGCTTCCACATCTCCTGCGATGATCTTTGCCAGCACACGTCCGATATCATGGACATCGGTGACAGTAACTTTGTGCTGCCAACTCCCCAGGCACCGCACCTTTAACTTGCCGTCTTTTTCTTGACTTTCGTCTATCAATTCCCAGACTGGGTCGAATAGAAATGACATGAATATTCCAGTTGATACAATTGTCCACTTGACGTTGCTATCTTCAGCTTCCTGCCGTAAAATATTGCGGACGGCGACTTGTTCGCCGAAGAGTGGCATGAGGCCTTGACCATCGCCAGTGATGTCGTAGTCTACGCCCCACTGCCAGGGAAAAAACCACAACTTGCATTCGTTACGGGAGAACTTGAGTTTCCCAGCGAGCAGGGCTTCTTTGGCGAGTTTAGTTACGGTTCCAGGGGGCTGGCCAAAGCCGGTGGCGCTGATAAGAATATCATAGTGGGAGAAAGTTTCTGCTAGGTGGCCTGATGCAGCGGTCGTGTCGAGTTGGGTTAGATCAACGTTGACGCACTTAAAGTGGGCATATTTGGTGGGGTTGCGGACGCCGATTGTGATGTGGATGTTCGAGAGGGCGGTGAGGGAGTAGAGGAAAGCGGTGCCGAGTTCGCCGGCGCCAAGGAGGAGGATCTTTGTCGACGTCGGAGTTGATGACATTACGTAAGGTGTAGGATACTAGGACAATCTTTGAGAAACAAGTCTGAGTGGATCGTCTGACTTCAATTTGGGGATTAGAAGTCCTGGCAAGACACTGAACACTGATTTTGTCTAGGGGTTCACCTTCAAGTGAGAAACAAATTCATGAGGGCCTTCAGAGTACAGCTATATGAAGCTGCTTTTATACTCGTGTTGAAAACCTACCGCCGTCCATAGCAAGGTCGAGTAGATGTCAGTACTGGAGTTAAGACAATGTAAGGCGGATCAAGGTTGTCACCGAGCGATGCGGGGGTTCAAGCTTTCCCTTGAGCGACATGTCTCTGCAATATGTTGTCAACGCGCGGCAATCAGTAGGTATCATAGAGTTTGGTCTATCATTACCACAAGAAACAGTCTCCATTACGGACATGTAGTGATACTGGCTCGTATGATAGTCACAAGCTCCCTTGAAGTTCGGAAAGTTGTCAGTCTCCACTATACTGACAAAACACTCTCAATGTTTCGCAGATAAGAACTATGGAGTTAGGAAATAAGCGAACCGCTGTGCCACCCGACGTGACTTTGACATCGCGTGGTATTCATCGACACACATGGTCGGAGATGGGAACATGCATTGCCATGGATCTGGGAACCTAAATCTTTTTCGTTTGACGTACTTCAATCCTTTTGGTAAAATGGTACGGTGTCGCCGAAGATCCCAGAAGGATACTGCATGTATGCGTTGACCTCACTAGATGCTAGCTGAGCATTCCTTCAACTGTGTGTATGACTATTCTTCTTTCCTTTGAATCGAATGATCATGTATTTTCCGTAATCCCAGTCTGCAAAGTGCAGCCTTCGCCAAATGGCCATAGGGCTCTGGCACGGTCTTCACTACCCCCAGACTCCTTAATGCTTTCTACCCACTGGCCAAATAACTTTGTGTTCTCCACTTTTGTTGCAACCCACTTGTTGGCAGGGACCCATCCATCCGACTCTACATCCAGCGCGCGCTTGAGGAACAACTTCAGTTGCTGGACAGTTTCAAAATCTTCATACTGCTTCGCGTGCTCGGCGAGCTCCTCTGACGTTGGTTGGTACGGACAAAGACCGGGGAGGCCAAGCGCAGTCCAGTGTTGTGAGAGATCGATTAGCTCCTGCCGCAAGGCTGTCGCGCTAATCCTCCAGGACACATCACAGTATCGAATAGACCTCAGCAGCGTTGGATCCATGGCCCTTGCATCGTGGAGTTTTCGCATGTAGCCTAGTAGCACGACCTCGAAAGTTTTCCGGCACGTTAAGACGTCTTTCTCATGTCTTTTCCTTGCTGCCTCTTCTTCTGGAGTCTCCGCCGTGGTTGCCTTGGAAGCCTTGGAAGGTTCCGCATCTGACGGCCCACCCTCCAACGACATCAGGTTTCCAAGGATTGGGATGTCGGCAGTAGGATCTTCAACTAGATCAGGCGTATCATTTGCGTAGACGAATGCTGGTTCGATGCTAGTAGATTGCCAGTCGATGATTGCGGTAATACAAGAAGGGTCTTCCTCCGAGACATAAATGTTTCTTTTGTGAATGTCAGGGTGAAGCAATGTTGGATCGGCCACTTTTTCGATGATTGAGCTCCGAGTCAACTCCTGAATAACTCTGTTGGTAACGTCCAGTAGACGGAGATGCTCCTTGACAGAGCCGTGGTATGAGAGTCTTGCCTGTGGGTCAACCTTTGGAATGCGTGAAAAGCCAGCGTCAATCAGGCCAGAGCAATACGACTGGAGGTCGGACCCTAATGATAAGTAGTCAGCATCTTCCTAGTACAGTCTTATACGGGTGAATAGATACGGAATAACTTACATGGCCCTCTGTTCGGAGACCTTTCCTCATAGAACCTAGCCTCGCCGGCATTACAGTTCCAGTATTGCGTACCACAGTGAGGGCCAATGCAGAAACCTTCGACAAAGTCGGACTTCAACTTCGGATCGATCGGTGCGTCAGCAAAGTACAAACTTCCGTACACTGGAAATGAAAGCTTGGCCATCTCGGTCATCACGAAGGCTATATTCTTTACGCACAACATATGCTGATGAGGAGACATTGAAGACCACTTATCGTGCAGCTGAACTCCGAGAGCGTGTTCCATTATTATGTATTCGGTGCCAATAGAAGTTGCATCGTCGTTCCAGTCAAGAACTTTGGGAATAGGTATGTTAGTGAATGAGCGTACTAAAGATCGTAAGTTGTGAATTCAGCATTTGCGCGTGCTTTCCTCCATACCATAAGCCATTGTCGCCACTTCGGAGTTCGTGGTCAATCTTCGCGGGCCAGCAATATGATACGGGACTCTAGCGACAACGCGAGCTCCATTGTCTAAACACAAAAGAAAGGCTCTGTTGAAGCCTCCCTCTTTCTTTTCGTATCGAACCACGTTTGTCGCGCCAGTGCAAACGTTCACGGCCTTTGCGCAGAGCGCAGCAAAGTCGAACTCCACGTGACGCGCCTCGCGATGTAACTTGTCATGATTTAGCCAGCGCCCAGTAGTATAGAGATATGGATTCGCCGCTGTAAACATAGAAGTCAGCTCGGTTTCCAGTTGGGATCAGATTGTCCTTACAATGTTGGAGTTGTTCGTTCGTTCCCGTCGAGGCAGTTGTGTAGAGGGCTCTGCTTGTAGTTGCAGCAAGCTCGAGTAGCGTGAAGTTGCTCACGCGTGTAGATCGAAATAGCTGTCGGAGCTGCCCTAACATGATAGCAGAAGGGAAAAAGCAAAAAAGGGCCAGAAAGTCGAGAGTGGATGTGGACGTGGACGGTTGGTAGTGAAGAAGGCCAGTCTTTGGGCGTGGATGCAAACGTCCGCCTCTCTACCCTCACCAAACTCCGAATATCTAACAAGACATTGATGTCGAGTTCTGACTGACTGCGATTCACTTTGCACTCGAAATCTTTGTTCACACTACAGCTAAGATCAGCACACCCTCACCACTTCCATCCATACCCCCAAGTGGTACAACGCCGACCTTCTATAAGCCCCCTCCCATTCATCGTCTTCCGCTTTAGCCCAACACGATAGAGTTGGTTCGTCCTATCGTGCTAAAAAGAACAGCGTTAGCTCCTCCAGTGGTAGAGATGAGGTAGGAGCATCTGGTTCACGTGACCGAAAGCAAAGCGAAACATCCAATCACAACGACCAGACAACACATTCGTCGACTCTTGAGTTGCAAAAAGATCGTCAAAAACATACAACAGCGGGGATTCGCCAGTGGTCACCCACCTGACTACTAGTCCGCCGGTAGACTGCTTGAGTACAGCTGAGCGGACGGGAAGCTCTATATTCAGTCTCCTATGGTCGTATGTGAAAGGTCTGTGCGTTTTGGCAGTAACTATTTGTAATTTTTGATCCTAGGAAGGCTGACCATTAGCAGGAACAATGAATAGCTTCCGGGCTGGCTTCGATGTCCACGGCCAGAGATTGGTGGTTGCATGGTATAGTGGAGTGCCCCGCCCCAAAGGCCGGTGGCACATTGCTCTGGTGAGCTTGAGTCAGCAGCTGAGCTTCAGTCGAGTATGACTGAACTAGATCTTGGCCTCAGGCTTACCACCAACCTTGCTCAATAGCGAGGCGTGCAAACTTCCAACGTCTAGTAAGTTGTTAAAGTAACAGTTTCGTATGAAACTGCTGTTCCTAATCGTCTTCGTGCCGTCTAACATGTGAACGGGATGATATCATCACCTCCAAGCGGTGGGTGAACTGCCAGCAAGTAATGCGTCAAGTAACGATTACCTTCCTGACAAGAGGGTCAGGCTGTTGGTCTAGATTCGGCTCTTCGGACCTATATCCCCATATTTTTACCAATCAGGATCCCCTGTGCCCACTGCGTGTCTGTAGTTTAGCTTGCACAATGTTGGGGTCAGTCGAGACCACATAGGAGATGATGCTCTAGAATCGCGTCAGCGATGATTGCTGTTGTTATATGTACTGCAACAAATATATACAAACCCTGTCGACCGTCTACATAACACGGATGTCTATCCCAATAACACCTCTTTGCCCTCAATGATCTGTCTTTTCCCTTATTTGTTGTGCCAAAGCAATGTCCGCAGCGAATCCCACTCGTCAGACTGTACATAACTGGCTCTCTGTTAGCAACGTCCCTAGCTTCCAAGATACACAACCTCCCCCAATCCCTCGATAGGGCAAAAGAACGGAGTACCCACATATAGTTCATACTACTCCTCAAGCTGCTTTGCACCGCCTCCGGATGCCACCTGAAAATATACATAACCATGGCCCAACTCAGACTCGCAAAAACTGGCCACCCATTTCTGACCACCTCTCTCCTGAACTCCCCATCACCCACAAGCCCCCACCCCCCACTGTGTTTCCCTGTAGGTACGCTCTTCGGTTGCACAGCGAGCTTCGCAAGCGCGAGGCATACGCGTGCGAACACGTAGATGACGATTTGCTGCGACACGGAGTTGTGTATGGTGCGCCCGAAAACCGTGTAGCCGCCGAGCAGGCCCGCGAGGAAGGAATCGTAGTGGCGTTCTTTGCCTGTGGGAGATGTGTGGCGCAGGAAGAGCATGGAGGATTTGTAGGTTAGGGCGAAGAGGCCGAGGTTGCGGGCGTGTTGGCGCGTGGCTTTGTAGACGAGGGAGCATTTCGAGCGGAGGCTAGGTGGGTGAGTTACTGGGTATGAGGTTCGAGATGAGGTGGAGGACATACGTTCCGGAGCGGAAGAGGACGATCATACTGGTTCTTGAGTTAGCGAAAGGTGTTCGAGGGGAGAGGGAGGAGAGGGTGAACGTACACAAGCGCGTGTGGGAAGCGCACTTTGGCGCCATATACGACGCCATTCCGTACGCCTTTCACCAGCGTGAGGATGTCGTGGTACTTTGGATTCAGAATTATCTTCTCGAGCGCAGACTGTTGGACGTCAGGACAACATCTCAATCGATTCGTGGAGCTTTCAGCGTACTTCGAGTGCATGTAACCGGTCCATAGCTTCAATGTGCCTTTCCCTTGCTCGCGATTCAGGCCTCGACTTGCGCGACTATGACAAATGCCGGTCTCTCGCGAAAGGAAACAAATGAAAAGTATAAAAGTAAAGATGAATGAAAGAGTGAAATCACTGACGAGGCGCGGATCACAGACCTGACACGGAGGATGAGAGACGACAGAGAGCGCGAGAGAGTTGCCGGCTACGAACGCCTCGGCACGCGTCACGTTTGCCGGCATTTCTTCCCCACGTTTAGGATGCGCTAGTCGCTTATGGATGCTAGTCGATCGATCCGCATGTGAAGGCGGCTGACTTAGATCTGCTCACATGCCTTGTGACATTGTGATGCATTGCGATGTGCTCTGGTACAGGCAAATATTGCATTGATGAGACTTTTTGGTATTTTTATAGTTGGTTCATGCTTTTCTATTATACTCCTGTTTGTCGCCTCATCCTCCTAGATTTCGACTGAATCGACAGATGTTCTCATATGAACAAAGTCCGACAGGGATTTATTGCGGTCATCGCTCAGGCCAACGCTTCTTCAACTCCTCATAAACCGTGAAGATAAAGGCAGAACTGGGTATCGCCCTGGCAACCGTGATCCCGCATCCCCGATACATGCCCTTCAGCCCATGCTGCTTCCAGAGCGCTGTTCCAACAGCGCTGAATGTTGACCTCCCACCAGTCAGCTGCTTGACGTCTTCAGTCTGCATCCTCGACTTGACTGTATCTGCAGGGTAAAACATGAAGTTGTAGGCTGCGCCAGCCACAGAACCAGACACCATGCGCTGCCACACGGGTAGATCATCGTCTGATTTGTTTAGGTCTTTGAAAACCATCTTCATGCCTTCATAGCCACCGAACCATGCTGCGCCGCCTCCAGTTTCGCGTATGAACGTTCCAAACTGCCCATGCCAGTAGCCTGCGAGGCCCTGGTGACGGTAGATTGAGGTGATAACGCCTAAGATGCCTGGTCGAGCAGCCGCTCCGCTCGAAGTCTCCATAGGGACTTGCATCTTGCACTTTACAAGTTCAATTGGTGTAAGGAAGAGTGATGTTATGGCTCCAGCGACCATTCCGCATCCAAGCATCCCGGAATAAGGCAGGTCTCTTTCGGGATGTCTCTTCAACTCAGGATAGAACCCAGATGCTTTGAGGGCATCTCCAGCAAGACGGTACTACAACTCGAGTCAGTTTTGTAGAGCCTCAGTAGCCGGTTTGTGAGACTCACGCTGAAGAACAGAGCGCTTGTTTCCACTGCTGCCCCCACCAAAGGCGCACTGATGCCCCTGTATATTCCAATGAACCCATCGTTTTGAAGTGACTTTTTGAAGCAGTCCAATGGTCCTGTATACCGCAGTGGTACGTTGTCTGGTTGCGACTGTAGACGAACCTTGACTGTGTCGAAAGGGTACTCGATGTACTTTCCGACAACCCCAGCCATAGATCCACAGACAACATCTTTCAGAGCCTCCTCGCTGTGGCTTGCTGCCTGCTCAGTTCGTGTGTCTGCCGCATCGAGTGGATTAGCCAGCCCGGCTCTTCCCTCCACCACCAACACCGGACTCTTGTGTGCTTCCATGGACCCGCTGGTATACGTTGAGGCGAATATAGGCGTGTGTACAAGATACTATCGTCAGGAATGTGTCAAGAAACACTGGTCATGGTACTATGACCGAAGCGTGAAGAGTCGAGAGCGGTGAGGAGGGACGAGTCGGCTACTCAGGGCTTCAGTCTCATGGAACAAGGAGCAAAACAGGATGATTTTTAAGTTTGTATGTATGGGGAAGGGGTCCGGAAGCTTATATATGCAGGCCGCCGTAGGGTGGTATCTGCAACGGGGTGTTGGTGAATGCGCCAACCAAGTCGGTGCCCAATGTTGCGCAATAAATGCAGAGTTTTTCTAGCCGGCGTAGACCCTGGCGGGCCCCGAGATAGATGTTACCAAAGATCGAAAGACAAATAGCCTCTGCAGGCCTGCAAAATAACATCAAGGAGCACAAAGGGGCGAGAAAATAGCTGATCGCAGGATTTCAATAAAATAATCTTATCAGATCGATTCCATCATCTAGCGCAGCATCATCGGCTCATCTTTTCTTTTCCCCGACGAGTTTGAGAACTCCAGCCAACGCGCATCCGATCGCCCCACACAGCAACACGAACATGTCGGAAGCAATAGAGACCCAGGCGCCCACAGCGTCGGCAGCAAGCGCCGTAAAGGGCATGAAAAAGAACGGTATGTCGCTACATGAGGAATTTCCGCAATTTCAACATCTGATGCATCTACAGGCAAGCAATGGCACGACAACAAGAGCGCCTTCCGGCCTCGCGCAAATCAGTCTTCTTTTGAAAAACGTACAGCAGAACGGACAGCGCTCATGGCTGTCAAGGCCAAGGAGAAAGAATTGAAGGATGTGAAGGTGGCTGTGAAACAGGTATGCGCAAGCAGGTTATTGCGATATATCTATAGCTGACGCTGGGACAGGCTCAAGTAGACCGCATCCGCACGAAGCGCGCAGCGAAGGAGGAGCGAGAGCGGTTCGCAAAGATGGAGGAGAAGATGCACAAGAAGCGCGTCGAGCGCCTGAAGAGGAGAGAGAAGCGAAACAAGATGTTGAAGTCTTGAGCAATATCTGTTGTGCGCGAACAGGTTTTATGAGGGCAATTAGGATTCATTCCTAGAACTGGGATCGCCATTTCGGGAAGAGGTCATGCGGTTGGAATGGCTACCGTGCGCAGGACAAACACCCGATCATTCACATAGGTACGACCTGAAGATTCTAGACTTAAGGTGGCAGACGGCGTTCAGTTCGGGTTGAGGGCGACAGGCGTTGAGAGAACTTTTGCATCTATGCAGCATCAAGATACCACAACCTACGCATATCAAGCAGCAATAGCAAGTTTGCTGCTGTTCTGTTGTCCTGTTCTCACTATTATAAGATCCTTTCTCGTGCATGGTTCTTGTGTGCGCGAGAACGTCGTGAAACGAGACCAATACGCAATAACAGCAGCAGCGTTAGTCGCAAAGAAGATCCGTCAAAAGAGAACCTTTGAGAGCTGTGTGAATGATCCCGCTTTCACATGCTGAAACGAGACAGTGTTCCCACGTCAGATTACCTAGCCACACTAATGACGCACGGCACCCCCGAGACAAGCTCCGCAACTCGCCCCTGCACGTAGGCCTCCACCCAGCCTCAAGCATGATGCTATGGAGTCGCTCCATCGCCATACAGGGCAATACCCGGCCCTTCGTCCAAATGTTTACGAAACCCGCCTGAGCTCCGACGCGCAAACCCCTGAGAAGAAGCACAAGTCCAAAACACATCGCCATCGTCACCACGACAGCCATCACCGCCATGGCAGCAGACACCGTGACCGCGCAAAGGATGTGCTACAGCCACCGACAAGTTTTGGAGATTTGCTAAATAAGGCGAGGGGCAGCAAGGAGCCGTCGCCAACCCACAGTCGGAAGGGGAGCATTGGAAACAGAGACGAGAACGGAAACGACAACGGGAAGGATGGGGATGCGATTTCGTCACGGCGACCAGTTCGACTGGAAGATGTGGAGCGAGAAGGGAGGAGGGTAGAAGCCCGGGAACGGTATGTCCAATGTCCACATCATGCTGCGTACCTATCGCCATCATGTCGACGCGTGGCTTGACAAGAAGAGGATATTCTAACATGTACTACAGATCCCTCCGCACCGCTCTGCAGTCTCTCTCCGATAAGTCCCTCAAAACCTCTCGCCGTCTCGATGACACGTACTACTCCATTCTCGAGAAGGTATCCGCACTTCGCCAGACGATTGGCATGATGCAGGAACTATCCGGCCTGACGAGGGAACTACACACAAACTTCGAGACAGATGCGGAGGAGCTCGTGGAGGAAGTCAAGGGGCAATATGATGGCTTCGACAAGTTCGAGGTGCAGCAGGAGCAGGTTACCGCCCTGGAGGAGCGCATCCGGGCTGGCAGGGAGAAGGCTGATGCGCTGACAAGGAGGCTTGCTGATGCGAAGGAAAAGGTGGATAAGAGGGCAGAGGCAGAGGCACAGTGGGAGGCTCGAACGTCGCGTAAGTCATACCAATACTCTATTGGTAGAGATTAAAGCTAACACTATCCAAAGGACACCTGCACATTTTCTGGGGTATACTAGCCTCAATCACCGCCTTCCTAGTCCTTTTGATGCTCTTCCACCATCTAAAACCCAACTATGGCTCGGAAGAGCCAGATACGACACTCGATTTCGCCACGAGGGCCAAGCTCTTGAAGGCACCAATTCCAGACATGGCGAAGGAAGACATTATTGGATTGGCGACGAGTACGCCAGATCTGAAGCTGGAGACACCGTTTGCTGCACCTGCTACTGCGTTGGAGGAAGATGTACGGTTGCGTGTGTTTGACGAGCTATGATGCTCCTGCTTTGAGTTTACAGATACCCAACATCTTAGTTCTACATGAATTGCCTTAATCGACTGATGTCATTTTCTTTGTATGAGCAATTCTTCGCATGTGCATCGGCCAATGAATGCAACATGCAGTGGCAACTTGGAAGGTGACAACTCAGATCGAATTGCGAAGTGAAGCGTCCAATTAATCAGGGTAACAGGGATGGTTGGAAATCGCCTGCAAGGCTTTCTTCGCAACAAGACACCGCCGGTCAGCTTCATCAGGATGGTCCAGATGATTCTTCCCGGTTAACGACTCTCCCAATGCAGAAATGTTTTGCGAACCAAACACCAAAGGAGGCTGTCTTACGCTGATCATCCGTCATAGGGCTGAATGAATGATGTGCACCCACGCTCCCGGTGAACGTCTCGCTCCACGCGAGATACGACGATCTGTAATCTTGAGCGTTGTTTATCCAACAGTTACATCAGTTTAAGCCAACGTCACGGTAACACTGGACCGACAACGACGTTGCAACGCTGCGACGCGCTGTTAGCAGAAGGTATAATGTGGGGTGCGGAGTATTTTGCCCTGCGTCGCCATGGGCTGAAGATTGTCCAGTAGAATTCCAGCAAACGATGATGAATAACGATGGATTGCTTTTCTGGAGAACGACGTGTCTCAGCTCCTAGACATCACTTGACACCGCGTGTGCTGGGGCGTCATTGGTGACGTGCGGTGACTCCTCTTTCATGTAGACATAAAATCGTGAAGAGTTGTCCTAGGTGCCTGCTTACACCTCAGTCGGTTTGCAGGCCATTGATCGCAACCCAATAACTGACTTGATTTCGTGTTCTACTCGTACAGGTATGACAGCGTTACTTTCCTATTATACAAACTGTACTACGTCATGTTGTTGATTGACTGCTAGGAAGTATATTTTGGGCGTATGGCTACAGTGCTAACAATTGGTCAGCAGTATTTCCTCTCCCCAACACTTGCAGCCATTACAATGGATCAGTATCACGAAGATAACAACCTTGCGTATGAGCAGCCGGAAGCAGTTCCGTCGCAGAGACCGCCGCAGTTCAACGAAAGGAATTGTGGGTGCCGCTGCGGTCATAGGTGTGGTGGTCCATGTGAGGAAGACGATGATGGAAGAAGAGGAAGGAGAGGAGAGAGAGCCGGTACAGAAGCAAGGGGAGTAAGAGAAGGAGAAAGCGACAGTGAAACGTTGGTAGACTCGGATTCTGATGTTGAGGGGAACCCAGAGTATCGTGGAGATGGAAATGACATCCAAATGATTCGTCCAGTGCACTCGTCAGGTTCGTCACCACTTGCGAGGGTGCACTCCAGGTCCACTCTGCCTATCGTTGGCTCCCATATCGTACGAATTAGACTACATGCAGCCAGTCGGGCGCAGTCCTCTGCTAGATCACAATCTTCGTATGGCCTCTATGATACGTCAGGAAGTATGGAACCCGAGCCGTATGGCACTGAAAGCCACAGCCCTGCTGTCTCTCGAGTTGGGAGTGTTCATGTGATATCGCCAGGTCCGGACTTCGAAAGATTCGGAATGGATGAGATTGAACTGGTATACCATTTCCTGATCGAACCTCTTCGACTGAGTCCACAATATCAGGACTGCCGTGGCAAAATGGCATCCCATCTGGTTATTCGAGATGACATCTCGTTCATGGACGATGATTGAGAGGCGAACAGGAGTCCAAACGAGCAGCAGTCTGATTCAGCTAAGTTGTGGCGTTTTCAAAATGAATTTTGTCGATGTTTGTTAGATCGTCTGTACTGGGCAGAGTCTCGCAGACATTAGGGCTTGTATTGTTGGCTCGAAGATGGACTTTTGAATTTCGTTGTCAGACCACTCCGAAAAAGCCCCCTTGGTAACATTTGAGCGCATGTACAGTCAAGAAAATCAGAAAGAGTTCGACGGCATATTGCTGTTCGATCAATGTTCTGCAACAACAAACATCACAAGTGCGCGATCCGTTCACCCGGTTTCAGCCCAAAGTAATAAACTTATGCTCTTCACATGCAAGATGCCAGGATGTTGAGTATGCGCTGATTGCGAACAATGTCGACGGCAAGTGTTGGTTGCATCTCGTTGATGCACTGGCGAATCGCGATGAAGCTAGCTTCGCTGTAGGGAGAAACCGGAAGGCGGACAGATGGAGCCAGGTCTCGCGATGCGATTCCTCCATATGGCAGCTGCGATCTCATTGTTTTTTTCTTGGTACGATGCACGCAAGCATGCGCACGTCTCCAATCTATCGGAAAATAGTTGTGTGCAGATGCGCACTAAGGGAATAATTCCTAACCGTTATGCTATCGTGGATCTTTAGCCAAAATAGAAGGTCGGGGTCGTGCCCGTCAGGTTCCGAGGCTGACTCGCATGAAGGAGCCTCGTGCTGGCACCTGAGCAGAGCATTGCGCGTCAGGGGTGGGCGACCAGGTGCAGATGAGAGAACCTGTCCAACTTGTGGCCGTGGCATTGTGTAGGTCGAGAGCAGCGTGTGAACCAAACACAGGTGTTGAGTGGTGTTGAAGAGCATTACGTGTGAAAAGGGTGTGCATGTCGTGCCGTTGACAAGCATCGAAGCGAGGGCAGATCCCCCAAGATTCACCTCTCCAACTTACTGTCCGCCATGGACCCACAAAGCCCTCTCTCCGTCTCCGCTGCGCGATACTGAACGAACCGGATCGCTAGCTGCTGCAATAGCTACAGTCCGGTTGCTCGTACTTCGTAGTGCTCGGGCTCCGCTTGGGCTTTCTTTGTCTACCGGATCGCGGCTTATCAGACGGCTGGTTGATTGCCTGGATGTCCTCTGTCTTAATCCCACCCCTTTTGTTGCTGCATTACTTGCATCCGCTGAACCAGCCGCACTGGGCATGCTTTGACAGGCCAATCTCGTTATCCTGGCCTCACTGGGTCTCTCCCTGAACCAGACGCCGTGCGCCACGGCCGGGAAATGATCGGAGCGTGTGTCCTTCCTTGTCTCAACAGTAATCATCAAATCGCTCAGCCCATATACTCGAAGCATCTCCACCATCACCAGAGATCCTAGCCTCAAAAAAACTTTTTTGGACTGCGTAACGGCACCATCAGTCCACAAGATATCCACAGGCCCGTTATACTCACGAGAGCGCGATCCACATCGGCCTACGTCATCTCAAGCTCCGCGCAAACTTCACCACTCGACACCGCTCGAATTCACATGCTTCCCGAAAGCATTTCGTTCAAAGCCTTTCCGCAGTTCGATAAACCACTAGCTGTGTGGGATGTAAATGACGTGGCATGGTGAGCATTGATCAGGAGATGTGCTGTTGATGCGCGAACGCGTTTTAACACTCTGTCAGCACCTACCATCCCTGAACCCTGAACCACAAGAAGCCATCTTAACCATTCGTATCACAAGCCAACATATATCCCATCCCACTCGCTACGAGGCGTTATATCGCGTAGGAGCAACTCGCTGCACGGTCACGAACAGCAGATACCGCAAGCGGTTTGATTTACCTTAAACCGTCCTCAAAGCAACATCCACCTCTTGTCCACATACCTGTTGCGTGTTACCACATGCTCCCGACAAATTCCGAGCCCTTCCTCTCCACATCTGAGTGTGCATCCACGATTGGTAGCACTAGATACGCCAGTCGCATCAAAGCGTAAATACAAGGGAACTCATAAAGGAGCCGTATCTTTGAGAAGTCAGAGGAGACTCCAAGATGGCGTCAGTAGCACCCCCGAGGCGGTTCAGAGTCGAGCCTATCGAAACCTCAGCTAGATCGTCCAAGGAACAATATCAGACACAACAACCAGAAAAATCGGAGCCAGCACGAAAGTTCGCACCGGAGCCGATCGAGACCACCAGCAGAACCAGTCGTAGGTTTGCGCCTGAACCCATCGAAACAACGCAGAAGACAAATCGCCGATTTGCCCCTGAGCCGGTAGAAACTACGACAAGAAGCAGTCGGCAGAAGTTCTGCAAGGAATGGGAAGATCAAATCTCTCCAAGGAGGCTCAAACCTGAGCCAGTGGAGACGATGTCATATAGCAGTCGTAGATCTAAGGATGCACGGATACAGCCTACTAGAAGGTTTATGCCTCAGCTTGTTGAGACTGCTCAACGCTCCCGTAGGACAGGTGACGCCGTACCAACGATATCTACTTCTGATAAGACAGAGGCAACTCCTAATGGCTGCGTCAGCGCTCGGGAATCACGGATACTAGGTATCTTACCAACAGTACCACATAACACGCCAACTCTTGATCTGTCTTGCAATCCTCTTTTCTTGGAGATTCAGCGCGCTGCGTCACCCTTGACAAGAAGGCGGTCATATTTCAGCTCATCCCAGCACTCCTTCCGGGTTCCTGACCTAGACCCCATCGAGTCCTCTGGTTCGGAAGCCTCTGGTCCACCCTCACCAACCACGTCCCCATCTGCTAAGTGTGATAACTCGTTCCGATTCAAGGGCATCACACCAAGACAGGAAAGTGAAGACGAAAGAGCTTCCGGTCACCTTCTTGAGCTGGCCGCGAAAGCTGCCGAACGACAGTTGCGAGAACAAGCAATGGCCGCTTTCCCCAACAACGACTATCACGAACGCATCGATCACTACATAGATCGTGATTCTGAAGAGCCAATTCCTTACCCCGATGAGGCCATGAGTAGACGCGAGTCATCCTTCAGTGAAACGAATTGGGAGCTGGAAGCAATGCGAAAATATCAAGAGAAGCAGAAGGAAGACAAGGAGAAGCAGGCGAGGCAGGAATCTCTTTCAAAAGAACACTCGATGCAGACAAAAACAGCTTCTAAGCTTGCTGGAAAGCCAGTGGGATTGTGGGCAGCTAAGAAGATCGCGGGTGAAAAGATGAATCCTGAAATGGAAAGAATGCGTAAAGGAGCGCGTCCACCAATGTTGGGAAAGAACATCAAGTTCCCACGGTGTTCCTCGCCTGAACCATCGCGCTTTGATCCCACTCAGGGTTGCGATATCGTCCGGACGACGATGTGCTATTTATCAGAGCAATCCAGAGCCGCCGAAGAGAAGGGAGAAAGTCTCTGGTGCGGTAAGGGCAATGGAAAGCAGACAAGCAAGACACCCTCTCTATGGTCCAGCGGGAGTAGAACTTCCAGCACCCACGGATTGTGGGGAGGGTTTTGCTTGAATGGAGGAGACAAGTCTCCTCGAGGGCCTACTGGTATCCTCACCCCATCCCACGAAAAAGCAAATCCATTCTCGCCTTGTCCAACGCCTGCCATGAGTCTGCTGCCGCCTACACCTCCTACCTCCGCAGCAGATTTCTCCAGCATTGATGAAAAGCTCGCCATTGAGCAAACTATTATTGAAGATTTCGGAGACGATTTCGTCACCCAGGTATACAATTACCTGTCGCTGGGGTACCCATCGATGGCGCGTCCTTTCGATGAAGAGCTGTCAAAAATCTCAAAAATACCTGTATCTGAGCTAAGGCAAGATGATCACCTTGCAGCATCTAGGGGTTACATTCGCTTGGGCAAAGACGGCAATCTCGCGGATTCGGAGATAACCGAGGAGACTTGCGTGCGGTGGCGAGCACTACGTCTTTACATCCAGGAGTGGGGGAGACAGCATCCTGGTATGGCGGACGAGGAGCAGGGCCGCGGAACCGCTGTCAGGAAGGGAAGCTGGGCTGTCTGAGTGGTCTTTGCTTATGTCGTTGTGGATTTTGCATGTTTCTATCGATTTAGCGTGTACATCTTTTGAGATCTTGGTTCTAGATCTTTTGTAATTTTCCAACATTCGGCGTACTCGTATATTTTCTTACCTTCCGAAATTGTCGGACATGGCGTTCAATAGGGGACAGGGTCACATGGCATACTCGGTGAGGGATTTATGTTCGCACTTTAGTCGCCGAAGATAGACTTTTCCTATTATATTCAAAGTGGCCACTTCAAGTCAGTCCTTAGAGCAGGACGAACTGCGCGTTTAGTCTTCACCAGAACGTTTTCTGTCTGCAAGGCGCGTACGCCCTTCAACGAATGTGCTAATTGGAGCTCGTTCTCATAGATCTGTCTACATGTTATATGCACTGACTGTGTTTATATCGAAGACGCATGGAATCAACATATAAGCCATGGTGTAGCAGCATCGGACTGAAGCGCTTCCCCCTGTCGAGACCGCCACCATCTTATGCCGCGCCGCTTCCGCGCCGCCTCACGACAAGGTTATCGTTAAGGAGTGACATCATACGATTATCACACGCGAATAACGCTTATGTGAGCTCTTACAGTTTCCTAAACTCAAAATAGAATGTCTACAGGCGCTCCAGTCTTTAGGAAACTACAACGAGTAGCAATACGATAGAGTTGCATTGTTGACAGGGTTTTCAGGGCTGCTGCCTGTTCGGTCTGCGACATCTATCTCGCATCCTTGGACTCTGTTACACCCCACGTTCGTAACCCACGAAAGTGACATCTCCATGGTTTTGTTAGACGTTTACGTCTACTTGCGTTTTCTTTAATATGTCCTTATCTGTCACGGCAAAATTGCGGCAACTAGCGTAGTAGCCAAGCACCGGGCGAACCTCCTTCAGGGTCTTGGGTGCAAGCCTGATAACAAAGTAAGAGTTGCTAGAAACCACCGCTCGTAACCTTGAGTTTCACACGGTCAGATTTCGTGCGCAGAAGGACATGATGTCGCGATGTTTCGACTTGAGATGCACCTACATCCTTCCCCGGCGATGCCCGTCTGCTGCCAGGTTCAGGGTTCCCGGGCATAAACTACTAGCAGCTTGATGGAGTTAGATGTATACTAGTCGTGCGGCAGGAGGCGTCCGGCTACGGCTACAAAGCTCCCGCGTTCGATAGACGCGTTGTAGTGGTCCCCCACATCAGCACGAGCGTCTTGATATCGATTCAAGGCACACCAATAGAGAGCAACTAGATATCGATCTCGATACACCTAGACTCCGCCTGCTTGTTCTACAGGCACTGGGGTTCAACTACCTTGCATGTGGCTGCCAAATCAGTGCGAATAGACGAGCTGCCTCTAGTCGTGGCACTCGATTTAGCAGCGTATCAGCAGTCAGGAGACTGATTGTCTACTCAAGACCGGGGGACATCCAGCTGATTTGGAACATACGACTCTTTGTTCATTTCTCGCCGCCAATCTCCATGGGATATATGTCTTGCCTCCGCTTTTGACGTACCTCGCCATTTGCACACTGCGTACGCATTATCGTACTCGACTCATTTTGGCATCTTTTTTGTAGTGTCCTCTGACCCTTTCAATCCATTTACAACCTGTAGCGACCTTCATCTCATGGCTTAAGCAACCATCTCTCTTCGAAACGTCCCCGCGTTTCCCGTAATCAGTGTATGGAGTTGAGTCGACAGTTATGCCTGGAGAAACATTCGGCACGTCGTTCCAACATGGCCTGGCTTTTGAGACATGGATACTCTATGGAATATCAATATTCCTAATTCTTCTCCGAACGTATGTCGTCTAGCTCTTTCGCTCTGTAACGCAAACGTAACCATTGAAATTAGCGTCGCACGATGGCGACGTGTTCGAAGTCCTTCCCAGTTTGCAGCAGATGACTGGGTCATGATAACGGCCGTTCCACTATTCTATACAGGATTAGTTGTCTGCCTGAACGCCACCGCATCTGGTGGTGGAAGCAATCTCTATCCACCAGAACAGTTGCCTGGGTTTACGCAGGAAGAGATCAACGATCGGATCGAAGGGTCTAAAATTGTTGTCGTCTCTGAGCAGGTATGTCGCAGGCATTAGCAGGTTCACTCTGATTCATCACTGACTTACCGCTCAGTGCATGCTCAATCTGATTTGGACGCTCAAAGCATGCATGCTTCTCATGCTTGCTCGCATGACAACAGGTACAATACATCTCAAGCTGATCCGAATTGTGGCAGTATATACCATCGTTGGGTGGGTTGCCGTCCAGATTACCTTTTTTGCCGCATGTCAACCCTTCAAAGGATATTGGGCCATGCCTCCACCAAACTCCCAATGTACTACATTGGAGCACTACGCATACGTTCAGGCTTCGTTCAACATCACCAGCGATCTCCTGATTATAGCCGTACCTCTTCCCATGGTCATGGCCCTGAAGCTTCCAATAAAACAAAAGATAGGACTGGGTCTTCTGTTCAGTATGGGCACCTTTGTGATCATCGCAGCTATCCTGACAAAGTACTATAATCTTTCCGACATATACTCCACGGTATACATGTTTTGGTATACAAGGGAAGCATCTGTCGCAATATGGGTTAGCAATCTTCCAGGTATCTGGCCACTTATGCGAGAACACATACGATTCTTGCGCGAGCGTACCGGATCATACGTTAATAGCAGCAATCGATTGCCTCAGTACGCGTTCGGTTCAAGTTACGGAAACACATCGAAAGGGCGGCGCAGTCACATACGAACGGGGAACTTCCAGAACATCCCCTCTGCTACCGATATCGAGATGGGTGCCACCGTTACAAGGCCAGGTGTGCGATCGCTACACTTTTCCGAGAAGCCCGGGAGCCATAGTGGCCGGATAAACGGCTTTGAAACTACAGTCTCAGAAGCATCGAGTAGGGTGAGTGTAGACAGCGATGAGAGGGCGTTGAACCAAGCCAGTTACTGGAAGAACATGCATGTATTGGAAGTACAAGTGGATACGAAGGTCGAGATCCAACGAGACAATTGGGATGGAGAGAAGATGGAAATAACCACGCATGTTGAAGGACCCGAGGGTGAGGCGAGACAGTCAAGATGATGCGATGGAGATAACGACAACATAGATATTTGTTCAATCTTTCGTATTCAAGCCTTTAGTGATAAGATTTAGCGTTGGTGTTTCAGGCTGTAGTCTCGTGACAAACGATTTGATCTCACCCACACGTCCAGAAGCTCTGACCTGCTGGATGTTCTTAGCCATCTTATCGGAAACATGAATGAGTACTTGGAGAATGGAAGTTATTTCTGTCATCCCAAATGCAGATTAGTGCATCTCGTGAACACGCGTGTCAGTGGCGAATGCGTCCCTGTTGAAGCTGCATCATCGAATACCCTTGTGCGCGCACACCTCAACAATCATGGCGCTCAACCCCCGCTCGTCTTCTAAGCATAACCAGATGATCACGCGCTTCATCAAACATCCCAAATTAACGAACTTTGACGGAGAGCAGAATCGTCCTATCAAGCGCCAGAAACTCGATGACGTAACAAAGAAACCCACGCCGCGCAAGACAGTCAACCATGAGACACTAGACAACGATGCAGAAGACGAAAGCCATAACATCGAGAAAGAAGAACATAGCCATGTAACAGATCTAGAGAGCGCACTGCCACCTATCGAGACGAGTGAAGAAGTCATCGAAGAATATGAGGCGTTCAAAGCATCGCAAGAGGACAATGCGGTAGGGGCAGAAGAGCGTTTGAACAAGCGGTCGTGGGTCAGAGGCAAGAGTTCTCTATACGTCGATGCGTTCAATCTAGCATTGGACACGGTGCTGGATGAGGAGAGCCATTTGTTTGACGAAGCTGAGACGGAAGTGTTCAGGTTGTGGAGGGAACTGGACTACGAAACACAGTTTTTGTGAGTACACGACCGCCAGAGATAATAGCCTGGAAGCTTTACTGATGGTTACGTCCATTAACAGGTATGTCCGCTTATTCCTCCGCAAGACGTCCGCCTGGCACCGCATCAAGAACCTTGGCTACCATAGCGACATATCAGATCTCGACGCTGCAGCTGAAATGCTACAACGCACATACGAGCTTCCAAAATCCTCTGTCGAATCCAGTTCATATCCTGGCGAGCTGGAACCGCCTGCAGGATCTACACTAGCAACATCATTCACATTTGCGGATAGATCGGAGGAGGAGATATCTACGTTAGAGGAAGCTTCCTCGCTATTGCGCCTTGACGAGCTCAAGGCTCTCGCAAAAGATGCGAAAGTGCAAGGGAAAAATAAGCGAGAGCTTCTAAAGGCATTGCGTCGGACGAGCCAGAAACAAGCGGGTCTTGGTTATGTGGGCTTAAAGCGATCGGATACAGATAGCTCAAGACGGTCTTCTGCTTCAGGCTTAGGTCGAGATACTCCGGAAATCGAGGTTGCAGGAGAACTCTCTGATGATGCCAATCGTGATGCGCATTTTACACGCAAAATCATGAACGAAACGGGTCCTTGTATACGACTCTCTTCACCTGCGTTGAAGCTCTTCGAGCGTGTTCATCTCGTGTTCTACCGCTCTACAGAATGGACTGAGAAGTCTCTCACGACAATTATACTTGCGAAGATTGCGCGGCGTAACTTTCCCGAGTTCATCGTTTCTCGATCCGCCAATATATTCGCCTCGCGTTCGCTACTCTTGGAGTACGAGGCTTCGATACGCACGCAGTACCGAATAGACAGCATCTTAGAATCTGCTGGGAGACCGACGGAGCAGGGTTTCCAGGAGATCATGGATGTCTTCGACGAAGTGTTCCCTCGCTGGCAGGTGCTTGCTGAGGAGGAGCAACAGAAAGAGGATAGCATCTACCAAAGTGGCGAAGGGTCATATCTGCGCCGCCTCTCGCCAGCCTGGGTCTATACGCGAATCATTCACAAAGCCTTGTATGTGCTAGGACGTCGAAAAGAGCACAAGCGCGAACATGAGCTTTTGATCAGTCTCTTGCGACAGCGACTCTTCCATCATTCTCGACGGGGAGCTTGGTACCAGCGCAGAGCTTTGCTTGAAGAGCATTATATGTCGACATTGACTGATATTGAAAAGCGAACCGAAGAGCAACACAAGAAGCATTGGAAACGTGTAGCTTTGCAAACTTGTGAAGACGGCCTGCAAGATAATCTCGTACATGTTATACACCATTATGATCTTCAGAAACGTATAACAAAGCTTGAGAAGTCCCTCAACATAGCGAAACGTGCACAGCACGACTTTACGCACGTACGCCTTACAAAGCCCATCGAAGTCGTTGTCGAGGGGACACGGATCGAGCGTAAGACTCCGCCAATATCCAGTCGGAACAGCTCCTCACATCCGAATTCTGGCAGACGCGGTGGGAAAACAAGATGGCTCGACCCTCGCGAAGATGGCGAGTGTTCCGTTGAAGCAATGTGCCTCTCGCATTACCGCAACGAAGGCTGGAAAGGTTACCACAGCGAAGGCGGTATTGTGCGCACTCTTTTTGCATACTTGTTCTACGATGTTTTATTTACATACATTCCTAACGTTTTCCAAACTCCATACCAAACATGCCCATTGGACCTTCATACGGACGCCTTCTACCCTTCACGCATTTCGGAAATCAATGCACGTCTAAACGAGATTTCCAACGGTGACGCGCCGACGATCATGCAGAGAATATACGACGACCACCATGAACGACGCACATGTGTGGTCGGTCTTGATTGGACATACGATGTCGCCGATCTTCTAGAAATCGTGCAATGTTTCGACGGAGAGGCGCTGGCTACTGTTTGTAAAGTCATGGCGCAGGAGTATGGGCAGAGAGGTGGCGGCGTGCCAGATTTGTTCCTCTGGAAGGTTGGGGAGGACGAAAAGAAGGGTGAGGTCAAGTTTGCGGAGGTTAAGAGCGAGAATGATCGTCTGAGTGATACGCAAAGGCTCTGGATACATGTTCTCTCTGGCGCAGGAGTGAAGGTGGAGCTTTGTGCAGCGGTAGCGAAAGAGGTCAGAGTCGTGGAATGAGGGGGCTATTCGATAGCAAATTCCAACGTCTTTGCGATCACTTAGGTGTTTATTGTGCCCTGCGACTGTCCCTTCCTATAGCCCTATTGGGATCCCCTGCTCCCTCACACTTACATCTTATATCCTTGACCCGCTACAATGGGGTTTGTTCTGAGCAAGGTGTCACGAAGGAGACCGAGGCACTCTGGTCTATAGTTGAGACGTCGTGTAAGCGCATCACATGCGCATACTCATGCAAACTGAAATCATCTGTAGTACTATGCGAAACTAGCTAGGATTGCTTCTTCTCCTGCGCCGACCTGGCAAAATCCGCGACATAATCTATAAGTTTACCCATAGAGATCGCACTGTCCACGTACTCAACGATGAATATCGCTCAGTTCATTACCATAAAGCAGTTTGTAACCTCGTTGTCTTATCATCATGCCGCCAAACCTGTCCTGAGGTTGGTTGACGCCGCTCATGCTCGCCGAATCATGTCGTGGGTGGAATATACCTTGCAGCGTGGAGATGGGCCATATCAACATTCAAATAGTCATTGATCAAACTGGAGTACATGTTTACCAAGAAATGTCGCATGTCGTCAGCCACCTGGATCAACCTTCAGGTGAGCCTGAGACCTGTGTTGGCAGCAGCTATGAGCCTACCAACGAAACAAAGAACGACTGCAGTTTCTCTCTCAGTGCTGAATGTATAGTCCACAAAAGTGCAATGCCTTTATAGATCAGATTGTGATCCAGTCTGGGCCTCCCATTGCATGTGTTTTGCTACTGCCTTCTCGGCTTCCATCTCCGCCTCAAGGGTGCTCACACGGTAGGTAAGCTCGGTGATCTTTGCGTCTTTCGCCTTGATGGTAGTCCGGAGGACATCACGGCCTCTCTTGTAGCCTTCAGCGCTGTTTGAATGCTTTGATAAGATCGCTTTAAGGTCGTTCGTCGTGTCGCTATCGAGCCCGATGTTGGCTTCTTGAAGCAAACGGAGCACATCTCCTACTAGATCGTCTCCTCCTACGTTTTTGAAGCGATTGGGCGTGGGTGTGTCAAAGGGAGAACTGGGCATAACGGGTCTGTGGTTATTGAGGTTATGCTCATCGAGCCTTGAAGGGGTGATGGTGCTCGGCATAGAAATTCTTGTGTTGAACGGGTTGTCTCCAGCTCGTCGATCTGTCCTTGGCGTCTGGAGACCAGTCGAACCAGTCGCTGACTGATTTGTTTGCCATGGCAGTTTCCGTCTCGTCGACGGAGTAGCAAAAGTCGAAGTCTTAATCGCTTTGTTAGGTGTCTCAGCTGCAATCAAGACCCGACCCAGCGCGTCGTTGAAAGCATGGTCATTCTGCTCAAGTCCATACTCATCGTCAAGGTCCTCACTAGCGGCGCGAGTTCGCTTTCGACTTGATCCAGATGGGCCTGCTTCAACTGTGTAAGGCGGCGGAGGTGAGGACCGCCGTTTGGAGGGGGTGGTTGGATTGACGCGAGATGGGGTGCGAGAGTTGTTTGCTAGACCAGCCGCTTCGCGTTTATCTGCGTCAGCGTCCCAAAGAAAAAATTTACAGCGGGTTGTGTCGGTCTGCTGCTTCTGGCAGGAACGAACTGCACAGGGTCAGGTTTCTGTAGAGAGTAGCTGGCAAACGTGAACATTACACCACTTTCCCTTGTTAGGACCTTCTTTCTTGACTTCAAAATGCACTGTTGGCTTCCGGGGGGTGCAGTCGCCTGCTGGCTGTCAGTTTCGCACTGCATTGGGCTTATCCAGGTGCTCCTACACTGCCAGACGCCATTCACGAACAGGCCTCCACGTCTCTTGGAGCTAGACATGGTCCGCAGCTTCAGTTCGAGTTAAGTGCAACAAAGTCAATAGTTGGGGTGGTGCGGCCAGTGCGCAATGATATTCAGCCCGCCTTAGCGGATGGACGATGAACACTGTGGGGGTGGGTAGGCAAGTGGAGAGCTTCGCGACCCTGATCTGAGCCGCGGCCCAGCGATCTGCATGCAGCCCGTATCGACCCTACAAGTAGATACATCTTCAGATCCGACCACGTTCCCAGGATCGACCAGTCCGTTATTGTTCAGACCCGGCAAATCCTAGTCTTGCTGTTTGACCGAGTAGCTCGACGCGCCGACATCCGGCACACCTCAGCTGTGGCTGCAGGTCTCGAACCATCGAGCTCCTCCATTCGCAAATCCAATCCCGCGTCCCTCACTGGCTTGGCACTTCGGGTGCTACCATGGATTCATATCAGGGCCATGTCTCCTATTCCTTCCCCGTATCATCTCTTCTACCTTCTTTCTAGAGGGAGATTGTTGTATCGATCACCATGTTGTTTCGTTCCATGAGGTCTCTCCCCTCAGCTTTGGTCCTCGTCCTTGTCTTTCTGGGCTTTTTCGGATGGCAATTGAGCCAGGGGCACTCTCACGAGCCCCTTCCACCTCCGCCCGCACAGGATGAGAGCCCTCCGCCTGAAGCACAGAAGAAGCCGCTCCGTGTCGCGCTCATGACTTTTGTCACAGAACAGAGATCGTATCTCCACGTATCGCTCAAAAACAAAGATCGCAAGTCTCAACCTAGCTAGGTGAGAAATGACTTGACTGACGCAATATTGATACAGACTACGCGCGTCGCCACGGCCATGATCTTATTGTCGACTACGAAGCACATTCCGATCGAGGCGTTATGTGGTGGAAATACACCATGGCTGAGCGCGCTGTCAAGTCTGGCAAATACGACTGGATATGGTGGCTGGACTTCGACACGCTGATCACCAACACCGCAACGAAAATCACCGACATCATTGAAGAGGAGCTAAACAACGCCACCAACCTCGACGCAATCGACTTCCTGCTTACGAAAGATTGTAACGGACTGAACGCAGGCTCCTTCCTCCTTCGCGGGCACGAACGATCGATCAAATTCTTCGATGATGCGAGAACCATGTTCGACAAGGCGAAAAAGGAAGAAACCAACATGAGCGAGCAGGATTGCATGTCAAAACTGTTAAAGGAGGATCAGGCGACAAGCGACATGGCTCATTTCGTGCCACAGTGGAAGCTGAATGCTTTCCCAGAGGAAATCGCCTGCTACGACGAGTCCAAGAAGGGGTGGGAGCAGGGCACCTTTGTCCTGCATTTTGCAGGTGCATGGGCACACGTCAAGGGCGATGACCCCACCGGGCAGTTGATGAAGAAGTACGAGCACGACATCATTTGGGGAGATGCGAAGGAATTCTATTGACGTGCATATTTGGTTGACGTCAAACATCGGCCGGGTGTTGGGGGAGTACACAAGATATCCAATTGAGCTTTGTTTTCGTTTCTACATTACCCCGCGACATGTGCTGAACACATTTTCCCGGTCTTGCATACCAACCACTGCGGAGCTTGCGCTGTGGTGACACGGCGACATTGATCCCGAGGGCGCATTATCGTGACCGAGTCGCGTGCCCCGCCAGATATACACCCCTGAACATTTCGACTCGAAAGTCCTCAGCTTGCTCATGCTGTGGAGATTAGCTTCTAACCAGCTGAACAACACACGGTACACCGGGAGGTCTCCGCTCATAGCTTGCTGGAAGTCTAGTTGGGGTTCCAAAGTTTTTGCGAATGTGGCTTGCGTTTTCAGGGGTGCCAAGTCATGGACTCTTCTCTTTTGGAAGCCGTTTCTCCGACAGCAAGTACAGTTTTGTAGACTATTATGCTTCGGAAATCGAGACTCTTGTTTATGTGTAATGTTTATGGAGTGCTTTTTGGTCTGACGGCGATGGTGCTTCATGTTTTCTCGGCAAGTTTGATTTTAGGAGAATGCAAGGCTTCAACGAGAACTCCTAGATACCTCTGAGAATGTGACCGATATAGAGAAGGATTCGAAGCTTATCTTCGTGTTTTATAGGAATTGAAGACAACCTTTGCACCTGATCTGTCAAATATAAGTGACACAAAGCGTCAATCCAGTTTTACTTGGAGAAAGACCGTTACTATGCTGTGACATGAATCCAGACAGCGACCGCACAACCAGCTTGACCGCTTATCGAGAATCTCCAAGGCTTTGAATTATGCAGAACTTCTAACACCGAAAAGTGCAAACAAGAGAACCATCTATAACAAGCAAGATCCACAACCTCCATCTCCATATCTGCTTGGCAAATCACGTGTCACCAACGCTCAACCACCACCTAACCTCTACACCAGCCGTCCCACAACATCACATCACCACATAAGCAAGCACCACCCCACACCTCACAGTCCCCCGAATTACCCCAATCCTCCCCCCTCGGGCCCTCCCCCGCATCCCCCCTCACAAAGCTCAAAATGGTGTTCTTTGGCCTCGGCGGCCTCTTCTACGGTACCTCCCACCCCCCCATTCCCCCAGCGCACCCACAGCCCACAAACTAACACATGTCACACAGTCGCCGTCCTCCTCATAAACGCCATAGCCATCCTCTCCGAAGACCGCTTCCTCGCGCGCAGTACGTCGTGTCCCACCCTCCCACCCTCCCCACGGCGCCGAAGCGCAACGTACCGCAACGTACAGCAACGTACTAACACCACGACAAACAGTCGGCTGGACGGCGTCGGCAGAACCCGCGGGTTTTGGTGGCCCGCGCGACGACGCGAGTGTTAAGGCGCGGTTGATTAATTTGGTGTCTTCTGTGAGGACGGTTATGCGCAGTATGTTTTTTTCTTTTTTCTGGGAGGGGGGGATGAAGGGTCGTGTGGTGAGGGGGTTTGGCTAATATGGGGACAGTACCGCTTATTCCGATTAATTTTCTTATGATTATGTATTTGCTTGTTTTGGGTTGAGGAGGGGGCGGAGATGGGTGAATGGCGTTTGGGAGGGTGTGGTTTGGCGTGGCGTTGGTGGGCTTTGGTTTCTGGGCGCTGGGACGGGGTGTGGATGGAGAGAGGGGAGAGGACATGGCAGGAGAGGGCGATGCGAAGGACCGACTACTACCCACACCACTCCACGCATCCCACGAGACGAAGACGAACGAACACCCAGGACGGACACGCACTACATCCTCAGCGCTGAACCATAGAAGGGACAACACCAACGGACACAGGCACAGGGCAGGAACAACAAGCAAGCAAGGTCCGGATAGAGTGCAAAACACCCACGTCGACAGGACAAGCAGCGAGCAGGGCGAATACCAGAAAGATGGGATGATATCCTGTCCACTACATTGCGTTGATGCACCTACCAACCTACCTACCAACCTACATGTATACATACATACAAACAAACAAGCAAAACAAATAAAGCCAGGCCACTCGACATCACTCTCCTCTCCTCGGACTGTATATCCAACGCAGCACCAGCCCAAGCATCATCTCATGCCATATCGAGTCGCCCCTATGCACCAAAAAAAACGCCTATGCCCAACTCTCTCCATGAACGAAAAAGTGTGAAATCTGCGGCTATAACTAGAACTTAAACGTGCTCTTCTTCCTGCCGATGCTAAACCGATTTTTAGGTTCCTTTTCCTTCTCCTTTTCCTTCTCCTTGTCTTTATCTTTCTCTTTATCTTCTTCCACCCTAACCACCTCCTCAGGCGGCGGCACTGCCACCGCGGGCGCCGCAACATCTTTCTCTTTCTCCTTGTTAGCAGACCAGAATTTGGGCTTGCCCTTGAGACTGATGCTAGTATGTCTGAAGCGGCTGAGCCCACTGCTCTTGCCCAGACTCGCCGACATGCCATTCGCATGTGTATTCGTGTTCGCACCTGCATGCGCAGCGCCATTCGGATCTTTCTGCGGCTCCGCCGACGTCCCCGTCGACGTCGACGCATGATCCTCACCATTAGCGCGCTTACGATCGTCGTCAGCCTTGGACTGCTTGCTAGCGGCCAGCGCAGCGCGGAGCTCGTCTTCCTGCCTCTTATAATTTTCGCGGCGCTGAATGTCCATTTCCTTCCTCTTCTGCTTAGCCTGGCGCTCTAGTTCCTTTGCCTCTGCCTTGCGCTCTTTGTCTTCTTTGAGGTTCTTGAACAGGCCCATGTTGCTCTTCTTGGGGGTGAGGTTGGGGATGTTGGTCGAGACGTGCTCGACGGGGTGGTGTTCTGTGGAGCCGTAGACGAGGGAGGGGGCTGTGGCGGCGTGGTTGAGGCTGGCGAATTGGTCTGATTCCTCGACGAGGGGGGTTGTGGCGCCGTGGAGGGGGTGGATGTAGCCGTTTGTTGGCTTGGGGGTTGTGACGGTGATGGCTTCTTGGTTGGTTTCTGTGGCCTGTTTGGCGGCGGCGAGGGCCTCTGCTTCTTGCTCCTTCATCATGGCTTCCTCGGTGGTTTCTTGGTAGAACAACACGTATGCGCAGGCGAGGACGTTTTCCCCGCCGAAGAAGTTGCGCACGTAGGCTTTGTCGACGGGCTCGACCATCTCGTCGTCGAAGAGCAGCCAGCCGCGGTCTGGTGTCTTGATGATGGACACGTAGTGGCCGTGGTAGGGCCCGCCGCCAATGTGCACGACGACGGCGTAGAGCTCGTACAGCCTGTCTGGGTCCTCTGCGTCGTCGGTGGTGTTGAACAGGCGGAGGTAGTACGGGTACACGACGCGGTGGAACAGCTTCTGCAGGCGCTGCAGGTCCTCGGTGTACTTGAAGCGCTTCAGATGCAGGGCCAGGATCTTGGGTAAGCGCTTGATCTTCATGCGCTTCTCCGCCTCCTGCAGGCCGCCGCAGTTGTCGCAGTGGAACTTGTTGCGCTCGCACAGCATCTCCTCCTGCGAGAACTTGCGCAGACAGCTGGTGACGGACGAGTGCTGCTCGAGGTCCACCGACAGGTCTAGGAAGACCTCGTCCCGCTGCGACGTGTTCTCGCACGTGAGACAGCGCGTCTCGGACGTCAGCGTGCCCTCGAACAGCCTGTGCACCCATCCCGTGTTTTTGTTGTTGCTGTCCGTGGTCGTCAGGGCTTGGTCGCCGGCGTCGGCGTCGCCCAGCTCCGTGATGCGCGCCTTGGAGAAGGTCTCGACGTTCTCGACGACCTCGTTCAGCAGCAGGTTCAGGAACTCGTGGGCGTCCTGGTGCATCGGGGTGCGGAACATCTCGTTGTCGCGGCGCAGGATCTCGAGGAACTTGTGGGGGCTGACGACGCCCATACGCGACTGGTGGGCGATGACGGCCTCGAAGATGTCTTTCAGCGACGAGAACAGCGACTCGGACATGCCGTAGGCATTTGCGTTCTCGTAGTCCATGGTCAGCACGGGGCCGGCCGCCAAGGCCTGCTTCTTCTTGTACTCAGGCGAGTCCTTGTTGTCCTCGGGCTTGTTGGCGGCGGGCCCGTTGGCGGCGGCGGGCGCGGGGGCAGGCTTCCCAGGCGTGCGCGCCGTGGGGCTCGAGACCGAGGTGCGGCCTGGGGGCGAGAGCGGCGCGGGCGGGCCATTGGCGAGGTTCGTGTTGACGCGCAGCGGCAGCTGCGGGCGATGAAGGGCCTCGGGCGGCGAGCGGGCGGGGAAGTTGATGACCTGCTCGCGGAAGGGCACCGAGTAGTACAGGCACTGGACGACCGAGTTGCAGTAGCTGGGGCGCGAGTCAGCGGGGACGGGGACGCGGGCGTACGTCAGCACGAGGGCGTGTACCAGGTGCTGCCAAACTGGGCTGCTGTTAGCCGGGACGCGCGCAGGCCACGGCGGGCGCAGGAGTGCTCACATTCTCGAAGCCGAAGAACTTGTCGCTGCCGTCGCCGCGCAGGGGCCCCGCATTGAGCAGCAGCTTCTCCAACGGCGTCGGCTCGGGCGCATTGGGGTCCTTCTTGACGGGCGTGCTGCCAGAGGCTGGTGTCGCGGGCGCCTGTTGCGCTGTCAGCACGCGGCCAGCCATTGCTCGGCGGCCACACTCACCGCGCCCGACTTGAGGCGGCCGAAGAAGGAGGTCATGGTCGAGGGTCCCGGTGCCGGCGAGAGGCGCGCTGAACAGAGGGGGGCGGGCGGCGAGGCGAGTGCAGCATGCGCGGCGCGGACGAGCACGGCGGAGCAGAGGGCACACGGCGAGGGCGGAGACGAGGGCGAGGGCGAGGGCGACAGCGAGGGCCGTGGGTGGACATGGAAGCGGCACGAGCAGAAGACTGGCAGCAGTGGAAGGAGCAGAGGCAGCGGCTGCGGCAGTGAGAGCGAGGCTTACGGGCTAGACGGCGAACCGTCTAGTTTCGCGATAGTGCACGCGTTTGGACGTTTGGTCCCAGCCGATGGGCCGATGCCAGCGATTCCCCACGAACTGGACCACGCTCCCCGCCACGAGGCCTGCCCTTACTAACAGCCTGCTATTGCTCTCACCCTCGCCCTCGTCGTCGTCGCTGGCCCGCCTGCACCGCGACGCTGAAATCCCGACATGCCCAGCACCTCGTCCCGTCTAAGGCCACCACTCCTCGCCATGACCACCTCTCCCCCGCCCAGCCGCACCCTCGCAGCAGCGGCGTGCCTGGCAAACACCAGCCTGCAACGCTTGGAATCCACCAGTCATGCGCCTGCTTCTAGAACCAAGACCTGCCCGCCCCGGATTGGCTGCCCGTCCTAGCGCATTCCCGTTGTGCGGTCGCGACAGCATTCCAGAGCGTTTCCGGGGCACCGTCTGCGTAGGGCTAGCAAGAGCAACCGATGCATTACTTCATCCAGACCACACACGCTGCCTCACCGCTCTACCTAACCACCGCTCTCTCTATGGATGAAAAAAAATGCTGCACAGGTGGCGAGTGCGCGTGCCTTGTTTGGGCCATGCAGCCTGACGGCGCGCCCACATCCCCCGCAAACGCCTCTCACCAGACAGCCGCGTGTCGTCCCGTTCCTGCCTGGACCCTTTTTAGCCGGTCCGATTCCACCCTCCACAACGCCCGTGACATGCAAATCCACGCATAACATGCACATGTAAACACTTGAGAATTACAACACAAACACGCACATCCCTATCCTTCCCTCACAGCCTCCGCAGTCGCTTGCTCGCCCCGAGCTCGATAGCAGTGCGACTGTTCAGGATCAGGTCCTCGTTCCCAGACGGTGGGGGGTTCGCGAGAATGTACTCGCGCCGTATACGCGCAGCCTCCACGTCCCACACTGCAACACGCTCCTTGAAGCTTGCTGCGTTGGCCTCTGCATCGTCTCGTGCGTTGGTTGCCTGATCCAGGTACGGCTTCTTTTCTTCTTCACTTGCTGTGCGCCACCTCAGCCCAATGGCAAGGCGGACTTCCTGCTTCGGCGCCTTTGCTTCTGCATCTCCACTCGCAGCCTGCCGTATTTCGTCGCACTCCTTCTTGCATGTGTACCAAAAGTCCTTGGTGTAGAGCAGGAACGGATTCACGCCAGCACGGCCTGGTTTGATCGGACGTTCTCCAATCTGCTCGAGGATGGCGCCGATGATAGCAGCTTCGTAGTCCTCGTCTCGTTGCACCCGCCCCACCCTATTCTCCTGAGGCACTGCTTCCGACTTGCGTTTTGGATCCGAGACGGAGGGGGAAGTATTCTCGGGCTTGACGATCCTCCTCTCGATGAGTGGAGTCGGTACTTTGATAGGCCCGACAATCGTCTCCATGACCTCCGCGGCAACACGTAGGCCAGATAGGTAAGCTCCATGAACGGTTGCGGGATGTGTGCCACACGTTGCCTCGCCTGCAAAGTGCAGTGGCCCATGAGGTCGCGCCATGAGATCGTAGTCGCCCGCACGTGTCTTAGGGCCAACAAATGAGTAGCTGCCTCGCGCGAATGGATCTTTGCTCCATCGAGTGATGATCGTTTCCGACGGAAGCGGAACGGGGTTAGGGGCAAAGATGGAGTCGAGTCGGTCCGTCACCTCCTTGATGAGCTGGTCGTTGGACGTCTTTTCGGCATAGTGAGCAGCATCGCCTGCCATGAGTGCGATAAGCACAGGCTTGCCACTCGTCTTTATGCAATTCCAGAATAGGTAGAACCGCCCTCGTCTCGCAGAGTAATCTTCAGGTCGCAGACTGGCTTCGTGTTCCGCTTCGTTCAGCAGACCGAACATGTCTCGATCTGGCTCCCAGAAGGCTTTCTCGTAAACCAAGATGATCTGTTGCCAGTTTTAGCCAATACAGCAGTGATCGAATGAGTCTGTCTTACCTTGTTGAGCAGTCCGAAACCCATACGCTCGATGACTCCTCGCTTCCAGTCGGGCAGCGGAGGCTGGAACGTAATCGCCTCGGACTTCAGCACACCGAGAGGTGTTGTTATGATGACCTGATCCGCTTCGAAAACCTCTCCATTGGTAGATTCGATCCTGACCGCCTTGCCACCCCGGTGATCCCCAGTGCTGTAGTCAATGCACTTGATTGGAGTGTTGAAGCGAACGTCGAGTTCACTGGGGCTACGCCACAGTCCACGTGGAACCTGCTGGTAGCCTCCGACAACCTCCGTATGCTCTCCTTCAAACTCGTTTCCCATGTCCTGATCCCAGCCACTCAGACTAAGCTGGTTTACGCTAACGGCATTCGCGTACTCAAGATTTGCATGATGCCAACTGAGAAGACGCATGTCTCTAGGCTTCATGTCGACTATGGCCTGGTATTGTCTGATACCTTCGTCCATTGTTCGTCCTAGAACCGGATAGTCGTATGTCTTCGCGATATGATCCAGATTTAGAGACTGCATCATCGATACACCAGGCTTCAGCTTCCATCCCATGCCCTGGATTGCCTCTGCCGCTGTGATGTTAGGGTTGAAGCCAGCACTGAGCTGGTAAGCCCTTCCCGCAAGCTTCTCCACGCCTGTAGTGGGTTTCTCCTCGGTTGTTGATGTAGAGTTCTTCGTGTTCATAGGCAGTGGAACTTTGGAGTCCTCTAACTCTGCGATGGAGATTCCGCCGTTGTCGCTAGGTTCTCGCCCAAAGAGCATGAGGTTTCGATCACCTTCGACCGTCCTGTGTGCCGCTGCCTTGTGACGATACACACTCGCTCGCTCTAGAACATCGTTGTACAACTTTTCCACCAGTATATCCTGGCTCCTCTCCACAACTGTGCCGTCATAATCATACAAAATCGTGTTGTCGCGAAGGCCATGGTACGGAATGCCGAGCTGTCCACGGATGATCGCGTTCAATGGGTTACCGTGTTCGTATCCTGTTACAATCTGAGCACCCATCTCGGCAGTACAGCGATGTCCTGGAGGAAGTGTGGAGCCCGACTGATCAAGAAAGGGATGTGAATACACCCTCCCGCCAAGCCGCGGACGGGCCTCGAGGAGGATGACTTTTGGTGGGCGTTCGCCATCATTTGACATTTGTTCGCCCAGCTGGGAAAACAGACCCTCCAGATGTCGAGCACATCCCAACCCTGACATTCCGGCACCGATCACAATAATCGTACGTCTCGGCTTGGCCTTCGATCGTGCAATAGAGCCTGCGGTATTGGGAACTTCGACGCAGCCATAGTTGATGTAACCGTTTCTTAGCAACCACAGATATGATGTTTTCGCTAACCTGAAAAAGCGTTTGTCACGAGCGCAACCTGCAGCCTCTTCCAGAGATACATATACCATGGGATTCCGATGCCAGAGTCTCAAGATAGCATTCCTGATGTTCAAGTAGATTGTAACCTGAGCCTGTGTGAGGTGTTCCCGTAGTAGTCTGTACTCCGCAGGATGCAAAGCGAATGGATTGAGCCGGCTATTTTCTGCTGCCAGAATGCATTGACGTCCAAACTCCGGCCACGAAAGCTCCCCGGGAATGCTGGAGTTTGCTCGGATCTCAGATGTTTTCCCTTTTATTAAGCGCGTTCGTTCGTGAGACTGAGGGAGTTCGGGAGTTGATGACGGCTGGGACTCGCGACTCAGGCTTTGCGGTGTTCGCGCCATGAAGCTATGATTGGCTCGCAGCGGTAGAGTGTCTGCGCGGGAAGTTGTAGACCCAAGCGTAGTTATATGTGCATCGTTGCCATTCATATATGCAGTCGATTTTGTGTGACTGCCCTCCCCTTGTGTATAAGGATGTTGCAACGGCGACGGAGTGTAGTAAGAGCCATATCCGTTGTTGAGAGCGCCTGAACCAGAACGCTCTCGCTCCTCTTTTCCACTCAGATGACCAGTACTGAGTTCCGATGTATCGTTTGAATCGCCGTAGTGCACGGACGACGTCGCTGATTCTCTACCATACCCCAGGTTACTAAGCCCAGGTATAGGGTCAATGCCGCCTTTCAGATGTATGCTCTCATGGGTCATCGGCAGCGACAGAAGATCTTCGTTAGATTGGTCGAACAGATATTCGCTGTCATCGAGTGTATTCGTGTCGGTGGTCGATGCGAAGGCGGAGTACATGATGGCGACCCACGGCGAGGGAACGAAATCGCGTGAGACACCTGATATGGCCGACCAACGGGCTACCGGCCACAACGGACCACTCGCTCGTAATTCAGAGCACTCTGAAGCGGGTAGTTGGTGGAGGTGTAATTTACAGTCATGGAGAATTCGATTCTTGGAAAGATGATAGAAGGGTTGGATGCGCAAATGGCTGACCCTCGAGCAGTAAATCGAAGGTTGACTGGCGTGCACTGGCCAGCCACTTGACCCCTGCCACCCTCAACCTCACTCTTTCCACACATGGTTTGCCCGCTTCGGACCCGACTCCATCTACGTTTTTCTCATAACGAGAGATGCAATGGGTCTTGCTAGAGTACGCAGCGACCGGTTGCTTGGTCTCATCTGTGCCCCGATACCATATGGCCATCGAGTCTTGCAACTCGCCACTCGATCTCACGCAAAAGGCGTTATACAACGCTTGACCCATCTACCGCCAGCCGTTTATATTTGAACAAAAGGCCAACTTACTTCGTGTCTAAAGGCAGAATTCTTTACACACGGACTCTATCCGCAGCAGGTTTGGTAGGTACCAAAAGCTGCGCATCTTCGCTCGTGCACTCCAGTGGCCTTCTTCCCCTGGAGAGATAGTTAAAGATGTATACCAAATCGATGGAACTAACATAGTTCTTGTGCCTCTAGGTCGACTTAGCCAAGTGCATGGGTTCGTATACCTGCAGTTTCTTACCATTAATCCAAGACTGATATTACACCTGCAGCAACTACCACGAGTCGCCTCAAAGCGCACATCGCACGTTATACACATCGCATCTACCAGACGTGAGCGCATATATACATCTTCCGAACCGATTAGTCACAGACATCGACATGGACGGCACAATAGAGATGTTGAAATGGATCTTTCTCTTTGAACCCACAAGTCTATCCAGAGGCATTTGCTATGCCGAATCAGAAAGAGAAACAGACACTACGTGGCAGAGATATTTTATCTTTTGGAGCAAGGAACTATAACGTTCAATGGACAAAACTGCGACTTTGTGAACACAGAAGATATCACGAGATGGCACATACCGTAGGATACTGATGTTAAAAGTTTTCAATGTATGCGAATCTGTCGATTCTGATATTTATACTCATTTCTTAGCAAGTCCGTATTGCTCACTAGGTATGATTCGGTAATAGCAATACACCTAAACGACTCTTGTATTCATACTTTGCTTGATCACGTGAGCGGTGAGCGGCGGTTCATCCTCGGCTTAGATGCGGAGCGATGCACCTAATCTCCGTATACATTCAAGTTTCCAGTAATCACCACCATTTCGGCCTCTTCGCAAAACGAACGATGCGATGGCCTTGGTCAAGCGGCGACGATGAGAAGAAGAAGGATCGTCTGCCAGCTTGGGCGGAGCCCGTCAAGTCGAAGCACTGGTCAACTGCGTTTCTAGAGCCTAGGACCCTGATTCCTACCATCGTCCTAACGCTGTCGACTGTTGTTGCTGTGCGCATGTACAAAACGTATCTGCGGCGCATACCGAGCGTCAACCACATCAAGCCCGACTACTTCCGACGTAAGAGCCTGTTCGGTAAAGTCACGAGTGTTGGAGATGCGGACAACTTCAGGCTATACCATACGCCTGGTGGGAGGTTAGCTGGGTGGGGTTGGCTGCCGTGGAAGGAAATTCCGACGAAGAGGGACCAACTGTCCAAACAGACGGTAAGTCGGATGGCCCAACAACGAGCTTCATGTTCACGACTTGATCTTTCTTCGTGTCTAACAACACATGTAGCTCCACATCAGAATTGCTGGTGTCGATGCCCCAGAAATGGCGCACTGGGGTCGAGAAGCGCAACCATACTCGAAAGAAGCCTATGAGTGGCTCACCAGCTTGATACACAACCAACGCGTCCGTGTGTACCTATACAGACGCGATCAGTACGACAGAGTGGTGGCACAGGTCCATATACGCAGGTGGTTTTTCAGACAAGACGTTGGTCTGGAGATGCTGAAAATGGGCTTGGCAACTATATATGAAGCAAAGAGCGGCGTGGAATTTGGGGGTGCAGAAGCAAAATACCGCGCTGCGGAGGAGAGAGCTAAGCAGCAAAAGGTTGGAATGTGGTCAAAACCGAGCATCATACAGAGATTGAGCGGCGCTGCTTCCAAGGTCACAGAAAGCCCGCGAGAGTACAAGAACAGGCACACGGCGGCGGAGAAGCAGAAGAAGGCGGGGTGAGTCAACTTGTTCAGTATGACGCAATCTGCAGCCCATTATCAAATTCGAAGTGCCTCACATCCCTTGCTGTTTGGCTGTCTTCAACACCCTCCTCTGGGTGTCATCTGCAAATATCGAGGTGGAGCTTGAACAAGGTCAGCAAAAAAGTAGCAAATGAACACTAAAGGAACGGACCTTAGCGGCCTATACGCGTCACAGAGCAGTGTTTGCATGCAAGTGACTCAAGAATCTGCCGAACTACATCAAAATTTCTCCACCCTGCGCCAATGTTGGTGTTCGGCGCCGATGATCGGTAGCGACGCGTGAATTTCTTTCGCGATTCCAATCACTTTCAGTGTAATCGCATTGAGCTCAGACCTTGACTTTGGTTTTTTTGGGGACGGTCTTCCTCAACAATTGTGTAGTCTGTGGTTACGCTCCTACATATTTTCAGTCGGATTCTTACAACCCTGGCTGCCCGCACTTTCGCATTTCCTTATCAGGATCCCGGAGCTTAGATCGGACTAAAGCGATTGGCGTTTGCAAATCATAGAAATTTTGGTTTTGATCATACACATCAACGAGAGTCACTGGCACTCTATTCTGCTGGGCTCAAGCTCTAGCACCCCCCAATTGACCTCCCCAGCCCTCGAGCGACCCGTACCCCTCACAATCAGCCCCTCCACTCTCAATCGCCGAGACTCTTGAGCTCGCACGCTCAAGTGTTCAATCGCCTGCAATGGCTCTCTGCGGGCGTCTGGCACGCCGCGTACCTACTTCGACGAGCCAATTTCGCTCGCTAGCACCTTCTGCGGCCTCTCGAAGCTTCACATCACGAGTTGCCAGGCCTTTGGCGTCTCTCCGCGCGCCGGGCGAGTCACCTGCGGCTCTGCGACAGCTGCGGGCATTCTCCAAGGTCTCCGCAACATGGAACACAACCCAAGAAGCGCCAAATGCCAATGCATACTTCAACAGCGGCGCAATCTCTGGCGCACAGAATTTGGTGGACGTGAAGAAGGTTTTGGTTATTGGTAGTGGCGGTCTCAGTATCGGACAGGCTGGAGAGTTCGATTACTCAGGTACGCACAGTGATTATTCTTTCGCCTACTATATACTGACTCAGCACAGGTTCGCAAGCGCTCAAGGCTTTGAAAGAAGCTGGCGTCAAGTCGGTCCTCATCAACCCCAATATCGCAACCATCCAAACGTCGCACGTGCTCGCCGATGAAATCTACTACCTGCCAGTCACCCCCGAATACACCGAATATGTCATTCAGAAAGAGAAGCCTGACGGCATCTTCCTCAGCTTCGGTGGCCAGACCGCGCTGAACTTGGGCGTGCAAATGAACAGGGCGGGTCTCTTCGAGAAGTACGGCGTCAAGGTTCTTGGAACAAGCGTCAAGACTCTCGAGACGAGCGAGGATCGTGACCTGTTTGCGCGTGCTCTGGACGAAATTGACATTCCCATCGCCAAGTCAATCGCTGTCTCCACTGTCGACGAGGCCCTCGACGCGGCGGAGAAGGTCGGATACCCCATCATTGTCCGTGCTGCATACGCGCTCGGTGGTCTTGGATCTGGTTTTGCCAACAACCCTGAAGAGCTCAGGAACTTGTCAGCCCGATCGCTTACCTTGTCGCCCCAGATTCTGGTTGAGAAATCATTGAAGGGCTGGAAGGAGGCCGAGTACGAGGTTGTGCGCGATGCAAGCGACAACTGCATCACCGTCTGCAACATGGAGAACTTCGATCCGCTCGGCGTGCACACTGGTGACAGCATCGTTGTGTCGCCTAGTCAGACGTTCAGCGACGAGGAGTACCACATGCTCCGATCCGCATCCATCAAGATCGTGCGACACTTGGGCGTGGTTGGCGAGTGCAATGTTCAGTACTGTCTCCAGCCAGATGGCCTCGACTACAGGGTCATTGAAGTCAACGCTCGTTTGTCTCGTTCTTCTGCGCTGGCTTCCAAGGCAACCGGCTACCCATTGGCATACACTGCGGCAAAGATTGGTCTTGGACACACTCTGCCTGAGCTACCAAACGCTGTTACCAAGACCACCACCGCGAACTTCGAGCCCAGCTTGGACTACGTCGTCACGAAGATGCCTCGATGGGATCTGGCAAAGTTCCAGAACGTCAAGCGTGATATTGGTAGCTCCATGAAATCGGTCGGTGAGGTCATGGCTATTGGCCGCACATTCGAAGAGTCGTTCCAGAAGGCCTGCCGACAAGTCGACCCCAAGTTCCTTGGATTCGAGGGCGAGAAGTACGGAGAAAACCTTGACGACGAACTCGCGAACCCCACAGACCGCCGATGGCTTGCTGTCGGTCAGGCCCTGTTCCACGAGGGCTACACCGTCGACCGGGTCCACGACCTGACCAAGATCGACAAGTGGTTCTTGCACAAGCTCCAGAACATCGTCGACTGCACACATGAGCTTGAGGAAATAGGCAGCCTCTTTGGCCTCAAGAAGGAGGTTATTTTGAAGGCTAAGAAGCTCGGTTTCTCGGACAAGCAGATCGCGAAGGCTGTCAACAGCTCTGAGGACGAGGTTCGCGCACGCAGGAAGAGCTTTGGCATCAGGCCTTGGGTCAAGAAGATTGACACATTGGCTGCCGAGTACGCATCCCCATTCATACGTTGCATATAACATATACTAACTTTACGCACCAAAGATTCCCCGCGGATACTAACTATCTTTACACCACCTACAACGCCTCGTCGCACGATGTCACATTCGACGACCACGGTATCATCGTTCTTGGAAGCGGTGTCTACCGTATTGGAAGCTCTGTCGAGTTTGATTGGTCGGCTGTCAATGCGACAATGGCTCTCAACAAGCTCGGCAAGAAGACTGTCATGATTAATGTAAGTGAAAAGTTTTCTTCTGTTATTTCTGGTATAATGCGCCTATTCTTCGGATGGACCCCTACCTGGATGGATCCTATTTGGACGGACTCGACCTTCCCTGAGGATATGTTTCATGTCGCCAACCTCGACTATCACGCTCTCCAGTGGCCTGTTGGTAGTGTTTGAATCGGTACCTTTGACGATCTGCGTTGTATGCTCCAACCAGATACCAGCATTCGGATCGATGGTCTGACAGCCACTCGTATCCTTCACAAGCCTGGAGATCTTCGAATCGATATCCTCGACATTCTGCCTTATACTCTTCTTGTATTCTCCAGCCAGGTATGAGCTTTTGGATCAACAGCCTCAACAATCTCCTGTGTTCTCCACAGATGTTGAATCCGTACCCTCGACAGCCTGCCTGGTATTCTCCACAAGTCTGGTGGTCCTTCAATGGATAGCCTCGACGGCCTCCCTTGTATGCTCCAGGCACAACTATGATAACCATGGAGCCGACTTGCAGTACCATGCTCCAGCTTGTGCTGCTCGCCACTTGGGCGTACACGGAGACTGCACCTTTAAATTCCAAGAATCGCTTCTTCAGTAGATTCATCACGAGTCTAAAAGTCCTCGAATCTGTCGCCTCTGCAGCTTCCCTGGTATTCGCCCCGGGTCTTCTTGAAGTCTCCCAAGCAGCCACCCCACCGACCGTTGAATTCTTCAAACCCCTCCCAACTGAAACTTCGCTACACCGCTGGGCAACTCACACCGCTATCATCGAGAAACTTGGTTGCTAGCCCAGAGCATACATCGGCTCCGGGACAAGTACGCTTGGGGGCGTTTGCGTTCGACTACACCAGTATGATGTTGGCTACCACGTTATTTCTAAATTCGAAGACGCCCTCAAGAGGGATACGTCGTAGTCCACAAGGGACTTTTGCGCTGGATTCTATCACCGCCTGCACACGTGGTTCCCATCCTCCGTCTTCTCTTCCTTGCTCTCGAGGCCACATTCAACCTCACTGCCCAGGAACTGGACGCGCTATCCATTAAGCGAAAGGAGAAAAAGCTCTCGCTGAGGGCCCAGAACACGTCCGGTTATCATCACAAAACAGATGGTGGACAACTACAACGTCTACATTGGTCAAGCAGGCGAGCGGGTCGCTAGGTCCGAAGCCATCAACCCAACGCACAGCACCAAGCAAGACACATTGAAAATGCCATTGTAGAAGACACTCCCCGCTGTGACCTTTGCGACATCCCGTTCGGCACGAAGCAACGTGTGGAGGGCCACAAGAAGACCGCCAAACACCTCCGCAAGAAGGACGAGGCAAGCAACCCCTTCAGATGCATCCCCTGCAACTATGGCGTCCACAGCCAGAGCAATCTCACTCGCCACAACAAGACAGAGCGCCACGCCCGCAATGTGGCCGCCGCCCAGTCGAGCCCAAAGCTCGACTGAGGGTGACAGTCAGAAACCGCTTTTTGGACCCCCTTCTTGGACACCGTGGAACCTTTCCCACTACCACGATACATCATCTGTTAGCAATGCACAAAGTATACACGACGATTAGTGCCCAGCCGAGACCCTCGACTAACACCACTGTCGCCGCCCGGATCCGGATTTTGGACCCACTTTTCTTTTTTCATACTTTTACTACTCCTTTTTCTTCACCTACCTATTGCAACCTATACTAACACAAAGGAACCAACCAGTATAACCCGGAGACTTACAGCACAGATTTCGACGTTGCCGACAAGCTGTACTTTGAGGAGTTGAGCTACGAGCGTGTGATGGACATCTACGAGCTTGAGACGGCGAGCGGTGTCGTGGTCTCGGTGGGTGGCCAGCTTCCTCAGAACATTGCTCTCAAGCTCCAGAACTCCGGTAAGGCCAAGGTGCTTGGAACTGACCCCGAGGATATCGACAAGGCCGAGGACCGCCACAAGTTCTCCTCCATCTTGGACTCTATCGGTGTGGATCAGCCGGCTTGGAAGGAGCTTACATCGTATGAAGATGCGAAGAAGTTTGCTCTGGATGTCGGATACCCTGTCCTCGTCCGACCATCATACGTTCTTTCGGGTGCGGCAATGACTGTCATCCGTAGCGAAAACGAGCTTGAGGAAAAGCTGCTCGCTGCCTCCTCCGTCTCTCCCGACCACCCTGTAGTCATCACCCAGTACATTGATGGTGCTCAGGAGATCGATTGCGACGCTGTAGCCTCCCACGGTAAGGTCCTTGTGCACGCTGTGAGTGAGCACATTGAGAACGCTGGTGTCCACTCCGGTGATGCAACTCTCGTCCTCCCACCGGTCAACCTCGACAAGAGGATTCAGGAGCGTGTCAAAGAGATTGCGGACAAGGTCGCCAAGGCCTGGAGCATCACCGGTCCCTTCAACATGCAGATCATCAAGGAGGAAGTTGAGGGCGCCGAGCCCAACCTCAAGGTTATCGAGTGCAACCTCCGCGCTTCCCGTTCGTTCCCCTTCGTCAGCAAGGTTCTCGGCACAAACTTCATCGACGTCGCCACCAGGGCGCTTGTCGGCCGCGATGTTCCCGAACCTGTTGACCTCATGGCCGTCGAGAGGAACTACCTCGCCACCAAGGTCCCTCAATTCTCGTGGACCAGATTGGCAGGTGCTGACCCCTTCCTCGGCGTCGAGATGTCTTCTACCGGTGAGATGGCCTGCTTTGGAAAGGATCTCATCGAGGCGTACTGGACATCTGTACAATCGCAGATGAACTTCCGTCTGCCCAACCCCGGGGAGGGTCTTCTCTTCGGCGGTGACGCGACCGCTGGCTCCCTTACTGCCAACTCGCTGATCCAGATTGCCAAATACATCTCTCCGCTCGGCTACAAGTTCTTGGCCGCTAACAAGGACATCAAGGCCTTGCTCGAGGAGAATGCCGAGGGTGTAAAGGTCGAGGTCATCGAGTTCCCTGTGGAAGACAAGAGGGCGCTGCGTGAGGTGTTTCAGAAGTACGATATCCGCGGTTGCTTCAACCTGGCCAAGTTCAGGGCCAATGGCCTGCTAGACGAGGACTACGTTATGAGGAGGAACGCGGTGGACTTTGGTGTGCCGCTGTTTATGGAGCCCAAGGTGAGTTGACTGCATATCGAATAATAGTGAGGATGGAGCTAACAAACCAATAGACTGCCACACTCTTCGCCCAGTGCATGAGCGAGAAGCTGCCCAAGAAGGACGGCATCCCGAGCGAAGTCAGGTCGTGGAGCGATTTCGTCGGCGGACGAGCGTTGTAGACAACCATTCTGCATATCGAAGTCACGAATACAAAATGAAAGAAGAGAGATAGACATGCGCCGGGGTCAGCTAGTCAGATACCCGATTCGAGGATGAGAGGAGATGTGGAAGGAAATCTTGGTCACATACGTGTGAGCATTCCCGGCCCATAGTCGGTCAGTTGCGACTGCAACGTCAGTTCTTTAGAGGAGTTGGGAGGGGGCTGTCATGTGCGTGTATGTGTAGTTGTGAGGTCATTTCGTTGATGTCAAATCTTCACTTTCCAGCTTGCTCAACACAGCTCCGATTCAACTGCGCATTGGTGAACGTGAGAACGGATGATTTGTTAATGCTAAGCTTTACTATTGAGATCAAATTTGCTTCTCTCAGCCACCGCTAGAGAGACTCGTCGAGCCCGGCAACGCACTGCCGTGGCAGTTAATATTATTTACTAAGAAAGAAATGTCATCCCCGAGGTATATAGATGCCATGCCTACGAAACGCCTACTACCCAGTCTAATCACCACGCCTAGGCCCGAGAGGGAGCCAGGAAGAGTTCAGACATATACCGCGCTGCCAAAACAGTAGCCCCGTGTCCATGTCCATGTCCATATTCTTGGCCTATGAGAACTTCCACCTGTTGCCGCAGTTCATGCACTCGCAGAAAGTCGTCATGGGCTCATCGGCACTGCGCGTCTGGGCCTGGCTGTACGAGACCATCTTCTTCTTGCACTTTCCGCACTGGAATTCCTTGGAGATAGACTTTTCGACCTGCGCGACCATGGCCTGGTTCATGTTCTCCTTCTCGAGCTTCTCGTCTTCTTTGCGGCGGGCTTCTGATTTCATGTCGTCGTGCGACATGATGACGAAGCGCTTGGGTGTTACGTCGCCGGAGAGGACGCGTTGGCGCAGCTGTGGGTTGGACTTGTTTTTCAGGTTTTGGAAGAGCGAGCGCATTTTTTGCTTGTAGGCGTCGTTGACACTGCCGGCGTTTGCGTATGCGGCGGCTTCGACTTGCTTCGCGACACCAATGATTTCGTCGGGGACTGGGCGGGAGTTAGCAGGCATATTGGGTACCTCATATGGCTTACTTACGCTCAGAGCTCATAAAGGCCAGGCCATCGTACATCAGGCGTACACACTGGTCGCGCGACTCGTTGCCCGTGACTTGGTACCGCACCTTGTCTGTCTTGTAGTTGCGCTTGTCTGGGTCTACGTTGTGGGCCGCGACTGCCTTCTTCTTGGGCTGAGTGGGTGCTGGAGACTGTGTGCGTGACGGTTGCGCGGCGGGGGATGCGCTGCCGTTTGCTGCTGGAGCCTTTGCTGGCATGGGCTTCTTGCCCGGCTGCTTCTTGACCTCGTCCCTCCATCTCGACACCAGTTCCGTAGCCAGCTTCTGGACAGCCGGGTCCTTATGTTGGCGCAGACGGTTGATGGTGACGCCTATCCTGGTCTGGCGCAACAGCTCCTCAGTCGCGTGCACCCCCGTCTTCAGGTCGTTCATGAGCTTGATGAGCGAGGAACCAGGCTCATTCTCTTGCATCGCCTTCCCAATGGCCTTGCCGCGAAGCTCGATTTCTTTGGCGTCCATGGCGGAGGAGGTAGGGTTCGAGGAGTGATCGTCGGTCGCGTGATACAATAAAGGGCTTCAGGAAGCGACGATGAATGCGAGGTTGTTCGAGAAAGGCTGGAGCGTGCCAAGACATTCTCTCCGCGAAAATAAGTGGGTCGTTGAACATTGAGGCAACCGCGCCCGTCAGTTGGAACAAGTACAACGATCGCCGTGTATATCTTCGTATAGTTTGGAGAAGCTCAACTGAGCCTTATAAAAGACATTGAAGCTATCCAGACAGCCGTACCAAGCAACTCATCTCCCAGCAAGCGCGTAGAAGCACGCCATGGCCGAGAACGCAACACCGACAAGCGCAAAGGACACAGGCGCCGATGCCTCGCGTGGTGTGCCATACTACGAGCGACTGCGACGCGACTTACGCGATCTCCTCCAAAAGAAACGCGCTATCGACAACGGCCTGGTGTGTACAACGCCATAAACGCGTCCAGACATTGCGCTTACCTTGGATGCAGCTCCAGCTCGAAGACAACATCCTGCGACAGGAGACGACTTACCTCGAGGAGACCAGCGCGGGGAACATCATCAAGGGCTTTGACAACTACATCAAGGGCGCCGCGACAACCACAACCACAGGTGGGGCAGGCACGGCTACGCGACGAAAGGCCCCCATCAGCGATGCGGACAGGATCTTCACCCGAAGCTCCAACAGCTTCCTGAGAGTACGCTGAGCACCGCTACAATACAAGTCAGATCTTCGACAAACGCTGACTGTTCTCGCGCAGGAAGCGTCCATCCCCGGTTCGGCAACCACCACTCCATCACACGCGCCCACGCCGACGTCGTCGTTTCCCACCCGCGAATCGAGCCAGCCTACCAACGGCGCAAACAAGGCAGCAGGAGGAAGTAAGAAGAAGAAGGTTGGGGACGACGATGACACTGAAGACAGATCAGTGAAGCGCAACAAGATCTCGTACGCGAGAGAGTGAAACACGGGACAGGCGCCCAGCTGTGGGAACCACGGCGAATCTGTTCTCTGCGATTACCATCGCGTATCCCACCGATCCACGACGGGACGCCCAATTGTCAAGTCCTGATTAGGAAGGTTGAAACTGGCGGTCAGGAAACATCATGGCCGCGTGTTCAGCAGTATGACTTGTGGATTTGTGTCAGGAGGTGTGGACACTGTGCTGTGTGTCACTTGGGCCGCGGGGTACGGTATCAAATTCCAGCACGGGACGGGCTCCGCCAGTAAGTGGATATGCTGAGTTCCGCCGTGCCATGGTAGAGGAAATTAGAGTGGTCTTTGCTCGTTTCGAGTGGAGGAGAGGAAAAGCTGTCGGTGCCCTTGGCACATGTATTGTACTCTCCATGAGTGGCGGGGTACATATTCACACTTTGGGCGTGCATGGTCGCTCGGCGATACTCGAGTCGAAGATGGAGGGTGGAAGTGCACCACCCGACCAGGCGGAAATAACAAAGAAAAAAGGACCTTTGATTCCCAAACACCCATGTTCTTTATCCTTGCCCTCATCGCCGACGGTCGTGGTTTCTAGAAGACCAAGGGAACGAAGGCATCCTGAAAACGCAAAGATCACCCCAAAACACACATTCCACCCGTTTGAATCTGAGACAGTAGCGTGGCTTTTGCCGCAGGGCTGTGCCACATTCTTCCAAACTTTGCGAGATCATGCAGCTAGACCAATCATAATTCAACGTGCATATGCTTCGGACGTGCGCTGGCACCCACACCTCTCAAGGAAGGTGTGATCGTCACACGTAGGGTGTCAGGTTAGCCGTGACCCGTGAGACGTTGACAAGCGAAGGTAACTCCACAGCCACGCTCAGTTGCTTTAATTAACGCAGCGTGGGGGGGGGGATGGAGGAAAGAGCTAACCTGGGTACGTTCTGCAAGACCCTCTCACCGGATACAAATCTATATCCATCACCTCCTAAGATAATAAGCCGGTCGTATCGAGTCCAATACCCAACAAGCACATCCGCACATACCCTACGTTTCAAAGCGCCTGCAAGTTGTCGCGTCTCGCGGTGATCACACTACTCTTTGGGTGAAAACGGTCAGGCACAGATGTTCAAAGCCCGATCCCATCGCCATTAATCTTCGGGCCGAGTAAAGGCCAAATGGCTAACCCCACAGCCTGGGGATAATACTGCGCTGTGCTGCGATATGCTGCGATATGCTGCGATATGCTGCAATGTGCTGTACTCCGCTGTGCTCTGCCGCGCTCTGCCGTGCTGTGCTGTGTTTTCGGCGGCATTACGCCCGACAGAGAAAAAAATCCACCCGACATGACAGGGCGACAGAATGCATGTGCAGCGAGCGGAAGCGTTTCGCTGAAATGAAAATGCACGCGCTGTCAACGAGCGCATACGCTCCGAGGTCGACGTCAGGGGCCGGGGGGCCAGCGCTGTGCGACAGGCATCCCATCGCTATTCCGTGTCACAAAGGGCGCTGTGTTCTCAGGGTCCAGCAGGGATCTCCTGCGCGGTGATGTCGGCCAAGAGAACCTTGTCGTCAGCGGTTGGCGCCAGTGATGGCATTGCGGAGCTGAATGTGTTTAGGAACGCAAAGGGCCACCGCATCACAGCGCATCGCAGCGCATGACATGTGTGGCCAATATCGTGTCGAATCATTTCTTCACACCTGTCGTCATGGTCAGAAGTTAGGAGACGGGGAAGGACCAGAAGAGGTGTGGTAAATAATATGCTTTCATATCTGAACCTGCGTCATTGCTAAATGACGAGATGCGGGTACCATCCGGGCAACGCGCCGACCTAATTATTATTGTACAGCCATCATGCAGCCACCTCTTTGTCCTACAGTGGGTACTAACGAGAGTCTATAAGGGTATAGTGACAGAGTGGATCAAATCCAACGAAAAACAAACGGAAGCGACCGCAGTCTGAAAATGTGTCGTACTGATACAACCAAGCGGGGCGAAACTCGCTTGGAGAGGGATGGGTCCCATAGGACAAAACGCCAAACGCCACGGCTGGCTTCCAGGATACTGAAAAAGCAGCCGATAGGTATCTCGAAAAGGTCCTGGAGCGACTGATAGAATAATGGTCACTGATATGGTGGCCCAAGTCCCGATCTAACGTCCTGATCAAATACGTTGTGCTGCAAACGCGCAGCACGGGATATCTCAAAGAAAAGAAAAAACAGCCGTGAGATTAGGGTATTGAAGGTGTGATGTGAGATAGAAAACCGCAAGGATCAAAGAAACAAAAAATTGCTCAATGGTCGGAAAACTTGGCATCATCTGGTGATGGATGATCGTGGGTGCCGTCGTTCTTGTGCACTTTTCGGTGACGTCTCAGATTCGATACGACAGAGAAATGGCGACCGCAACCGTCAACTTCGCAAGCGAATGCTGTGATATGATTAGCGCAAGCTCCGTTTACAGGCTCAAAAACACTTACGCTTCTCTCCGGTATGGCTGTACATGTGGGTTTGCAGGGAGCTTGGGCGCGTGAATCGCTTGTCGCAAATCTTGCACTTGTGCTTCTTTTGCGAGCTGGAAGACACTTTTGAGCTGAACTGACTCATCATGGACTGCGGCGCAGGAGGCATGTTTGCGCCCAGAAGCGCACTGGGTCGTGGGAGTGTCCGTGAGTTTGTGAGGTCGACAGACTCGGATGCAGAGCTGTAATCAGTCACAGACCCCTCTCCAGCATAGTAGCCGTTGTGGCCGTAACTCGCTGATGATATCGATGAGTGCGCAGAGTGGGGCGTTGGGAAACCATAAGAGTCGGTCGAGCTGCGAGTAGATGTGCCGTAGATATTCCTCGGGGTGATGTCGGACTGGCTCAGGGAAACCATCCCGCGGCTGGCATCAAGTGCATCGCTGAAGCTGTTGCGCGGAGCTGGTTGTGAATTAAGTCTGCTAAAGTCAACAAGTGAACCTTGGCGGTGTCGCTGGGCCTCCATAGAGTTGGCATAGAACGCGGCGGAGGGGACTGACGGGTGTGAAGAGCGACGAGAAGCATCCTGCTGATATGGATATAGACCTCGCTCTGTGTTTCCATATTCAACCTGAGAGTAAGGAGCCGAAGTAGGCGCATATGTCGGATGACTTGGCGAGGCAGATGACGTGTATGCGTTGGAGTAACTCCGCGACATTAGATCTTGAGAGACATGGAGTAAGTTTTCTGTCACAAGAGTTCCATCCGAGAGAGCAATACCTGTTCCGAGAGGCGCAGCTGTCACTGGAATACCATGATATGGGATCGCGATGCTGGTAGGCCTGGCCTGGGTTTGACTCTCGAGTGCCGATGATACGTTGGGTGCGACCGAGGACGAGTACATGTGCTGCTCTGCGGTACCAGGAGCCTGCGCCCATGGATTGGTAAAGTGCGGTGCTGGGTATCGCAAGTGATCGTAACCCATGCCATTAAGCTGGGATTGCTGACGGGAGTCGACTGCCATTGCCATTATGGTGGAAATGCAACGGGAAGGTGTATGTGGTTGTTTATGCGACGACGGTAAGGAAGAGTGTTAATATAAGAGCACCCAACTGGTAGAGATCCTAGGTCTGAAACAGGGAGTTGAAGGCCGAGAAACGTGGGGAGAGACGATCGTAGTTACGCAGTTGTGGGATCTGCGTGGCTTTATGAACTTCAGTCTGACACTGGGGGACACCCGTGCTGTGGTCTGCCGAGACAAGTAATGATAAGCCGGTTGGCGCGTCGATCAGTTGACTTGCGAGGCAGGGAAGCAGCCCGGCGAGATTGAGAGTTAAAGCCAACGGACACAGATAATAGAGCGGCGGGTGCTTGAGCGTTTCAGGTGCACGACAGCGTGTGGAGAAGATGGCAAGAGCTGGTTGCGTGTCGTGATGGTGAAGGTCTGATCGGCCACTAACGTGATTCGCCAGCAAGCAGTGGGTCGGGGGACAAAGAAGTAAAGATCAGAGTGCCGCGAAGATGAATGCAGTACTGATTGACTGTGGTGCGTGGTGTAGTAGAAATGGGGTGGGATTCAGTGGGCTTTTGATAAATGGGAGGGAGATGGTCCGCGGACTTCAGTTGGGGAGGGCATATTCATAAATTCCGCTCCTGGGACGTTTACGTCTTGCGAACCACCACAAATTCATCATAGGCTGAAGGCCAAGCGCAAGAGCAAGCAGGTTGGCTAAGCACCCCGGGCACACTACGTCGATGCATGAGCAGGGTATGGGTGTCGCTAGCTTCGTCAGGGTACCTTGAGTGTGGAGTGTGTCTCCACCGACTCCTCTGCACGCTGTAACCTCGAACAGACGCAGCGCAGCCTCTACCGTCGTTTCTATCAGCGCTATCACCGGCTGCTTTGGCACCCGTGGGTGGGTCCATGGTGCGCTTGGCGGGCCATTGCCGCTAGAGTAGAGTTCTCCATGCGTACAGGCGGGATGGCTTTTTGCTGTTTAGCTTAGTGCAGCGCTACAGAGCAGGCTTGCCAGATGAAGCCTGCGTCGCCCCACTCCACGGTTAGTGCAGGTGAGATGGCTTGCGCAAGGACGCTGTTCTGAGGACCGTTTCGCCCTGGCTCTCGTGCCCACAGACGGACCATCGCAGTCCCAAAACATTGCTTTTACCGGCATCGGCTCCAACAGTGCGCAGAACAACAACATCATCAGCAGCAGCACCGACTGCAAGGGACCGAAAAAGGGGCCTCTATCTCTGATGCAGTGCGTCCCGCCGGGAACTGGCCGGACTGCTGACCTCAATCGGTCCGCACAGCATCGTCAAAGTCTCCACGTCGTTGCGTATCCGAACCATTCCCCTCAATTCGCTATCTAACACTGACTCCGCTGCCCCCTCCTTCCTCTCTTAGTTCATCGACTGCGGGGCCTGAAAAGAGATTAACGTCCCCTGAAACGGTAACCGTGCAAGCGGGCTAAGCACAGAATAAGCGTTTGATCGCCACCAGAATTTCTCTTTCAGCATCGCAGGCTGGCTTAGCTTGGTCGTCAGCGGGTGGTAAGCTGAGCGCACCGTGAGTCTGTGTGTGATGTGTTCAATTTCGGAACATTTTCCTGTCCAGACGGGGCGTCCAATAAAAAATAAGGAGCCACTGTACCTGCTTCGAGCAGCATCGCACCCTCGAGTCTGTCCAGGATGGCGTCTCAACCTTGGCTACGGTCAAGCACAAGACCAGTTGAGGGTGTCATGTGTGGAAAGCCGAGTCAGGCGTATAGTGCGTATTCCCGCCAATGATGTGCTTGAACAAATATCGCGGAACGTTTTCGCACCCAGTCTCTTGCACATTCTCTTTATCTCCAATTCGAGGCTATGGTTGCAGGCGGGCTGCTAGCCGCAGCCAATGATGGGTGCCAAGGTCAAATTCTGTCCTTCTGCTGACAGACACGACCTGTCCGAGAGACGTATTATGTCGTCATGAGCGCACAGGCACGTCCAACGGCCAGTCATTGGCAGTCGAAGTATGGGAGTAAACCATATAGAGGACGATGTAAAAGCGGTCAAGGCTGTGGGGGGAGTCTTGTAGCACATAATCGCTACAGCCGGTGGAAGCGCATTGCCAGGTCCTCGTCTGCAGCATCGTAGCCGGCATGCTGTGGAGAAAAAAACATCTTCGAGTGGATGTTGTTTTCCTGCAGCCAATACGAAGTGGCGACACAGACCGGAAAAAGCATCCTCACGGCCGCCTACCGGCTTGAACAGCGCTTCTCGTGACTGGTCAAGCTGCGGGCGTCCACACGACCTTGCATTTTTCCAAAGGCCTGTAGGATCGAGTCAGTCTAGCAGTGGGGACCCACAAGGCCACTCGCTATGCAGGGCAGGGCAGGATCAGCCATCCCGTACTCCCTTGAGCCTGCACTACATTGAACCGTTTGGCTTGGCGCTCATAGCAAGTGCACTCGATAAGCATGACACAGCTGACGCTATGAGCTGCTAACATGTAGTCGAAAGCTACAATGTTAGAAGCGGTAGGGCTACGGGCCGTACACCACCTATTCAGCAAGCCACCAACTGCAAAGCTAAATTAGAGAGAGAGAGGACACCGACGTCAACTACAAACTTCAATCATCTTCGTCCGGATGAGGACACCATGAATCGAGATTAAACAACGGCATTTACCATGCCCTGTCTGCTCAGAATCGTGCTTTCTTTCTTGGCACGTGCTGTTGCTGTAGCCTGCCGAGTCTGACACTTGAACTTCTGGGGATTTGTTTATTCCCGATATACTGGAACATACGATCTCTTGTGGAGAAAGACTACTCCATGTTCCTATCTTCTGGTGCGACAGACGACCATCTTCAATGATCATCAGCGTGATCAGCAAAAGCCCCCGAGACGAACCACACGTGCGGCGTGCGGCGCGGGCAGATGGGAATGCCATGTTTTGATGTGCGTTGGCAGCGGTGATCGAATGACGATCGACCCGTTTACGCCTCTGTGTCGTGCGTTGAAATTCGATGCGGACCCCCGTTCCTCTCCACCTTAGTCTACTCACAATTGAATGCTTTTGCTATCACCCATGGCCCACTCTACCAAGGCCAAATTAATCGAGCCAAGGAAGCAAAATGAAGCGTATTGAAAGTATAAGGGTGGATCCGGCGAGAACTTGAACCGGGTATCCAGGTATCTGGGGTAAGAGAAGGAACATCTTGCTAGCGCAGAAAATGAGTTTGGAACCAGTGATTTCGCCAACATTTCGCCTCAACGTTGGAACTAGCTTGCTGTCACCTCTCCAGTGTAACAATCGGAGATTATGACTCGACTGTCAGGCGTCAAGTGTAGTGGTGGCTTTGCGGTTTCCAGATCGTTCCCCCACGGCGTGCTTTCGTGTATGGAACTCCTTACACTTTACTTTGTCAACTTCAATTGTTGAGGCTTAATTGAAAAAAGAGATGCAAAATCTGTTAGTGACTTTAATTTTATTCACGAATAGCAACACGACTAATCTTGAATGTGGTATCCCTCTCTGCGTACAAGCTATTCGCCACAAGTCGGCATCTTCCAGGACGCTCGCATGTTAGCTAGATCCATCTCAATTTAGTAACTCTGGCGAATGGAAATATTCCTTCAGAACACTCGAAAAGTGGATTTGGTGTGCGTACGTGGTGTACATGGTTTACTTCAGGGGGATATCACAATTCCGTGCTGTTTCTTCGAGTCATCTCCCCCTTTCCTACTTTTCAGGCTTCGTGTGCTCATACGAAATCTTCATCACCAGCACACGGTACCCGTACTCTCCAGGGTATTGACTCACTACTTGGATATGGCCAAGGATCTGGTATATTGCACCTACTTGGAAAAACATGCCATATCTTGAAGCAGCAAAGTGCACATGACGCGATTCGCCAATCTCCAGCACTAACCTTCCTGAAGTCAAAGCCTGTTCCCGTACGCTATTGAATTGTTGTGATAAAACTCCGGCCAACGACGGTCTATCGACAGTTGAGTTTGAGATCTGCGAGCGGGCTGATGGTGCAGTGCGGGATTGAGTCGGAGCTTAACAGTTGTGTCCCGTGCTTTCTTAAAGCGGTTCGTAAACCCAAAGGTCAGTTGATACAGGAATATGACACTACACGAATGTAGCACGTACATGCTGCATAAGGAATCCGGCATGCCCCTTTCGTAAAGCTAGCTACTGCATGGGGCAAGGCAATACCTTGTCGCTAATATAAGCCGTGCGAATGAAGTGGGGCTGTGCTGGTCGCCGACCTTTAACAACCCATGACCAATCAACGTCGAGTGACCCTCCCATCCCAACACCCGTCTCATCACGACGAACGACTAATTGAACAATGGATTCGGGATCCCTCAACATATCCCATTACGCTCTTCACTGCGTTCATTGCAAACTAACCCTTATATAACGGGCCATGGGATCATCGCCAGACTGGATACAGTCGGCATTTTCGACTAGGCGCAAGTCAACTTCATTTGCGGTCCTTGTCGAGACCCCCCAAATTCAACTGTTTTCATGTGTCGACACCACTCTCACTTCATCTAGAGAGGTGTCCAGTGACTGTCAGCTCGCTGTCGCGAACCCGGTTTGCTGGTAATGATGGTCGCGCAGAGAGATGCGCGCCTTTGCCATCGATCAAACTTTGAGAATGGTTGACTACGTTCGAGCTGGCGTCAACCTCACGACTCGACTCATGTAGCAAGGCAGCGTCTTCGTCCTGCTCGTGGGCCAGTCTCCCAATGTTCTCTTCGGTCAGAGGCATACTTGGTTCAACTTCCTGCCCCTGTGATCTACCACGGTGGTTGAGCTGCGGCCCTGTGAGCGATATTAATTTGTCGTCTCGTAACTTGGTATCTCGTTCTTCGGCATGGATGCGTCGCATGGCCCTGTCCCCTTCGTCTTCCGAGGAATTCGCAAAGGCTTTGTCGTTCTGAAAATGCAGGCGGTCAAGTTGGGCATCGAAGGTTGTTTTAGAGCCAATCGGAGGGCTTGCGATATTCGAGCCATCCTTAGCACCAAGACCCGATATCAGTGAGCCCGAGACTGTTGCGACGTGTCGATCGTTGTCATCTATGGATGGCTCGTCTTTGGCCGGTTTTCGCCGTCCTTCAATTGCCCATTTGACAAGCATCTTTTCAAGGGTCAGGTGGCATTCAACGTTGCGCTTGTTCAAAACTTACCTTCTCCAGAAGCTTGCCCTTGACTGGTTTGGCCAGGTAGTCCTAGATTCGTCAGCACGTGGAAGCCATCAACGTGAATGTCCTGATCAAGAGACTCACATCCATTCCTGCAAGCGTGCACTTCTCTTTGTCTCCTTGAATGGCGCTGGCTGTCATGGCAACGATTGGAACACCCCGGACTTCGGGCCTGTCTTTCCAAGGGGCCTCTCTCCGAATCGCGTGCGTAGCGGAATACCCATCCAAAATCGGCATCTGGCACAAACAATTAGCAAGCGGTGCGTCCGTTGTTGTTTCGAGTAACCTACCTGTACATCCATAAGAATGATATCAGGTTGAGGATGAGACGGCGTAAATTCTTGTTTGAGATAGTCTAGAGCTTCTTGTCCGTTCCAGACAGCATTGACTGAGAAGTGCAATTTTTTTATTGTCTTCAGGGCGATTTGCTGGTTGATGTGACTGTGACAAGAATTAAGCCTGGTCACTAAACAAGCAGGAGAACAATGTAACTTACTTGTCCTCGACAACCAGAATATGAATTTCCCTCCTTTCGTTCTCAGACAATTTCATAACGTGATCTGGAATCTTGGGATTGAACATGGGGAACGATTGGACTCTCGAGTGTCCATCGATATGCTTTGGTGTCACAGGCGGTGTGTGAATCTCGGAGCTCCCGCAAGACACTGATACATCGCTTTGAAGCCGGTCTGGGATTGACGCGAGATCAACCAATGGTGATCCATCGCCTTGGTAGGGTACTCTGCTGAATGGAATCCAGAATGATGCTGTAGTCCCTTGACCCAGTTTCGACTCAAGTCCGATTTGACCTTTCATAAGTTCAACAAGATTCTTGCTGATGGTCAGGCCAAGACCTGTGCCGCCAAATCGGCGAGCAGTGGATGAGTCTGCCTGGCTGAAAGGTTGGAATAGACGCTTGCGAACTTCGTCCTCGATACCGATGCCTGTATCCTTGACCTTGAAGTTGACTGTGACTGTGTCCTTGGATTCATGGGTAATTGCGACGCTAAGCGTGACCGAGCCTTCCGACGTGAACTTGATACTGTTTGTCAGGACGTTGGTGAGAATTTGTCGCAATCTTCCAGGATCTCCCACTACTCTCAAATCTCGTTCAACTTCTGGTTGTATGATACTTTGATATACCAGACCCTTTCTTTGTGCCGCGAAAGACATCATCTTGTTGACATCTCGGAGAACTACACTGAGGCTGAATTGCACCTCTTCCACGTCCAATCGCCCAGATTCGACTTTTGAGAAGTCGAGAATGTCGTTGATGACTGTCAGGAGACTATTGGCCGAACGATGTATGTTTTCTGCACATTCTTTCTGCTCTTCGTTGAGGTTCATGTCGAGTAAAAGTTCGCTCATGCCGATAGCACCAGCAATTGGTGTTCTGATTTCATGAGACATGTTCGCGAGGAACTGAGATTTCATCCGACTTGCTTCCTTCGCTGCTGCTGCGTTTGCTAGGAGCGTTGAATTTTCCTTTTCTTGCTCTCGAAGCTGATCTTCCTTCGCCCGTAACTCAGTGATGTCCATCGAGACACCAATGACCCCGTCAACAAACGAATCGCCTTCCACGCCTCCAATTCGAGGTGTGCTCCATAGTGGAGCAAGACGTGTCCGATAAATGCGATCGCTACCTGCCAGGTCTTGTTCGACAATTCCATCCTGTGTCTTTCCAGTAAGGATTTCAGAAAAGAGTTTCTCTTGACGTCCTCGCTTTTCGCCGCTCATGTTGAACAGTTTGAAGATATCTTCCCCCAACGTATCCTGGCCTAAATCTGACTTCCAATGCGAAACGCCCTCGAGTAGAACCACTTTGCTCTCCCGGTTCACTGCCCACAACAAAATTTTCGCGTGCTCGATTACTTTTCGAAGTTGTTCCCTGGTCTGGCGCGCTTCTTGTCGAGCCACTACTAAGTCGTGTATATCAGTACAGGTTCCAAACCACTTGATTATTCGTCCCGCATCATCGTGGAATGGAATAGCACGGCCGAGCATCCAGCGCCATTCTCCGTCGTATCGTTGGCATCGATACTCTGTGTTGTATGTCTCACCGGTCGCGAGTGAGTGCATCCAGGCAGGAGCAGATCGAACTACATCCTCTGGATGGAACGGTAGTCGCCAACCTTCACCTATGGACTGATCCACAGTCAACCCTGTGTAATCGTACCAACGCTGCGAAAACCAATCATGCATTCCATCGGACGTCGTTGTCCACACCATGACAGGCATAAAATTGGCAATGTACTCGAATTGTTTCTCGTTCTCTTCGATTTGTGCTGCGATCTGATTTGTGTATTCAGTAACATCCTTGAAGATTACTATTCCCCCTAGGAATTCCCCAGTCTCCTCGTGCGATATTATTTCACCGTTGACTTCGAATACGATTCCATGTCCAGTGGTCGGATGTCGCATACCAAACCGTCTTTTTTCCATTCGCTTTCGTGAACGGCAGAGCTCCATGATCGGGAAATCTTCGAGTGGCAGTTCTTGTTGGAAATCCTCGGTCCACACTCTGAATTGTTGGAGAAAAGCTCGTTGATCACCAGGCGCGAACTACATTTTTAGGTAAAAGGTCAGTGGTTGTCTTGATGCAACATATACTTAGATACTACGTACTGTTGCTTCCTTAGGCAAAAGTCGCATGAGCGCTTTGTTGGGTATACCAAACCCTTCGTCTTTCCACATAGCTGAAATCCACGTCAGGAACCCAGGACTCGCAAGAGAGGGGGCAAGGATATCACAAACCATATGACGGCATGTTTATTGAGTTTAAGATAGCATCTTTCAACTGAGTGGCTTTCTGAAAGATAGAGGCGGAAGCAGACACGTCGTTCCTGCCTGTCGAGGGTGGGCCACGAGGGGGAAACTCGGGTTGTTGTAGAATAGGCGTAACAGCCTTCGATGTGGGATTCGAGCTACTTCCTGAGCGATGGCTGGAGGATGAACTGGACGCGGAGCTGCGCGAGTTATGCGACTCAGACCCAGTGCCTGTTCGATTCACGACCCGACTTGTAGGGCGCGAATTCTTAACAGGCTCGACAGCTGTAGCACTTGTAAAAGTCAAGGTGAAGTATTGAGTGTCTTCTATGTTCCAAATCGAAATGATGCAGCATGCTTGGAATGCGGTATGGAAGGAAACCTTTCTCTCAGTTTTACGTGGGACGCCGTCGATGCCCCGTGCGGAGGGTGCGATTACCACCTCCACAGAGACATCGTGTACCGTGGTCTGCGCTAGATTCGTGCTACTCAGTCGATGTAGAGACAAGTCGCTTGGAGATTTAGAGCGGCCATGCCCTGGTGGCGCAGTGGGTGTAGTGTTGCCACTATCTGTAACGTCATCTCTATGCTGGTCTGGGCCGTCTTTTTTAAAGTCTTCAACGACGCCGTCCAAGAATGCCTGAGAAGTTAGTGACTTAACCGATATCACTTTTGTTTACAGCCATTACGAACCTCCCACGATACCAATATTGGCGAACCATCCTGCAAGATATCAATACCAAGCTGTCCGACACTCTTGCCTTGAAGAGCCTCTGAAATAGAGAAGTCATGCAACGCGATACTCTCGAAGTCGATACCAAGTAAACGGCCCATTGCTTCGTTTGCCAGAGTTATGGTCTTCTGAGCGGAAAGCACGAGTAACGGAATCGGCAAGTACTGCAGCGCGGTAAGGGACACCATAGTGGCCGACGGCGGAAGCATGTGCGAAGAAAATGAGTCGCTGCTATGTGTTGAGCACGGGGACTTTGGTCTGTCGTTGAGATCAAAGTATCCCGTGTCATCACCATCCATTTCGACCGTCAAGATCGACATTGTGATAATTTTTAATCGATCGTGAAGTCGTTATTGGATGCCTCTAAACCAGCCGCACATGCAGCAAACGACCTGGCCAAAACATGGGCAACTGAGCGCGTCGTGACGAATTCAAGGAGTTCGTAGGCGAGGCGGAGGTCGAGGATATCTTTGTAAGGCGCAATATGTATGGAAAGCGGTAGATGATAAGTGGCAGCGGAGATGCACGGAACGTGGATACGGTAGCGGTAGATTGGTCGCAGTTCTAGACTCGCTCGGCGATCCTGTCGGCGAGAAATTTCCAGTGCTGCCTTCGCATGGAAGGTACAGAAGGCACGGTTGAGTCGGGGGATAGAAGGTTGGCGGGAGAGACACACGACAGACAGGTATGAGTGTGTGCGAAGACGGATCTACAGTTATCGTTCGCTATTGTCTAAGCCCAAGAGCTTCTGGAACAACTCGCTCCCTCCACCTAATGCCTGATGACGTAATTGAGTCGGCAATCTCTCCGGGTGCCACGATTGATCCTTTCAGGTACAGATTTGCGGAAACAATGGTAGTGCCAAGATCTGCCACTGCAAGGGTACCGTACTGCTTATGTGGTTGAGCATTCAAGACCACGCGATCATGGGGTTTGCTCGGAAGTGTCACGATCGTGGTAACACAAAGTCCAACTTTGGCTAGATCGTATGTCATAACGACCCGTAACACAGTGTATACGATTGGTCTGTGCTAGAAGAGCTTGCTGAAACCTAACGAGACTCAGGAAGGGAGACGCGGTGAATGCAATTCGTATTCGCTGCCTCTTTCTACCTGATGTATAACAGTGGCTAACATCGTTAACGCCGCAACCTTATCATCGGGATTTCGAGTACTAACAAGTGGTTCTCGTATGAATCAGCCACGCCCTCAAAAGTGACATTCACCGTCATGTTATGCAAAACTGCTTTTTGGTTATGTTACCCGTCTCTAGGCTCTTGACTGCCAGTAACATGTCCTGATTTCCCCACATCCCTCTATGCATTGTATCAAACGTCATATTGCTGTTACTCTCAGGACACCGAATGGTTTTCCATAAAAGTATGAAATGGCCTTTGACACTCGCCGGTGCCTCCAAAGTTGCACAGTCGACTGGTCTTAGGTCTGGAAGGATTGCTACTAATTTCGTCGAAGAGACGGGGGGGAAGCGATCGATGAACCGGCGTAGTCTGGAGGTCCATGTACAACGTCTACATGTTCTGTCGTTCGTCATAGCCGAGTATAGATTCTTTAGAGCTTACTAGATCTAGACGTCTCTAGCGATAAGTGTTAAGAAAAATGTACTTTAAATAATGCTTCGTCATGTACCAACCCCGCTGTCTAAGAACTCAGAACTCGAGTCTATTATCAACGAGACAGAGTGGGTAGAGGTCGGAACGTCGGCATAGTGCTGATGGTATTCTGCGTCAGCCCTATTCTGTCCAACCCGACTGTGACAATTATAGTCATAGGAAGCGAGTTTGGTAAATGTTCTCGATAGTACGGAGTGTGGCAACACTCGAGTGATTATAGGCATGAAAACACCGCCTATGATGGTATGGACCGAGTCTTGTTGTTGCAGAAGTCATTTGGCTACGCCGTTCTGATAAATAAGCAAGAAAGCAGCTGACAGAACTCGGTGGTGTGAGCTCATATAGCCCTGATGCAGCTAGCCTACGTTGAGCACGCAAACTATGGATCGATTCCAAGATACTGGAGAATATACAAGGGTCCAACAGTGGAGATCGGTTGAGGTGGGTCAACTTGAGAGAGGAGCGGGACGACATTGCCAAGCCACGCGCCGTTCCAGGGATTGGAAACGCAACCTTCCGTGTTGATACCAAAACACGATTCGGGATGGCGAACCTGGACATGCTGCTGCTCAAAGGAGCGTCTTCGGAAACCCCTGAAGCCAACCTCAATGAGCTGCGCTATGCTATTCTCGCAAAAGGCATACCTGCGAACAGTGAAGGCATGGTAAGCCATTCCAAGTACTAGCATTGTCCACGAGCCGGAATACCACAACGCCCTACAACTACACACCACTGACGATTCTTTGCTGCAGTCCGAGCTGCGCATCTACATCTGGCTTATATTGTTAAACGCGCCCCCGCTCCGCACCGATGTTTATCTCGACCTCGTTCGACAAGGCGCGTCTCCCGCCCACGCCAAAATCCAGAATGACACCTTCCGAACCTTTCAAGGCGACCCGCTCTTCCGCCGACGCGTTACACAGAACAGCATAACACGCGTTTTGAATGCTGTTGCATGGAGGCTCAACGACGCGCACGAGGCACGTGTCAATGGTTGGCAGTCCCCACCCACCCTGTCCGAGTTTGGCGGCAGTCCCGATACCTCGATCATGTCTCGCCATTCTTTTACTGCAGGCGCTAGGACCGAAGCATCTACGACAAACGATGCCGAGCAGATTGGCTACGTGCAGGGCATGAATGTGCTCTGCGGACCATTTCTCTATGCTTCCCGAAGCGAGGTTGAAGCATTTACTGGTTTTGAGAGGCTCATCACTCAAGAATGCCCAGGATACGTGAGGGGATCTATGGAGGGTGTGCACAAGGGCCTCGCACTTGTCGACCGCGTCCTGGAGGTGGTGGATTCGAAGCTGTACGGACATCTCATGGAACACCATATGGAAGCTAGGATCTATGCTTTTGCATCCGTACTCACCATGTGCGCTTGCACACCGCCTCTGCCCGAGGTCTTGCAGCTTTGGGATTTTCTCTTCGCATATGGCCCGCATTTGAACATTTTGTGCATCGTAGCACAGCTGGTTTTGCTTCGAACGGACATCCTGAATAGCTCTAGGTGAGTCAACTTATTTCACACTGCCAGTTGTACGCCTCTGACACCCATACAGTCCCAATTCAATTCTTCGAAATCTCCCTGCTCTCAACGCCAAGAACATCATCGGTGTTGCTATGAGCTTCGCTGGCAAGATACCAGAGGACATGTATGCCGAGATTATCGACCACGCCAAGTGAGTGAACCATGTATTGAGGTTGGCGTGTGGCGGGATGGTACGGTACTAATGTGTTACGATAACGACGACGATTAATGATACCCTTAGAGCATGAATGTGGACTTTGGAGCACTTACAGCATGTGATAGAGCTAGTAGTCACTTTAATTGTAGCAATCTTTTACTTTCTTCTCTCACCCTGGAGTTTTTCAGCAACGAGACTTGCCAAATGTGCCTTTACTGGGACGTGCAAACAGCCTATCTAGTAAAGCTATTTTCGAATGGCTTGGTCTTCGCTTATTACCTTCTCAGTATTATGCAAAGGGGAAGGCAGAAAGTGCACAGAAAGATGTGATGAATGTGATTATCTATCGTGCCAGAGAACAGGTATAAGTACCTTCTCTGGACTTTGTCTCAGACAAGCAGATTGACAAACATACCCTTTACGAGACCACAACCGGGGTTGAGACATGACCAGTTGGAAACCCTCCCAACATGTATCCTCAAATCACCCATCGCCTTTCAGATACAGCCTGTATCTTTTACGCGGCCTCTTTACTACTTCCTCTAATCCTACCAACTTCAACACGACTCTCTCATCTGCACCGTTTCCCAAGCGAGTCCAGTGGCGCCTTCGACAACTACCCAAACGTCGAGCATCGCTTCCTGACCTTCAGGATCTCAGCAGCCACTTCCCACCCATACTCACATGGAAAGGGGTAATTGAAGATATCCCATCCTTCCTTGTTTGTTATGGGTGTCTTACTGAGGTCGAGGCGTTATGCTTGTTAGTGAAGATTCGTCTGAGGTAGCGCTTTTGCTATACAACCAGAGCTCGACACTGTCATTCTACGGCGAAAACACCAACCGCTAAATCGGCGAAAGACGAACACTCATGTCAGTATCATGTCAGTACCCCGATCCCCAGTACAGCTCTCGTAAGCTATGCGAATAAGGATTGTGCTACATACGCCGTTGGAAATACCGGATGCCCAGATTTCCATCCTGTCCAAGAGAAGTTGAGGGAAATCAAACTCCGTTCGTTGGGTTTCGACGTTATCGCATGCCCGTTTCTGTCTTCAGATTCGAGTTGCGACAGTCGGTGCCGATTGACCACCTTTGAGATTATGGATTTCTTCTACAATTCAAGAGTTGCTCGGCGACATATAGCTCCAGTATTTCAAGGGGACCTTCATCACGCACCTAGACCACCCTTTTATTTCCATCCTCTCTAACGCCAATCAGACGTTTGTGCAAATGCCGAAGAAAGAAAAGACACAGCTTCACCTCCAGATGCGACCTATCGACCAAATATTACAGATAAAGACTTTCTGACAGGACACAACCTACACTGACACCGTCGCCAATTCTACCGGTACAAAGAAAGCCCTGATTCTATGGACTGTCGGATTATCTCCAGAGACGCGATGCACATGCAGCTTAAGAAACTTGCCCTGCCCGACGACGAGCTCAATCCGAGATAACGACCAAGCATACACGAACGGAAATCACACACTTCACTCGATTTCACTCTAACAGGAGTTTGCAATCGACATGGAAAGTACACCAACCATCTCACGCGAAACTATTCCCCAGCCCGAATTTTCAGCGCTGGAATAGAAGAATGGCCGCGTTCAAGCAGTTTGAGGCTACTCGACTACTTGCACGATCCGGCTAGATAACTAAGCTGTCTACGAAATTCGATCCCGCGCTGGAATTGCAGACACAACATTGCAACAAAATGATCCTTGGGGAGAATATCATCAATTACTGTCAGTCATTGGGCTAGGCGCAGAAATATGAATGCGTTTCTGGTATGGATATCAGTTCGCCGACGATCCTTGGACATTCCTCAATCACAACTTTCACTAGCCTTGAAGCTCGCCTTGTTCACTGTCGCCTCCATGCTCATGCGTTGGGCTAGCACCAGTGTCAGGTGTAAACTTTGCCACTGCTCTCGGCCTTTCGCAGCTAGCAATGCCACGGTGCTTCGTGTTCCTGAAAGCGTTACCGTGTTCAGCGAGAGGTAAAAGAATCTCTGCGACTGGAGCTATTAGGAAGAATGATGTAGGAATGAAGACAGTAGGGTCGTGTCTGTTCCCAAGGACTGATATAGAAAGGATACAAGCAACAATATACAAGATACGCGGCAATCGAACCAGTAGCTTTCACATACAACTCAACCTCCTAAGACGATATACAAAACAGAAAAAAGTCTACCCATACTTCCAACGCGTTGATTCCATTATGATATGACATGCAAACCACCCCACCCACACAACATCACATCTTACTAGCCTCCCTAATGACTTCCCTCGTCAACACCTCCCCCTTCTTCCTCTCCTGACTCAGTCTGCCCATCTTCAGCAACCGCCCAATCATCTCCTCATCCCCAAAATGGCTATTATGCTCAAACTCTGGTTCCGCGCCGTACGCCACCCTCGCAGCATCAACCATGATGCGCGCCGTCATACCGAACACACGAAACGCAGTCAAATCGTCGAAAGAAGTGGGTTCAGGCCGGGGATCGTCGCCCTCTGGCTGCGCCGACGGCGCCGAAGCAAGCGAAGTCGAAGAGGTCTGTGAGGGGTTTTTGGCGAGCGAAGAGGGCGATTGGGCAGGGCGGGGGATATAGAAATTGTGCATGCGCCACTTGCTCTCATGCCAGTCTGTCCAGCTCCCCCGGTACCATTTCTCGGGCTTGCCGTTCTTCTGTACGGGGCCTGGGCCTTCGCCCTTCCACTCCTTGTGCAGGAAGTTTGCGAACGGCGCGGTGAAGACGGCGGCGACTTCCTTGGGGTCGAGACGCGGTATTAGTCGCTCTTCGACAGACACATCGTCTGCTTCTCCAGATGAAGATGAAGATGCAGATGGTGTCTTGTCCGGTCTCAGAAACGCAACACATGGCCGAACACCCAACTCGGTCCTGGCCAGGTTCGCCGGTAACTCGCATAAATGCTCGACCTTGAACCCCTTCAACCGCCCTAGTCCACCCTCATCCCACGGCAGACCGACTTCCTCGTACGCTTCCCGTCTCGCAGTCGCAAACGGTGATTCGTCGAGAGAGTCTGTTTTACCACCCGGCAACGCAGCTTGGCCCGCGTAGTTGCGCAGATGCGCGCTCCGCATCGTGAGCACGACTTTGAGGTCGCCGTGGTGGTCAGGGAAGAGCAGGATGAGGACGGCGGCGCGTCGCGTTAGAGGGCAATTATACCATTGCGTAGGTGGAGGATTGTAGGCGCGGAGGCGGGCGAGGGCTTGCTGGTGGGGGTTAGTATGGCACGAGGGTTGGAGAATATGCGGGCATATGCGGACATACAATTGAAGACTGGGAAAGCGCCATGGTCGCTATGGCTTTGCTTTGCGCGAGCCATGCTGTTGGCCTCATGGGATGCGCGTGGGACAGAGCTCGCGAGAGTCGGAGGGGTTCATGTCATGGGCCGAGGCAGTCGTAGCCGATAGGAGGACTCGATGACGAAGATTCGACTTCGACGTGTTAGTAATATGCCTCTGATCGTGTCGTCTGTTCGTGAAGCATTTCTGGATCTCCCAATAATGGCGGCGCATTGACGACTAGAGCATGTTCACATGGAAGAGTAGCATATTCAGTAACTATCATGCAATTGAACCGCGTCTCTATATGAAAGGAAACTCATGATCGTCATCGTAGACAGGCGTGGCCATGGAAATGGTATCCCATCGCAACAAGTCATGATAGCTTGCAGCAACCCCCCAAAATGCGGAGTCGCCGGCAAGCAGTAAAAAGGAAACAGTAGATCGCAGAGAGAAACAATCCAGCCAACGGCGCATCTGCTGCGTATCTCTATCATGTGCAGAAAACATTCTTTTGGGGAAATCATTTCGCATATGAAAATGGACAAACGCCGAGATGCCGCGATGTACAACCCCAGAGACGACCACTCGTCCCACCTCGAATCGCTTTTTATCAAAGGAAGAACACCACCTGACCGAGCAGGTGTGCCCGAATTAGATTACCACCGCCTCTATCCCAATTACGCCACCAAAATGTTCAGCGGGTAAGGAGAGACGGTAGTTGGATCGCAGCGAGGAACAACTGTTTAGATGAGGTCTGTAAAATGTCAGAGGCCAATACTTCAATAGACGGTTCATGATAAACTTACCAGCCACGTTCATGGGCATCTCCTCGATCTGTGTGCTGTAGAACTGCTCAATCTCGCGCATCATGCGGACATCGTCAGCAGTGACGAAGTTGATGGCAACACCCTTTCGTCCGAAACGTCCACCACGACCGATGCGGTGGATGTAGTTCTCGCGGTTGGCGGGCAAGTCGTAGTTGATGACCAGGGAAACCTGCTGGACATCGATACCACGGGCCAGAAGGTCAGTGGCGATGAGGACACGGGAAGATCCTGATCGGAACTCCTTCATGATGACATCACGCTGGCCCTGGTCCATGTCGCCGTGCATGGCGGAGACGGTGAAGTCACGGGCAGTGAGCTTGTCGGTGAGCCAGTCGACCTTCCTGCGGGTGTTGCAGAAGATGACGGCCTGGGTGATGGTGACGGTCTCGTACAAGTCGGACAGGGTGTCGAGCTTCCAGTCCTCCTTCTCGACAGCAATGTAGAACTGCTTGATACCTTCGAGGGTCAACTCGTCCTTCTTGACGAGGATGCGGACGGGGTCGCGCATGAACTTGGTGGTGACCTCAAGAACGTCCTGGGGCATGGTGGCGGACAGGAGGACGACCTGAGTGGACTGGGGCAGAAGCTGGAAGATGTCGTAGATCTGCTCAGTGAAACCGCGGGACAACATCTCGTCGGCCTCGTCGAGGACGAACATCTTCATGTGGTCGGTCTTCAAGACACGACGCTGGATCATGTCCTGGACACGGCCGGGTGTGCCGACAACGACCTGGGGACCGTCCTGGAGGGCCTTCATGTCGTCACGGACGCTGGTGCCGCCAATGCAGGCGTGGCACTGGATGTCCATGAAGTCACCGATGGCGACAACGACCTTCTGGATCTGCTGGGCCAGCTCACGGGTGGGGGCGAGGATGAGCGCCTGGCAGGCCTTGACGCTGGAGTCGATCTTCTGGAGGGTCGAGATGGAGAAGGTAGCCGTCTTACCGGTACCGGACTGGGCCTGGGCAATGACATCGTGACCTGGTAGACGTGTTAGTCGCCAGTCTCACGATGGTGGAGGCCGTGGCGGGGTATCAAACTCACCCTTGATGACGGGCATGATGGCGCGCTGCTGGATGGCAGACGGGCGCTCGAAACCGTAGGCGTAGACTCCACGGAGGAGCTCGGCCTTCAGGTTCATGTTGTCGAAGGAGTCGGTCGTCTCATCGTAGTTGGACTCGATCTGGCCTGCCTGCATGTTAGCATGGGCTTACTCACTGAGCCTCACTGTGCAGTCGCAGTCCCTCTGCAGGGCGCGCGACTCCCACAGGGACAGCAGAGCACTCACCCTCGGCCAAGTCCTTGAGACCCTCGTCAGCCATGTTTGCGACTAGAAGTAGACGACTACTGGCACTGCCGTAGTCGAAAAAAGTTCGAGGCGGGGTTAACGGAGGTGATCCTGTGGATACCGCCGCTGCTGTAGGGAGTTTTTGTGGGAAAAGCTAGACACCAGATTCTCGCGCAGAGAATCAAAGGGGTATCTAGGTTGAAGTGGTGGTATGTTTGTGGTGGTGGATTGGTGGTGAGAGTAGAGGGGAAGTGGGTGGTGGGATTCTTTATGAGGAAAAAGTTTTAGCGATGACGCTAGTGGAGCACCCAAAGATTTCCCAACGGCACTCTCTACCGTTTCGCCTTCACTTTCGCCGGACGCGCCACCGACTTGTGATTCACAGCTGTTTCAAAGGTCCTTGCGTTTGCCCCGTGGCACAGTTTGTAACGGTCCCGCTGGTTTATCAGTCATAAAGTATTATTTCAATTCTTGGTTATGGCGCCCGGCATCCTTGCACATAGTCTGCCATGTGCCGAATCACGCCCCTCCAAAAAGCTCAAAACTTCGGCGGTGGCGAACTTGGAAAGCGAAGATGAGGATGTGGCGGTAGCCGTTCCTTCGCATCCACTGGGAGTCAAGCCGGCGGGCAACGCGTACACGGCATCTGAGAATATCAAATCACGCTGCGGCTCATTCGCCCGGCTGCCTGATGAGCTGCTGAGCCACATCTTTGAGTCATTCGATGCTGACGCTCTCATCCGATTGGGAAGCACTTGTCGGGCTCTGTACGCTTTTACGCGCCTGGATGAAATATGGAGAGCATTATTCGTTGGGTGAGTGCTGTGACTGTTTTACTTTCTTTCACTTCTTTCGATCCCTGTCAGCCATCTCAGTCAAGGAAACGAGAGCGTTTGAATTTTGTCAGAAAAATACAAGTTCCGTTTGGATCGAACTCAGCCCTTCCACTCGATGAGATCTGGCGTACACTTGAACGAGAATATAATCACTCCAAGATACGGATTTTTCCGTAGATGTCATGCCTCCTTTTCCAAGTCCGATCAGTCAAATATATACGAAGCATCACTCCAACTATATTCCTATCAATCCCCTTCGTCTTTGTGTCAGATCAAGCAAACTCGCAACTATTTGCGAAATTGTACTCACTAACACACAAACAGCTCCCAACCCGAAGCCTTCGAATGGCGCGGAACCTGGCGAGCAACCTACCTCAACATCCCACAAGAAAACGTCACATCAATCCCATGCACAAATCTCTTCTCAGACGTCCTCTATCGACCCTTCCAATGCGCTCACACGCCCCTTGAACCATTCACCCACAACATCCCCAAGGCCAACGAGATCCCACGACTCCCAGACCTCACCCACGAAGAGTACACCGAAAAATGGACCGACAAGCCCTTCATCCTCACAGAGCCGGTCAAACAATGGCCTGTCTACGGGACCTGGACACCCGAGTATCTCCTCGCGCAGTTCCCCGACGTGAAGTTCCGCGCCGAAGCAGTCGACTGGCCCACATCAACCTACATGTCCTACATGAGCGACAACGCCGACGAATCCCCCCTCTACCTCTTCGACCGCGCCTTCGCCCAAAAGACAAACATCGCCCTCACCGGCCCCAACGCCGCATACTGGACCCCGCCCTGCTTCGGCCCCGACCTCTTCAGCGTGCTGGGCCCCCACCGCCCGGACTGCCGCTGGCTGATCATGGGCCCCGCCCGCAGCGGCTCAACCTTCCACAAAGACCCAAACGCAACAAACGCCTGGAACGCGCCGCTCACGGGCTCGAAATACTGGCTCATGTTCCCCTCCGGCCCCGGCATCCCCCCTCCCCCAGGCGTCATCATCTCAGACGACCAGAGCGAAATCACATCCCCGCTCAGCATCGCAGAGTACATGCTCACCTTCCACGCCCTGGCGCGCCGCACACCAGGCTGCAAGGAAGGCATCTGTCGCGCCGGCGAGGTCCTGCATGTACCCACGGGATGGTTTCATCTCGTGCTCAACCTCGACGAGAGTCTGGCGCTGACGCAGAATTTCGTGCCCACCAAAAACGTGCCTGATGTGTTGGGGTTTTTGAGGGATCAGAGGGGCGAGGTGAGCGGGTTCAGGGACGATGTGTGTGAGCGCGCGTATGAGCTTTTTGTCGAGGGGCTGCGCGAAGAGTATCCTGAGGTGCTGGAGGAGGGGCTTGTGGAGTTGGAGAGGAGGGGGAAGAAGGGGAGGGGGCGGTGGGAGGAGTTGACCAAGGGAGGGGACGAGGAAGCGGAGAGTGGGGGGTTTAGCTTTGGGTTTGGAGGGGACGATGATGATGCTGATATTCCGTGAGCTGGAAAGCTCATGTTGGAATAGTAAAGAATGCCTGTTACAGAACGTTGACAGGTAGAAAGAGATGTGAAGGTTCAGATCGTATGATCCATTATCAATAATAAACATGAAGTGCTGATGACTCCAAGATCCAGTGTCAATACATTCACCGCCCTGTCTATTCCTATCCTCATCCCCATCCCCACCCCCTCAAGACCGGAGCCTACTCAATAAGTCAAACCCAAACCCTGCAAACACCAAGCTCGCGGCTCTCTGCACATTCGCCTGTCGCGCCGCTTCCTGTATCGTCTCTGGAGTAGGCACATGCCAGCCCCCGCTCTACGACGACGCAGCGTCTGCCTTCCTCTCATCCTCCTCCTTGCGCATATCCTCGAGGAACTTCTCCCACGTCTCAATCGTGCCATCGAAGAAATCCACATGTGCATCCGCCAAATCTCCTAATGTGTCCTTGAACTCGACGGCCTTGATGCGCTCAAAGTCGGCCACCTCCTTGACAGTGTGTTCGTCAAAGGCCTCGGTCGCTTTCTTCGCCGTCTCGACCTCGCCCGTCAGACGCTCGATTTCGACCTCGAGCTTGCGAACGCGCTGCCGGCGGGACTGCTCGTGATCGATGCCTCGTAGGTCTTCGACTTTGGAGCGTAGAAAACCGGATGCGCCCATGCCTGAGCCGTGGGAGCTGGCGAGCGAGTCGCGGTCTGCGGCGGACTTGGCAAGATACTCGCTCAGGCCTTCGAAGTCGAGTTGTTTGGCCTCGCGGTTGCGGAGGAGGGTCTTGATGGCGAGGATGTAGGCGTCCATGTCGCGCAGGCTGGTAATGTAGTTTTGGTCCGTGTGCTCTCGGATGGACTTGAAGCCTTGCGAAGTTGTGATGACAGAGGCAGCAAACGAGGTCAGGGTGCTTTCGACGGCAGGCTCGAGTGTCGTCAGCTTCTGGCATTGGGTGGCTAGGTCGGCATAGTCGACTTCGAGGTCGCCTTGTCTCCTGGCCACACGGATGGTAACCTTCTCGACGCTGGTCAGGTCCTCGGAGAGCTTGTGCGCCCGCTCGCTGACCTCGATGAAGCGCTTGTCCGGCTTGTGCACCTTGGACCACGTGTTTACGAGTGTGTCTGTGATGGCGTCGACAATGCCTCCGCCCTGGTCCGAGCCGCTTGCCGCCCGCGATGTCCTACCCTTCATGTGCTGGTTCCAGTCCGGGCTCTCCAAAAAGTTGATGTACAACATTGCTCTCCGCAGCACGGGATGCAGCGCGATGCGCTTGAGAAAGCGGTGCAGCGAATGCGCGCGCCGTTGGGTGAAGTCCGGGCCAAAGCGGTCTCCTCGCACGTACTCCATCTTGTGCTTGTCGGGTAGTGGTGGGACGGCGCATTGTGGGTATTCTTTCGAGAGCTGCTTCCAGAGGAAGACAAAGTCTGTAAAGCGGCGGCGGACGGTGAACTCGGACTTTTGGAACGACTGGAAGTCGGACTAGAGAGGCTGTATAAACATGCGAGCTTCACAGTGGACAATGAGACCGTGGCTATGTAGACCAACCTTTGTGGTTACCAGATACGAGACGTAGGCCGTCTGTGTGCCTGCCAGTTCCTTCTGCGGGCTCCCGACGAACGTCTCCAGGCGCCCTTCACTGAAGTCGGTCGCCATTTCGCGACTGCTGCTCGATGGTGCGTCGCCTCAAAAACGCAAAGCTTCTTCTGGAATGTCTGCGCGGCAGTCGATGCTGTGGGAGTCGACGTTGGCAATAATGTCCTGGTGTGGTTGTGGTGGCTGATGCCGTGGTGATGATGGGGCTGGAGTGAGGTCATAAAGCTCGGGTCTCGCGCATCTGCGGGGCGCGTGCTAATCGCAATGTACATGGCGGAGTAGTCCTCGACGCTTCTGCAAGAGGGGCATTGTCAAAGAAAATAGCAAAGCGAGTACAGACAAATAATAGTTGATGGTATCCAAGCCAGCGTCTCTAGACCACTATATACCAGCGTGCGGCCGAACTGTTTCACAAACCTACCGCTCTAAGGCACGCCAAATCGCTTCCCAAACTCCTCAAAGATCTGAGGAGTAATCTCGTCGCTGCTGTTTCCATTCACTGTCCATAATATACCGAGTTTGTCGTAGTGCTCCAGCAGAGGTGTGCTGGTCTCCTTGAAACTCTTCAAGCGCGCCTTCCACACTTCCGGGTCATCATCAGCTCGTCGAACCAGTGCTTCCCCCGTCACATCATCCTTGCCATCCGCCTTGGGCGCATTGAACGTAGTGTTGTAAACGCGGCCAGAAGGTTCGTGGATCCATCGATTGCAGATGCGGTCGATGATGATGTCGGTGGGGGTGTTGAGGTTGACGACCAGATTGATGGGAACAATGTCGTCAAGCTGGACGGCTTGTACTGCGGTTCGCGGAAAGCCGTCCAGTATGAACGACGCTGAGGGCTGGTCTGAGAATGTGTACTTTGATTTTCCGGTGCCGCTCTGTATCCACCCACGGGTCGTCAGCTCATCAGTAATGAGGCGCAGTATCAGGCTGTCCGACACCAGTTTGCCGGATTTCATGATGGACTCGGCCTCGAGACCTGCAATCTGTGAGCGAATGGAAAATCCGAGGTGGCGAAGTGCATACCAGCACGTGTCTTTTCCTTCACATTCTTCCTCAGCAGGTCGCCTGAACTGAGCTGCTTGATCTCCGAGAACTTCTGCATCAGGCGCTCGCTCTGCGTGCCCTTGCCCACGCCTGGTGCGCCGACCAGTATGACTCGCGCCGCTTTGGAAAGTCTTTGCAGGGCCATAATTTCTCGGACGTGGAATGGTATGATAGGCTAGATGTGATGCACGGCTATATTTACAAGACTGATGTGTCGATTGGAAACTGGAGGGCTTCGTCGGAAGTCACTGCAGCTAGAGGAGGTCCATGGTGACGGGTATGCGAGGGGGATACAGTACGGCGCCACAGAGTTCAGGTGCAAGCAGCAGCGAGAGCAGAAGCTCGAGAGACGAGGGAAGACTGGCGTCGGCAGGGCGAGGGGACGACTTGCGCGGGAGCCACGCATGGTTCTCCGCGATCTTGTCGGAAGAGCCAAGCCATATTACCGAACTCGACAGCTCTAGAGCGGCGGATGACAGCCACAAGCAGCAGCAGAAGAACGAAAGCCGGTCACGTGTGCCCGGGAACAGCCCGAACAAGCCGCCCGGTTTCCCCCTTTGCACCGTTGTCGGCGCAGCCTTCCAGTCGCCCAGCCAAGCTTTGATCGCCGTTTTCTAGAAGTCGGCAGCCGACGCTGGCGTGCTTCCGTCAGTCTGAGCGCATTTTCCATCGACACACTCCTTGAATCTCCCAAACACCAATTTCACGCCCCCCGTGCCTGGTACATTGCACTTCTCCTGTCAATCCCACTACTCGCCATTCTTTAGTATTCCCGCCATGTACGTCAGTCGAACAGCCTCGCGGGCAGCGCCGGCAGTATGGAGGGCTGGCATACGAACCGCTGTGCGGCCCCATCGATCCATGGCCAGGAACATGCCCGCCATTGCCGTGCTCATCCCGCTGCGATACCTGCAAACCGAGGCCACGTCCAGCTCAACGCAAACATTCCCGCCTCCAGGCTTCGATCCCAAGCAAGCCAGCAAACCGCTCCCTAAGCAAGAACAGAAGACCGCGACGCCCGCCGAGCAGGAACTCATGATCCCCAAGAACGCCCCGACCTCCAGCCCCAAGACGGACGCCCAGAACACACAAACCCTGGTCGAGCTATCCCAGGAGAAGGCAATGACGGGGTCCAAGGAGGAAAAGAAGGCGCTGGCCAGAAAGGAAGAGCTTAAGATCAAGTTGACTCTGTGGCAGAAAGTCAAGCATGAGGCTCTCCACTACTGGGATGGTACAAAGTTGCTTGTGACGGAGGTCAGGATCAGTTCGAAGCTGGCTTTGAAAATGGCTGCGGGATACGAGCTTACTCGACGAGAGCGCAGACAGGTGCGCACATCAAACATGAACAAGTCGATCAGACCACTGACAGCCCGCAGTTGTCACGAACAGTACAGGATCTCGGACGCCTGATTCCTTTCCTCCCGTTCGTCATTGTTCCCTTCGCGGAATTGCTGCTTCCGGTAGCCCTCAAGCTCTTCCCCAACATGCTTCCCAGCACATTCGAGGGTCAGTCCTCCAAGGACAAGAAGGCCACAACTCTCCGGTCCACCCGGAAAGAAGTCAGCAACTTTCTTCGCCAAACTTTACAAGAGACTGGATTGCCAGTGTCTGCTGCGAATGCGCAAAAGGAGGAGTTCTCTGCTTTCTTCCGAAAGGTTCGCACACTCAGTTTGCTACGAATATACCTAGCATACAAGGCTAACGATTGCTAGGTGCGAATGACTGGCGAAAAGCCCTCTGCAGAGGACATTGTCAAGGTGTGCAAGAGCTTCAAGGACGACATCACACTGGACAACCTTTCCCGACCGCAGCTCGTCTCCATCTGCCGATACATGAACATCACCTCATTCGGTACTGACAACCTCCTGCGCTACCAAGTTCGTGTTCGTATGCGCCAGATCAAGCGTGACGACAGATCTATCGCTTACGAGGGTGTTGAATCTCTCTCCGTTCCAGAACTTCAGACTGCTTGTGCAAGCCGCGGTCTCCGAACATACGGTGTTTCCCCAGGCCGCCTACGTGACGACCTCCAAACCTGGTTGGATCTCCGTCTCAAGCACGGCGTCCCATCTACACTATTGGTCCTTGCCAACGCTTTCGTGTACGCCCAGGGCAAGGAGGCAGAAATGACTTCCCAGCTCGAGGCCCTAGAAGCCGTTCTATCAAGCATCCCCGAGGAGCTGTACCACGAGATCGAGCTCGAGGTGCACAGCGCCGAGGGCGCGGCGACGAACAAGCAGCGTCTCGAGGTTCTCAAGGAGCAGCAAGAACTCATCGAGGAGGAGAACCAGCAGACCAAGTCTGTTGATAACAAGAGCTCTGCTTCGCCCAATGACCACGAGGATATCGATGAGGATGACAAGCCGAAGAACAAGGCTGCTCTGGAGGCCAAGGCGGCCGAAGAGAGCACAGAGAAGGAGGCTAGCACTGGTGATATGACGGGTGGAAGTGCTGAACGAGCGGAGCAGGATGACCGCGCCAGGAAGGGCGAGGAGCCGCAAGGCAAGGAGGAGAAGAAGCAGTAGAGAGTGGTCAGATTACAGTTCTTGCCTCTTGTTTGAATAGATTTGAACTTCATGTTTGAGTGTTCCGGTTTTGGGTTGCATAGAAATACCCTTTCATCTTTGAGGATGAGATCAATAGACTGTACTTTTAGAGAATTTCGCAGTTGCAGATTACATGTCATGTTATTTCATTTCATTCCAAGGGTATCATAAGTCATTGTACGAATGGATACTCGTACCTCGTAGTATCATAGGGTAAACACCTTGGCCGTGCTCTGTTAATCAACACTCGTTCATTCAAAATCTCCTCTGACCCGACCTCACCAGCTGTTCGTCCCCCCAGCTCCATCATCCCGCATAAACACATCCTCCTGCGTAAACGGCCCACCTCCCTCACTAATAACCATAGCCTCGCGTCTCCTCCTCCTCAGCTCCCTCTCCACCGCATCCCGCTCCTGCTCCACCCCCCTCATCTCATCCTCCAGCGCCCTCAGCTCCCCCTCAACCGTATCCCGCTCACTCTCCAGCGCCTTCAACGCGCTATACTCCCTCACCACGCCATTCTCACACAGCAGGTTAAACGCCAACTGCGCGCGATGCCGCGTGTCCGGATCCTTGCTATTCAAGTCGCGGACAAGATGTTTGCGCAGTTTCTGCGAGGCGTAGAAGCGCGAGCAGAGGATTTTGGTCGCGGAGAGGCGCAGCTCGGTGTTTTGGGATGTTGCGAGGACGAGCAGCGAGGAGGTCTTTATGGCGTCTTCTTGGTGGGTGGAGGAGGGTGAGTGGACTGTGCGGGGGCCGAGGGGCGGGATGATGGGCGTGCTGATCTCGGTGAGTGTGCGCACTTGGTGGAGCCCGGCTGAGACGCGGGTTATGGCTACGAAGGTGAAGACGCCTGGAGGGGTTAGTGATGGTGGTGGTGGTGGGGATGTGGGGGTAGCTGGTACCTAGGCCGAGCCAGAGCCAGCGGTCGTCTATGTTGGATGCCATGACTGGGAAGGGCTGATCATGGCGCAATGTGAGTAGACATGAAATTCGCAGACACCATTGAATATGCGCATGTCTAAAGCGATGATGGCACGCGGCAGCGGAGGAGCAGGGATTAGCCCACACTACCCGCCCTAGCGCAGACCCTGGCCGAACTCTTGGCTGAAATTTCGATTCCTCACTCTCTTGAGCCTCACACGTCCCCAGTTCCGCCGCGCAGCCTCTGCGGCACCATAACCCCACGATGCCGCCATCCCAGCTGAAGCGCCTCAAGGCCTCCCTCCGCGAGCAAGGCCTCACCGGCCCCCAGAAATCAAAGAAGCAGAAGAAAGCCCAGAACAAAAACGTCGATGCCCGCGCGCAAAAGGCCTCGGCCCTCGCCTCCATCCGCGAGTCGTTCAACCCCTTCGAGTTCAAGCACCTCTCGCGGCCCAAGAAGTTCTCCTACGCGACTGCCCAGCCTGAGAATGCGCAGAAGAAGATCCTCGGCCGCCCGGGCGTGACAAAGAGCCAGGGCGAGGAGGCGCGGCGCAAGAGCTTGTTGCCCGAGATGAATAGGAAGAACAAGGTGGGCGGTATCCTGGATCGCCGGATTGGCGAGAACGATCCGACGATGAGTTTGGATGACCGCATGATGGCGAGGTTTGAGAGGGAGCAGCAGAGGAAGAGGGGTGGGAATATGTTTGATCTCGAGGATGGGGATGAGGAGATTGAGCTTACGCACGGGGGTGAGTCGTTGCGGTTTGACGATGAGATTGGGGACGAGGATTATGATGCTGCGAGTGTCAGTGGGTCGAGTGTTGGGGATGCGGATGAGGATGGGCTGAAGAGGAAGAGAGGGAGGGAGGATGTTGATGGTGAAGAGGGCGAGGGTGTGCCTGAAGAGCAGCCGGAGAGGAAGAAGAGCAAGGCTGAGGTCATGAAGGAGGTCATGGCCAAGTCCAAGTTGCACAAGTACGAGCGTCAGGCGCAGAAAGAAGATGATGACGATCTGCGGGATGAGCTCGACAAGGACCTGAACAACGTCTTGGAAGCTCTGCGGGGACACATCAACAAGAAACCTGAGCCCGAGCAGCCGAAAGAAACTCCCAAGAACGACTTCGGTATCAATGCCGATCGTGCAGCACTGCTCGCTGGGACATCACAAGCACAAAAGGACAGGGAGTACGATATCAGAGTGCGCCAACTGCTGCAGGATGAACGAGCGAAACCAACCGAGCGAACGAAGACAGAAGAAGAGAAAGCCAAGGAGGATGCCAACCGTCTGAAAGAACTCGAGGAAAAGCGCATGAAGAGGATGCGAGGAGAGCCTATCAGTGACGACGAAGAACCCCAGAAGAAGAAGAAGGGCGCAGAAGAGGAAGAGGAGGAGGATGATGATGACGATGACATGGAGAGTGAAAACGACGATGCTGCCGAGTTCGGCCTTGCTGCTGCGCCAGGCCAATTTAGCAGACCCGTGGGCGTCGACGACGAGGACGACTTTGTACTTGACGACGATCTCATCGCTACCGACTCGGAAGCTGATATTTCTGGAGACGAGTCTGACGATGCTTCGGAGGTCGACGATACTATGGCTATGGATGACGAAGACGCCGACTTTTTGAAGGATGTGCTGCCAGAGCCGAAGGTACAACCAAAGGCCAAGAATGGTGTGCTCACTATCGGATCAGAATCTACTTCCTCGAAGCTGGCGTACACATATGCATGCCCTCGATCACATGAGGAACTTCTAACTGTCTTCAAGGATGTTACTTCCAAAGACATATCTACCGTCATCCAGAGAATACGAGCGCTCTACCACTCCGGTCTACATGCAGATAACAAGCATAAGCTTGCTGACTTTGCATGCGCGCTCGTTGACCACGCATCCTATCTGTCGAACCAGACGCCAGCCGCCCCATTATCCGTCATTGAGTCGATCATCCGTCATGTCCACTCCATGTCGCGTTCGTATCCAGCACAGATAGCTACACACTTCCGGGAGCATCTCAAGAAACTCCAAATTTCGAACGAACCTACACCAGGTGACCTGACATTACTCACAGCAATTGGATACATCTACCCTACCTCCGACCACTTCCACCAAGTTGTCACTCCCGCCATCACTCTAATGGCACGCTGGATGGGTCTCACCACACCCAACTCTGCAAAGGACATCGCCACAGGTGCTTTCGTCGGCGCCGTGTGTCTCCAGTACCAAAAGCTCTCCAAACGCTACATCCCAGAGTTCATCCGCTACACAGCGCTCTGCCTCAAGTCCCCCCACGCCACCCCAGCCCTCCTCAAGCCCCACACCAAGAACATCCTCACCGCCTCAGACCTCTGGAGCGCCTCCCCAGCCTTCATAGAAATCTTCACCCCGCTCCTCTCCCCCCTAAAATCCGCCGCTCAAACCGCAACATCGCAAAACCTGCGCGCGCGCCTCAACAGCGCAAAACTCCGCCGCCGCCCGCAAACCCTGCACTTCCACCGCCCGCTCCCCATCAAATCCAGCGTGCCCAAGTTCGAGGAGAGCTTCGACCCGAACAAGCACTACGACCCGGATAAGGAGCGCTCCGAGGCCACGCGTCTGCAGAAGGAGTACAAGCGCGAGAAGAAGGGCGCGTTGCGCGAGCTGCGCAAGGATGCGAATTTCATCGCTAGAGAGAGCTTGCGCGAGAAGAAGGACAAGGATCGCAAGTATGAGGAGAAGTATAAGAGGCTTGTTGCTGAGATTCAGGGCGAGGAGGGCAGGGAGAAGAATGTTTATGAGCGGGAGAAGAGGAAGAGGCAGAAGAATTAGATGGAGGTGGAGGTGGAGATATGGTGGGAGATGGAGTAAGGCTCTGGAGTCTTATGGTCGAGGGTTGGCACATGAATTGGAATTTTTTGTTCGACATTTTCACGGCTCTTGCGTTACTTCTTCTCTTTTTCTTCCCCTATTTTACTGTTTCGTTCCCCATCTGTTCATCTCAATTATCGCCCCCTACCTAACCCCCACCACCCCCTCAGAAATCAAGAAGCCCAACCGCATCAAGCGCCTCCTCGCGCTCCCGAAGCTCCGCCTCCAATCCCTCAATATACGCATTGAATGCCGACTCGCGCTCCTCGAACCACGCGATATCGTCTTCGCAGCGCTGGAGCTGTGCCTCTAGGGCGCTGATCTGCTCTCTTAGGGCGGTGATTTCTTCGCTTGGGTCGCTGGGAGCGGTGTCGTGGTGGCTGCTGGTGGTCGGGGTGTTGTTGTCTTGTGGTGTCTGTTCTTGTGTCTGTTCTTGCGTGTCTTGGTTTGGGAGGGAAGGGGAGGCTGGGCTGGTGGTTTCGGGCATGTTGGGTGGGTATGTGAGGTCGATAATCTATGTGTCTAGTACCGGCGATGATGTTTGTATGGAAATATAGTATTCCAAGGAGGAGAGGGTAGGGGAGATATGATCGGAAAAGTCGAGGTATTGGACATTACGCATTCCTCTCTCTCTCCTCAAAGAAGCTGTAGAACCACCTAACAAAGGAATGGAATATATGTCTTTGACGCGGTTTGGGTTGGAAACAAGATATCACGATGTCGGTTCACCGTCCGGCTCAAAGAAGGCATGTACTGTTCGATGTGCAAATCGTATTATGTGAATTTGGCAATGAGATGTTTTTTTATATTGATTGAGGTCTTCTTCTTGCTCTTTATGCTACTCTCCCCCACTCTTGAACACTGGGAAAGAGTCAATCTTGTGTATGTTGTCGTGTGAAATAGTTTTAATCGTTTTGATTCAAAACATTGATCGTAAAGTAGAACACTGCATATGAACAGCCAGTGTCTGGTAGATACAAAACTTTTGAAATAGACGTCTATGCCCATGCGCCGACCAATGCCATCAAGAGCGCTCCACCCACAACGCTGGCACATGCTTGTAACCGCCGTTTCCCTTGTAATGTGACGTAGCTCTCGTCGCTCAAGAAATCTTCTGCAAGGAGCTCCACTAGACCAGCGAAGAGGAGAAGTCCGCTTGAGATGGCGTTCATAAAGCCCACGGTCAGTAAGCCAGTTTCGCTGGCGGGATCGTACAGAGTGTGAATTGCCAGTCCGATGGCCTGTCCAATCGGCGTGGTGGTTCCGTAGGCCAGAGCCATGAACCACGGCTTTGGAGAACCTTCAGGGAAGCGAATAGCGCTGATGCGTGATCCAAGCGCAAATCCCTCGAATGTCTGATGAAAAGAGATAGCCACCAGTAATACGATGAACGATGTCCCTGTCGCCACGGACAACGCCATACCAATGAAGACACTATGAAATAAGATACCTGCCTCGAGCAGCAAACACTGCAGGAGTTGTTTTTTGTTCTGTGCCTCGGTCTTCTCGGAGGTTTCTAGGGTATCATCACGAGCAGCATGCGCTTCTTTGCGACCATTGGGTTGCGAAAGTAGGCGAGCTCCATCTTCAGAATCGTCAAATCCTCGCGGGCCCAGCTCTTCTCGACTGATATCGAGATCAGAGTCGTCGCCATCGTCCAAACTATCGCGAGCTGCGTGGTTGTTCGGCGTATCTGGCGTCATGGGAGAGGCAAGCGAGAACGAAGGCGATCTTCCTGCGATCAAGTTCTCAGAGGCCTCTACGTCGTGCAAGACGATAGAAGGAATCCTGCGCGAACCGGAACTGTAGCGTCCATAGCTGTTTCTCCTCTTGTGGCCAGGATGCGTGTGTGCTTGGTGATCTTCGCGACCAAGACTCTCGTAGTCGGTCGAATGGGAGTGACCAGCTCCTTTCGATGCGAAGAACATCTCAATACCGACTACGACAAAGACCGACGTCATTGCTATGAAGCCAGGCATGGCCGGGTAGCCTGTGTTCCAAAAGTGAGGGAGGCATGGGTCGGTGAGAGACTCGAAGGCGGTGGGGAGAAGGTGAACGAAGGCTGTCGCTATAAGGACGCCTGTGCCAAAGTGCCGTGATATGAAGAGGAATTGGTGTGGTACATGTATGCTAGGAAAGCGCCTGACGACGATGGGGAAGGAGCAAGCTGCAACCGTCAGTTCCGTACTCGCCAAACCAACCCCATTACCACCATGCGTACCTGCAGTGCTCAGAGAGAGTATAAGGACCAAGGCGAAGACATGAAGGGGTGTGTTGTATGAGCCTTTGCCGCCCTTCGTTCCGCAAACCGGTCGGTCATTTTCCTGTCTCCGGAGTAGCTCAGCTCGCAGCAGGTGCGACGAGAGGCCTATGCAACATGTCAGCCAAGGTTTTACATCGCCAACTTCCGCCTGTATAGCTGGCTACTCACCCGCGAGGAGGCCATCTCCGTCCGTCATGTCGAGATGTTGCCAGAGCGCCGAAACGTGGAGTCGCGACGCGGACGACCGGTACTCACCCCTAGCGCTCGGATCCTCTTTATTCCTTATTTCTTACGTGTCGACTGCGGTCCGCACATTTCCAATCTCCCTCCAACACTGCATGGGACCGTGACATCCGTGTCGAGCTGAATTGCCAATCGTCGAAGTGCGATGCGGCGCAATGCCATGGATTCGCAATGTTCTCTTGCATCATCCGAGGAACAACGACAAAATCGTCATCGGGCCCAAAGCCACAACATTTCATCGACGTTTATTGGAGCAGGTTCAAGTAATGGTCTATATCATCGTCGCATTGCCCAATCGTCTTCGTTCCTTCATCTCAATCCGCGCTTTCTTGGCAACAGTCCTGCTTCGTTTCCTCTTGTCTTCATGTTTGTTGACAGTATGCTGAGAACATGACGCGTTCTGGTTTGTTGATAGTAACAGAGGTCTGTCATTCAATCAGTATGGTAACCTCAGATCACGCACGACTAGAATCATCGAGAAGCTCTCAATGTTTGAGACGATGGGAAGGGCTCATCGTCAGCCCATCGGCAACTCTACCACGGTTCCAAGACGAATAATTCCTAAGATGTTCCTAACTTTGCCTCATCTCTGCCAAAATCTCTTTGCCTGATTTCGCGCTGTGTATAACCGCACGCAACCCTACTTCGATCGCCAACTTCTAGAAACATTCCACGTCTAAAAAGCAACCGAAACGTCTACGCGAATGCAGGGAAAGATGCATCATGCGTCGAATCAGGTACCCTGCCGCCTCCAGGCTTGCCTTCTCAGCCTAACACAAATGTGGTTATTGATAACTCCACGTCCTCAGCCCCCTCTAACACATCCAGTCAAGCCGAGGGACAAAAGAGCCACAGTTCACCATCAGCCTTGCAAAGATCCAAATCCAAATGGTAGCGGTAGATCATCGATTAGGAAACTTTGGCTCTGTTAGTGCCCAAAGTTGTACCCTGGTTACACCGTACAGAGCTTCGGTATCATCACCCTTCCCCGGTTCAAGATCACAAGACGACACGTAGTTGGGTTCGTGTGGGGCATGCAAGATGGAGAGCCATGGGGAGACCGCCAAGACGAGACAGCATTCTCAGCCCACCGTGCCTGTTCGACAGGACTTTCTTTTTGTCGATGCGGCTCAAGCAAGAACCTCTCGCCAAGGACGCCGCAATGCTCGCTCTTTTGTCATGCAAAAGGCGAGGAGAGAACGTCCATGGTCCACGAGCAAACATACAGCGAAACAAAGAAATGCGGCTGAGGACGCGAGTCCCATGAGTGCTACTACTTCCGATTCGTTACTTACTCCAATAAACACGGCAACGCCGAGTCCTCCAATTTTCCTCGGTAGAAGAGACCACGTCTCTTCAGCGGAACAAAACCACTACACAGCGGCTAATCAGAAGATTTGCCAACATTGCAACATCTTTTTGTGCCGCCCTGGTCAACGATCGTGTCCAAGATGTCTCCTACTCGAATCTGCAGTACCTACGCAAGATCCCGATAACAGTCTATTTGATCCGTTCCGAACATCGTCTGTAGAGACAAACAAAAGTGTGTCGGAGTTGTTGGAACATTGTAAGTGTTTGGTCTTGATGTTTCGTTTACAGCCTTTACGTAGTCTGTTGAGCTTGCGGACCAACGACCTTAGTACACCGATGTACAAGGGTCATTGCAACCAGTCCAAGCGAATAAGGCGCTATGGTTACGCATGCTCTGACTATGTGTCCTTGGCTCAAACCTTACTTGAGTGAGAACAAGCTGATCTAGTATTGTAGTTGTAACTCAAATGGCTCCTGGTATCATCGCGATCGACGTTCGACATCAGTCTACATTGATGAGAAGAGACTGGTATGGCACGGCAATGAGCAACTCAGGCTTCATGCACAGCTTGCTTTGCACTGCTGCGCTACATCTCTATATTGTCGGCAAAGGCTCCATCAATACGATTTTATACCACAGAGCACTTGCCGTCGCCTCAATAAATGCAGCCATCTCTAGCCTGGATCACAGCATTGGGATTTCAGATGCAAACATCGGTGCAGTCTTTAATATGATGGTTGTTGAGGAGAGTTTGTTACAGCCCTTCTTCGAGGGAGCAGGTCTCGATGAAGAACAACCATATCAACGCGCAATACACATGGATGGTCTGCAGAGAATGGTGCAACTACGTGGAGGCCTGATGGGACTATACTCTAATCGTATCCTGCAAGCCTTCATACTGTGGTGCGTGGTCTCCCGCCTCCGCATTGCAGCTTGAATCGGTTTGTCATGTGCTTACGAAGCACCAGGCATTCGACTGCGCACGCCATAGCTACACTCGAAGCGCCGAACATGCCAACATTGGACTACATCAGCAGTGCATGTTTCCCCCACCATCCTCTGGGCTACAGTCCGAGTTTTTCACAACACCTTCTGAACTATTGTCGCCACGCAGGCGTTAGAGAATCTCTTACAAGCTTAGTCGAGTCTGTGCTCATACTCATTGCTGACCTCAATGTCTGGTTTAGCGACCCAGAATGTCCCCTTGACCCTCTCGACATCCAAAACTTCTCCTGCGTACTGGAATGCTCGTTACTAAGATGGCTCAACGACAACGCATCACTCATCACCCCCCTCGAAGACGCACTATGCATTGCCCTTCTAATCTTCGTCGTTCGCACAACAGAAGCAATGAAGCGACATTCCGACGTGCATCTGCTGCACTTCACCGCTAGCAAACGACTGGTCAAATCACTGAACTGCACAATCCGTTCTGAGTGGCAATTCTGCCCCGACATCCTATTGTGGATACTCGCCATCGGGTCTATATCAGCAGACGGCTCACCCGAGAGCCCGTGGTTCGTCTACCAAACGTCTCTCGCCACAGCAGAATTCGGGATACAATCCGTGGGAGAGCTTCTAGCGCGGCTCCATCTCTGCGGCTGGGTCAGTTATAAGCTCAACGATGCCGTGTGCCGCCTTTGGGATAGGATTGTCAATCTCAGGTTAGAAAACTGTACATTCTTACCGCTGCGTTTGTTTACTTACGCCTGAGTTCTTGCGTGCGAGTAGGCTTGAGCCATACCTCACTGCGTCCTCAGTAGGTGAAGACCCAGTTAGTCCTGTCGGACCACTGCAATCTCATGTTGCAGATCTCGACTTAGTCGACTGGCAGAATATGGACTGGAGGGCCTTCGACCCTCAACAAGGCGACGCAAATCAATACGCCATATCGGGGACTCTCGGTGTTGGGGGTGCAGGTTTCGTTGCGGAGCACAGGATATAATTGAATTCTCCATGCGGATATGGGTACGTTTGCTTTCGCCCTTTCTCTTTTCCTCGGCTACATTCCTGCTGATCAGAGTAATGCCGCGGTGCGATGGATGTTTGTGTTGACTTACTGACGAGCTTGGTGCAGGTACGATGATGAGATACGACCGGTGGGAGGGAAACGGCTGGAGACTACAAAGGCACTATTTGCATCCAGCAATGATATGAGAGCGAAGACAAGGATGTTGAAGTTTAAGCCGAGGATGGGGTGGTAATCTGGCTAAACGGCGTGAAAGGATATAGTTCCGAACCAGAATGAAAGGCAACTCGCTCGTTCATTTCATTGAGACCAGAATAGCGGAGTTTATTTCCCCACTCCCTCGCCCCCATCTCTCCCTTCATTACTTCTCCCCCTCCCCCTCGATCTCCCGACACCTCCTCACCAAATCCGCCACATGCGCATCCCCACTCTCAGCCCCCAATCCCACAAGCGCATCCTGCAAATTGAACAAATACTCCCTATTCTCCCCACTCGGACCACGACTCTGCAGAATATGTCTCGCCAACTCCCCCGGATCCTGGGGGCCCAGAAACTGCGGATTCTCGGGCAGCCCAATGTACACGAGGCAGCGTATTGGCGGTGTCGGCGAGGCAGAAGAAGGGGTTGATGATGGGATGGGCTGGAAGGGCGTGAATTGTATCGAGTACCCGTTTATCTCGCGTATGTCCATTAGCTGGCGCACTGTGGTGACTTTTTCACGCGGGATGTGGTAGGCGGCGCCCCAGACGCGCTCGGTGGGCTCGTGCTGGTGGGGGGTGTTAGGTTCGGGTGGCTGTTTTGACGTAGTTTGAGTGCAGGGTTTGAGTGAAAGTGGGCGGACTGACATGGTCTGTTAATGTGTCCCAGTGCGCGCGGTCGATGAGCGTGACGACGCGGCCTGGGGCTTCGGGCGTGCCGCGGTGGTCTTCACTTTGGATGAACTTAGCACTTTCCTCCTACCTACTTAGGGGTAGGGGGTAGATACCTCGCCTGGTATGCTTAGCTTGTGTTGTGTTCATGGTGTTTGTGGAATGTTGTGGTATGTCTTCATACCTGCCAGAAACGCCGGACGTAGCCTTCTATGTACCCTGGTACACGCTGGTCTGCCACATGCATGATGAGGTTAGGATAGTGCTTTCACGGCAGATATAGGTGAGGTACCATAGTGTGGTGGTGGTTTCCAGATCAAGCTCCTATGTTAAAGTCAGTGTGGTGCATATGTGCATGGAAGTTGTCCAGTCTACCCATATCCGAATATCCAAAAATCATCATTCTTGCCGAAATCTTCAATCTCTTTCTCGTGATCAGTCATCTTGGCTGTGGAAGGCAAAATAGTTTGTGAGGAAGCAAGAGATCAAAATGTCAACCTAAACATAGCGACATGGCGCAACTTGACGTGACTGGAGGGGCAGTGGGGCATACATATGCAGGGACGCAGATCGCGAGAGATGGCCGATTTGATGTCATACCCTGAACTTGCATTGGATCATTTATTTTCGAGTTCTAGGTATACAAGTAGATATACAGTGCACAACCATGCAACACGCTACGTGCCACCTGCCGCCTTGCTCATGAAGAAGTTTTTCAACGGGCCCATGGCGTCTACAGCCCTCAAACCCAAGCTCCGAAGTCCCACAATTGGCCCCGATTCTACACTGTACAGTCGATGTAACTTATCGCACACGCCCAACATAGCGTTGTTCTCTGCATATCGCTCGCTGGTGTAGCTCTCCAGCGCTAATGTAGATCCGATATCTTGCCCGGTCTGCACAGCGTGTGAAATGGTTCGAACAAGAGCCGCTGCATCGCCTTGCCCCTGATTTAACCCCTGACCTGCTAGCGGATGAATGGTGTGTGCTGCATCGCCGACCAGCGCGACACGCTCGCCAGTGTAGGTGTCTGCGTGGCGCATGCGAAGAGGGAACGATGCCACAGTGTCAGCCTGAACGTCTGTTACCCGCATTGGTATTGTGCGTTCCTTGACAGGGGTGTGTTTCTCTCTCCAAGCGACTTCTTCCTCTTGTCCTGAGGGTAGTGTGTGCAGATACTCGAGGTCTGTGGGAGACAGCCTAAAGGCCGCGTTGACCATGGCGATGAAGTCGTTTGGTGCCAGTGCCTTGAGCTTCGCCGCACGCTCAGGTGTCGTGCTCCATACCAAAGTAGATGCGTTGCCTGGAAGCGGTAACATGGCGATTGGCCCTGTGGGCAGGAAGCGCTGGTACGCAATCTTGTGATCAGGACCGCCCCAACCTTGGCTTTCGATCTTCAGGCTTGCTACTACTCCGTGTCTGCCATAGTCGAAGCCTCGCGACTCGATGTCTGCAAACGTCCGCACTGGGCTGTTTGCGCCATCCGCCCCCACGAGCAACCGGGCCGCCAATGTCTTCCCGTCTGAAAGGGTGAGTATTGGCCAGGACGAAAAGTCCATCTTCTCCGTGTCGGTGCCTAGCTCGATCGAACTGACCTTTGTCGAGGTGAACATGTCGACGCCGCCGAGCTCTTCCAGGCGGCTGAGGAGCATCGTTGTGGTGTTCACATTTTCGATCATGTATGCGATGGTAGTGGGCTTCGCTGGATTACGAGGGGAGAGGAACGGCTTCGCTGTATCCCAGTCGAAGGATATGCGCGCGTCAGTCACTCCGTCCCACACTTGCATTTCCTGGTATGGCTGCACTCGTGAGGTGTTTACATGCGACCATGCTCCAATTTCTGGACGCGTGTTAGACTTGCTGTTTCATAGTCCACGGCGATATGGTATGTACCCTGGAGGTTCCTCACAGAAGCGGGGGTGAGGGAGCTGCATCTATTCGAGAAGCTCTCCAAGCTTGCATCCTTCTGCAGGCGACTCTTTTGCAAGTCCTGGCCCTCGATGAGAGCAACTTTGAGCCCACTCGTAATTGGCGACGCCTTCAACCCCGCCAGCAGACTCAGTCCTGCCGGTCCACCACCGACGCAGACAACATCGTAGACTTCCGGCGCGTCTGCGGAGCTCGAGGCGAACCTCCGCTGAAGCCGCACTCGCACCCAAACGGCAGATGGTGGGGACAGAGCCCGCGGCGTCCCAAATAGCAGTCGAGGAGGCATCACGAGCCTGCTGTAATACGCCGTGTCATTAGCAGAGGAGTGGATGCGATTAGTAGAGGGCGAAGTTTGGATGGTGCCGTCATTGTGAATAGTTCATGTTTGCCCCGTTTGCACATCGGCAACAATTCCGATCGAATCGGCTGGTCCCGCTTTTTAGTACCTTCCACTTCGTCTCTACCATCCCTCATAGCCCCAACCGTGAACAGACATAATCCAAGTTGGTTCGCGTCTTTCTATGACGAGACTTCAGCGTTTGGCCCATGGTCGAACTGATATCATAGCGTCTCTTGCTGATAGCAACTTCTACCAACTTCTAGCGTTTCATTGCGACCCCCATAATGTAAATTCCAGGGTCTCGTCCAGCCTTGCATCATCTCGACCCAGGGCTCTCTTCACCTTCATGGACCTTGTTACTCGCTAGTTGACCAACCGACCCACGAAACACAGCGAGTTGGTGTCTACCAATAGTTGACCGTCCAGGTTCTGACAATGACGACTCCAACGCCGTCCTCGCATCGTACCATCGTCTCAGTCGACTCTCCGGCTCCTCATTGACCCAACGGCGCAGGTACTGATGATCTGCGGCTTCTTCTGCAGTAGTAGAGCTTCTACCGTAGAGTTCGTCATGCTAAGTTTACCACTAGCTGGGATCAGACTGTGGCACAGTGACTGAACCACAGTAACTCTCGTGTCCTGTTGCAAAGTTGATTGGTTACGAACCTTATTAGTGCTATAACTATTACACGGAAGTATACGGCAGTAGTACTGATAATCTGCAAGGAACCGTTACCGATATGCCCTTAATATACCGTGTGGGTCACCTAGCGTCTGAATTACAGCATTCCATTCTTCCAGCTCTAGATTGCAGTCGATTATTCTGGGTACAGCTTTGCAAAGACTCTTCGAGCAATTGCGTAAAACTACACAGTAGCATACATGTTCAGCCAAGTCTCTAGGTTCCGTATAAATTGAGGCAGACCTACATCAGTCAAGTCTTGCTCCTTTCGAACAGTTCTCACTCCTGACTGACTTACACAAGTTATTATTACTACTTATCACTGGTTGTCACTAGATAAATCTACCACAACCCCCATCTTTTCTTATCACACGCACTTGATCATCCGCCATGGAAATGTTCGTAGAAGCCACCATGACCGAAATCAGCTGCGCCCACATCTGCCCTGAATTTCGGTCAGAACAGCGCGTTACAAAACGGCGAAGGTCAGACTCCTTCCATCGAAGCGCGGAAGACACTGGCAAGCGACGACGCCTCGACACTCGTCGCTCTAGCTTCTCTGTGCGCAAACCGTTGCGCTCTTATACTCGCCGGCGTCAGAGTGTACAAGCATGCTTACCAAAAGAACATGCCGTCGCTCCAGTTGAGAGCCCACCCGGAGAGAAGAGGAAGTCTTCGCTTCTCGACAAGATTAAACGGTTTTGCAGGAGGAACAGCAGCCGCGGCAGCAGCCGCCACGACTCAGCCATGAACCACTGGAACAGCTCTACAGCCCATCTATTGAGTTCACCGAGTGCCACCCCACGGAGCAGCTATGATGATGGTGACATCCAGTCGTCCCCAGAAGCATGGCTTGATCAAACTCCCGACGGCCGCACCGGGGAGTTCAACTGGTTTGCCAGTGTCGAGGCCGTTCCTCGCCATCTTTTGGACTCCCGACCACCATCCCCCACAGAGGGTACCAGCAGGGCATTACCATACACAAACCTCCCAGTCCCCAGCTGCGACTCCTTCTCCCCCCAACTACCCACCCAGCCCATCCAGATACCCGCACGGCCTGCATCCCACAACCCATCATCCATCATCCCCCAAACCGCACGACCAGCCAAACACTCCTCCTCCCCACCCCTCTTCAACCTCCACAGCTTCAACATCTCATCCCCCCCGCTCCCCACCTCCCGTCCCTCCCCAGCCACGCACACAGGCCTATACTCCCACCCAGCAGCCTACTCGCCCCCCCTCTCCCCCCTATCAAACACCATGATGTTCCCCCTCTCGCCCGACACCTCCACGCAGGACCTCTCCGCCGCGCCTCCATCCACACCAACCACATCCGACTCGGACTCCAGCTACCTCGAACTGTCACCACAGCTACACACCCCCGCCATCGACGCCCTGACACGCAGTTTCCGCCACACGTCGCTCGCCTCCATCCCCGAGTCGGGCGCCCCGCGCTCGAGAGGGAGTGACGAGCGCTGTCTGCAGCAGCTTGACGGCACGGCGTTGCTGCGGAATAGGCTTCTTGCGCCGCTGGATTGGGCGGACTCGGAGCTCGTGTTTAATTACTGGAGGGATGAGGCGGATTGCTTGGCTGGGTCTGGGTCTGGGGAGTAGATGCGGGTGTGTGGTGTGGAGTAGTGATGGCTTCCTCGCGCGGGACTGCAGTGCGGTGCGATGGCACGCTTTTCTCTTTTGCTTACCCAGATGATGGAGTCAAAATTTCTTCTGCTGAGATACCCCCTGCTGTGTGTAGTTCTAGATGGCAATACCGATATGGGTTTTTCCTCTTCGTTTTTATACTGTATGTCGTGCGTGTGTGTGTGAGCATGGATGGAAATAAATGCTTTTTCACTACCATTTACCTTACTGTATCCTAGCTTAACAGACAAGAGCTAGATCAGATGAGCAATCGAAACACTTTTTGTGAGGAACTGGCATGGAGATGAGTTGATGACTTGTTTTGACTTGGCTTGGCTTGGTGCACTTTATTCGTTTACAGGATGGGATGGGTTAAAGTTCGACAGCACACGGTCATGCAAAACGTTGTTAGCGACCAAGCCGCAGTGATACAATGCTGAAAGCTACAATCAACATCCTGTCTATCAAGATAGATGAGTAGATATCAAACAAGTATGATGACAGCACGCAACAGTGAACGTAACCCGTAAACGACACGATATAATTGTGCCCATGACAACGGTAAAGATATAATTGTGCCCATGGCAACGGTAATGAGTGCTTCTGCCACTAGGCCAGAAAAAAAAACAGCAGCTAGCGATCAACCCATCTCCCACAATGCGCCCAAGCGCCCAAATATGCTAATTAAACCCAAAGATGCAAAGCAAAGCGCTAAAAGCAGCCCCGAGGGCGCACAGAAATGACCGACACGTCCCTGATGGGTATCCAACTGAAAAAAAGAATGTAATCCCGGACGCTATGCATGGAATTGTAGTAAGAACAGCAAATATGACAATAAACAAAAAGCAAGACTTCGTAGATGGGGTGGCTGACGTGTACGTCGTGTGCAGGGTTGGTGACATGCTCGGCTTTACAAGAGGACGGCAAAGCCGAGGAACACGCTACCGAACAGGGCGGCCATGCCCATGGTTGCTCCGGGGATGTAGGGTGCTGATACAGCGCCCTGCGCGCCGCTCGCCGCGCTGGTGGACGCCGCACCACCGAAACCGGTGACGGGAATGCTGGAGCTGGCAGCGCTGCCTGTGCGACTGGCGGACGCAGATAACAGTGCGGAAGCAGAGGCGTTACCGAGGTAGGGGGTCTGGGCACCGCATGGGTGGTCGGCGCTGTGGAGATACAGTCAGAATTGTTCATGTAGGATGGTAGACATAGTCATAGACATACCGGCAGGCGTCCTGGCATGAGGAGGCACCATTGCAGTTCGCCACGCATTGGTTGCCCCATGTTTGGCAGATGAAGAAGGGAAGCGTTTGCGAGTATTGGGTGATGTTGGGGGTTATGCCGCCGTCACAGACACAGTCGTAGGTTAGGGTGTCCTGTTGTATATGTTAGCTAAATGACCAGACATATACCATTGGAGGGTGCTTACCGGGTCGCAGTCGTTGCTCTGGGTGGTCAGGGTGTCGACACCGGGCTGTTGGGTGCAGATGAGAGGGCACATGGCGATCTGCTGATTACACCAGTATGCTACCAGGCTGTCAGTCGCTATTCAAATTACCCGCTCACGAGGGTACTCACACCTGTCGGACGAGGAAACACTGTCCGGGTCGATTGTGTATTGTTGCTGAGCAGCCGCGAAGCCAACAAAGGCGGCGAAGCTGAGGGCGGAGACGGAGCGCATATTGGCGGTCGTTTTGGTGGTTGTTGATAATATGAGGCAAGAGCACTTCATGTACAAGTTAGGTTTTGTCACGCCGGATTGGTCGAGAACACAAACCTATCAGTAAAAGCGTATTAGATTAGATTAGACAGTCAGCGACAGACGGCGAGCAAACGAAACGTGTATGAGGAGATTCGTCGAGCAAGTGGCAATTCTCAACAGCGAATGTGGACGTGGACGAGAGGAAAAGGAAGGAGCAGGCCGTGGATATATAAAGGGAGGGATTATGGGGGACGGGAGGCTCTGAAGCTAGTGGATATCTAGATAGCCAGACCCCTGCTCGGCCGTGCCACCACCTCTCTCCACCATGTTTTTCGCCGCATGCTCTTGGTGCTCTTGATCCCAAGACTACTACGATTCGCCGCTCGCCTCACTGGTTGCGGTCGTGGTGTATCGCAGATCTGGAATCTGGGATGGCTGTGTTGTTTCGTTGACGCCGTGAATGGGCAGACGAGTAATGGATCTTCTAATTGTTGCCCGGCATGCACAAGAGCTGGGACCACTGCAGTGCACGCGTCGGGGTCCGTCGACCGCCCTGCGCAATTGACCACTCACACAAGCTATTACTGCCGTCGGTGATAGCAAGGGCCTATTGAAATGCACATCCTCCGGGTCAACGATGGCAATATCCTGCATCCGCATCGCCAACAAGACTAAACTTCTCGGGCTGCATGCGCCGTCTGCTGCTGAGAATCGCCATCTACCCCTCACGCTCCTACCTTGCTACTCTCCAGCCCCCCCATCTGACGCGCCACCCGCCCGCGTAAATGGATGGCGCTGGTGAGCTCTGAAACTGACTCCAGCACGCCGGGCACGGATCCTGAGCGCAACAGCTTTATTCCGCCGTACTGGCAGCGACATGAGCGCAATGCCAGTCGCCTGAGCTCTTACTCGTCGGACAATGGGCGTCCGACGCCGATTGCACTCGAAGACCACACCGAAGAGGGATCTGACCAGCTTAACGTGCTCTGGTGCAAGGGTGTCACGATTGATGATTACGTCGTGGTAAGTGGAACGGCCAAGGGCCTGGGGGCGTACGTTGTGTGGAATTGCACGGTTGAGACTTTGGATGTGAGTTTGTTTTCCAGACCCGCATGTGGCCCACTGAGGCAAACTGGGACCATACCCGCAGCCAATGGACGTGCAGCATGCAATCCGCAATAGTGTTGCATTATGCGGCTATTCCGAGCTGATGAACCGATGTGGATGTCGACTAACAGCATCCAGGGTGGCCCCATGAAGATACGGAAGAGGTAGGCGACACCCACTATTATCAAATACTGGGTGGTTGGTTGTGCTGACTCTTTTCGAGATATTCGGAGTTTGAAGACCTCCGCCAAAAGCTTGTCACGACATTTCCTCAGGCTGGGGGCTCTATGCCCCAGTTTCCGCCCAAATCGGTAATCTGTAAGCCGACATGCACTCCCCGCCACCTGCCCCACCGACAGCACTACTGACAAGTCTACAGCTCGCTTTAGGCCCAGATTCCTGGAGAAGCGCAAGGAAGGGCTCACGTATTTCTTGAAGTAGGTCTGGTGATAAGGGTAGTGGATTTATTGACTGACTATTTATAGCTGTGTGCTGCTGAATCCGGAGTTTGCTGGGTCGCCGGTGCTGAAAGAGTTTTTGTTTGCTTGATCGCATATACATGGGATTGGACATGCGCGCGTTGTTTATGGACTGCAATATAACGGGTTGGACGTACATGTATTGATTATGAACAGCAAGAGCATGGAGCGGTCACGGGCGTGTGGGTTCTGCATGTCGACACCATCCACCTTGGCCAGGACTCACGGACTGTAATTAGTAATGTGTAGAGCTGGACAGAGTGTGTCGCGGTGTGAAGTTTTGGAGAGGGCAGCTGCTATCCGCGTCCCAAAAGGGATATATCTCCTCAACGTGCCGTGACGTTGCTGGGTCCAATTTCCCCCGGAATCGAGGCGATTGGTGGTCTTTCCAGGTGGCGTCGTGCTACGTCGGAGTTGGTGAGCTTCGATTCGCTGCATGGTGGGCCAAATCACAGGGGAAGGTAGGAGAGTGCAAGGCTCTGTTGGTACATGGGAAGCTTAATCCGACCTCGGGTGTCGATTGCGTGAAGTGAAAGTGTTGCATGTCGAGCAGGAGCCAAAGTGCAGGCGCAGACAGCATCTCCATTGCCCGTGAAAGTGTCAGCTCGTGTGCAAGCTCCAGCTCCAGCTCCCAGCACCCCGAACCTGACGCGTTTTGCTTTTGACCTGGCCAGCGCGACGGTCAATGGCAGCTTCGCGACCGAGCGAGTAGAAGATGCGCCTGCGAACCCAAGCCTACAGCACGCAGCACGCAGCACCATGGCCAACGCAGTGAGGCCGCCGCCTCCGCCTCCGTCGCTGCCCTCGCCGACGGAGCTCACGCGCTCGCCGCCCACGGCGTCTGACGACCTCACTACCGGCCGCAGCCGCACCACGAAGACCATCTCGACGCGTCGCACCTCGCGAAGCGGCCCGCTGCTGGTCCTGGGCGACGACGAGAGGACCGCCAGGCCTGCTCCCCGCGCCAACTCGCGCAAGCGGCCAGCCACCGACGCGACGCCCGACGCCGCCAGGCCGCCCACCAAAGTCACCCGCACGCCGCAGGGCGACCTCTACCGCAGCACCAACGGCGTCCTCCAGCCGCTGGGCCTCACCGAGGACGATGTGCCCTCGGCCAGGTCGACGCCCCGCCCCGGCAGCGCGGGCAAGCTGACCGTCCCCACGCCCGTCTCGGCCTCGGCGGCGCAGGCCAAGGACAAGAGGAGCCTGCGCAGCCACGACGGCGGGTCGCGTCTCAAGAGCGACCTCGCCGTCTACTTCTCCAACTACGACGACATCATCGCGGGCGCCTCCAAGCCAGCCGGTACGTTCCCCTGCCACACGCCGTCGCGCGGCCCGTCTAACGCTGCGCCACAGAGGACCTCGTCGACGTCGACACGCCCATGTACATCGTCGACGAGCCGCTCAAGGCCAAGACACCCGCACCCGCCTCGCCCGCCCGCACATCACAGAGCCCCACCCGCTCGCGCACCTCGGCCGTCAACTCGCCCCTGCGCAAGCTCTCCCTGACATCGTTCCCCCCCGCCCCGTCGTCGACCACCTTCCAGCTCCTCGACTACACCTCCATCTCCAAAGCCGTCCGCAGCGACGACCCCTCCGACCCGCTCGCCGACGCCGTCTTCTTCACCCAGCACCGCCGCGCCGAGCGCAAAGAGAAGCAGCTCCGCAACATCGAGAAGGAGCGCGCCATGCACGAGAAGGCCCAGCTGGAGCGCCTGCTCGACGGCCTCCAGGGCCCCGACTGGCTGAAAGTCATGGGCATAACCGGCGTCACCGACGGCGAGCGGCGCGACTGGGAGCCCAAGCGCGACTACTTCGTCAAGGAAGTCGAGGCGCTGGTCGACAAGTTCCGCGTGTGGAAGGAAGAAGAGAAGCGGCTGCGAGCAGAGAAGGAAGCCGCCCTCGCCGCCCAAGAAGCCTCCTCCTCCGAAGACGACGACGAAGAAGAAGACTCGGACGCATCCATCGACCACGACCCCCCGCCAGAACCCGCGCCCCCGAAACCACGCCGTCCACCCCGACCCCACGGCTACCTCCTCCCGTACGTGCCCCCCGAACCCGCCGGCCCCTTCATGTCCTTTTACGCAAAACCACATCTGCGTGCCGCCGCGCTGGGTAGACAGCGCCACGGCCGGGGCTCCGTGGCCTTTGGCTGTGCGGTGCCCGACTTTGACGAGCACGAGTTTGAGCTGCCGGGGGAGTTCATCGACCCGCAGTTTCTTAAAGATAATGCGCGGCAGCGTAGGCGGAGGAAGAGGGAGAGCGCCGTCGATGCGCAGACGGGTGTTTGAGGGCTTTTTTCTGCATTACTTCTTTTCTGTCCTTTTTTTCGTCGGTATACCCTTTTCTGTATTTATATGCCTGGGGTTTTGGGTGGAAAAGCTGAGGCGAGGCGAGCGTGGGCTATACGCTTCGATCTTTAGTAGAGGCGAATCGAATTGAATCGAATTGAATCGAAATGAATCGAAATGAATAGAGTTGAATTGGGAATTTGTGCAATATGTGCTGCTGTGCTGATACACCGCCCCCGTCTCCGACTTTAAGTCGAGACCCACACATATCGGAGGTGCTGTGCAGAAGAATAGTGAATGCGGTTGAATGTCGCATGTTCTCAATAGGTCATGTAGAACACGGCATGGAGCATTATCTTGTCGAATCCCTACCAGTCTTCCCAATCAAACGCCGTGGAATCTGCAATATACATCTTTCCAGTCACAGAATAAACATGCCTTGATCACCGGCACACTCATTCACCTGCCTGTCTTGTCTCGTCTCGTCTTTTCTCATCTCATCTCATCATCTCAGAGGTGCGAGAAGATATAGCTGTACAAATATGGAAAAAGAGACGTGCTCTACATACAGTGCAGTGCAGTATTCAGAAAACGTTCTGCCCAGGGAATATAGTATACGATGCGATACTATACTACGACGCCCATATACGCATCATCCGCTTTTTTGGGGTTAGTGAGTATACATGCATGCATGGTGTGGCTTTATGCTACACCGCACTCAACCACACACATAGCCCGTTAGAGTGTTGTGTGTTATATCAGAACACTATATATCGTGCCATTGGCATCGCGGAGGAGTGTGCAAATCGCTTGGACATCATGGTTCTCCACTCCTCCACTACGCTCACTCGTTACGCTGTTCCAAAGATGAACAGACTGGGGTGCATGTTTGCCCTTCTGCCTCTGTCTCTACTTCTGTCTCCATTTTCACACTCAGAGCTATGATCGGATCTGTCCATGTGGTGAAAATCTCGCTCTGACATGTCTTTGCTGAAAATATAACGTTTGGCTACTGCTGCGTGTGGGTCTGGTGTGCTTTTTTCGTCTTACTCAAAGCAAGGATGAAAGTGAGGATGGGGTGGGAAGTTGGGCTTTTTCTTCTCTTGTCTTTTGTGGTTGGAACATTGGTGGTCGTGGGGGGTGTGGGGGGTGGAGTGTTTGCTTGTTGTTTGGGGGAAAAGGCGAAGATGGAGGCGAAGAGGCTGGGGTTTGGTTGGTGTTGAAGTCACTGGATAGTCTGGTTTTGTATTGAGAAAGAGTTCTTGTGTCGTATTGAGCAGGAGTGTAGCAGTGTATGGGAGAAAGAGTGTAGAAGTGCATGGGAGAAAGAAAGATGGTAACTTGTGTCTGCATGTGTATGTAATTGTGTTACGGATTGGATGATATCATGCGTTGGAAGTCGAGAAGTGGAAAAGACCGGAGAAGATGGTTACATGAGATCTTGTCATCATGGCTATTATGTACTGCTATTGTTCGTTTTGAACCTCCTCGAAGCTTATCATGAGACTGCCGGGTTTGGATGTATCTCATCTGTGTCTTGATTATACATGAGCAGCAAGAAACCAACGTCGTGATGTACGTATCCATTATTGTCGGGAGTTTCGTCTGGCCCAAAATGGATTTTTGGGTTGTACTTGGTCTGGAATTCGACCGATATCTTTACCTGGTACCAGTTCACACTCTGTGCATAGGCGGTGAAATCTCGATCTTTGAGATACTCCAATACGGCCTTTCTTGGGTTGTCTTGAAGTAAGACCTTTGGAACACTGTCTCTGTGGAAGCGAATCCTGAAAACCCACGTCTCGGTCATAGGCGTCCACGGCCCACCCTCTTTCATGCCATCTCCACTAGCTCCACACAAGGTCCAGAAACAACTAACCTCTACTCGATGTTCTTGTATGTCCTTGAGCCACGCTTCGTTGGTGTTTGAGAGAAAGCGTTCGATAATTTGCACGTAATCCATCTCTCCATGCTTCTCGTTCTCCCAGTTCTCCCTATCTACCTCTTGACACGGGCACTCATCCCGAAATGCCATGATATCTTCTTCGTCGGCAGAGTCCCAACCATCTTTCGCGCAGTCGTCACACATATCGCCAGGTGACCATCCATGCATAAGTTTGTGTGGGACAAACTCGCTGTGGAACGAAGGACAATTGGCATGTAGTCGTAGAAGCGGCGTGAGATCGGTGGTTTGTTGCTCTATGATGTCCCTATCATATCCGTGGTATAAGTCAACTTCCATGTCCAAGACATATTCGTAATTATCGCGATGAGTCCAAGAGATCTCTAGCAGCCCCGGCGCTTGCTTCAAACCCGTAAGATCAGGGAAAAAAGCGTCGACGAACGGACCTAGATTTTCAGGTTGAACTCGGACTCGAGAGTTGCTGAGCCAGAGCGGACGGTACTCTGCGCGGATTTGTTTACAGCTCTGGACGAGTCCGAAGAACTTCCACGAAGGTTTTGGGGAATATAAACTCCTAGGGCGGAGAAGAGGTAGGTATTCAAGATCTTCGAATTCCTCGTCAGCATAGTGGTAGATTCGGTTACGAAGTTCTGAAACGACGAGTTAGCACCAATTGTAAGTAAGGTACGGGAAAGATCTCAATACGTACCCGGTGGAAGTTCGAGGAAGTGGCAAGGCTTCTCGGTATTCTCCACCGCCGTCGTAGTGACTGTAGAACCTTTGACAGTCCTTGAGACTTTCTTCGCTTTGTCGACCGTCATTGGTTTCATCACATCAGCGGTTGTATGTTTGCCTTGGAGGCATTCGACACCCGCGTGACTGGAACGTAGTGAGTATGATAGCTTGCGTGGTGCAGACAGGCCCATTCCTTACTTCGTAGACTCCATAATGTCCTCTCGACAGAGCCGGTAGAGAGTGGTTTGTGGAAGTTGAGATTGAAGTTGAGGCTGTGGTGGTCGAGCAGTGAAGGGGAAAAGAGCTTTATACGGGTTCGTGCGCCAAGAACTTACAATATCGAGTGAACGAGGTCACCAGCGGATCGTAGAACCTGCACTGTATCGTTTGCTCCCTGAATCTCTGGTCATGCGAAGTGTTACGATCTTGCTTTAGAACGGCAGGCTCGGTTGTCAAACACCGCAAAGGTTATATCTCTTGACTCTGCATCTGTACAATGTTCTTAGATCGTCTTTTCGCTTCCACGAGCGCCTGCTCTCCTGTATCCGAGATGATGAACTTATGATCTTAATGCTAACTCTTTTACACCGACTAACAATACAAGATTGGCCGTTCAAGGCAGCGTTGCAATGACTTATATTGTCGCTTTCCACTCCAGGATTAGATGGGGGCCAACGAGGGGCGTGCTGTTTGAGCAAGGCTTCTAGAGGAAGCTCGTTTCATTTTGTCCTTCTCTAGATATTTCTTATCGAAACCGCGCGATCTGGGTCCACGTGCGTATCTCTCGAGCGAGCTGGAGTCACCCGGCGGTATGCAAGCAAATGCGCTCTGCATATCTGAGATTCACCAGGCAAAACGATGCTCACTTTTCACTCTGCGATCTTCCATCTCCGCGCGTCACCTCACCACAGCCATACCCGCACTTCTCAACCCGGACAACGGTTTACAGGCCAATCCGACATTAACCCAACTCACAAGTTTATAGGTTAGCAAGTCTCCTTTGGTTCCATTTCGTCTTGCATCTAGCTGTCGCATGGACTACTACCGTTGCCCAATCGAAGAATTATACCGGGAGACCCGACGGCGCGGCCACACATCTCTTGGAACTTGCGATGAGCTCAGTGAAGATCTTGAGAAAGACGACAGATTACGAGAAGCAGACGCGACGACAGTCAAGACAGAGAGTCCAATACCTCTCATATCTTCCATACCACAAGAGGCCTACCTATCACAAACAGCTGGATTTGTGGTGGATGCTGCTGGGAATCTACAGTCAGGACAATCGACACCGGCGAACTTATTGATCAACCAAAGTACGTATGGATGTCAAAAGCAGTGCTAGTACGCGGCTGACGATATACTAGAGATTGTTCACTGGACCATGAATACCTTCTTTCCCTCTCTCCAGTTGTTTTTCGAATCTGGTCTCTCATGTACCGTCGACTGTGGCAAGTTGCCCGATGCGATCCTCGGCCTAGACCAGAATCTCCGCTTTCGCCTTACGGATTGTACACATGAAGAGAATGGTCGACTCACTAGGACCACACTGCCGGAAAAGTTCGCGCGCACAGGCGCTGCCATTGAAATCAACTCAGCGGTGATCGCACAAAGGACCAGTATCGCGATCAAGCCAGGAGCCCACAGAAGTGATGGACGATTACCGAACACGTCCACGGTCACCATTGTCGAAGAAGTCCACACCGTCGTGGGGTTGAGACTGGAGGGCATGAATGAGATGGGCTACATTTGGGCCAAGACCATGACGCCTCTGGAGGAGAGGAAAGACAGAACATGGGGCGATGTGAGAGTTGGTAACCTGAAAGAGGACGTGCCGGTTCCCTTCCTTGGATTTCCTCAGAGAGTCACCAAAGCTGGAGCCAAAGCAATAGTTGTGATAAAGAAGAGCATGATAGGTAGGTCGGAGAATGTTGACGAACAAGCGGAATGCGGATTCTAGTAGTTGTCTTGTTGGTTTTCGTAACTTGTACCACATGCTAGGTTGTGCGATTAGGCATTTTTTTCGCTCGTTCTCTGTTTGTATCAGCAACATTCCTATCAAAACATTGACGAACTTAACCTCGTCATAATAATGATGTATTTATATACTTGTCAGCGCTCTAGAAGCGGTAGATCCTACCTACCTTGCCTCTGAGAACAGGACTAATATATAACCCCAGCCTTCGTTGAGGGTAGACATATACCAAAGATATCGTTACTGCCAGAATCGAAAGATCAATTGTCGTGAGTTGGACCGCCGGAATACTCTGTTAACAAGATAGATGTCCCTTATTCGGGTCGGACTAAGCTCCCGGACGTCAAGGATCTGCCCTCGAGTCGTAAGTGGGGTACGATACGTTGTCAATTCGCATAAGAGGCCGCTCCTGCCTGCAGCAACCTTTCGACGCCTCAAACTTAGTTGTCGCATCTACGAGCAAAGTTAGTTTACCTCCAGTTTCCTAGAGTACTCGCTTATATTTCCCCTTAGTCAAATCCACCAAAACATATCCAACATGGCATCCCACAGCGCCCAGGTTACCGTCCTCTACCCTCAAAAGGAAGGCTCAACCTTCGATATCGACTACTACCATAACAACCATTTACCGCTCTGCGAGAAGCACTGGAAGCCGTTCGGCCTCAAGTCCTGGAACGTTACCCAATTCGACTCCGCCGCGCCGTACAGTTTCTGTCTAGTTGCAGACTTTGAGACTCTGGAGGGCTTCCAGAAAGCGTCGGCGGACCCGAGCATTGCCGAGATCATGGCCGATGTTCCCAAATACAGCAGTGAGCAACCAGTGTTGCTTGCGGGAGCTGTGGTCAGTAGGGGTTAGGACTTCTTCTGAGAAGAAATGCAATGAGGGGTAGAAATAGCGGAGATATGGTAGTGATGAGGGGTAGTTTCTCCGCATCCTGGCATCTCTCGAACTTTATGCGAACGAATGAATGACAACTCTTCTGCGACTCGGTCACTTTTGTTGTCTACTTCATACGAGGCGCGATGTATCCCACTTCGCATCCTCATCTGCAGCGTTTTGCCCGAGAAACAGACTTTGGATATCAGCCTGATCAGCCAATTGAGCAGCCCTAAACCAATATGCCTTTCTTAGCCGAAAAACATATCGATATTCCTAATCGAGACTTGTTGTCATGGATGTTCAACGATCAAACATATGACGCTGACGTCCCTGTAAGATAACAACGTGTGCTGGCTTGGTGCATGGCTTGGATGGGCAAAGTGCTCACCTTGTTAGATTTACATCGATGCCGCAGAGCCTGAACGCACTATATCTTCACGCCAAGCAAAAAGCATCACGAGAAAACTATGTGCAGGCTTCAAATCCATCGGGTTGGAGAAGGGAGATTGCGTTTGCATGCTTTCGTTCAATGATGTACGTGCTCAACGCTGAGTCGAGATGCTCTCATTTCCGAAAGTCACTTTGAGACCCTACTTATAGATCACGCGTTCTATATGACTGATAATTCCAGATCTACTACTCTATGGCATTCCTGGGCATCCTCTCCTTCGGGGGTATCTTTGCTGGAGTAAACCCGTCACATACTCCCTTTGAACTAGCCCACGCCTTCCAGATCGCCCAAGTCAAGGCCCTCATAGTCGAACCTGAACTTCTTCCCAACGCCCTCAAAGCTGCAGCTCAAGCCAATATTCCACGCTCTCACATCTTTATTTTTGATCACCACACGCCTGTCACGGCGCCTTGGAGCGATGCCGAAGGTTGGAATGAGGGTCTGGGCGAAGAGGAACGGACGGGAGGATGTAAGAGTTGGAGAGCCTTGATGGGAATGGGTGAAAGCGACTGGGAAAGTTGGGACAATGAGAAACGAAGCAAGGAAACAGTGGCAGCAAGATTGTTCAGCAGCGGCACAACCGGACTGCCGAAGGCGGTCGATATGACACACCACAACTTTGTCACTCAGCATACTATGGTGCTAGAGTACAAGCCCAGGGACTATGAGGTAATTGGCAAACTTAGAGACAGAGTAAACACTTATGATAACTGACAAACGGCAGGTCGTACGATTGTTATGTACACCGATGTTCCACGTAAGCAACGTCCCAAGAGCGCATACTAGCCCTCTTCGTGGCGGGTTGCGGACGTACGTTATGCGCCGGTTTGAGCTAGAAGCATGGATGCGTAACATTGAACGCTTCCAGATAACGGAGGCAAACATGGTAGACCATCTTCTCCCCTGTTCTGGAACACCGTGTTAAGACTCGTGCAGGTCCCGCCCATGGTGATCCAAATCATCAACTCACCCTTGATAAAGAAGTACTCCCTTGCCTCGATCCGCTACTCGTGGGTTGGCGCTGCGCCTCTCGCTGCAGAACCACAAGCGCGTTACAAAACACTTCTTCGTCCTGATACTCCATTCAATCAGGTATGGGGTATGAGTGAAACATCTTGTATAGCGACTATGGTACACTACCCCGAGCACGACCCTACCGGATCTGTGGGTCGCTTCTTGCCAAATCACGACGCGAAACTAGTCGATGATGACGGAAAAGATATCACAGACTTCGATATTAGGGGCGAATTGTGTGTTCGTGGTCCACTGATCGTAAAAGGATATTTCAACAACTCCGAGGCAAACAAGTTGGCATGGGATGAAGACGGCTATTTCCACACTGGTGACGTCGCAGTATGCAAACGAGAGAACGGACTATGGTATATTGTCGACCGGAAGAAGGAACTCATAAAAGTCCGTGGATTCCAGGTCGCTCCCGCAGAGCTCGAAGGCGTGCTGCTATCTCATCCCGACATTAGTGACGCAGCAGTGATCGGTATTCCGGCTGGAGGTACGGGCGCCAGAGCTGGAGATGCCGGCAGTGAGCTCCCAAGAGCATATATTGTAGTCAAGCACGGGAGTCTGGTGAGAGAGGTGGATATTCAAGCATACATGAAGGAGAAATTAGCAGGATACAAGCAGCTAGTAGGCGGTGTCAAGTTCGTTGATGCGATACCGAAGAACGCATCTGGAAAGATCTTGAAGAAAGACCTGAAAGAGATGGCGCGGAAGGAGACAGGTGCCAGGTTGTAGATATTTGGAGAGTCATGAAAAGTTCTTAGACAAGGTACGGCTTCTAGCAAGACACATAGGCCTCCCAAATGTCGTTTTGTGATACGATGCACAGAACCTACCACGATGGAGAATAACAGACGGAATACAAATAGCTGGCAGCATATCCACAAGGCTATATAGATAGCTCGAAGGCGTCCACAAACATGCCATGTGCTTATGCTTTTTCAAAAAGATCGATCAAACCTGCTCCACGATGAAAGTGTGACATATTCTGTAGCCGAATTTCCATCTCATAGGCGATAAATCATCCTACTTTTGCAATATCACTTTCTGGTTTCTTCCTCCCATTCAGTCTTTTCCAAGCGATTTTTACACATCATCCACAAAAACAAATCCCTTTGGGGCGAGATAGTTTCTGTCTAAGACGGCAGAAAAACAACAACATATGCCGTATACCAGTAGTTTTCGAAACCCACGTATACAATCATCTCGAGTCCATTTTCAGCAACATCGCACAGAAACGCAACGTAGAAGGGGAGAAGTATCAACGTTGAAGGACAGGAAATCACACAACAAGTCCTGGGGAAATACATGCAATTTGAAGTATTAAGCTCTCTGTATCCTTTTTTGAGTTTGCAAAATACGATAAACAAGGAGTTTAGATATTTATGTTCCGATGTTGAAGAAAAAGCTCCTCGGCTTAAAATGTCTTTCTTGTTCCTATGCTCTTTCACCACCCCCTATATTGAAGCTCTGAAAATGCTGGTCTAGTGCGTTTACCCCTCCTCTTTTCCTCTTTCTCTCCCCATGATGGCAAGTAGCTACAATTTTTGACAACACTACATACCTACACACATCGGCAGTGCAAGGGGCGACTTTCGTGCAGAAGAAACTCTAACATGGGGGATGAATCTTGAGTTAAGAAGAAGCAGTATGTTCTCGACCATAAAAAGAAAAGAGATACATAACGAATATACATGGACATACCGTATCACGCACATGCTCCTTAGTCAGAACAATCACCAAGACCCAAAAGCACAACATATCCATGATGATGTGTAGATTACTTTACCGATGAATTATGTATGTATATGCGTATGCAGACCGTTCAATGCTATCAAGTAAATGCAAGAATTATTACTTCTCTTCGCAATTTCCATCTCATCCGAATCCAATCCATTGCAATGCACCAATCCAAAGCGTATCTTCCAAAGCACACACGAGAACGTGCAGTGTACTCACCAATGCAACACCATAGAATGCACCCAACATATACAAAATAACTCCAAAAAAAACCTGTAACCCGAAGCCCCCTCTCCCTATCCCAAAATATGTGTCCGTTCTATCATTTCATCGTGATCAATCCGTTTGCTCTCGAATGCTCTCAATCTTTCATGTCACTTCCCGTCAAGTCCTACATTCGTCGATGCTGTCCCTGTTGTTGTCCGTGTCTTAATGCCTGTGCCTGGTCGAAACTCGCTCCATATGCTCGTGTGGTTGATTGTTGTGGTTGCTGACCCATGTTCGTTTGTTGTGGCATCTGCTGCTGCATCTGCTGCATAAACTGTGGACTAGGCATCGGCTGCGGAGTTTGAATCCACCCGCCGGGCATCTGTATTCCTGGCGACGCGACTTGCTGGAAGTAACCTTGCTGTGGGTACATTTGCTGCATAGATCCCGGAGTTGAATAGGCCATCCCCGGTACGCCTCCTGTTGGTGTTCCGAAACCCTGTGACATTCCCATGACACTTGGTGGTCCCATTGTGCTCGGCGTCATTGCGATGGCACTAGGCATACCCATCACACTCGGCGTGCCCATCATGCTTGGTGTGCCCATCATACTCGGCGCGTAATTACTCGGTGCACCGTAGTTGCTCTGTGCCATTGCCATCTGCTGCGCTTCCATCATCTGTCGTTGCTGCTGCTGAACTTCTTTGAACTGTCGATCCTGAGTTTGCAGCATACGTCTGTCGATTTCAGCCTGCATCGCTGATGACTGTCGGTTCTTTGCCTTGACTGCTGCCTTTTCCTTCTCACGGAAATCTATGAACGCTGTCAGACCTTGCGATGACTGTTGCTGTTTCTTTGCAGGGTTCCTTGTCAGATCAATCAGCGGGGTGTTCGTCATTCGAGCCACCCGTTCCTGCTCGCGAGCAGAGAGTGAGGTGGGCCGCGAATCGAGAAGATAGTCAGCGCCACGAGATTGGGGACGGCTATGCGTGAGCAGCCGGCTGGATGGACGCCCTGGCGAAGGTGGACCCTCTGGAGTCCGCTGCAAGTGAGCCCAATCACCAGATCGCGCGCGGTTCATAGGTGGAGGAGTCTCTGAATTGCTCCTTCCGTGAGTATGAGTATGAGCATGAGCATGAGCATGCATCATGTTTTGCGGTTGGAAGGCAGCACGATTCATCACCCACTCCTCGGCATCAAACTTTGGTCGGTCTGACTGCTGTTGCACTGCCGTTACAGGTTGCCAGGGGACGCTACGTGATTCGGGAATTTGAGGAGATTCTGAAAAACTGCGCATGTGCAACGCCGTGTTTGGTGTGGACCGCCCTGGAGCGTATGACAGCCGACGCTGCTCATTGGGGGATGGTGCAAGATCTTCTCTTGATTGTGAAAAGCTGCTGTCGTGCATCATTTGCGTCATCGTCCCACTCGTCCCTGGGCGTTTGTTGTCCAAGCCTAGCACGTAGGTAGGCCCAAAATCGATGTTAGGCATGTGTGATGAACCCTGCGTTTGCTCCACGTCCGATGCATAGTGAACGTCGCTGAGCAAAACGTTGGATTTGGGTGCCAAACTGGGATCACCGATGGTTGTCATAATTCCACTTCTTGGGCGGTCAACTTGTCTTGCAGGAAGCTTTCGTGGCTCAATTTCCACGCTGGCCACGCTAGCGTAGTCAGGCGTCGATGTTGATAGCGCATCGTCGTCATAGCGACTACTTGACGTGCTGGCTTGGCGTAACAGTAAGGTGTCGGTATGGTTGAGAGCATCGAGAGCGTCGGGATCGATTACATCGTTTCGTAGACTATCGAGAGTTGAGCTAGCTATCGAGCGAGTGTCATCCTCTTGCGAGAGTTGGGGGGACCGACCTGGTACTGGTTTTCGCTGAATTTGACCGCCTCCGCCACCAGAATGCGGGCGAAATGGAAGTTCTTGGGTGAACTGCGTCTGCTGCTCGCCATGTTCAGGCACAGGTGGAGCCGTGGGCTGATACCTCATCGGCGAATCAACAAATTCCGTGTGCTCAACGTAAGGTGACGCAGGAATTGTAGGTAGTCGGTTGGGGGATTGACGGTCAGCAGGCGGATGTCTCCCATTAGCGCTGAGGTACATCTGCTGAGGGTCTGCGCCCAGATCACCGTATCGTCTAGTATGCAGGTTCTCCTGGCCCTTCCATGCAGCCGTTGCACCAGCTACTGCTGTTCCTGTCGCCAAAGGTGCATGTGTAGCATCAGCCATCTGGTGGAGCGTGGCAGAGTCGACTTGCGGGTTGGGCTTCATCGTGAGCGGCACAGAAGGTCTGATGGGTGGCTCTTGGTAGGCCGCATGTACGAACATTGGCGGAGAATCTATTGGGCCTTGAGGGGGTGCAGAAGGCGCAATTGGCATCTCGGGCAGATCTCGTGGCTCGGGACTCGGGGCATCATCGCTATCAGATGCTGCATAATGTTCGGAGGCTCCATTCTGAGGGACGCTGTTGAATACACCATGAACTGGTGGGGCTGGAGGAGTGTCGTAAGCATGTGCGCTTTGGCCATAGGCCATACGTGATGGTGATCCCTGATGCCTGCTGTAATCGACCGTGTGCTCAGAAACTGAGCGCTGATGACGTGGAGTAGCAAATGGACCTGCCGTCGGTACTGTCGCTATACGCTGAGGCAACTGAGGTTCGACGTCGACCTCTCTGATGGGCGAGGTCTGACGAGTAGAGGGCTGGGAACGGATAGAGCCATGGTCTTCAAATCTGAGAGTCCCACGTGAAGGAGTAAACCCTGATCGACTGACTGTGTTCCTCCGAGGCCCTCTGCTGGAGCTGAGGTTGCGCTCAGGGCCTGCTGTCATACGCGTGGAAGTCAGGTCCTTGAGCTGCTTCCTCCACTGACGCTCCGTCCAACTTGAGCTACCTTCAGTGTTGATCAGACTGACTACATCCCACATTTCCAGATATCCGTATCTTTTGTCTGGAGGCATGGCAAACATCAATCCACGGGTGTCTAGGACATCCGCGATGAGCTTCTTCGGGCGTCCATAGAGATTAAAAGTGTCAAAGACGGGGAAAAGATATTGGAGCATAATTTCGAACCCTGACACAGCTGGTCGCGTTTCTGGCATGACAAAGACGAACCCTTCAGTTGTAGTTGCCGGAGTTGAGTGAATGGTGATTCTACCCTCGATTTTGACCAAAGTGGATTGATCAATGAGCGGCTTCGACTGTGGATAGAGAGCGTAGCACGAGTAGGCGTCCGTGACTGTCGCGATGGGTCTCGTCTTCTTGGTGATCTTCTTGGTGTCGTAGAATTTGATGTCGCCCCTCATGATCACCTGGGACCGGTCGTAGGCGTTTGCCTTCTTCTGCGACTTTTGCAATTTCGCGTATTCCTTCTGGTCTGGGGGTGTCACGACGCACCAGCAGCGGCGCCACGGCGTGCCTGCACCAAAGCGCACACGAGCCCAGTCCTCGTACACTGCGCACTGCCTGTCTAGAATTGCACGGATGTTGTTGAGTGTCTTTCCCTTGCCCGCGATCAGAGCACCAGTGTATGCCTCCTGCAGGGACGTGTGCTCGTATATGGCGAGCCGGATGCCGGCGGTCCATTGCGTCAACGCATGGTACGAATCGAAGTGGAACAGGTACTTGTTACTCGCGGCCGTCGATACGCTGAGGATATTGTCGAGTCTCTTGCCGTCTTTCAACGTCATGGTCGGTATCTGCGCTCGTCAGTAAGGCCCATGTCGCGGTCATCAGCTTACACACCATGTGAATTGCAGCGTCTGTGAGGTTGATGAAGGTTGGCACCACCTCAGCGTCACCACCTGCCCTGTCCAGCGCACTTGCATCCCATAGCGAGAGGATGGTGCCTACGAGCTGGACAAAGTACTCCTGCCACTTCCGATCGAGTGCGGGGCGGCCACCTGCAGTGTGGTCAGTGTGACAGACCGGGTATATTGGGAAGCCTTGGACGTACGAGTGTCTGTGTCATGGAACTTGAGGAAGTAGCCCTCCTGATACAGCTTGTTCGAGTGGCTGTTCAGGAACATGAAGATGCGCTGCAGCTCGGGCAGCGTGTCCTGACTGACCTCCATGACTGGAGGCTGGTATGTCTGGATCATCGACATGGGGCGTAGCGACACCCTCGAGTCTGAGCGAGCGAGCTGGGCGGGGCTAGGCGAGGCTCGTTCGTTGTTGTACGTGTCCAGCGCGGTGGCCGACTGCGAATAGCTGGTCGAGTCGGCGAGTTGCTTGGTCGAAGGCGAGAGCGGGGGCGAAGACGGGCCAGGCGACGGTGTAGCAGAGGGGGGATTCTTCTGGAGATGAGCGGGCCCACCCCATTGCGACATGAAGGAGAGGACTGTGATGGAGCGCAGCATTAGCAACTAGTTTTCCAGCGAGTGGCGCGCCTGGCGTGCGAGGCAGGCTGAAGGGGCAATAGTCACCTCTCTTGGGACGCCCCATGGTGGCAGTCACAGCAATTGGCTTTGGGAGGAGCGGAAGGTTCCACCTCTGTGCAAGACACAAAGCAGGTGCTCACGGGCAATAGTCGATCAACCACGCAAGCCACGGGAAAGCGGCTCGTTGGGAAGCGGCGCTGGAAAATCCGATACGGGACGCAGGGTAACGAACGACTGGTAGTCAGGGGTAAAATGTATTAAGTATAAACTTTGCAACACTGAGGACTTGGGAAAGGCGCGAGCGAGCGGTGGTGCGGTGGTTGGGGGTACGTCTACAGAAAGATGACCGATCGGATAGTCCGGTGGGCTTTAGGACTTTCTTCAGCGCGCGTGGCAGGGATAATGAATAGTGACGTGGGCCGCAAAGGGTCCACGGGTCCAGTCTAGATATTAACCAGCGCCGACGACCCTGTTCCACGTGTGGCTGCACTCGCACAGTGAATGCAGCCAGCTTCAAGCGTAGAGACGTGAGAGATGTCCCTGGCGCGCTTTGCAGCCTTGAACATCGCAAAACATCTTTACTGAAGCTAAGCACGTCTTCTGTAGCTTGTTCCTCGACCCATTCGTATCCGACCGCATCCAACATCGAGATGCTAAACGGAATAGGCTTTGGCGCATAGCCACTCGGCACTCGTTGCTCCTCTTCCGGACAATGATGATACTTGCAGAGAGGCTATGTCGCTTGGCGATATTTGGCAATGCGGAGAAAGTAATGTGGAGATGACTATGGATAATCGGACTTGCAAAGTGTAGACCAGGACACGCAAAGACAACTAGAAACCCAAAGCTCCTGCGCCTATGACGTAGCAACTATCAACCTAGTTGCTCTCTCTACACGGCAATCAGTCTTGCAATCCATCCCTTCAACCGCACTTCCGATCCACAGACCGACACTTCCGAGCGAGCGATGCAGAGCCATACAGCTTTGTGACATGTCAAGCACCTGACAAATTCGCCTCTCGCCACCCGGCTGCTCGATGCCGTGTGAGGCTTGCTCGTGGAGGTCACTAACAACCTTGGAACACGATGCTCAGGAGACGCGACACCCTGCAGATGCTGCTTAGTCACTACCTGAAAAGCACTATCGGCCCTTCTCGACCTCCTTGTTAAGCTTCCAAATTGCGTCGATATCGCGAGCTGACCACGACACACGTGATTTGTCTGCGCCAAGACCGTCCGCTGATTAGCGTATCTAGTCGCGTTCGCGTCATCAACAACGCGTTTCTCAACCCACCCAACAAATAAACATCGTCATTCGTCATTCACGCGAAAACCAGAGCTAAGAGCTGCTTCTGGAGCTTTTTGCCTTCTCAAACGAGGGCCGTGCTCCATCGTCACTGGCAGAGACTAATCTCTGACGTTCGTTAACCTATCAAGTTTGCGCCCGCTATGGTCCGCCAGAGATTGTCCACCGGTAACACTCCCCATAGACTGTCCTTTGGCAACGCGTCTGAATCCACTATGGCGCGCAAGAGGAAGGCTACCGCAACGTCTCCAGATGAGGACACGCCAGCCGGTAACGCACCGAAGACTTCGGCTGTGCGGAAGCGCAAGATTAATTGGGCCAAAATGAATGACTCCAATTTCGGTGGCTTTGAGGTTCACACCGCGACTATAAGGCCGTCCGGGAAACAGTCAAACAAGAAGCAGAAGGTCGATGCACAGGCCGACAGCGATGCCCCCGACGACGCGACCACAGACGCAGACATCACACAATCGAACCCTTTCACCGAGGTAGATTTGAGTGCAACCTACCACGTAATCAAACCTGTGGCGGAATGGGAGAGTACGAAACGTTACAAAAACTTTACACGTAAGTATGGTGATATTTCGAATGCTCGGTCTTTATCTTTCCTCCTAGAATCACGCTTGAGACCTTGCTCCTCTCCAGCTTAGTGACACCTTACGATGCAAGCACGAATCTTTGCTTGCTACACTGTATTATCAAAATCATGTTCAGGCCCATTTATCTGTCTCTATTGGCTTTCCTTGAATGCGAAGCCTTCAAAACTGTTTGACTTTGCATTGATATGATACTAACATACGCATGCAGTCGCTGGGGAAGTGTTTCAAGCAGGCCAAAACGTTTGGGTCAAGACGGCAAACAAGCACAACGCTGATGGGGCATCGACTCTCGAAGTAGCTCGCATACTTGAGGTACGCGCCGGAGACGGCGCACACGTCTACCTCCGTATCTATTGGATGTATAGACCAGAAGAACTACCAGGCGGTCGGGAAGCCCATCACGGAGAGTGCGAGCTGGTAGCCAGTAATCACATGGATGTAATTGAAGCGACGAATGTTGAGGATATCGCTGATGTGGTCTACTGGGATGACAACAACGGACCGCTTGAGAGGCCGGAAGAAGACCGACACTTCTTTCGGCAGACTTACGACATCATCAAGAGCAAAGGCAAACAACTCTCGGTACGTTTTCTATACAGGCTGCTGACAACAGTAACCCATTCCAAAGCGCAGCGGCTAACATGCGTTAGGAACTCAAAACATACTGTATAGACAAGGAGCCCTTGAATCCTGATGAGTCCCTCATATACTGCCCTTCATGTTCAATATGGCTTCATAGCCACTGTATTGAAGAGCAAGCTGTACGAGATGCTTGCAAGGAGCACCAAGTTGAAGGACCGCAGAAAAAATCTCGAGGTCGGTCGAAGAAGGGCCGCAAATCTTCGAGCATGTCGACTTTCACAGCAGAAATCAGCACCTTGAAGTCTGGCAAGACGCGTCTGACGCTCACCGACAAGCGTCCAGACCAGGACAATCGGCGCTGGAATGCTGATGTCAAGTGTCTTGCCTGTAAGACCATTATCGAGGATGCCGTTGAAGGGGAAGGAGCAGAGGAGGTGGATGAAGAGAAAGACGATGTCTCCGAAATACATGGAGACGACCATGGACATACCATCGTGGTCGACACCAAGTCCAAGGCCACGGAAACATCAGGCAGCACGGACGACGACGAGGAAGATGAAGACGAAGATAAGGACGAGCAAGAAGCCAGCGACGACGAACTAGGCGCAGACGAGAACCCCCACGACGCGCCACCAAGCGGCACCGCAAGCCCATCCCCCAAAGCGAAGCAAGCCAATCCCAAGGCCATGCGCGCAAGCGACGCTGTATCATCCGTCACAGACACTGCACCCGCTCCCAACGGTGAGAATACGACCGAACCTCTCATTCCCGCGTAGAACGCTAAGATGTTGCCCTCAGCGCAAAAGCGAAAGCGAAAGCGAGCTGCTTCAGCGTCAAACGTACCTGATCCGACGACGACGCCAGTGACTACGCATGCGGATGGTTCGGTTTTTCAGTCCGGTATACGATCTGTGAAGCGTCTGCTTTGGAGTACGACCTGACGTCGATGATGGATACGATGAGTGAGCGGGTCCTGCAGGAACAGGTCTGAATATTCAAAAACGGCGTTTCTTTCCTTGTTTCATTCTATGTTTGCGTCTGATCAAGTATTACGGTATTCTGTCCGCGAGCAGCTTTGACAGCCACGGCTGTATGTAGCGTAGACCAGAGATCAGCGCATGTCCAGCATCTGTATACATACATACCCACCTATATATATAGCAATACAAAAGAAACCCCATGGCTAAATCGTGTTTCCTTGATCTGCGTTTTTCGCCCGTCATGACCCTCCCACTTGGCTCCCACGACAAGACAAGAAAGACACAGTCACCAACCTCAGACACCAACCGCACCTACCTCGACAGAAAGAACACACAAACACACAAACACACACACCCCGACATCACATCCTCTGCAGGAATAAACTCATTGAATCAGATATTATCCATCTACTTGTTCCGCACCCAAGCATCTGAACAGAAGGGGAAGGGTATACGCCATACTAATGCCATGCCATGCCACGCCCATGTCCGTTTTTACGCAAACCCACCTAACAGGCCGGAGACTCCATGGAAGAAAGAGAAGATAAAAGAAACGCCCTCGCTGAATGCAAATGCAATGCAGTACTGTCATATCGTACCGTACCGTAGCGTACCGTACCAGCCTCCATGACCGACTACTCCATATCCCATGTCCATTGATAGTCCATGTGCAATTCCCCTTAGTAAACACCGTAAAATGCATGCATGCTGAAATCATATCCCAGGCGGAAAAAGTGCACATCCCCCACGCTCAGTCTGAATCTTAACCTCGACTCCTCCCGTTCGTCTCTTCACTACTCCTCATCTCCATCTCCAGCTGCGGTAGATTCCCATCACTCAGGAGGCAACCTCGCGCGCCCAATCCGAATACGAACAACCAGCCTCGGCTGATCACCTCCATACCTCTCGACCTTGACCAATTTCCCTGCACTCGCCCCACCAAGTTCCAGACTCTGTCTCTTGAACGGGCGCTCGTCTCCGGCATGCCCACCGATAACTTTCCTCTTCTTACTCTTGTCGCTCTTGTCGCTCGCGAACCGCGCCAGCACCTCGGGCGCAAGACGCAGCTTGACGATCTTACTCCGCTTTGGGCGCGGCGGCTTGAGCCCCGCGTTGCCGGCTGCAAGTGCATTCGTGCTTGAGGGACGGGGCGCAGGATTGGCGCTCGGCCGGGGTGGAAGCGCGGCGTTGGGCCGTGCGGGTGGAGCGGCGCTGGGGCGAGGGGACGGCGCAACGCTAGGTCGCGGCGAGGGGGCAGCGAGGGGGCGGGGAGAAGGCGCAGCGCTTGGGCGAGGAGAAGCGGCCGAAGAGGAGGGGTTTGCGAGTTTTGTTTTGATTTTGAGTTTTGGCGCGGGGAGCGGGATGGGAGAGTTGATTGCGGGGGGTGTTGGAGCGGCGGGGACGTGGACGGGTGTGGGTTTCGGCTTTGGCTGCGTTGGTGTAGGTGTGGCTGCAGGAGGAGCCGGCGTTTGGGCCGGAGGAGCGACGGCTGGCGTAGGGATAGGTTTTTGAGTAATTGGGGCTGGAGTCGGGACCTTTGGTTGGGATCTGTCTGCTGGAGCGGGCGACACGCGTGGAGTCGGTACTCGAGAAGGCGCTCGCGACTCTTGCTTGATCTTGATTTTCGGAGCGGGAGGTAGAGGCACTGGCGAGGCTCTTGCTGACATCAACGCAGGAGAATCCCGAATAGCTGGAGAAAAGGCGCGAGACTGGTTCCCAAAGTCGGGCAGCGCTGAATGCACAGGCGGAGGCGACACGGCAGACTTGGGCTTCGTGGCGATCTTGAGTGACAGCTTCTGTTTAGGGGGCGCTACAAGGGGAGTCGTCATCGTTGGAGTTGTCGTAGCTGCTGTCGCTGTTGTTGTTGCCGTCGTCGCAGTCGTCGCAGTCATCACAGGCGGCGGAGGAGCCGGTAGTGCCAGCGGTGGTGGTTGTTCCAACGGCGCCTCGCGCGGTAGCGAAGCTGGAGCTTCTTCGACCAGAGGTCGTATCGGCTTGGACCGGAACTTTTCAATCTGCCAGAAGCGAACCCTTGCCGAGCCAACATGCTGCGCTTTCCAGTAACGTGGCAAGTGTAGAGTAACGTGTAGTGCATTCTTCTTACGGCCCTTGTATACAATGTCGCAGAATTCTAACAGGTCGGACATATCGTTGACTGATAGTGTTGTCGACTTCAAGGCCTCTTCCAGCGCAGCGCGTAACGTCTGGTTATTCACCAGGTCACCCTGCAGCCCCTTGAGTGCGCCGTCCAACTGCTGGCGAGCTATGTTTGATGCTCGATCAGCACCATCGGCATCTGATTCAACGATCAAAGCGTCAGTAGCGTGATCGGCAATCCTCTCTGGGACGAAGACATCGCCGGTAGCTATCTGTCCAACGGCCACATCGAAGACGCCAAGCAGTTGTCTCCTGAAATAGGGCGAAGGATCCGACCGAATTTCATGAATCATGAACTTCATAATGCTGTCCTTGCGAACCATGCCCAGGCGAATGAGACACTCCCACGCCTTCAATCGAACATTGTCCGCATTGCCCAGTTGAGCATATTGCAGAAACTCCGAAGGCTTGAATGGTGTTACCCGATTCATGCTGAGCTTCATAGCACAGTCAAGGGCAGTTGTGGTGTATATGTTTTGATACGTAGGAATCCATTCGTCAAGGCGCTGGTGACGAGTAAGCTCCTCAATAGCCTTCTTAGCAAACTCGAACTCTTCTGCTTGCTGAGCAAAGTTGAAGGAGTCATCCATGCCAGTCGTCGTACTTGTCAGTGATTCTGCCAGGCAATTCATCAGCATTGAGATGTAATGATCGTCGCTGTAGTCGTTTCCACGGTTGTCGTTATACCGTATGATATCGAGCAAGAAGCGCTTCGCCTCCATGGGGACTTTTCCATCCTCGCCTTTGATCTTCGCAATTGCTTTCGGAATAGCACACTGGATCAAGTAAGAGCTCCGGTCGGAGAAGTCGTTCGCTCGTGTCATTGGCGACCCTGGGATACAGAAGAGCTCGCGGAAAGCCTTCTTCAGGTGGAAGAGCCCGACCCAGTCCGTTCTCTGCTTAGCGCTTTGTGCCATGACTTCAGCGGCCATCGTCCGTATGCCGTGGAAGTATCGATTGTCCATCAACGTTTTGATCAAAAAAGTAGAGATGAGTCTGTGACCTTCTCTCGTAGCAAGAAATTGTATAGACTGCGGAGTTAGCATATGAGCACGGAATACAGAAGGTCAACAAACCTCGGCCTGTGCAACAACATCCTTGTCCTGCTGCAGTTGTGAGATATACATGTACGATGGCATGTCATTGATGTGAGCTTTGGCGATCCACTCGAAATCTGCATCGACGCGAATCCACTCGTAATGCTCTTGTTCCTGTTTCGCCTCGTCCTCTGGCGGCCAGTCATCTAGTCGCCATTCCTCGTGGTCTTGGGCATTCGTGAAGAGATCTCCCAACATGTAGAAGGTGACATCTTCCTGGGCTTCTCCTGACGCATTTAAGTTTGCTGCAGCATCCTGTCGCTCGCGATTGAGCTTGTTCCGCTTTAATCGCTTGTACTTCGTGTTGTACGGGATCTCCACTTTGACGTTTGATGAGTTGATATCGACTATGTGTTCATAAGGCGTTCCGTCCGCTTCGTGTATACGAATGGTCATTGGACCGACAAAAACGGGCCATTGTTGCCTTGGATTAAATTGGCGTGAACGTTCTTTGGCTTCTCGCATGAAGTCATCCGCAGCAAGAGGGCTCTCAATAGTCGTGATCGATGAGTCGGCCTGTATTTGTTTGATTGTAAGCTGCACAACCTGCTTCTTTTTATTGAAGGTGGGAAAGCATTCAAAGGTAGGGCAGCCTGAGCCTTCGATCCACTGCTTGAAGAATGCATCGAGCTTTTGATGACCGACCTTCTCGCAGATGTCGAGGAAATCATCCGTGTTGATTGCGCCGTTGGTGTATTTCCCTTGACGAGCGTTGAACAACATGCGGTACAGACATCTATCAACACCATTCTTGCCGCTTTGCTTGACGAGCCGATTGTGAAGGATGCCCAACACCAGTAAAGACTTAAGCTCCATGAACTCCTGCTCGGCGGGGTCCAGTTGCAGAAAGTTGCCTAGGTTTACGAGAGATGGTCGCTTGTGGTCCATTTGAGTGACTTTGTCGACCATCATCTTTTGCCGGAATCGCCAATCGTTGCGACCAAATAGCTCGCGCAGATACAGCTCGGCCATGAACCATGAGCCACCGATGATTATCCAGTAGTCGTAAGGGCTCTGAGCAATGACATCAACTCCTATCCACTGGCTGGCCACAGCGTGAACCAGGACTCTGGTCGTATGCTCGAGAGGTTCCCACACAGTCTCTGGGAAGAGCAGGCGGGAGCTGCAAATGGAGAAGGAGGCCGTATGGGCTGTGTCGCATTCGAGATCGTCGACGAAGGCAAGCTTGTATGCATTCCCAAAGGCGTAGCTCTGGAAGCGCTCAGTGAAGCTGTCGAGAGAGCGAGCGAGCATCATGGCGCTGTTTCTGACCTCGTCCTCCTTGCCTGGCAGACAGAAGGCGTGCACCTTGATGGCGTTTGTTCCGAGGCGTTCGTCGTCGGCCGTGTCTCGGTATTCAGAAAGGTTGACGTGCTCAAAAGGCCCGATGACAAAGCCTATATGCTGAGCAAGAACCATGGTATCGCATGCAAAGCTCGCCGTCTTTCGTGAGGGGTCGTTTGGGTCCACAATATCGTCAGTCAAGCCGCCAGAGCAGATGACGGACATTTCCGTGGCCCTTTCCTCGTCAGAGAGGTCGACGTGGTCGTCGTCGGCGTCTGCCATGACACTGTCGGCTTTGTCTGCCTCGTTCGCGAGTGGCTGGGCGGTCGTGCTTGGGACTGGTGAAGGGGCTTTGGTGAGAGCGTCGCCCATGGTGCGCGGATAGCGGATGGAGAGCTCGAAGAGACATCGCGAGGAGCCGTCGTCGAGGCACGGGAACAGGCTGGAGGCGGTGCCGGGGAAGGGCGAGTTGCGCGTATAGCAGTGCGGGAAGCGGGCGTCGCCATCCTCGACGCCGACAAAGTGCAGGGCATCGCGGAAGTCGTCCAGGACATAGTCGACCTCGAGCTTCAGCGGGGCGTAGAAGGTGCCCTGGGCGTCCTCGGGCATGCCTGCCTCCTGCGGGCGCACCTCGCGCGGCTTGGCCTTGTCTGGGACGAAGATGACCAGCTCGTCGGCGGAGCGCTCGTCGACGTGGCGCGAGATGCGCTCCTTGGCATAGTGGTACTGGTCGAGGCCGGTGCCGGGGTAGAGGGTCAGGCGCTGGTGCAGGTTCGAGTAGCTGAAGGCGGCCGTCTGGCCCTCGACGCGGACGCGCGTGGGCCGCAGCTGGCGACAGTTGAGGACAATCTCGCGCAGCTGCGAGTTCTTGGGCTGGATGTCGAGCGTCGTGGTGCCCTGGACGCGGCGCGGGCAGAAGCTGATGTCGAGCTCGAGCTTCTGCTTCAGCACATCGAACGAGTCGCCCGTCGAAGGCTCGTCCGGTACCTCGGTGGTCTCCGTGGGCGCCATGTTGGGCGACGCAGGCGATCCTGCTCCCCGGGTGCGATCGTGGGGTTGTAGTTGGGCGCGGTGGGTTGGTGGGTGAGTCGACGATGGTGTTGCGCGCCGTATTCGAATCGCGACGAGGAAATCAGTCCGAGCTTCGGGAGGGCGCCGCGTTGGCCTCTAGCGCGCCTGTGTCCTTCACTCTCACGACGTCACACAAAACACATCCCATATCCAATGTCCAAGTCATCAACTCGCAAAACAAACACTGTTTCATGTATGACAGATTCAGCCTCAGTCGAGCAGAATCAACATCACTAACACGTACGACGAGATATGCATGAAGTACAAGTAGAAGTCCATTAAACCTTGCACATCGTCTGCTCAGACATCTCACAATAAACACCATGGCTACCCTGACCTGCCCTGACCTCCCTCTACACCTACTAGTCCTCATCTGCATCCTCGTCTTCGACCCACTCTACCCTATATATCTGATCCATAATGTCGTTCAACTTGGCATGCTCGCCATGATTCCATGCCCATGAAATCAAGCGCAGCCACTCCTTGCACTGCTTGTATTGCTTGTACTCCCTCGTGTTTCTGTCCATCTTGGTGGGTTGTTCCTGCACGTTGTCGGCAACGAAACGCGTGGTCTCACTCGACGGCATATCGGGAAGATCGGACTGCTGGGGAGACGACATTGTTGTTGACAAAAAGCTGAGGAAACGGTTTAGTAGGTGGAGATGGTAGTGTAGAAATGTACACATCGGTTCATGCATATATAGTCTGTCAAACAAAGGAGCATGTTGTCTAGCACCTGCGTGAGACAGCGAGTATATACTGATTGTGCATGAGACAGTTGCTACTAGAATCCATCAGCAAAGCAAGTATGAGAGCGCGCATATAAAAGAGTGGTTGCTATGTCTACTACACTCTTGCCTCACAGCGCCAGACACAACATACACATGTGTCAAATAGTAGAGGTCGCTTGGTATCCATTCCACGCCATACTGTCCTTCTTATCTCCCAGCCCATGCCCTATCTCCCCATGCTGTTGATCATCTCCCTCTGTGTTGCCCGATCCTTGTTCGTTTGACTGAGCGGCGGAATACCTGTGAGATCCGTTAGCGAGGACAGTCCATCACGGCGTTTTTTAACATACTTCGTAGATCGCCCACGACATCCTTTGCTTTGCCAAAGTACACTTCCTGCAGCAGATTGCGCATCTTGAGCTCCATGTCTTCGACCATCTTGCCAATGTTGGCAACGTGTGATGTGTCGTCTTCCACGGCCATGTCAGCTTCGACTTGGCGCACCATGTTGCCGGAGAGGTCAAGGCCGCCCAGCGCTTCCGAGTCAGTCCCGAGAGAGAGGATGACGGTGGAGGTCAGCTTGTAATGGGCAGTGCGGGCGCGGTCCTGCGCGTCGAAAACGTGGATGCTGTCCCAGCTACCAGAGCTCTTGGGTGAGGGGGAGACGGCTGTCTGCGTCAGCACACGACCCCCAAACATGTAGAGTAGCATACACACATTTCTTCAGTAGCACACACCCTGCGAATCCATCGTCCATGTCCCAGAGGTAAACACTCGATATGCCGCCCTCAAAGTATCTGCCCACGTCAGCCTCCTTACTCCCAAGCCACGACTCCAGCCTAAGCCAACTCACAGCTCTCGGTACACGTCAAACGCCTCGTTCGCCTTGACCTCCATCTTGCGGATACGCTCACTAGGCGTAACGCCCTCGTCGATCGGCGGCTCAAACTCATTGCTCCACGGACTCCGCCAGCTGTCGCCGTCGCGGTTGTAGTCGCAGCACAAGAAGTCGCGCTTCGTCTTTGAGCATTTCTTGACCGCGAGCGGGATGTCGACTGATTCGAGGAGGTCTTCTTCCAGCGTCGGGTTGAGCGAGATGATGTGGTCAACGTTGCTCTTGACGTCCTTGGGGTTCAGGCGGCGCAGGAGATCGCTGGACTGTTGCATTAGCACACGGCGTGGTGGAGGGCCTAGAGGGGCTTACAGAGCGCTGTCAATTGGGTCCGCCATTTTGAGTGGAGATATGCGTTGCAGGGCTGCGAACCTGGAGGAGACGAGGGCGGGAACTACTTGGCGTGTGCTATGCGTGTGGATAGCTCCGAGACCAAACCCCTCGATCTCCGTCGGAGGCTCGTGAGTGGTGCGCGAGTCAGGGCTGAGGTCGCCCATCTTGGAATCGCGTCGTGCCAAGTTCAACCTCATCTTTCCAGTTCGGAAATCACGACTGTATGCCAATATGCGCGACACTGACTGAATGGAACAAAAGCTCGAAGAAAAGTAGGAGAACTCTTTCACGACCCTGGTGGCAGTCTCCAGTCTGTTGACGGTCTGACGGCGCCGGTTCTGGCTTTCACTTCACCACGCAAAAGGGACTTGTGAGCGCTGTCATTGTGAGAATCTGATCATTAGGCCGAAGAAAAGCAGACAAAAGCCTTCAAGAGCCTGGGACATAAGATACGGGCTCTTTGAGTTTGAGCAAGTTGGTGAGAACATCCGAGCGGGTTGCTCCTTCCACCTAACGTCGCATAGCCCCCCATCCGCGCCAACGAGACCTTGGACCAGGCCTAGGTACGCCTGACGCGATTCTGAGCCTCTCGACCTACGACCAGAATCACTTCAATAATCCTGTATTCATCTTTGTCTCATTGAACAGAGTACAATATGGTATCGCTTGCATCCTTCCCCAATGAACTTCTCATTGCAATCCTCACCCAAGCCGCATACGTGCGCAGTATCAAACGCGCTTTACGATTAAGACTTGTCTGTAGTAGGTTTTCAACCTCGACAGATCGAATACTAGGCACGATTTTAACTCAAGCTACCAGAACGCTTTGCTGATACCGCCACCACCGCCATCTTCAACTCCGGCATCCTCGACCGCGAAGAAATGTCAGACCGCATCTGCAGAGCCCCAAACTTCTGGGCAGAGTATCTTGCGTACCAAACGCTCAAGCATGTCGGCCAAAAGAGCCGAGACATGAAAAAAGTGATCCTTGTCGCGCAGCATATCTGCCGTCATCGCCTCAGCTCTGCAGATAGAACGTGTGTTACAGCAGGAGCCGTTACCGACGATGAACTAAGAGAATGCGTGCTTGACCTTTGCAAAATGCTAACCATATTGTACAACGTAACATTCAGCTATGAATCATGGCTTGCTGCTGAATCCGCAGACGCGGTCGAAGGAGAGGAAGACGTGTCATCCCTCGAATTCGGGCGCCATCTTCTCAGCGCCGCAGCTTGGATGGGTGAGGAAAGCCTCGTCGTCAAACTGGTGGGAGAAGGCTGCAATTATTGGGATTACCAGTGGGTATCTTCCTCGTGACCCCTCACTCGTCTCGTGCTGATATTCCTAGCCTGCGCCCCAGATTTTTACATCCCCTCCGAGCCGCGTCCTATCGCGGCCACGTTGACATCGTCAGATTTCTGATGGTCGACGATTCCGGCGATGCTCCACACCCATACACGCGCCGCTGTATGATCGTCAATTTCGCCATGCTAAACAGCCATATGGAGTTGCTCGCCCTCACTCTGGATCCTACGTGGCACAGCGGCCCAGTTCCGCCAGAATGCATCCAGACACTACAACTCTCGGCGCTGATTTCGGTCGGTACGCTGGAACCGTTTGTACGGCTGTTGGAGAGCGCTAAAGCGCACATCACCAATTATAAGACAAAATGGATTCCTCATCGGATCGGCGTTGCAGTAACAGCGGGTCAAGCAGATATCGTGAGGTATTTGATTGAGAAAGAGGGGGCGGAGGATCATAAACATGATGGGAACGATGTCTCGTTATTCCAGTCTTACTGTCCAGTCGAACTTGTAAAGGGCCGGAGACTACGACAAAGAGACGTCACCCTGCTCAGTCGCGCTGCCCGAGCCGGGTTTGTAGATCTCGTCCGGGTCTTTCTCGATGCCGGAGTAAAGCACGACCATGCGATCGAATTCGCGGCAATGTGTGGATCGAGGACAATCGTAAGGTTGCTGCACGAGCATGGGCAGAATACAGATGACGCCATGCAGGGGGCACTCGCCATGGCGGTGGACAGGGAAGATACCGCCATGTTCAACCTTCTGGAAGGGTTAGGAGCCAAGCTCGACGATGACGTAAGGGCGGCGGTGGTGAGAAAGGCGCAGGAAGAGGGACTTGAGTCAATGGTCGAAATGCTAGGTAAAGACGGAAACGCACCTTACAAAGGAAGGACATGATTGAAGGCTGTATAAACACGAAGACATTTAACGAGTACCCTCACCGAAAAAATGCAAGGTGAATTTGGTAGTCAGCAGATTTAGTAAGATAACTCGTGCCTTCCTGAACCCTAAAACGAAGTCTACAAACCGGTGACATCACGTTTAGTATATTACATAGAATTAGCAAAGCCTACAAATGGAATCCTTAAGGACGCGTTGAAAACACCACAGGTGAACGTAAAACCGCGGACATTCCATATCTGTCGCGACCCACACGGGAACACACAACAACATCGTCGCCACACACTCAAGACACTTCACCAGGTGAAATTATGTGTCTTGGTCACTTCCAGGGAGCCCGGGTAACTTTGAGCTTACAACACTGTTTCACTGACAATGCCCACACCGTGTTTACCCGTCGCAGATTATGTGACCCTGCAAATCGCGTTCTATCTCGTAGTCTTTCCCTGAAGTTCCGGCGATCACACAACATTGCTAGGTGAGGCAGGATTAACTAAATGCGCATCTGCAGTCATATACTCACCTTCACCGGCGCTACCATCCAGCATTTAAGCTGCACACCCCCTCATCTTCTGACATTTCTTTCTTCTCTCATCGCATCCTAACACATTTCTCTCAACATCACTGCTCAGTCTCACTTTGACTACTTCACCTTATTTCGCACATTCCTAATTCCACAAACATCCATCGACATGTCTGACAAGGTCGACACCGGTTCCGCAGGCGGCAGTACCTCGAACGGCGCCGCTCCCCAGTTCACCGAGCGTGAGCTCCAACTGCTTGGATGGGCTATGCAGTCGCTCAAGTCTGGTCCTCCGGAGGTATGCCTCGCCTTACCCCTTCACATCCTTACATGTATGTCTAACAACAACAGATCGACTACGAGAAGCTGGCCAAGTTCGCCAGCATGTCGAACCCCCGCTCGGCCAGCAACGCCTGGGCCAAGATCAAGAGCAAGCTCATGACGAGCTCCGACGGCACTGTCGCCGCCACTCCCAAGAAGGGCGGCGCAAAGAGGAAGGCCGAAGATGGTGGGGAGGGTACGCCCAAGAAGACGCCCCGCAAGCGCGCCGCCAAGAAGCAGGACGTCGATGGTGCTGGTGATGCTTCGCCCAAGAAGAAGGGTCGCGCTGCTGCTAAGAAGGTTTCTGACGATGAGGCTGGTGAGTACATCTCTTCCTTCTATACTTCATCATCACGCTATAACTAGCCCTACAGACAACGTCAAGACCGAGTCCGACGACTCTGCTGACACGAAGTCCGCCGTTACCGCCAAGGAGGAGCCTATCGAGGACGAGGTCTAGATTTCCATCATTCCGAGGGTAAGTCGCTTCTCCCCTTCTCACATAGCACGCACTGACATCGTAGGCATGTCTTTAACGCTCACGCTCTCATCTCTCGCGAAATGGTTGCTCTGTGTGTTGGGCTTGCAAGACCTCGTATGTTCCATTTCCTTTCTTATTCTCGGCGTGGCCTAAAACCTCTTCTTTCTTGCTATTTCGGACGGTTTGAATGGACTGTGTCGTTTCAGGAGGATCTAGGCGCTTGGGTACTCTGACGGATGGACGGGAGCTATGTGTGGATGTTTTGGACGGGGTTTGTGGCACTTATGGTGGACCATGATGATGGGATTTACGACATGGGTATGCGGCGCACTGCTTGCTTGAATCTGGTGTGGGAGGACATGACAAGGAATACGGCAATACTCGCTGTATGGTCTGACTCTTAATGGCCACTCAAATGATGATTCGGTTCTTAAACCCCTGTGATTGGCACTGCTCTGTTTCCACTATTCTACACTCATGTTGCTGTCTCCATAACCCCATATCGTGGGCACTGTCCATCGTTTTCCTCTCCATATCTGTCTCACAGCCAACGATCGAATTCCACTCTTGACTAGGCAAGATCCGATCCGTCAGGTTGACACCATGTTGTATAGAAGGGTTTCACCAAAACCCAGATTTCTCATCGTCCGAGAATGCCTCATTAGAACTTGAACCCTAACGCATTCTCCGTCCTCATCCACGCCATGAGCTCCTCATCAGTCTCAAAGTCTGGCACCTGGTGCTCCCGTCTGAGCCACTCATCGAGCCACTTATCCTCCCCCATTTCCTGAAAGTTCGGGCACTTCTTTCTCACCTCCGCCTCAATACTCTTCTTGGCACCCGCACGAGCCATTTCCCTACACGGAATGACCAAGCGTCGGATGGCTCCACGCTGCGCAGTCAACCGCTTACCGAGCCATTGGTGCATCAAACGGCCGGACGCAAAAGCGAAAGTGTTCTCGGCGTACAGCATCGAAACAGTCTCTGAGTGTGTCTGGCGACAGACGCGTAGAAGCGCAACGGCAATATCTTCACCTGGGCACAGATACACATATTTACGGTATCGAGTGGTTCGTCCATGGCAGTTGTAGAACAGGGCAACCCAGTCGAGGTATTTCGAGGTCGTGAGTGCGTATCTGAAAACCATAGCTCGAATCTCAGGGGGTAGGCGAAGCAGTGGCGATTGTGTCGAGTTCGCGATAGTTCTGTGTGGCATGTTAGCATTCGCACGAATTGCTTGTTGTTTGTAATACTTACTTGGCTTGCAATTTCTTGTGTGTCTCCATACTGATCATACTGACAGGGGGTTTTCTGCCAGTGTAACGCTTCCTGCGAGGCGGTAGGGCTCGAGGCTTGCCGACAAAGCCTGCATCGCGAGCAGTGGCTTCACTGGCTTTTGTTTTGGTCTGTGTGCTCTTGCGGAGTGTGCGAGCCATCTTCTTGGGTTGGTAGCGAGAAGATGAGAAGATGAGTGGAACTGTGAAAGATGAGAAGTGAGCGAAGTGCTCCTGCCTCATTTTGATAGAGGAAGTAACGCGTGTTCACGTGACGGATTTGACGCGTTTTAAACCAAAAAAGGTATCTTGCGCAGTGGAGCTGAAGTTGGACTCCTTGGAATAACTCTCTATACGTTTGTAGTCATGTTTGTAGTCACCTCCCGAGACGTTTTGAACGACCGACCCTTTCATGTCTACATACGATTTCTTACATGTCCTCCATATTCATCTTCGCAAGCAACATGCCTGTCGTACCATCCGATCTATTTGCAGAACATCTAACTCTCTGCAATCCACTTTCTTTCCGTATGTAGTCCTCCATGTTCTTTTCACAATTTGCCTCCTCCAGAAGCGGGGCCGCAAATACATGCGCAACATCCAGCGGATTGAAGGAAACCTGGACAAACCCTTTTCGCCACGAGTTCCATAATAACGGTGCAATGGCGATGACGGATAGAAGACTAGACACTATTGCACAAATCAAATACGGAACGCTGACACCGAATGCAACTATGTGTTTTTCACCATTGAGGGACACCTGCTGGGTCCAGTTCTGGGTCAAAGGAAGACCTTGCTCGAGCAGGAGAGGAGTAGGGAAAATGACATCCAAATCGGTAACGTTGGCTGCCGCGACAGCGGTGCGGAAGGCCATTTCCCGGAGCCGATCGAGGACAAACTGGAAAGCGTCAGCAATCCGATAGGCAACAGAAAGACATATGAAGAGATTGTCTACCTGGGTAGGGTCGCTGAAAGTAGTACTGCAATTTACGGCATTGATGTTGCCGTTTATGAAGCGTTTTGCGAGGAGGAAGCGGACATCTACGCCCGCAAAAGGTCCGTTGTCGCCATCTGGGTATATGGATATCTCTTGGTTGAATATTCCCATGTACCACGATGCCCACTGTGTAGTTGGGCCCCAATTGGTGTTGGGATTGGTAAGATTCCAGGTTGCGCTGTGGAACGGTGAACCTTGAGATTAGCATACTGTACAGCTCCTATGTGAAGCAGATAAGAACTGACGTTTGAAACAGAACGGTATCGTCCTGCCAGTGGTCGTGCAACAAGCTCACTATTCCATCTTGAAGTTTGACCTCATATTCAACCACTGCATGATGCAGCGAACATCTGCTGATTGAAAGGTGGCCTCCACAAATGGGCTCGGTCTTGAAGAGGTTGACGACGTCAAACCAGCCTCGGGTCTCAGCAGCTGTGAATGAATCTACATCTGTTTCCCCAGTCTCAGACCACACTACGTCTGGTAGATAAGCCGAACTGTTGAACGATGGAACTGCACCACCTATTCTATTGCTTGTGTCTTGGAATTGTTGTCGCACAGTGCTGTTCTCGCTGGTATCCCAAGGTATGGTGGTCAAGTCTGAACATTCAATATCGGATCCGTAGCCCTGGATACAGTGAGTCGTCAAGCGTAACCTATTCTACTCTAGCCATACCTTAACTTTGCCAATGCACATATCCCCACATTGGGCTTCATCGACGTGCACATATATAGGTGCTCTTTCCAGATATGCATCATACACTTCGTCGTAGGCCTTCGAAGTAACCCCAACTTCCGGATATAGAAAACCAGGTGGAATGAGCTGTGCTACGTGAATCTGGTGCATTCCAGATGTTTTCTGCGTAACGCCGCCGATTACTACCGAAGTACGCTGGAAGAGTGGTCCGCGGAGTGTTGAGAACAGGCAGAAGATTGAAACTATCGCTAGTCTATCTGGACGCAGGTGGGCCATATTGTTCAGTGCTCCTAAGAAAGAGTGAGACTCGTATAAGTCAAACATGTCCCGCAATGTTGAACCACGAGCCGCCGCTCGCCAGTACGTGATTCTAGCGGCATCTGCAAGGGCAAACATAGTCACTCCGTCCATGATAGTTGTAAGGATTGACAGCCATACCTGGGGCAGAATTTTCATGTTGCGGATCTGCCATCGGTCGATCGGTGAGCCGTTACTCACAAGTAGCACACCGACAGCAGCGATCGTTAACAGGATAACAGAAGTCAGCGCTACTACTCCAGACCACGGTGGGGACGGCTTCCGAGATGTGGGGTGGTGGTTGATATCGCCCGATCCGCTCTTGTCCAATACCTCCGTCGACCTGAGCTCTATAATATCGCTGTCGACGCGGCTGTATGGCGTCTTTGAACGTGTAACTGCCATGGTTTCGTGAAAAGGGACGGAGTGTAAGCTATAGTTGATATATATCAATTTAGATTGTAAAGAAACAGTGTTGAAGAAGATACCCGTTACTCAGACACCAATATTGAACCCTTGTACAGCCACAATCTCGGCGCTTACATAGCCAATTGCATGCAGTCTTATAATTAGCATGCATCAAAAGCCGCACTCCTTCTGTTCAGCTGTTTTTGCCCGACCATAATGGTTTTCTTTGTCATAAACATGGCTTGCACAAATGTTCTAGTAGGCGGTTTGCTTCTGTTGCCTCAAGACAGCATATGCTTACGAGCAAACCTGAAGTCTGTTTCGAGTGATTTGGTACTCGATCGCGGTTAATACTAATAGGGAAGACGGATAAATCTCTGACTCCATATCTGTAAGATGGAGAAAGAAGGTGTTTTGGAGGTTGATTCGTGTGCTAGGTAGCTTGGAGTTGTGCTCGTGCTACGCGCGTGGCCAGATTCATAGTATTCCCACTCTTTACTCTCGCATGCACAGCACTTTCTCTGGATAGCTACAACTTTAGCAACATATAATATCTGCGAGTTCTTCATCCAACGTTGGACTACACCGCGCCTTGAACGTGCAAAGACAACTGAATGACCAATCAGGTAATTTTTACAAACACAAATAGAAAATGTTCACAAGTCGGGTCGAAAGAGATGTCTCCAAATAGTCAGGAAGAGCTCAAATATAAATAAAGGTCGAGGTGGTTCCCTGAAGCGGAGAAAGTACATACTCAACACTATGTAGTTCATGTGTTAATTAGTGTTGTAGCATCCTGTAGTTGTTAAATCTTCGTACGAAGTCCAACTCGACTTTGCAGAGAACGTCTCTAGTATGATTGGGTAGAGACGCGCATCGTCGTGGATTTGGCGGCAGACTAGAAGAAGATTGATAGCGTAATTCTGACGCACTCCTTCAAGCTTTTAGTTTTCATCTGATTTACTTAAGCTCGCCTGTGTTGCGTCGGGTGTATCCGCCGAGAGTCTCCTCGTACGTTATGTCAAAAGGATTGCACATTCACTATGCAGCAGACTAGAGAGACCAAGACGCATGCTATGTGTAGTGATCAACAAACTGGGCGGTGGACGAAGATGGGCGGTCAATTATGGTTCATCTGGAAAATAGACGAGAAGCCGGGGCAGCGAAACCCTGAACCCTGCTGCGCCGATCTCCTCCCGCAGCAAGATCGATGACGGGTATGCAGCAGAGCATTCCATCATGTAGCCAAAAAATTACCAAAGCTTATGAACCAAACAATGACGATGCGTCAATATTACTGCTTGGATGCTATGGTTGAGATTGACGCCTTCCAGTCTTTCTTCAAACACGCCTTTCACGACAATCCTCGACCGGGTAACGACTATGGCTGACCGCAACGAACGCACGCCACTGTTGCAGCAGCGATACAGCGATGTGGGAGAGTCACGAACTGTATGTTGTGATGGTGAATTGATTGTCTAGTGACCACGCTGATGTTGGATAGGTCCTTCGACTAGACGACTTCCCCGGTGATGATCCTCGAGAATGGCCGCGAAGGAAGAAGCTGGCCAATGTAGCCGTGATTGCAGGCATGGCTGGTACGTACTCAAACGCGCCCACGAACCCAAGTATTGAAACTGATAGAGGGAATTTTAGTCCTGAGTCCACTTGTCAGTTCAATGTTTACTCCAGGTATCTCACAGATCGCCGACGATCTCAATACCTCTACAACCGCCGTCATTGGTACAACAACCGGATTCGTAGTCATGCTTGGTATTGGGCCCTTATTTCTGGCTCCGCTATCCGAGACGTTTGGCCGCAGGAGAATTTACATGACATGCTTCTCCATATTCGCCCTCCTGCAGATCCCCACAGCTCTCGCGCCTAACATCGCATTCCTCATTGCCGTGCGAAGTATTGCGGGGTTCTTTGGGAGCGTGGGAATCGCGAATGGCGGGGGGACAATTAGTGATATGTTCGTTCCAACCGAGAGAGCTGGCGTATTCGGCTGGTATCTACTTGGACCCCTCCTAGGACCTACTCTGGGACCGTTGTTTGGAGGCATCATCATACAGAGATTGGGATGGCGATGGGTCTTCTGGATTATGACGATTGTCTGCACCGTCAACACATTGGCCGGTTACTTCTTTCTCCGCGAGACGTACGTGCCTGCTATCCTCGCTGCAAAGAAGGCGGAACTCGAGAAAGAGACTGCTGAGTGGGACGGATCGAAGTACTCTTATGAAGGCGAAGACACGAGTTCGATGCGTCGAAAGATATTCCGGGCATTGACTCGGCCCGTGAAGATATTCGCCCAGCCTATCGTCGCAACGATGGCTGTCTACCAAGCTCTTGTCTTTGGCACCATGTACAGCATCTTCACCAATATGCAACCCATCTACGGTGAGGAAGGTTACGGCTTCGACACTGAGAAAGTTGGGTTACTGTACCTTGCTCCCGGACTTGGTAGTCTCACGGCAGTATGGTTCTTAGTTCCACGTATCGACACGGTATACAAGCGATTGACCGAACGTAACAACGGCAAGGCAAAACCCGAGTTCCGTCTCCCTCTCGCCAACATTGGAGCTGTATTACTCCCTATCTCACTCTTCTGGTTCGCATGGACAGTCGAGAAGCAAGTCCATTGGTTTGCGAGCATCTCGAGCACTTTCTTCTACGGCATTGGTCAGGTGATGATATTGAACACCACGCAGAACTATTATATCGACAGCTTTGAGAAGTATGCTGCGAGTGCGATAGCGGCAGGCACTGTATTCAGGAGCTTGGTCGGCGGCGTCATACCACTGCTCATGCCGGCGTTGTTCGACAATGTAGGGTATGGGTGGGGAATCAGTACATTCGCGTTCGTAAGCTTGATACTTGCGCCGGCGCCAATGTTGTTCTTCATGTATGGCGAAAGGATCAGGGAGCGATTTATGATTGAACTAGAGTAACGCAGGATTGTACGTTTAGCTATTGAACATGTTTGACTCTCTGAACCAGATGCTCCACTCCTCGTCTTCGATATCTCGAGTCGTCAATCGCTGCTGATTTCTGTATTCCTGAGTATCAACCTTGTTCACGAAAACCTGATCTTGTTAAGCATATTCCTCCTTGGCGTTGCCCGCCATGATCTTGACGCTGGCTGCTCCTTTGCAGTAGACTTGACTATCTCCGCCCTTTCAATTCTTGATTTATCTTTCGATGAGAAGCTCAAACTTCTTCTTTCAGTAGTATGCCGTTCTGCTATGATGGCGATGATATGTGCTAGAAGAAGAACACAAAGGCATCTGGTATCTGGTGAGGCTGATTCCACAGCAAGAAATCGATCATGCAGTAGCAGAGTTGCCGCTTGCCATCGCATTTCCCTCAAACACTATATCCACATCTGCTCCAGCCGATTCCTTTAATCTCGTCTCAATTCTGACCTCGTACTCCTCATTCGTAAGTGTGATACTCGGATTGTACATAACACTATACCTTTTCACTTCTTGAAAGGCTTTCTGTGTTATCGTGAAGCGTTTGAGGTTCGGGAAGCATTGAATTATCATTGTCTTCTTGGAATAAGAGGGACTCTCAACCAGTGCGGCCACCACTGAAGCTTTGGCCTCAATTACCTCGATCGCGTTTCGTTGGGCAGGAAGCAACCTCTTCGCCCAATCGTTGTAGTTCAGTATGGACCATCCGATGATGAAAGTGCTTGTCGAATATGCGAGAGTCGCTGTTTCGCTGTAGACCTGCCTACTGACTTTAGGCAAGTGAAATGTTGAAGACAACCCTTTTGTCTGATAGTGACCTGCCAAGCCTCCGGAGCTGTCCATTGACTTGCTTTGAACTGAGACGGCTCCTACGCAATTCTTCTTGATGACCTCCCCCGACTCGAGTGCGGGATCCACAATGACAAACTGGCGACTCATGGTGAATGCCCAGATTTTGTTTCGAAGCTCGGGGGGAAGACGTAGAAGAGGAGAATCAATAGTGTTGCGCTTGACGCTAATTTGTATCAGCGAACGGTATGGTTTTGAGCACGTGAATAGTAAGTAAGTAAGTAAGTTGACACTTACATCTCGACCAACCTCTCAGGTGTCTCCTCCAAATTGAGCAGTCCATTTTTGTATCGCCTAACAGGGTACTTGCGTGGCTTCTCTGCTAGGCGCAACGACCTTCTCTTGCTGGCATCCGCGGGTTTTGCAGATGTGCGCTTCTTAACCTTCGCCGCTTTCGGTAACAGAGCTGCTGTCGTCTTCGTATCAGGCATGAGCTGCTCTTTGCGAGTCGCCATCATGAGCGTTAGTGATGAAGGAGGCGAAGAAGCGTTGTCGTGTAGGCTAGGAAGAAAGATGGATGTGTCCAGGTAGTGGAGAAGGTACCAAGCCAGGTCTGAAAGCGAAGCGAACGTAAGAGCTATGGCTGATGGGGACCGAGATAGTAAGTGAAGGAGGAAATGACGGTGATCAAAGAAGACTAAGGAAAAATGTGGGCGTCGAGAGAAGCGTTGGCGTTACGGTTGAGATGAGGGTAAGGACGATTATAACTGTGAAAATGAGCACAACCGATCGTAAAGAGCTTGTACGTCGGCCATGGAACATCTGACAGAACAAAGGAAAAGGAAGGGGGGAAGTGCAAACGATGTTGAGATCAGCTTGGAATGTGATGGCGGTGAGGGCATGTAACTATCCGTCTAGAAAGTGGGAGAGAGGGAGCAAACGACAAACATCACAACGACAGACTATTCAATCAATACTTGTCGTGTAACGTGAGCTGTCGCATCGACTGGTTTATGTGTGAGTGAGATGTCATTTGCTCCATGGCGTATTTCCTACGAATCGCTGTGACAACTGCAAATCTGCGCCCGAGAAAACTATCTGCTATCAACGGGCTAGTTTGGGATAATAAATGAACAACTTCTACTGAAATCTGGGAAGAATCGGAAGATAACGTTTGGTGTGTGGAACGAAGTTGTGGTTGACGTCTGTCGCATCGTTATCGATAGAGCATCGCGAACTTTTTCGAGTCATTTTGGACCTCTACTGCCGTGTTCGTGTGCTTCTTGTATACACACAACCTTCATCTCCATGTTCCAAATGGGGCGTGAAGCTGCTGCATTCGACCCATCTCTCTTCCGACCCCGGCGCGCACCACACCTTCGCGCAGCCTGCTGATGCTTGCGCTCCCTCGACCACGATGCCTTCTCCACTCTAACCTTTTCGCACGAGCACGCTCGTTGAACACAGTACCGCGCAAGATTCCCAGCTACGTCAAACGATGGGATCCGACCCTCCACCAATCCAACTACCCAGCAAAAAAGTCCATTGAGCTGAGAAAGCTCCAGGCGAGCACAATCGAGCCTGTCTCACGCCAGGAAGAGCGGCAAGAGCTACGAGATACTCGGAGAATTACCATATTACACAAAGACAGCACTCTTGAGCAGCATCATGCATACCGACGGCTGAATCGTCTGCTTCATCTCTCAGACGCAAATGGCAGTGGCGACGCCAGCATCCGTGCTCCGTTATGGAGAGCGTATATCCTAGCGAAGACATTTGATCCTAGGCTCCCGTCACATATACCAGACCGAGCCTGGGACCTTTTGTGGGCTACTCAGGCTGTCGAGTCTCCAGACAATCGAAATCGGAGGGTGCACATGAAAGAGCTTGATTGCGATATGCGTTCCGTAGGCAAATGCGACACGGCAGGTCGAAGAGCCCATTACTTGGAAGGCGTGTTTCTCGGCGGTGAAGAAGAGCAGGCTTTGAACAAATGGGAGGGAGATCACAACCATCACGAGGATGAGAGACAAGACCACGAGCCGGAGCATCTAGAAGTCGGAGCGAAGCTGCATGCACTTGCTCGCAATTCAGATCGTGCTCGCCAGATTCTGGGTGAGCTTTTCAGGCTGTACCCAGATTGGAATCCGTCTGTCATGATGGTTGTCTTTCGCGCTCATACGAGTTCAGGGCTGGCGAAGCATCATGACACAGCGAAAGAGATATACGTAGAGATGAAGGAGCGCATGGGTGATGCTGTGTCAGTCGAGGATTTCGATGCCTGGCTTGTAGGCTTTCTGGAAGCACGGCACCTATGGCATGCGAAGCAAGTATTCAAGGATATGGTCAAGGATGGTCACCTTCCGCTTGCTGAATCGACGGAGGGTATTCATGAAGTTCTCAAGAGGTTGCATCTTTTGTACCGTCTGGGAACGGATATCTCAAAGATGACCAGCATTGCCCTCGATGCGCTCTCAGTTTTACCACAAGCGTACCATGGCTACCTTTTCGGCGATTGGATGAAATCCGCTGTGGTACAAAAGGCACCTGAGGCTGCTGCACAGATCTTGGACATTATGTTTCAGCGAGGCTATGAGCCTGAGACCTTCCACTTCAACATGTTGCTAAAGGCCCTCATACGTACGAAAGAACGACCAAACATCTTGAAAGCGGAGAATATCGGTTGGGGTATGATCGACAAGGCCAGGAAAGCCCATGTCAGGAAGCACGACTCGGAAACTACGGCTGAGATTATCAACAAGAGAGCACGACGTACGACAAGACTCAACGCAGGTGGCGCAAGAAATGTACCCGTAGCCAACGCTACCACTGTCGCTCTGATAATGCACCATCATGCTAAAAACCTACAATGGGAGCACGTCGACTACCTCGCACGACAACTCCAAGAAACAGCGATCCAACCAAACGCCGCCATCATGAACGTCCTCATGGACAACAAGACGCGGCAAGGAAAAAACAGGGAGGCCTGGGTGATCTACAGAACTCTCACCGAGCCGCAAGGTAGTGTTGAAGGCGTATATCCCAATGGCGCCACCTTCCGCTGTCTCTGGAAAACGCTACGCCTCGCCCTGAGCTCCCACGAAACTCGCAAAGAACCCGATATCCCCACGCCCCGCGAACTACTGAAGGAGATGGCTCGCTGGTGGACACTCTGTCGCAGTCGATACGATGCCTCGCGTTTCCGGCAAGGCCTCGCAGGCGCAGATAATGGCGCAATAACAAGCTTGATACTACACTGCTTCAGCTACACACAAGACCTTCCTGGATCTCTCGTTGCCTTACACGTCCTGCGTTCGAGATTCGATATCTTCCCAACCGACAAATCTGTTGATATCCTGCAGCAACAGATGGCGTGGGTGGATATGGCTTCTAATCTGGAATTTGAGCGTGAGCAGTTTGGGCGTGGTGGTTCGTATAAACGCAATTTGGCACAAACTCGACGCGTGTATGACATTCTGCTGCAGAGACGGTTGGATCGGATGGCGATCAGCGAGGAGGATTACATGAGGTTGACGGAGGAGCAGATTGGCGACATGGGACTCAATTTGTTGAGTGAGTTTGTGCGGGTCATGCTTAAGAGGAAGTTTTTGCCTGAGGTGGTGGAGATGATGATCGAGGCGACTGTGAATCAGGTGGGAGTTGTGGGGTTGGGGACGGGGGATATGGATGCTTTTGAGGTTGCGTGATGGTTGTGCTTTCGATAAATGCTTTGTAGACTATGTATAGTGTCAGGGAATGTACAACATGATATCAAAAAGGCGTTTGCAGAGAAATGTATTCCATCATAGCATCATGTACTATATTCTGAAAGATACCCAGCCACGTGCCTACAACTAATGCCATGTCATGTCTAGCTTGCTTCGTACTTGAATTCTCACCACAATATCGTACAGTCGTTCTCTCTTCGTAAAAAAATTCCTACAATCCCAGAGGGTTGCTTGCGCTCCCTGTCTTCACGCTACTCGGTGTGACTCCACTCCTCATCGCCATGCTCGCCTTTCCACCCGCCGCTCCCGTGGATAGGCCTAGCGGATTCGTCTTGGTGGTTGCCCGGCTTCCTGCCGCGCCCGTCACGTCCTTGATGGAGTTGCCGTACTCGCGAACCATGTCGCCCCAGCTGCGCGATGAGTTTGCGATACTGCGAGTATGAATGTCAGTACAAGATCATGAGGAAGCATACATGGAAAGCAGCAAAAGAAGATCAGTACAAACGTACCTAGCACCAGCACCCTTTCCAGCTCCAGCGACACCATTACCCGCCGCAGACACGATTGCGCCGGCGAAATTCCCCACGCCGGATGTTGCTTGGGAGACTGTGCGGCCGATCCAGCCCTGCGGTTGTGTGACCTTGGCTGGTGTGGGGAGCGCCTTTGGAAGAGCCTTTGGAAGTGTCTTCTTCACTGTTCCGATTGGAGTGGTGAGTTTCTTTGTCGGCTGGATGACCTTTGTCGAGGTTACTGGGGTTTTCTTCTGGGCTGTGGTTATGGGCTTTTTCGCGGCCTGGACGGGCGTGATGGGCTTCTTTGTGGGCTGGACAGATGATGTAACAGGCTTCTTGTTGAGTTGGAGAGCCCTCGATTGCGCTGTTTTCGCGGGAATCTTCTTGGTGCCGATGGGTTGGGGTGCCATGATTGCGGTTGATAGAATTGGATTTGAATCGTAAGAGTTGCTTGCAAATGGAAATGTCTTTAATCGGGAGGTTGGTGAGGTGTGCGAGCGAAGGAAAAGTAAAGATACTCTATCCCACCCCCTTGTCACCCTTGTACTCGGCAGGACATGGGAAACTTGAATGCCTGGCAGTGATGCTCCATGTGGCGCTGGAATGATGTCAGGACGGCTCAACGTTGCGCTTGCCCGCTGTGGGTAAGACGGCTTATCATCGTTAGCGTGATGCCCCGTGCATTATGCGGAACACCAGGGATTCCAGACCCTGAAGTGAAACCGCATATTCGAGATTGCCGAGATTCGCTCATTAGACTTCCACGACACTCGTTACGGTCGGATCTTTGGCTGTCCTGTTTTGCTTGTGCCTTTGGTAGATTTCAGGTGCTTTCAACGGACAGCATGCCACAGTGCGCTACGCTAACAGGCTGGAAAAGGTGTCCGGCGCGCGCATTCATGAATGCTCATCCATATACTTTGCCTTCCACACGGCGCGCAAGGAGCCTCTTTCACCTAGAGCAACGCCCCTCGTAAACCATAATAAGCCCGTGAGTTCGGTTTTCCCACTGTCAACATGCGTCATCGACGCACCCAAGTGCAATCTCCCAACTTGCGCAACGCTCGGTGATGCTGCAGCCATGTCTTCTTTCAAGCGCTCGGTGAGCGATACGGATGCTCTCACTCACATGAGCGAGGACTCCACGTTAGAAAATGACATCAGCACGCCAAAGAGCAGGCCGAGCAGGGCGTTTTCGTGGACCAAGCTGACAGAGTCGATGAAAGGCAGGAGACAGTTGTCTCGCTCACGTACCTCACTTGACAAGTGCGAGATATCTAGCCCTGTAATTATCACAGGATCTTCAAGCCCACAAGTGCTTCTGGGGCTTCCTCTACCTCCATTGGTGCCTCTATCAGCATCGCCCTCGGTGTCTGTGTCCACGTTACCCACTGCATACTCCAGTCCTGGGTCCCGCAAGCCACGACACACTGCAGCAACACACTCGTACTCGGCCTCTGACCCCACCAACAACCACTCCCCGCCCGACCGTCAGCGACGCTCACTGAGCCGCTCGCCGCCGCAGCTAGCTGCAGCACCGAGTTTTGGCAGTATCAGCAATATATTGGAGAGTCCGTTGGAGCGGATAGCAGAGTCGCCCCTCGAACATCATCGCACCATTGTGCCCCTCAATCTCAATACGCCGAACGAGAATCTGTCCAGTATGGAGCCAATGCGTCTGCAGCCCCCGGCTACGGCCATGGTTGGCACAAAGGGCCGCGCCATGCTGCAGGCACAAGAGACGGAGGCACTCGTTGCGGAGAGAGCGAAGCGCAGTGGAGATGAGCCGCCGCCGTACGACTTTTACGAACTCATTGGCAAGGGCGCGTACGGTCGCGTTTTCAAGGGGTACGTAGATGCGTAGCTGTGGGTAGGCATGGCTGACGCTGTCGTAGCAAGAGCCGCAACACCGGCGGGCTAGTCGCCATCAAGATTATCGACATTGACCGAGTCGACTACGAGGAAATGACTACCAAGAATCTTTCGGAAACACTCAAGGAGATCGATATTCTCCAGCAGCTGAGGGATAGTCGAGCGCGACCATATGTAAACATCATTGAGGAAGCGCGTACAGTTCATAGCGAGCTGTGGATCGTCAGCGAGTATGCCAGTGGTGGCAGTGTCAACACGTTGATGAAGCCCACCGCCATGATCAAAGATCCTGGACCCGGACTGCCCGAGAAGTTTGTCATCCCGATTGCGCGAGAACTGGCGCTTGGATTGAAGTACGTTCACGAAGCTGGTGTCTTGCACCGAGATCTCAAGTGTACACAGAATCTAGCCCCTTCCACTGAGTACTATATTAACAGATGCAGGCAACAACGTACTCATCCTTGAAGATGGACGGGTGCAGCTGTGCGATTTTGGCGTATCAGGCACCCTTGAGCCTCAAAAGTCTAAGCGAACGACCATTGTAGGCACGCCCTACTGGATGGCGCCCGAGCTGCAGAAAGAATGGATAAAGGAGACAGATCCACACGGCATGATGGGAAAGAAGAAAGAGATCCTGTATGGATCAGAGGTCGACATCTGGGCCTACGGCTGCACGGTTTACGAGATGGCCTTCGGATACCCGCCACACCACAACACAGTGCAGTTTGATCTGCCATTTGCTGGAGTCCCGGTACTAGAGGGCGAGCGCTTTTCGCAAGAGCTCAAAGACTTTGTCGCGTATCTTCTAGAACCCGAAGCTATAGATCGCCCTACTGCAGACCAGATTCTGGAGCATCCCTACATTATGGACACAGCCAATACACATCCCAATTCGACGTTGGTCAAACTAGTGGAGGATTACTACACCTGGGAACGGCAGGGCGGCGCTCGACAGTCGCTCTTCAATCCCTTCGGCGCTCAAGCACCTGATCCACTTGCTCCAGAAGCCGAAGACGAGGACAACGATGACTGGACATTCAGCACTTCGGACGAGTTTGAGCAAGAGCACGCGCCACAATTTGTCGATCCATTCACGGGTGCCATTTCGGGTCAAGGGTTTACTGGTATGAACATGCCAATTGCAGACATGGGTCGCTTCGAACAGCTGCAAGCTAGGTTTAAGGAGGAGTCTATCACCAGGGGAGAGCAGCGACTGAACCGTCTTTTTGATACAGAATCCACCCCGTACCGATACAGTGGAATTGGAATAGGTGAAGACAGTGAAGAAGGGAGCAGCGGCCGAAGTCAATCCGACCTGGTACTTCGCGACTTTGAACCAGGTGCGCCAAATCGAGAGACGGTCATTGACTTGGATTTCGCGTACGCAGCAACGGACGAGGTGCCTATGATAGATCTAGGCGAAGTGCCGACCATCAAGGCCGGTCGTATGAAGAGCTTGCTCCGTGAGATGGAGGAAGAGGAGGCACGCGATGCGCTCAATCAAGAGAACGAGCTCACCACCAAGCGGGCTACAAAGGAGTGGACCTTCCCGAGTATGAGTGACGGGCAAGATCAGTCCACGAAGAGGGCGACGAAAGAGTGGACCTTTCCAAGTATGAATGATGAGAAAGACCAGCTCTCGAAGAGGGCAACCAAGGAATGGACGTTTCCTACTATGTACGAAGAAGGAGAACAGGATGATAGCCAGCTTACAACAAAACGAGCAACTAGGGAATGGACATTCCCAGCCATGGAAGAAGAACAGAACCAGCTCACGACGAAGCGAGCTACTCAAGATTGGAAGTTCCCAACTGCCAACGACGATCAGTCTAATCGCAAGACGATGGAGTGGACATTTCCCAGCCAAGCCCAGAAGCCTAATCGACGAACAGTCGAGTGGACTTTTGATGCGGCCATGGCTGAAGCAAACTCCGAAGCTCCCAGGAACCGTACTTCTCGTCGTCGTGATACGAAAGAGGCCATGCGAAGCCTAGAGAGAAGTCGGAATAGTAGTCAGTCTAGCCTGGGAACGGGCAGTTCCTTCTCATCCTCCCTCGCCCCGGGCTTCCGATCAAGCCAGCGATACGGTATGAGTGAATTGTCGGAACACCCTCGCGACAGCTCGGCAGTAGATTCTCCATTACGAACATCGATGATCGACTTGGACATGGCCATGGTCGAGGACTACCGTCCAACAACTCCAGGATCTGAACAAACGTATACAGCATCTAGCTACACCGCGAACGACAACCCATTCAATCTCGAGGATCAAGTTCAGTTGTCGCAGAACAACCACCGCGCTTCCTTCCACATGAAATCACAGTCAGAGCCCAACCAAACCGTGCCCGGGCTCTTGACCCCCCAACAATACGACGAGCAAGGCCACCTCACAAACCAAGACCCACTCCATCCAAACAAGCACCTGCGCGGCGTAAGCTCAGCAAGCCAAGTACAAACCTCCACCGCCAAACCCCCACCACCCAACATATCCCACCGCCCCAACCAGCGTTCCCAACAAGCCATCATGGACAGCTGGTCCCACAGCGACGCCTACAACCTCGGCAGCGACGACCAATCCCCCCCCCGCAGCGTCACAACCGACACCTCCCTCGACGACGAAGACGTCGACGACCTCTGGGACTCCTTCGAGCGCTTCACCCTACAAGCCCAGCGCCGCTACGAATCCTACGCCTCGCTGCGCTCCACGCGCCGCACAGACTCAATCGACCACCAGGACCCCCGCTCCAGCGACACGGATGAACCGCACTCGTCGTCGCATGAGCTCTCGGAGAATGAGCTCCCCGTGCGCAGGCAGAGTAGGGTTAGTGTTGGGCTGAATGGGCGCCCGCTTGTGGATTTTCCGGTCCCCAGGGGCCCCGATGTGGAGGCTTTGCTCGGGAGTGATTTGGATCCGAGGGTGTTGCAGGATGCGCTGCTGAAGAGCTGTGTGGAACTTAGGGATGGGACGCGTGCGGGGAGGGATCTGCTCAGGGCGATGCAGTTGAAGGAGGTGCCGGAGGATGAGGGGGTGTGAGTGGATGGATAACTGTGAGTGGTGATTGGTATGGTTTGGGCGTTTGGGCGGGAGGAAAGGACGGGTGGGGATTGGATGGGTAGGGGTTGGTTGGAATGGATTGGGGTTATTTGGAGTTGGTGGATGGGATATCTATGGGGCTTATATCGGTTGTCATGATCATGTTGGGGAATCGAGTATTTATGTAGATTGGCGCGAACATACAGAATATAACACATATATATATGTGCAGAATTCAGTCGTTTCGCGTAGAAGGTAGGAATATCTCCTTTCATCAAACTACACACAGTCAACACACCACTCACTCACTCATCAGAGAAACACGCATACGAAAAGACCGCAATGACAAATCAAAACCAAGCAAATACCCACACAGCAAAAAGCGTAAAATAAAACAGAGAAAAATGCTATATAATAAGTAATAGTATAAGACGCACATCCACATCCACATCCACGCCAACAAGTCAAAACTCCAAGTCAAACTCCATCTCCCTCTCCCATCTCCCTCCTCTCCCCATCCCCAAAATTACCAATACAAAAAGCCATCTATATACAGCCTCCCCCCTCCACCTCACCCTCCACCTAAACCCCCAGATCCCAAAACCTAAAACCCAAAAGGATTCTGCGGCGCTACCCAAAAGTCAGCAAACCCCCCAAAACCCCCACAAAAAAAGAAAGAGAGAAGAACTTACTAGCATTCGCCAAATTCGCCCGTCCCGTAGGCTGAGGCATTAATTTCTTCGCCTGAGGCTGAACCCCAAACTTAATAGCCGGCGCGGGACCCGTACGCTGCGGAACAAGGGGTTGCGCTGCAGGCATGGCGGGCATAGGGGGCATCGGGGGCATGGGCGGGGCCTGGAAGCCCGTTTGTTGCGGAGCGAGGGCGGGGGGGAGGAAGCGGTTTACGCCCGTAGCCTGGGGGTTTAGGGGGGAGGGCTGGAAAGTGGGATATCCTGTGGGTTGGGGCTGGAAGGGTGCGCGTGGCGGGTCGGAGAAGGGACTTCCTCCGTTTTGGAAGGACTGGGGCTGGAAGCCGTTCATCTGCTGCTGCTGTTGCTGGGGGAAGCCTGTTTGTTGGGGGTGTTGGAAGGGCGGGAAGCCGGTTTGTTGGGGTTGCATTGGGTTGAAGCCTGTGGGTTGGGGCATCATGCCGTTTTGCGGGAAGCCGTTGTTGTAGCCTGGGGGTTGTTGCTGGGGGAAGCCTGTCATCTGCTGTTGCATGCGCTGCATGTTTTGCATGTCTTGCATGCTCTGGCCCGGCGGGGCGACTTGGGTTAGCATGTTGGGGTTCTGGACGTATCCCGTCAACTGGGGCTGGAGCGGTGGGGGCGGACCGAAGGCGCTCTGCTGTGGGTTTTGGGGGGCAGAGGAGGAGCGCTGGGGCGGCGGGGCGATGAGACCGCCTGGGCCTTGGTGAGGGGCTTGGGGTCGAGATCGGGGCGGGGCCAGGTTTTGGGGTTGAGTCAGGGCTTTGATTGCGGCGACTTGGTCGAACAGGGACAGAGTGGCGCCAGTTGGCTGGGGTTGCTGCGCTGGAGCTGGTGCGGGTTGGGCGGTTGCTTGGGTCGCTATTGGGGCCGGCGCTGGAGGTGCGGGCTGGGCTATCTCGTCTGGCTTGAGTGCAGGCATGTCCAAGAGGGAGAGATCATTCATGGAGCCTGTCAGGACGGGTGGTCTTGCCGCAGGGGTGGGAGCCGTAGCAGCCGCTGGAGGTGGTGAGGCCGCACTTCTCGAAGGCTTGACGTCCCAAGCATTGTCTTCGAATCCGTCCACCTTGCTTTCTGGGACAGGAGCAGATGCCAAAGGCGTAGGCGTAGAATCCGCAGGCTTCTTGGCCGCTTCGTCCGTCTTCTGCACGAACGCCTTGGGGTCGACCACGTCGTTCGTCTGGACAGGAGGGGCTGGGCGTCCTTTCCGGGTGTTGTTTCGTAGTGCACCGCCTGGGCCAGAGAAGAGACCACCGGCACTTGCTTCGTCGCCTTCTTCCGCAAAGCTGACGCTACGTTTGTCGCGTCCGTATTTGCTATCCAGATACTTCGTCACACGCAGAATATCCCCTTCCTTAAGACCCAACGTACGCAGAAGCGTCGGAGTCACATCCGGCATATTCTCCTCACCCATCTGATCTTTATGAAAAGCCTGAGCATACCGCTCGCAGATCTGCGGGTTGACGCCACACTTGAGGAAGAAGTCGAACCAGTCGTAGTCGGGCTTCTTCTGCACCGAGATTCCAGTAGGCGATCGACCAGCAGGCGACCCGGAAGTCTCCTTGGCACGCTGAGTGCCCTTCCTCTTGAGCTCTGAAAGAGGCTTATCGTCGTCCAGAGACTCGCCTGTCACGCGCTCCACGTACTCCAAATCCTCGACCGACATCTTGGTGACGGGCACGGCAATCTTGACGCCGTTGGTCTTGTGTAGGTGGATCTTGCCGTCCTTGATGGTGACGAATTCGGCCTCGACTTTGAACGAGCCTGATCGATCGGTCCAGGTACGCACTCGGGCGGGGTCTGTAGTTCTCGTTAGCTATTGTAATCATATACACACACCAGATCGAAGACGAATAACAGTGTCAAGCGGGGAAGAAAAAAAGATATCGGGGAATACTGACTCGGCTTAGACGAAGACTTGCCGTCCTTGGAGGAGCTTTCGCGCTTGCTTGATCTCTGTGAAGTACGACGATGGTCAACATTTGCTTGCATAAGACTCGAACCACGCGAGGGCAGAGGCAGGCCAGGTCCTACCTGATCAGTCCTTGCCTCACTATCCGGTCTCTTCCGCCTCGCGGCCTGACGAGCCTGCTCCTCCTCGTCGCGCCTGTTCTGGTCCACGATGGAGCGGATGGCCTTGGGGTCGGAGCGCGTCGTGTGGGCGGCGGGAGTCGTGATGTGGGCGCTTTCTGTAATCTCTACATAATTAGCTGGTACCACGCCCTCTTTGCCGTTCTTCAGTCGTCGCACTTTCCACCACTCTTCGCTCGCCGAGTCGTCGAGGACAAGGATCTCGTCGCCAAGACCGACTGTGACCTCGTCGTCGCCCTGGGCCATGAAGTCGAACAGCATAACGCCCTTCTTCTGCACGTTGGAGCTTCCCGAGCCAGCGGCCAGGACCTCGCGCAGGCCAGCGCCCTTGGCGGCGCCTGCCAGCTCTCCAAGCGCCGACATAATCTCTGTCGCCGTGTCCTTTGCGCCGCAGTGGAAGTCGACGCTCTTGCTCGGCTGCTTGAGCTCCATGAAAATATGCTTCCCTTCCTGCGAGTAGTACTCCATCTTCTCTGCACTCCACTCCTGCTGCGGCCCGTCGCGCGACTTCTCAGGAGCAATCATAATCATGCCCTTGGGGATGTTGATGCCCAGCGTGATGGGCATCTTCTTGTTCTTGCCCGGCTGCGTCAGGTACTCGTAGATGTTGTACAGGTGGTAGCCCGAGCCCGAGAGGGGGGTCGACGGCGCAGGGTCGTCCCTGTGCTGGGGGTCGTACGTGTCGAAGGTGACGTTTCGCGGCACGGGCGACCTGGCTGCAGGTGAGGGCGACCGCGCGCGTCTGGGCTGGGCAGGCGGAGGGGAGTAGGACGCGGAGGGTGCTCGGTTGGGCACGCGAGGCGCCGGCACATCCTCGTCAGACTCCTCAGGTGTGAACTGCACGCGTCGGCGGGCGGGGGCGCTCACGTTGGGCGGAGGCGAGATGGTCGAGCGCGGGACCGACTGCTCCGACTTCTTCTGGATGATGCCGGCCAGGGCAGCGGCGGGGCTCGGGCGTGGCGGGCTGTCGGGCGTGTTGGGCTGCTGCTCGTCGTCGGACTCTGGCGCAGGCGGCGGCAGGGCGGGGCGGGTAGGCAGCGACGGCGAGGCGACGGCGGGCGCGGTCTCACTGCCCTCAATGAGCTCGATGTAGTTGGCGGGCACGAAGCCGTAGTCGCCGTCAGCCCCGACCAGGGTCCAGTCCGGGTCGGTGGTGTCGTAGACGTCGAGGGTGGCGTCCTCCTTGAACGACAGCTCCTCGTCCGTCTGGCGGGCGTAGTCGAACAGGGCTTTGGCGTGCATGACGGGCGCGGCCTGGGAGGAGCGGGTCAGTGGCTGCACGCGTGGCTGGGGCGCAACCGTGGCGGGCTTACCTCTTCGATGTAGTTGCTCGGGATCAGGCCCTCGGGCTCGTCCTCGTCCTCGCTGTGGCCCTTCTTCTTCGCCTTCCACCAGTCGTCGTCGGCCGAGCGCTCCAGCACCATCAGCATGTCGCCCTCATTGAGCCCGATCTCGTTGTCGCTCTGGGGCGCGTAGTCGTACACGGCCCGGTAGATGCCCAGGAACACCATGGCGGCGGCGGGCGGCGCGGCGCACCTTCAGCACACGCGGGTCGAGGGGCTGGGCCGGGTTGTGGGCGACGATGCACGCGCATACGCTCGGCGGCGGGCCACGGGGGTGTGGTGCTCGAGGGGTGGCCAGGGGCACGGCTGGCTCGACGCGGCGCCGGTGTTGCTCGCCTGGGCGTCTGCGGGCGGCGGCGTGAGAGGATTCGGGGCAGCGAGAGCAGGCGCGGATGCGGGGCGATGCTCGTACTGCTGCTGTGGGATGTGAGACGCGGATGTCTTTGTCGATGGGCTGGACGGAGGCTGAGCGCTAGCCCTGGGCTCGGTCTCCTTCATGGCTCCACACCGACGTCAACGTGCTGCCCTCCCATCGCCCTCCCTGTACTTCAATTGTCCGAAGACATGCACGTCAGATCAAAATAAGCAATCTTGACCTGGTCTGTGGTCTTCGTTTTCTGCTCTCTGTCTACGAAGTATGAAAGTACTCAAACTACACAACACATCAAACCCCCTACCATCATCCAAGACAACCCTCTCAATACGTGAACCTAAACCCCTCGGTCCCCTCAAGCACCCTCTTCCCCCTCCCCTGCCCCCGATTCGCCATGTAAAAGTAGATCGAAAACACACCCACGATCCCAATAATCAGAACATGCGACCTATCACAAGTCAGTCAATCAATCACTCACTCAGCAACCACCACCACCATCACCACCCAGATGCTCAAACTCACCCAATGCTAACCCAAATCGCCGTCATATACCTCGGGCCCTCCCCCTGCCTAACAATAAAGCTCCCCGCAATGCCCCCAGCGCCATTACACGCCGTAACCGCCGCAGCAGTAAACACCCTCTTCCACAAGCCCACCACATTATTCGCCTGATACGTCGCCATGGCCGCCCAATTCGCCACATACGCCCCCGTAGCCAGATACGTGCCCACATAGCGCACAGCAACCTGATCCGAGAAGCCAAGCATGCAGAACCCAACAATCAAGCAGAGCGAATTAAACGCAATAACAGGCGCGCGAAGCTGAAACCTATCGCCCACGAGCGAGGAGAGGATAGCGGGGAGAACGGCGTAGTAGTACGGCGGCGCGGAGAGCAATATCGATGCGTTGGGCGAGAAACCCATTCCGGACTGCAGGATGATGGGCAGGAAGTAAGACAAGCTTGTCGAGACGAGGTTCTGCAAAAAGGACAGCGTGCAGAAGCCGTATACTTTGGGGTCTTTGGCGTGGACGAGGACTTTGCGCCACGTGAAGGCGTCGGGCGCGACGTCGCCGCGGTCCTTGTGTATGCGTGAGGCGGCGAGCGCGCTCTCGTGGGGGGTCAGGAAGAGGAAGGAATTGTGGGCGTGCTCGGGGAAGTCGATCATCCACCAGTATGTGAGGATGCCGAGGGAAATTGTGATGCCGCCTTGTACGACGAACATGTACTGCCAGCCCTTCAGCGCTCCTTTGCCGTCCAGTCTGTTGAGTCCGTAGTTGACGATCCCGCCTGTGGCTAGCACTATGACCTCCCCGCTCTGCATCAACGCGAAGCGCAGCTGCTGCTCTTTCCTCGTATACCACGTCGATATGAGAACCGTCAGGCCCGGATAAATCCCCGACATAGCAATACCCAGCAGAATCCGCAGTACGATCATCTGCTTCCACGTCTGCACAAACGCAGTACACAGCGTGATAACGCCAAAGCACACAGTGATAAAGCTGAACCAGACCCTGGGCCCAAACATCCTCACCGCAATCGTCGACGGCAGCTGAAACGCGATACTCGCAATCGTGAAGATGAAGATAGACACCGAGTACCTATTCCCGACGTCAAGTTCCAAATCGCCCAGCATCGACGTGACAGACGCCGAGCTGATCACCCCGGAGTCGAGCAAGTTCAAACTGCACAGAACACCCGCGATGCTGCATAATCGCAGGTCAACTTTGAGCTTGATCGTGCTCTGCCACTCTTCCTCAACCCTATCTTCTTCTTCCGCGCTGGTAATGCCTTGCTGTTGCTCGTCTTCATCTCGCGCCTCAGACTCGGAATCCCGACCCAGCGCGCTCTTCAGCATCGTGTCGGCGTGGCGGGGAAGAGAGGAGTGGAGGAAGATGAGGAGGAGTCATGCCCGCGACGCAAAAAAGCACAGTGGAAACGTGCCACGATCCTTATCATCGCCGTCTCAAAGTGGAAAGTGCGTGGTACGGTTCCCCCGGTTCGAAGATCCACATTGGAGACTTCTACCCCTGGCTGCCGAGGTGCGGGAACACCGTTGCAAGTGGCTGACTCTGGGCGTATGTCACAAACATCACTCACAAATGCTGGAACATGACGGCTGGTTTGTTTAATGTTATGACTGATACCCCGGCTGGTGGGAATGATGCCAGACGTACCGGTATCTAGAGAGTGGATATGTGAGATCTTCGGCATAATGTATGCCGATGCTGACGAGAGCAGTGAGCAATCTGCAACACTACCAAGCCGCAATGAGAACAAACCTGATGTGGAGAGGTACTGCGTGTTCCGTTGCCAAACGGGAAACACTGTGCCTGAAATCCATCATGCAAGCGTCACTATATATGTCTCAAGAGGGGTGTGCCTGGACGAAATGCGCCGTATAGCAAGCTGTTGGCGGAATTCCAAGATGACGGCAAACAAATACAACGTCAGCTATGTAGGCACATCTACAATTCTGGTCTTTGGTACATGTTGCATAAAATCAGCAAGAACAGTGTCATGACTTCACTTCTCAAGTCAACATAAAAATTTGTGATATGGATAGAAGGTAAGTAGTTACAAAACAACACCAACAACAACAAATCGCATTGCCAACAAAGACAAGTTTCAAGCTGAAGCTAATACCTAAACCAAGCTAAACATCGCTCATGCCCGTGGCGAGTGTGTATACAAACAAACCGACAACAACAGAGATCAAAAGAGCATCAGCAGGGAAGCGAACAAAACTCAGGTTCCAACAAATTTGGGTGTCCATTTCATCCGATGAAGGGTAGTCCGTTCTAGTACATCCACTGGCGCGCAAAAACAAAATATATTCCCCTGCCAGCAAGCGAGCCCACTGCTGAGCACAAAAACCAGCGAATGTGGGTGGGGTATTTGGGGAAACAAACAGTTGAACAAAAAAGACAGCGAGAGAGGGAACAAACAACAACAACAAGACACAAAAGGTCAAGCACGCAGTAAAAAAAAGTCAGACAAAAAAACAAGAACAAAAACACAGTGCTGTCCCACTCGTACCAACAACATCCATGTCCCAAGAGAATGGGACAAAATTCACAATTGCTCCTACCCGGCCTGCCGTAAAGTGTACCCCGATCCCACCTCGCTCCCACCGTAGAAACAATTTGGTTGTGTACGATATATCGAAAGACAACAGGGGTAACATGCAAAAATCAACCGTGGACCCAAAAGCAAGCGCTTCGTAATTCATGAGATCGAGGGGAAATGTCGAAGTTTTCAGAAGTCAAGATTAAAAAGGTGTAGAGGTTGAACAATCCGAGTGACCAAGGCAACATGCGAACGGTGCTTGTTCAATCGTCATCCTCGGGATCGTCGTCATCCTCATCCTCATCTTCCTCGCTAGCAGCATGTCGCTGTGTAGCTTTGCTCTTCTTGCTGGTTGGCTTTCCCTTGAGCAGTGTAGCGGATGCCTTGCGCTTGGGTCCCGACGACTTCGGTGCCTTCACAGGGAGAGAGCTGTTCTCCTTGTTACCCTCTTCGCCGTCACCCTTTTGCGCGTCCATTGCCGCCACCTCCTCAGCGGTCAAGAATCGACCACCAGGACCACGTGGGCGACGCATGGCATGGTTATGCCTGGATTCGTGCAGGTAGGGCTTGCGTCCCTTGGAAGTGAGGCGCAGTGCATCCTCCAGCTTCTGTCGTGCCAGGCGTCTCTTCAAGATCCGATGGAACTGCTTGGCATTTACATACAGTGGTGCTTCCTCCGCCTGCGCTCCGGACACGAGCTCGGGTGATTGCTGGTGCTGCTGTGGTTGAGACATCTGAGGGGGCACCGAGATGGATGGCCGGGGACCTGCATGGCTCATTACAGGCTGTGGATGTTGCATGGCGGGGCTGCTGATCTGTGTGCTCATCCGGCGCTGTTGCATTACCTGCCCAGGGGTCATCTGGGCCTGAGATGGCAGAGCTCCGTTCATGGCATTCGATACAGCAGTGGGTGATCGCGGGGCTACGCGTCCGTCAGGCTTCATTGGCCCTGACATGCGCGGAGATGCCCTCGGGTCTTGCGTGAGCTGGCCTTGGATGGAGGTCTGGTCATAGTATCCAGCGGGACCTGCAGCAGCTGCCGTCGCCATAGCAGCCGCTTGTGTCGGCGATATGCCGTATTGCTGATGCATGCCAGGCTGCATGTACCCTTGTTGGGCGTAGCTCATCTGCGGGTGATGCTGTTGGCTTTGCGCGCCAGGCTGGCCGTATCCCTGCGAAGGGAGTATGGGCGAGGTCTGTTGATACGAATGCATCTGCTGTGTGGGGGAGGTGATGGATGGGTTTCCTGCGGCAGGATTCTGCGCGCCTCCATAGCTCTGCAGGTGCCCAGGTGCGTGCCCATGGTGGGACTGTTGGTATTGGGCGTAGTCAGTCATGTTGGTGATGTTCTTCGAGGTACAAAGTACTTGGGGGTACAACGGCGGCCTTGATGTACGCGACCGTAGGCGGCGTTATGGCACGTAATATCCCGATGCGCCACTGGCGAACACGAACCCGAGATGCTGTGGCGGTCCTCGTGGGAGGCTCCGAAATGCGCTCGACGATCTTCGTTTCCAAGTTTCGCGCGGGCGGGGTGATTGCGACGAGGGAGTATGAAACTCGTGAATGAGTCGAGGACAGGCGTGCAGGGACGCGACTTGACGAGAGGCGCAACGACTGGTCGAAAGCTGTAGCCTGAAGCTGGGGCGAGATTAGTAGGCAGCCAATGGTATGCGGTTGGGTGTCTGGAGGGGCTTACGACAAGAAGCTGCTATTGCCGCGTTGATATGGACGGTCACTGGTCTGTTGATGTACCGGATGGGTCGCAGCCGTCGTGACTGTTGCGCCTTGTTCGCTGGTCGAGTGCAGACGTCGGGAGGAGCGTGTCCCTAGGCGCGGCACAGGCGATCACGTCGCGGCAGGGCCGAGGATTGATGTGTTGTCAATGGCCACGCTTAGTAGGCGGGACTGCTAGAGGCACGCACGGTCGAAGGCTTGGCCTGGTCGTGAGGCGCAATCGAGGCGGTTGGGTGCAGAGGGTTAGACCGTGGGGCGGTGCGCTTGCACGGGAGAATAGAGTGGGCCAGCAGAGGAGAGACGCGTCTGAGAGGTGGAGAGGGGGCCGTTGCAGGAGCGTACCAGTTAGGAATGAAGCAGGCAATTGTCTGCACTGTTAAGAGTAACCGTCAGCTAGTTGGACACGCGGGTATTGCAGCAATTGGAGCCCGTCGAGGGTGGTGGCATGTGCTGGCCGGCGGGCGATTGGAGGCGATGCGCTGGCAATGCAGGTTCATGCACGGCTGCGAGTGCACTTACCGGGTTCAATCAGCGGGCGGACGGTCCACGTCGCAATTGCGCGCCGTGTGTCGATTACTGCAGCGGCGTCGCGGTGACGCTGGCTGGCAGGCGGTAGTGCTGCTAGCGGTGCTCACGGCCGGGGTGGGCAGCGACAGGGCAGGTATATAGTGTCGCAACGCGCAGCTGACTCTGGCGACAGCGAAGCAGTCCACGCAGCTGGTTATTGCGCGATACAAGGCCTATGTGCTCGAGGAGCCGTGTGTTCCCTTGGCTAGTGCGGGAGCGTAAGCAAGAGAACATGGTCTGCGAGGAGGGCGCGACGGGATACAGAGCCCTGGGCGGCACGCTGGGTCGAGCCGTCGCGCGACAAAAAGCAACGGGCGGCGAGGCATTGGGTTTACGGGGCAGCATGCGCGGTGAGGGACAGATACCGAGGATGCACTTACCGATGTTCAGGCCGCAGCAAGATTCAGTCACGAGATTTTGTGGTGGTGAGGTTTGGCGACTCGCGCTGATTTGCGGAGGAGCACTGCTTGTCTCACGGGCGCGTGCGAGGGCTTGGGGGTACCAACTCTGGACAGGCTGCTCGCCGAAGATGCGCCTAGCAGTGCACCAGAAGAAGCCGTTGCAGAGCCGTGGCCGTCTGGCGTTGTGCGTGCAGAGTGGTGCAGACTCGTGATCTGGAGTCTGGTACCTAGATGGCAGCGAGGATGGCTAGTGAGTAGCCGTGGTGGTGCAGGATGATTGGAGAAGGAATGAAGAAACTGGATTGGGCACGACGAAAGAGCGACGGGGCGGGGTTTTCTATTCGACGGAAAACCGGACTACCCAGCAGGGATTCCGACCCAATGGCAGCGCGGTGTGGCTGCCTTTCCAGCCGTCCACGCCCTCCCCAAACCGGTGCTCCACCACGCGTCACGGCTGCGTGCTGGGTCCCTTTTGGCTGCGCTGCCCTCGCGCTATCACGGGCATGGATGACCGCACGAGTGCAAGCTGCGCTCAGTGATCATCTCCAGCAGCAGCAACGTAATGACAGCGGTAACCTACCGGTACTATGTGATGACAGCGACAACATACTAGGTAATGACAACAGCAACGCGCTGGCAGCAGCGGTGAGCTCGGGCGGTGGCCGCTCCCTTGCGCCTGGTCGCCTCACACGCTCATCACTCATTTCATCGCATCCGCCCGCAAAGCGATCTCCTCCTCCATCCTTCGCTGCCCCAGATGGGAGATCAAAATCCACACCGTACAGACAAATCACAGGCGCATGTCGCAAAACTTCCCGGGCGCGTAGCCAACGTGATTCCGCACACTTCTGTCCGGTCACTGCTTATGCTGAACCGGGCGCGCCATTGGCCCTAGGAGCTGAGATTGCTGCGCCTCCGCCTCCCCACATCCAACTTTCGCGGCGCCCGATCATAGCGCCCGCTTTTTGTTGACTGCAGCTCTCGCCTACCTACTCAACAAAACATGCGCTCAACAGGTCTGGAGTGCTGTTTGCCTGGCGACTGGGTGAGATTGAGATGGGAATGAGCGACTTTGCGTCGGAGAGCGGCGAAATCAAGTCTGCGCACAATATACTCTGATGTGCTTGCACAACTGGGACTGTCGGGAAACACAATCTCGAGCGCTAACGGTAGGGCAACTTTGCTTTTGCAAAACATGGGCCTTGCGCTTCCGCTGTGTTTCGCGGCGAGCATGCTCACGTCTTGCTTGCGTGTGCTTGCACCTGGCTGCTGTCTTGTTCGCGTCTCAGACGCAGAGGAGGATGCGACGTCAGCGCATGCAGCTAACGCCAGCTTGGGCGTCAAAGCTTCTGATCGTCAAGCCGACACGGCGTTCATGGACAAGGCACGCTCTTCTGCAGATCAGCCTCCTGGTTGGCTCGTAGCTCAAACTGACCTCCGACCACGATATACCCCGTGTTTCTCTCATGTTGAAGACGGCCAGGCATTTCCACTGCAGAAAGGATTCGACGCCTCACATTCTCCGCACGGCGCTGCGTCATCTGGCGCTTTGTATGTAAGCACCCGCCAGGCTGGTTAGGCCGCCTGAGGTCACACAACTTCGGCAGGGCATGGACCATGTTCCCAACCCGTGACTCTCCCGGCAGTGAAATAGGAAGTTCAACTGGCACGCTGCATTCTCCTGAGAGGAGCATCGGCATGGGTGTGCCATCAATACGGGAGTTTCTAGACTCTCGGGACATGCGTTGTCGAAGCCGTCGAAATGTTGGCCATGGAGAGAGATGTAACCTCATGCTAAAGTGATACCTCGTCAAATATCCTAAAGTTAAACCTACAGAACACCTAGACAACCACAACACGACCAACAACAGTCCAACCCCCAACTACCAACATCCCACTATCTGCCCTACGACCCGACAATCCCAAGTACCGGAACCCATCGATGCAGCCCTCCCCCACCGGCTCCAGGCATTTGTCAGCCCTATCTCCCGGCACATCACTTCTCGGAGACTCGTCGCATTCACATGAACAGGTTGGTTACATCTAGCACCGCGCTGCATGCACGCCTCCAGGGTCCAGTTGCAACCCTCCCAAATCCGTTCTCCCGCGTCAATGACAGCAGGTTTCCCAAACAGGCGCACCTATCCCGCTTCGCACTTCCTCGGAACCATAGCGCAGCTGCCGTTCAAACGTGCTTTCCACGTGGGTTTGCCGTTTCTGACATCTCGCTGTATGTGCCTGCAACTGTGCGTGTAGGCTCTTCCTAGCAACACACACACACTTGAACGCCATGCGAGAGATCGCATCATACTACACTCCACCACTCATGATCCCATGTGACATCCCCATCTCCTCCAACCACGCGCCTCCCGACTGGCTCCCAGCAAGCCAGCCAAGCAAAGCCTATCACCTCCCTATCCCTATGCTTATAACCCCTCGTTCGCGCCGTGCCGATACCGATACCGATACCGATGCCTCCCTTTCCCTTCCCTTTCCCTTCCCTTCCTTACCGGCCCATCCCATCCCATCCCGTCCCAAACTCTCACTCACGGCAAACAAGTACCAAGCTGAGGCTGATTGAAAGCTCGATGTCCATTTCAGGCTAGTGGGTATCTGGACGCCAGGGCTGGATTTGATGGGGGGCTGTTTATCTGGTTTGTTTGGCTTTGTGTTGGGGTGCGTGGGTTTGTTGGTGAGTAAATGAGGTTGTATGAGTGGGTGTGTGGCTGGTTTGAGATTGGGATGGAATGGGTACAAGTAGAGGAGTGTTGTGGATAGGATGGGTTGGGGTGAGATGAGATAGGGGAGGTGGGTTGTGTTTGTTTCTTATGTGTGGCTATCTTGTGATGTTGGGATTCTTTGCCACGGAGGTGATGTTGGTGCTGATGCTGATGGGGTGGAACGCATTGAAGAGGGAAATATGAAGTAGGTATGGATGGTTGACTACGAACAAGTGTAGATTGATGCTCATACTTCTTTGAAGAGACCGACTGGTGTGTGGCAGAACGTGAGTTGAGCATGTAAAATGTTCAAGATACTCATTCTGATATTGTCGAGTGTTATGGCGATCATAATTCGAGACAAGAAATAAAGCTGGCATTGCGACATGAAACCCCCTACTTTTTGCCCGCCGTCTTCTTCCACGTCGAACTCCTGCTCTTCCGTCCATTCGGCCCCTTCTTCTTCCCGCCCCCGCCCCCAAACTTCAGTCCACTCTTGCCCTGCCTTTCGCTCGCGCGGTGCCCCTCAAACACAAACGCCTCCTTAGTCTTTGCCGCCGCGACCTTGCCCAACATGGCCTGCGCACGCCCCTGCTTTGACTTCTCCTCGCCCGAGATCTTGGCATTGTAGACGCCAGAGCTCTTCTTGGAGGGTGGTGGGCCCCGCGGCTTGTCCTTTTTCTTCTCTGCCTTGCAGCGCGTGACGCGCAGGATGCGGGGCAGCAGGGGCGGGTACTTTTTCTCGTGGAACTGGAGCGCTGCTTCGACGCCGTTTTCGTCGACAAACTGCACGTAGGCGAAGCCTTTACCGATGCGCGTTTGGGCGTCGCGGACTACGCGCACGCTTTCGATTTTGCCGGCTTTGGCAAAGTGCACCCAGAGGCCTTCTTCGACGTCGGCCACGGGCTTCTTTTTGGCGGGCTTGTCGGCCTCCGGGGCTTGACTTACTTCGTCGACAAAGGGCAGGTTGCCGACGAAGACGCAGCGGCGGTGGTCGACCTTTGCGGGATGGGCTACCGAGTCGACGTGCAGGTGGCGGTCGAGGAAGACGGTGCCGTTTAGCTTGTTCACAGCTTTGAGGGCTGCAAACTTTGTCGAGTAGACGGCGTATGCGTTTGTGCTCTTGGTGGTGGAGTCCATAATCTCTTTCTTTGCAAAGGCGGCGCGCTTGGGCAGGTTGCTTCCAAAAGCTGTAGAGCGGAAGCGGATGGATTCGACCTTGTGGGGCGGGTTATTGTCTGCGAGGTCGGAGATGAAAGACTCGAGGTGCTTCTTGAGAGCTTTCTCAGCAGTCTTGGAGTTGATGCAATCAGAAGACACATTGCCTAGGAAGACGGTGCGCGCGGCCTTGTCCAGTTCTTGCGCATTCTTGCCGTCCGTCTCCGCCAACGACTCGTGCTTGGGTATCGTGAACTCCTCCTCACGTTCTGCTGGCTTGTCCGAAGCCTTGTCCTCCATTTCCTCATCCTCATCCTCGTCCTCGTCCTCGTCCTCCTCTTCATCCGACAACTCCTCGGTCTTGCGCTTCTTCAGCCTCTTCTCCTCATCCTTCTCCTCCTCGCGAGCCAGCTTGCGCATGTAGGTTTCCTCGATCTCCTCCTTGCCGCCTCGCTTGCGCTTCTTGTTTGGCTTGTCTGACTCTCCAGCCAGCATCGACTCTCGCAGTTTCGCCAACACCGCCTCATTTTCTGACTCTGACTGCTCTTCCTCGGACGAGCTGTCATCGTCGCCTTCTGATGCCTCTTCTTCACTGGCCTCTTCCTCGTCTGAGGAGTCGGCGTCCGACAGGGCACTCAATTCTTCATCATCCTCTTCCTCATTGGGCGAGTCTGCTGCGGGGCGTTTTTGTACCGGTTCCTGGTATCGCGACTTGGGAGGAGGCTGCACGGGCCCAGCCTGTGAATTCAGTTAGCATTGCCGTATAGATATTCCACAGCTGGTGAAGACGTACACTGCTCGCAAACAGCGAAGACAGAGAAGGGTCGAATGCTTTCTTGTCGACAGCGATAAAGGGTTTGTCGCCCTTCTTCTGCGACTCCTGTTTCGCGGGGCGTTTGTCCTTTGATTTGGCCATTGTGACGGTTGAGTTGTTCGCCCACAGCAAGCAGCGAACAAAAGTTTTGGTGGAGACAAAACGCGATGAGGCGCTAGGCCTGGAGTGGGTTGGAGCGATCTTTCGGAGGGCAGGTGCGACCCTGCACTGCAATCGGTCATTCGCAAGAAGGCCGTCGGCAGCCAACACGCCGCTTGCGAGGGCACATTCCACGACTCCTCACGACTCCCTCTCCGCCGTGTCTGTATGCTTCACTGTGCCCTGTGCCTGCACGTCTCCCTTCTACACGCCTCCCCGACGTGTCGCTGGGTCGCTCTTGCCTGAGCCGACTCCACGCCTTCCCTCGACGCCTACCGCTCTCCAGATTTCGACCGCACGCCGCATTCGGCGCCCTCGACCTCCCGCGCCCGCCGAAAGCGTCGCAGACGTGAGCCCATAGCCAGAGAACGAGCACACGACACCAGACGCAGGTTGACACGCTTCCCTGCGCAGGCGCATGAGCGCACGGCACCGAGAGGAACGCATCGCCGTCGCCTGAGTCTTTGGAGCAGCATTCTCGAGTGCACAGCAGTACGTCAGCGTAACTTCCTATAGTCGTTATTTGTTTGCCGTTTTCGCGGTCTCTCGAAGCTCGGTGAGGCTCTGGTGAGCTATTGCGTCAACCGAGGCGCCCATTGAGCTGCGGAGACACACGAAGATCGAGCGTCGACACCAACACCGCCTGCTGCATTCTCAAATCTGACCACACAGCACAGCACGCATACCGCACTCCTCCAAACCATGATGGGCCACCCGATCCCACGCCCTGCGTGGACGCAACTACCCGAGTCGGCTGCACAGGAAGCGTCCTCGGCCATACAAGAATCCACAGAAACGCTACGAGGGTCACCACCAACGCTGCATGAACCCATCCCAGCCGTCTCTACGATTCTCCGCGCGCCCCCAGCGCCGAGCATGATACCTACTGGGCGAGCTGTGCCTCTCGCGCCTGTACTGGACTTTGACGACATGGCGGATAACAGGTCTAGCAGCTTGAGCGAGCTAGGAGACGCGTCTGACGATGAATCTGAGCCAACGCCGCGCCTGAGAATAGCAGAAGACTTGAATGACGACGACGATTCAGAGGCAGAGACAGAACGACTAGAAGATACACCCCGAAAACCGAAGCGCACGGCTACGGATACGTCATTGGTCTCGGAGCTGATGTATGCGAGGACGCCGAGCCAGTTGATGCACTCAAAGTTGGCGAACCATGAAGAATCTGCCCCACCTACGCCCTCTGACATTACAGACAACGCGACGGTAGGCGAAGCAGTCGACGTCGACAACCCTCTCCACTCGCTGTCCCTTGTCGCAGCCTCGGAAGCCGCGAGCCTCGAGTATGCGGGCAAGAAACGGAAGAGAACGAGCATAGAGGGGAGTCCTGTCGAGGAGCAGGAAGACGAGCCTGCACGAAAACGGAGTGGAGGTTCTAAAAGCCTCACACTCAATGGCAGGCCCGAAGACGCAATTGACAGTCCTGAACCAATAGACGTCGAGGAAGAACTAGATATGGCCGAAGAGCGCCTCTCGCAGCTCGCACACGAGGAAGTTGAGCTCGAAGAAAGACAAGCCAACATTGCAGCAGAAACCATAACCGGTTTGGCTGCCGTCGCGAAACACACGAAGCCGCGAAAGGGCGGTCGAAGAGGGAAGCGGAAAACGGAAGACGCAAACTACGCCTACAACACGGCTGTGTTGGACGCTGAGGCCCATGAAGGCGAGGGCGAGGGCGAGCACGACGAAGAGGACAGTGCAACCCTCGACGAAGAAGGTCAGTGTGCCTGCAATTCAAAGGCGGTGCTCTGCTAATATGGCTCACAACAGTCTCCAAGAAGAAAAACGCCATCGACGAGCTTGCGAAGATCGAGAAGAAGTTCAAGATCTTCCGAGAGAAGTAAGTCCATATATAATGGTTACATTCGCACGACAACCGCTGACTGTGATTAGATTATGCGACGAGCAAATAGCACAGTACGAACGAGAACTCGAGATGCTCAAGCTGCCGCACTGCGCGCATCCAGAGTATCTTGGTATGATTAAATGCATAGACGATCGACGTGCCGAGAAGATTACATACGAGACGACGCTGCTAGAGTACAAGCAGAAAAATCTAGAGGTCATAACAACAGCACAGCGACATCAGATGCACAGCCAATACTTTCAGACAGTGCGGCATATAAGAGAAGACATTCTCGAAGAATGCAACCGACGAGTGTGCGAGTTGCAGAGAGGAAGAAGAACGCTCAGCTGCGACGAGACAGACTACATGATCAAACTCCCCGAGAAACGGTCTGAGCAGATCCGACACCAAACAGCGTACAATCTCGAAGTTTCCGTTCTGTCTGGAGTCGCCAAGTATGTTGGATTCCCAGCGGCGCCCGACATCAGCGCTGCACGGCCTTCAGACATCGATGACGATCTACGGGCAATGAAGGTAAGTTGCTGAATGCGTCTGCTTAGAAATAGCAGCTGATTCGGCGCTGCAGATCGCGACACGTCCTGCTGCGCCTGCACCACCACCCTCCTTCCGTACCTATAATCGGACAACCACAGCAGACGAGGCAGCAGCAGAGGAACAGTTTCTCGAGAGCACCCCGTGGGCGAATCCACGGCATCCATCTCATCAAGAGTCTCGTTACGCCCCCGGTCCATCTCGCTTGCCAAATTACCAGACTCCCGCTGGCCAGCGCAGAATCGTCGACTTGAATGCAACAAACGGCTCTGCCTCGACCATCGAGGCCAACTCGAACCCTCACTCGTCTACAGTACACAACATAAACGGCCGCCTAGCTGAGTCAGAGTCACCAGTACTGCAGAGAAAATACCCGAACGATCTTCCCGCATACGAGCCGTCCACGTCTCTTCCCCGACATGTTGGCGTGCTAGGCAGAGAAGCATACGGGATGATGTCGAGCCACACGCCACAACATCTCGAGGCACATACCGACGAGCAGCGATGGGGCGGCGTGCGTCCCTTGAACACCCCAGATGTGCCACCAGGGCCGGGCCGGGCACCGATGCCGCAGCGCAACGGCCTGGGAATTGGCAGCGGGCTGTTTGGGCGCTGATTCGCAGTGCGAACACTCGGGCTTCGCACATTACATGAAGGAGGGCCTTTGATGCATCACTGTTCGGCGTCGGCTTGGGTTTCTTCTCGCACTTGCATATCGGGTCGGCGTAGCATGGGATGGGAAACATGTCACCCCTTCATCTTTTTTCGGCGTTGTTGTTTTCATCCGGGTATCTCCCCTTTCGTAGCCCTTTCTTATTAAGGAGGGGCGTCTTCTCTTTTCTTCTAGACGGTTTTTCTCCTTTCGCTTAGGGCGTTGTGTCGTGTTGTGTCATGTTGCAGTGGGAGGGACTAGATGCTTTGTAATGATACCTCGTCCTCTTTCGCGCCATGAATTCATCGCCATAACCTTTTCTTACCTATAACTATGGATTTATCATGCTTGTACCTTCCCTCCCAGAATCAAGGCATGTTTAGAAGTATGGTCCTTTTTCTTTTTACAATAAACAGCTGTCATGGCGACTTTCTCCTTGTTTTTTTGAAATGAATTGAAGATGGATGGGTGGATGGGTGGATGGATGGAAAGACGAGTAAAGTAGAAGGAGAAGTACAACTTCAACCCAACCCACCGTCTCCCCATACATGCTTAGTTCAATGTTGGTTTTTGTTTCCACACATATACTTTCTCCAGCAACACAGTTTTCGTACCGAGAAAAACATGTGGTTGCCCAGCGCTGACTTCTCTGCTCTAAGAGAGAAGAGGAAGGTAAGAAAAAAGGGGGCATATATTTCGTATACGAAGAGAGATGTACTCCATTATTCCCTAGTGATTCAGCTCTTTCATAGACTGGGAGCCAGAGCAGTTTTGATATAAAATGGTTGCTGTGCGGGAGTTGAGAGAAGATCCCGGATCATGAACCTTGATGTATGATGTTTTAGCAAGGAGATGGGTTGTAATGTGGAGGCGCACTGCCGTCATTAACAAGTGGACTGTCACTTTCAATCTTGGAGGGTGGATGGTGGGGTTGCGAAAGGAACAAATATTTTAGAGCGGTGTATGGTATGATATCATGTATGCCTTGAGTTATGACTCGGACTTTTTGTTCAATAGTTATAGGTTTGATCTCCACATAGTTTCATCTCCATCCTCTCTGTGTCGCTGTGTAGCGATGGGGATGGGATGATTGCATGAGTTGGTTTTCGGGCAGAAGGTGCAATTCAAGTGTGGTTCTAGACTCGGGTTTCTCATGAGCTGGATTCTGTGGTGTTTTGGTAGGTATAGTTTTTTCATTGCTCATTTTGGGTTTGGACTATGGATGAGGCAAGTAGTAGTTCATTTCGGTATGGGGAAGTCGATGGATGGGTTCAGGCAGCACGAAACACATACACGGTGAAGGGGCCGTTTTGAAAATTGTGGGACGTCTCTTTCGGACGGCAGGGGGTGGATGGTGTGTTTTTGGATAGCTGGTAGCGTGAGAGGTTCTGGACATGGTCTTTCACGGCATTGGTTTTGGCTCTGTTTTGAAGTGAAATGATATATCAGGATTGTTATGGCATACGCCTAGAGGAAAGGCTTTTCATGGAGACGAACAAACTGGACTTCTAGTATTAATCCAGGGAGACTTTGAGTTCAGGGATTGGAAAGTTGCTTGCTCCAATCCTTTGAGCTTAGATATATAACCTTCCAAGCGGGAAAGCATGATCGTTTCGGAGGTTGTTTTTAGGTTGGTAGAACATGAGCGACAGAAAAGTTGTAGAAAGAAAGAAACTTGTATAGGCAGCCTGGTCATAGACACCCGGTCGACACTCCCTCCATTCGGACGGAGCTGGTGGGTTTAGGTATCGATTGGTGCAGGGTTCTGGGCTCCCATGATTTTGCTGATTTCGTGTTTTGATGAAAATAGATTGGATCCAGAACCATTGACCATTCCGATTTCGATTTCTGATTTAAAGTACACAGCCATCATCGTTTTATGCTCCAATATTCCCATTGAAGTACATTAGCTGCAACCTCAAGAAGAGCCATATGATGAGTAGCGTGTATGTTTTAGTATGCAAAGAGTGGAAGAACATTCGATCAAGCATGGTCCTTTTCGGAAGATGATATATAGATGAAAGTGGGTAGGGGAACAAGAAGCTGGAGATGTAGTGAATTTATATGGACAGCCAGACAACACCATCCATGTGCGTTTGATGGTGACCAGCTGCAAGTTAGTCTGGTATAGAAAGCTACAGAATGATCCGAGTTCTGGATTGAGGCCCGAGAGATACTGAGGATCCAGAATATAGGAAAAAAACATCATTTCGTGGTCCTAATTTTCATTCTATTCGCAAGGGCTTCACATGGCGTGTTCAGAGTGTGTTTTTGGACATTTCTTTTCCCCAGAAACCATGGAGTTTCTCTTGTTATGTTTTGAACCAACCCTTCCATCGTTGACATATGACGGATGGGAAATCAACAAGAGCTATGAGACGTGTAAACAGAGAGCGAGATGAAGAAACGATGGAATTAGAAGGGATATGTAAACTCAGAAAGCTGATAACATCGCCACAAAAGGGCTGGCCACACATACGGAAGAACACAACGAGGCAAAACATGAATAGACAGCAACATGTCTTACCACTCATCCACTTGTGGCACTGATCTCGACCTTTGATTCTTGCACCTCTGGACCTGTTGGTTCTAGGTGATATAGAGTCTCTTGATGCGGTGCCCCTTGTGGTATCGTCTTTGGATCTAGGTAAAACTCTAGCCCCGGCATGGAGTTACTGTCTTCGCTACTCTTCGTCTTCTTCGTCTCCGGCTCAGTTGTACACACATCATGTTCGTCATTTCTTGTCCTCCTTTTCCCCAAAGCCGATACCGGTGTCTTCGACCTGAGATTCTTCTTCTTAGGCTTAGGCGTGGTAACTGACTTGACAGGATTAACAAGATTCGGATACTTACACGTCTCCCTCCCGCAAAGACACTGCCTCTGTCTGAAATAGTCTTCTCCATAATCGACGCAAATCTGCTCACCGGGAATAATAGACTTGTTTGCCTTCAAAACCAGCATCCTCTCTGTGCCAACTCTGGCCTCACATATATCTGCATTATTATCGCAGCTATGATTGCAGAAGCGGGCGTAATTCCCGCAATGTTCAGCATCGATATACGCAACTGGAGTCTCTACGTTGCTGAACATAGGCCCGATGCTAACCTCGTGGCAATAGGCAGTGTTGTCAGACGTCTCCGGGATTAGTTCACCAAGATACGGACCGATGATATCATTTTTCTTCCACTTCCACTTGGAGTACAGACCATAGCCCATGCTGAGAACTTCTCGGATCTCCAGTCGTGATTCCCAGCGTGCACAGCCTTGCATCCATTCGGAGAATGTATGGTCACAGAGGGCCTTGGGGGTGACGTCTCTTGCGCATTGGTGGCCAACAATCGGAACCCAGGCTGGAGCTTGCCAGCAATACTTTCCTAGGCAGTACTCTTGCGCTTTCAAGTGCTCTCCGTGCTTTTTGTGGAATTTGTTCTGTTCTCTCACTGTGCCAATCTGCTCAGGATCATAGTCTGTGTTCATTACCTGAGAAACTGACGTTAGGGGCCACGTTCCGTGGAAGTTGGGTGGTCGGGGCCTGTGCTGCCATTTAGTAGGGTCGTATTTGATGGACGTGATTTCTTCTGCGATGGCGGGACAGTCTAACGCTGTGAGACGTGAATTGTCAATATTGAACGGTGCGAGCGTGGCCTCTTCTTTTGCGGGCCAAAAATAATCACTCTTACTGATCGAGAAAGATGGGGATGGACCATACTCGAAGTGTGTGTATTCTGGTGTTTTTCGGTTGCGCAGTTTGCGTTGAGATGTCATACTTGTAGGCAGATTTTGCTTCTGGGTTGATCGCGTAGGATACTATGTTGTATGTAATATGCTTGATGAAGCATGGTAAGACGATGCATTGTTACCCTTGCATTAAAGAGACAGTGTTGAGTATCAATAGATATCACAAAGAGTTTCCTTTCCTCACAATGGCATTGTTCTCATGAATTGAACATGTTGAGCATATTCTCGCCTACCCAGACGCTGAGAGGGAAGATGCCGCCTGTCTTTGTACAACAGTCGAATACTCACGATCTTCTGGGATTGTGAACAAAGTTGCCCAGTAGTTAGTCTCAAGCCCGATGATGCGGAGGCTGCTAGGTGGTCCATCGTGGTTATTGGGTAGTGATGTTGAAGAGGGACAGCTCTTACAAGCGACAGGGATGTCAGTCGCGGAAGTGCCGCGGGCTCCGGCGCCTCCGTCATCAGCCCGTATAGGCAACTGCACCTATCCGCCTGTTTGTCATCTGTCCTTTGGCTTTCCTGTTTGCGCATATTATTGTACGTTGCCACCATCACGTTTCGAATCTACTGTGGCGCGTGGCAAGAGAGTTTGACGTAGCCCTCGCGTTTACGCGCGTACTGTTTCAAGCCTGCCAAGCGGGTTGCCTCCAGCTTCAAGGCTGCGATCGCGAGGCCAGCTGTCAATTAACTGAGCGCCAACCTCATACTTCACCTCGACGCTCCCCTCGCCTCTATGCATGATGAGATACCTTAAGGGCCTGTTGCCCGCCCTCCTGGCTCTAGCACCCCTCGCCACCGCAAAAGACCAGCCGTTCGTCGAGACGACTGGATTCAAGAACGAGCTCGTGAACCTCCTCTATTTCGACGATTCTGCGATCGCCCTCGTGCAAGAGCTTGATACCGGGAAGATATGGCGGTCCACAGACGCAGGGAAAGGATGGAAGGAATTGAAGGAACTCAACGGAATGGGCATCATCAAGAGTCAGTTCGACAACAAGGTTGCGCTGGTCCTGGGCGAGTCCAAACATTGGATCACATACGACCAGGGCGACAACTGGGATAGCTTCCACACGGAGCTTCCACCATCGATGTCTGGTACTGTGGGGTGGCACGCGAAAGATAACAAGAAGATATTGATAAACGAGTGGGAGAATTGTATGACTGCGCCGTGTCTCGGAAGAGTGAGTGCGCTTGCTGTATGAGATGCAACGTGATCTAACCAGTCGCCAGACATATTACACCGAGGATGGCTTCAAGACGAAACCCAAGGTCCTTATTGAGGACCGCAAAATGTGCCAATGGGCCATAGGCACCGAACACTTCCTCCCCGACAGCGACAAGCACGATAATCGGATACTGTGCATAACAAGAGGGAAATACTCAGACCGCTCGAAAGACTTCAGGCTGATGGTCTCTGACAAGTGAGTGACGCGCCGTCCTAGATGGTAGCAACAACTTACATCTACAGTTATTTCAAGGACGCGAACGAGCCTGTCATGTCATCCGGACGCACCATCCAAGGCATGGCAAACATGGCCTCCGTGAAAGGCTACATTGTCGCCGCCGCCAAGTCCGATCACTCGAGCGAACTCTCCCTCTACGTAACGACCGATACCGAGACCTGGCACCATGCCGAGTTCGGCGACCACAAGATCGAGGAAGACGCATACACTGTTCTCGAGTCGACAAACTACAGCATCCAGGTCGACGTCATGACCTCCAAGTACACCGCGATGGGAAACCTATACACGAGCAACTCGAACGGAACCTACTTCACCAAGAACGTCGAACACATGAACCGCAATGAGGAAGGTTATGTTGATTTTGAGAAGATCTCCAACATACAGGGTGTGGTCTTAGTCAATATTGTCGACAACTGGGAAGATGTGGAGAAGCGATCGCAGGCGAAGAAGCTGAAGTCGCGCATCAGCTTCGACGATGGAAGGTCTTTTGAGAAGCTGAGAATCAAGGGCAAAGACAGCGAACTTCACCTACACTCTGTAACGGACATACACAACAGCGGACGCGTATTCTCTAGCCCAGCTCCTGGCATTGTCATGGGCGTCGGAAACGTCGGCGAGAACTTGGGCAAATACACCGACGGCGATCTCTACGTCTCCGACGACGCTGGTCTTACTTGGGAGTTGGCCTTGGAAGAGGCACACAAGTACGAATTTGGTGATCAGGGCTCAGTCTTGGTGGCAGTCTTCGACGAAGGCGACACCGACAAGGTCATGTACTCGCTCAAGCATGGACGAAAAGACACCTGGAAGTCGATCGATCTCGGCTACAAGATCCGTGCTCGCGAACTCACGACCCTCCCTGACTCGACGAGCTTGAAATTCATGCTATATGGTTCCAAGAAGAAGGACGGCGGTGGTCGAGAGCACGTCATCATTCATCTCGATTTTGCTGACTTGCACGAGAGGAAATGCAAGGATGAAGACTTCAAAGAATGGTCTGTGCGCCTAGGGGAGGACGACAAACCCAGTTGTGTCATGGGCCACAAGCAATTGTTCCGCAGGCGCAAATGGGATGCCGACTGTTTCGTTCAGGAGGTTTTCAAAGATCCTACACCATCATTCAAACCCTGCGAGTGCGACGTTCTCAGAGATTACGAGTGCGACTTCAACTACGTTCCCAGTGGCGAGGGCAAAGAAAAGAAATGCATACCCGCAGACTCTCTGAAGCTACCCAAAGGCGCCTGCGAGGGCGATGCCAAGACGTACAAGGGCAGCTCAGGTTGGAGGAAGATCCCTGGAAACCAGTGCACGGGCAAGACAGACAAAGACAAGGAAATCGAGCACAAGTGTGGCGATGCTGAGAAGCCACCACCCAAGAACGACAAGATCACAAGCGAGATCACCAAGTTCAAGGGCGGCAATTTTCTGGATCAGTACTACCTCGAACGCGATGCGCAGGGCGGCAATGATGGCGAGAACAAGAGAGATCAAGACGAGACAGTGGTTGTACTGACAGACCAGCGCGAGGCTTACATTACCCACGACCATGGCAAAAAATGGAAGAAGGCCGTCGACGACGAGATCGTCAGGATCTACCCTCACCAATACGACAACAACTACGTTTACTTTCTGACCGCTACGCAAAAGGTCTACTATTCGGAAGACCGCGGTCTGAAGGATAGCATACACTATTTCGAGGCCCCAGTAATGCCGAACACCCAGATGCGTCAAATCATGCAATTTCACCCAAAACAGAAGGGCTGGCTCATATGGCTCGGAGGAAAGAATTGCGAGAAACTGGGCAACAAAGACTGCCACACTGTCGCCTATGTCTCTCAGAAAAATGGTCTCAAGGAAAGCTGGGAGCCACTCGTTCCGTATGTCAAGAAATGCGCCTTTGTCTGGCGCGAAGCTGGACGGAACGTCAAGGAGGAACAAGTCTTCTGCGAGCAGTACACGAACGAAGAGATGGGCGCCCCTCTGGAGCTCATCTCAAGTGACGACTGGTTCAAGAAGCTGGATGTCAAGTTCAAGTCCGTGGTCGAATTTGCGATGATGTCCGAATTCATCATCGTAGCAACAAAGGGTGATGATGGCAAGTCTCTACATCTGGACGCCAGTCTCGACGCCAATATCTTCGCCGAGGCGAAATTCCCTCACAATTTCTTCGAGCTTCACCAGACCGCATACACAGTATTGGACAGCTCCACGCACGCTGTCTTCCTCCACGTCACTGTGAACCCTCGACCTGACCAGGAGTACGGATCAATCATCAAGAGCAACAGCAACGGTACGTCCTACGTGATGAGCTTGAATGCTGTCAACAGGAATACAGAAGGTTACGTCGACTTCGAGAAGATGCAGGGACTGGAAGGTGTCGCGCTTGCTAATGTGGTCGTAAACGTGGACGAAGTCAACAACGGAGCCAAGAAAAGGAAGCAGAGCCGTATCACTCACAACGATGCTGCGGACTGGGAACCTCTTCAAGCTCCCAAGAAGGACTCCGACAACAAGCCGTACGACTGCGATGTAGCGGATACCAACAAGTGCGGACTGCACATCCATGGCTACACGGAGCGTTCGGATCCCCGTGAGACGTACTCCTCGCCCACAGCCGTTGGTCTTATGCTTGGTGTTGGCAATGTCGGTCCAGAACTCGGCACGTTTGGTGAAGCCAATACATTCATGACTAACGACGCTGGTCTTACCTGGACGGAGATCAAGAAAGGCACCTATGCGTGGGAGTTTGGAGACCAAGGGTCCGTCATCGCGATCGTTCGTCGAGGCAAGGATACGGATCATCTATTCTATTCTCTCGACAGCGGCAACAAGTGGAATCTTTACAAGTTCTCACCGCACGCAATCCGCGTTGACGCCATTACCACAGTCCCGAGCGACACTTCACTCAACTTCCTCCTCTGGGGTAAGGACGAAAAGGAGCTGGTTGCTATCAATGTTGATTTCTCCGGCCTGCCAGAGTTTGAGAAGAAGTGCGACCTGAATGAGAATAATCCCACGAAGGGAGACTACGATTTGTGGACACCACAACACCCCATGCAACAGGATCAGCCAGACTGTCTTTTCGGCCATGTAGCACAGTACCACCGCAAGAAGCGCGACGCAAAATGCAGGAACGGAGAGCGGATCGATCACATTCACGAGATTGCCCGCAACTGCAGTTGCACCAGACGGGATTATGAATGGTAAGCAAGTCTACTCACAGATACATTTTCATCGTACTTATTACTCGCAGTGCATACAATTACGAGCGATCAGTCGGCGGAGAATGCCTTCCCATCGCTGGTCTGGGTCTGAGCGATCCTCAAGCCGTCTGCTCCAAAGGCGCAAAAGAATGGTGGGACAACACACCCTACCGCAAAATCCCTCTCTCTACATGCGAAGGAGGCAACGAGTTCGACAAGACCGGCGACGTGCACGCCTGCCCCGGCTTCGAGAAGGAGTTCCAGAAGAAGTACGGCCTATCTTTCTTCGGTATCGTCTTCGCCGTCATCATACCTTTTGGCATCGCTGGTGGTATTGGCTACTACGTTTGGCGCAACTGGGACGGCAAGTTTGGACGCATTCGCTTGGGTGAAGCAGGTGGTAGCTTTGACAGCGACGCGCTGTGGGTCAAGTGGCCTGTTGCTGCCGTTTCCGGACTTGTTGCCGTTATCGCGGCCATCCCGCTGCTGGTGGGTAGTCTGTGGAGGATGGTGTCTGGCCGGGTTGGCGGCGGATATGACGGACGTACGTTTACGAGTAGAAGCTCGTTCGCAAGAGGGAGGGGTGATTATGCGGTTGTGGACCCTGACGAGGGCGAACTGCTTGGAGAGGATAGCGACGAGGAGGTGTGAGCTTGCGGGAATATTGCCGAGATTAGAGGATGGGGTTGTTAGTTTTGAGCGCGGTTGCGTGAGGGAACACATGGTCGTCTGGGAAGATGCTCGGGTATCCCGTTCTGAGCGTTTTGGTCTGGGATCCTGACAATGGGAGGACGGGGGTTGGTTTGGGATGTGCGCTTCGTACGATTTTATGTAACAATTCATTGTGTGTGATTACGAGGACGTTGCACGTGAGTGCTGGTTTAATTAACGATGTCTATATTTGCCATGGTGACATTGTTTCCAACCCGCACTGTTTCGCTTCGCGGTATGTTTGCCGTGTTTGCCAGACAGCCAGCTAGCCCGCCATGTGCGGTATGGTGTTACAAAACGGCGATGCAGCGCTGCGGCACAGGTATATTGGGGTTGCTGGGGTCGCCATGTAGGGAAGAGGCGCAGTGGTCAGTCTGGCATGTGTTTAAACCGACGTCGGTTCTTCAGCTCTGACAATTCATGCCGTCTTGTTTGGTTGACAGGTGAGAGGTGACAGATGGTCAATGCCGCGATGGATTCATGGGTCTCTGCTTGCCTGGAACATGACTTGAGGGGGTCTGACCAAACTTAGAGGGCTTGGCTACCGGGCAATCTCCATGCTTATATTCACAAATCAGTCACTGTGTTGGTATTGTCTCGCTAGTTCTTTGTGAGAAGGGCTCCTAGAGTGCCTTCGTCGAGTTTCTGCAATGCTTCTCTCTTGCGCGTCCACCTCTAGTCTGTACACGACACGACGAGCATCTTGCAGTTGTTTATCAGCACACTAGCCCTTGGATGAGTGTCTGAAACGGCTGCCTCTTGGGCCGCGACTCAGCAGTCGGATCGCTCCGTGTGGCAACTCCTGAACATGTGGATGGGAATGGCGCGGAGCGCATTAGGGCAAGGCTGGGCAGTTTTGAGTGCCACAGGTCCCGAACAGCTCAGACACGGCGACGCTCGTTGGATAGCGCGGCTTGCCTCCTCATGGTGCATAAATGTCGCGAGTTTTGGATGCAGGCCCCTAGTCCTGGGCTCGCTTGTCTCCATCCCTTGCCAGTGGGGTTCATGCAAGATGCAGGGCGGGTGAGTGGCTGTTAGTGCTTGCTGGATCTGGCGGTGTCGCAGGCCTTTGCTGTTTCAGATGGCTGTGGCCAATCAGTGTGTTTTCAGTATCGCCAACGTCGTGCATTGCGAGTTGCGCGTCTACGTGTGTTTGCACGCCCATACAACGGCCTCGCACGGCGCCATGGTGGACAACGGTGTACCACGCGCCTGCTGCTGCACTGGGCCATCGCATCGAGTTGCCAGCAATCTCCCGACGCGCCCCAATCGAGCATTGTGATGCATCCCGCAACACCCTAAAATGCGCGTCGCAGGCCCATCAGCCTTGGCCGTCGGACAGCGGCCGTGAACTAGGAATAGTCGCTGTCGGGAGGGGACCGAAAGCCAAGGCGTTTCACCTGGCAGGCGATTCTTTGCTGAGCTTGGCCTGGACGTCGTGACGAATACTTGAGCATGGGGCTCCGCGTTCCTGCCTCTTTGCTCGTTCAGTTCTGCCTTCCTCCTACAAAACACAATCTTTCCTTTCTTTTTTTGCCTTTTCCAACCTCACTCACCCTCATTCCTTTTGAGTGCCTGCCTCTTCGGTGCAGACCTTTTCGTTCATTTAAAAGAACTCGACCTTCTCTTCTTCACATTCACTTCATTACAAACACTTCCACGACTTTTACGAAACTCGCATCCATATTTCCCTCTTACGTGCTGGCACGTCTTGGCTCTTACACGCAGCTCCTTATCCTGACCTGCCCGATACAAGTTCCCCCCAGCCTTTAGCTGCTTGTACTTTGAAGTAAGTTTGATGTCTCCGATCCTCCTAGGCTGCCTCGTTATGTGCCTATCGTGCCATTCACCTGCCATTCCTATCAGATTCATGATCTTGACCCCCGCATAAGGCCAAGATGCCATGCACAGAACCTGTCTCATGCTTGTTTGGCTCTCGCATCTTGAACTCGGATCAACACCCGCTTCGTTGTTTGTTCTTGGCATTGTGGATATTAACTGTTTGTAGCGCTTATACGTTCATCTTTCTCGCAGCCTGCAAGAAAACCTCACGCTATCTGGAACAGCTCCCATCGCAAACCCGGACCCTTTTTTCTAGAACAAGATGAGGACTACCTTTGCCTTCGCCAGCCTGCTGGCCGTTTCTTCTACTGTTCTTGCGTTCGGCCCTTACAACAATACGGGATCTATTGGCCATCATGGCAACAGCACAGGGCCCATTGGCCAGAACGCCACCTGCGATGACATTATAGAGAGGGAATACATTGTCATGCTCAACAAGACTGACAACGATGATGGTCACACCGTGGCTATGCTTAAAGCAATGGCCAAGACTGACAAGGACGAGGACATACTGTGGATTCATGAGAACAAACACATAGCTGTCATGGGCATCAACACTACTGAGTGCACCGTTGACATCTGGAACGCCAGGGAGGAGGTCGCATTCGTTGAGGAGAAGTTGATGGTTCAATCCTTTGTATCCCAAAAGACTGGCACTCCATGGGGCCTGCAGGACATCTCCAACGCAGCTGGTGCATCTGGATCTCCTGAGAGCCAAGACTTCACGTACACCTTCGAGGACCAGTCTCTCGGTGCTGGCGTTGACATTTACGTTGTCGACACAGGTGTGCGAACCTCTCACGCTGTGTTTACGGGCCGCGCTACGCAGGGTTTCTCGGCTACTGGGGCCTCCACCGACGGCGATGGTCATGGTACGCACTGTGCTGGTAGTGCCGGAGGTGCTAAGTTTGGAGTTGCCCAGGGCGCGAACATCATTGCTGTCAAGGTGCTTGGCGATGATGGATCTGGCTCGTCTTCTGATACTATATCTGGTATGGATTGGGTCATGACGAACCACGAGAAGCGCAAAACCGAGCCTGGATTCGTCGGATCCATCATGAGCATGTCATGGGGTCTCCAGGGCACCGCCAGGTCCGTCAACGAGGTTATTCAGGCTGCTAGCAAGGCAGGTATTCACGTCTCAGTCGCCGCTGGCAACGATGGCGCTGATGCATGTGGCTCGACGCCCGCCCAGCTTGGTGGAAGCAACTCCAACGTCGTCACTGTCGGTTCCATCGATATCAACAACAAGGTGTCTTCGTTCTCCAACATTGGCACATGCGTCGACATCTATGCTCCTGGCGAACAGATCCTGAGCGCCTGGAACACCGGCGACAACGTCATCAACTTCTTATCTGGAACTTCCATGGCCTGCCCCCATACTACTGGCGTAATGGCCTACCTCATGGCTGAGGACGTTGCAGGTCTTGGTCAGAACCCCGCTGCGCTCAAGGCCAAGCTCCTCGCGACCGCTCGCCAGGACAAGATCACCGGCAGCACTGGTGGAAGCGCCAACCTACTCCTCAGCAACGGTGTCGACGGTGGTGTCGCCAAACGACTGGTCAAGAACTACGTTGTTCCAGACCACAAGCGCACAACTGGCAGCCCCGCCGCCCGCGCCGCCAACAGCGTTAAGGTGGAGAAGAAGTGGGAGCTTCACTCCCTGACCTCGTTACTCAGGTTCTAGACGGCTGTGTTACTTTGCATAGAAGAGCGCGATACCCCTCATTGTTGGCGATGACGCCTAAAATATTTTCAGCATTTCTCTCCTGGTACCACCCTGGGATTGTATTCCCAATAATTGTTCACACATGGTGTGCTTCTCTTTCGCATCCGAACTCTTTTTTCTTCTGTCGTTGAGCATATAGAGGAAAAGACGCGACTGCGCATGCCCGCTCTCAGTTATATAGTAGCACCACTGTACGTGCGAATTCAAGACTTCATCACTACATTCGAATTCTTTGTGTACGATGCCATGATTGTTATGATTCGCTGATCTTCGGCATAGATCTGTTGTGCGATGTACCACCATCCTTCTACAAGCATAGACTGACTGAAACCTTCGCCACATACGTTGCGATGTTGAGCTCCACATTCATACACAATTTTCCAGCTGGATACATGCTGTGGAGAGCCTAGACCGCGTCTCTCAACATATCTTGCATGGCAACGCGCGTTTCCATGATTTCCTGGCAACCTCCTCGGAGACTTCAAGACGGAACGTCATTTCCGTTGCTGGAGGGTGATCATGCTTAGCGAGGCTTCGTCGAAGCGATGTCCGAGGACGTGGCTGGGCGGTGTGGCAGCCTGACCCCCAAGGCTGGCAGACGGGTCGCCGGCACACAGAGGGGTTTGGTTGTTGGATCGCCGCATGGGAGCTGGTCTGCGTGAAACGCTGGGCGTTGTTTTTCTCCGAGCGATGAACTGCTGCGTCGTTGTTTTCGAGGTCGGATGCGCTATGCCGTAGTAGGTCTAGAACGAATTACGCCCCCATCGCAGGAGGTGCCGAGTTTTGTTCTCTACACCGTTGAACAGAAGCTCGACGTGACAGAATGCTCTTGCTCAGGCTTCTTGGTTTATCTTTAGCTACGCTGTTGTCGGTTGGCTGCCATATGTTCAGGTTGTTAGTTGATCTGGCCCGGAAAGAGGAAACGTCGAAGAAACATTACTGGGGTGATGACAAGACACCAGCAAGAAATAGTAGAAGAAGTCAGCACATGAATGTTTCTCATGAGAAACGGAATAATGAGGAATATGGAGCCATGATCTCAAGTGCTCTCGCGCTTGAATAGCCAAGGAATAGATCTGCAGCTAAGCGCCCAAGTCGCGCTTCTTGGACCATTCCAACGAGGGCAGCGCTTCACGCCCACAAACATGCGATGTTATTTGTGAAAGAAGCCATGGCGATGTTGGCATTTAACTGTGCCTCCTTCAGGTGTCGATGAATGCGTTCGTAGTTGCATTGATAGCCCTTCGAGAATACGATGGTTTTGAGTATATATACATACCTGAAGCTATGCATCTAAGGACATCCCTTTTCTTCCGTCAAGCCATCCATTGTCTTTGTTATTTCTTTCTCACATAATGTCTGTCGATCTTGATCCAAAGTATATCTACCGAGGGGTATGGAGGAATGTGGATCGTGGAGCAATCATGGGCAAGACTCTCACGACCGATTCACAGACTGGTGCATTACTAGTCGCCATTCTAGCTGTACTGATAACCCTTGGTGAGCTACCCAACACCTGATTCAAACATTATACTAACAGGATCAGGTACTGCCCATCTCTGGCATCTTGTCTCCTTTGTTGTGTACCAGATACGAGCAGATGGACGTCCCAGGGACGGTATGTTCCGGCAACAACAAGCTCTGTTGCGTACTCTCCCATCGCCAAGTACGATCATGGCCGATACAGTCAAACTATGGTGGGCCTGGAGACGACACACGAAAAACCCCTTTCTGCGGAACCTCGTCCTGTTCTCACTGGCCTTGCTGACCACTGCCGGAACGATCTCCGCCAGTATCTTTTCGTCGTTCATTGTGGATAGCTCAGACTTGGTCGTTCTTGTTGACTCGCCATTCTGTGGAGCTCCGTTGACCGACCGCCTGGCAGGTGGTGCTGGCTATATGAACGCCGTCTTGTCGGCAGGCATCAAACTAGGTCCGCAATGTCAGAAAGTGTTTGATAATGTCAACAACACCATGCCCAAAGCATGCGGTGCGTTTTACAAACACGCTATTGGAATGGAGGGCAACACAACCTTCGGGCCTTGTCCATTTGCGAAGGATATGTGCACACCTGAAGCCCCAGAAGAGGCCGTCCACATGGATTCGCGTCTTTTGGATGCCAACAAAGATTTTGGCATGAACTTGCCAGCCGACAGTCGGGTCCAATTTCGAAGGAGGAGTACCTGTTCGGTCTTGTCTCTCAAGGGGCGTACGAAAATCCATAATGTCTCGGATCACTTCATGGAGTTTGGTAGGACAGAGCTCATGCCCGGTGAACAAGCAATCTCCATGAACTATGGTGCGGTTGGCGAGAGAAACTTCACTACCATGACCAGTCTTTTGAGAACAAACGTAACATTCACTTTTGATCAAGGGTCTGCACTCCTCACACGAACCCCTCCTGGTATTCTATGTTCATTACTAACCACTCTCTAGCGGTCTAAGGTACTTTGCAAACTCGGGTCTTCCGGTCCCTAACGAGATCGATCTCATTCCGGAGTTGCGGAGGAACGACGGCGACACTATATTGAAAACGATTGGGCTAAACGGACTAAGATATGTTTTTCCAGTCGACGATCCGCTGTTCTCAGCACACAAACCCTACACTGGTATCCTCGCTCTCTCAGACACTGGAGAGGTTCGAAATATCACCACCTACTCACACGACGATCCTCTGAAGGCGATTGGTTGTCTACAGCAGGTAACCAGATGATTCCCAACATTGTACAATTACAGTAAATGCTAACCAAGCCAGTACCAATTCTGCCACGCCCGTCCATCTAAAAAAGACTTCTGTACCGACCTGATCCCTCTGCCGGCAAACGCCACCGCAGGGGACTTTCCCTACGCAAACAAACTCCAGCAGACGGTCATCCAGCTCTTCCTCAACACGAGCTACTACTTCGATTCCTCCAACCCCACAAACGACTTCGCAGTCCGAAGCATGGCTCTCCCACCCTCCAAGTCCATAGTTCCTTACGTCGACGACGGAATGTGGTATTTACAGCTGCTCGGCTGGGAGAGAAGCATATGGGCCACGATCCAGATAGCCGTAATGGACTGGGCCATCGGGCCAAACGTGCGCGAGGGCCATACTGGGAACTGGACGCGTCCGTCGACAGCAGCCGAGAAGCAGCTATGCAAGATGCAGAGGATGAGGGTTTCGGGCCACGTCGTGTGAGTTTGTTTCTTCCCTATTCCCACAATATCGCAGCAGCACTGACTGATGCTTCTGCAGTAACATCAACGTCTTTGCGCTCGCCTTCATCATCGCTTTCTCCTCCCTAATCACCATAGTCGATATCATGATCCTGAAATTTCTCGTCTACCTCAGCCGCTTCCGACGTGCACTCGCTCCGCGCATCGATCGGTGGATCCAAGACGGCATATGGCAACTGCAGCGACGGGCCTACGAAGGCGAGGGGTATCGCAACTGGGTTAATCTGGAAGAAGAGATACCACTCACGAAGCAGGAGCAGAAGTTGAAGGATCTGCCCATTCTGTGGTTGCCGGGTAAGAGCCCTGAGGTTGGGCTTGGGGCGGCGTTTGCGTCGACGGATTCGCTGGCTTCTCAACACACGCTACCGATGGTTCGGGTGCGGGATGAGGAGTCTACTGGGACTGCGAAAAAGCGTGGGGTGGGGTGGTTGAGGTTCTTTCGACGCTGAGTTGCTGGGTTTGAGAGTAGGGATTTGAGACATGATTGTAGGACCCGGGAAAAAGTTCAAGGGAGATATTGACTGTGCTTGGATGATTGAAAAGTGTGTACCCACGAACTCATCAGTAACCTAGCTCTGATCTATCTCTATCTGACCAGTCCCATAGCACAAACAAGGAGATGGAATACAGTCGTCGAAGCTCGCTCCAGAGCATCCACACGACGAATAAGATTCACCAGGAAAGACTTTCTGAGCACAGTACGACCTGATAGATATGTCTAAGGAAGATCTATGCTCCGAAACACCAACTAATGTCCCCGAAGATGATAGTGTCCAGGGAGATCAACTAGCTGGAGTATCGAAACGAAGATGGATGGCAGTAGATAGGATAGCGAAGATGGTGGTAAATTGAGGATGTGAAAGTAGCCGATATAGAAAGACGGCAGACCACCAGCTGTAAATCCTGTAATGCTCTCCATATACCTGTTCTTCTTCTTCATGCTCATAACGCCTTCGCTTTGTCAGACTCCATCGATATAACATGGCACCCATGAACACCGCGATGAACCACACGAGCAAGCAAACACGTAAACTCATACACCACTCAGCCTCAAGCCTCACAACGTCAAATCCTACGACTTATGCACAGCACACCCCCAACACCGTCGATCCACACGCTCCTGCTCGACTTCACGGCCTCCATACGCATCGCCCACCGCGTCCCGAGACTCAACATCCAGCGCCGCCATCGGGCCACCACACACAACGATCGAGTTGCGCGGTCCAGCAAGGGTGTTGCCTTCGAACACCATGCTCGACCTGTCTGGCAGCGTCTCGCTCTTGGGCCGCTTGTTCTCCGCGGCACGAGAAGTCGTGTTATTCTGCGTCATGTCTGCGTTGCCGGTTTCCGCACCTGCCGTTGCGGTGGGCCCGGTGGGTGGCGTGCTTTGATCCATGGGCAAGAGCCGGTGGTAGTATACTAGCCAGGCGAGGATGCCGAGCAGGCTGATGGCGCAGAAGGTGCTGATGAGGATTATTGCGATGATGCCGAGGCGGTCGCTGCTGAACTCTTTGAGGCGGGGTCTGTATGTGCTGTTGGGCGGGGGTGCGTCGAGGGGGGTGGCGGCGCGGGCGATGAGGGCGATCAGTGTGGTTGCAGGGGGAAGTGTTGTTGTGGTTGTTGCGTGGGCAGTCTTGCCGTGTGCGAGGTGAGGGAGGCTGAATGCGAGCATCACGGAAGTGGCGCGCCGGTACATGGTTAGATGAGGCCGCGGTGCAGAGAGATGATGATGAGAGAGACGAGGAATGAACGCGTAGATGAAGAGGAGCAACTGCGATGTTAACAGTGCGGAGTGGGGAGCGATGAAAGTGAGGGAAGGCGCGAGGTGTGCTCACAGCAAAAACACCGAATCTGGCAGCGACGAAAAGGGAACATGTCTCACTCCCTTGGGTATCTCATATGCTGTCCAACCAAGCCCAGATAGTCTCTCTTCATGCATGCATGCAGCCTGTCCAACTGCACGCAACCTTCTGCACAGTGCCACCTCGCGACACTGTCTCCTGCCCTTCCTATGCCCTTTTTTTGCACACTCCATGCACTCCTCTTCTACCACACAGCTTCACCACATAACTCGCTGACCCGTCACTTAGATAGCCCCCTCACTTCGCCTTGTTCTTGGCGGCCTCGGCCTCTCTCCGCGTCGCATCCTCGAGCAGTGCAGTATCTACGGCGCCAGAGGGCAGGTGAACGTATCGAACGACGGAGCCTCGGATGAACATGTCCTTTGTCGAGCACTGCATCGCCTGTTAGCCCTCCCACTCGCTTCCCAAGCCTGTGCATGCCCGTGACGCACCAAATGCGGCCATCGCATCTCATCCACCGCCTCGGCATTGTCCAGCTTGATATTCAGGTACTGGTCCACGCTCTTCAACGTCCCGCGGATCTGCACTTCGTTCTTGAGTTCGACGGTGATTTCGTGCTCAACGAGCGTTTTGAAGAAGCTGTGCAGTCGTGTGAGAGAGAAGCCAGTAGAAGAGGGCGGAAGACGGACCTGAAGAATAGCATGGTGGCAGTGCGGTGTGGGGAGTTCGCGGCGTTGTTTTGGAGCTGCGATGCGTCCCGGTGCAAGTAAATGACGGAGGAGTTGAGGCGGGCTTGGCGTGTGGGGTTCGCGCTTGCCGCAGATCCACCGAGCGTTCAGCCTCACCACCGCACCGCCACATGCACTGCATACACACGTCTTGTGATGGTGATATCTGGTTGCTACATGTGTTCTATATGTCGTTCTGAGCCCAAACACCCTTCACCATGTGCTATTCGTCTGTCCTAGCCTGCAACCCCCTAAACACCAAGTCTGGCCATCCAGTCCATCTGTCAGTCTTATATACACACACCATTACTTCCTCGCCCAACCGGTCAAGCACCTCCATCCTGACCCTTCACGGGCACCCTCCTCAAGAACCTGCACAACACCTTCCAGCAGCTTCTCCTCCTCCTTGCCCATCTCCAACTGCAACCTCAACAGCCACCTCTCCCAGGCCCAGCTGCCAACAATCCCCGTCAACATCGCCGCATCCAAAGTCGTACCGACAACTGGTGCGTCCTCCACGTTGATATCACCAGCTTCCGTGACCGACCGTTCTTGTTGCTTGGCTCCGGCGCCGACATTGAGCTCATCGCGCCAGTTGGCTGCCGTCTTGCCCATAGGAAGCATCATCCACATGCGCTGCACGTCTTTGAAGCCTGCCTTTTGGACGCGGGGAAGGAAGCTCTTGGTGGGCTGGGCGTCGTAGCCACGGGTCTTGAGGTTGAAGCCAAACTCGACACCCATGGCTTGCGCGTTGCGGCCGGCGTGAATGACATCTGCGTCCATCAAGGAGTACTCGAAGATGCCGCCGGGCTTCAAGCAACGGTAGCATTCTTTGAGGCAGAGGTCGTACTCGTCCACTGAGCGGTCGAGGGGCTTGATGGTCTTCAGCAGCTCGTAGAGTGTGCGCGCGGAGATGACGTCGAAGTGAGCGTTGGGGAAAGGCAAGGTCCACAGGTTAGGAACGATCATGGGCTTGTGGTTGTCAGGACCCGTGACGTTGGGGGATGGGTTGTTGCCAGCCGTGTAGACAGTCGTAACGCTAGCGTAGGGGTAGTCGTATGCGACGTTCCAAGCCCAGTCGTTGGTCAGTACGCCTCCCACATCCAGAACGCGTGGGGCGCTGGCTCGAGTAATGCACCGCACAGCGGGCTTACTGAGCAGCTTTCCACCATTGAGCTGCTTTTGCGCCTGAAGCACCCAGTGAACCGGGAGCATCTGGTCAAGAGCCTGGCGCTCCCTCTGCGCGCGTGCAATCCTCTCCTTCAGCACTGTCGGGTCGTTCATGTAGAAATCGGACACAGGGCGCGGTGGCGCTGGGCGGTCTGGTTCATTCAGTTCGAACTTGCCGAGGAGTTGGTCGCGGTGAGCCACGGCGTTGCAGCGTCGCTGAACGTGCATTGCTTCGGCGCGCGTCTGGCGGTGGATGAACGTGTCTTTTGTCTGGCACTGAGAACGCAGGTACTCGAGGCCCTGGACGTACGTTGTGATCTGCTTCGGCTCCTCGTCTGTCTGGGTGGCCTTTGCAGGCTCCTCCGCAAAAGTGACCGATTTCTTGACCACAGGCTTGTCGACCGAGCTGCCGCGGCTGTGGGTTCCGCTGGAAAGGCTCGGGGAGCTCATGTCGTTCATCTCACGGAGAGCACATTGCAGGTCATCCTGTTCGGTCAACCAGTTGCCAGTGCGCTCGAGGTTGACAGTGGACAACTTCTGGATCTCTGCGTTGTAGTTCTCGCTGTACTGGAAGATGGTCTTGCTCGGGTTGATCTCCTTGACTTCGATAGTCTCATCCGTAGGGCTGAGGATGACGGGCCGAGATGTGGGCAAAGACTCCTCGAATCCGTCCAGAGTTGAGCCTCCCAGGGTCGGTGCATGAACTGGCAGAAGTGTAAGGCGTGGTGCGGGCGCAGCGATGGTGTTGCGTCGGCTCTCCCAGGGTAGTTGGTAGAACCTCTCGGCAGTCGAAGTGTTGGGGACGGGCTCTTCACGCTTTGGCATGCTCCATGTGTGGCGTGCAGTCGTCTGGAGTGAAGAGAAGAAGCCTCCTGGAGAAGGCACAGACAGGTTAGACAGGGGCGTGCTGCCCGAGGATCCGTGTCCATACATCGTCGAGGGAATGCTCAGGCCTAGGTTTGGGCGCGACACTTGCTGCATTTCTCCTGTCACTTCGATCGTGCGGGTGTTTTGTCGGTCGTCTTGCTCGCTTGATGACGATTGACCCAGATGCTGGAGCGTTTCCAAAGCCTGCAGATCAAGCTGCACAGGTGCCCACGAGTCCACGCTCGAAAACGAGTTGCGCCTCTGATGCATATCAGGAGTTGCTGGGCAGCTCAGTCTGTCCATCTCTTCCGAAGTCAAGCTCCCGTCCAGAGAAGGCGCGGCGGATTGTCCTGGCAAGTACATGTTGTGCTTGCCGATCATCTCCAACACGCAACGAGACGGGGTCAGTAGCTGGGAAGGCGTTTGCGGCACCGCCGAGGTGGCGCTCTTCAGCTTTTCGATTGATGGCCAGAACGACGGGGAAGGAATGTCGATTGAAGGGAAACGTCTTCGGCTAGAGGTCGCGATCTTCTTGACCGATGCTGACGCGCGAAGAGGAACTTCGGTTTCATCATCGGTGACATCGTACATCGAGTCGAAGTCGCTATCGGCACGGCTCATCCGGTTCGGTGGAGGGTAGGTAGCTGAGTGGACTGGGTAGCGAGGCGAGGGCTGTGGTGTAGTGTTTGTCATGTTGAATACGTGTGCTCTGGGTGTGGGGAAGTCTTCCCCGATGCTTCCAGGAGAGTCGGGGCCAGACTGGGATGTCGAATCTGTCGAGTATCTTGTTGTGAAATAGTAATGGGGAATGGTGGAGTCGTCGTCGAAGGACTCAAGGGCCTGTCTTTGTTCCAGCAAAGACAATGTATATTGGGAATCGTCCAGCGTTCCAGAAGCGGAAGGGTGGTATACTGCTGGTTGAAGCATGTTTGACATGATGATATGGAATTACGGACAAGTAGGAAAGAAGACACGAAAAAGATATTAGTTTGGGTGACGACCCGAATTTCGCTGATCAACAGCCTACTAGTAAGGATATCAGTCTTCGGTCAACGAAGAGAGACGACGCAACGAAGGGAAGCTCAAAGGGAAATTAGAAGTGAATGGCGAGTAACAGCAGATTGCGGCGTGGGCGCAGATGGCAAAAGGATATATCACGCGTAGACGCCTTGTCGTGGATTTGTCGGCAGGCTAGTAGCACAGTGGCACCCAGGACTGCACCGCCAGTTGTCAAAGCGTGCGCCTAGGCAGAGAAACAATAGCGGCCGACATGACGACCGCCTTTTGAACGTCGTGGTTGGCCCACCGAGGCAGGTGGAGAGTAGGCGCTGTTCGTTTTGGGCTTTAGGCGAAGTGAGCTGCGTGGGACGATTGGGGTTCATCGTGTAAGCGCCGGGCTGCTCTATTCTCAGCGCCTGCGCCCAGCAGCGCTGGCCAATGGTCGCGTGGAACGTAGTTGTACCGCATACTCGCCCACTATAGTCTAGAAGACGGCTGCTCACCCCCAGCGTATCGTGCAGGCAGACTGGCCGTGTTTTGATGCTCTCGAGTCCGATCAAGGGGCAGCGGTTAACCACCACCCACATAAGTATTAATCACCACCCACATAAGATAGATCCGGGATAGCGTTATGCACCTATAACACAGTCGTCCTATATTATAATCTCTAGTTTATATAGTAACTTATACTAAAGCTAAAGCTTAAGTAATTAATTAGTAATATAAAACTTAGTAGTAAATATTACTATTATATACTATTATTACTATTATTACTATTATTACGTATAATTAAAAATTAAAGTATAATAATTTAAATTAGCCCTTATATAGAAGTAATTTACTAGCGTAACTATACTACCTTATTAGTACTAAAAACCTAAAGCTATTATTATCTAGCTTTACTAGATAATTTATTATATTATAATTTATAGTATATAGGCTTTAAACTTATAATAAAGGTAGCTAATTTAATAAGTAAGCTAGGTATTATATAAAGGTTATTCTTACTAGTAGAGGAGCTTAGTATTATAGCTTCTCTAGTTACTACTATTACTACCTATATACTACTACTTATAGTAGCTATATATACTAAGGAGCCTATTACATATATAAGCTAGGCTATAAGGGCTATAAAGTAAACATTTATATTATATAATAAGTAGTAGGTATTACTAGTACTAATAAGAGTAGTAAGATTATATATAGTACACCTAATTAAGTACTAAATTATATAAAGTTTATACTTATTAGAGTACTAAACTATATATAGTTTATACTTATTAGAGGTATTAAGTACCTATAGTAAGCTATTTAAGTACTTAATTAGTAAGCTTATAAAGAGTATACACTATTAATTTAGGGCTTTAATAAGTATAGTACTAGTAGCTAGAGTAGTAATTAAGGTAGTAGTTAAGGTAGTAATTAGGGCAGCAATTAGGGTAGTAATTAGGGTAGTAATTAAGGTAGGCTTAGGCACGTCGGCAAAAGAGGAGTTTAACAGGCAGTGCCAGGCAGGGCCTTCCTGGCGTCGGCCCGCTAAATTTTCCACCGTTGAGCTCCTTTACGAGACTAAAGGCTGCCTACCAGTCTCCCACCGCTCCTGACGGTCCCCTACCGCTCCCGACGCTCCCGACCCTTGGCAGCCACTAGTACTACGATAGTCAGCTGACAGGAAAGACAGGGGTAGCAGGGAGGCGCCTAACTCGTAATGAAAAGCCAGCCTAGATCTCGGCCGGTACGCCCGGCAAATCGAAACTCCTCTTTTGCCGACGCAGTAATAGTAAGTATTAGCGTATAATATTAGCTGCGTTAATAAAGTAAGTATAGGCCTTATAGGCTATAAGGCAGCTATTACGTATAAATAGCTAATATAAGTAGCTAAAACTGCCTAATTTACTAGTAAAATAATAATACTTTTATAGAGTACTAGCTTAACTATTATATAAGCTAGTAGTATTACTAATAGTATTACTATAGTATTATTATTATTAAGGCACTTAAATAAGCTAGGCTTATAATAATTACCTTATTACCTACTACTAGTAATATAGTAATATAGCTTATAAGGTTACTATTATTATATAACGCATAGCTCTAATATATATAAAGCTAGTTTAATTATAAAAGCTTATAAGTAATTAACCTACTAATATATATTAAAATTATTAAGTTTTAGAGCTCTAGATATAAGCTTAAGCTCCTTTATTTAATACTAATAAGGTAAACCTTTAGAGCGTATATAGATACCTATATAAGCTATTATAAAGTAGCTAGAGTTACCTTATAATATATAAAGCTTACCTTTAGTATACTTAAGCTTCTATACTATAAGTATAAGTATATAGTATAAGATAACTTTAATAATACTAGTAAAAGCTAGGTCTTAATAATTACTTTAAATAGTATAATTTACTTACTTATTAAGTATTTAATTATACTTAACGTACTTATTATAGAATAACTTTAGGTAGTAAAATAGCTAAAGTATATTAGCTTTTAAGCTATTAAGCTAGTCTTTAATAATATAGTAGGTACCTTTAGCTTTTAAAGTTATAGATAGCCTAAAGTTAACTAACTTATTAATCTATACGTTAATAAGCTTATTCTTATAGTAGCTAAACTAGTAGTAATTAAGATATATATAAGTATAAAAAGATAGTATTTTAATAGCTTTAAAGTTTATATTAAACTTAACTAAAGTCTTAGAGCCTAGTACTATATAGTACGTATTAGTAAACTATATTATAGACTTAGTATTAACCTAAAGAATTTTATTATATTACTGCCTAAACTTAGTTATTAGTACTAATTAAATATAGCTTAGGACGTCCTTATTTATATACTACTAATATATAATAATTTTAGGTAAATTAAATATATAATTAAGCACGTTTATATATACTCTATTATTATTAGTAATAAATAGTTAAATTATAATACCTTCTACTATAAGAAGTTTTTAGAGTTGTATAATAACTTAAGTAAATATAGCTTTATCCTTATATAATATAAGCGTAACGCTAAAGTAGATTATATAGTTATTTATATTAAAGCCTACTAAATTAAGTAGTAGAAGGCTGTAATAATTTATTTTAAATATATAATTAAGAAGAAGTGCGTTAGGTAATATTTTAAATTACGTAAGGTATATAAGCAATATAAGAAGTAAAAATTTAATATAGTTATTAATAGATTTTAATATTCTATAAAGTTTAAAGTTTATTAGCTAAGAAACTTTAACTCTAATTAAGGTAGTGCTAAGCTTAAATAGTAAAGCGCTAAACTAATAACTAATATACTAGAGAATTTTTAGTAGACTAGTATAAGCCTTTTAAAAATTAAGTAAGTTTAGAGCTTAATATAAGACTTAGTTATAGTAGTAACGTAGTATAGTAAAGATAGAATAATAGTATTTAATATATAATAAGATAAATTACTAAGAGACCTATATTCCTTTATAAAGTACTTTTATCTATATATATAAGCTAAGAGGCTAGAGCTAGTATAATAGTACGTAAACTACTTATTACTCTATACTTACCTAATAATATCCTCTTTCTTAAATATAATTATTCTAATCTAGTAGACTATATCTTCTATTACCTATATTTAGTAACGTTAAGCGTATTATAGGCGTATTAAGGTAACTATTTAGGTAGATTACTAGATTAAGCTAATTTAGCTTAATTAAGATACTTCTAAAGTATATTATAACTAAAATCTTAGTTTAGAGTAAAAGAAATAAGTACCTATTTTTACTTCTTTTACTATTTACCTACCTAAGAGGTAGCCTAAGCTTTAAGGGCCCTACCTAAGTATATAATAAAGGCTCTTCTCTAGTTCTTTATACTTTACCTTCTTTCTACCTCTAATTTTTAGAAGTTTCTAAGCTCTAAGTATATTTTTAGTAGGAAAGTAAAGAGTATTAATTAGCTCTAATTAGTACTAATTAGCAGAATTTAGGTCTAATAGGCTTAGTAAGTATTAAATATTAGCTAACTATCTTAGTAGAACTCTCTTAATAACTACCTAACCTACTCTACTTCTAATATAATTAAGATAGTTACTTTAATAAAAGCTTAGCGCCTTAAGGATTATAAGAATACTAGTTACTATACTAAGGTCTTTTATATATACTACCTAGACCTTTTAGCTAATAGTAACTTTACTATAGATAATTTAATTTACTTCTTTAGTACTAATATTAATTTATAAAGTAAGTTCTATAATAGTAACTATTAAGGTATATAGTACTATTATTATACTTAACTTAGCTAGGACTGTTTTAGAGTATATTTATTAGCTTTAATTAGTATAAGTTATAGCTAATTAACTTTTCTAGCCCTTTAATACCTACTATAAGTATTTTATTAAGCTTAAAAAGTAACTTACTTACTACTTATCTAGTAAGAATATAGTTATAAAAGCTATAAAAAAAGGTAAGCCTATATAGTATAATTATGTCCTATATATATCCTCTCTTTATATTATAATTAAGGTAAAAGTTATTAATACTACTAATAAAATTATTAGCTTAATCTATAAGTAAGTAGTTAGAATTAGTAGTAATTAACTCTAATAGTATCTAATTATTTATAATAGTAAGTACTCTCTTTATTATAAGTTTTTTATAGTCTATATAGGTATAACTAAGATTAATAAGTCTACTAAGTCTAGTATTTATATTAAGGGTTATAATTAGTCTAAAGCTAGCTTCTAAAAGAAGGCTATAGCTAAAAAGTAGGCTCTTAAAGCCTCTAATAATAAAAACCTAGATCTTACTTCTTATAAGAAGGTAAGTAGCTACTTATAGGCCTTATTAGTATAAATTAGTACTAACTATCTAGAATTAGTTTAGTATATATAGTTCTAGTAAGACTTTAGCTAAAGTAGCTACTAAAGAAGAGAAAAAGGCTACTATAGCTACTATTACTTTT